CGGTGTTGGCCATCTTCAACATAAACCAATGCATCCGTATCCGATGCAATGAGTACACAGGAGCAGGAGATGGCGTTCACCCCCTTTCCTTTCCTCTGAAAGAGCGAGTCTCGGAGTGGAACATGGCCCGTACCAAGAGGTTCCCGAGTATCCTATTAATTACCAGTGGAGCTCTCATTCAACTGGGAAACGCAAGAGTCCAATGAGACTTTACTCACAAGTGGACAAGAAGCTTGGGCATCATCACAGGAACAAGAACGCGTCGAATATCCGTACACGGTGTGTACTCCGTACACGGTGTACACAATACCGATGGAGTACGCGCCTCCGCAGCAACCTTTCCATGCATTGTGTGCAAAGTGGAGAGTACTCCGCGGGTACTGGGTACCATAACCTTGCGCCATGCCAATGAGAAGCAGCAAAAGACCATAGTGCAATGGAGTCGACTACGCGCCAATAATACCATTGGCGGAGATCCTGGCGCCGTCCTGGAAAAGCACGGAGTGGACTCAAATGATTCACTGGGGCCTTCCCCTCCTGGGCTACGCCGTCATGCAATTTGAGAGCTTCTGGGATTGTGGACCTGGGGGGCTTGCTAATCTACTTAGTTGAAAGCTGGTGCACTCGGGGGACGACGGATTCCCCACCGCGTGGGCCTCGTCCAGGCCCGTCCCTCTTACCCGAGATGGCCGCGGCCATGGTAGCGTGGGTAGCGTTGCGCAGGGGAGGATCGCCCCCCTTTTTGCCACCGACCATTTGTCAGAGGATTCGAACTATTAGACCGTTGCCAGTGTGCCGGCGCGCGCCGGCTCTTCCTTCGCCTTTCGAGAAGGTCAGCAAATTACAATCGTACCACTAAAGGCACTAGGGCACTAGGGCACTCGGAAACTCGCCAAACAGAGAATTGGGATCATAAACATCAAACAATGACTTCAAAAGGCGTTGAAGGCGTAGAGAGGGGCGCAAGGTAATTACACGCCTCTCTGTGCCTCTTGCTCTCTTGGCTCCATTTCCCGCTATCCCCAGGGCCCATCCCACAGCCATGGCTCCGCCTTTTTCGAAAATGCCCCGAATTTCCCACCAGCCAGGATTCTGATCAGACTCCTGGCTGGTAGGAACCCTTCCGACTACGCCAGAGCTAACTTTTGACCCACAATAGACGCCGAACATACCTGTGGTCCCCTTTACTCTGGACACCGGGAGCGTCAGATAGTGTCATCAGCGTATTAGAATGGAAAATTTGCCCCTTTTCACCTTCTCGATTGGTCCACAGATCATGCGAGATTCAATGCTGATGACATCTAGTGTCCGGGTAACAGCACGAGGCACTAATTCTTACTCGGGAAACTGGGTCTCCCCTGGGGTAGTGGCCCACCGTCACTAGAGTAACCCGACCTTCTCTTCGACGCTTTAGCGTTTCTGGAAGGTCGCAACCATGATTCTATGGAGATGTCCAAAGGATGCGCGGCCCCTAAGCTGCGCCGCTGAGCACGTTCATCCATCTATATCGAGCATGCTATGACTATGGCTAGTCTACTTCCGACAAGTTTCGAGTGCCAGCCCCTGATCGATGGGCTCGGGAATTTTCTGGAAGTCTGTCATTCCCGGACACCGTCTCTGTTAGCCAATGATCTCCGTCCCGGTGGACATTCTAGGTTTTGGTTTGCCTTATCCCGTGTTTCTGGCGTGCATTAGGGCGTAGGAGGAGAGTTTGTTCCATTGTTACTCGGCTAACGTGCGAACATCGTCATTTCCTTTCTGGGTGCACCGAAGCCAGCACTTGCTTTGACTTTGGTGGGTTGGATCATACTTTGAGACAATGGAGGTTGGCCTCCAGGAGACATGATACGATACAATCATAATCTAAGGAGGTTTTATCTATTGGCAATGACCCTGGCGCTTCATTTCGCTGTTATTTACTCATTAGGGTAGTCTGTTGATTATAGAGTTATAGTCCGTAGTCTAAGGTCTTAACTAGGAGACTCTACCGCGGCATGTTAACAACGGATGCATAAGCGAAGATAAATTATACCTCAACTCACCTCGGCTAGCTTCCAAGCTTCAAGGCCGATTTGTTTCAATTTGAATTGAAATTGACTTGGGGACGTCCTTGAACTCGCCCGTCAAGTGGCGCTTGATGGTAGCCTGTCCGGCTTGGGGCGTTAGCGAAGGCGTTCGGGAGACAAGGCGATACCAAACCCATTGCATCTCTTATGTCTATGTGGGCTTTCGGCCTACCCAAAAATGACTGAAACTCAGGCAGATTCTTGGTCCTATCTCCAAGTCTAACAGGGGGACATCGGCGACTAATGTCTCCACTTTCACGTCCAGAGGTTTGCTGGAAGCCTTTAGGATGGCCTCGAGGCCACAAAACAAGTTCCAACTAAGTAGGGAATGGCATATTGGTTCTATGCTTAATGATATCTAGCTACGTGACAATTTCATTCGTTTTTGTTCAATGTTGGGTATATCGAGGCGGAGGGAAGTTTAAGATAAAGCCGTCAATTCGATTCTAAATGACGTATCTAGGCATGGAAGGCTCCGAACTGTATCTTCCAACCTAAGGTCTGAAAGCTGGATACTAGGAAGATAGAAGTCGAGGATTATAGCTGTCAAGTGTAATGCGAAGTATATACCAAAGGCAATGACCGTAAGTTGTTTCGATTAACGTCCCAAACGGACTCATCAAGAGCAAGCCTGAGCGTTATGTATTACTTGCCCCTTCCTAGTCAATTCTGATATCTTATGGCTCTCTTTTATCATAGATTATTTAAGCTGCCTCACAGAACATTTCAATCACCTACCTTGTTCCCCTGCCCGGCGTGGCAGAGCCAAGCAGCACGTCGCTCAGCTCTCGGGCGCTCTAGTGCCTGGTTGGCAAGATCCTATTCACAGAGCCCTCGTGCTAACAAGTAGGAATAGAATGCGGAAGTCGATGTTGCCGTACGAGTTAGTGGGCACCACTACCTACCGTTGTTGATCTAGCACAGTCAGAATCGGTTATGGCTTCTGCCACGATATGCATCCCAGAATGCACTACTCCTTTAATCAACATTACGCACTCTGCAGTGAAATGCACAGACACGGCTTAGAGATCGTGAGTAACCAGTCAGTTGCGCGGCCCATGACTGCAAAAAAGGGAGGTGCAGGAGCTGTTAGATGGTGAAGCCCACAGCCGAATTTTCGAAGGCTCAGGTCAAGCAAGGCCCCGCCGGGAAGTATAATAAAGATGGTCTGCTCTACGAGATTCTGGGGCGTCCGACATGTGCTAATGAGTCCTTGGGCATTATAGCTGTGTATTCAATGCGCGAATTGGCATGTGGAGCGCGAATTGGCATGTGGAGAACGTCCCTTCGGATAATCGTGAGCATCTCAGCGAGAGCAAGGAGCCTATTCCACACCTTGATAAAACTCATATTCCCGAGGCCTCGTAGCCCCTTGCTAGACCAATCATGATTGAAGGAATCAAGATCAAGGCCGAAGAGGTCTCTTGAATGATCCACGATTGCTGAGCAAGCCACACCCCGCTCTAAGAATAGAACGCATCTGTGCTAACACATCGTACACTCTCAGGATAATGGCGAGCAATTTTGCGCAGATAGTGAGTCGGCAAGTACAGTCGCATGTAGCGATATCTACGGATATATAAAAGATACTATAGAAGAGCGAGTATGACGTCTCACTGATTGAGCCTCGGCCTCGACATCCCTGCAAGAAGCACATAAACGAGTCGAGCGATGAAGTTTGGACATCAGACCTTCATTTTAATATGGACAATCATCTTGTGACGTACTTGCTACTCAACCTGACCAATAGTCTATTGTAAGTGTGCTTTGATAGACATTTTACCCTTTCGGTTCCTTCTAACCTTCCCTTGAGCGTTTTCCTCGAGGACTTTGCAGAAATATATGTTTGACTCCTGTCCGTAGTGTAGAATTGGACACTTCTTTTTGAAAAAAATCACCGGAGCATATACCTAGCTGAGTTACGATCGCTTATTTAGGCCCATTTTCAAGATCCTCTTGGCCTGAGATTTGTCAGAGGCCATGGCACGGTTCCATGGTTCGATCCCATGACATCGTCGGTTCCGCCTCCGCGTTCCCAGATTCCAGATTCCAGATTTCCACGGAACTGACTAGTTATGTTTTAGATGATTCAGGCAAGCTGAATTATCTGAGACTATGCACCTAGTGCCTACTTCCAAAAATAACTGGATCTACGCTAAGAGGTGCAAAATGGTTCAATAGTGTGTCTCTTTTCGCCACCCCGACTATCAAACCCTTCGACCCAAATTTGGCTAGCACTTTCATTGTTTCAATAATTTCGAGACTTTGGATAACTAGTGCGAGATGATGAAATAGGCTGCACGAACAATATATTTGTGTACATCGGACCCGATCTCAGCCCCAGCATCATCCCATCAATTTTTGCAGTGCCAACTGTCAGATCGCCCCCCTCCTTGCATGAATGTCTTCGTGCATGAGATTCGAAACGTGGCTCTCGCAACTCTGATAGGCGGGGGGATGGTAATCGCTGCAGGCGTTGGAAGAGAGCGACCGTACAGTAGATTGGATGACGATCATGACGCTCCCGACGTTGCGATATGACAACCTGATAGCGCGGCCCTGTGGCACCTTAATAAATTAACTGGGCCACACCGCGAATGAACGAATGGCTGTGACGTCGGATATGCCTAGTACCCCTCGTTGTGTTCTCGAGTCTCTCGGTGCTCTCTGTACTTTCTGTAGTCTCTGTAGTCTCTGTAGTCTCTGTAGTCTCTGTACTCTCCGGTTCCTTTTTTTGATCGCCCCCGAAAGGTTGGCCGAAATCAGTGACGCCAGTGTGTTTTAGATCGCCACTTTCCCCACAGCCCCTCATCGTCTCACAATTTCTCTGCCTTGGCCAACTTCCTCCTCTCCGATAGACATTCACTTGAGCAGCTTCAAAATTAAAGAGGCAGAGAGAAAGAGCCAAGCCATAGCTCATCTCTCGGCCCAACCATGGCCTACGACGGGTATCATCAAAGTTCCAAGCCCTATCAGATGGGCAACATGAACCCCGACCCGAATCTTCAAGGCTACTCGCCCACGCCTCCTTACCCATCGCTTCATGAGCCCGATCGGATCAACATGCCGCAACCTCAGATGTCGGGCACCTCGGCAGCCCCTAAGATGGAGCCGTATACTCAGTCCCCGTATGCGCAAAGCACCGAGAACCTCAACGACGCCGTCAGCTCCGCCGTCCACAACAATGTCTCTTCACCTTCTTATCTATCTCCTGATGTCTTATCGCAGATCACAGCGACCGTCATCCAACAGCTGAAAGCGTCTGGCCTGAATAATATCCAAGGGTCCGCACCATCCCCCGCATCTGTGCCTCCCCCACGATCGCAGTCGCAACAGCCGCCATTTCCAACAACTGAATACCCGCCTCGACCGCATTCTGAATCCCCACCAAACGCGCAAAGAAGCGGATCGCTTCCTACCCCAAACCCCATGTCGAACAGCTATGACCCCTCGACATTTCCCGCTCCCTCTGGATATTCAAGTGACTCCCGACCAAACCCTAAGCCGACTCCAGATCCGCCTCTGCGCAGACGTGATTCAATCTCCAGTCATGGTAGTCACAAAGCGGATGTCACCCGTCCCAAGCCTCCATCGCGTGATGCGACGGCTATGGAAATGACCACACTGGAGAGAATTTGGGGCAAGTTGTTCGAGGATGGAAAGCCGACAAAGAGGCTTGGTCAGTTCTTGCGCGGAATTGCAATGCACTTGGTAAGATCTAGGCCGTCGAATGAGTTCTTTGTATACATGTGACTAACATACTGTTTTTGGTTTAGATTGAGGATTATCCTCCCGGCAACACTCTTGTGATTGTGCCTCACAAGTTGCAGAAGTTCTATGCTGATACAGATGTGTCGTGGGACGCTTATCCGTGGCAAGGTGAGTGGAAACTACACAATCTACAAACGAAAACCTTTCTAACATATATCGCTTAGACATTTTCGATGACCGCACATCCTCGATCTCTAGGCTCTTCCGTGATGTCAAGGCGCAGCACCACCTCGTTCAAACCGAAGAACTCAAGGACCGTCCGGATATTCCAGGCCTAACTCCCAAGGGATTCGAGCTCTGGGCTACTTTGATGATCCAAGCCAACCCGGAACGCGAATATGAGCGCTTGCAAAAGGCCGTGCTTAATATGCCAATCAGCAACCCGGATGACAAGAAAGAGCGTTTCCCCAAGGAGATGCCTCGTCGGCTCTTCCCTGAGGTCGCTGATATCAGCCTGAGAGAGGAACTCGAGGAGTATATCATGAAACACTGTGGTGTCGATCTCCCACCAGTCACCGAGGAAGAGCGCTCGCAGGCTGAGCGCTCGAGGAAACTCTCGCCCTCCTCCGTCCCCTCGTCCAACGAACGAGCCCGTTCATATGAGCGAGGACGACCGCCACCCTCCGCCTCGTCATCGTCAGCAGTAATTGATGACGAAGACGAACCAATCCCTTCAGCTCCTATTGAGCGCGAAAGAAAGCCATATTCCGCTCAGCCCGGCGGCGGCAAAAAGTACGACGAGCTAGGCCATAAAAAAGAACTGGGCCACACTCGCAGCCGAACGGGCTCTTTCACAAGCCGGCCGCCCGATATCCCAAGACCTTCGGACAAATTCGACTCTATGTATTCTTCCCGCTCTGGCTCTGGCCCCGCTCCTGCTCGTCGGTTCTCCAGGGAGTCGCGCAGCTCGTCCCGAGGCATGGGTCACGAATATCGACACTCGGAAAGTGATCTGTTGGATCGTGACCGTGCTCCCCGCTACAACGGGGTGTCTGCTCAAGACTTGTATTCCGAGCCGACTTCGATGCTACCTGAGGAAGATGGTCGGAGGTATAGAGATACTAAAGCACACCGGAGCAGCCGGGCTGCCCCCGAGGACGAATACTACCGTGGCATGTTGGGTGGACAAGGTGGTGGCTCGAAGTATTATCACTGATTGATGAGTTTGTGTGTTTGGCATTTACGCTCCGGAGTGTTGTGTTTACCTAGCTCGGCGTTCTGTATGGCATGAAGATACCTCAAGTGTTCCTTGTTTGACGAATGATGATGTCTCATGTCCGAATGTTCAATGTTTCAATTACAAATCGTTTCTAGCCTGCAAAAGTTCTCAGTCTGATTTCAACTATCATCAGTTTCTTCCATATACTAGTCTTCCAAGGAATGAGTTTCGCTGGATTTAGATCTCTGAGTACTCTCTCTTCTGTCGAATATCCTGCATGACTCTCTCTCCATCCTCTTTACAAACAAACGCCTCCTTCGCCCTTATTTTCTCCTCCTTCTCATAACGCTTCTGAATATGTCGTTGATCTCTCGCCTCCCGCTCCATCCGCCTCTTGTTCCTCCTTGCAACACGTTTCCTTTCTTCAATGGCCTTGATATCTCCCTGCTCGGCTTCCAATCTCAATTGCTCAATCTCTTCCTCGAGTAACATCCACGGTACAGAAAGCACATCGACGAGAAACCGCACCCGCTCATCTACGAACTGCATTTCGGCATTCGTGTCGGAGACTAGAACGAAACGTTCTAACTGCAGTTGCATCGTTTGTCGGTATATCGACAATGTGCCTTTCAACTTCACCATAGTACCGGGGACCAGGCTTGAGATGTCCAAAGGGGTCCGATCTGTAGCTGAGACATGGACAGTCTGGTTGGACTGCAAACCCGGTGGCCTTTCCGAGGTATCGAGGGCTGGTTCATCGGCATGAACTCCGCTTTCCGATGCCTGGACTGATTCATTTTTCGCCGATACATTTGGATCGGCGTGTAAAATGACAACTTCCAACGTTGTGCCGCTACTATCGTCTAGCGTTAAGATCGTGCGACGAGTAATCTCGTTCCGAGCCACGATGACGCCCGCGATGCAGACGAAGCGAATAGGGTGATTCTGGTAGAAGAAGATTGTCTGACCTGTTGTCGATATTAATAAAACCGTCAACAGCAATGGCCCTATATAAAAAAGAAGAAAAACAACAGAAAACAACGCTCCGCATTCAAGTCCCGATCAAAGTTGATACCCCGGCCCCCAGCCTTTGACCCTTGTCAAGATGCAGAGATCTGACCCACACACCAACAAAAAAAACAGACTAGATCAAAAACCGGAAAGGCGAACAAAACCCACCTCCAAAGCCTTCTGGTCTCTTCAGTCGATGCACATCCGAGGCGGCCATCTTCACCCAGGCGAAGTGGGTTGGCGATGCCTTGAAGCAAAAGGCGGGATAGAAAACGGATTCCGCATCGTCTTCAGCCTCCATTGGGTCATCTTTTCGTCGGCGGATGGTCTTGTCGGGTTCGTGATGACGGAAAGTGCATCGCTGTTGTGTTGAACTCGCATGGAGCGCCGGTCACGTGGCGCTATAAGACGCGGCTTTTTCGTGATTTGTTCTCGGTGCTTCGTTCCTTATCTTGCACGGTCCTCGATTTCGAGATCCATTTCTCGGTTTGATTATGCACTTCGACATTACACAGTCACTGACTACAGAAAAGCTCCGAACTAACGCTTTTGATTCATTTTACGGCTCCCAGTCAATAGAGCATCGTCTCTCCCTCCATCATCCTCTTCTTCGGATTCCTAGGAGCCTCCTCCTGTCTCTTCCTCTCCTCGGCAACATCAGTCCCCTGCTCACCCAGCGTAGCCTTCACCTTCTCCGCCGCATTCTCATGCCCAGCAAACGCAACCGACAAGATTTCCTTCTCAAACCCAGCCACATGTTCCCACTCAATCCCCGCCGCAGTCAACATCTTACACCCCTCCGACTCTCCCACAAAAGTCCCAGGCTCCTTAACTCCGAAATAAACCTTCTGGACCCCTTCCCGATCACCCTCCCGCGTCTTCGTAATGCGTTGCACGCACGGCGTGTTCCCTGAAAGTCGCTTCCCGCATGGCTCCATCGACACGTACATGATGAGTTTCCGGCCCGCTTCAATGGGGAGTACGGTGGATACTTCATCATCGGGGACTTTGTGGACGGCAGCGTAGTTCGAAAAGCAGCATTGTTCGGCGTGGGTGTTTCCTGCTAGTTCCATCGTGTAGCCGGTTGAGAGGATTCGATCGTCGGTTCCGGAGACATCCCCATCTTTACGGGAGAGGAGGAGTGCGCCGACGCGAAAATTGGTCGGTCGGGGAGGTGATTGCTCTGCGAGGGAGACGCATTTTTGCATATAGGCGTTGTGAGGGGAAGTGGTCGACATGGTGGGGGTGGGGTGTAGCTTGCTTTTGGTTCCGGTAAAGCGGTATTCAATAGATTTGGTAGATGAATAGATTCTCGTAAATCGAGATGGAATCTGGGTAGCTTCGCTTAGACTGGTTCTCAAGCTTGGATAGAGAGTTGGCGATGGAGGATGCTGGAATGCAAGTCGAGGTGAAAGCGGGGGGCAGCAGCAGAACAATGACGCAGCCCGGCGCGTCGGTTTTCGCGTTTGTTCGGTCCGCGTTTGCAAGCTTCGACGCCTCATTTTCGCATATCGCCACTACTTTTGTATTATCGGGATATACAGCTCCAATTTCATCCAAGATGGCAAAGGGTTCAAAGACCGATGATATTCCCGAACATCCTCCCTCGGTAGAGGAGGATCTCTACGAGATTCTGGGCGTCAAATCGAATGCGACACCTGAAGCAATCAAATCGGCATATAAGAAGAGTGCTTTGAAGAACCACCCTGGTAAGTCCTCAAATATATAACTTTGATCCATTCAATCCTGATTAATTGTCAAAGACAAGGTCGGTGAGGATGTCAGAGAAGAGGCCAATGCCAAGTTCCAACGAATTGCCCTCGCATACGCCGTTCTGTCCGATGAGCGCCGCCGAAAGACCTACGACCGTACCGGTCGTACAGAGGAGTCGCTCGACGACGAAGACTTCGATTGGATGGACTTCTACCGCGAGCAGCTGTCTGCTATGCTGGACACGCGTGCGATATCCGACTTTCAGAAGAAGTACCAGGGCTCCGACGAGGAGAAGCAGGACCTTTTGGAGGCCTATGAAAAGTTCGAAGGTAGCATGGATCACATTTATGACACTGTGATGCTCTCCAACGTCCTGGATGATGATGTTCGGTTCCGCGCGATTATCGACAAAGCTATTGCCGACGAGGAGGTTGAGGCTTTTGCGAAATATATCGATGAGACCGAGGACTCGAAGAAGGCACGGATCAAGAGCGCACAGAAGGAAGCCAAGCAGGCCGAGAAACACGCTAAGAAGATTGAGGCCGACAAGAAGAAGAAAGCGGCTGCTTCCTCGAAGACATCCAAGGGCTCTGCGGCCGGCGAGGATGATCTGCTTGCTATGATTAGCAAGAGACAGAAGGATCGTGGCCAGGGCTTCATGGCACATCTGGAGGAGAAGTACGGTGGTAAGGGCAAGAAGCGTGGTGCAGCCGATGAGCCTCCGGAGGAGGCATTTGCTGCCGTTGGTGCTCGCAAGAAGTCTAAGGATACCAAGACGAAGTCAACGAAGGGGTCCAAGGCGTAATCCGAGCCGGGGCTCTAAGTCTTCTTGCACAAATGATCCGCATTGTCATTCATGAGGCGCTGTCTTTTCTGTGGGCCTGGAACCGGGAGTTTTGTTTGAGATTGCATTGGGGTTGGTAATATAACATCATTTTCTTTTTTTTTCTTCTGTTTTATGTTTTTTTACATATGTCTTTTGCTTGGCATACTATTATGGATGAGCTAGATTTAACTCCCAAATACCCGTTTTGTTGAGATGTCTTCTGATGCTTTTACCGACAGCAAAACGGGGATCTGCCACGTGGATGGGCAGATGTGCAGCTTCCACAGATCGTTAAAAAGCCCCAAGCTGCAGTATGACGAACTGCTCATTCTCCCGCTTATGCTTGGTGCATATGAGCTATCCGTAGCTGCTGGTTATTAGCGTAATGTTCACGGCATGGAGCTGTACAGCCCAATCCAGATAAGAGGAGCAGCCTCGCCGATCTGTAAAGGGAAGCCTCACCTTAGGCACCTTCTCTGTTTCTCGCACCAACATAATACCTCCTTGGTCTCTCGCTTCATCATTGTTCTGGAACCATTCCTGACGAGGTGCAGTGACACCGAAGCTCCATATAACCCTTGCGGAGTGCATGATCGTCATAAAGTTGGCGATCTGCTCCACATTCCGTTTGGAATCACCTCGTTGGCCGAGCGGCTGAGTACCCCACAGCAGGTCAGGCCGGAGGCGGAACCACACGCGATGTCGTACCACACTGGTCGCATATCCCCTAGACCTTCTGATCCAGCCCAGCTCAATACACACCGACCATCCAATTTCTCCGCCAAGGGCCAGAAACCCTCGAGCCTCAGTCGTGCAGTACAAACCCTCTTGAGTACCCCGCAGTCTGCAAGGAGTGCGGGCACTGGTTTCGGCGGGACTGACAAGCCTCTGAGACGTGGGAGTCGCAGTCCAGTCGAGCCCCTGGTATCTTCGCCGCTGCGCATCAGCTCTTCCGTCATGGCCTCTGCTCCAAGTTCCCCGGAGAGGCCGAAATCTGACCCCGACCACACCCCCGGAGATCGTCGGACCAATTTGATCGCAAGGAGGTCCATCTACTGTCAACAGAGCCGGTTATGGACAAAGATGATGATGCAAAGTCGGAGGTCTCGATCGAGCAGGCGGGGTTGAAGAGACATTCACGGGATAAAATTCAAGGGAAGCGCGGGATGGCGGCTATGATGTCCGGGTTGGAATCAAGACTGTTTCCCCGGAGTTTCTCGCGTGGAAGAGAGTCGAGTGGAAGCTCGGCGCGACGTGGTTCTTCTTTGGACTCTAGACCTCCCTCTTCATCCCAACCTGGTCGTCCAACCTCCCCCTCCCATCGTCTACAACAATCTGGTCCGAAACCAACCTTCAGCAACACTGAAAAAGGAAAAACCCTCAAGATGGATGATTCTCACAATCAGTCTGATGAGGTCCTGTCCAAGCCCTCTGGTCGTCTTCCGGACTACGTGAAGCCCACCGACCAGGAAGAAGCTGGCGTGCGCTTGGCCAAGGACGTCTTTGATCGTGACAAGAACATGATCGAAAGTAGCGACGAGGATAGTGACAAGTCCTTCAGCGAGGATGACAATGTTGGATTGGGCCAGTGGCGGGGTCGCAAGAAGAAGGACTTAGACATCAGCTCCATCACCCCCAGCGATTTTATCAAACCAAAGGAGAACAAGACCCCACCACCCGATGATAGTACGTGTTACCTCTGTTACCTATGCGATCTCTACTAACGTTCCGATAGAAAAACCATCCAAGAACGTCAGCTTTCAGGAAAAGGACAAGAAGCCCCGGAAGTCAGCCTTGAAGTCCGTCATTCACCCCCAGACGAGCTTCGACATCCCTACCCCGCACTCGCAGTCTGCTGCTGGCACTCCTTATGGATCAGAAGATGAGGCCGAGAAGGAAGATGTTCACAAAGCCCAGCAGCTTAGCATTTTCATGTCTACCATCGACAACCGTGTTCCTAACCGGTCAATCCGCACGATCGTCCGCGAGAACTTCGCAAGTATGCAAGAAGAAGCCGACGGCGGTCGCCGACGTCAGCGGAAGTATCTGGTTGCACTTGACCTGAGTGACGAATCAGTATACGCTCTCGAATGGACCATAGGTGCAGTTCTTCGAAACGGAGACACTTTGTATGCCATTTACGCTATGCACGAGGATGGCATTACCTCCTCTGTGCAGGTTGGCGAGGGAGCCAAGGCCATGAAAGACGCCAACGCCGTTGTTGGCTCCCAAACAAAGGAAGTCAGCCAGGGCCATAATGTCGCATCCCGCAATATCCTGGGCCGACTGGGACCGGTGACTACCAGCAAGTCAAGCTCTGCCGACTCTCGTGCTTCTCCTGTAGCAGAGGCGGAGCGGGTCAGAGCTGCCGAGTCCATCTCCAAGACCTGCATTCACCTGCTGCGCAAGACCCTTCTTCAAGTTCGCATTGCCGTGGAGGTGATTCACTGCAAGAGCCCCAAGCTCATGGTTACCGAAGCTGTAAGATCTACCGTGCCTTGAAGAGATTTTTGGTTAACTTTGTTTCAGATTGATGAGCTTGAACCCACTATGGTGGTAGTTGGAGCTCGTGGCCAGAGTGCTCTGAAGGGGTGAGTCGAGAGGATCATACCCCCATTCAATATTCTTACAACTAACAACTCGCAGTGTTCTTCTCGGATCCTTCTCCAACTATCTGCTATCAAACTCCTCTGTTCCGGTGATGGTCGCACGCCGCAAACTCAAGCGTCTTCCATCTAAAGGATCCGCAGCCTCAAAAATTCGCTTGTCTAACAACCTCCCAACTCCCAAGAGTCTTATCGACGCTAAAGTGGACTAAACGTGGTTCACATCGCTTTCTTCTTGCGCTCCCAAATCCACAGCAACTGCATTTTCAAAAGCATGGCGGGGTTTATGTTTTCTCCGGCGATATGGACATGAACGGATTCACGATACTCTTAGACTATTTGCTCTCAACCTCTTGATACCCTTTTTCAACGGCTGATGGACTCTGTTTCATCGGCTTTTTTGGGCTCCTTGTGATCTCTCTTACCACTCGCCTGTGATAGGGTGATTATGCTTCTAGAGTAGCAACGCAAATCGAGCCTCTTGCGTTTTCTCTTTGTTCTGAACAGCATTCTCGGAATATAATCATCATTATCTGAGACTCGTAAATGTCTCCACTTTTCCATAGTGTAGTTCCCAACAACTAAAATGGAGTATTCGGGGTGTAGCCATTTATCCCTAACAAGGGTTGTACACTCTTCAAAGACACCAATTTTCGATAAGCAGAATCAATAACCAGCTAAATAACTTACATGATCCAAGAAAGACAAGAGGCCAAAAGCCCAGACTCCATAGGCCAAGTCATACGCCATCACGTGCCACGTCACCGCCCGAGCTCCAGCATCCAGACAGCTTGGCCAACCCCCGGCTCATCCCACCTTGCTCTCCTCCCAACGACCTTCTCTAATTTGCGCTGCGCCCGTGGAGGACCCGATTCGCCCGCCATGGCCGAGTTTGTCGACCCCCGGATGACCAACATCAAACCCCGCATCCGCTACAACACCATCGGAGGCATTAACGGACCGCTGGTCGTCCTTGACAATGTGAGCCCCGGAGATAGACCGACACTGGAGAAGACGCCCTTTACTGATTTTGTCTGTTGCGGAATAGGTCAAGTTCCCCCGTTACAATGAGATTGTGTCCCTGACGCTGCCTGATGGCACGGAGCGTTCTGGTCAGGTCCTGGAGGCCAGAGGTAAGCTTTCCCGCACGTTACGCTGCTGTACTTGCTACTGGGGAACGACCGAATGGAATGCTGACGACCATTATTTGTGTTATAGGAAGCCGAGCCGTTGTGCAGGTACGACCGAGACCGATGCCTCTCCGATCCCCCTGATGCGATAGGTGTTAACATGCATGTTCTACAGGTTTTCGAAGGTACTTCCGGTATCGATGTGAAGAAGGTATATTTTTCTGCGATGGAACATGGATGATAATGTTTTGCTAACCCTGAGGTTAGACCAAAGTCGAGTTCAGTGGCCACAGCTTGAAGCTTGGTGTGTCCGAAGACATGCTGGGACGTGTTTTCGACGGTTCTGGACGTGCTATTGATAAGGGTCCTAAGGTCATGGCCGAAGACTACTTGGACATTAACGGACAGCCTATCAACCCTTACTCGCGAGTATGCGCCGCTGATCTTACATGTGGAGTCGTGGTAACTGATAGAGTACCTAGGTCTACCCCGAGGAAATGATCTCCACCGGTATCTCCGCCATTGATACCATGAACTCCATCGCCCGTGGACAGAAGATCCCTATCTTCTCTGCCGCCGGTCTTCCCCACAACGAAATCGCTGCTCAGATTTGTCGTCAAGCCAGTTTGGTCAACAAGCCTACCAAGGACGTCCACGACGGTCACGAGGAGAACTTCTCTATTGTTTTCGCTGCCATGGGTGTTAACATGGAAACTGCTCGATTCTTCACTCGTGATTTCGAGGAGAACGGCAGTATGGAACGTGTCACGCTGTTCCTGAACTTGGCCAACGACCCCACCATTGAGCGTATTATCACTCCTCGTCTGGCTTTGACCACCGCCGAATACTATGCCTACCAGCTGGAGAAGCACGTCCTGGTTATCATGACTGATCTTTCGGCATACTGTGATGCTCTGCGTGAGGTTTCCGCCGCCCGCGAAGAAGTCCCCGGTCGTCGTGGTTACCCCGGTTACATGTACACGGATTTGTCCACCATCTACGAGCGTGCTGGTCGTGTTGAAGGCCGTAACGGTTCTATCACTCAAATTCCCATTCTGACCATGCCCAACGATGGTAGGTAACCTCCGTTCCAGAACCTTTGACTTGGTGACTGACCTTTCTTCAGATATCACTCACCCCATTCCCGACTTGACTGGTTACATTACTGAGGGTCAGATCTTCATTGATCGTCAACTCGCCAATAAGGGTGTCTACCCTCCCATTAACGTGCTGCCTTCCCTGTCCCGTCTGATGAAGTCCGCTATCGGCGAGGGTCGCACTCGTAAGGATCACTCCGATGTGTCTAACCAGCTGTACGCCAAGTACGCCATCGGTCGTGACGCCGGTGAGTATTTCCCCACAACTTTAACTTGATCCTCTTCTAACGAGCTCTTCCCAAATAGCCGCCATGAAGGCTGTTGTCGGTGAGGAGGCCCTCTCCTCCGAAGACAAGCTCTCCCTTGAGTTCCTTGAGAAGTTCGAGAAAACCTTCATCAACCAATCCCCCTACGAGGCCCGTAGCATCTTCGAGTCTCTTGACATCTCCTGGAACCTGCTCCGCATCTACCCCAAGGAGCTGCTTAACCGTATCCCCAAGCGCGTCCTGGACGAGTTCTACGCCCGCTCCGCCCGCAAGGTCGCCAGTAAGGACACCCGGGACAACTCGGGCGAGTCGCAGCAGGATTCGGCGCAGAAGACTAACAACCTTGTCGATTCGTGATCTGGCTGTGTTGAAGTCTCGGGTTTTTAGCGCTGAGGGTGGTTGAATGAAGCGCGTGGGTGGCTAAGGCCAATCCCTGCATGTTCTCTATCCAATTGCATATACTCTTTGTGCGGCTGTATCTGTTGCGAAGTTTTTCTCTGGTCTTGCGTCTGTTCTGGTCAACACAATACAAATTTTGAATCTACCAATATAAGCCTTATTTCTCCTTTGTACCCAAAAAAGAGGACCTGTGGTCCCGACTCCCCTTGGTGGCCAAGTTGGTTAAACGAAGACCGCTCGATGGTAGTCCAACCTTTCTTTGAAGAGACCTATGGAGGAAATTCTGAGGAAGGCCAGTGCCCGCCATCGGCCTGAACTGGAGAATTTTTAATGCTTTTGACCACTCTCTGATTGAGAGAGACATGAGATGTTCTTGTGCTGTGCTTGTGACGTTCATGATCCTGGAAGGAAGACGCAGAGGGATTCCCCTTATTTTTTTCAACTCGAATTTCAGAGATATGATTTCACACCGCTAAGATCTTAATATGTATGCTAGCTCTATTGTATCTGCACGATTCCGTTGGTTTGGCTGTGGAGGGACGCCCTCGAGTGGCGGGAATGAACATCACTCATCCCTGAATGACACGGGCACCCTCCAAAGGCCAAATATAGATTGAGCCCCTGTAAACAGTGGTCTATTAGTCCGTACATCCAGTTGCCTCGTGGTCGGTTCCCTCAGTACTAGCGCGTACGGATAGCCTGCGATCCTGATAATGGATTGTGGCCCCTAGAGCCCCAAACGAAGACGACTTTAAACTATCGCAGGCATTATACGAGATCATGTTGCGTAAACGATTCATGTTTCCTAGCTCTCCTAAGATCAACGCCCTCTGTCTTTCGCTATTCAAACCTTATTGTTTCCACAAGGTGATCTCTAGAGTCGTCGTTATTGGTTGGTTATTCTTGAACTGATCAAGAACTTGACCTCGAGCTATAGAGTCATCATCTACCTTGGTGAACACTGGCAAAGGAAAGACCTCATACACAGCCAAGGCTATGAGTAGGGAAGCGTTTCCCATGGCCCATCACACCAGGTAAACTCCATCCTTCACTCGAGGGGTAACTCCTCTTCAAAGATCGCCAGTCCAAATCAAGTCCAACTTCCTGCTGAGGACTCTCCTGCCTCGCCATAAACAGGTGTTTCTACAATTATTTGGACAATTCTAAAGCTACGAACAAGAGCATCATTGAGTGCGTGCAATTATCTTTAAAAGAGCCTAGGAGTTTATCTGAAGGCAAACTTACAGTTGTCTTAAAACCACAATTCATTCTGTCTTACCTTCAACCAGAGGCTGACTTTTTCTGTTCCGATTTTCCCCAGCTTGAACTGTATATTTTCCATCTTGTCTATATGTTTTGACTACATCATAAAACCGTCAGCTCTTCACCCAGGTGAAGTAAAAGTGCCGATGGCAAAGGTCTTGAATCCCTCTTCCATTGGGTTATCCTCTTTGTGGAGATTTAAAGCTTCCATGAGTGAGTTGAGCAAAGTGTAAATGAAATCATTTACGAATGGCGACTATCAGCCCTTCGCGGCCCGACTTCCCCGCCTCGTATTACCTTCTGTTGAATCGGACGACAGGCCCGACCTGAAGACAGCCACAAAGAAGTTCCAAGACAGTTAAAATAGAGCATGGAAAATCGCAGTCTAGACCACATGCATGGTTGGAATTTGGGATATAACCGAAAACTGCAGGGTTAAGCGTGCCGAGGACGTTCAAGCTAGCTGGTTCGTTGGCGTCGCCAGCCCCCATCGGCCCGATCCGAGCCAATTCTCGTCACGGGCTGAACTGGCTATGCCATAGATAGCTAGCTCTGCGGATATTCTTCACTGCAGCTTTTCTAAGAGAACGAATAGGACGGTTCCCGGTGCTGATGTGACAAATACGTTGCTTTCCATCCAAGACCTCGTCTCGACATGGCGACCGGGGTCCCCGTCCAGGGGCTAGATACGACGCCACAGCTTCAGACACAGCACAACGTGTTCGATACTCCATAGTCACTACAACGCTGACTTTTGGAGTACAGGTTTTTGCTGGGATTGTAGGACAAAGCCTTGAAACCATGACATGGACTTTTACTATCAAAACAGCGTGCAGAGCCGAAGAAAGTTACTACACCGTACACTCGAGCTCTTGTCTGTAATTCTTTTTCAGTCGATGCCCAAAAGGTTAGTGTCTGCAGGAACAAGAAGGATCGTGGAAATAGTAGCTATAACTCGGAATGCTTGCTGTAAAACCCGGGGTTGAAATCCATCGGCAAAGCTACCTCAAGATCTCATCTCGCGGGTTCCACAACACCCTTCTCGCTTTATTTCACCGCTTCGAGGTTCATATCATCTGTCAAAAGACCAACTCATATGCAGGCCAGGCAGCCACTATCACTTGCCTAGGGTTTATTTTCTGCTGGTGGCGGCGTTTGATTCTCGTGCCTGGCATGAACATGGACATATGGAAGCCAACCGGATGCCACGAGAGTATGGGGGCTGTTTCAAGCTCGACGTGCATAGTCAGAATATGACTCGTCCTTAGCTTAATGTTGTCAAAGTCTCAAGTCTCAAGTCATTGGGATGCCCTTCGCCGGGGAGAGGGTCATTTTTGCTAATAGAGATGGAAGCAAAAAGCGAAGGGCGTCCAAGAGCTCACACAGGCACTCTAGGTACTCACCTATAATGGAGACGGGCTAACCCAATTTAAGGTGATGATAATCTTTCATTATGGTCAGGAACGTGACAGATATTATTTGGACCCATCAGCAAATCTCACGGAGTCGCCGAACCTTTGATGCGGCTTGCATTGTGGGGGGGGGGTTCAACCATACCACGATGCAGTCCCCCAGACATTGCCTATTTTCATCACAGCCACTGGAACCTGGGCTGAGTGTGGTGAGCTGAGAGCAACGTACGCACCGAAGAAGTCCTCTATTCTCACAGCTCGAGGAAGTAATGATGGGAGATGGGACAATCCAGCCGACAATAAAGTCGAAACTTGAGATGAAAAGAAGTATAAAATCTTCTTCAGTCCCTTCCCAACTGTATCTTGTTCAGCGCACAGGATATTTCTTAATCTCCTACAATCATCCCAAGTGTTAAACCACGATAGCTCAGTCATGGCTGTACCATCTCAATATGCCGGCTTGGCCGCAACTTGGAACCTCCAAGCGGACCAACTTCAATCAGATCAGGTTGTCATGCTGAACACTGGGTCAACAGAGAGTGTTTTCCAACCCGATTGCCGCACCTTGGTTGAAGAGTATGATTATAAAGATGGTGGAAAGTACCGCTGTGAGTAATCAAGTCATGACCAGCACATTATTTACAGAGCTGATCAGAAATGAACAGCAATTGTCAAGCTCGAAATGTCTTATGAGGGAGGTCCGGCCAGTCGTTCCATGGGAACTGGATGGTTGATCACTCCTGACCTCCTGGTGACGGCGGGACACTGTGTCTACGACCACAAGAACCAAGAACGGGGGGCTACGGCCGAGTGAATGTCATGAAGTGCCATATTGGCTACAACGGTCGTGACTCCTTGAACACTTCTGATGTGCAGACTCGGTCCGCAAGAAAGATTGTCACCACCGGGGAATGGGTCGACTCTAGCAACAACCGCCACAAGGATGTGGCCTTCATTCAACTTGACAGGCCTTTCACTGGCAACCTTCGTCTATTTGGCTACAAGTCAACTCCCATCAAGGGGTATGAGATGATTGGCGTTGTCGGATACCCTGGAGACAGGACCCTCTCCGACAGAGATGGTATTGAGGAGCAGGGTGCCCAGATGTACGAGCTGTTTGGAGCGATCATGTATAACCGGAATGAGAACGTTCTGCAGATGCTGCAGTACAAACTTTCAACCTTTGGCGGTAAGTCAATTCTTTCCTGATTCCCAAACTTGACTAACACTCCATCGAGGCCAGTCTGGAGCTCCCGTCATCCGCAAGAAGACACCAAATGTGTCTATTGCTGCTCACTGCTACGGAGGAGAGGAGAAGAACTCTGCCAGCCCCATTGGGGCTAATAGCAATGATTATGATGCCTATCTCAAGGTCTTCTCGTCTTCCTACCCAACAGTGGTGACCGTGCGTGATATCAGCTTTGTCCAACTTCCTGTTCCGATCCAACCTATTATGCCGACGCAGCCCATCATCCCAAGTCAACCCACTATGCCAATCCAACCCATTTTTGCAACCCAGCCTCTTATTCCTGTGGAGCCAATCGCTCAGTCCCAACCTATGGTCCAGTCTCAGCCTATTATTCAGACTCAAGCTGTTCTGAACCCACCCGTTGTCCCAATCTACCAGGACAGCATCGTTGAGGAAAGCTTTGTTGAAATTGTCAAGGCCGTATCTGATGTTACAAAGAGGGAAATGCTGGATCGCTCTCCATTCTTCGGCCCGCTGGGCGGTCCTCTCTCTGCTTTGGCGGGTGCTGCTTTGGAAGTCATCGCCAAATTTGGAGGCCCCGAGTCGATGATGAATCTGCAGAAGGCTACATCGGGCTCGACAGAGCGGGCTATTCTTGCAGAAGCAACTTTGCAGTCTGTCCTACAAATCACCGACCACGAGCTGTCAGAGAGACTCATGAGTGACATGCGAGTCACCTACCTCCAGCTTGCGCCTCATATTACCAACCTGGCACCAAAGCTGTTCCCTGTTCTGAGGGACTGCGCTCTACGCCTTGCCGTGAACCAGGACTATCTAAGAAAGAGTGAAAATATCCGTCTTGGCAGCCCACGGGCCTTGTTCAGTGGTCTGGACTCCTTTGATCCTTCTCGCCCTGCTTTTGTGAACGGCCTCTTTGGTCCAACCCGACCAGTCTTGGCCACTGAAGGTTTCTTCAGTGGAATAGGAAATGTCCTTGATCAGGCTGTCAACAAAGTGGCTGATAGCTTCAACATTCTGGAGCCGCCCGGTCTGAAGCTAATTAACGATGCATTGGCATCTATCAGAATCGAAAGCATGGAGACTTCCCAGCCTACCGAGAAGGAAGACCTTGCCGCGACGAGGTTAATCACGCAGCGCGCTATAATGGCAGAGGCAGCCCTTCGCGCGGTCATGAAGCTCGAGCAACGTGACTTTCCCCAGCCTTGTCAGACAGAGTCCTATGGCGCCGAGGGTTTCTTCGACATTATCAAGTCCCAAGTGCAAGTCATGGGCAAAGATGTTCTCAAATACGCCCCCAGTGTCATCAATGCCCTTGCCCCCACTGTCATGGGTCTTTTGAGTCAGACAAATTCTATTTCTGAATCTACTCTCGCCGTCCCGAGCCCAGGCCTCAGAAGAAGACGGTCTTTCGCAGATATTGCTGATCAGTCAAACGGATCTTCTACTCCTCTGAATGGCAATATCAACGGCACCTTCTTCAACGGCGTTACAAGCGATGCTGCCGTGAACAGCTACACAAACGACCCTTCCGTGAATAACTACTCCAACGGGATATCCAATGGCTACACAAATGGTACACCCTTACAGGTTAGTGCACTCCAGCGACAGGATTTCCTTGAACGCGTTTCACCCATGTACACTCCCGATCCCTCTGAGTTCCTAGCCCCGAACAAGGATGGTCTCATCTTTACGGGCCCGCCCCTCCACTAAATGCCCGAATCCTAATGTAAGGTGTCGACGAGGCGCATTACTCTTGAAGGCTGACAGCTAACGAGATGATCTTCCTTTAGGTTCGGGCTTAAACCTTCTATGCATACTATTGGAGATTCTTCGGGTCTCATCCACTCTTTCAATTGATCTTTCATTTGTTACTTGTTTATTTACTTGTTGATGAAATGTTGATTTTGATTGTCGAATTCAGTATGTACCGCAGTTGGACAATGGTCAATTTGCCGATAGTTTCACTTGTCTTCCTTGCACCATGCTTTGATCATCTCTTAAAGTTTCGGTCTTAATTTTGGACTGGGTTACCATGTCTTTTTCAAAATTTACTTTTCTATGAGATATTTGATTGAAATTGCATTATGCATTCTGCCTTCAACAGGGATTGGGCCAGCATCAGGGTTTACTCAGTATACGTTACGTAGGAATTGCAGAAGGGGAGGTAGCTTAGATGTACGCCGTATCGATTCTGGTATTCTAAAATCCAACGTGAATATGTAGCGGAATCTAAGAGGATATAAAAGAAATAAGAACAAGCCCTAGAAGTAGTAAAACGCTTTTTGTGTAAAGCCCCGTATATCGATACCGTGTTCCAAAAACCGAAAAACTCTAAGCTGACTTAACGGCCAGCTAGAAATAGATAGGAAATGATAAGGTCCTGTACAAAGCCCTTCAAATGTGTGAAGGTGATGTACGATGGATCATTAGAAGATCAATAGCTTAGAATCGCAGATCCCAGCCGATCTTTGGACCCAGCCTAGGCAGCTCGTCGGCGACACTCTGGACATCCTTGTCACCGCGGCCACTAAGGTTCAGAACGATGTTCTCGCCCTTCTTCATCGTCTTCGCGAGTTCCATGGCACCCCAGACGGCGTGGGAGGTCTCAAGGGCGGGAATGATACCCTCGTGCTGGGCAAGAGCGCGGAAGCCGCTCATGGCTTGAGCATCATCGGCAGCAATGAAGGTGGCACGTTCAGCGTCCTTCCAGGCACTCAGCTCGGGGCCGACACCAGGGTAGTCCAGACCGGCGGAGATGGAGTGGGTCTCGGATATCTGACCGTGCTCGTTCTGGAGAACGTAGGTGCGGACACCGTGAAGAACACCCTTGGAACCACCGGAGAGAGTAGCAGAGTGGCGGGCGGTATCAATACCGTCACCACCAGCCTCAACACCGACAAGTTTGACGCTAGGGTCGTTGGAGAAGGGGTAGAACATGCCGACAGCGTTGCTGCCACCACCGACGCAAGCAACAACAGCGTCAGGGAGCTTGCCAAGAAGCTCCTGCATCTGGACCTTGGTCTCATCACCGATGACGGACTGGAAGGTGCGGACAATAGTGGGGAAGGGGTGAGGGCCAATGGCGGAGCCAATAATGTAGTGGGTGGTGTCAAGCTCGACAACCCAAGCACGAAGAGCCTCGTTCACGGCATCACGCAGAGTGCGACTACCAGCGTCGACAGCAACAACCGAAGCACCGAGAAGCTTCATGCGGAACACGTTGAGGGCCTGGCGGCGAACATCCTCTGCACCCATATAGACAGTACACTTCATGCCGAACTTAGCACAAACAGTGGCGGTCGCAACACCGTGCTGACCAGCGCCAGTTTCAGCAATGATCTGAGTCTTGCCCAATCGGCGGGCAACCAGGATCTGACCAAGGGCGTTGTTGATCTTGTGAGAACCGGTGTGGTTGAGATCCTCACGCTTCAACCAAATGTTGGCACCACCAACATGGTCAGTCAAGCGCTGGGCAAGATGGAGGCTGCTGGGGCGGCCCATGTAAGGGTAGTAGGACCGGAACTCCTCCCAGAATTTGGGGTCCTTGCAAGCATCGTCGAATCCACGCTCAAGCTCAGCCAAGCAGTCCATCAGTGACTCAGGGACGTACTGACCACCGAATTCGCCGAAGCGGGAAGGTATGGCAGAGGGATCCTTGGTGACGTTCAGAGCTTCAAGCTGGTCAGCGAGACCAGGGCCAGTGGGAGTGTCAGCATCGGTGATGACCTTGGTGGGCTGCGCCTCGACGGGAGCCTTATATACAGCCTCAACGACGTTAATCTCACGGTGAATCGCACCCTGAGCGTCACGCTCAAGCTTACGGCCGGTGACACTGGAGAGGTAGTCCTCGGCGTACTTAGCCGCCTGGCCAGCAGGGGCGTTGCCGACCTGGGTGATAATCTGACTACCAATGACAACACCCTCGGCCTGATCCTGAACAGTCAGGAAGTGCTCACGTGTGCTAACACCGAATCCAAGGGCCGCGGGGACGTTGCCGGAGTATTCGTGGACACGCTTCAGAAGCTCGGGCACGTTAGCACTAAGGGTGCCAGTAGCACCAGTGACACCCATACGAGAGACGACGTAGATGAATGAGTCGGCAATCTTGCAGAGAAGCTTCATGCGAGAATCAGATGTGGCGGGGGCAATGAGTGGAACGTAGGACAGGCCAGTGCTGGTGCAAAGGTCGCGGAAGCGGACGGCTTCTTCCGGAGGCAGATCGACCATGATGAAACCGTTGACACCAGCTTCCTTGCAGTCCTTGAGCATACGCTCGTCTCCGTAGCGCAGCACAGGGTTGTAATAGCCCATCAGGAGCAGGGGAGTCTTGAGACCGCGGCTTCGGGCAGTGCGGACAAGCTGCAGCACCGTTGTAACAGTAACGCCATTCTCGAGAGCCTTAGTGTTGGCCTTTTGGATAGTAGGACCGTCGGCAATGGGGTCGGTGAAGGGGATTCCAAGCTCAATGATATCTGCATTGCGAATCGGGTTGTCAGTCAAAAGTCCATTCGGGTAGTACCCCGCCACTCAAATGGGAGCAAAGAGCACACATACCAGCACCTCCATTCTCCAAGCCGAGAAGAATATCAACAGCCTCCTCGACAGTGGGGTAACCAGCGGTGATGTAAGCCACCAGGGCTGCCCGCTTCTGCTCCTTGCACTTGGCAAAGGTCTGTTTAATCGCGTCCATTGTGGGGAAGGAGGACAGCGCGGGGCAAAAGAAAGGTCAGGTAAGAGATAAGAGGAAAAAGGTCAATGGTGACCGGTGTCGGTAATAATTGCAACAACCGAAGAGGCTAACCACCCTAGTGACTCAGAGCAGTCTATGCAGAAAGATATGTCAAGATATGATGGGTCTCTTTGGAAGTGACTCAACCATGGCAATTTCCAGTTTCGCCGATTTCGCCCCCACTGGTCACGTGTGATCCGATAAGATAATAGTGAGTCAGCATGATATCCGGGCACGTGCTTTTTCTAGACCTAAGGCATGTGTGTAAATGTTTCTTCAAGGATGACTTGGAAATCTGTTTATGGAGGCTGGTGGTAACTGTGGATTTCCAAAGAAATACCAGCAGGAGGGATAATGTTTGAAGCAGTCTTGCCCTTTTATGGCTTAGAGTGTACACCCTGCCCTCGTATGCTCAACCAGAGATCTCGAGCATCATGTTACATCAAGCTTACTTTTAGAAAGAGAGGTTTCATATAGAAAATAGATAGATTGAAAATTAGATAGATTGAAAAAAGATCAAATACGATAGCTAGACACTAGGAGGCGGGGGGTACCGCCTATCTTCCCAAACGCCGAAACGATGCAATCAAGAACAGCCCTCAGCTCGAAACAAATAAACAGAAACAAAACGCCAAATAATATCCAGACGAAGAGCACAACTCTCTCAAATTAGCCGAAGCCATTTGCAAGAGTCATAATCCCCGATGCGCCGGGAGCAACCAATGCGAACCCGAATTTCCCAATCCCAAAACAAAACTCCCAAATCTATCCAAAACCGTCCTGCGAATGCGAAAGGAATGACTGCAGCGCCCATGCTATGCCAAGTACTCGTACAGAAGCCCAGATGTGTGTAAGTAAGGAGAGGAAGCCCAAAATGCCCGGCAATAAGGTAACCCAGAAAGGAATGAACAAGACACCATCTAAACAGATGCAAGCAACAGGTGTCGAACCGTGGTAAAATGCTAAAAACGGTGGGCAGGGGCATTCAGGCATCAAATGTGAAAGGAGAGACGTAAAATCGTAAACAAGTACAGCGGCCTACTCGACGGAGAAAGCCCGCCGAATGACCACATCAACTGGGCGTGATAAGGAGTGACAGGAAAGAGAATCGTGTATCAACGGAGCAGAGGGGAAATATAAAATAGAATGAGAAAAAAAAAAGCAAATCAAGAATCAAAAACTTTGAGGATTTTGAGGGATATCACGGGCCGTTAGCCGCGTCGTGAAGAGGATACCCAGGGTCCATATAGGAATAGCAACCAGTAGCTGGGACGGTAGGCGCAGGCGCTGCAGCGCCAAGTCCGTGCATGTCCCATCCAGTCCGATGGATCGGGGCGACCAAAGCGTGGACGTTATGGGGCTGGCAGATGGCCGGATAGGAATATGTGCCAACGGAGTTGTATGGCTGGTTGACTGAAGGCATCATCGAGCGGAGATCAGGAGCCGCTGTCAGCGAAGCGCACTGACCAGGTTGTGTTGAGTAGGCCGGAGCCGCCATAGCAGTTGTGTAGTTGTGAGCTGCACCATGGTCGGATACTGACTGTGGAGATGGAGCGTGAGTCTCAGTGCCCGAATCAGAACCAGTGCCATGACCCGCGTAACTAGTGATCGCAGTCGGCAGCGCACCCGCGGTGGAGGAGTAGCTGGCAGACTAGTCAAAGAGCGGTTAGCGGTTGTATAGAGGGAGAAATATGAAGTGAACTCACGTATTTCCCAATGATCTTCTTCAGGGCATGGCTGAGAATCTTCCAGGGGAAGACCTTAACATCCTTCTCGATGTTGCGCGGCTTAGGTGCGGGGAAGCCCATGATGACCTTGAAGAACTCTTCGCTGTCCGCCTTGGCCTTTGAGACAGTGAGAGGGCGGAATCCCTCGAGGTTGCGGCGAATGCGGTTCTTCTCCTCGACCGTGAAACGAACGCCGACGAGAGCCTCGAGAAGGTAAATAGTGTCCACGCTAGTGACGTAGCACTCATCCTTACCTTCCCAGGAGATGCAGCTAATGCAAATGCTATTCTGAGGGCGGTCCTCGGGAGCAACAGGCTTGAAATCGGCATGGATGGTGCTTCCGATCTGGTTGCGTGTAAACTGCACCAGGCGACGCTGCGAATCCCGCTCCTGCTTGGTCCATCCATCGGTCATGGTGTCCAAATCCCCATTGAGTTTCAAGATAGCCTTGGTTGGGTAGATTGAGGCGTATGGGTTGAAGTGCTGGTGCGATTGTAGACCACTTCCCTGCTGCAGAGTGGAGGTGCGAATCAAAGTCGGGGCGTGGCCAGAACGTGCAGGAGATGGCCCCCTGTGCTGCGGAATGCCATGTGCCACAGTCAGTCCCTGACGACCATCGTGTGATACAGATAGCATGGATGGGCTCCATACTGGGGTCAGAGGAGATGGGGCCCGGATGGCAGGTTGAGGAGTAGCCGAGACGCCAGAATAGTGGATGGGGCCTGTGCGAGGTGAAGAGGCGGCGTGGAACGGGGTGATGTACCCAGTCATATTGGGAAGGTTCTGCATATACGGGGAGTAGGTTGGGGCTCGGTGATCCCGGTAGGAATAGTTGTCATGAGGCTCGCCTTTGATCACTGGGCCAGTGGCCCGTTTGGCCGGAGCGGGGACGGGGTTGTCCGAATATGAAGAAAACTTTCTCTTCCGCGAATCAGCAGGGGGAGAAGGCTGAGAAACATGCTCATATGTATAGACACCAACTTGCAAGATGGTGGGGGCACAATCGGTTGAGGTTTCCATTTCGACCTGGATGGGCACAGCATAGGAGGCAGAGCCAGTGGAAATGAAGGTCGGTGCATCTGCTGAGATAGCGTATTGGAATGCATTTTCCTCGAATCCAAGGAAGTGCGGGAGGCACTCGCTCTTCTTCGAGCCGAAGACCAAGTACAAAGCCCCGTATGTGGAGCTATGCAGATCAAACGGAGACTGAACCTGCACAACAACACGAGTACCCTCACAGCCACGCTGGGGAGTATATGATACAATCTCCGGCAGTTGGCGAGTGCGAGCAACCATCATTGGAGACTGAGCGTCTTCGTACGAGCTGGCGTACTCGGTGTTTGGAATGTAAGGAACACAGTCAGAAACCTGACTGGCCTGGTCGGCCATGGGCGATGGTACAAGAGGTGTATTCACATATGGGGTCTGAACATAGGTCGAGTAAGAGCCAGCATCATGCAGAGACCGCGTGGAGGCGAAGTCTGTGCGAGTCTTAGCAAAAAGGCAACACCGAAACAAGATCAGAGTTACATACCTAGTATGGTGCCGGCAGCGGGCTTCGGGAAGCTAGACATAGAAAGGATGGGCTCAGACTTGGCCCACAGGCCGTCTGAAAACGCACCGACAAACTGTGACTCTTCAGAGTCCGAAAAATCTAACGACTCGCCTAGGATGAGAGGCGTTTGGAAGTCCGGGTCGAACTGGAGGGAGGGTATAGAGTCAGCGAAGGATGCGCGAAGGCAGCAACGGGATGAAGGTCACAAGCACTCAAGTGTTCAAACAGAATGAGCTGGGATTGCAGGCCAGACATGCGGGCATCCAGTGGAGAAACGGAAGGGGTTGATCTCACCAAAACACCGTGTGTCTTCGAGTAAGCCAGCTTGAAGGTGTTGCAGAGACTGCAACGAGACAGAACCGCCGGAAGAAGCGAATGACTGAGAATTTATTCTCGCAACGACTGTACGTCGACAAACAAGAAAGGAGAGACGAGACAGAACGAGATTGAAGCTGGTAGTCTCACAAGAGGGTCGGCAACAAGCTCTCGAGTCACCCTCCAGCGATTGAAAGGCTTGGAACTGGAACCACGAAGGCTTAAGACTAAGTGAAGGATGGCTGCAGAAGATTCAGATCACACAGTGCCCAAAGGTTCATAAAGCCGGCAGCAGGAATCTGAACGAGTTATCCGAACACTCGGTCACCGCTAGTCGTGGCGAGAGAGGGGGAACTGCACGCAGACTGGCGAGGTTTTGCTTTTCTTTCTTTTGATATCCCGGATCAGGTCTCGGGAATAGCTTCAAGCGGATTGGGCAGCAACACAGTAAGACTAGAGAGAATGAGAACCAACTCTAGGAAGAAGGGAGAGACCGGATCGGTGCATAGAAAGCCAAGGAGCAAAGGGAAGGGCTCACAGTGTGAATCAAAAAAGAGACAAGCTGACACAGATCTGCCAGATGTGGCCTAATATGCAAGAATTGCGAAGAGCCGAGCACCTAAGGAGAAGTCGAACGTCAACAACAAACACTCCTTTGTCCGGGTAATTATTGACAATTTGATGCGATGGGGAAACGGGTACGACGGCCTCGAGAGACGCCATCGACGCTCGTCATCTCCCGGGACGTAGATCATGAGCGCACGACTTCCGTCTGCAAGGAGATGCGACAACTGACCCGGAAGAGGAAAGAATGCAAGGCACGAGGGACAAGTGAGACCGTGGGCAAAGGGGGGAGAGTGGGGACAACTCTGTTTCTTCAGCTAACCTTATAGTTATTGGCCTGCAATAGGTGCAATGGCCTTTCCAACAAGAAACCTTTCCAATAGAGATCCTGAGAACCGTGCTTTCAGCCGAGACACTTTCCAATAAATTCTGCTAGAAAAAGCTCGGGAGGTGATAGGCGATTTGTGTTTTGCGATTTGCGCTTTGCGCTTTGCGATAAATAGGTTCACGGTCTGGGACTTCGATCCGATATCCTATCCTTCACGGGTCGGGAACAAACGGACTCTCTACGGCACACGGGGACGAATAGGTTCAAGGTCGAGTTGCAAACGCCAACCAAACGATGATGATTGTCGTCAATCTCCGAGCCCTGCAGCCGCCTAGAATATCCTGTGCTCCACTCGTATTTCTTCCGGTCGATGGTCGTGATAGCCGATCAAGGGTGTCGTCCAAAGTCACTGGGCGCAAGGTGTTGCGATAATTAAATATTAAAATAAATGCGGGATATAACTGTTATCCTTTTCTCTTTCACTGGAATTTCCTTCGCTGGAATTTCTGGATTTCAACGAATGGGCAGCAAATAAACGTAGCGAACGTGGTTCTCGTAGCAGCAAAAAGCGAGCGTAAGAGCGAACGTGGGTTGAGCGAATGTGGACCTTTCAAGGTGTCATAGTAGAGAGGCCTTGGGGGAACGAGAGATAGAGGAGGGGGGGGGGGAGGGGAATCAAAATGGAAGCAAGGATGGAGAAGGGTTAAAAGCAACGAGGGTCATATACGATGTGTGATTATTATTAGCATTCGCAGGTCAGAGTGCAACTCGGGCCTAAACTGTACAGGGCCACGAGCTGTGGAGTATTTTCCCTCGACGCTTTTTCCCTTTTGGAAACAGGAAAATGTAAAATAAAAAAAAAAGGGAAAAATTATTAAATGTAAAATCGAATCAGGAAAATCAGGAAAATTAATTAATGTCTCTTTTTTCTTGGGTTTGCCCACTCTTTGCCCCAAGCAGTCAGGCTAGGGGACTAGTGGGAAATCGTGGCGGGGGATGCACAGAGCAATCGATGTTGAGGGAACCGGGGGCAACTCGGAAACTTGGCATCATCATGCTAAGGTATTTTTACTTTGGTTATACCAATTTACGGCGCTACACCGGAGCAAATAGAGCAGTGACACGGTCCGGGGTCTCGGGGGATCATCCAATCTCCCAATCATACCTAGGTACCCTGCTGATGTTATCAATACCTAACGGCCCTGGCCTCAGATCCTAGCATGTACCACAAGTACCTTAAGTACAGTATTTGATAATTCCCCAAGTGTACCTCTTAACCTAGGTACCCTATAGGTGCGGATAAGTAGTGGGTGTCCTTTTACGGGAGTCCAACCTGCCGGAAACCACTAGGATGCGCCCTTGGTGGCTTTCCGAAATATCCGACCAGCAGATCCTCTCTGGATCTGCTGGTCGGATCTGCTGGTCGGACATCTTTCTGTTTTCTCGCATCTGACTCTATTATTGGCTTCCCTGGAAGGTGGCCTCGTTTGGAAAATCCGAATAGGTACAAATTTAGTAATACCAAGATCACTATGAAAATTCGGGCTACGCACCAATCTGGCGGCCTGCGCCGCGAGAAAAAGTGGATCCCACGCTGGCAAGGAAAATATGAAAAAATACCGAGGCTGTTAGAAAGAACCACGGACGCGGCATGATCGGATTATTTCCTGTTGTCCCTAGTGACTTCATAGGGAAGGGGGACACAATGGCACAGCCTCTTTTGCAACTGGAGATTTCCCAGCCCAAACCCAACCACCCAAGGGGGGTAGTAAGTCGTAACGCTACAAGATCCATGTCAGGCCGTGAGCTCCATCCACTCATGATCTGAAAGTCAGACTTTCTGACCGTATCCTCGCTCTTTTTTATTCGATCCAATCAAGACGAGGTTCCCGTAACGCTGTTCGTTCCGTTGGTATAATTAGCATAGTTAACTCCCGCCCTAACTCGGGCGGGGAAAAAGTCATCCCGCCCCTTCATCGCCATCATTATCCTACACACCGATCTTTCCAGAGATACTTGATCCCCTTGCTGGGTCTTGTCGACCCTTGGGTCATCCGTGCCAAATGGGTGGAGGAAAGCCAAGCCGCCGACCCTCAACTCTTCCCTTCTGCCCACTAACCGAGTCTACCCTCGAACCCCTCCTCCTTAACGGGGCAGAAGACCCTGCGTTTTGCCAATGCTTTCTCCAGAGATACCCGAATCCACCGCGGATCTCTCAAAGAACAATAATTGGTGCCCCTGTCATCGCTGGTCCGGCCGACGATTGGTGAGCCACATCCTCAGCCTTTTCCGTGTGTCATTACGGAGGATGTATACCATCATGCATCAGGTCAGGTACCTCACGCGCACGACATAGGACATCCTCGAGGGTCTGACGCACACGAGGTGGCTACTAAAAACTTACGACTGGTACCCCCGAATCCTTTTCGCTACACATCTCGCTCAGTGAAAGGATGAATTCCGCCTAAATCAGCAAAGAAGGTTTGAGAGTGTTGTCATCTGACTATTCCAATCCCGCTCGTAAACCCCTAGGCCGTGCAAGAGGCATTTGACACAAATAGGGCAGCTTCCGTAAAACGAGGAGCTAAACATAGTACACCTTGCATTTCAGGTGACTTGGTGGCCTGACTATGCAAGGGTTCGTCGCGCTCATTGGGTGGTTGGTAAAGCACTACGCTGGATCCAGTATGACCCCGGTCCACGCTAAACCTGGAATGTCAAAGTATCCGCGCTCCCCCGTGCGGTTAATCCCTGTCGGAGGGACCGTATCATTCACGGCCGTCACTCTGCACTGTCACCTTCTGGTCTGTCCCGGGTGCTATTTCCAGAACGTGGTGTATCCCACCACGAGCCCCGTCCCACCCGTTTATCTGGAAAGATTTACCATCTCAGCGGCTCATGAGTACCGATTAACGAGATCCTGTCGATCGTTTTTGCTCAGTACAGTAAATGTACAATCATATAGTCGCAGATCGCTCGTTGAATTACCCGAGTCGGTATTCAAGGTACCGGGGTAGGTGGTTGGTGGTTGGTCCTAATCTTCCTAAGCTAGGGCTGCACGTTTAGGGATACGTGTGTGCAAGGGTATTTGGACATAACCTTTAGGAACAGCCCGAATGAGGTCATGGGAAGGTAAGGATATCGATCGCAGATCGTCCGGAAGCCTCATGGAGACTTTTTTTCGTAACTCGTAATTCGTATTATCGCGAAAAACAAACTTTGGTTGCGAGTCTAACGGTTCGGGCGCAAAAAACTCCGGTCCCGAACGAGTAATTGCACCTCTAACCACCCCCGATCTTGAATTTGAGCCTACTTCCAACCAAAAATATGATACTAGAACTTTGGTACGGACGACGGATGTCCATTCATTGTCACATGAAAATGACTGCATCGACTCCGCGATTTCGCCACGAGGAAGGCATCTGCGGTAGGCCCCACTATACTCGAAAGGAGTCTGTAGTAATCGATACAGATGGTTCGGGGTGGAGAGGGTCAATCGGCGAGTGAACCACAGGAGGCAATGTAGTCGGATGAAAGCGACAGTGGATCGGTTAATGATCAGCGGAATCTGTCGCATCATGAAGCTTCAAATCTTGATCGCCAATCAAGTGCAACGCGGATGGTTCTCCAGCCTCCCGTTAACGGCTTTTCAATCTATTGTATTCCACCCTACTTTTTCTAATCTTACTCCTATTCTTATTGCAATTTGCAATCAAACACGGTAAGGAGGAAAGGAAGTCAATAGCAGAGATCTTATCCCTTTCCAAGGGTTCTGTGTTTGATGCTCCGCTGGACCCAAAAAACCGCCCGTTTGTCAGCGGGTCAACCCTAGGAACCATACCCACACCCTCCCACCCTCCCTCCCATCCTCTTCCCAAAAATCTACGGCATCTCCGACATTACCCAAGAATCCCCCCTAGAATGGGCATGCACAAAATGACACAATTCGCCCCATGATTTCAATTACCAGGCCACACTATTAAAGAAAAAAAAAAAGCGGAGCCATGGTAGTTTTCAGGGTTCGGGGCACCAACCTTCTTGGAGAGTTCTCCGAACTGATGATAGTACGTCGATTTGTATTGGCTCATACATAATTTCAGAACTTCAATCTGCAATCTTTGCGAGGTATCCCCACCGTCGATATTAACCATATGGTACTATTGTTGACCCCGTCAACTCGGATTTGCGATTACGCCTTCCACGATGGCTGGGACGCGCAACATCAAAGCTAAAATCCAAGGGGAACAATGCCAGGGCACGGGAACCTTGCATGTCAATCAAAATGGATGATGAACCTGAAACCGCGATCGATTTTCAATTCAGGACCCTTGCTGCTTTCTTCCCGGGTCAAACGCCTTCAAGTCCCGTGGGTTCGCGCTGCACCCGTCTCGGGAGGAATACATTTCTGCACGCCCACATGGGGGCTTCTCGAGGGGATGCACACCATTTGGTGCACGGTGGACCCGGTGCTCCCTGGGGCTAATGGTACTCGGTGCTCAGCCACACTCTGTGGCCTGGCAGGACCGGTTCATCATCCGTAGTTTACAGGTTCGTCTCTCAGCCTCAACGGAAAAGTATGGTTTGCGAATCAACAAAGACTCACAACTCATTAAAGGGGGGGGCCAAGGCACACCCGACTGCTAGAATGGCTCAAAATGCAAAATTAAAAAAATTAAAAAATTAAAAAATTAAAAAAAGATTTTACATGATCTAATTTGCTTCGATAGTGTTCCTTCTGGATACTGCTGCCCGGAGCCAGCTACCAATCAACCTGTAAGATTGCCTGATCCTTCCCCTGGTCTGGCACAATACTAATTTAGCTCCAACCTTACACAGACTCGTCTGTTATTCCATAATCTTTGTGAGTTACCTCATCCTACTCTATCGCGTCAATCTCTGGAAGCTCCTCCCATTTAGTGTTTAGTGTTCTTGGCTGAGCCACTACTACGAGAAATGAGGTCAATGGCTGCAATACCACGCGATTGCTCGATCTCCGAGGGCCAGCTTCCGGTCTTCTTTCAATCGCTAGATAGCACTCCTCTCCTCCGAACTATATTTCCTAGCCATTAATGCGTTAGTCCCCCGAAATTAGTTGTCGGAAGAGCGGTCAAACCTCAATGACATACAAGATTGCATTGAATACTTGACACAGGGACGGAGATGTGTAGCACATCTGCGAACGCCCCGTGGTAAGGAACGTGCCCCTCCCGACGCCACGGCTATGTATTTAGTAGACTCTGTCAATACTCGTAAGAAACAAAGACACAGCATAGAGAGACATAATCCACCTAGTCTTCTCTACGGAACAGACATTCATCCTCCAGGATCGACTTCAGAGCCTGTCGCTTCGCATGTCCTGTCTCCAGTCGATCCTGTCCACGCGAAGCGTGTTTCAGCGGCGGAAACATTATAGGAAGGGTTTCACTGCTACTTTCCGGAGAATTGGAGATTCTTCAGCCACTCGATGGGGCGCCTCCCCCTCCAAGCATGATGATCCCATCCGCAGTAGGAATGGCGGCAACGCATATCATCATCGGTGTCCTATTAATACGTTAGCGCCTGACGGCGCCCAGGCAGATGGCTTTTAGCCTTCGCATAAGAGCACCGAGATGGAGAGTGTTTGAGGTGCCAAGGAAGTACCACCCACGGCGTGGGGGTTCCCCCCGACTGTAGATCCTAGCTATTAGTTCCTGTCGTGATGCTAAGCCTGAACCAACGCCCGGCTAACATCTTGGAGGTGGGTTTCCGAGAAGTTAAAATTTTCTATTGAGCGGAGTCGCCGCAATAGTACGGACCTTCCTTGTTCGGGATCAGCATCGTGATGGTCTCACCTATGACAGATGGCTCAGGGGCTGTGAGACAGATTTCCGGGTCAGTATCTATTTTTTGACATAATTCTCGCGGTTGGTCGGTCTGATTTCGGCTGCGGGATTTGAATTGATAGAGTTTCTACCATTCCGAAGAACCACGATTTTTGAGATCATAAACGGGCTGAATACGAATGAAGTAACAAGTCTGGTTGTAGGATGTCAAAGACAGAGACTTGCGGTGGAATGTAGCATGCGCCAAGAGAATAGCTGCACGAGGGTGAGGATCAATTTGCGGCCCACGATATATATGCACGTAGTATGTGGAGAAAGGTTTTTTCCTGCACCTAACCTAACCAGAATCCAGTAGATTTACCCGACTTTGTTTTTACCGACTTCTAGAAAAAACATGTCATGAGCCGATTGATAAACTAGAGTAATGGATTAGTTCGCAACGATCGGCTGAGATCGTCAAGCCTTGAAACCTCCGCCCAGGTACGACCGTTTCAAGTTGATGCGTTGGCCCCCTCCCAACCCCCCAAACGGAAGTGTGCGACCCCGAAACGCAGCTGAAGCGAACCACTGTTTTGATGAACAAGAGGATCTCAGTACGTCAAACCTATCGCCAGCACAGAATTCGAAGGGTGCACGATATGCGGGTCGAGCGGGTGCTTGCCCGCTACCGACCTCTCCGTGAACCGAGTGGAGCGCACAGTCAACAAATGAGCACATGGGATCTTGGGAAAATGTCGGGAGCTCGGGACCCATCACAGTCCGACTCCAAGCTCTGTGCTTCTTTCTTCTCAGACTATACCGCATCGAGCTCGCCGGCGCGGTGACGGTGCGCGCTATTCCTGGCTTTTCAATGGCCCCTGTGGAGTCTAACAAGCCCTTGTCGGGCCCGAAGCGATGGGATCCACCCTTTTTATTTTTATTTTTATTTTTATTTTTTTTTTCATAATTTTCGGAATGGAAATGGCGTTTGGTATCTACGGAACCCCCCTCAAAACGGGTGGACCTTGGTATTCTCTTTCTTGACCCTCTTTTCGGTGGTTTGGGCTGTTGCCAAGTTCTTCGATTCCTTCCAATCAACACCTGCCAAGGTAGGCAGCAGCCTGAAAGACACTTTGGACCTTGGCGGTGACAGCGCGCCTGTTTTCATGGGTCCTAACTTAATTGTGTGCCTTTGCAATGTACCGATCGGGCAGCCATGAATACTGTATGTTTGGAGGCGGACTCCTTATAGGCCACCATGTTCTTGCGAGAGTGGAGACCGAAAGACTTACTGTACTGGGCCCCCTCAAAGAAAAGGAATTCATTGGGTCATTAGGTCATGACATTATCAGTGATGGTTTTATTTATTTATATATATATATTTTTTTTACCGGGAACGGCAGTTGACATTCGGCAGACCCTACGATGGCTCACAAGCCAACAACAGCAGATGCACACAACATCATCGACCATGAGGCTTCGGAACATAACCGAGCCGGAACGAATCGGGGACCTTGAATCGGCCCCACAACTGGTCATTGGGCTATCGAGCAAATCCCTAAATGCCAGTTCACCAGTCGACTTCAGGGCTGTGCAGGGCTGCTGAGGGCTTGTCTCACTCAGGGGCGGTCAACAAGTGATCGATACTATTCTTAGTGAAACTTATTCCTGGGATGCTCTATGGTTTGATCTTCTGCTACCGTGACAATAGATGGTTGTGCCGGAAGTTCCGAGAATTGAGAGCTGGACAAAGACATCCAGGTACGGGGGTAGATTGGAAGATATCAAAAGTAGGACGCCTCTTTGTGACACTTGTTCAGCCAGCCACGGGATTTCTTTACTGCCAAAATTCCCTGGTTGACGCAGCCCTAGGCCAGCCCTAGGCAAGCCGTATACAACTCCGTCTTGGGACTACTCCTTCAGGCCGAACCTTGCGATGCCGTGTCTTTCCCGTTTCATTATTAGAAATTGTCTCAAGTGACGACATGGTCATTTTTGTTAAGGCCTGGCAAGAGTGGAAGGACGGTAGAGCAGTTGAAGGCTGGGAATAGACGCTAGTGTAGCCAATTTGAGACATCCAGAAGTAGTGTGTAGTATCAGGTCGATCTTGCTGGCCGAGTGCGGTGGCATCCAGGATGCCCGCGTTGGCTCTCGTTGCCTTGAAGATGTGCTAAGGTGTGCTAGTTCAATGCTCATTATCTTTCTGAAGTGAACATTGTACTTGTAACCCGTCCACTTCCTCAGGACAAACTGTTGTGAGCCTATGTGAACCACCTGGTGAGGAGTGAACTTGAGGAAGTGGACAATCTCCAGCCCTCTGGGATTCACAGGTATTGATACATTCAGAAGTTCACCTTGGCCATTGAGCCATAACGATATGTCTGTTAAATCTCAAAGCTGCAATGAAGGAAGTGTAGCTGACCGAAGCCACGAAGATAGAAAGACGGCCGACACGATCCCACAACGAACCCCTTGACTCCCCAGACCTTGCCCCAAATCACGAACGACCGAAGCAGCCATACCGGTGGAGCTCATCATGTACAAGGATGGAATGGATACTCTCTAGGGTGCTCAGAACATGGTGGCGCTTTCCTCCACGGTCCGGCCGTAGCAGACGGGGAACAGCTTTGACCAGAAGTCGAACTTCGCGGGTCGTTGTTCCTTCTCATCGAGGAGCCATTTGGCGAAGGCATTCTCCGTCTGGAATGGGTTCGGGCTGCGGTAGAGTGCGACCTGTGAGTGTGAGCAGAGAAAACAGACTTGACACCAGTCAAGGAGATGTATCTCGCGTACCTCATTGTAGCGCGCCAGTGCCTCAAAGTACTTCTTATCGAGACCGAGCTGCTGGAGAGTGTCCTCACGAACCTGCTTAGCAGCAGTGTTGTATGCGTGGAAGAGATTCTCACGATCAGCGACCGTGGTATCGCCGATAACAACACCTGCCTGAAGCTTGGGGCGGCGCTGGTGCGCATGGCCAACTTCGATGAGACGGGTGAGGATATCAGCTTCCCATGTTTCGTACAGTGGGTGGTTGAAGTTCTTGACGTGTCGCTGGAGGAGCCACAGTTCGCGCTTGAGGCGGACAGTGTTGACTTGCAGCTTTGCAATCTTGTGTTGGATGCAGTCGTTGGTGGCTTTCAAAGCACACTGGGAGGCGTTGAGTCCATGAGTCTATTCGGAGTCAGTTTTATTGGACATGATGGAAAGCGTAAGGGATAATACTGGCGGAGAAACTACCATGATGATGTCTTCGTCATCCTCAGACCAAGACGCCTCAGAAGAGCGCATCGAAGCATCGTGACTCAAAGGAACAGGACCGGAAGCACGGACGTGGGTGCCAGTATTCTTGCCTGACGAGGTTCGCATTCTACGGTTGATGAGGACAGGCATAGTAAAAGGAATGGAACTGGATATCGAGAAGGGTTGAAGGAGCGAGGCTAATGGATGTTGATCAGTGAATTTGAGACCCAAGGATCACGATAAGGGGTATTGAGGATAGCCAAAAGGAATAGAATCATGATGGTGAGCATGGACTAAGAAAGTGAGCAAGGAAGGTGCAGTCGTGTACTGATAGATTCCGGCAACTGCCGACTTCAAGTTCTTAATTTCATTGCGGCATGGAGCCATAGAACATTCACAATCTCGTGGCTTCATAACGGCTGCTTTTCCTATTTACAGCTTGCTGCTTGAGGAGTTTCCTCCAAAATCGATCACCAGCTTGCCAAACTGGGTGCCATTCTTCATATCTTCGAACAGCTCATCCATGCCCTTTAGGTCATTAATCTCGGTCTTCAGGACTCGCGATACAACCGGGTGAACCTTCTTAGCCTTGACAAAGTCGACCATGTCCTTGAATTCTTTTCGGGATCCCATCGTGGATCCACGCACGTCGATATTCTTGAGAACAGCCTGCATCAAGAACGGCATCTTGGGAGACACCGTCATTCCGTAAATCGAGAGGACGCCACCAGCCTATGAATGTTAGTATATACACCGATTGAAAATTTTGACGTGTACGGGTACTCACCTTGAGCAGCTTGGCAGCTTTCTCGATCGAGTCTCCTCCAGCGCCGTCGATGATAGCATCGAAGTTCTTCTTGCCGGATGGGAGCATACCCAATAGCTTCTTCTCCCAGCCCTGCTCCTTATAGCTCACACCACCGCTTGCGCCCAATTCAATAGCTTTCTGAATCTTCTCCTCGCTGGAGCTTGTCACGAAGACGTGGGCGCCTCGGGCCACTGCGAAACGCAGCGCAATCAATGCGACACCACCTCCAATACCAGTGATCAGCACGGCAGCACCATCGCTCGAGTTTTTTTCACCGGCCTTGGACACTAGTGCTCGCCATCCGGTGAGGCCCGTCAACGGGAGAGCAGCCGCTTCGGCGTCCGAAAGATGCTCAGGGGCTTCTTCAACCTCGGAGTCTTCAATAGCGATGTACTCTTGAAGAGTGCCCTTGTTGTAGACCTTGGTGCCTCCCATGATTCGGTATCCTGTGGCCTCTTCCGGGCCATCAGGCGAGTCCTTCCAGCCAACACCGGGGTTCAAGATGACGCGTTTCCCCTGCCACTGATCTGCGTCCGCGACATCGGGACCAGCACCGACGACAACACCTACACCATCAGCCAGAAGGGGAACATCGAATGTCACACCCGGGTAGAGATGCTGGCGAAGGAATAGGTCCCGGTGGTTGAGCGAAGCAGCAGTCAACTTCACGAGCAGCTCGCGACCCTGAGGGACTGGCTGGGGTTGAGTGCGGATTGTGAGCGGGTAGTAGACCTGGCCGGGCTTGCCTGGCTTGCCATCAATGGGCTCGATATACACTGCCTTGGACATGTTCACTGAATTGATGTAGGAGTTTCTCCTAGTCGTAGGCCTTGTTGATAGTCGGTGCGGGGATCTTCTTATCGATAACCGAGGATCTAGTGACGAAAGCGGGTTGAGCACAGCGAACTGTGATAAATAATGTTTTAATAAAAGAGATGAAAGAGATTCTCTTGGGGAAAATCAATACATAGAACACTATGATGCAGGACCACCTGTGCAGCTTTTTTGTGTCAATTGTGCCCAGATGGACGCTCAACGTCACGTCCTCACAGGGACCTCGGCCCGGATAAGGAGCCTTACTAATTGGTCAGGATCACCATCCCTGTTCTTCTCCAAATTGGAGATTTTCCCTGGGAGCTATACAGCATGGGGTTTGGCTCTGGCTATGGCGCGCAATAAGCTCGTTATCTTAATCGGCAGACTAATTTAAACCCCTGCGGCTCAGATCCATGGACCTTGGGATACAATCTCCACGGCCTGTGCAGCTACTCATCTCCATGAATATTTACAATACACGCTAATTGCTTACGGCTACCATTTTCGATCAGTGAATTCAATCTACTAAATTCCAGACTGGTTATTTGGCAAACTTCCAATGTCCGAGGGTCCACAGGTCGAGTGAGGCGCGGGAGCTGGGGTTTAAGGCTTAGGGCTGATGGTACCTATACACATATATATATCCGGAATTTTGAGGATATGTAATATCCGTGGACCCAAGAAAGGTATACCCACGGGTGTACTGGGAATTTTTAAATTCGTTAGATAAGATAATTTGAACCTTGAAACCAATAATTCCAACCTTGGAAGGCCGTTTGTACCCCTGGAGGAGATTTACACAACTATCTGATTTGATACGGATACAGGATAATTGCATACAATCCCTGGATAGCTTAGCTCTGGGGGCCCCGTAAACGCCTAATCACTTCAAAAACCGAGAGCTTACTTCCAGGTTCCCAAGGCTGGTAATTTGATTTTCAGTTCTTTCTACTTCGCTATCCTACCAATGTAGATTTTGCTTAAGATTTTCCAAGGTTCTTGATAAGTGCAATCAATAATAAAGGAAATAGCATAGCAGTCTAGTGAATGGACAAAGCAGACAATCTAGGCTGTTCCCCCCGGGCCCCACCATAAAATGGTTGCAGGTATCAAAGTCTACTCTACAATGGGGGTTCCAAATGGGACAGCGAGATACCAGGGTTGATAGTAGTGGCATGAGAGTATTGAACTCTCAGACCTAGCTCCAGCTCCAGCTCCAGCTCCAGCCCCAGCCCCAGCATCGTTAGAGCCTTCAGAAACAGCGTCATCGAAATAGCCGGTGTGCTCATTGTGGCATTCCTCTGAGTGATAGCAGCAGCAGTGGTTAATCCGATTTCCATTTTCGGAAGTAGTCGCATGTTGCTGGCAGTGCTGACAGGTACAAATTGCCGGAGGAGCCTCTCTCTCGGTTTCAACAGGCTGTTGTAGAGGCGGAGGCGGAGATGGAGCTACCCGGACTTGAGCTGGGTGGATATAGGCGTGAACAGGATCCTGCCCATATGCCATCACCGGGTAGCCGGGGATCGAATGCACAAAGGGTAACTGTGGCAGCGGTGTAGTTACCTTAGTGCTGAACGAGGCCGATGGGGTTGGAGAATGAGTGGGGGACCTCTGGCCCTGATTATTGCCTTGGCGCTTCTTCTTATCTTGAGTACGCTCTGCATTCTGTATGATTTGACAGTGACAGATGCAGTGACCGGTGCAATGGTGACCACAGGTGGTCCTGCAGCATCTGTGAGTCAGATTGGAGTCAGAAGTCTCGCTAGCACCGGGCGTAGTAGAGCGAGTGGATGGCCAAGAACGCCGACTGCCCGAGGTGCCCTCACTGTGAGCAGGGACCAACAACGGTAATTGCATGATTGGGAATCCGCGAGGAGAAAACCTGGTGATCGGTCTGCCGGTAAAATAGTCCTGGGGGGAAAATGTAGGACGTGAATTCCTGCGCATGATTCCAAGATCGACTTAGATGTTCAATTAGAAAGCCCGATGTCTCCTTTGAAAGACCTGAAAGTGCTGAAAGAACTAGGCCTAGGCAGGAGTTTGAATTTTAGAGAAAGAGTAAGCGCTTAGGAGACTGTCTTGTCGGCTGAGCAAAGAAGACAACGAAGAGGGCGGATGAAGGTCTTAATATGTCAACGCTGGGCCTACGACGATTCCAGACCGGACCCATCCTTTTGTTTTGAGGTAAGACAGCAAGCAATGGCAAGCTTGGGGCTTGCAAGTCATTGTCAGTCAGTAAGCCAGTAAGTCGATATAGAAGCCAAGCAGCGGCCGGCAGCAGTAAGCAAGCACAAAGAACAACAAAGAATGTTGATATAGAGGTGTCAGGTAAGGAATCATGCAATTCTCAATCCAGCCAGCTCCCAGTCCTAACCCAGACGGGAGCTATGCAGGCTGAATCCTTCCTGCAACAAGGGCGATGCAATTTCTGGTGCCAACGGGGGCTGGGACGATTTAGGAAGGGATGGCAGCTATGCGCGGGTCCCCTTCCATTCAAGACGTCTTGTTTGGCGCGTCTCAAGATGTGCAACGCATCTCAGGGCTCTTTGTGCGTTCGTATCAGCGCAAGGGCTGCAGCATCAAAGGAGCAGGACTCGTCGAAAATGGGGCCAATCTAAAGCAACTTTAACCGTTTTGAATGCAGTAGATCGTCCAATTGTAGACGGTGTGTGGTGTTAGTTCACCCGACATGTCAAGTGCGTTAATGCCACACGTTGATGTTCCAAGCCAAGAGCCAGCTATGTAGGTCGATAGTGCTTAATTTTGAGTCATGATCACCTTTTCTAGATGTTAGACTTTCAAAGTAGATGTCTCCGTGCTAAGAACGGATGGAAAATACCTTTGTTTTAGTGACATAGAGGGTAAAAAGTATCGGGTACGTGATTGATGACGGAGGCCAGAGTGTGTGTTGTGTGTACTGAAGACATCAAACCTGGTGGCTGGCTGCAGGCAGTGTATTCGTGTATTGTGTATTACTCCAAATTTGGGTGGTGCCCACGCGACTCGGGGCAGCAAAAACGCGGTAATTACATCCTCGGCGTGCCTATTGCCACATCCCCGCTAAATCATTTTTGCTCCATCCAAACCCAAGCGAAATCGAAACTCGATCTCTCTTCTCGACCTTGTTCGTCTGGCGCTCGCATTCTGCATTTCCCTCTTTACAAACCTACCTCGATTGACTAGCGTCTCAGCTGTCATCCCACAACACCAACTTTTCTTCTATCCTCTCGTGTCTTGCGTCGCATCCCCGTCCGCATCACACAACCCACATCCGCCACAGAAACTCTCGCGACGAACTGTTTCATATTCGGTTGTTTTGAGGAGTATCATTATCGTACCCCAACAACCTACCTTCCATAATGCCTACACCACTTCCTTCGAGCTTCGCGTCAGCCGCCGCTGGCAACACCCAAGACCCCAGTAGGAGAGGGGATGGAGGTGCCGGTGGAGAATGGTATGCAATCGTGCCCTGTCTTCTCACTTTACCCCCCCCCCCCCCATGCCCGCGTGCCCCGGTGTCCAGCTCGACCGACTCGCTCTGGACCTTCCGGTTGCCTTGTTGATACTCAATCCACTCAATGAGAGATATCCGATTCTAACCTTGAACTAGGTCCCGCACTCGCATGAACGGAGCCACTCAAACCTTCCGACGCCCATCTGTCGCTACCAACCCGTCTCACACCCGGGAGGGTAGCCAGCCTGCATCTGCCTCGACGCTTACCTCCGGAGCCTACATGCCTCCCCACATGAGCTCAAATACTACGTCTAGCGCCATGCGGAACGGGGAAGCCCGATACTCCAAGGATCAACTCCTGGAAATGTACAGGGCACAGCGGGAGTCCGGGTCCTTGGGTAAGAACGTGGAGGATTACTTTGTGGCCGACTGGGATCCTCACATGGTGACACCCCCCGTGAATGGGGCGTGGGGGAAGCGGGATGACCAAAAGACCTCCGCGGGGCCTGAAGTGTGCTGGGATCACGGTGGCCAGGCAGAGCCGCTTGGCTTGACTGATATGTCTGATGGAGAGAAAGAGGTGCGTCATTCTTCTAATTTCCACGAGCTGTGCTTTTATGCTAAATCTCTGCAGTTGTTTTCCGCCTCGGTCAATTCGCCTCTCAAGCCGCCGCCCACGAACGCCTCGAAAGAAAATACTGCTTCAGGAACCGGTGGTCGCAAAGGGTCTATTTCCTACACCCAGGGTCACATTAATAACTACAATACCTCTTCCCCGAACGCCGCCCGTCCGGGCGTCCGACGCCGAGAGACTGGCGATTCCGTCGGCAATCCTATGTCTCCTACCGGTTCGAACCCCCGATTTTTCCGCGACGAAGCAAACACTTCCACTCCTCCCCCGGCTCTGTTGCGTCGTAAGACCGACTTCCGAGACTCCAAAGCGGACGAAAAAGTGAAGGAGGGCGGACCAGATGCTGCTTCCCCCTTCGGTTCCTTGAAACGCAGCTCTACCAACCCTCTGAATACAGCCGTAGGTGGACCCAACTCTCCTTGGGGAGCTGCGTCCGCCTCTCAAAGTGCCAATTTTTCTCCCATGGGCGCATTTGGAGCTTTCTCACTCGGATCGAATGCCGCCGCGCAAACACCCACGACCGAGAAGAAGGCCGGATTTGGAAGCCTTAGAGGCGAGAGTAGGTTCAAAGGCCTGCTTTCCAAGGACAGCTCGGAGGATATTGCGGGGTCTGCTAGGGACAAGGCTCTGGGCAACCTTGAGCGTCTTGCTGAGGATGAGGCACACTCGCGCTCGCAGTCTCCATGGGGAGATGCGCTTAAGACCCGTGCTTCTCGGAGCGAAACCAATCCATTTGATGAGCCTCGCAGTGGGAGTGCTGCCCTCGGCGGGTCTCAGGATGTTGAGGTACCGTCCCAGGCAGACCTTGGTTTCGGTGCATTCGGCATGACATCGAGCATTCCCGGTTTCCGGGAGCTGATGCAGAGCCATGAGAACTCGCGAAACCCTACTCCTAGCCTTCTCCAGGGGCATGAGCCGACTAGTCCGACCAATACGAACCCCTATCAAAGTCCGCACGGTGATAAAACCGCAGTGGATGCGGATGATGTGGACACTGATGGATCTGATATTCAGCAGCCCCAGCACCCTGGCCTGCGGGGCTTGCGTGACCCTGGCAATCCATTCGGCTCCATGAAACGAGTCGGATCAGGCATGGATCTGCCTACGATCGACCGCAGCCAAAACTCGAGTGTCAACGCTAATCGAAATTATCCCGGTCTGGGAAGCCTGGGTGGTCTCTCTGGCTTGGGCGGCCCTTCTGCGTGGTCTTCGGGCGGTGCTATCGGGACCCCCACTCGCGAGCGTTCGGCTTTCGGTGCATTCGCGGATCCCATCTTCGGATCGATGGGTGGCGATCTTCAGTCTCCAAGCCTGTCTGCGCTTGGTGGCGGCGGCTTCTTTAGCCCGCATGCCGGTATTTCCGGCACCGCGAGCATTGGTAGGTCTAGCAAATTGGGCGCGCTTTTCTCTGGAATGCAAGACGATCAAAGCCGCCCTGAGTCCGTGGGTATGGACGATATTATGAGACAAGACCCGGCTCATGGATTGGACGGATCGGCTAGTAAGCCCGGATCGAACTCGGCCTCTCAAACACCCGTTTCGGCCGTTGGTTCTCTCCCTATGAACCATGATATTACTGGTACCCAGACTCCAGGTGGCACTGTTCCTTCCGCCCAGCAGCGGACCATGGTCATGCCCGATCGGATGCGCTGGATCTACCGTGATCCGCAAGGAAACATTCAAGGGCCTTGGACTGGACTTGAGATGCACGATTGGTTCAAAGCTGGATTTTTCAGTCCTGAATTGCAGATCAAGAAGCAAGAGGACATCGAGTTCGAACCGCTCGCGCAGTTGGTCCGACGCATTGGGAACTCGCGTGAGCCATTCCTTGTCCCTCAAATTGGCATCCCTCACGGACCGGAACCCAATGGTCCTCAGTGGACCGGTGCCATACCCACCGGCTCTGCTCAACCTCCATTCCCCGGCAGTTTCCCCAGCTTCGGCACGACTTTGACAGCCGAGCAGCAGAATGCACTTGAGCGTCGTAAGCAGGAAGAACAGTATCTGATGGCTCGCCAGAAGGAGCATCTCGCTCAACAGCAGGCTTTCATGAAGCAGGTGCACCCTGGTGCTCCGGCATCTGCCCAACCTCCACTTCAGCACCAGTCAAGTGCCCATAGCCTTCACAGTCAGCCTAGCTTTGGCAGCATCGCCTCTCCTGGCGCGTATCAGCCTTCTCCTATTCAGGCACCAGGCCAAGGGCAGCAGCAGCCCCAGCAAGTCCCAGGGTTCTTTGACGCCGCTGGACCGCTCAGACAAAGTGGGCTCTCGGGTACCACCCCCGGGATATTAGGAACCGATATCGGTAACCAAGATCAGCTCGCTGCTCTTGTTGACCGTCTGAATGTAGGTCGGCAGGATCCGTTTGCTTTCGGTGGGGCTGCGTTCTCCGGCCGTCAGCCCGATAACTTCCTCCACGCCCAACAAGTTGCATCGATGCTCCAGGATCGAGCCCAGCTGCAGGAAGAACAGGAGCAATCTGATAAGAATAACTCAGATGATCTCTTTGCTCAGCAGGCTCGCGAAGAGCGACTTCGTCAGTTCAACGCCCTACGAGCCCAGGAAGGTGACATGGTGCGCACCGCGGAAGGTCTCCCAACTCACCCCGCTGCTGTGTCCATGCAGCTCGAAGCTGAGGCTGCTGCCACAAGCTCGGAGATCGCAGCAGAGATGCTTGCCTCTGAGCCCGAAATGTCTGAGCCCGCGCTCACTCTATCACAGCAGGTTCATAAGGCTGCCTCTGCCCAGCGCCAGCAGCAGCAGCAGGAGCAGGAGGAACAGGCACCCGAGTCGGTTTGGGGAAACAAATTGGACCGTGCTATGCCTCAGCCTTTCCCTCCCCCTCCCTCTGCCTCGCCTTTGCCGGCACCTGCGGCCCAGCGTAACCGCCAGAACGTCGCCGATGCTCTCGCCGCTGGCTCTCGGTCCCAAACCCAAACTCCCATTGATGCGCCTGCCACATCCGTTGCTCCTTGGGCCAAGGATACCCATGAGGTGCCCAAGGGACCTTCTCTGAAGGAAATCCAGGAGGCCGAGGCTCGTACAGCTGCCCAACGTGAGGAAGTCGCCGCGGCCGCTCGTCGTGCCCAGCTGCTCGCCGAGCAAGAACGTCTCAGCCAGGCTCAGGCCCAGGTTGTTCCTGGTCTCCCCTCGTCGGCCAACTGGGCCAGCGCTGGATCGCCTGGTCTCCCTACCGTGACCACTGGCTCCGCCTGGAGCACCAAGACCCAGCCTACTCCTACCACCACTGCCACTAAAAAGACCCTCGCTCAGATCCAAAAGGAAGAAGAGGCTCGCAAGCAGCGCCTGGCCGCTGCCACTGCCGCCGCTGCCGCAACTGCGACACCTAGCCCTCCCGCGTCTGCTAGCAAGCGCTATGCTGATCTCGCCAGCAAGGCTCCTGCTCCTTCCGCTGCCACTGCCGCCCCCACTGTTTCCGGTGCCTGGACTACTGTCGGTGCTGGTGGCAAGGCTAAGGCCCTGCCTGTTGCACCTCTTGGCCCCCGCTCTTCCAGTGGAACGGTCCCTGTGGCACCCGCTGCTGTCCCCAAGCCTCGCCCAGTTGTTGCTACCCGCGCTGTGACTGCGGGCAGCGTCCCCCAGTCAAACCCTAACCAGGCTGTTGAGGAGTTCTCCAAGTGGGCCAAGCTCATCCTTGGCAAGGGGTTGAACAGCAACATCAATGGTAAGTTACGACACCTTATCAAATAGTCAAGCGCGATACTAATGCTATGTATAGTTGACGATTTCGTCCAGCAGCTGCTGTTCCTGCCCGCCGAGGCTGAAATCATTTCCGACTCCGTGTACGCCAATTCTCAGACTATGGATGGCCGTCACTTTGCCGAGGAATTTATTCGCCGCCGCAAGCTAGCCGACAAGGGCGTTGTTGAGTCCGTCTCGCCCAGCGTTTTTGGCGAACAGAAGAACGGCGGTGGCTGGAGCGAGGTTGCCAAGAAGGGCTCGACCGCTAGCGCTACCCCCCAGACTCCCCGTGAAGAAGAAGCTGCTAGCGCTGCATTCAAGGTTGTCGCTCCCCGTAAAAAGGGCAAGCGGTAAATGCGCATTGTCAACTGTGCTTTCGCTTTCCGATTCTTTCGAGGATTTCCGCGACATTGAATTGTTCTTATTTTGAGCCCTGCGATTCCCGATGTATTCAGATGGCGGAACTGACTCATTCGTGTACTATCATACGTCTTAAGCAGCCATTAACTGTATTTTTGCATTAAAAATATTTTCCTTGTTCAACGGAGCTTTTGGTCGGTACTCCTTGTATATATACTGGAACTTAGCAGAGCGGTTGAAGCCAATTTCAAGAGTGGACATGTCATGGTAATTAACTGATAATCTTCCCATCGACTGGCTGGCACAATCTATCCTGGCTACATACAAACATGTTTCCAAATCCTAGTAACCCTCATCATAAGGAACAGCACGGTTCTCCTTCACCCAAATCTGCTCCTGCTCACTCTTCCACGGCGGGGGAATCAACCCATTCACCTTCCACAATCTCCGCTCTGTCTCCCCGACATGATATTCCCAATCATACCCTTTATCCGCGATGTGAGGCTTCAAAACATTGTCGATCCGAGAAGTAGTGCGTCGGTACGCGGCATCCTCATTCGGTGCATGAATCGCGATATGGGTTATTACTATGCGGATAAAGGGCCGCCCGGTTGGAACCTTTCCCCCGACGAAGACCTCGCCTGTTGGAACCGGGACGAAGTTCACAACGACGTAGAAGGCTGGTAGGCCGAGTTGAGTATAAAATTCGGTGATGTCTTTGGCGAATGCTTCTTTGGAGGCCAAGTCCTCGAAGGTTCCTGCGGGATGGTAGATTTGCCAGAGAGGCATGTTGGAGTCTGATCGGTGGACTTTTGAGATGTAGTTTGTAGATTTTGAGATAGATATAGGACTCAATTGGAAGTGGAGACCTTGGGTGAATTGGATGAAAGGGCAGTTACATGGCGGCTAGAACTCCTTTATATGAGCCATTCTCATCATGACGGAAGAGGTTGAGGAACCCCGGTTGAGTAAACAATTGACTCTAAACGGAATAAGGTGTTTTTGGATTATTGATCGGTTGCCGTTGAAGGGTGAATTGATACATTTTCAAGTTGGCGGCTGTTGACACTATCAGTCCGATGGTAGAGTTCGAACTCGGCGTTAAGGGCCAAAGTATAAAGGCCGACAGGAACGCACTTGGAACCATTTCTAATCTGTTTCAGATGCGATCTTCAATTGACCCTCAATGCTTCGTGTTACATCTGCTGGCTTGTGCCTCTGTATGGGTGAACCCGAGTCAGACCAGCTTATCCAGCTGCCAGAGATAGCTATTTCTCAATCAGAGAATGGGAAGCGGCTGAGTGCTACTGAACTAGAAGAAAAAAAGCGAAATAGACTGGTTTACTTGTTGTATAGTACTAAATTGTCTACCGCTCGGTATGACCTGAACCGTGTGCAAATGCCACTCGTATAGTGGCCAGGAGAGGAGCCTAACAGGTATGTACAGAAGTAGCAATCTTTGACCGAAGATGAATCGCTGCAATATCTAGACTCGAACATTCCCTTACAAATACCAAAGAGTTTCTGGAAATGATGATGTCAAGACTTGGGTCGGCACGATCCAATGGAATGCCAAGATGCTTAGCAATCTAGGGCCGGTTTTTCGATTATTCAACAGCCCGAAAGCTACGGTGCTGATGAATAAACGTCGCCACGGCTCATGTCTTTACTGACGATTTGCCTATTTTTGCCTTACATCACTTGAGTTAAAACATCACTGATTCAATCCCTACAAACTTATTCAGTTATGGCTGAAGTGATGGCGGAAACGAAGCCTACTATTCCGGGGCCCCGCAAGCGCGGCCGTCCCCGAACCGTGACAGACGACCAGGACGTGCCAGAGGTGGGTGACCCATAAGAATATCGCAGGTGCACTAGCTCACTATGTCCAGAGACGTCGCAAGCAGCTCCGTGTCGCACAGCAAGCTTATCGCCGACGTAAAGAAAACACTATCAATGATCTACAGACCCGTGTGCAGGAGATGGAAGAGGGCATCGAGGAGATCAGCCAGTGCTTCCTGTCGTTCAGCAACCTGCTCATCCAAGAGGACTTACTTGCGCGATACCCGCGTATCGCGTCCGCACTTCAAAACATCACTCGGCAGTGTGTAGCACTCGCAAAACAGGGATGTGATGAAGACGAGAACCCCGCCCCAGTCGAACCTACATCTACTCCGAACAGCGACAGCCGCAAGAAGAGCGCTCCTCAAAATAATAATTTCAGCTTTGACTTGGATGCCCTGGAACCAGTTAACCTGTCTCTTCCGGACGAGTCCTTGCGATTCCCATTTAACACACGCCAATGGCCCGTGGCGCAACCTCTTACGCCGCCCTATCAAGAACAAGCCATACTTCCATTCGGAGTGGTATTGTCATCACCTCCCATGTCATTGTCTCCTCCAGTACAACAATTGCCGAGCCCCCCGCCAACTATATCCCCAGCCAGCCTCGTCAAAGAAGAGCGATGGACCCTTTCACAGCGCATTGTACGAGAGTGCTGCGAAAACGGATACCGGCTATTAGTAGACCAACCGGACAACGAAGCAAAGATCCAAGAGATTTTTGGCAAACCACTGACACTATCTGAGCGCGATCGTCTGATATCGGCGTTCTACATGGCCATGAACGACGATGTGATTGAGGCGATTGAGCTCAAGACCAAGGTGCTCAATCCGTTATATAACAAACGCGAGGATTTCTCTCCAGATATGCTTTCGCGGTCTTCAAGAACTTGGCAACTTGTTCTTGAATCCGGACCTGATGAATGGTTGGATGCAAGTGGCGTGCAGAGGTATCTGCAGCAAAGAGGGATTCACATCGACAGCAGCTCCCGACATTCTCCCCCGCGTATTGAGGCGCCATCAGAATTCAATCTTTCGACTTTCTTAAAAAGTAAGTTCTATAATGACTGTTCACCAGAGCTGGGCTAATTTGGCGACAGTTTTATCTCTCGATTGCATCTGTGTCGGCCCTGGACCGGCATTCCGCAAGGCAGGTGTCGAGCAAGCATTACAGTTGGCCACATCGCATAATCCATGGGACTTCATGTATCCCAAGTTTATGACTTGAGCTTCTATGTTGAACTTCTATAATTTGTAATTAATTAATCACTGTTTGACATCGTCATTGATCCCAAGCTCCCCCTCAAATCGCAGCAACGCCTCCTTTTCAACCCATGCAATGTAACTCCACAGATCCCACCAAAGACCCGCATCATGGAACCGTAACCCAAACGCTTGTTCTATGCATAGGCTAGGAAACACGGTCTCGCACGACGGACCATCACTCGAGTCATCTACAGCAACGTAGATCGAAGCATTGATCAGCTGCATGGGGTTCATTGGAACCTTTCAGATAGCAGATATAGCTATCTTCGAGTCCAGCGCATGTCACCCCAATTGCGAGAAGAGTTCCTGCGAGATTGCGATGGCTTTGGAAGCTAAGCACAAGCAGCATCAGCATCAGCATCAGCATCAGCATCAGCATCAGCATCAACCCAGCCGCAGCATTCCTGCTGCCGAGGGCCGGGCCAACGGTAGCCTTCTCGGGGGTTGGATTGGTAATACCAAAAGCACCTGTGACTGGCCCATTGTTAGTCCGTTGGCAAACTCTTGGAAATAGTCTTTGACTCCCATTCGACAGGGCGGACCTGCCAGATTACGGCGGTTGAGATTACCCTGAGACTTTGTTTGAACTGTTCCGCTCGCAAGGATATGTTGGTGAGTTGAAGTCGTCTCCTCACTTCTTCGATGGAGAGATACAGAAACCGCAAATGCCGCGGTTGAGAAACATCAGATCTGGCGGGTGGAAATTAGATTTATCCGATCTCCCCAAGAGCTATGAACACAGTGTCTCCGACCGACCGGAGGAGAGATTGTTTCGCACGCCCTTCGACACGGTCCAGGTGGATCTTCAGCAAGATAGCCTCGGCATTCATTGGCATTCATTGGCTCGGGAACTGAGGTGACTCAACCATGGATGACAGAACAACAATGTCCGTGTCGTGCCCCTCTTGATACCTGTAAGAGATCAGACCTCAATTTCCCAAGACTCACTCGCTCATCACCGCGCCTATAAAAGAAAAAAAAAAAAACAAGTGCATCACTGCATCTCTGGAAAACCCCCGCTTGACAGCTTAAGCAGTCTTTAAAGCCCTTCATCTTACTTATGGCTAATGAACTGACTCCATTCGGGAAACCGATGCTGAAGCATTGGCTGTTTGCCCCTTCATACAAGAACCTGAATAACGGTCTGTACCTTAGCCCTCCATGTCATTCACCATCTGACACGACTACCAGGTTCCTTCGGCGCACACCCCGCCGCCGTTCGTGATGCCCAGCGGGCCTTTATAGACCAGGCGGATGGGCGTCCAGACCCGTACATCCGGGCCCTCCACGCGGGACACCTTGAGAAGGCGCGTGTCGCCGTCGCGGAGGTTCTCAATGCTCCGAAAGATGAATGTGTGTTCGTGAAGAACGCGACCACCGGCGTCGCAACAGTGATGTACAACTTAAATTTCCAGTCTGGAGAGGCCGTCGTATACTTTGAGCCTGTCTACGGAGCCGTGGAAAAGGGCATTGTCTCCTTGCAAGAGCACTCGAATCTTCAATCTCGGAAGGTGCACTTCCAGTTCCCCATCACCGAGGACGAGCTCGAGAGTCGGTTCCGGGAAGTTGTCCGGAAGACTCGCGAGGAGGGTCTTAAGGTTCGTGCTGCTGTCTTCGATACCATCGTCAGTAACCCTGGATGTCGCTTCCCCTTTGAGCGGTTCATTGCCATCTGTCGCGAAGAAGGCATTCTAAGTGTGATCGATGGCGCCCATGGCATTGGACAAATCCCACTTGACTTGAATAAGTTGCAGCCGGACTTCTTGGTTTCTAACTGTCACAAGTACGATACATTCCCCTGCTGGTTCGGGCATTGAGATTTCAAAGACTGACTTTCCTCAGGTGGCTCTACACTCCTCGCAGCTGCGCCGTTCTCTATGTCCCCAAACGCAACCAGCACTTCATGCGTACCACTCTTCCCACGTCATGGGGCTTCATCTCCGACCTCTCGTCCCCTGAAACCCCACGATCGCTTCTTGATGATCCAAACGCGGTCAAGGAAAAGACTCCATTTGAAGGACTGTTCGAATTCGTCGCAACTAGCGATGACTCCGCTTATATCTGTGTGCCAGCCGCGCTGAAGTTCCGCAAGGAAGTCTGCGGCGGAGAAGACGCTGTCATGTCCTATTGCATTAACCTCGCCATCGAAGCCGCCGACGTAGTCGCAAATATCCTCGGAACAGACGTGCTCCAGGAGCCGGACCTGAAGCCCGGAGAAGTCAGCAATATGCGCCAATGTGCCCTGGCAACGGTGCGCTTGCCTATTGCTGTTTCTGATGAGCCTGTTGCAGGTGCAACTGTGACGATTTCACCAAATGAGGCCCCTGGTGTCTTTTCGTGGATCCAAACGACCCTGATGACAGAGCATGATACATTCGTCCCTGTCTTCCGACATGGCCCGTGGCTGTGGACTCGTCTGAGTGCTCAGACTTTCTTGGATAAGAGTGACTTTGAGTGGTTGGGAGGTATCCTGCGTGACCTTTGCGAACAGGTCGCGAAGAAGGAAGGCAAGTGGACTGCAACTTTGGCTGTTCATTAACTGTCCATCACGTACTTTGAATGCATTGATTGCTAGAATTGTCTCTACACCACGTACTTTGTGTACTTTGTGAAACCGTCTCTTAATCGTGTCTCAAGATCGAGACCCGTATAACTATCTTCGTCCTGCAATAGTTCTAGGTTTGTGCGCAAATGATAGAAACTCAAGTCAATCGAGGGTTCTTGATTCTATTGGTGCGCGCCCTCGACGTGCTTCATCACGCCATCAAGAGTCTGAGTAGCCAAAGATCACCTCATCTCGAGAACACGAGTGCGGGGCAACTGGGACCCTTTATATCGTGCCCACTGTCCCCAAGGTACCTGGAGTAGATTCATTTAATTTAACTGAAACCAGTATACAACATGTCTGTCGCCAAAGAAGTCGAAGTTGCCAACGCGAAGTATGCCGCGTCCTTCACCAAGGGAGATCTAGCTCTTCCCCCGCAACGGTAGGTGATTTATTTTTTTTATTTATTTATTTATTTATCGCTGTATTTTTGAACAGATCAGAAGCGCTGAATTAGCTTATCAGGAAAGTCGCCATAGTGGCCTGTATGGACGCGCGTCTTGGTAAATCGTCTACATTATATCCTTAGACCGGACCATGAGCCAGCTGCTGACAAGACTAGATCCTGCTCGAGTCCTGGGCCTCGAAGAAGGCGACGCCCACGTCATCCGCAACGCCGGCGGTCGAGTGACCGATGCCCTACGCAGCATCATAATCTCACAACAGCTTCTCGGAACCCGTGAAATCATTATCGTGCATCATGTATGTAGAAAACCCCTCGCTAGAAGAAATCACTCGACCGATGGGTTATACTGACACTCTTAGACTGATTGTGGAATGCTGACCTTCACCGACGAGGTAATCCGCGGCAAGATCCGCGCTGACCTGCATCAGAATGTGGATCACATTGCCTTCCTGCCGTTTGGGGATCTGAAGCAGAGCGTTCTTGATGATGTGAAGTCGTTGAAGGAAAGTCCGTTGGTTTTGGATGTCCCTATTACGGGTTATTTGTATGAGGTTGAGACGGGGAAGATTGTGAAGGTTTAGATGATTGGATATATGGCTTCAGGCGATCATGCAAATAAGCTTGCATAACTTGATTCTTCAAAGTCCTATGTACTGTAGACTTTTCTGGCCCTGAATGAATCTTTCGACTCCCGGAGCCCTTCATCAAGGGGTCTTGTTGAGCTTCGTAAATCTGTCCGACAGATAGTCTTGCCCACTTAATTGGACCAACTTAGAGATAGCTTACAAAGGGGTTTCTTGACGTGGCTGTACATATCCAACATCAACAATGGTTTATACTGAGCCATGACTTAATGCTCGCTCTGTAGACACCCACGTAGTAGAGAATCCATTGCATGGAATGAGTGGGAATATGTACACTGACTGAAAGAAACCCCATGGAAAACCAGCCACGAGAGATAAGACTTGCACCTGTCCAAGAGACTAAGAGAAACGAAAGAAAGGGGTATGGATGAGAAACGAGCGCTAAAACAACCTGAATCGCCAGAAAAAAAAAAAAAAAAAAAAAAAAACCAAAGAAAAACAAATAAAAACAACAGAAAGGCGGCCTGTAATCAAAATTCCCGGTAATATGCGCAAGTCTGCATGTCGTCAAACGTCTATCTTACTCGTTATTGCCTCCAAACCGGCTCCATACCCAACCTGTGATTCCTCCGCGTTCACTGCGACTGCCTCGACTACCCCGGCTTCCGCGTCTGTTGCGGGGTTCGCTGGATTCAGGCGTTGGGGATTGCGGAGTTGATCTAGACCCGGATGATCGACTACTGTGCATGGAAAAAGGTGAACTGCGCCGTCTTCTTCGTCCAGATGAAGATGCCTCCGGACTATCCTGGATAACGACTGGGTTTTCACTGGAGCCTTCGCCCGTGCTTGTGAAACAGGGTTCTGTCAGCTCTGACAAGTCTCAGTCCGGTGCGTTGTTAAGGCACTTACCATCCAGCCGAATTGATGCTCCGTCGGCAGTGTGGGCAGGTATTATGCTGGCTCAGCCACGCTTCGATGCAGCTGTAGTGGAACCAGTGCGTGCAGGGAAGCACGGTCACTTCCGTGCCGACTTCCACGGCGTCCATACAGATCGAGCACTCCGCCTTCCCGTCAGATCCCAGCATTTCCTGGTCGACTTTCTTCGTGGGTAGTGATCTGATTGCGGACTCGGATGCCGGTGGCGGCGCAGTTCCAGCGTTGTTGTGGTCGATCAACTGCGAGATGACCCGGTCGAGCTCTTCTTGGGAATAGACCGCATCGCCGTTTCGGTCCATATTTAGTAACGCTGAGAGCATGGCGAGCGGGTTCGGCCCTGCGACGCCGCGGGCACCATGTCGACCTTGCCGTCTCTGTGCGCCATAGTCGGTCTGGAAGGCCTGGAGGAGACTAGGAGATATTGAATTAGTCGGATGTAATAAGTAGGGAGGTAGGAAGCCATACTCGGCTAGAGAGCCCACTGGGGGAGCTGTCGGTTGTGCTCTATCGGCATCGCGGGGATGTAGTCCTTCAGGCTCCGCGGGATCATCAGAATCGGCATTCAACCAATTTGACGAATGCGCCATGAACGGGTCGTCGAGGCCCGGGCTCCTAGATCCGTGGGGATTGTGGGGATCATATGTCTCCGATAGACCTCGAAATATTGTGTTCAAGCTCTCGAACATCATCGGAAGCATGGGGTTGGGAGGAGCGTTCGCGGTGGATTGTGGCGAGGAGTAACCCCCACCGATGGTAGTGCTGCTAAAGGTAAAACGGCCATCGGGCGACCTGTAGGTGTGTTGAGAGTATCCGGGAGAGCCTGAATCCATTAAGTCGAAAGGCCGAGGTCCAGCCGTTTCCTCACTACCCCAAGGCCGGTGATCTGCCCACGGATTGATAGGTGGTGTACGGGGTTCAGGTTCAAGTTCTGGAGGGGGAGTATCTGGGTCTGGAGGGATTTCAATCTATGGAGGTTAGCTATCGCAAACAAAGAATGGGGAACAAAGAACGCGTACGATCTCTGTGAAGTCAGACTCGCAGTGCGGACAGGTTAAACCACTGTCGGCTCTTGACCAGACCCCTCCACAGGCATGGCAAAACATGCGATCTCCGGTATCAGCCATGGCATGAAGAATGGTGGTAGATAAGGGGGGTCAAGACGAGACTAAATCGGCGGATGCGCGGAACAGTCACGAGTACATGGCCTTATCGGCGGGGGGCAACTACACGCAACTTAGGACTGAGGACTTCGGACTTGGACGCCTCGTTCAGGGGGCTCCGGTTAAAAGATAGGTGAATCGGAGGCGAAATCAGACGTGTAATAATGTATAAAGTAATGTAGGCGATGACGTCGGAACCGGTTGCCTTCTACTAGGACGATAGCGCAAGATTTAAGGTCGAGAGTGCCCATGCATATTCAACTGAAAAACCCGTTACAATCGTCAGTATACTGCAGGTCTCATGGCATGCACCCCAAAAATAGCAACACGGTGTTTTAGGCAGCGTCGTTAATCTTGGAATCGGAGGTTTAGCGATGCAAGGTGGCAATGTAAAGTGGGATGTTGGAATAAAGAAGCGACCCGAAGAGAAAGAGAGAAAAATGAACACGTCCAGGTCATTCATTTCGTAGTGAACAAAGATCAGTACCTATGTACGGGGCTGAGAAAGCCATAGAGACAAAGAAACGCCGACAATGCGGAAGCCGAGGCTGATAAGTAAAGCTTCAGACAGTAGAAATTATACAAGGTCGATGCAAGGACGGTTCCGGCTGTGCCATAGCCCTTGCAGACGCCATTCCTCCCAACGCTCACCGTCTTCTGGTTCCCTTGAAAATCAAACTGCCAACAACTCCCGCGGCGACCGCTAAGCCTCCTACGATCGCGATGCCCATCAGCCCTTCCTTGGCAACCTTGTCATTGATGAGCGACCCCAGACTGGCCGCCTGCAGGTTGGCCGGTTCCTTCTCAAGGAGCAAGTCGTTGTATCGTCGGGCCTCGCCGTAGTTGCCCAGCTTGTAGTTGCCCAGCCCCAGATAGTATAGACATTCTCGTCGGCGTTCCGGGGCTCCGCGGAAGATCTCTGACAAAAGACGAACACCTTCTTGCTGGTCGGGTCGCTCGTTCGATTTGATTAGGCCCTGTTAAAGGATTCTCCGCAAGTGCGGAGACCACTGGTCAGCATGAGTTCCCATGTATAGCCCGAGAGTCATAGGTTCCATACCCAGGCAAAGTTGAACTTGGTTTGGATGCCAACATAGTCGCCTTCTTTCTCGTATTGAGCACGCAGCACTTGGAGCTCAGCGGGCTTCAGCGGACTAGATCGGGGCGAGTTAGTTCGCAATCTTCAAGGGGGCGAGGACGAGCGTGCCACGGGGCAACGGACCTTTCCGCATCTGCGGCATCTGCGACAGAGGCACCGAGTCAGTGAAGGGTTCGTAACATGAAGGGAATAAACCCGGTATGGAACTCACAAGGAAGATTAGACATGGTAGATGGAATGGTGGAGTAGGAAAGATGGACGAAAAGCTGGAGGCAGACGTCACTTGCGGAGAAACCAACATGTGGCGGTGCCTGGTGGCAGTTGCGGCAGCAACAATCAAAACACCCGTTTTGTCCCGCTTCACTCTTCTCAACTACGCCCAACATGTTGCTCGACGAGGATCCTGGTACTGTACGTGCTCATTTGATTCCTGATGACTGACTTCAACTAATCGGTTCTCACAGCTCATCCACCACACGGTCGGCAACTTCAATATCCACCCGGACAAACAAGCTGTCACGCGCATCAATGACTCGCTAGCCACACTCCAGCAGTCGCGCGACCTGCGCATTCGAGAGGCCGAATCCTCACTGCGCAAACTTGGTCGCCAGCTCAACTCTGTGAACGCCCAACACGAAGAGGCCGTGGCAGTGCACGACTCCAGCAAACATGCCGAAGAAATCGTGCAGCTGGACACCAAGAAATTCCGAATCGCCAAGGCAGCCACCGAACTCGAGGTCGAAAGCGAGCGCCTAGAAAGTGAGCTGGAGATGCTCAAGGAGAAGCTGGCAGATCTGGAATCACAGGGTCTCGAGGGTGATGAGACCACGCGGCGTGAGCGCGAGGCGGATGACGCGACAATGTGAGTCGCGCAGCTTGAGCGCAGGATTCTACTTACTAATTATCTTACAGACTGCGACTTAAGATCTTCCGTTCTTTGGGCGTCGATATTGAGCCTGATGAGGCCGGAAACTTCAACCGGGCGGTTATTCGCAATAGTCGCAAGGGTGATGTGCATGTCGTCAACATCGATCCCAAGTTCTCCCGCTTTTTCTACGCCAACTACTTTTGGTCCACGATGCAGGGTTGATCAGGACCGGTACATGAAATTTTGTTTGTGGAGTTTCCGGTGGATCTTTGATTGGAGTTGTTATACCCTTGAAGCTTTGTTCTAATGTTATGATTATGCCACTTTGAATCCTTTACCTCGCTCTACCTGGGTCTCCTTTCAAATATCATCAATGCCTTTGTAGTTCATGCAGGACCTTTGTCTGATCCGATTTAGACACAACGCCATCTGGTTCAGAGTTTGGGTGCCCATCGGGGAAGCTATTCTCCACAGCATCCAGGAGAACATCCTTCTCAATATCGGACACTTTCGTTCCCCACGATGCGACCCATCGATCCTCAAAACGAAGCAAGTCCTGCTCAATCTGGTCCATATGTGGAACATCATCCCCATTCCAAGTCAGAGCGACCTCTTTCGTAACAGCTCCCGACTCAGAATCCACAATGCCATACCTCGTCTCCACCCTAAGAGGTCCCAACCCAAGCCCCTCAGCCCGTGCATTCCAAAGCGCCTGCCTCAAAGTTCCATCCCGCTCCATCATCATCCAGATTAACGGATACGAGCTCCGCGCCAGCGCGTCCCGAACACCCTTAGTTGCCTCGCGCGGGCTAACCAGCACACCTGCCGTCAGGTCCGTGCGCCATCCGACAGGCGCCTGGCGGAACGTACCTTCGAGCTCGCGCACCAGGTTCGGCCCGAGCTTGCTTTTGAGTGCCTTGCACTGAACCAGTACGCGAACTGCCCGTTCCCGCTCCCGCTCCGGTAGGTGCCAGGTGCCTACTAGGTCGATGCCGGCGTCGTCGCGGCCACCGATCCGCTCGAGGGAGAGCGCATAGCGTCGTAGGCTTTGGAGAACGGTGTATTCGTAGTGTGTGCCTACGTAGACGGTGCTTGTTTCGGGGAGGGATATGTGTTTGGCGTAGGAAAGGAAGGTGGTTAGGTCGGTGTGGTTTTGGGTTGATGTTGGGGGTGCGGAAGGCAGCTTAAAGAGCCGCCGGGTGAAGGGTGTCAGGTCATTGTTGATTTGTGAGCTGGAGAATGCTCGGTAGAGGTTTATCAGCCTGGAATATTTGAGGGGGAATCCGGCAGCGAAGCCATGGCGCGGGCGCAGATGTCGCATCGAGTGGTGTCGAGGTGAAAGAGCGTGCCTTCACCGCATTGGAGCTTCTCTCCGCATTCGCATTTCCGGCGCATCTTGGCCTCTCGACGTCGCATCCTCCGCCTCTCTCCCCTCTACAATCCCAAGCATTTAGATCGCCCATCATGGCGGATATCCTCACTCAGCTACAGACATGCCTTGACCAGGTAGGCCTTCCTAGCTTACGACAATTCGACTATGATCAAATCTGACAAAAACAGCTTGCAACTCAATTCTACGCAACGCTCGGCTATCTCACAACATACCATGACAATTCACCTGCTATTCCACCTCCAAATGTTCCCGATGCCGCACCGGCCCTAGCCAGGATCTCCAAGAACACATCCACTCCTCCCATCCCCGCCTCCGTCGCGGCAGGAACAGCAGGCGGCGGCGCAGCACAAACATCGCCAATCCCTCCCCCCACGCAACAACCCGGCACAACGGCAGAAGGAGGCGAATTCGAAGGAGATCCGGATCTTCCACCTCAGCCTGACTCACCCCGCACATTCGCAGCTCGTCAGCGCGAGCTGGCCCGCGATCTCATTATCAAAGAGCAACAAATCGAGTACCTGATCTCTGTGCTCCCCGGCATCGGTGCCTCAGAGGCCGAGCAGGAATCAAGGATTCGGGAGCTAGAGACGCAGCTACGAGATGTCGAGAAGGAGCGCATGGCCAAGGCTCAGGAATTGCAGAAACTGCGGGGCAGGTTGGAGAGTGTTCTCGGTGCTGTTTCGGTCGGGATTTACGGTGATAAGGAATACCTGGAGTGAATGGAGAGCGTTGGCTGATTGCATTGCGAGGGCTTCGGATACCCCGGATTTTTTTCATAAAGTTTCTTATAGCAGGGATGCAGGCGTTCTTCAGTTGGCTGTTTAGGCCGTTTAGATACCATCTCATAGACACAAAACCATGGAAATTGCAATTTTTTTCCTCTGCGGATCTGATTCAAAGTATAAAGTCATCATTATGCGTTACAATAATGTGAACTACGGAGTAGTTATCATTTCCATGCTTATATAGACTGGGCTTCCTCCTTATAATCACCGAGCAAGATTATCTCGCAGCCTGAGCTTTGTACATGTATATTGAATGGGCTGGTCAGCTCGCGTAGGCTGAACGAGGCGGCTACATCTCTTGCCATACAAGATAGTAGATGGATCTTAACCATTCTAGTCTTTTTTTCGCTACCCAAGTAGTATTGATGTATATCCCTAAATAGCCATACAAACAAATATCTTAAATCCAATATGGTTTGGGCATTTAGCCATAGCCATGACGATAGACCTTACTCTCGTGACCTTGGAGCTATAGCCAACCACAAATTTGTTGCTCTGCCTAACACGATCAAAGTGAAGCCTGGTCAGTGTAAATGGACAAATTATGGCCAGCTATGTCCAACGAGATGGGTTCCTCTGCGCCGCCACAACGATGATACAGATCATAATGGATATTGGATGCTAGATGACAGAGGTAGTCTTTTCAGAGGAGAAGACCATCGCTTATGTTGTCTCCCAGATAACGACGCACCCACAGGTGGCTAGTCCGACTTTAATCAAGGCGGTTGTGAAGCAAACTGTCCAGACGGGATGTCTGAGCTCGGCGGGACAAATCAAGGCTGCTCAAAGATTTGGCAAATACCAGGCCGCTTGTTGTACGAAAGGGAAGAAGAGCACTTCACTCTATGAAAACTATGAGTGGGGGCTTCTTTCGAGTGCGATCATCTAGCTATCCAGTTGCGAAATCTGGTCTCTTCCTCAAATTTTGCAATGGGAACGGAGGATCGCCTATGGTGGTGACTGGAAAACCAACGTCAATGAGTAGTCGAAGTATTGCTGTGATACTGATCATGAGAACATGACATTCCACGATTGCGAGTGGGAGGAAAAGTATAGCTCCACTGGGTACAATGCCATCCCATCAAAGCGGGATGGCATCATAAAAGTATGCTCTCGGATTGACAGTGAAACCAGATATCCTAGAGAGGCTATGAAAAAGGCCACATGGGCCGGTCGAGATTTGTAAAATGCCAAGCAATTGGTTCTGGGAAGCAGCTGGGGTATGTTTTTGTCGAATTGACCTCGTGAAAGTCGCGTGAAATATCTGTAACAACCAGCTCAAGGTCAATAGTATGGTCATATGCAACCGCAGACCACTATATCCAAATACCTCTGCGAACGCTATATACTCATAATAGATCCACCATTCGAAGATTCCTAGTTGTGGTCGACGTACGTAGCGAGAAGGGGGTAGGTTATTTATTGAGAGAGTGTGTGCACGGGATTTTCTAGAGGAAGGTAATATCGTATATAAGACGATAGTACTAGTAGAACAAGAGGTCGAGGGCGATTTCATAAAAATCGATTTTGAGAGGGAGCCAGAGCTATGTAGCTTATTCCAGAGGGGAGTATAAGTCGGACGGTTCACGGCTCGTCGAGGGAAGTAAGCAAAGCAATCAAGCGCCACTGGGCCCATGTGGTATCGTCTCCCTCCTCGGCCCGACATATACGCTAATAACGCGTGAATTACAATAACCTAGGGTTAGGGTATATCTAAATCAATTAGATCGATAGGGTAGAGTCGATTTAATTTGGTAGGGTCGTTTGTTCGGAATATAGGCTTTACTTATAGGATACCCCAAAATATATCGGTAATAATATTTCGATAATACCCGGTCTCTAGAAGCGAAAAAAGAGAAAAAGGAGTTAAGAACTACACTATAAGCCAGTATAGCATATTTTGAATGTAGAAAACTTCTAAATTAAGGAAAGGAAAGGAAAGAGAAGAGAGAGTGGGTAGCTACAAAACACTACCAATTAAGAGTAGCTCACCTGTCCTCGCACCATGCGTCAGTTTCGTTGCTTCGGCGGTTGCATACTGCGTAGATAGTAGAAGCGGCCCCACTGGCCTTTTGGGGGCTGAACCAAACACTTTATGCCGACTTCCTACCTCTTCTCTTTCCTTCCAACACCGCTTTGAACACACTCATACTTCAATATGGTTGAAAAAAACAGTGCGGCTGATCGTCCTCTACGAATTGGCACTCGTCGATCAAATCTAGCCGTCGTCCAGGCTGAGGGCATCCGCGCCAGTTTGCAAAAGATAGCGCCCGAACGGACATTTGAAATTGAAACCCTCCACACGCTGGGCGATAAAGACAAGTCCACGGCACTCTACGAATTCGGAGCAAAGTCCCTATGGACAAGCGAATTGGAAGAGAAACTCAATTCTGGCGAGATAGATGTTGTCGTCCATTGTTTGAAAGGTAGGCTACTTTTCCCCCCGCTTGAAAGCAAGTCTAATTACAGACCAGATATGCCAACTACACTCCCTGAATCGTGCGACCTCGCACCAATTCCACTTCGCGACGATCCTCGCGATGCATTGATCGTCAAAACTGGTCTGCCTTATACGAGCTTGCAGACTCTACCCGAAGGCGCAGTCGTCGGTACTTCATCAGTGCGACGCTCGGCGCAGCTTCGTCGCCTGTATCCCCATCTGCGCTTTGCAAATTTGCGCGGAAACGTCGAGACCCGTTTGGCGAAGGTTGATAATCCCGAAAGCGAGTATACATGTATGGTGATGTCTGCAGCTGGTCTTGAGCGCATTGGACTCAAGGATCGTATCAACCAGTACATGGGTTCCAAGGACGGAGGAATTCTACATGCGGTTGGTCAAGGAGCGCTTGGGCTGGAGATTCGCAAGGGCGATAGCGAGACTTTGGCGTTGGTTAGCAATTTGGCGGATCAATGGTCGACTCTTGCTTGTCTTGCGGAGCGGGCTCTTATGCGTACTCTTGAAGGAGGTTGTAGTGTTCCGATTGGTATTGAGACGGAATGGGTTGATCGGGCACAGTATCTTTTGAGGATTTCGGCAATTGTTGTTAGTCTTGACGGGTCTCAGAGTGTACAGGATTCTATTGATGTTACTGTACAGACCAACGAGGAGGCTACTGCGCTTGGACAGACATTGGCTGCGAGGCTTGTAAAAGGAGGTGCTGGTGACATTCTGAATTCTATCAATATCAACCGACCTGCTAAGGAGTGATTCAGTTGCGGTCTTTTGTATTATAGTGGAAATACCCCCCTCATGTTTTTAAATTACGCATCTTCTCTATTAAGCGATATCAAAATATCTACCTCGTCTCCGTTGAACTCAAGGTACCGTGCCTTGCATAAACTAGGCTTGCAAGTTAATCTCGAGTCACTGTCCAGATGTGTAAACACAAAGCTCTCTTATTTTAGAACCATCCTCAGTCTAGATAAAGCGCAGCTTGTGCACTCTAATTGCGGAAAAGCATCTTCTATAGAACAGGAACATGCGTGTACGGGCCATAAAGCATGAAGAGCAACCGGTGTATGTACGGGAAAAAAAAGCAGAAAATATGAAAAGGGAAAAAAAGCCCAACGCCTAAAAATATCAACCTCCATCCCCGGGTATCTAACGAAGTGAAGAGCAAGACCGCCATTGAACCCCCATCTGAAACCGAATTTGTATCCGAGGAAAAAAAAAAGCAAAAAAAGCAAATAGAACACCCCTGAGTTCGTAATGGGAAAACCTCAGCCAAATCATGGCAAGGGCTTGAAAGATATCCCCGAAAGAGTATAAAGTCGTGGGAATAAAAGACACGACTATTTGAATAGGCTGCGGTATTCCCGCATGCGTGCCTCCTGCACTTCGCGCTTGTCTAGCTTGCCGCGGTTCATGGACATGTCGGCGAGCTGCTGCTTCTTCTTTGCAAGCTCAAGGATCTTCTCTTCGATGCTGCCTTTCATGATGAATTGCACCGTTTCCACAGGGCGGTGCTGACCCAGCCGGTGAACTCGATCCACGGCCTGGGCAACCGCAGCAGGGTTATACTGGGGCTCCATGATAAATACCCGAGATGCCGAGGTCAGATTGAGACCAACACCACCAGCGCCGATAGTGACCAGAAGCATGGTAATTTCGTTATCTTTGGCGAAGGCCTCAAGTGCTTTTCCACGTGCTTGAAGAGTCATGGTACCGTCAAGACGTACGAATTTGCCGAGGCCCTTGTCACGGATTGCTATTTCAATCAAATCTAGATGCGAAGTCCAAGCTGAGAAGATGACACTCTTGATGGGAGGTTCACCGACCAGCAACTTGCTGTCATCTGCAATTCTTTGTAGATATTCAACAAGCGCAAGAGTCTTTGTATGAGGGCCTTCGTATTCGCCAAGCATTTTGTTTGTCTTCTTGACACTTCCTTGCACCTGTTGGTCTTCAATACCACCTGCAGTGATAGTGGCATAGTTCATTGGAATCCAACCATCACAAACCTGGCATTGGGCCTCCGACTCAGGAGTTGAATCAAAGACATTTTTCCAGCCCGCGAAACAGTCGGGGCAGAGAACACACCAACATGGTAGGTATATGGCCATCGGTGCATCGCGGTCCACAGCTCCTGCGCCGGTTAGAGGCTCAGACAAGGGATTATTGCAAATTTGGCAAGGCGGTACCCCATCTTGTCCCATAAGCATGAACATTTCATAAGCCTTCTTGTTCATCCCAGTCAGGCTGTCGTCAGTAGCACCCTCTTCCAAGTCGATCGCATCATGGACACTCATGCCCTTGATTCTTTCGCGCTCGTCAATATCAAGAAGTTCTTTTCCATGGGCGCTGATCTGTCGCAAAATCATCATGGCCTTAAGCACATGATGGTACATGCGGCCACCCATCTTCGTCTTACTTTCTCCTGCGATAACACGCATCATGACCTGTGATTCGTTACGGAAGAATTCATGCAGCTTATGCTCCTTCTCCGAGAATTCTAAGGTGATGATCTTGTCCTCCCGAGGCGGAAGGTCAATCCGGTCTTTGACACGGCGCAGCGTGAAAGAGTCCACCAGCACACGTAGGCTGGCCAGCACGGTGGGGTTGCCAGTCTTGAATGGGCTCAAGATGTGCTGACCAAAGCGGGCGCGGTCGTTGTAAGGAAAGAGATCCAAGAACTTGGTGACTGAGAGGAGATCCTCCAGGCGATTCTGGATGGGTGTACCTGTGACTGACCACCGACGTTGCGAGCAGAGATTGAGAATTGCCTTTGTCTGCTGAGCCCCTTGCTCACGGATAATATGTGCTTCATCCAAGACAATGCGGAACATATTCATTTTCTTCAAGGGGCTTCCACGCTTGGCGCCCCTGCCCGAGTATTCGCTGAGGATTGTGCTATACGTCGTGATCAAGAAATCATAGGTGGCAAGCTCATCCACATTGGTAATCCGATTTGTACCATGATAGACGTACCATGTGCAGGTCCTCGGTCTGACATGCTCTTTGATTTGAACCACCCAGTTATTGACAGCACTGAGTGGCACGACCAAGAGAGTAGTCTTGGTGTTGCGAATTCCTGGAGTTTGTCGAACGAGATGGCGGTCAGGCACCTGCCTTGTCCATTCTCGTGATTCTTTGAGCGAAGAAAGAGCCAAAGAAAGAATGCTTAGTGTCTTTCCTAGGCCCATCATGTCGGCCAAAAGACCGCCTAGGATCTGCGGAGGTTCCTGGTCAACGACGACGCCACTGATGATGTCCTTGTACCGTTTGCTTCCATTGGATTGTATTTCAACACGCCAAAGCGAATTGTTGTCCTCTTCTTTCGGTCCAAATGTGCGAGGCTTTTCTTTCTGCGTCATAAACCAGAGTGCTTGCTTTTGGTGGTGCAGAAGAGGTGTCTTCACTTGCGGGGGAGGCTCCATTGATGGTATGTCGGCAGTCACAAGTTGATCGAACATCTTCATGACGGCATCATTTACCTCCTCGGCCGTGCGAACTTCGAATCGCATACCTTGTCCTGGTCGGTCACGGGAGTTGTTGCTCGCTGCTGCAGCAGCCGCCAACGCCTGCCTTCGCTCTGCATGTGGGTTGAATAACGGCACGCCACTTTCTACGAATTGAGGTGTGCCCAGCCAGACATTCTTTTGACCCATATGGTTACCGATAAGCGCTGCGTGTCGTCGCTCGCCATAGAGAATAAGCGATACTCGGTAAATTCCCGATGTGGCACCCCAAATGACCTCCCCTGGAACCTTCTTGCGCATATCGAGGCGAGCGGTGATTTCCAGGGGCACACTCGGGGAGTCCAGCAAAGGACAGAGAGCTTGCGCGGTTTTCGCGTCAACCATGCCAAAGATTTTCTTGTTGGGATCCGCGACTTCGATGATAAAGTTGTTACGCTGTTGGCGTAGCACAAATAGTCTCATAGTGGGCCATGTATTTGCTTCATCTCCAAAAATGGGGTTAGCAAGCGGCTTTGGCACCAGACTCGCATTGACCATGGCGTTCTCAACCTTTCCGAAACATACTCGTTGGTTGCTCAAATCGTTGGACCCAGTAACTTGCAGATCGTCATCGTCATTTGAGACAGATGCCGTCAAGTCTACCACATCTGCCAGGGCGGCTGGCGGGGTTGGCTTGGCCTCGCCGTCTTTCATGAACTGGCCGAGACCGCTGTCACTTGAGATCGCAACCGGCCTTTTCGCGAAAGCATCCTTCCATTCTTCATCCTCCAGCTTCTGTTTCTTGACCAACGGCTGCTGTCTCCGCTGCTCCACGTCGTAGACGCCCTCGATCAGATTCCGTGGACGTGCATCATCGGCGTCGCTAATATCATGGTAGCTGCGCTTGGCATCACTTTCGTTGCCATCGTCGTTAACACTGGTGAACTGCACAGCTAGATCGGAGTCAGACTTGGGCGCGTGGCTCGGTGCGGGGCTCGAAGTTGCTGGAGTAGTCGCCATGGAGGGAATTCGAGATTCACTCTGGTAAGAGCGAAAAACAGGAACGGTCCCTGGAGGTGCAATATGTTGCGCAGAAGTGAGGGGAGATCGGTTCATATTCTGTTGAGACGCGCCTGCAGCAAGTAAGTCACACTGTCTAGTCGAGTCCAGGTCTATGGGATCGAGGGGAGTAGAAGTAAAGTTTCCACCTGGGGCTTGTGGCATTTTGTTCAAGGGTTGCATGTTTACTTGCTGAGGATCTTTGGGGAGAAGAGGGGAAGCAGGATCGTTACCATTGCTTTGGAGTCGCTTTTTATAGGCTTTGGGGTCCAGGAGCATCGCCGCCCGGGACTCCATGGCGCCTTGAATTTTGATATATGGCGCAAGGGAGGTTCCTTGACTCAGGTTGCGGTGATCGTATGGCGGAGGGAAAGTGATGAGCGTAGTGAGAGCGGCAGAATGAAGCGAGGTTTTGGAGAAAGTCCGGGTGACCAAGCAGACGTGAGCGGTTTCGACGCGTAGAGCGAATCTCGCGCGACATTTGAGTTGGGGAAGAGAGAGATATGAGCAGTCGGCACAGGGTGCGCCGGTGCTCTGATCTGGCCCGGGTATGCGCGAGATGTGAGATGAAGGTACTTGGGGTATCCTGTTATCTGGATTACTATCAATCAGTCTGCGTATGTAAGCGATCACGGGGTGGGGCATATGGGGTACAGTGGTCGGGGCCGGCAGAATCCTAGCTAACTATCTCTGTAGCTTATGCCTTGCCTATCATAACTGTAGAATTTAGATAAACTATTATTCAGCCAGCTTAGAAGGGCTAGCGGAAAAAAGGATTTGAGCTCATTTTCTTGGTCAGGTTGTATCGTGTTCAGGTGCAAATCAACTAGACGGAGCAGTGACGACACACAATTACCTCGTCGGATTTAGTGTGCGCAGCAGAAAAGTGAACAATCTACCACCAATATCCCCTAGGTAGGGTCGGATATTGATTTCAAGATTCCTGCACTTCTCCAGGTGGCCTTGAGATCGATAAATTACACAAAGACCTAGGTCGAATATCGATGATGTAGGGACGATGGTATCATGGAATTAAGTCTCGTCATATATGCTACATGAGGCGCTCAATCAATGCGCCACCCAAGGCAATCCGAATAACCAGAGAAGGTCTATATACAACACAAATTCCCCAATCATGAACGTGGCATGTGAAAGGAAGGAGAAATGGAAAGAAAATGGACCTATGCAGAATGACCGGGGGGCCATTTAGCATGTGTCACCAAGAACATCAGGGACGTGCCGGGGATTTGGCGATTGCGTCAAGGTGGCCCCGAGAAAATGGACGCTAAAGAAAACATTTGCGAATTAAAATGTGAAAGGAGGAAGCGCAAGGGCATAAGAATGGGAGCGGGGAGAAGACAACTGTGCAAAGCAACACGTCTCTTAGCACCATGTGAAAACGGGATTTTTGCTCTTGACGGCCTCAAGGCGCTCCACGATCACTTTACGCTGGTTGCCTTCCATTCCCTCGGCGACGGCATATCCGAGATCGCCTTCCAGGTCATCACTGCCAAAAGTATTGACATGAGGCACGCGGAATGATAGAGAGCCACCGTGTTTGCGCTGTTTATTGGGTCGGTCGGGAAGCGAAGGCCACCCGTCGAGAGACCTCGCATATGCGCCGTCGTTGGTCTGTCGAGAGAAGTCGGCCTCGTTGAAGGTGGCGGGACTGCCGAATGAGTCAGTGGCTTTGTGGTTGTCATCGTTGGCACGGACCCGGGAGAGCTCGAACCGGTTCGGATTGGGTAGGTCGGAGCCTAGTCCCAAAAGATCGTGCTCAAGCTCGGGTATTTGCTGGGATGAATTGGCTGCGCCAATATCCATCTCTTCTTCATCCGGATCGTACTCTGCGGTCTGACGTCTTTGCATATCCGAGGTTGGCGCTTGCATAGGAATGGCCACGGGTACATCCACCAAGTCATCCCAGACGCAGACTCGAGTTCTTCGAGTCAACTCAAGTGGGCCATGATCAGGCTGTTTCAAGGTCTCGACCACGTTCCAGGCCTGACCCTTCATGACAGCGATTTGCCGGGCGAACATGCTTTCCTTGAAGTCAGCATCCTGGGAAAACACCTGTCGCAAAGCCATTTGTGTGCCAGTCCACCACGCAGTTGATGTAAGCAATGGTAGGAAGTGATCGCGAGTTTTTTGCGAAAAAGGCTGTCCGATCAAGGAAACTGGCAGGAAAAGCCATCCGAAGGGAAGCTTCGCCACTAGGAATTGATTAGTACTGGATGATTAAGGCATCGTGCGGGGGAAACGTACTGCGTCTGGATGCTTCCATGGCCATGACAGACTGTTGTCAATAGCACCGAGTTGAATCGAAGCTTGCTGCTGTGATGATGCTAAGGGTGTACCCGTTCGACTCACGGCCTGCATCGGATCATGTCGTCTATAAGGGTGAGGGCTGCGGGTGCCGTTCGAGTTCACAGAGACCGGTCGGTTGGGAGGGAGAAGCTCGTCATCGTCGTGCTTGGGTGCGGTCTGCGTGGGTTGCGGGGGGATCCGCCACAATGGACACTTGCTCAGTACCCCAGTCAATCTTGACCATCCAATTATCCAAGCCTCTATCTGTGTTGCGCATGATATAGTCCAGAATCACGAGCTTTTCCAACTCTTCGCGGAAAGACTGCATGAGGTTTTCGGTCCAGTTGAAACGACGCTCGCGGCTCTCGTCGCGCGGGTTCGGTGAAGGCATGTAGCCGTTGGCATTGTCGTCTTCGTCGTCAGATTCCACACCCGATGGACGACAGGTCTCGTTCCACGGGCGCTTCTTGCGCTTCGGGGCATCCTCAGCACGGAAGCCGGTATTGGTCTGATCTGGCCAAGGATGCTCGCGGAGGAAAATATTAGCATCCTTGTATCCTTTGAGGAAGACCTGGAAGCTGCCAGCCTTTGGAGGCAGTGTCTTCTTCCCCTTCCATGCCTTACGCCGATCCCAGAAATCGTAGAAAAATGACTTTGAGGAAAGGTAACAGATGTCGGTATAGGGGACCATGTTGGTGCGCAGGCGGGCATCGAGGACGTATGCGGCGGCTTCGGAGACGTAGGAGAGGTTAGGAATGAGACAGGCCCGTCCAAAGAAGCAGGGGAACAAGTTCCGGTGAATCCACTTGGTCCATTTAGGATTGCGAGAGGCGTAAGGTTCTTCGTCTTTGGGTTTGAAGACACCTACGACCTTGCCTTCAGGATTGCGAGCAAAGTAACTACCCGAGCTTCCCTGCGCAATCATACGAGGATGCACATCTAACTCAATTGCGAGACGAACACTTTCAATGATCTCCTCGTACTCGGCTCGTGCTCTCCGTTGTTGACCCTCGAATTCTTCGGACTCTAGTTCTTCTGTAGTGACGGGTCGAACACCTGGAGGGGCTTGGAAGACTGAGTGGTAGATCTCCAGCTTCTCTTCCTCGTAGGTCTTGCCCTTGACTCGGTTGATCTTAAACTTGTTTGCAATCTCTTCCGCCCAGCGCTCGAAGCGCGCATTGATTGCCTTGATGTCGACACCGGAGTTTCGACGCCCTCGGCGTTGGAATCCACTGTGTCTGCGTCGATGGCCCGGGGGCGTGGCGAGACCGGACGCCTGCATCTGGGCTCGAGAGGAAATAGGGGCATAACGGGGGGCCGAGGTCGAGACAGTTGAGGAGGCAGCGCCGAGGTCGTCATCTTCGGAGTCGTCGTGGAGGTAACCACGCTCCTCCTCCTCCTGGGCGAGACGGGCGTATCCTGACGTGGCAGGGCGAGTTTTTGGCATGATGAAGGAGGGGTCTAATGAAGGGCTGAACGAAATGACAAAGGTCTGCAAAAGAAACGAAGGACACGAAGAGACGTTCAATCCATGACAAGATTAGGGTGGTTGAAAGCAGGCGCCAGGGCAAAATAACTGCACCCGTCACCGATGATTATTATGGATCCGTACGAGGCAGGGGGGCGCTCGGGTCGAGGTGACCCGTTATTTACCGTGGCGGTGGGCCGATGCACGGCAGAATCGCCAATTGCAGCGGGGTTTCATCGTGTTTCACCGGGCTCTGAAGGGTGCCGTTCGATACAGGGTCGTAATACCAGTACGCACCGCCAACAAGCGGGTCTCCACCACATAAAAGGGGCTGCGCTTGTCTGAACAACTTCACATTGGAGGACAGAAGCTGGGGCCTGGCCGACCCACTTGCTTACCTGGCCAGAAGTTCCCAATGCTGGAGAAAAGGTACATTTCTACGGAGTATAGACCATGTGCAGAGCTATAAAAGCTGGGTACCTGGGTACGTGCACATCCCTGGATACATACAGATCCAGCTCTAGAGCCTCGAGGAGTGATCTCACGGGCCATAGCTCCATAGTATTTGAAAACATGGATCCCTAGACCCGAGATATGAGACCCGGGCTATCAAAGGAAGAAATATTGCATAGACCGGGGAGGCAGGTAGAACATTCCGGCATAAAATACGGTTCCCAGCATGCGCGCGATAAGTGATAAATTTCGATACGCGCGATAATAACAATCGGCAAGGATAAGACTTCTTTCTCCATCTTCACGATCTTCACCACCAGGGCTATTTCTTCTCTGGGATCCATTGATCTCTTTCTTTCATTTCATTTCGATCCGTTTCATCGAATGCGATTTGCCAACTCGCCAGTTCGCCCTTGATATCTGAAAGCATCGGTCCTTTATCACCGTGCTGTGAAACGGATCGAGTCCTGCCTTCTCAACTTCGACTTGCTCTTTCTACGTCCGAATCTGCCCTACATTGTGTTCAATTGCTTTTCGACAGCATCGCGCGATTCGCCGACACTTCGTGCTGATTTCCCCTTTGTCCCCCCGTTCGGTCTCACGCGGCCAGATTTGAATCGAATCGCTCTCGCCCTCCATTGTGGCTTCCATCCTCTATCGGGCGTCGCCCATCGACCCGGCTCTTAAACCTGCCTCGTCTGCGCAGACTCCAGATCTCGCCCGCTTCGACTCTCCATCCGACGTCTCTGCTACCAGCCCCCCAACGGGCACCAATATCCCGAAGGCATTCGCCCCAGCGCTGCCGGATCTGAACAGCATTGGAAAGTTCGACTTTCGTGATAACTTCCCCGACTCTGTCTCTGTGAGCACTTCGCTCCCAGGATTGGCCGCGCTTGCCTCAGTTGCGTCCGCGCCCACCTCGAATCTACGGTACGTTCTCAAATGAGAAGAGGCATCGGGGCCCGGCGGCTTTGAATCTATCTTGGTTATCGAGAGGATAAGCACCGGTCTTTCCCCCTCTTCTATTCTCAGCCGAAAGGCCCCTCTTTTCATCTGCAGGAAGGGGGGCCCAATGAGCGCCTAGAATGGACTGGCTGACCGGCTTTCTATTCTTACAATCTACAGGGAATCCAGTGTGAATGGGCATATGGTGAATATGAGCTACGCGACATCATCACCAGCGGCTACTACGGCCGGACAGGGTAATGGCCCAGTAAGTACTCCGAAATGTGGTTTCATGAATTTGCACCTTATCGCGTTATCTTCCCAGTCGGGACGTTTATCAGCGACTGACTGGGGTCTTGGCACCACCCGATCCGTGCGCTCCTATCCTTATCGAACCCGTCAAATCTCTCCCAATCTTATCATCGCACACCCTCCTCTTCTTCCCTCTTTCTCTACCTGACACTATGGCGACTACATTGACTGACGACAAGCGTCCCCAATTACAGCCCGTTTGCCAGAACTGCGGCACCTCGACCACCCCCCTATGGCGTAGGGACGAACTCGGCTCTGTCCTGTGCAATGCCTGCGGTTTGTTCCTCAAGCTGCACGGGCGGGCTCGTCCGATAAGCCTGAAGACCGATGTGATTAAGAGTCGCAACCGCGTGAAGACCGGGCAGGGCCCAAAGCGCAAGGTGAGTTCGCGATCTGAAAATTTCTGCTGCCCCCTTCGCGTTCTCATCTTTAGATAAGAAATTTACCCGATGCTGACCACCGCGATCTCTCATAGTCTGGCGGCCCCGTCGACGCCAACGGTCTCACAGGACAATCCGATGCGGTTACACCCCCTCTTGGCTCTCATGGCTACCGTCGCGCGTCGCGCAAGATGTCCTCGGGCCACTCGGATCGCTCGAATTCCCCCTTGTCGCGAACGGAGACGCCTGGCTTTGCCGCCATGCATGGCCACAACTCCAACATCGCGCCGCAGCACATGTTCGACAGTGTCACTCGAGGGGACGGTACCTTGAGTTCGTCCGGTGGTCTTCCTTCCCTCCCACTTCGGCAACCTTCTCCATCAGCTGTTGATCGTCAGCTTGGGGAATCACCCCAGACATACGAGAGCCTCTTGGCCCTCAATACCTCCCTCAAGACACGTGTGAGCGAACTCGACTTGATCAATGAGCTGTTCCGCGGTCGCGTTGCGGAGCTTGAACAGAGCGACGCTAGTGCGCGCCGATCTGAGATGATCGCCCGTGACTCAGAAGCTCGCCTACGCCGATCCCTCGATGAGTCCCAGCGTCGCGAAGAAAACCTCAAGCGACGCGTCGAAGAACTCGAGCACCAGATCACTACCGTCAGTTCCGGTGACGGTGACAGCTCAGAGCCCCATGCCAAGCGCATTCGACTGGCGGATATGGTGGAACAGTCTCCCGAGCATTCGCCGTAGCAAGCCAAACCAGAGTAACCAGTTTCCGTGTCCAGCTTCACGGTAGCTCCCTGTTGTTTAACTGCTGTTTCGGTCCCATCCATCCACCGTGTGGTTGCTGTTGCTGGCTTGTCCGATCTCTCCTGGTCTTTTTGATACCCTTCCGACTTTCGTCCTTGGTGGCTGGAACTTCAACAAAAAAGCTCGATACTTGTCTAATTTCCTTTCTTTTATTCTTGCCGGATGTGTCGCAACGGGTCTCCTTTTCTTTTAATTTGCTTCTCGCCGCGGGTTTGTGTACGAAATCTCCCAGTATGCTTCTAATAGTACCTCTTCTTCTTCACCCCTTTTCTTTGATCTGCTTGCGAACACAAGTGGGAGGTCGGACAGCTTAGCGTGGCAATACACTGAATATCAAACGAATCTCATGTTCTGCTTGTTTGATTGCTAAAAGCCTCGGAGCTAGGTTGCGATGCTGGGGAAGCTCTCGGTGGCCCTGTTAGAATATCAGTATGGGTGCTTGGCTCTTAGCCAGTATGACAGGTCAGCAAGCTAAGCTGTTTCAAATCCAGTCTAAAAGGAAACCCAATCTATGACATTGGCATTCGATCACCGGAAGTGGCAAACAAGGCCGAAAGGCACGTGCCACCTGTCCCGTAATACGAAGTATGCTCGTATCCAGGATGAAGTCCCCGTGTAGTTAGTAAATATTCAATTTTTGTGACTTATACAATAGTAGCACAATTTTAAGGACGTCTTAGTGCAAAACGAATGAGAAAAGAAGTGAAACCCCGTATCTAGAGAAGACTTCTCTCTCCCCGGGGAAAGGGTACTTCGAGGCTCCATAGCTTCTTCCCCAGACACTACATGTCAACAATGATGCACATTTTCTGCATTAAACCTTAAAAGGTCAAATAGAGATAGAATGATCACCGACTGCACAGACGCACCGCCTTTAGGAAAGCAATCACGCGTGACAAGCACCGGCAGAAATGCTTGGCGCCCTGACGTTGCTCGGCAGAGGTGGAGCGCCGCTCTTGTCTCCGTTATCGCGCGTAGGCGATTACGACGCTCCTGAAACTCACTCATTCTCTTTCTCTCGCTTTCTCGCTCTCTCTCTCTCTCTCTCTCTCTCTCTCTCTCTCTTCGCTTCCGCAGATCTGTCGATTTCTGCCGACACCTGTCCCTCCTTTCTTTGGGCTCCGATGTCCTTCTAACATAATCAACGACCGATATCCTTCGCAACGCTCTCCGATACGCGTGATCGCACCCTCGTTACAGTATACCATTGAGGGATATAGGAGGGAAGCACTCCGATCATAAAGATGACCGGTGCCCTCCATTCGACTGCCCGGATTGTCTCCGTGGTCGCGGGTACGCTGGTGGCTCTGTCCTGCGGAACAAATGTTGGTGATCTGGAGTTCCTGGCATCTTCGGACGTGGCAGTTGACACTTTTCCAGTATGCATATTCCGCGTGGGCTCCGCAATTTGCCCATCAGATGAAGCTCTCGTCGACCGAGAGCAACTTGATCGTAAGTCGCAGGTGATGTGGTGGTGGACCGATGTTGACAGCTTGGCAGGGCGTGGCGGGAAATCTGGGCATGTACGCCATGGGTATCCCCATGGGTCTATTGACTGATGCCCGTGGTCCACGACTTGTCACTCTGATCGGTTCAGTTCTTCTGGCTTTAGGATACTATCCCATCTACCTGGGTAAGATGGCCTTCCCCGCATCGTTTCGGCGATAAGGCGTTCTGACCGTCAACAGCCTATCAGAGTGGACCCGGATCGGTCCCCATTATCTTTGTATGCTTCTTCGCCTTCTTGACAGGTACCGGTGGATGTTCAGCCTTTGGAGCTGCCATCAAGACGGGTAGGTTGAATCGCCAATTCATACTTGCGGCGGCGAAACTAATCCATTGACTCTTAGCGGCTTCCAACTTCCCTGATCACCGCGGCACCGCGACGGCCTTCCCACTGGCTGCTTTTGGATTGAGCGCCCTTTTCTGGTCCAACATTTCCACTCTCATTTTCAAGGACGATACCGGTCGATTTCTCCTTCTCCTAGCCATCGGCACATCCGTTCTTTCCTTCTGCTCGATTCCATTCCTTCGAATCTTCGCCCACGAGCCTTACGCGTCCGTACCACACGCTGGCGCCGGAGATCTTTCCGATTCCCAACTTCTCCGCCGACAATCTGTCCCAGATGCTTCCGATTCCAACAACCACAACTCAACTGGGTTCGAGAATGAGCAATCGGCCCACGCACGCACGCAATCAGTGGTATCCAACCACCGACAGGGAGGGCACCCTCATGAATCTGACGAGACCTCGTCATTAGTGTCCAAATCCGACATGAGGCGGTCCTTTGACACTCTAGATGATGATTTCCTTGATGACGTTGCTGTTGAGGCCCACCATCCAGATATCAGAGGCCTAGCCATGATCAAGCATGTCGAGTTCTGGCAGCTTTTCCTGACGATGGCGCTTCTCTCTGGCATTGGCTTGATGACCATCAAGTAAGTTTAGAGGCCCCAAGCAATCAGAGTATAATGCTAACAAAATTTGTAGCAACATCGGCAACAGCGTAAGATCTCTGTCCCCATAATATCGTCTCTTTTTTAACCCCATTCCAGACCAAAGCTCTATGGATGTACTACGACGACAGCGCTTCTTCCAAATTCATTCAGCAGCGCCAGGTCATGCAAGTCTCCATCCTGTCATTTGGCAACTTCCTGGGTCGTCTTTCTAGCGGTAAGAAATACATCGATTTCCAATTCTCACCAACCCGGCCCACTGACGGTATGATCCACATTAGGCATTGGTTCCGATATCCTGGTTAAGAAGCTTGGAATGTCCCGTACCTGGTGTCTCCTCATCTCGTCCGTAGTCTTCACCCTGACTCAAGTGTGTGGATCCTCCATCTCCAACCCCAATACGTTGGTCGTCGTCTCCGGCTTGACAGGCGTCGCGTACGGCTTCCTGTTTGGCGTCTTCCCTTCTTTGACCGCGCAGACTTTCGGCATTGGCGGTCTCTCCCAGAACTGGGGTGTGATGACCCTCGCTCCGGTTTTCAGTGGAAATATCTTCAACCTGATCTACGGCACCGTCTACGACCGTCACTCCGTGATCGGCGAAGATGGCGACCGTCAGTGTCCCGATGGGCTAGTCTGCTACCGCTCCGCCTATTATCTGACCTTCTTCTCCGGTCTCGCCGGTATCTGTGTCTGCTTGTGGAGTATCTTCTGTGAGAGGCGGATCAGTTTGATGCACAGGAAGAGCGGCCACCGCTTGGCATAGATGAGCTGTTTCATCGTGATATTACATATTGGCAGGTTGTTCATGAACTGGCCTGAATCAATTTTGTCTCATTATCCCTTTTGCGGGTAATTTTTTTGGTTGGTCGTTTGCACATCTTATGAGATCGTCCTTTGCTGCTCAAGTATATCCCTAGTCTGAAGCCCAGACTGGTCTGGTACACTATCGGATTTGCCTGCATTTGTGCTTTGCCCCCCCTCCTTTTCTCGACATAGACTTTGATACTCCATGCATGGGTGATTTTCTTTCTTACTTGTGGGCAATTGAGTCTGTGGGATTTTGTCAAACTCAGATTGCACATAGACTTATTCTGAGACGAATAGATTTTCGATGGATCTTTAAAGCTGAACAAAGGAGCAATTGTAGAGCTTCAGACACTTGATTCTCTTACAGACGCGCTCGAAATCACTTTCACCTCTTTACTCTCTTCAATTGTTTGTCAAACTCCATTTTGCATTAGGCTATACCTATTGCAGTTACTCTACCCCTAGCCGTACTTTTGGCGATATCCTGAGACGGTAATACATAATAGCATGAAATAGCTATTGTATCATTGTTGTATGGCAATGCCCTGTCTAGAACCACTCACTTGCAAACAAGCCAAACAGACTAGTTCGGAGGAGATTCGGTCGGCTTTCTGACCACGAACCTTTCATATCCCCTTTCTTGGACTACATTTACTTCAATGATAGAGGAGCGAAGAGTTACGTAGATACAATACTGTTGGGACGAAAGAATTTTTACAACCAACTTATCCGCCGTAAAGATTGCTAGATTCCTCCTTGGGTCCAACCATGTGTTGCACCCTCGATGACCACAATGTGCTGAACTTTTTAACTAGGAAATTAAGGGCAATGATTAACCGCTTTTACCCCATCAGTGATATATTTCAAGCTCAAGACCCCGATCGATCGGACCAGGATTCGCAACACGCCCCCGCCCTAGGATATTACGAACACGCGCCACCGTCAGAGTATTGATTCAGTCCTTCACCGGACCGTTGCCCCCCGGACGGCCCCGTTTGGGATTCTACAGTCTCACGACTTCTTTCTATTAAAGGTGATGCTGGGCATAGGTGCCTAGGCTATTTAAGATCAGACATGTTTAGGAAAGTCACAGGGATCTGAAGTAATATTAAAATCAAAGACCAGGGATGGGACTCTGTTCTGTGACCGCGTAAAATTTGACAAGACCCGACGAACAAGCGATCGCCAAATTTGTTGTAGACATAGCAAAAAGAGAGGATCCAGATGGTCGGTACTCGTCAGGCAACCAAAGGAGGTTGACGCCATTATAGGTTATCCAGGAATGGTCATCATTCAAACCATACCCGTGTTGTTCTGGCAAGGTCGAACAGTGAGGAATGGACGTGACGGGACCAGTGAATCCTATATCAAATGTGCCATATGACGTGTGTAGATGGTTGAAATTGACTTCATCAAATTGAAGGAAGTAGGGAGAGCTGATATGTAGTGTCGATTCGCAATGGCCGGTGTCCGGATCCCAGATCCTGATAGTGCCATCCTCAGACGCTGATGCGAGTCGGCTTCCATCTTGCGACCAGGCAATCAAGTTAATCCAGCCGCTTTGCCCCTCGAGGGTTAACGCGCACTGGCCAGTGGCCGGATCCCAGATCCTAACGGTCGTATCCTCGGACGCTGATGCGAGTCGGCTTCCATCTTGCGACCAGGCAATCGAGGAGACCCAGCCGCTATGTCCCTTAAGGGTTAAAGCGCATTGGCCAGTGGCTATATCCCAGATCCTGATAATGCTATCCTCAGGCGCTGATGCGAGTCGGCTTCCATCTTGCGACCAGGCAATCGAGGTGACCCAGCCATTATGCCCCCCGAGGGTTAACGCGCACTGGCTAGTAGCCGGATCCCAGATCCTGACGGTGCTATCATGTCCCGCTGATGCGAGACGGTTTCCATCTTGCGACCAAGTAATCGAGGTAACTGAATTAGTATGCCCCCTAAGGGGTAACCCGCACTGGCCAGTGGCTGGATCCCAGATCCTAACGGTGCAATCCTCAGACGCTGATGCGAGTCGGCTTCCATCTTGCGACCAGGCAATCGAGGTGACTAATTCGCTATGCCCCTCGAGGGTTGACGCGCACTGGCCGGTGGCCGGATCCCAGATCCTGACGTTACTATCACTAGACGCTGATGCGAGTCGGCTTCCATCTTGCGACCAGGCAATCGAGTTGACTGAATCACTATGCCCCTCGAGGGTTGAAACACACTGACCAGTGGCCGGATCCCAGATCCTGACGGTCTTATCTTTTGACGCTGATGCGAGCCGGCTTCCATCTTGCGACCAAGCAATCGAGAAGACTGAAGTACTATGCCCCTCGAGGGCTAAAGCGCACTGGCCGGTGGCCGAATCCCAGATCTTAATGATATGATACGACGCTGATGCGAGTCGGCTTCCATCTTGCGACCAGGAAATCGAGTGAATCCAGCCGATGTGCCCCTCAAGGGTTAATCCGCACTGGCCAGTGGCTGGATCCCAGATCCTGACGGTGCTATCCTCAGACGCTGATGCGAGTCGGCTTCCATCTTGCGACCAAGCAATCAAGGTAACTGAATCACGATGCCCCTCGAGGGTTGATACACACTGGCCGGTGGCCGGATCCCAGATCCTGACGGTCTTATCTTGTGACGCTGATGCGAGTCGGCTTCCATCTTGCGACCAGGCAATCGAGGTGACCCAGCCGCTATGCCCTTCGAGGGTTAAAGCGCACTGGCTAGTGGCCGGATCCCAGATCCTAACGGTCTTATCTTTTGACGCTGATGCGAGCCGGCTTCCATCTTGCGACCAGGCAATCAAGGTGACTGAATCACTATGCCCCTCGAAGGTTAACGCGCATTGGCCAGTGGCTAGATCCCAGATCTTAACGATCGTATCCTCGGACGCTGATGCGAGTCGGCTTCCATCTTGCGACCAGGCAATCGAGGTGACCCAGCCGCTATGCCCCTCGAGAGCTAAAGCGCACTGGCCAGTGGCCGGATCCCAGATCCTAACGGTCTCATCCTTGGACGCTGATGCCAGTCGGCTTCCATCTTGCGACCAGGCAGTCGAGGTGACTGAATCACTATGCCCCTCGAGGGTTTGAAGACATGAACTCCAATCTTGGTCCACCACCGGCTCCTTCAAAAGCCAATCCGGTTTCTCCCTCTGATAACACATTCTCACGAGGCTTAACATAGGGCTAAATATCAAAGATGAACTATATACTTGGAGGGGGCTACTTTCAATTGCAAGCCTATGGTACCGAATAAACCGGGATGCGTCTTGAACTAGATGTAAAATGTCTGCTGGTTGCCCTTTCTCCTATTGCAGTAGTTATTATCTTAGGGGTGAAGAAGTCTTTAGTATCTAGATAACCACTCACCTGAAGTAAGGCATCAAGCTTTAGCATAGCTACTATGCCTTGTGATAGACCTCCTAGAATACTCAGAGCTTCAAGCCAGTGAAGGTATTTCTTTTGCAAAAATTCACCTATACACCCACTCTCATCAACGTTGAGTTCTTTTCTTTCATGGCATCCGCTAAAAAGAAGATGGTCAACCCAATAGACACACGCATATTTCGCGGTTGCTAACGGATTTGGACTGGGTGGTATGACTTTCTCAATCGGGAATCCAGGAAACTTAAGGTGAAAGATATCGCGTCGAAGTGTCTTAAACATGGCTTGCAAAGAACGAGAAAAGATTCCACGGTGTTCAGCTTCTATACCTCTAGGAAAGACCCCGTTTTGCGTCTCTCTGAGTAAAAATTCCTTTGCAGACTGATGGACGAAAATGATAGTATCATCACGCACAGTCAAAAATGAGCCACAGATTGCAATAATCTCCGATAGGCCTTCAGAGTCGTTAGAGAGACCATCAGGCAGTTCAACAAGAGAGGCCAGTTCGTCAAACGAGATCGGCCGATACACTGTAGACATGACAGCCAGTATACGCTTGCAGAGCTCAACATCTTCTGACTTGCTAATCTGATCGATCATCCGAGCGTACAGAGCATTCAGTCCAGGAGGAAATACCTCCAGCTTCTTAAGAGCGAGCCTCCGCGATGTTCTGTCTAGATCCTGGCAGACCAAGGCTACCCACAGAAAAGTGCCTTGCGAATTCGATGATAAGTAACGGCAGATCATATCACGGGTTTCATCGCTGTATTTTTTGACTTTGGCCAGATATTGAACCTTGTGTTGAATGAATTTGCTCACAGCTTCGGATACAGACGCCTCATTTAGCTCTAATGAAATCGGAGCGGTCTGGGTAGTGCCAAGACGCTCCTCGATATCAAGCCAGTTACGGCTCGAGACAATCCACTTTATCTGTGGGTAAGTAGATGATATCTGAGTAATCAAGTCGAGAAGGGAAGGTAGGCCTATTGTGCATTCGTCCAAGGCGTCGATAATTAAATAGGTGCTCCGTAGGGTCGGGTCCTTTATAATATCCGTGAAGATCCCTAAGAGGGCATTCCATGCGTTTATATCCTCAAACAATGACTTTCCCGCTTTATCATACTGTCTCTGTACATGGGAGAGAAGAGATAGCTGCTTCTCGACAAGCGAAAATATCAAGCCACGGAGAACAGCCGTGGCATTATTGATTCGCACATCCGTAGCTTGGCAAAAAAAGAACAAGATATTCGCAGTGTCCCCAGACAATCGTGTTAATTCATCGATGATACCGCATAGCAGCATTGTCTTGCCTTTGCCAGGATCACCTCTGATCCAGAGGACAGAGTTGTTCTGGTTGTCTCGCCATCGTTGAAACTCCTCGTTGTCGAGGACCCAGCAGTATGAATCTTTGAGCAGCCCTCCGTTGGTGTTCTGAATACGGTCTTTGTCATGGTGAGGATCAGTCGTCCGCAGATCCCGCAGACACACTTGATTCAATGTTTCCGGTTGTACTTGAGCAGCCACACCGGTTAGGTACGCTCTTTTAGACTCATGCGCCCCCACTCACAGAACTGATTAGTGATATGACCAAGGTTCTGTCCAACTTGAAACCCATAGTTTGAACCGTCATATGATGTCGTGTATGCCATTATTGCAGCCAGGTGATTCTTAGAAAGGTTAGTCGCGAGCATATGGCCAAGTCGTCGAAGTACCCCACTATCAGGTGATCTATCAAGCGAGGCTAGGAAGCAAAGACTGGTCGTTTTGGTTCGGGCTCCTCAATCCGTCGAAAACGCAGTAGGTATAATCTTCTCCGTTGAGGAATTTTAGTTACGTCGGCTAATATTTACATATTCATCTGCCTCACACAAGAATGAATGCTGTCAATATTGAAGTCGTGACTCGTGAGGGGTATCGAGGTAGAGGTATCAACCGTATTGTTATTTCCAATATATTATACATTACCATATCATGTGACTTTGAGTTACAATACGTTTCGGTCCTCTGAAATGGCCTAACCCGAATACAGACTAGCGTCTTCCAGGATAAAGTTTGAGAAAGAAACGAAGAGAATAAAGTGGTGAAACTGATTTCGAGTGCGTCTGTACTCCTTCTCAACCTCTTTGTAGAAGTCTTCTTAGACGTCAGTTTTCGATCTTTTGGCTGTATTTATTGGTAACTTGATACGCTTCAATCAGATGCCACTTCGATGCAAATTGAAAATCAGTCAAAATCGCAAGTCCCATCCAATCTGGGGCCCAAGATTGGGCAGTTCATCGGCCACAGTTTGCACATCTTTATCTCCACGGCCACTCAAGCACAAGACGATTTCTTTGTTAGGACCCAGCTTTTTGGCTGTCTCGACAGCGCCCCATACCGCGTGAGAGGTCTCCAATGCGGGTATAATGCCTTCGAGCTGGCTCAGCAGGCGGAAGCCCTGTAGGGCCTGGGCATCAGTAGCCGAGATAAATGTAGCCCGGTCACTCTCTTTCCAGTTTGCAAGTTCCGGCCCGACTCCCGGGTAATCAAGCCCCGCAGAGACAGAATGGGTGTTGGAGATTTGGCCATGCTGATCCTGCAGGACATATGTCCGAACCCCATGCAGAACTCCCACAGAGCCTCCACTTAGCGTCGCTGAATGCCGAGCCGTATCAAGCCCATCTCCGCTAGCTTCCACACCAACTAGTTGCACAGACGAATCCTTAGAGAATGGATAAAACATGCCCACTGCGTTCGAGCCACCTCCCACGCAAGCAACCACGGCGTCGGGGCTTTTGCCTAGGTCCCGTAGTTGGGCTTTTGTTTCGTCTCCGATCACACTTTGAAAAGTGCGAACCATAGTCGGGAACGGATGTGGTCCGATTGCTGAGCCGATGATATAATGTGTTGTGTCCAGTCGAACAATCCAGGCGCGGAACGCTTCGTTCACTGCATCACGGAGGGTACGCGAGCCTGACTCGACGGGGATGACAGTGGCACCTAGCAAGCGAATCCGGAAGACATTCAATGCCTGGCGACGGACGTCCTCTGCGCCCATGTAAATTGTACATTTCATACCGAATTTCGCGCAGACGGTGGCGGTAGCGACGCCATGCTGGCCTGCTCCCGTTTCGGCGATAATTTCTGTCTTTCCGAGTCGACGAGCAACGAGAATTTGACCCAAGGCATTGTTGATCTTATGAGATCCCGTGTGGTTCAAATCCTCGCGTTTTAGCCAGATGTTGGCTCCGCCCGCGTACTCGGTAAGCCGTTCAGCTAGATGCAGACTAGATGGACGGCCCATATAAGGATAGTAGGATTTGTATTCTTCCCAGAAGGTCGGATCATTCACCGCAGTTTGGAAACCGGCATCCAATTCATCCAGACAAGTGATCAAGGCTTCTGGGGCATATTGACCGCCGAAAGTACCAAACCGGCCGGGGCCATCGGTAGAAATAGCTCCCTCGGAGTCCACGGCCGAGTCAGGCGCACTCATCTCGGGAGCTGAGGGAGCCACAGCGACCGAACCATCTAGAGCGACCTTTCTCTGTGTGATTTGCGAGCAGTAGTCCTCGACAAATTGTGCGGCTTGGCCAGCTGGAGCGTCACCAAGAACCGTAATTACTTGACTGCCGATGACGGCGCCGTCGGCGATAGAGGTCACGCTCAGGAAGTGCTCGCGCGTGCTAATTCCAAACCCAACCGCCACAGGAACGTTGCCCGAAAGCTCCTTGACACGCTTAATGAGAACAGGGAGCTCGGTGTTGAGTGTTCCAGTAGCACCAGTAACGCCCATGCGAGAGACAAGGTAGATGAATGAGTCGGCCATGGTGCAGAGGGTTTTCATTCGCTCCTCGGTTGTGGAAGGTGCGATCAGAGGTATGTAGGATAGACTTTCGTTCCAAAACAATTAGTATTGACCATGAGTTTATTCGAATGCATTCGACGTACCTCGCCTTTGTACAGCCATTACGGAATCGAATTGCTTCCTTCAGAGGCAAATCGACTACGATAAAGCCATTGACGCCTGCCTCTTTGCAATCCGCAAGGAAATTGTCTTCCCCGTACCGCAGGATTGGGTTATAGTAGCCCATAAAGAGCACAGGCGTTCTGAGTCCATTTCGGCGGGCGTCGCGGACCATGTCCAACATCGAGGAGATGGTAACACCATTCTCGAGCGCTTTCAAATTGGATTTTTGAATTGTTGGGCCGTCAGCGATTGGATCGGTGAAAGGCAGACCGAGCTCAATAATATCTGTTGAGTTCCCATTGGGATGAGTTCTCAATTGTGTTGCGAAGAGGATGTAGTAGCTTACCAGCGCCTCCGGCTTGCATGCCCAGCAAAATGTCACGAGTTTCCTCCACGCGGGGAAAGCCTGCTGTCACGTAGGTGACCAGGGCCGGGCGGCCTTCTCCCTGGCATTGGGCAAATGTCTGTCGAAGGTGATCCATGGTGAAGGTTGGGGAGGAAGAAAGGAGAAGAATGCGAGAAAACTAAAATGACTTGAGTAGTTAAGAGTCATCGACATGGAATCCACTTGTAGGCTATCTGTTGACTTGATTGGTGAGTCTAATCGGCCCGCTCCGGCTCCAGATTTCTACGATGATCAAGATAACCGACTTGTACCCTTTTTGATCTATCCTCCCTATTAAAGCATCCCACATATCGCAATCCGAGGTTGTCGTTCCTGGGTTGGCCGTGTGGCTCTTCTTTGACTTAAAGAAATTTTTGACTGAATTGGAGCTGCCAAAGTTCAGATCCCTCTGTCCAATTCCTCAAGGAACAGCTCTGAAGTTGATCTCGAGCAAATCCAAAAATTCACTTATGACACGGCTATCCATATTCGTCGTAGCAGTGGTCCTTGAAGGCAACAAAATAGAGCCGCACGTTGTTTTAATTATTTTATGCTGGTATATTCAAGCAAACGTACTTCGAACACATGAAATTCTAGTTCCACATAACATGACAGGGATCTGCTGATCCTAGCGTTCCAACATTGAAACTATATCCTACCCTGGCGTAATTATAAAGTCCTATCTATTAATAACATCTCTGGTTCCCCCGGAGCCTTGCTCTCCCATTACAGATCATCCATATAAATGAATGGATAGCTATAGCGAGGGAGTTTATCGTCCTCGCCCTGGTATGAAATCATTGTCTATAGCTTAATGAAAGCACTACATATTTACATAATCGTTGCTTCCGTAGTCCTACGGTCTATATTTTGTCTGCAACGATTACTAAAGAGGCGTAGTTTCCCCTTATCTGTTAACATTTAAAAGTTAGAATCCTCACTGAGTGACTAAAATGAACTTCTATGATCAACTTAGTGTAGTAGTGTGAATAGAAGAGCCCGCTTGGGATAATTTATATTTAATGTAGGTCTGATACAGGTTGGAGAGAAATTCCGATGCATAAGGGGTTACACAACCTGGAAATTCTGTAGTGGTACATAGGCGTGGCAGGGAGATCAGAAAGAATGAATAATCAGCAGTAAATGGATCTCTGATCTTTTGTCGGATTTATTAGACAGTTTTCCCGACTTTCTTTTGGCATGACCCAAATTACTCTAGTTTAAGAGACCTGTGGACTTGATTGTCTTTTTGACGGATGTACCAGCAGCCTTTTTATCCGTGGATTATCTAACATTGATATTCATGTCCTGACTGAAACGGTTTCAATATCCCATACTCATATTCTCATAAAGTGCTGCTTCAAATGATGACGGATATAGCCTTTCGTTTCCTTGAGAGAGCTTTCATCCAATCTGCCGTATGCACCGACTGAAGACGGCGTGTTTGCAACGGAGGATGCAGCCAGTTCTTGTCTGACGTTCTACTGGGCTGCCACATACGTCTTTAGTCAAGAACATTGGGCTCTCTAGGTCTAGCCTTGAACAGCTTTTCGCTTGCCCGATACAAAGGTCCGCAAAATAACCATGTTCCACTTCAACATATGAAGCTATCTTATCATTTGTTCTATTTGAGCTACCGAGGGATTATATCAGGCGCCGGGCTTGCTTAGTTTTCTATTGTGAAGTAATTTCAGCCTAGATACTGTGTCATCTTGGAAAAACGAGCATTGTATCATTCTCTGTACCCGGCTATATCCATAAAGGGAGGCAGGTATATCAGGAATTCCCGTGTCTCACATAAAATCAGAAGATAAAAGACAAGTACTCCTTCAAACTAGCAGTGTCAAGCCTCCCGATTTAATTAAGGTCGAGGAACACTTGGGCCTACCACCAGACCAAGGAAATAGTACACATTAGCCTATTCTTAAACCTTTTCAATGTCTTCGTGATCATTCAGAGATCTCCAGTACCTTCTTCTGGTCTTTTCACGTGGAATTTTAGATGTCATTCTGTAAATTTCTTCAAAGTATCTACTGAGATATACTCAGAGAGATGGTTATGGCTACTTGTTTAGACCCATTTGTATTATCTTCTTGGTTTGGACGTACTATACCTACGAGCAAGAGAATTAAAGGGTATACATATCCAGGGAAATGAAATCTATCGGAATGCCTAGGATGCAGGCACGGCGTCTTCGTAGTATGGCGAGGGGTTCAAATAAGTCTTAGAATGCCTTAGAGGTGAGCTAGGACATTTAAGACTATAACATCTTTACCAAGGCATTGTTTGCGGATTATGGGTCAAAGTGGGTCCGATCATGTGACATGACGGCAAGCTGGGGATCTTTGCGATCGTCACCTCCGCTTTGTGTGCCTCCTCTGCCTCGACAACCAACTTCAACGTCCTGTGTGACCTTGACTAATTTCACCATGGGCGCTCTATTGTCTCTGCCACTACTGGCATTGCCCAGTGTGGGCACGGTAAGTCCCCCTCTCAACCGAGTCTCCCGAAGAGCGCTTAGCTGATGCCTGCTCGCAGCTTATCACCCTCGGCGGTTCATGTTGCGGAGCCGCTACCTGCTCTGCGGTTTGCAGTACATGCGGAAAGTTTCAAAATAGGTATTTCACAGTGGTGGCAACCAGAAAAGAGGGCGATTTGCTAATGTTCACACAGTATGGCAACGCGAATTGCCTATGCTTTTGTCCTCCTGATCAACTCGATCGCATCGTGGATTATGCTTACGCCTTGGGCACTCAAGAAACTGCAAGGCCTAACACTTGATTATATGGATATCAAGTGCGATGGAAAGGAATGTTACGGCTGGGTGGCTGTCCACCGCATCAACTTCGGTCTCGGTCTCTTCCACCTGATTTTCGCTCTCTTGCTTCTTGGTGTCAAGACCTCCAGAGATAGCCGTGCCTCGGTGCAAAATGGCTTCTGGGGTCCCAAAATCCTGCTTTGGCTTGGTTTTGTCGTCATGTCGTTCTTCATTCCCGAAGGCTTCTTCTTCGTCTATGGAAACTACATCGCGTTCTTCTGTGCTATGCTCTTCCTGCTGCTGGGTCTGATTCTTTTGGTGGATCTGGCGCACTCCTGGGCAGAACTCTGTTTGCAAAAGATCGAGGACAGTGACTCACGCTTGTGGCGAAGCCTGCTTATCGGGTCCACTCTTGGCATGTACGTTGCCTCGATTGTGATGACGATCTTGATGTACATCTTCTTCGCGAAGAGCGGGTGCTCTATGAACCAGGCCGCGATCTCGATCAACTTGATCGTATTCCTGATAATTTCGTTCATTTCGGTCCAGCCGGCTGTTCAGGAGTCCAACTCGCGTGCGGGTTTAGCACAGGCTGCTATGGTCACTGTCTACTGTACATATCTCACCCTGTCCGCTGTGTCGATGGAGCCCGATGATAACAACTGCAACCCCTTGATCCGCTCTCGCGGCACTCGAACCGCCACGATCATCTTGGGTGCGATTGTCACCATGGCCACCATTGCGTACACGACCACGCGCGCGGCTACCCAAGGTATCGCTTTGGGATCCAAGGGTGGCCACAACTACAGCCAGCTTGGTCAGGATGATAACGAGCACGGCTTGGTCACCCAGCAGCCCAACAGCCGTAGGGAGATGCGCGCCGAAGCTCTCCGGGCAGCCGTCGAGAGCGGCAGTCTGCCTGCCAGTGCTCTGGATGAGAGTGATGATGAGGATGAATTCGAGAACAGCAGCAAGGATGATGAGCGTGGTTCGACTCAGTACAACTACTCCCTCTTCCACATCATCTTCTTCCTCGCCACGACCTGGGTTGCTACCTTGTTGACACAGGGACTGACCGTTGATACAACAACCGACTTTGCGCCCGTGGGACGGACCTACTGGGCCAGCTGGGTGAAGATTGTCAGCTCCTGGGTGTGCTATGCTATCTACATGTGGACCCTGGTCGCACCTGTTCTGCTGCCCGATCGCTTTGCTGCTTAGAGTGGTCAGGGATTTGAATTAATCCCCGCGCGTTCTGAGCGATATTTTATTTATGTAACGTACATTAAATCACTGGGCGAATCGAATTTACTATCAATTTTGAATAAACAAGCCAAGTACCTAGGGTTGTAGGCAAGAAAAAACAAAGCCCGGGCAAAAGTCGTAGCGAACAGGAGCGTGTGGAGAAGTTCTTGGCGGAGTTTCACGCGTAAAGTGCGACGCGCCTCATTTCCCCGACACCATGGCGTAAACCATGGCGACTATCCAGCCCATCGAGGCTCGCTCAGTGCGTATCGCCATCTATCTGCAAAGACTTATGTTGTCTCTGACTATTCCGTCCTTCAGGTCCACCAAATCCAGTCAGGTCAGGTGATTATTGACCTGTGTTCCGTCGCGAAAGAGCTAGTCGAGAACAGTCTCGATGCAGGCGCAACGACCATCGGTTGGTATTCTCTAACATATGCTCAACTATATAACAGTGCTGACTGCTTTGCACTTCTAGAGATCCGTTTTAAGAACAACGGACTGGATTTGATCGAGGTGCAGGACAATGGAAGTGGTATTTCACCAGAGAACTATGAGAACGTCGGTGAGCTTGGGATCTTCTCCTTTGGAGTCTTTCGAGACACCTATGTTAACATGCAATCCTTCTCCAGCTTTGAAACATTATACTTCGAAGCTATCCTCGTACGATGACCTTACACGCCTTCACACGTTCGGCTTCCGCGGCGAGGCTTTGTCGTCTCTCTGCGCGCTTTCCGACTTCCACGTCGTTACAGCGAAAGCAAATCAAGTACCCCGTGCCAACAGACTCGACTTCGAACCGTCCGGGAAGCTTAGCAAGACACAAATCGTGGCAGGACAGAAGGGGACAACAGCATCCGTGGAGGGAATCTTCAAACGGCTTCCCGTACGCCGGCGCGAGCTAGAGAAGAATATCAAGCGAGAGTATGGAAAAGTGCTGAACCTGCTCCACGCCTATGCCTGCATCAGTGCTGGAGTAAGATTCAGCGTTCGGAATACGGTCGGGAAGACAAAAAACGTGGTGGTCTTCTCTACAAATGGGAATCGCACGACGAAGGAGAATATTGCCAATGTATACGGAGCTAAGACTCTGTCTGCCCTGATTCCGCTCGAACTGAGGCTGGAATTTGAGTCCTCGGCTGTGACTCGCCGTGCGGGTGACGGTGGGCAGATAAATCAGATGGAGGTTCGCGGCCATATATCGCGTCCTGTCTTTGGAGAAGGGCGTCAGACTCCAGATCGACAGATGTTCTTTGTCAACTCTCGCCCCTGTGGATTGCCACAGATTGCAAAGGCTTTTAATGAGGTTTACAAGTCGTTTAATGTCTCTCAGTCGCCGTTCATCTTTGCGGACTTTCAGATGGATACGAATGCCTACGATGTGAATGTGTCGCCGGATAAGCGAACCATTCTACTTCACGATGCTGGGGCTCTAATTGAGTCACTGAAGACTTCTCTTGCGCAGCTCTTTGAGGCGACAGATCAAACGGTCCCCCAGTCACAGGTGCTGGGTTCCAAAACGCCGACGGCCAAACAGCAGGCATTAGCGTCACTTCCGGGGTTTGTTTCTGCCAGACAAGTGAGTCGCAATGCTTCTGGGACCCCTTCGAGATCAACTCAAGAAGAGAGCGGCGATAAACCTGTCGAAAAAGAGACGCCAGCCCCTCCGTCGGCTGTACGGGGCAACATGAAGCAATTCATGAGCTCACAAGACACCTCGAGCCAACTTGATGTTTCATCTCCAATTAAGCCCACATCGAGGGCACCCCGGGAAGCATCAAGGCCGTCACTACCGGAGGAAAATCCAGAGCATGAACCGGACTCTACGTCTGTTGAGCCTGCTGCGGAGGTTCATGAAAAGCCGCAAGACCAGCCTACGGAGCTTTCATCTCAACCATCTGAAGAGGACCGACCCCCTGCCCATCAGTTGCAAAACACTGAAGATACTCCCAATGTTGTTCAAACCGCATTTGATCGTATGCGCCCCCGTCGGCTACCGGCTGAAATGGCTACCATCAGCATCGGGGACCACACGGTGACATCCGTGGTCGGTAGTGGTCTTCCACGCAAGCGGATCTCTGACTTTGGGACTTCGACCAAGGAACATCCGGGACGGAAACGAAGGATCCATACACCGTCTCGGCCTAATATATTTGGAAAACATATGAAGGCCTTTTCGGCCCCCGGGACGCAGCCTGAAGGAGAGGAGGAGGAAGCAGATGACTCAGGAAGTGAGGTCGATGAAGAGAACATCATTGACAATGAAGCTGGGGAGGAAGAGGAGGAGGGGGAGGAGGAAGAGGAGGATGAAGACGAGGAGGATGAAGAGGAAGAGGGCGAAGAAGCTGACCCTGCAGAAGGAGATGTCGAATACGTCCCCGAGGGTAACGGGCACCGTCGTTGTGACGGTGTTGATACCGCCCAAAATACTCAAAATGCGCACGAGGAATCTGTTGATGCAGATGGGCCTTCGCTTGACGACGCCAAGAAAAAAGCACAAGAGGAAGCACTCGTCCAGCGCCTCATCGACCAGGCTGAAGAAAAAGCCGTTCTTCCCTCTGAAAGCAATGCCAGCCGCGTGAACAAGATAAGCAAGGGCGCCGCACATCGTGATGCTACTGTCAACCTCGTCAGCAACATCGATGCGTCTCTGACCCGACTCCAGTCGCAGATGGCCAAGTTGCGGGAAACTCTTCAGCCACGCGATGTATTGTCGCGAAATGATCAAGCGGATCCCAAAGATACAACAACTGCTGAAGACCGACTCTCGCTTACAGTGAGTAAGACAGATTTTGCACAGATGCGAATCATCGGACAGTTCAATCTCGGCTTCATCATCGCCGTCCGGCCCGGTGTGGATCACGACGAGCTCTTCATCATCGATCAGCATGCCTCCGACGAGAAGTTCAACTTCGAACGTCTACAGGCTGAGACGGTCGTCCAGAACCAGCGGCTTGTGCGGCCACAGCGCCTAGACTTGACTGCCGTCGAGGAGGAAATTGTGCTAGAGAACCGAGCATCTCTTGAGAAGAACGGATTCATCGTGACGGTCGACGAAAGCGGCGACGAGCCTATCGGACGCCGGTGCCAGCTCGTCTCACTACCTCTGAGCAAGGAGGTCGTCTTTGGCTCGCGCGACCTGGAGGAGTTGATCGTGCTCCTGTCCGAGTCCCCAGTTACCAACGAGATCTCCGTACCGCGGCCAACCAAGGTACGCAAGATGTTCGCGATGCGCGCTTGTCGCTCAAGCATCATGATCGGCAAAACCTTGACCACAAAACAAATGCAGCGGGTGGTGCATAACATGGGAACCATCGACAAGCCATGGAATTGCCCCCACGGACGACCAACCATGCGCCACCTGATGAGTCTAGGACACTGGGACGAATGGGATGAGTACGCGAATGAAGATGACGAAAGAGGTAGTTTCAATGTATGGCGGCAATACGTGGAGGAAGAGTGATTATACTAAATGCATACTCAAGTATATACAAAAAAAGAAAAAACAACCACCGTGGAATCACCACCACCGTAACCAACTCCTAGTCTCCTTTTTCTTTCCATCACTTCCATTCCACAACCCATGCTGTCCATTCCCTACACTCAACCCATTCACCCTATTCACCACTCCATTCATGTCATCTCCATCTCCATCCTCATGCCCATGCCCATGCCCACCCATCTCCTCCTCTCGCACCTCCGTTGCCTCAACCCCATCCATCATCTCCTCCAACACCAAAAGATCCCGCTCAATCATCTCCGCCCAGTTCTGCACATCCCCAATCTCTTTAAGTCCCTCGCGCGTCTCATCTGCGAATCCACTCCACTGCGCATTCTGCTTCGCCAGTCGCGCCGTGTGCTCTGCCAGCTCGGCTTCCTGTCTGTCTAGCGCGGCTGTGTTAGATGTGATTGTAGCTGCACGGTCGCGGAGGGGCGCCTCGAGGTTCGTGCCGACGGAGTGGAGGGTTGCGGTGAAGGCTGCTAGGGCTTCTTTCTTTTGTTGTTCTTCTGTGGAGGGGGGTTCGGTGGTGGGGTCCATGGTGCGGGTTTGGTTTGGGGGTTTGGGGGTGTATATTTGGGAGTCGAAGAGAACTCGAATGTGAATCTTCCAGAGTTCTCCGCTTGAGTGTTCAGATGTTTAGGTGGAGTGTCTGGCTTGAAGATAGGAGGAGGTATGGACTGATATAAATATTGCGGAGGCCGATCTGCAACCCCACTTGGCGTGGCGCGCTGTCAGCCTCTCGTTGATATCGGCACATGCATGTCGTTCGGTAAGTTGCACCAGTCGGTGGGATCTTAGCCATGTATAATACGGACTACGGGGAAGAAAAAAGATTAATAAATATTAGACACCAGAGATCCCCTCTGGGCATTATCAGATTCGATTCGAATGCTATGCCCCCGGGATAAAATGATTTTATGGACAACACCCGACATATCTCGAAGCAAAGAAAACCCGAAGCAGAATGAAAAAAATTCGATAAAAAGGAACACGCTTGAAAAAGCCCTCATCAATGCAAAAAGTCGCTCGAAAAAGAGAAATGATCCAGGATAAAGATCAAAAGGCATTAATAACACAGGCTCGAATCGTCCCGTGTTGAGGAGACGTTTCGACTCGAAGAGAAATTGGGCACTTTAAAGCAGACCCGAAAGTACAGCCTCAGTAGCTATCAGTAGATGTTAGCAGATGATCGTAGATTTGAAGGTGGGGGGGGAGAGAAATTAGAAACATACCAGAGTTGATGTATGGCCGCTTGAGGTCCAGGTTCACGCCGAAGCGTCTCTCGAGCTCTTGCTTGATGCTCTTTTTCGTCACCGTCATCAAGTCGGCTGAGCGGAGAATCTCGCGAATCTCGTTCAGGATGGAGTCGTCCGGGGGCAGGTGGCTCAAGTCCTCCATGCTCATGTCCATGTCCATGTGGCGGCTCATCATCTCAGACGGTGCCACCGAAAGACGCGAGCCTGAGTTAAGGAGTGGCAGATCCAGCTGGGAGGCAGGGCGGGAGCCGGTGCGAGAGTTGGCGTAGGGGTATTGGTATTGCTGGTGTTGGAAGGGACCCATGTTGGTGCCGTAGGAGTAGCCCGAGACCTCGGAGCGGTCGTCGCGCGAAGTCTCCGCTCCCCAAAGCTCGTTCTGGTACTCCTCCCAACGCTTCTTGGGAATGGAGGCAGGGTCGAATTTGCCTTCGTCGGAAATGACGACCTTGCGGCCCTTTTCTCCGGTGATGATACGAGTGTTACCCCAGGAGAAGTCGTCCATGTTCCAGAAGGAGTAGAGGGGCAGGGCAAGTGAGAAGACAGGAATAGCTCCCATGTAGATCAGCATCCAGCCAATCATCTCCCACTTGCGTCGGATGATGAAAATGAATGCTTGAAGACCGTAGATGACACCGAGAAGGACAAAGGAGATCCAGGGCAGGTTTCCTGTGTCCGTGATAATCCAATAGATCAAGTAAATGATGTAAGCGACGGTGACAGGTTGGATGACGGTACTGAGAAGATCGACGAAGACAATGAAACGCATACTGAAGCAGCAGAAACCGCACAGCTGTTGCAGCGGAATCAATTCCATCAGATTGTGAACGGTTGAGTTGATCCATCGGCGACGCTGGGACAGGAAGACAGCGAAGCTCTCAGGTGCCACAGTCCAAGCATGGGCTCTGAAGATGTACTTGGTCTTGAACTTGGGGTGATGCTTGAGAAGAAGCGTTGTCAGGTAGCGATCCTCACCGAGGTGAAGCAGATTCTTCATGTGCAGAGTATCCACGCGAATCTCCGAGTAGGCTTCGACGATTTCCTTGCTGACGAAAAGCGGCTTGCCGGTCTCCGCTGAGCGGATACGGTACATACTGAAACAACCTGGCAAACAAGTGACGGAACCGAATAGACTCTCAAACGCCTTTGTCAGGTTGTGAGAAATGTAGTACTCGTAAACTTGAATCATCGTGACCATAGACGTCTTGGCATTGGACAAAGCCGTCTCTCCGCAAACACCGATGAGACGAGTATCCGAGAGGAAAGAGGAGACAAATCGTGTGGCAGAATCTGGTGCAACCACGGTATCGGCGTCGACTTGCAGAATGTATTCGTAGAAGGTTGGATTGACACCGATAATATTCCGAATCTGGTGGTGCATCTCAAGCTCCATTGGGCTCATGGGCATGTTGTAGTGGACGCGATTGAGGAAGCGCATGAGGACCATCTGGGAGTCACGCTTGCCACGGTTACCCGGACGAGACACCTCAGAGGGCTTACCAACCTTGACCACAACCAAGTAGGGAACGATGTGACCCTGAGCTTCGTAGAGACCCGAGTAGATCTTGGCCATGTTGTGCTGCTTCATACCCTCACCCAAACTCTCAAAGCTGAGAGGCTCGGGATCAACAGTTTCGGGTACACCCAAAATGTCGAGAACAATGCGAGGAGTGGGCCGGTCGTTGCCCTGACCGATGATCATACCGTCACAAATGACCAAAAGAAGTTTGCGCTTGTCGTCATAACGCATGCGAGCCATGGAATCGATAGCACGGCGCAGTGAGTCTTCATCTTCGGTGTACGCAGGCACTTGGCAAATAATGAACTTGTCCAAGTTTTCAGGCAGGTTCTTCTTTCCAAATTGCAAGGCAGCCACGAACTTGAAGGTGATAACAGTACAAAGCACGATCGAGATGGCAAGAATGAAGTACCGAGCAAATTCACAGCGAGCAGAGTTACGCGTATCGACATGACCGACAAAGAACAAGTTGTCAAGACACAGCTGCATCCGGTCGCGCAGATCCGTGGATAAATCGAGATTGTTGAAAAGATCAGTGACGTCGGAGCCAGACTTTTGTTGAAATAGCTGAACTAGGAGAGGACTCATGTAGTCCGTATTGATGCTGCTGGTGGAAACGTTTTTGCCAGCTGGCTCACGCGCCACACGGGGTCCCGCGATATAGTAAGTCATATCATAGACCTTCCCATTGATACTGACAATGCTGTCACCGTCCGACGCCAGTGTGCTGATGTAGGTGGGAGTGTAGCCGATGTAACCCTTTTTGAAATTGGCACGCATCATGACCATCTGCTCGTAGAACCAATCCGGTCGGTAGTCCCCTGTCCAGTAACGGAAGTCGTGGTATTTGGCGTTGATATCGAAACTCGTTGAACTTGTGGTCTCCGTGGAGGTATTCAGGTTGGAACGGTAATCCAGAGGAACAGCGGGGTTGACACTACCGTCGACACCCTGGCACAGGGCCGAAACCTGGACAGGGAAGAGGTTGGTCGCGTCAGTTCCAGCGTAGGCCTTGAGCGACTTCTGCGGAACGATATCGGGGTAGTGAGTGGGCGAGAAATCGCCTAGACGGAAGATTACACCACGAATAGCGATGAGCTCGTCCGCTCCATTCTTTCCATTATGCGTGGTGAGTTCTCCTTTAGAGAACACATCCTGAGTCGGACAGACCAATCCGGGGAAGGCAACGATCATGAAAATGGCGACACCACAAGAAAACCAGATAATCATGTTGATTGCAAGCTTCTCACGCCAGGCCACCCGGACGTCCTTGCGTTTCATGCGACCAACGAGTTTAATGAGGATGTCTGGGATGAACCAAGTTAAAAGATAGACCAGTGCCATCCAGCGTTTGCGAGAGCCTGAAATTGGGATCTCATCCACCTCCTCCATTTTCTTCTCATTATTCTTCTCCAGCATCTGCTCTTTCGTCTCGAAGTTTCGGAACATGTCACCCGAGTTGAAGGCAGAAGCACCTGCTTCAGAGCGTCCATCCAGCTCGCGGTTGCCAAAGTACCCTTGTTTCGTTTCATCTCCATAAATGAAAGCGCCAGGGGATTGACTAGCCGGGTTGAGCAGACGAACCTTGGCATCCGGGTTGCCGCTGGCGTTGAGTTCGCCCTCGTCGGAACCGAGAAGTCCGTAGGATGGGACTACACGCTCTCCAACTTTGGCGAGATCTGCCCAGCACCGCTCACTCAAGAATACACCTGTGCTTCCCACACGGGCCTCATTGCCGGGCCATCGTCGCTCGTCCAAGACAACCTCGGACTTTTCCTTGTCACTGCCGACCACGACATTTCCAATATCTGCCAGACCCAGGAACTCTGCGAATGGAAGGAAGACGCTGAAGTCGGCGTTTCTCAGACGTTGACTGATCTCGGCGATGCCGAAAGTTTGAACTTGCATACGCACACATTTGCTGTCAAACTGGTTTGCGATACGCCGGTCATTGGGCTTAAGACAGATGACAAAGTAAGGGTTCAGGTTTGGTGCACTTAGGCACTTGTTAGTGATGTCGAGCCCGGACAGGAACTGGCCAGCTGCTCCCTGCGAAGGACCCATCATACCACTCTTTCTATTCCCTGCGCCGCGCTTAGAGCTGGCTGGCTGGCTATCGTGGTCCTCTGTCTCTTCGCTATCGGCACGGGAAGCAGCAAGGCGGGCTTGCTGGTCGAACTTGCGTCTGGCCATACTAGGCATACGCATGGGCTTCGAAGAGACCTGCGCCTGCATAATGGCCGTCTTCTCTTGCGGGTGGGAAATAGTCTGCAATGCCTCTTGACCAAATAGATCACGAACAAAGTCACTCTGGGTAGATTTCATCAAGTTCATCAAATCGCCCGAAACAACCTCTCCATTCTCCTCAATCAGGCCGTGGACAGAGTAGTCCACCTCACCGGCAAAATGCTTGATGGTGAATGCCGAGCGAGCCTGTGAAACGTAGCCAGTGCTGGTCGCGCCAGCGGAATCGACTGAGATGGCCGGGTTCTTGCCGTCAAACCTCTTGTGGACACCTTCAAGGAATTGGGCGTCGGATCGCCCACGGCGCGTCTGGTCGTCCAGGATGCTCAAAAGACCGTTGCCATGCTTTAAGAGGCCGCGAACAGTGTCAACGTTATCGAAATAAGAGGTCGCAGCGACTGAAATCTCCTCGCGGTCTAGAACATCGGCCTTGTGGTCGAAGAAGGACTGCAGGCAGTAGTTATAGAGAGACTCAGTTGCTACATTGCTCAGCAGCTGATCTAGTGTCGAGCCCGTCGCTGAGGACTGAGCGAAACCGGGGAAGTCGACGATGGAAATGGTGTTGGCCACGCTATCCTCGGCAGCGCAGATCTTCTGGTTCACATTCTCAATCACCCAAGTGACCAGAAGCGAATAGAGAGTGCGTGCAAAAGCATCAGCATTTTCTCTAGCACCCTTGGGATCTAGCATGACCGTGACGCGCTCGCGATGGATGGTCTTGGTCTTGTAGCCGAGGCTGTTCTCCAGGGAACCCACACTGAGACCCAGGAACGCAGCAATTGTTTCAAGAGCCTGCTTGTTCTTAACTACCGTCACCATTTCACCACCCTCGTGGGAGTAACCACCGCTCTCCTCGGCACCCGTGGTAGTGGATTGTCCAGATGTAAAGTCCAGCTGTCCAATGTGAAGGATACTGGCTAGAACCTGGCAGATTTCGGCAATCTCGCCACGCGAGAACTCAAGCTTACGCAGAGCCGTCTTGAAATGCTGGAAACCCTCCCCGTCGTTGACACCAACTTTCAGCTGTGTCGGGTGGCCGAGATAGCGCCATCGCTTGTGGTTGATCGTTCCAGAGGATAAGCCACCACCCCTTGTCTGAACATGAATGGCGTTGTCAAGTCCGAGGTGAGTCTTTTCGGCAGAACTGGTACCAGCTAGAAGGTAGTAGAGCACGTGGAAGCTGCGTTCACCAGTGGGCACGGAAGAGAGACGGCTACGCTCCAATCGGTAATCGATGATCTTCCCACCGATCAGGGTGGGGTTCAGGGAGGAGGAGCCATCGTACTGCAATTCGAGGAAAAGACCGGCCTTGGAAGCAGTCGGGGTGGTCACGGACTTGGTGGTAGTGAGGGTATCGAAAACAAAAGCGGCATATGAGAGTTTAGAGGAGAGCGGAGTTGACGAAAAGGACAGGAAAGATGATAGCAGGTGTGAGCGAATGGTGGTTTTACCGGATCCACTCTCTCCTCTGGAATTTCGAGTCAGCTATAATTCATAAAATCCCCGTTGTGGTTCACTCACAAGAACACCACCGCCTGGTTCTCCGCGCGCGCTCCCAGCCGAGTGAAAGCGCGGCGCGCGAGATCCTCGGCCTCTCCAGCGGCACTGCCTTCCTTCGCGCCATCCGGACCCTTAGATGCCGAGTTGTATGTATTAAGCGAGATCAATGCCTGGGACGAGAGGCGTGCAGTTGGTAAGCCGACATGGAAGCTGTGCTGTGTTAGCACCTTAAATTTCCGGAACCCGAGCTATCGACGTACCGGCTGGCGAGGTGTGCTGTCAGATGAGTATCGGACTGGAGATGTGCGGGTAGTGAGGGTAAGGAGGACTGGGCATGGGCCGGAGCACCGGTGTTGCCCGCCATGTTGGGAGGTTGATATCCGCACTGCGACTTCAGTGGGATGGAGTAACGAGCGTACGAAGACCACCGATCAGGGGCGGTCCTCTAGAAAACCGATGGTACTCGGTCTCGGTATGTCCAGATGAACGTGGAGTCCGGAATGTTGAAGCGGAATGACAGACCCCTTAGCAATGGGGAAAGTTCATAAGGGGGAGTAACTCTAAAAGAGAGAGAGAAAGAGAGAGGGAGAGAACAAACTGGACCGGACCACCAAAAAAAGATAAGACGGTCCGGGGGATGTGTAGCTGCGTATTGATACCGGTCACGCACTAAGAACAGTAAGAACACTAAGAGGGACCGAAAATAGACAGTAATCGAAGGGGATGGATTGGTGTCTCGGGTATATCCACTTTTTGTGTGTTTTTTTTTGTTCTTACACATGTGGTGTGGGTTAGCAAGCTAAGACAGGGCCAATGCTACAAGCTACACCTACTTGTCGAATATTTCTATGATTCTATCATTCCATTACTTTTCTTATGATGAAAAAAAATCCCTAGGGGTCACATCTGATGCAATTCAAGCACAGGGATTTCCTAGTGCCACGGTAACTGCTGTTTACACCTCACGCGCTAATCGGGTTAGGGTCTCAAGTACATCAACACGGCTCCACCCGCAGAGGGTCCAGTCCCTGTTCCCCTCTCGGTCCCCGTAATATGTAATGTAATATGCATCATGTCCCGTACCTTTCATCTCTTGCATCCCTTACTGTTTTTTTTTCTTCTTTGGTTAGTGATGCATAAATAGTATCAACTTCAGACATGTCAAAAATGTCGAGAAACCTTGGAACCCGCTAATGGCCACATCTGACCTAATAGAGTGGAGCGATCTCCTTCTAGACGGGGCCGTGAAACTAGGGGTTTGTGGCTGCACATTTCCGACCGTATGACCGAGCTGTGTTCTCTCTTGTACAGTATCCCTAGGTGGCGAACGGGAAGCGAACTCGGTACAGCCCCTTTGTGAGACATCCCAAATATAGACCCGTGGACAGCGTTGCTTCAGATCGGTTCGGGAGCCCCATCTGGTTTAGCCTGATTGGGTCGGGAAGTATATGCCATACCTGACAGATTCAGGGTGAAGCAAAGTAAAGACCCGGATGTCCTCATCTCACACGGGGGGAGGCTTCTACATACTCGATCCTGGAAATCCGGCAAGACCGGGAGGACTCCTCTAGCCTGAATACTGTGTGGTAAAATTGCAAAGAGCGGAAAGCTTGTCAGCTCTCTCGGCGATCTGGTGATCGGCGGTATTTTCCACAGTACACTAGGGCCCCCGTATTTTTCACCTGTTCTCCCCACGCCCATTACTTTCTCACTTACCTTATCTCCGTTTTTTTCCCTCTCCTGTTGTTATTCTGTTGTTCTGTCGCCTCCCCTCGATCAACTTCTTCCCTCTCCTCCAGTCGCTCGCTCAATCCTTCGGAGTATACACCTTGGGAATCCTCGCTTTGTTATTACCCCGATCTCCCCGGGTTTACGCTCACATTCCAGCTCCAACACGCGATCTGCGATCTGTCACGACTTCTCAAGAACGTTTCCCCCTCAATGCTGGTGTGGTAAACTTGACACTGGGAACTCAGTGACCGCTGGGACCGTTCTCACACACCAGGTTCGATATGTCGAACCGCTACTCGGTCTTTTCAAACCAGTCCGCCGGGCTTTCGGCTGGACCTCGGCCGGCCTCACAACATGCTACGCAGGTCTCAACCACCACACTGCTAAATGCCCTCCACTCGTTTTACAGCGCCGGTCAGTCATACCAGCTGGACGCGGGCACCAGCTTAGTGGTGAATACCTGGGTGACCGCCGCCACAACTCTCCCCGATGGCCGTAGCGGTGCGACTGTTGACCGGGATATGGCCGTCCGGGCGTGGGAACACGCCCGGAGGCGAGCTGAGGATGGCTGTGTGGTTCTTTGGTATGATTCACCTACTGACATGTTTTGCTCGGTAAAATGCGCTAACAATGTATCAGCTCACTCCACCAGTCCACTCCTTCACTGCTGGAACCATTTATTGCGGCACTACCAATTTCCACTCCAGATGTGACATTGACTGCTCTAGCCGCTTTGCGACCATTCCTGTCTGCTGTCACCTCCTTTAATCCGTCATATTCACTACACTCTGCCCTATCAGCTTCCTACACCTTGACCCTTCAGGGTACCGTGGTGGGTCTTTCTCTGGCCTTGTCCAGCTCCGGCATCAATGTGCGCAAGGGTCTCCTGGAAATCCCCAAAGAGGCGGGCTTCCGTGCATTCGACGCTTTCTACTATCTCTTAACATCTGCCTCCACTCCCGCTGAGCGTGAATTCCTGGATTTGCAAGATCCTTCAACCTATGCCTTGCTCAACCGATCCGAGACCTACTCACCTCCGTCATATTTGCCTACCGCCGATGATACAGCTTCGGCCGAAGACTTCAGAGCCCACCTGAAGGCCCTTGGCATCAAGGGAGCTGCCCAGCGAGGTCTGCTCACAGTTCTTGCAGGTCTCCTCAAGCTCGGAAACGCAGCTGGGCTGGAGGTTGACCAGGAAGAGCTGGAGGAAGTTTGCGAAGATGTAGGTGGTCTTTTGGGGGTTGACCCCGAGATTCTATTGCACAAGTGCTCCACTGATGAGCGCGAGATCCTGATTGCTGGGATCTATGAAGCTCTCGTGGACTGGGTCATCGGTAAGGCAAACCAGGCCATTGCAGCAGACATTCAGATAGGACTAGAGAATGACTCGAGCAACGGTGGTGCTGGTGCGGCTCATTTCGCCAACGAAGACACGGTCAGCCTAACCGTGGTCGACATCCCGCGCCCAGCTCTCGGTAAAGCTGTTGTAATGAGAGGAGTGTTTGACGATGACCTTGGCCTAAATGCTGAGATGAAGGAGGATGGAATCTCCATCCCGCCTATCGGTCAGTCTGTCGTCAACGAAATGAACACAGCGGTCGCACAAGTCGAGACAGATCTTGGTATCACGACCGGTGCTGCAGCACGGGAGCGTGAACATGACCTTGACAGACGCCAAGGAGTGTTAGAAAAGGTTGGAGTGGAAGCCGAGGCGGATTCCTTCCTGCGCCAGTTGCTCTTCCCGGTTGAGACTGAGGGAATCTCTCTCGGCAAGCATGGACGCTTAGATCTTCCTACCACTCTCGGTAGCAGTCGTGTCTGGTACCATCTCTCCATTCACCCCACCGATGACTTGCCCGGTCAGCTCAATCTATCCTCCCCGGCCTGGTCCGCTGGTGCTGTATCGCGCCAGTTGCGTGATTGGCGACTTCCTGAGTGGGCCAACCGTCGTCTCAAGCAGCTTGATTTCACTGCTGATTTCGATGTTGAGGAGTTCGTGAGTCGCTATGAACGGCTTGGCTGCTCAGAAGGCCAGGATGGTGTTGAAAACTGGATCCTTGAGCGGGGCTGGAGCAACGGCGATGCCGTTGTTGGCCACCAACGAATCTGGATGAGAGAGGGTGCGTGGTGGGAGGCAGAGTCCATGTTGGATATGAAACCAGATGATACCCTCCAGAATCCTTTCATCTATGGCGCTGCCATGTACGAGCCTGGCCTCACTCCAGACGGCCATCCAGTCGGCGAGGGCACCAATCTGCTGGGTAGCCAGAACGATCTTCTCATGCAACACTCGATGCTTGCTCCGAGTGTCATGGGAGGTGCCAAGTCCATTGCTCCTAGTGCTCCTTTCACAAGTGCTGCTAGCCCTGGTGACTACGGTCTCGGCCACAAAGGCGATGATAACAAAGGAGATGTTGCCTACTATGATGACTATGGTCGGTACATAGGTGACCTCGATCCTGAGTTTGGTGACCCGCAGCATATTGAGAAAAAGAAGATCACCTTCGGTCGCCGGGCATGGACTGCTTTCGTTTGGGCCATGACATTCTGGATCCCGTCCTTTTTGCTTCGCTACGTCGGTCGTATGAAGCGTCCTGACGTTCGGATGGCGTGGAGAGAGAAGGTTGTTTTGGTTTTCCTGATCTTGCTCTTCAATGGGGTTGTTTGCTTCTATATCATGGCCTTCGGTGACCTTCTCTGTCCCAACAAGGACAAAGCCTGGAACACGAAGGAGGTTGGCTGGCATACTCAAGATGATAACTTCTTTGTCAGTATTCACGGCCGGGTGTATGACATTTCCAAATTCTGGAAATTGCAACACAGTGATGACGGGACCGACACAACTTCTTCCAACATGAAGCCATTTGCTGGCTTGAACCTAGATGCCTATTTCCCTCCACCTTTGACCGTGTATTGCTCGGACTATGTCACGAGTAACACGATCAATTTGTCGAACAACGACACCACTGCCGTCTCGGACACGAGTGCCGTACATTCGTCTGGAAAATACAACCAACCAAGTACCACCACGGCTCTGCATGAAATTACTTGGTACCAAAAGATTTTCCTGCCCAAGATCGCGGAATACTACAAGGGCGAGCTGGTTTGGACCAGAGATACTGTCAAGAAGCAAGCCAACGATGATTCGCGTTATTGGGTCATCAAAGATAAAAATATCTATGATCTCACGGACTACATCTACACTGTCTCATTGGAGAACAATCTCTCGTCCTACGATTTCTTACCAACCGCCGTGACCAAACTCTTCAAGGAAAACATGGGACAAGATGTAACTGACAAGTGGCCGGATACGGAAGAATTCCAAAAGGTCCAGACATGTCTGGATTACGTCTTCTACAAAGGCAAGGTTGACTTTCGAGAAGACGCTCGCTGCACGGTCAATAACTGGATTCTTCTGGCTTTCACCATTCTGATTTGTTGCGTCATCGGTGTCAAGTTCTTGGCGGCTCTGCAACTGGGATCTAAACGTCGACCGTCACCGCAGGACAAGTTCGTCATCTGCATGGTTCCCGCTTACACAGAAGGAGAAGATTCTCTGCGAAAGGGTCTTGACTCCCTCACCGCCCTTCAGTACGACAACAAGAGGAAGCTGATTTTCGTCATCTGTGATGGTATGATTGTCGGTGGTGGAAATGACCGCCCGACACCCAAGATCGTCCTTGATATCCTGGGAGTGGACCCAAAGATGGATCCCCCTGCTCTGCCTTTTAGATCCGTCGGTCAGGGTAGTGAGCAGCTCAACTACGCCAAGATTTACTCTGGTCTATACGAATATGAGGGCAATGTTGTGCCCTATATCGTCGTGGTCAAGGTCGGCAAAGAGTCCGAACAGAGAAAGTCCAAGCCAGGTAACCGTGGTAAGCGAGACTCGCAAGTTCTTCTGATGCATTTCTTGAACCGAGTCCACCACCGTGGCCCAATGTCACCCATGGAGCTCGAGATCTTTCACCAGATCAACAACGTCATTGGCGTGGACCCGGAGCTGTACGAGTATTGCTTCATGGTCGACGCCGATACCACTGTCAAGGAGGATTCATTAAACCGTTTGGTGGCGGCTTGTGCTAGCGATGCTAAGATCGCGGGTATCTGTGGTGAGACCAGTCTTGCAAACGAGGAACGCACTTGGTGGACCATGATCCAGGTGTACGAATACTACATCTCGCATCATTTGTCCAAAGCATTCGAGTCGCTGTTTGGCAGTGTGACTTGTCTTCCTGGATGGCAAGTCTTCTTTCCAAGTCTCACATAAGTTACCGCCAACTAACTATATCTAGTTTCACTATGTATCGTCTTCGAACCGCGGACAAGGGCAGGCCTCTGATCATTTCCGACAAGGTTGTTGAGGAATACGCGGATATTGATGTCGATACTCTTCACAAGAAGAATCTGTTGTCTCTGGGTGAGGATCGATTCTTGACGACTCTAATGACCAAACACTTCCCGACCATGCGATACAAGTTCCTTCCGGATGCCTACGCAAGCACAGCTGCTCCTGAAACATGGGGTGTGCTTATGTCTCAGCGTCGTCGTTGGATTAACTCGACCATCCACAATTTGGTGGAACTGGCAGCTCTCAAAGATCTGTGCGGTTTCTGCTGCTTCAGTATGCGCTTCGTCGTGCTCGTTGATCTCCTCGGAACAGTCATCTTGCCTGCTACGTGTGTTTACTTGGGATATCTGGTCTACCGTGTCGCTAGCGACACTGGTCCATTCCCTTTGATTTCGATCATTATGCTTGCCGCTATTTACGGTCTTCAAGCGATAATTTTCCTCATCAAGCGCCAGTGGCAGCACATTGGATGGATGATCATCTATCTCCTCGCCTTCCCTATCTACAGTTTCGTCTTGCCGCTGTACTCTTTCTGGAAGCAGGATGATTTCACCTGGGGTAGCACCCGCGTGGTCATCGGTGAGAAGGGAGACAAGCGTGTCATCGCAGTGGAGGATAACGCCTTTGACCCTCGCAGCATTCCTTTGCAGCGCTGGGACGACTACGCCCTAGCCAACAATCTCCCTGGCCGCCGTGGTGAAATTGGCGGCAGCCAAGAGAAGGGCTTCACTGGTCGCTACGATGAAATGGCCATGGAGATGGACGACATGCACTCGCAGTATTCGTCCGTCAAGCCAGCCTCGACCATTCTGACCGGTTTCCCTGGCCATGGTCGTCAATCTGGTCTGTACATGCCTCCACAGTCACCCGCACCTTACGTCGGGGGAAATGTGCCTGGAAACCGCAACTCGCACATGTCTAACTTCTCCCGCTACACCGACCTGCCTCAGATGAGCGGCGGGCATGGTGCACCGGCTTCTCGCCCTATGTCTGTCGCCAACCTCGGTGGTTATCAGGACCACCTGGGCCACCAAAGCCGTCACAGTCTTGGTGTCGTGAGCACTGACAACCTCCTCGCCGGACGGTCTCGCAGCCCACTGGCCCAATACCCCCCTTCCCGACCCGCCAGCACCGCCTTTGACTTCCGTGCTGCTAGTGGCAGTGGACCAGATGAGGGATCCATCACCGAAGCCATTCGCGGATGTCTAGCAGAGGTGGATCTCGACACAGTCACCAAGAAGCAGGGTAAGTCTCCTCACCACTCCCCGCCAAACAGGAATTAGCTAACAAACTTCCAGTCCGCGTTCTCGTCGAACAGCGTCTCCAAACCTCACTCGCTGGCGACAAACGAGCCTTCCTAGACCGCCAGATTGACCACGAGCTGGCGAACATGTGATGTGGCTACATCCCTTTGCGCTTCTAATCTCTCCTGTACTATGCATATCTCCAGCGCAGCAAATTCTTGAGAACATAGTCTTTCGGCATGTTTGGCGTTTTATGGGCTTTGGGTCGCCTTGTTACTTCCCCCCCGCCCTTTTCCTTTGGGCCTGCGCATTGAGCGAGTCGATCTTACCGGGTCTTTTCTGACTCGTAGTTTTAATGAGGACGAAGTAACATTCTGATTTTTTGATCTTTCTCGCAATTGATTTTGTAGAGAGTATAGTATGCCGAAAAACTTAGATGATGTGTATATCTATCTGTAAGGCCTGCTGACGTCTTCCGTCGTTGGAGGGAGTACACCTTAGTTTTTGTGCAGGGAATGCAAAAACTTCTTGAACCCCCTCGGTCCATGAGTCTGGACATGCTGGTAATAGTAATCACTAGCAGCGTCCATAACCGCCTTGACCTTGTCAACAGGCACCTTAGCCTTGCGATCATATGAGTACAACCCATTAACCTCCTGCTCGATATCACACCTGTCATATAATCAGCATACCGCCAAAGCTACCAAAGACCAACCCAAACTTACAACTGCGTATACACCAAACCACAGGTATGTCCACCCTTTACAATACCCATGATCAGGTTCTCCAACCGCTTCAAGAAATCTTCCTGGTCCGTAGCAGTGGTGTATCCCCAGTCCCGATCGCCGGCCTTAGCATCCTGAGCCGGTGCAATGTTGACGCCTCCGAACTCGGTGCAGATTACAGGTGCGCCTGCTTTGTGTTGGGCTCCTGGGTCGAGGAGCGTGTGACCGGAGAAACCGGAGTAGATTGGCTTGGTGAACAATTCGTGGCCTGCCTTTGGGGCGAGGATTCCTCCTTCCATCTTTGAGCATGTGGCTGTAAGCTCCGAGGAGTCGGCATAGTCATGGTAGGTGGTAAGGTCGGTTAAGACGTGCTCCCAACCGCAGTTGTCGTTAATCGGACGGCTTGGATCCAGTGTTCTATATTTCGTGTCAGCCCTTCATTGTCTCTTATATCTCTAGGGTGTTGAACAAACTTGGTCAAGTAGTATAGCGAACGCATATGGTTCCGCTGGTCAATGTTATCCTTCAGAGAAGTATAGGCCCAGCTCTCATTGTTCGGTGTCCAGGTAATGATACACGGGTGGTTGAGGTCTCGCTTAACGGCCTCGGTCCACTCGCTATTCATCCTTTCGATGTAGTCACTTCCAAACTCGTAGGCATTGGCCATCTCACCCCACACGATGAAACCGAGTCGATCAGCCCAATAATGGAATCTCGGGTCTTCGACCTTTTGGTGCTTGCGGCATCCATTGAATCCAACAGCCTTCGCCATCTCAATATCCGCCTTGAGAGCCTCAGAAGAAGGAGGCGTCATTCCTGTCTCCGGCCAATAGCCCTGATCCAGGAATAACATCTGGAATAGAGGCTTTCCATTTAACCTGAAAGTCCCATCCCCAGTAGTCCACGACAGACTGCGCATTCCAGTGGTCGTCTCAACCTCATCAACCACCTCCCCAGAGGCATCATAAAGACGCAGCACCAAATCATAGAGAATCGGATGCTCAGGCGCCCATAGTGCAACACCATCACACCAAGCCCCTTCTCCATCAAACGGCGCCTGCCCCTGCATCTCCACCGCATTAGGAACCCTCATACTCAAATCCACATTCACCCAGTTCCTCTCTGCCGGAAGAGCCACCTTATTCTTCCCAACAAAGCAACCCCCAAGACTGGCCTCAACTTCAACACTACACTCCGCACGCGCCTTGCGATCCATCACCGAAATCTGAGCGTGAAGCTCTCCACTGTCAATATCATCCGACCGAAGCACAGTCCCACCACTACCACACGCTAATCGCATAGACGGCACACTCTCCACCCAAACAGATTGCCAGATACCGCCCGTAGGCGTGTAAAAGATACTCTCCGGAACAGGTTTCCAGTACTGTTTCCCCCGCGGCTGGGTCAGGTCATATGGCGAGTCTCTGATGCGCAGCGTGAGTAAGGCGCTAGTATCATGGCGGAATGCATCCGTGACGTCCACGTCGAAGGGGACATGGCCTCCTCTGTGAGTTCCGACGAGGGAGCCATTACCCCAGACGGAACATTCGTAATCGACTGCACCGAAGCGGACGAGGAGTCTGTTTCCGTGGGTTTTTTCGGAGGCGGTGCGAATATCTTGGATGGTACGCTCGTACCACATTACTTCGTGAGCTTCGAGGAGGTTTATTCCTGAGGCCGGGGTTTGGAATGCATAGGGGACTTTGATCACTTGTTTGGTGTTGGTGTCTGCTTGGGATGGAAGGCCTTTGTGGTGCCATTGTTCGGAGAGGCCTGTGTCGAGGTCATCGAAGATGAAGGCCCAGGGTCCGTCGAGGGAGGACCAGTTTAGGGATTTGCGCTGGAAGTCGGGGCGGGGATAATCCATTTTCAAATACTGGGTGTTCGAACTTTACGGGATAGATTTAGATGTAGAGTTATGTGAAAGAGGTTTCGTTAGGTTGAGGTATGAAGTTCGACCCCACGTTGCTACGTCAGCGGGGAAATCGTCAACTCCACGTCGCGGCTTAGGTTGCTAGTTGCTAGTTGCTAGTTACTAGATGGAAATCGTTTTAACATCCAATCTCATTGATGGGGATATCGAAAGAGTAAACATCGACTGAAAAACCAGTTACAAACTCCCGCGTAAACCAGACTGACCCTTGGTATCATGTCGAGTATAGACTGCGACTCAATCTCTTTCCTCCGATGCACATCCAGAATCATCAAACACAAAAACAGGGAGGGGAGAGAAAAAAGAGAAAAGGTATCACATCCTCTCCCTCCTTGAAAAAAAAGAAAGAATAACAAAACAACAAAAAAGAACGGGTAAAAACCCCGCTCTATTTCACGCAAATCTTGGATATCTCGTTTTCTTTTCTCTGACGCCTTCGTTGCTTGCGTTCCGTGGTATCAATCAACAAAAATCAGAGAACCAAAATAAATCAAAAGAGAATAAACCGAAACACACACGCTGGAAACAAATCAACCAAAAGGGTATACTGCTGTAAATGGATATTTTGGGTTTAACGCGGTGGCCCAATTGGGGCCGGGTATCCAGAAGTAGAATTCGAAGTGCTAGGGCGACCGCTGTCAAAAGAGGCTCGAGGGTCATGCTTAGGCGTCATGTCGCCTGGCGCCGTGCCAAAGGGGAACTTGGCGTCGAAGCGCGTGGGCCAGCCATTGCTATTGCTGCTCTTGTGGCTGTGCGAACTGCCCAAAACCGGCAGGTCGTCCTCGGGGAGATTCACTCCGGAGTCATTCCACGGGTTGCGGTAGCCACTATCCCGGGATTCCATGGAGACCAGAGACGCCTTCGAGGCGTTGCTCGAGGCGTGCTTGAAGAACGAACCCGGCGAGGCGGAGTGGTTCTTCCGGCCGATGAATGAGGAGAAAGACGAGATACTTCCGGGCTTGCGGAGGCGCTCGAAGATCGAGCCGCGCTCGCTGGTCTCGTCGGCGAAGCTGGGTCGCGTCGGCGAGTCCGTCATGAGTGGGGCCGGGGCATGCTGCAAAAGCTTCGAGTCGAAGAAGGGCAGCGACTCCTCGAAGGAGTCCGACTTGGGGCGAGGGATCGCTCCCTTGACGGTGTTCGCATTGAGGCCGTGAGCAACAAGGCGGGAGATCAGGAAGTCGATGGCATCCTTGAGACCGCCAGCGTTGTTGCGGGTGTAGCCGAGAACCACACGGTCCTCCGGAGTAGGGTCAGGCGAAGATGTGCCGGAACCAGAACCGGAACCAGAGCCTTCATCCTTGGTGGGAAGGTCGGCTGTAGTGTCCACATTGATGTCGACTTCGTACTGCTCTTTGAGCTTGGTGCGAATGTCGGCGAGGAAGTCAGGCGACTTGAAGAACCCACGGAGCTCTGCGGAGCTCTGGAAGTGAAGCTCATGGCTCTCCGGAACCATGCCTAGCAGAGCATCGACAGCCTGAGGAACCTGGTACTCCGGGCCAGAGATGGTCACGACGTCACTGGCGAGCTCGGTGCTGGGGAACTCAATCTTGCAGTTCCACTTCTTCTCCAGCTCATCAATTTCAGTAATGCGGGCCAGGAGCTCGCGGTGGTATAGGCGGTTGATCACAACTCTCTCCGAGACGTACTCGGCGTCGACCTTCTCGACCATGTCCATGATCTCCTGCTTAACAAGGTCCAGGCTCTGGGCATTGCGAGCAGGAGTACGGCAGATCACGTTATCAACCTTGATGTCGTCATCTTCCTTGCCCATTCCACCGCGGTCCATGGCGTTGGAGAACTTGACGAAGACAGAATATTTCTTCATGATCCGCTGAATGTGTTGTCCTCCGATACCGATGATTCGCTTGTGGTACTGGTCGGGGACGTGGAAAGAGATGGAAGCGGGCATTTCTTGCTCGACCAAATCCAGGCCGTTCTTGGTCGACTCATATTGGTTGCCGCACACGTCGATATAGAAGTTATATTCGTTGAAGCCATCGAAGATGATCTGTACGTTGCCTTTGAGATTGTTAGCGGCCCGTCGCAACAATTTTCTATCTGCCAAACAACTCACTCTGACCCATGATCTTGTTGATCTTGCCATTCTTCTTGCCACTGACAAACTCCTTGTGCTCGTTGGCCAGCTCAATCTTGACCCGCATCTGGTATTGGCTTCGAGTAACAAAGGGAATCTGATTGACAACGGTCATGGCAGCCTTAACGGCATCGTCGGATCCGTTGATGGTGAATGTCAGGTTGTCAAAGCTGACCTCGGCTTCGGAGTTGGTACAGATATCCGAGAGCATAGATTGAACATCGGCAGTAGAAGGGGCACGAGCGCCGCCTTGGGCAGGATCGGGCATGATGATCCACCATGAAGCGCTGTAGAATTGACCGGCCTAGGAAATAAAGGTTAGCGGATACCAACAAGTTGCATAAAGTCTTTCAACATACGAGGGCCATAATCTCCCGCACGGTCCGCTCGACATGTAGCACCTCGGTGCCTTGGATGCGAACAAGACCGCGCTGGCTGCCCAGCTGCGGGAAGAGGACGTAGGAGCCGTTCATTTCCATGACCTTGCGGACCTTGTCCAGCCGGTCGAGTAGGATGTTGTCGATCTTGCTCGAGTTGACCACAACGTCCTTGACATATATTTTGACACCCATCACCAGCTCTCGAAGCTTTTGCTTAGCCCGAGCAATTTGCTCCGGAGTCTCACCAGTGATATAAACTTCATCCTCGCTTCGACGGTTCGCACCAGGAGGGGTATAGCCGAAGATTCGTGGGAACGGTGGGGGGAAGTAAATGGCAGTGCCAGTCGCGGCTTCGATGAGCTTGATGTTTTTGCGGGTGCGGCCACAGACCAAGGTGTGCATGGTCAGCTCCAGCTTAATGGCGTCCACATGGCGTTTGAGCTATTTCGGTGTTAGTCTCGCAATCAGTTGACTCGTGTTCCCACAAAACCCACAATTTGATCGATCATGATCAGAACCCGCGTCTTCGCATGCTCAGAGCTCTCCATGTCACCATATATAGCGACTCGGAAACGCTGCTCGAGGCCGCTATCAGACGCATAGCCATAAGACGAAACCACCGCACTGTCCGCGTCGTGAAGTTTCGGTGTCAATAGGAAAATGTCGGTGCCAGTGTAGGCGGCCAAGGTGTCCATGTGCTCGAGCACGCTAGCTCGAATGCCCTTGGGGGATCCGTCTATGATCAGGTGCATATCCACATCGACGGTCGCGCATCGCTAGTAGTTGGCGTAATATTAGCTAGGGATACCCTCAAAGCGCCACACCCAACGGTGCGGGTGTGAAAAAAAATTCAACCACGTACCAGCATAATGGGAGTTTCATTCAGAATCTTTGCTCGCATCTTCCGCACGGTCTCACCATCGCCCGTCACACAGACATTTGTCACCAAGCCGTTGGGCCGGCGTTGTAGCGACGGGGAAGCCTTGGGCTCTGAGGATGTCAACGAGGCCTCGATCCGACCACCACTGGTTTCTGTGATCTGGCGACATAATCTATGCAGGCCGTCGACGTTGCTGGTGTGTACGGGCAGTTGGTGCACAGGCGTACCCTCTGTGGTGCCTTCGGGGAAGGTCCAGCGTTGCAGGGCGCCGGGACTAGCGTGGAGCACGTCCTCGACATCGGGACCGGCAAGGGTGGAGGAGAATGGGACGTTAAAGGAGAGGTTGACGGTAGGATCGATACTCGTCGGAGGAGTCATAGGCGGAGCACCATGTGGCCGGCGAAAGGCCATGTCGGTGTGAGGTCTGGACATCCCGAAAGTCGGCGTCATTCGTTCCCAACCATGACGGGCCTGGCCCGTGAAGTTGGATATCTTGTGCATGACCAGCGGGGAAGGATTTCACACTCTCACCCCTATGATACTGAGGGGGAAGAGGGAGGAGAGTTGGAGGGTGGGAGTGGAAAGGTTCAAAGGTCTTGACAGGGATAGGAATGGCGCTGTGTGGGCGTTTCGGGAATGGTGGAAACGAAGATCGATCGATGAGGGGAACGGACCAACAAACCGGGCTAGAATTCGAACTAGACTTGGCTTAAACTACAAGGAAACTTATAAATTCGTTCGATTCCCTTCTATTGATCTAAGAGTAAATTGACAGTGGTTAGTGGTAAATGGTGGTAAATAAATGGCAAAATATCGTCCGTCGTCAGTTGTGCGGGTCATTTCAATACCATTCCAGGCTCTACGGAGTATATTTGGCACGAATTGTTGAAGAGTTTCCCCTTTTCATTGTTCATCCTAGTGCCTACTATACTCGTACATGGTCTAATGACATCCGACATTAAGGTGTCTCCTTTTTTCTTTTCTGGTGTCGCGGCCGAATCCACATTTCAGCACTGCCTCCCTCGCAGAGGAATGCGGCTGATCCGACAGAATGCCCTCGCAAGGGTTTCTGTCTTGCAATACCAGATCTGATATGGCTCTGATTTGATTCCTATATGTGTCCTTGTCCTGTATTCTCGTATCCTGTCACTAGTGGTCTGTAGAATCCATGTCGATTTCTCCTCAAGCGAGAGTCACGTGAGTTCGGTGAGCCTGGTCCAACCTGCTTTCCACAATGGCATGAAGGGAAAACCAGCTGGCTTTCTGGCGCAGATCCATTCAAGTTTCAGCCCGTGAATCTTCGGGATCCGAGTCCTTCCGCGTGTATGCAGCACGTACTCCCCGAACGGCGGGCGTGTCCCCTCATAGGCCCCGGGACGAGAAGCCCTGTACGACGCCTGTATCTAAGGCCCCCGGATCCACTTTCAGGGAATCGTGAGAGTGATAGGACGCCCATTGCTGGCCCGGCTGGCCCGGCTGGCCCGGACACGGCCGCCGGCCCAGCCTGTCTCTGCTGCGGTCATGGCCCCCGGTATGTCGATCGTGAGAATACCGCTGATGCCTAGGGGACCTCACGCGTCTAGCCAATAATCAGTGATGATCAGTGATGTATCGTGACCACGGGGCAGATCCTCAAGCTACGACAAAAGTACAGTTCTCGAGGAAGTCCCAGTCCCCCGTACTCCTCCCACTAAGGGCCACTCACACAGGCTCAAGTGGTCGACGTCATTCTCTCGTATAGGCATAGGGTGGGTCAAACGCTCTTCAGCTTGTGAGGCCTCGATACCGCATTCTCCAATTCCGACTGGACCATACGCCTGCTTGGGAAGCTGACTGCAGGGCGCCGTCGCCACTTCCCCCCCCCCCAGTTCTGGGGCCCCGGAGGGCATGTACCTTGGGTAGAATCATTATCTCGTCAGTGCCTACCCGAAAGTTGGTACTAACCCCCAGAATTGAGGATGGAATTGACCTATAGAGCTCAATTATGATGCTGTCAACAACCTTGAAAATGGGTGCGGTAATTTTGTGGATGATAGGTATTGTTTCAGGTAGATTTTAGAGGGTCCAGAGGCTGTCTGGCGTTCCAAGGCCCCGAGCGGGCCGTCGTGCTCAAATGGCCAAACTATACAATCATTTAAGACGAACTAAAATATAAACCTCGGCGGATAGCTACCCATACCTAAGAGCTGACTAGTTATTCGCGGGTGGAATTCTATGCTAAATGGAAGCGTTAAGATAGCGAATGAATCCTCTACCTGTCGATTGATTGATCTTATCTTTGAAGAAGAATCCAAATATGTCTCTCCGAGGCTTCGCCCTGCCTATCAAGCCTCGCAGCTACCTATGTAAGGGGACTCATTCATATAAAATCGCCGAACTAGGGGTCCTGGGCATCTTTATTTAGGGTGGGCCATTTTCTCTCTGCTGTACGGTTTTCTACTAAACTAAATGAGCGCATTGGTCTCGTTGATGACCATTGCGACTGCTTAAGACCTTGCAAGTCAGCGTAGCATCAGTTGTCCCTACAAAATGGCACATATACATGATAGGCCACCCTTTACTGCCACTTCACAGGTTTGGATCATTTATCAAAGTGTACGTCCCCCCCCCCCGAATTTATGCTTGCTTTCATCATAACCAATCAACATACTGGAATCATCGGTTCTCCAGGGCTATTCAGTGATGACTCCAGTAATCAAAGCTTTCATCATGAAGTTCCCTTCTTCGGGCTACAATCATCGAATTGTCACGTGTAATTGTGATGTTCTTGTTTGCTAAAACTCCATTTCAAAGCGGCGAACCAGCATAGTGGAAGTAAGGTATAGTTGCGCATACGCGAGGCTTTGTTGTCCATCTTAGAACCTTCACGGAAGGGTGAGAAGATAGAACAAGACATCAGCCCCCTACTTAATCCCCAAGCACGACCAGAGTAGATGTCGTTGTAATAGGAAGGATTTTATGTGGAGCTCTTTTGGGTTGAACCGTACAATGGCGCCTTTGAATTCATAGCCATGAGAAGGACACCTGGGAGATATAGTACCATATCTCTCGTGCAATTCTTCTAGCTCCCAAATGTATTTCCCATCCCTTATAACATCGTAATAGAATTCGTAACTGTGTGCGATTGCAGCTAGATTTTGGACCGGAGGAATACATGTCCAATACTGTTGAAATCAATGCATACCCATCATTTCCCGGGAAGTAGTGGCCTAGATTTGATCTAAATACTTTCCCCAAATTGCCAGGGCCTCCTTGAACTTATCGGCGGAACAAACAAAGCCAACTCGAAGATATCCCTTGAAATCTTCGTCGATCTCCGTACCGAATGTTTTCCCTCCAGGAACAATTAACAACCCCGTTTCAGAGATGAGATTCTCACAGAAGACGGGGTCATCAACTGGCGTGTCTGTGGCTGGATCAACCACACATACAAAAGCAGCCGACGCACCCGTAGGCTTGACCCAGCGTAGTCGATTGGCATGTTTCTTGATGAATTCATCTAATGCAGTAAGATTTTGACCACAAATCGTCAGAGACCGCCGAAGGATCATTTCTCGCACGGGTGGATCGAGGGCATAAGCCGCGATATCCTGATCTACCTGTGAGACGGATATAGTCGTATAGTCTCTGGCCATGATGACTTGCCGAATGAGTTCTGGATCTGGCGAAATAGCCCATCCAACCCGGATTCCCGGTAGCGAGAATGCCTTTGAAAGGCTGGAGACCACGATGACGTTCTTATACCTTTGAGCAAAAGAGATGATTGAAGGGAACTGCTTGATTGACGAGCCATGGAAGAGAGGGCGGAAAACTTCATCACTGAAGACGATGATATTGTGCTTTGCGGCAAAGGATACAAGGTCCTTCAGGACCGATCCCGGGATTGACGCCCCTGTGGGGTTGTTGGGATTACTGTTGACCAGTGATTAGTGCTGACAATGACAAGAAAAGTAATACATACTTGATGATTATCATCTTGGTGTTATCTTTGACGAGAGGCACCAGATCCAGCATATCGGGGATCCACCCATTCTCTGGTTGCGTTCGCCAGAGCGAGACCTCAGCCCCGGCGCGGCGAGGTACATCGTAAAGCTGCTGATAAGTTGGATATTGACAGATGACATGATCGCCAAAGCCCAAAATTGTATCTAGAACCAAGAAGTTGGCTGAAATAGCCCCCTGTGTGACCGTCAACGACAATCTTGTGGTGTCTGGCACCTCGTCGTAAAGTGACAGGATTTTGGTTCGGAGATCGGAGCTTCCCAGAACGGAACCATATACTAAGGCATTGGAAGCGTTTACAGGACCAGCCACGGATACGGAGGTCGTGAGCTGTGAAAGTGCCTGTAGAGACAGCGGATCCACACAGGTATCTACATCAAGCGTGAGATGTACCCATGGAGCATTTGATGGATAATTTACCATGTAGGGATGCTGTAGCAGACGGCTAGATTATCCAGGATTAGGAGAATATTTAGCAAATAACGGGGTAGACTATACCTTGAACTGGCGAACTGTAAGCGGGGAAGCAGCTTGTTAGTGGAAGCCTAAGCAGTATTGCGAAGTTTGTTTGGACGCATACCCCAGTTGTCGAGAACAAATGGCTTGACATGGACCATTGTGTAGATATTGCTTGGAATATTGTGCAGCTGGAAGTTTTAATATAGATGTCGAAGTATTGAAACTGGACAGATATTGCTCCATGAGTCACTAGAGCTTGGGCCCCGGCTGTAAGACCACGCCGGTTTCATCGGCCAGTCTCACTGATGTACATAGCTCAAAGTCTTCAGCAGGATAAAACCACTACATTTCTTCAAATTGACACTGGATCACTGACCGTTGTCATCTATGCTCAGAATTTGAAATCATGGTGGTCTTGTCTCTCTTCGGAGAGAATCGATAGGTAAGAGGTACCTCTTCGCCAGAAGGCCCTTCGCCAATGATCTTGCCTTACAAACGATGAATATCTGCCATGATGAATCAATTATGATACCAATTCTTTTTTTTTTTTTTCAAGAGACGTCTAGTCTCCACTGCCTTCTTATGCCTCTAACTCACGGACGACCTTTGGAAGGAAAGTTCTACGATGTTTGGGTTTACCCTGGCAGCTTTCATGGCTCTCGAAATATGTTCCCCTGTTGAACCTCTGCAGACCTTTGACTGACTGGTCGATCTTAGGACTTCGCTTGTGCAGATGAGCAGAGATTCTACTCATTGATTTCTCGTGGGCGTTTGAACTGGATGAGTTGATGCCTATGATCTGAGACAAAGTCTGGAACTACAACAGGTTGAAAGCGTAGAGTTGTCAATATGGAAGTTGACGGAGAAATTTTAGAGTGTGGTATCAATGCATCATGAGATTAAGATTTTCGTTAGGTCGAAACCTGTGACTATTTAAAAAGATGCGCCGAGAACATGCAGATGCGAGTATGCAGATTTCAACGTAGAAAATAAAGGTCATCAATAGCGCTGCGGAACACGCTGAACCGACTCAGTTCCATCCATCGCCACGCGATTTCCATCCTCGCCTTCGAAATACCGTCGCTCTCGGACGTAGTACGGACGCTCGATGTACTCGCCCATTTGCCTGTCGTCAAGGAAGACGCTGACATCGCGACTAGGACCAGCAGGCCGGACACTTCCGACACGTTGGACGATCTCATGGTGGGGCTCTTCATACCGACTTTGCTGGGGCCGGGCACTGGCTGTCCGAATCACTCTCTCCTGGGGAATTGGCTGCTCCTCTACGTAGGTTTGACGTCGAGGAAGATACTCGGCGACTTGAACACTGCCACCGCGGGTATATGGATCATGGCTCTCCATAGGGGCGGCGTATGTTCGTCTTTCACCGGCAACAGGGCGGGCATAGTCCGAAGCGACACGTCGGTAAACTGGCTGAGGAGGGGGCATCTCCGGCATGTATCGGCGTTCGACATAGGGATCATGGACGACAGACGGGGCGCGGACGCCGGCAGTGCGAACAGGGCCTCGGTCGTCATAGACGTCTTTCGGCATTTGAGAGATCGGGCGGGGAGGAGGAGCCATTGGCTGAGGTCGCGACGTGGGGATCATTTCGTATTGATTTCCATGCTCGTCGACCACAAAACGCCGTTGAGGCGCAGGCATGGCTCGCGGAGGGGGCGCTTCTTCGTAATACGGATCCCGGTAGACGGGCTGCTGCGGGTCATCCAGGGTGATGTACTGAGGCCCATACCCAGAGGGGAGTTCTTCGTAGTATCTGGAACGTTCTTGAGGCCGTTCCATGACAGCGTACGACGTCGCGCGGCTGCCATGGGGATCGGCTTCGATGTACTCGCGGGGATAGTCTGACTGTCTGGCATACTGCAAGCTTGCGACTCTTCGAAGATCACCATCCTCTCGGGCAGGGCGCCTGGTGCCAAGCCGAGAGGTTGTACGGGACTGAGGGAATTCGTAGTGTGGATCATTTTCGTAGACTGGCCTGCGAGTTGGGAGTTCTTGCCGCTCGAGTACCGGCGTGTACTGTGGCGATGCAATGTCGATGTACACCGGTTGCTGCTGATCGGAGTGCCGGCTTCGAACCATGCTGGGATCATCGGCGAATGGCGGAGGAGATATTGGCTCCTCTTTAATATAGATATCGGACGGTTCCACATCCTGTCGTCTGTAAGACACGTTACGAGCCCCCTCCCCTCTCTCCTGTAGTCTTCTTCGCTTTCGTGAGGTGAGAAGAGGCACTTGTCCATTGGGACTTTCAAGGCCGGAGTCTGGGTCAGAAATCACCTGGGCTGACGCATGCTCAAGCCTCTCATCTCGACTTCGCTGGACAGGGACTTGCTGGACAGAAGGTACCTTGGCTACAGCCAAAGGCGAGACTCGCGACGGACGGGGTGCTGCGGGCGATGTGATGTGGTTCTGGCGGACAATGGTCACGTCCGCGGGAGATGTCGGTACTTGTGTGGCCCGGTTTCGATCGGCGTTTCTGCCTCGGCGATCACCATTTGCTACTCCCTGCTCATAGTACCTGGGGTTGATTGGCGGAGCTACTGGAGCCGGCGGGGAGTATTCTGGTTCTTCCAGAGCCTCCAACTGTTGCGACTCATGCAGTCGACGGGAAATTTCCGCTTGAGCGGACGATGGCTGTTTTTGAGAGGAGGGGGCACGCTGGTCAGCAACAGGGTAAGCATCGCGCATTTCCTGATCCGAGCCAGGTCGGTTCAGAGTTTCAAGTCGCTGTAACTCATCTGCGTAAGTCTCTACAGGAACACGTGTGGAGAGACCAACCGGCTGAGCCGGTGCGACTGGAGAAAGCTTTTGCTGACCTCCGTCTGGGGAGTCAGGTGCTCTACTAGAGTAGAATGAGTTCTCGTCGAAGGAGTCACCATTCGCCTCAGAAGGTTCACTCAGCGAAACGGGTGCCACCATCTGGAGAGCTTTTTGGAACACCTCCGAGACATCAAATTCGGGTCTTGTGTCCGACAGCGCAGGCTTTTGCTTGCTTTCTTTTTTCTGTTCCAGTTTATCACGCAGTGTCCTCTCCAGTCTCTGCCGTTGAAGCTGAAGTTCGGCCCTGACTAGATCGTCGGATTTAGTCAGGAATATAGGATCGATTTCTGAAACAGTTTTGGAAGTCAAGCGGGTTGAGGGAGGTGTGGAAATTGCGGAGGCAGTCGATAGCGCAGTCCCAGACCTGGGGCCCTGAGTGGTGTTCGGAGAACGCGTCCCTACTTGCAACAGTGCATTCTCTGACGCTTTTTGCGCCAGAGGCTTGTTCTTCACATGCTGCTGGGCAAATAAGCCAGCCTGACCATTGCGTGTTGCAGGTTTGCGCACAAACTGCTGGGGAACCTTAAGACGTGGGTGGGAGCCCGCGAATATCTCATCGCTGATTCTGAGAATTCGCTCGTACTCCTGCACCTCGTTCGCTGTTATTGGCGCCGAGGCAGCCATTGGACCTGTTTGAAGGTGAGTCGAAACCCCATGGGCTGTAGCCATGATCTTAGAGAGCTTGAAGAAGGGGGTTTAAGACCAGGCGGGGGATAGCAAAATGGAATCACTGGTGTAAGACCAGTCTCATAGCAACCTGAAGTGAGCAGAGTTTTGAATATACCAGGGGGACTCTACTTCATTGGAAGGTGAGGCACGAGGACAGGGAAAAGTGAAGCTGTTGAAAGTCCGCTTTTTTGCCGCGCACGCTAATTCCGATTAGGTAACCGCGTGTTGTCGCGGCGCAGTCTGATTGATTCCCAGAAGGCTTCCCGACTTGCCCCTCGACATTTAAATGCTCCCTATGCATCGCGCATTCTTTTCACTTCCTACTCACTTTACCCGTCCAGTACTCCCTCGGTTCGCACCATCTTTCCTACCCCAGCGCTATTTCACAATGGCCGCCAACGGCGCAAACGGCGCAAACGGTGACTCACGACCGGTGTTCTTCTTCGACATTGACAATTGTGTACGTTGAAGACGGCTGGAATCTGTGTGCTTTCGCAACTAATAATCGTGTTCCCTTTACAGCTCTATTCCAAAGGTACAATTGGTTTTGCTGGTTGAAACCAGACGGAGCTATACTGACAATCGCACGCAGCATGCAACATCCATACTGAGATGGGAAAGTTGATCAGTGAGCAACACATTTGCCCCAATGCGCAGTGCCATTCACTGACTCTATTGTTTGCGACCCAGATAAATTCTTTTGCAAGCACCTAGACCTCAGTGCCGAGGATGCGCATATGCTCCACCAGAAATACTACAAGGAGTATGGTCTCGCCATCGAGGGTCTAACTCGCCACCACAAGATTGACCCACTCGAGTTTAACTACGAGGTTGATGATGCTCTTCCCCTCGATACGATCCTCAAACCCGATCCCAAGCTGCGAAAGCTGCTCGAGAGCCTAGACACCAGCAAAGTGAAGCCGTGGCTACTCACCAATGCCTATGTGAACCATGGAAAGCGGGTTATCAAACTGCTAGACATTGAGGGTATTTTCGAGGGTATTACCTACTGTGACTATGGACAGTTGCCGTTAGTTTGCAAACCCAGCCAGGAAATGTACGAAAAGGCGGAGAAGGAAGCCGGTGCGCCGAGCATGGAACAGTGCTATTTTGTCGGTACGTTTGCCAATTTGGTTGATGCCACGTCCCTCGGCGTTGCTCGTTTATCGACACACGATGGGCACTTTCATGCTGACCACGTCAACCGTACAGATGACTCACACCTCAACTGTACTCATGCACAAGAACGGGGTTGGAATACAGTGCATTTGGTAGAGCCAGGCATTCCCATCCCACAAGTCCCCGCCTCGAAATACTTGATCTCTAATCTGGAGGAGCTTCGGGTCCTTTTCCCCCACCTCTTCAAGCCCCAGGAGAGCGACGACGCTTAGATTATGTGTTTTACGCCGTTGACGACCTTATTATTTGCTTGATTTCTATAGAGGCTTTAGAAAGTATCCTCGGCGTCCAAACTGTATATAGTGACTGGACTTGTTACGACATCCTATGTCTCCTCCCTATTCGAGTTCCATTACTCAAAAACCTTAGATTGAGGATATGAATATTATATTAAGAGGATCGAAAAACATATCGTATCCTACGCACTTCTAACATTTGTCCGAAATGATCTGTAGTCAGCTGGATCAGGAATATAATGCAATGGATCCCACAAAGGGGACCTGACTTATTCCTTAGAAGTAACTCTTCGAAGTATTAAAAGCTTTCGGAAAATGCCCAGAAATAGGTCGACAAAGAATTGAACAATTCGGATTAGAGGCCCCTTTAGGTTATCTAAAGGACATCGAGGTGAAACACTCGCCAAGTACATAGTCACTTGTTGCCTCAGGCCACAGGTCGGCGCGCGCGTAGCGGACTCCTTAGTTGCTCCCGGTCCACCCTCATTTCTCCTCGACAAGCACCCTCGGCCATCGCTCAACGACTCATCGTGGGTCTTTGATCCTTACACTCACGATGTCTGGCCGAGAGATATCACCTGGTACCGTGATTACCCTGACCGACGGGCGCCAGGGTACCGTCCGTTTCATCGGCACTACAAGCTTCGCGGTTGGAGATTGGATTGGCGTGGAATTGACCGACGCTACTGGCAAGAACGATGGCGCGGTTCAGGGCGAACGATACTTTGAATGTGAACCAGGGTTTGGCATGTTCATCCGCCCGACAGCCATCGGCTCGGTTGTTCAACAACCCCCGCGGGAGAGTAAACAAACCGCTAGGACCGGTTCCAACGCGCCTGCCAGCCGGCAATCGATATCTGCAGGCTCCAAAAGGCCTACTGGGCTACCTCCAACCGCAGTCAAGCGACAAAGCACCAATGCAATTGGAACACCTACACCGGCGCCGAAGATGGCCCCGCGGGCCTCTCTAAGGGTACGTTGGAAGTGAAATGTCCGGTTGGTCTCCAATAGAGTACTGACAACTCTCTTCATAGTCGCCCACAAAGTCACCGACCAAACAGCTATCTGCTACTTCTAGTCGCTCATCGATGAGCGGGGCTCCGCGAACCTCGACTGTGGCACCAACCCGACCCAGGCCAACGGCCACGACCAGAACCTCGATGGGCCCATCTTCCACTCAATCTGCAGCTTCTCGAACTCCGCGCCCCTCAGTGGCCGGCACGACAACAAGAACGTCGAGGCCTGGGTCCCAAAGCACCGTGGCCTCTGGGTTGTCCAAACGTCCTTCCCTTCGACAGACGGTCTCAGCAAAAGCATCCGACACCGGCGACACAGGAACGAGTAGCCCACTTGAAGAGCCAAGTAATGATGAGACTCCCGATACCGAAGGAGAAGGGGCACAAGATGGAGAGGCGGCACCGGCACTTGCCCCTAGAACGTCAAGACAGTCTTTGGCTTCATCGCGCACAGCAGCAAATCGACCCGGCCCCGGTGCAACTACGGCACAACGCCAAAACCAGAGTGCTGCTCTCTCCCGGGAATTGGAGGAGCTCCAAGCTAAACTCCGAGTCATGGAGAAGAAGAGAGTTGAGGATCGAGAAAAGCTCAAGATGCTTGAGCAACTGCAATCAGACCGTGATAAGTTTGAAGCGATCATCCAAAAGCTGCAGGCAAAGTACCAGCCGCAGCAGATGGAGATAACTGAATTGCGCAAGAAACTCAAGGATACTGAGGCTCGACATGAGGAAGTTGAGCGCATACAAGCCGAACACGAGTCACTCATGGAAATGGCGACACTTGACCGGGAAATGGCCGAAGAGACAGCCGAAGCGTTCAAGCATGAATGTGAAACCCTTCGACTAAAAATGGAGGAGCTTCAGCTGGAAGTGGAGGTTCTGCGTGAAGAGAACGAGGAGTTTGGCCAAATCACAAGCCCTGAAGAGCGATCCAGTCATGGATGGCTGCAGATGGAAAAGAGCAACGAACGTCTTCGTGATGCGCTCATGCGGCTTCGTGATATGACCCAACAGCAGGAGGGCGATTTGAGAGATCAGATCAAAGAATTGGAGCAGGATCTCGAGGAGTATTCTGCAGTCAAGTCCGAATACGAGGCTACGAAGGAAAAATTGTTGGTTGCTGAGACCAATGTGGATGAACTTAAGCAGCAGCTGGAGACCGCCCTCGGCGCCGAAGAAATGATCGAAGAGCTGGCTGACAAGAACATGCGGTACCAAGAGGAGATCAATGAGCTTAAGGCTGCGATCGAGGATCTGGAATCTCTGAGGGAAATCAGCGACGAACTGGAGTACACTCATATCGAAACCGAAAAACAACTTCAAGAAGAGATCGACTATCGTGATGGCGTTTTCAGTGATCAAGTTCGGAAGATCGCCCAGCAGAATGAAGTCATTGAGGACCTGGAGTACACCTTGTCCCGTTTCAGGGAGCTGGTTACGAATTTGCAAAGCGATCTCGAAGACATGCGGGCTTCTCAGCAGATCTCCGAAACGGAAGCCTCCGACCTTACCACACGATCACGAGCCATGATGGACTTGAACATGAAGCTCCAGGCCTCGGTATCAAAGGCCCAAACGAAGTCGATCAATGTGGAACTCAATCGAATGGAAGCGGAGGAAGCCGCACATCACCTTTCCATTGTGAAGCTGTACCTTCCAGAGTACTTCGATGGCGAGCGAAATGCTGTCTTGGCCCTTCTTCGCTTCAAACGTGTCAGTTTCAAGGCTGGTGTAATGAACAACACCATTCGTGAGCGAGTTGCTGAGCAGTCTGCCATCTCGACCTATGATGAGGCATTCAATGCTCACGAAGTACTCGAACATCTCCTCTGGATTTCGACGGTCTGCGACCGTTTCGTGAACTATATTAGTGCCTGTTCCCCGGAACAATTTGCGAACACTAAGGGTGCTTTGTTCGAAATGGAACCGGTCGAGCGGACACTAAACCTTTGGCTTGAGAGTCTGAAGAAGAACGAAGTGAACATGAAGAAGTTTGCAGCTGAACTGCAGCGATCCATTGCCCTGCTTGCACACCTTGCAGAGACTCTCCTTCCCCCTAGCCCGGAAATGTTTGCACACGAGCTTTGTATGCGCGCAAGTTTATCGCAGTCCTATCTCGACCACGCGGCATCTGTTGTTGCGCGGTTGAAGACTTTGGTCCAATCTAAACTTGCGACCCCGGAAGAGGGCAGTGAAGAAAATTCCTTTGCCTTGAGCAAACTTGACGCTTTTGTCTCCCAGGCTCGTGGTTACAAGGTTGCCTTGGGGAAGATTTCTCGATCGCTAGAGGACTTACGTACGCGTTCTCTCGCACTCTCGAGAGACGCCGATGAGCCTTTCAGAAAGACAGAGAAGTGCACCCAAGGGCTCTCAGACTTAACTCGAAAGCTGGGCGAAAATGTTACGAATCTCACCAGCGATGAGGGCCGCACGGATCTTTATACACTGCAGGAGATTCTGGAAAGCATGTCACTGGCCTTTACAGACTCTGTGCCTTCTGCTGATAGCATATCCGAGAATAGCGACCCTGTATCGCTGCTTATCAACAAGCTGCGCGATATTGGCAGCCAGTTGGACGAGCTCGACTCGATCTCATCCGATCTCTCTCGCACCGCAGAATTTGAGAGAGGAGCAAATCCTTGGATTGCCCGATCAGAGGAGCTCAAGTCCAACAAGACCATTTCGCCAGATGCCGACGAGGAGATTCGACGCCTTAAAAATGAAGTTCACGAGGTTTCCACCGCTCTTGGTGTCAAGGACAACACTCTTGAAGAACAGGGTATCAAGATTGAGCTCCTTGAATCACGAATGCGCGAGGCTAGCAAGAAGGCATCTATGGTAAAGGACCTTGAGACCAGGATTGAAGGGTACCAGGCAACCTGCAATGAGCTTGAGAAGACCGTCGATCAGCAGAAGCAAGAACTTCAAACGACCGAGGCGGAGCGTGACGAGCTCAAGTCGCGCATCGAAAGAATGAAGCGAATGTCTGGAACCGCTGGTGTCACGACGTCGGGCGATGGCATCGTTATCGACAATGAGGCTTCTTTGGCCGCGATGCAAGAGAACGAATCTCTTCGCGCCGAAGTCGAAAGTCTTCAAGCAGCCGTGCGTTTCCTGCGCGAAGAAAATCGTCGCTCGAACCTTCTCGACCCCTACTCGGTGCAGCGATCAACGGAAATGCACGCTTGGCTGGACGCACCTCTCACTCGCCCTGCTCCAACTGCCGAGCAAGAAAAGCTTCAGCGCACTGCTTTGGAGAGTCGGGATGTCTTGACCCATCTCCTCAAGCTGACAAAGGACTCCGGTGTCTGTGATTTGAAATCTACAATGGTTCCGCCAGCCAGCAGCGACGATGCCAACATCAACCGTAGTACATGGCGACCTTCAAAATCTCGCCTCCGGTACCAAGTGCTCCAGCAACGAGAGAACTTCGAACACTGGTCCGAATGGCGCGACGATATCGTGCACCACGAACGTGAACAAGACCGTCTGGCTGCTGCCAAGCGGGAACGCGCGCTACGTGACCGTGCCCCCAAACACGCTCACAAAGCCTCCGTTGAATTCCCTCAGGGCCTTGGGCATGGAATGATGGGCCGTGCATGGCAAATCCTCGGCATGCAAAACCATCGCAAGAACACCTCGATCAGTGTACCTGCTCCAGACGGGGTGGAAATCGTGCCTGACGAATAGACGTACAACTTCCTTGTATAGGAGGCACGGGCGGTTGAAGTGGCCCTGGTGTCTTGATCTTATTTGCCTGTACATTATCTTCGTTGACTTTTCTTCTTGTTTTTACCTCCTGTGCAGCTCATTGCCATTGACAAGATACCCCGGTTGCACATATTGCCAAATACATACTTTACTCTGTTATACATGATACATCCGTAAAATCTCCGTCGTCGCCCTGTGAACAGTTGTTCGTATGGATGTATTAATTGTCCATGATAGCCTTTCAAGTTGTAGTTACACTCTTAGTGTCTCAACACTTCCTTGTGTTCAAATTCTCCAGGGTTTATCACCGTAAACTGCCGGATTCCAGGTTTCATAAGGACGCCCAGCTATACGTATGTGTCCAAAGATCGAATATATTCGTATTTTGGTGGCACCTACATTGAAATCGATCAAACTGCCAGTGACCTTGGCGCATCCATAACACGTGGCTTTGACATAAAATGGCCTTCCTTGTATGGTACAAGGCAACCCGCACAATGCAGAGGACTACGTTGACAAATTTATGTAGAATCAGATCCAGGGGAATTTGTGAGCATCCCTTGCAAGACATTGATGATGAAATCAAATGCCTAAATAAGAAACTTCAATACAGTCAATTCAAATATATCATTTAAGAAAACCACCCCGCCTTGTTCATTAACCCCCAACCCAGTCCAATCAAATAGAAAAACCAAACCAAGCGCAATCCAAAGGGGGGTATTTCAACATAGAAGCATGAAGCCATAAACTAATTAGAAGCGAGTAGCCAAGCAGGTTCAAGGTCCAGATATCCGGATGTAGAGCAAGCCAAAGCCGAAATATTCAATCAGAGCCAAGGAAATAAGACACTTCATTCTCCAAGTATCCGCAGAAGGCCTTCAAGTTAGTCTAGAAAGCCAATCCAACCGTGGAGTTGTCGTATCGAAGAGGTTCGCCTTTGTACGGCGCGAAAGGATAGTGTTGTGGACGACCCTTTGGGATGGCAGGGTAGTTGAACATGGCCTCGAAGTCCTTGTCCCCTGATCGTGAAGGGACATGAATAGAGGCTCGTGGGGTAGTGTCACTGGTGAAAGTGCTAGAGATAGAAGCTTTGTGCTGCCGAATCTGTGCGCCGCCAGTGATGGTCGTAGTGACGACTGAAGCGACAGTGCTACCACTCAATGTGCGTGTTCGCTCCCATGCGAATTCATCTTCACCGGTAAGGGAGACTTGCTTGGGAGATGGAGGGCCGGTGGAGAAGAACCATTGGGTTACGCGGTTGGGCATAGGGGTCTCCGCGATGGTATTGCGGTTCTCGGATGTCGGTGGACGGTACAGTGACGATATCCGGGATGGCATTGTCCGTGAGCTGGCCGACGAGGGAGAATCGCTAGGGAATGAAAATGCGTTGAATGGGTCATCGGATGTGTAATCTTGGTCCTTTGTTGGAAGGGGACTCTGAGGCTCTGCCTCCATGGACGCTTGTTCCTGGGTTACATGATCGGGCCATTCGGTGTCAAGCTCGATTTGGCTTTCGTTCGAAATAGGCTCGACAAGTGCAGTCACCGGGACCATATCACCCTCCGAGACAACGGTTTTGACGGGTTTAACGAGAGAGAAATGAGGGACCAGAGCACTTGGGATGCGAACCGGTTGGGCTGGTTCGGGGAAGTACTCTGACTGTCTGAAGGACCTGCGGTTTCCAGAACCGACAGGCTTACGAGACATGGATAATCTTGCGTTGGCTGACTGGCAGCGTTGGGCTCGAACGCCATTCGGAGAGAGCGCACGCGGTGGTACAGCCAATGTCTGGCGATGACGGTCTTCATCAATTTCGAAGTAATCGAACTCGGGCAGGTCCGACAAGCGTTTACCCGACCGGTAGATACTCAGCTCTAAGGGCTGATACTTTGTCGGTATAGGAGGTGTACGCGGAGTAGAAGGCCGGAACGAGAAGCCTTCGACTCTGCGGAAATCCGAGGGCGCGCCGATCTTCAACGGTACTGTAGATTGTCTCTTGAAAGACATGCTCGCTCGAGTAGATGCCCGCGAGGCCAGGTTCCTCCCATCGGAGATCCACGAGGACAGCGAGTTATGAGGCTGATGATCTACACTCGGGCTCGGAAGGTCATCGTACACCACCAGCTTCATGGGAGGCACGAGATGCGGTTGAGCATGGCATACTTGCATCTCCCGTTCGACACCTGCATAACGAGGATTGATTAGTTGATCATGTACGAATCTAAACCCGAATCAATTATCGAAATACCTCTGTTCTCAGCTCGCAGAGCGCTTTGGCCGACCTCTCCTGAGGACAAACATGCCCAGCATGATTGTATCCAGCCGGGAGATATCGAACCCTCTTGCTCGAAAGCCATCGTCATGGCGGCCAGCGCGAAGATTTAGTCCATCACCTTCTCTGAAGGCAAGAGTCGAGGTACACAAAAGAAAGAAAGAAAGACAGAAAGAAAGAAGATAGGACAAGGAGCCAAAAAGGGTCGTACGAGATCCCACTCAGAGGATCCCCTCCAACAAAGTGACTCCTGGGACAAGACGGGCCTAAGGGGCCGAAGCTATGCCCAGGAGAGTCAAGTCATCCTCGTCACACACTGTCATTCGAACGAGTCGCTAGTGATGATCGTTCCTGCGGAGCCGATTATGATGTCTCATTCGCTGATTTCCGGTGGAGCTGTCACAACTTTGCTTATCATCGAAGTGTTGGCAAGTGTTATACTTAGCTCTGAGGGCCGATGTGGGGGTCCCACGGGTTGGGCGCGTAAAAGGAACGCTGCATTGGTCGTGTTTCGGCCCTGTCATGTCCCGTCCCCGTGGGTTCGTTTCATGCAGCGCTTTAATCTACCGGAAGAGTGACTACGATGTTATACAGACCTAGCAAGTAGGCAATGGTAGGCTCATCTTGTAAGTACACGAAGACCCGCTATTTCCCCCAAACATTGTCATCCCCCAAGGCACTATAGGCCCACGGCTTAGGAGACCGTTGTTCATCTTGCATCTCAGCTGGAGTTTCCCTGGGAGGCTCGGACCCCGACTCTTCATCGATTGGCTGTCCAGATGGTCTCCTAGAGAATGAGAACAGGGTCAGTCCAATTATGCCGGCGAACCAATAGATAGGGCGGATGGGCTACTCACGAGAAATGCCGGGGTTCGCTTGCCGTCCATGCGGAGCCAGTCTCCCGTTGTGTTTGAGCTCGGTCTTCTTCTTCAGCCTCCACATCCTCCACCACGAGATCAACCAGTTGATCAGGGTCGCGACGGGAGCTGTGGGAGTGGTGTGAGCTAGTGGAGCTGGCGTTGCGCTGCAAGGGACGCGGCGCCCCCGAGCTTGAAGTTCTAGACTTGGAGCTCGTGTTGTGATCCCGACGGCTTTCGCTGCCCGATGCCCGACTCTTTCGGTGCGCGCGAGCTTTTTTCACATCGCCAGTATGGTTGGACCCTTGGTAGCTCCTGCTCCGGTTAGTGGCCAGACGCTGGTCCCTGGGGACTTCATTGGCTGTGATCACTGGGTACTATTCTGTAGTCAGCATCGCAGTATTCAGTAGCGGAGCGATCCACGTACATTCCAATCGCCAAACTCCAGCGCTCGCGCTTTGGTGAACAGTCCTTCGTCTTCATCATCTAGTGAGATTTCAATCTCACTGTATGTCCGGAATCTCTCAGTTGAACTGCCACTTTGTTCGCTTCGGCTGCGATTGCTCGAGTCACCTCCTGAGAGGAGCGGGGTTCGGCTGTTCGTCTCGCCAGATTTACTGTTCTCTCCAGGCCTGGGGATCCAGTATTTCGCTTTACCTCCCCGCTCATATCGCATGCCGTCCATCACCCGCTTGACTCGTGATTCAGAGTCCTCGTGCGCAATGATGTTATCCCCCGAATCGAAGATGCGATACTCATAATTTTCACCCCGTAGCGTGATCCTCGTGTCTTCCATCAGATCCAGAGGCCCGAAGGCGTCCCGGAGCGCGTATTTCACAGGCAAACGAGCCGCCGAGATGGTTGGGTCAGCAAAGTCGTGCCACGAGAATGCATACCAGTGGGCGGCGGCGAAAATGGGCATCTCATAACAGATGAGTGCGTCTTGAATCGCTGCAGCGAGGTTGTCTGGCGTATACCCGGCGACACCGTTACCCATTGCTCCCAACCATTGCAGAATGGACAGGAAGAATCCTTGCCAGTAAGATGCGAAGATGATTAGTTTGACGCACAAGAATTTAGGAACTGGGCGGAAGGGCAAGAGATCATCGTGCAGGCAGATCCAGAACATGGCAAGAGAGTACAGACTCAGCGTGACACTGATGTTGTACAAGATACCCGTCCAGAGATAGCCTGAGCTGAGGCCCAGATACCCTTCTTGATATGTGTTGGTAGCCTTCATCACAACGGAGGCGAGCGCTAGAATGGGTTTCAACCAGGCATACTGCAGAATGCCACGCTTGACAGCCAGGAATGTATGCGGGTCGGAGATATCGATCTTGGGGAAGAAGTGGTTGAGCGGCCAGGCATGAGACACTGGAGGTCGACCATGGGCCATGATGATGACTGCTCGCTCTCCTCCCAGAAAGTTGATCAGCAGCTGGAAGAACGTATAAATGGTAAACGCCTGCGCAGAATTCGATCAGCATTGGGTCCGTCTCGCTTTGGACCACACAAAATACCTCGTAAATGTCGCGGATCGGGTCCAGAAACTGAGCCGCCTTCAGCGACACGATGCTGGTCCATGACGATGCTGCATATATTGGTACCCTAAGCACTATCAGCACCGCCTTATCTCCAGCTGTCGGCCCCCCTGAGCTCTAGACTGCCATTCATTACTCACATTAACAGAATACGGACGACATATCGCTGGAGCAATGGTTTCCGGTAGTTTTTACTATAATGACTGAGTTAGTAGCTGTAGGAAAGTCCGGTATCGTGGATGAAGCTCGTACGTTTGTAGCCATATGGACCTGCCAGGAAAGAAGCACGAGTTAGCTCAAGAACAATTCAAGAGACGAAGTAACAGAGAAATCAATGGCCATGGGACATACACTAGAGATAGTAGTGAAGACACGAGTGCTGAGACGCCAGAGGTGATAATGATCGCGCGAGCCAGGCTTGAGCCAGTGCCTCCGCCAGGAAGACCCGTCATGATGGGAGATAGTCGCGGGTTCAGAGAGCCGCTTTATTGAGAACACCAAGTCATTTCGCAGCTTCGTAGCCACAAAACATGGTCGCCTAACGGTAAGGCGGGGGCAGAGCTCACAAGGACAAGCTTGGAAATTGTTGTAAGGAGGAGGCGTGTGGCCGATGACGATCTTCTCGTGACACCGCCCGACGCCCGCATTTCGCATTCGCGCGACCAACTTTCACAGCTGCGACGCCTCTCCAATCTTGGACTCGTTCTTCGCGAGTTTGTCGCGTCGATCATGCTTGCGCCTGTTGGTGGCTTCACGGAGAAATGGCCAGTACAAGCTTGACGGCCTCTTACCTGACGCCGGACCCGAGCTTCAATTGGTATGTTAAATCCAGGGCCGTCTGCGGTTTAGATTACTCACTGGGGTTTATTTAGGTTCTTTCTCCTAGAGCTCATTGTTTCTTGTATTCTGTAAGTACCCCGGAGGATCCCGAGTACCTTCATGTGGCTTATACGACCCCCAGTGTTCTCTTCTTCCTGCTCTATTTCAACCGACTGTTTGCGACTCTCCTTTCCTACGCGATCCGATCATACACCTGGCATTACTACCGCGTCTATGTCGACATAAATGCCTTACAATTTTCCCTCCTCAGCGGACGAATATTCTTCAAAGGAATCCGGTACCATGGCGCGAATGAGACAATCTTTATCCACGGCGGATTCATAACATGGCGATATTGGAAGCGTAAGGTTGAACGCACGAACCTGTCTGGCAAAAAACCCGCACCCAGCCGACCATATACGTCAGGGAAGGATCACAATGACTCCGTCCATGGCGAACGCACAGGTGCGACAAGCAGGAACGACAGTGTTGGGGAGCAGGGTGGAGTGGAGAAGACGATCGAGCTACCATGCCGCATATCAATCAAGGCGTACGGCCTGGAATGGTTTATCTACAACCGTACTCCTGCTTATGACAGTATTCTTGCTGGGTTCGGGTACAAGGACAGCACCGACGGAGGAGGTACCCCTGGGCCTGCTTCTCCGACTGAATCACAACCGAATCTCCAGCGGTCCAAAACGACCTTCGACACTCTTTCAGAGCAAAGTCCCAATGAAAGGGAAGCTCTTGGAACCCGGAATACCGAACTGCGCGAAGCTGAGCTTTCCGATCCAGTCTCCAGTATGCTCGAGCTCCTACCGGTGAAGCTGGACTGCAGCAAAGGAGCTATTGTGATGGGAAATGAAAACACTCGATCTGTCTTGACGACGACATTTGATAGCGCTGCAGGAACCATTGCCGCCTGCAATTCAGGCCCTATGGACTTGTACCGGCAGCTGTTCTCGTTGAAGTTCAAGCACCCAGTGGTTCAGATGCGGCCAAATCCCGATTTCAAGCAGAATCAGATATCGACTGCAAAAGTGCTGGCCGCGGAGCACGAGGATGATGGTTCACCCAAGCAAAAAAGGGATCGTTTTAAGCAGAAGGTGCACAAGCACAAAGTATGGCACAGTATTCGTGACCTTGTTCCTTACTTTCAAACATCTGTGGAATCGTTCCAGGTTAATGGACAGGGTGGTAGCATGCCAAGGAGCGAGGCTGAATTTCCCGATGTTCGTTGGACTGGCCTGTCCCGATATTTGGATGAAGATTATGAGGATGACCATGAGCAATGGAATTCAATCGAGTACGCCAGGTTCCCAACAATCGTCGACAGTCCAGCCTTGGATTTGACATACTACTGGGACATTCCAGGACGAGTTGTTCCACAGCATCCGGCGTCTGCTGAGTCTACCCAGGAGAAGCAGAACAACATTAACCACAATTTTCCTCCAGAATGGGGCATGGATATCAAGATTGACGGAGGCACTATTAACTACGGGCCATGGTCTGACAGGGAGCGGGTCGGCTTGCAGAACATATTCTTCCCTAACTTTTACCGAAGCTCTGAACCTGCAGAGCAGTTGGCACCGGGTGTCTTGAGACAAAGCACATCTTTCAAATTGCGCATTGAAGTCAACGAAGAGCTCACGCTTCGGATCCCAACTAGGGAGCAGTCCAAGGATTGGGCTTGGAAAGGGCGCGTAGATGCCATGCGAGGATCTGCCGGGGCAAAGAGGCAACAGGAAAGGAGAAAGTCACGAGTTAAGGAAACCGAAAAAAGTCACATTGGCTCAGATGTTCGTCCTTTTGGATGGCTTTCGCTCGCCGTGGGCCCTGATTCAAGTATCAATTATGCCATGGACATGGTAGCATCCAGCCTCGGGTTCCGCAATGAGCTCTGCCTTGACTTGCGTGAATCCAGGTTGTCATCTAGTGTGAATCATGCTTTACTCTGGCAATGTCCGCGACAGCTGGTAACTTGCGACTTATCCAATCCTATCTCCTGGAATAGTCTTCGATCATGGAGATTTTCCGTTCACAGCAATGACCTTGAACTCTTCATCTTGCGAGATCATATTTTTCTTCTGACTGATCTGGTCAGCGATTGGGCTTCGGGCCCACCATCAGAGTACTGGACTTTTGTGCCGTTCATTTACAACATCGACCTCTCCTTCTCAAACCTCCAACTATTCGTGAACGTTAATGATGGAAATATCATCAGCGACCCCTCTGACCTTGAAGATAATCGTTTCATTGTTATCAAGGGCAAAGAGTTGACTTCGAATATAATGATTCCACTGAACAATTTCCAACCAAACCAAAATACAGTGGAGTTCAAAGTCAACCTCAAGGACGGTGGTGTGGACTATCTGACTCCTGCATGGGATACGTTGCACACTTTCCTCCCAGGAAATTCCATGGCTACCCTTGATAGCCTCTTTATTGACGGATCTTACAACTACTTCAGCTCGACGGCCCCCGATCTGATTGATACGCTTGTGCTGAACATTGACGGCTGTTCGCCTCGATTATATCTATACGGGTTTTTGATCAAGAGTTTCCTGGCCGTCAAGGAAAATTACTTCGGCGATGACATGCATTTCAAAACCTTGGAGGAGTACCAAGAGCTGGCCTATGCGGAAGAGCAACCTTCAAACCCCACAGGCATCAATCCGAATCGAAAATCGAACGACATGGATGTCTTGGTCCATGCTACCGTGGACAGCCCGTGCGTCATGCTACCTGAGAGCATCTATGACAATATGAAGTGTTCAAGACTCTCGGGTGCTTCGCTCGACATTGATCTGCGCTTCACCAATTACTACATGGATATGCAATTTGCCGTCAGCCCACTCAAGCTAGATTTGCAATCAACACATGCGGATGGGTCATCAACAATCTCCGGCACCCAATTGTTCATTGACGGTATCTCTGTTTATGGGCATCGTCTGTTTGGGTTGCCCCCAGCAGAGCCAACTTACGTCTGTAACTGGGACTTCGACATTGGTAGAATCTTGGGTGAATGCTCTACAGAGTTTCTGGCATGCCTGTCATCCAGTCTCAAGAGCTTCGATTTCTCGTTTGATAACGAGGAAAATGCCTTGCCTCCCCTCTTCCCGCCTGTTTTACATGATGTGACATTCCTCAGAGCCAAGATTAGCTCGATTCATATCTCCGTGCTCTTAGACCAGGTCGCAATTGTCTTGAGCACGAATCCGTTGTCGACGCAGTTCAATGATTGGACGAATTCTAAGTTTTCGAAACGCATGAGTCTACTAGTACCAGACATCTCAATTGCCGCGGTTGATCACCAGGCAGTGGCCCAAGCTTTACGATCACCAGGGAAGATTGTTGCGCCCCTGGGCCTTGTGCAATTGACCATCCGTCTGAAAATGGCTTTGCGCAAGCATGATATCGCAGAACACCGACGCCTTCAGCAGGAGCACATCAAAATCCATGATCAGCGAACACATCGATCCCAATGGTTACTATTCGACTGGGAAGAGATAGGACCGACTTCATCCCTTTCGGGTGATGATAATATCGCACCTCCAACGATGGCGATACCCTCAATGCCAGAGCCTATAGTTAGGCGATTGGGTAATGCCCCGTCTTATCGAGAATTTTCAGGCGCTCAAGGGACTGGAAGTGCGAGAAGCTTCCTTGTGCATTCTGAGACCTCGAGTTTGAAAAGCTCCAAGTCACCCTCCAAGAATACTCGTCCTGTATCGAACGCGGAACAAAAATCAAGACCTGTCCCACCAAGTCGAGATGAGAGTTGGTCCACCGCACCTGCCAGCCGAATGAAGGACAGTGAGAGCTTTGGCCGATCCTGGAATGGACCCTACTCATCAGCTGCCGTCAGAGATTCCAACCCTTGGATTCTTCCACAGTTTTCTTACTACAAACTTTCTTTGGACGCGTCTGAGCTTCCTTCGTCAAGCGGTGACGACGACACGGCTGGAACAGAAAACGATGCTGAGGTCAACCAGAAGTCCATGTTCCTGACATTTGAGGATGATCAGACGTCATACACCAACCTTGCCTTGGACCTGCCACTGGGGATTAAAGGCTTTGGTACCCCGCGGTTCCTTCTCAGCTTGGCTTCTTTAATGGAAGGGCTTGAGCCAAAGCACCCAGTGCAAATCATCGATTCGTTGCAGAAGGATGTAATATCCGACATTGTTGGCTACGAGAAGTCTATGAATCAGCCCAAGAAATCCACTGCCGTGGCGCTTCGCATCCCGCTCATCCAATTGCGAATGGTTGATGTTTCTGAATCGCCAGAAGATAGGCAGATTGAGTTCAGAGACGAATATTCCATTGGGATCTACCGTCTTCGGGCAGAATTCCAAAAACGAGTGCAACGGCAAAGGGGAGATCTACTTGAAGGTCTCAACCAAGGTATCACGGCTCATGCGGCGGCCGATCGCCTGTCGCTATCCGTTGAGGGCAGTCGTACAGATGCCTTCCATGAGAAAGCTGCTTTCAATTTCGATCTGGGCGACCTGAACTTCTGGCTGGTCACTGCTCCCAACATTCGCTCGAACTTTCAGATGCGGCACGTCAATACTGTGACCTCCGCAAGATCGGTGGAACGCTTAGCTTTCCTTGTCCGTCGAGCCACAATGATGTTTGACTCTGTTGCATCAGCTTTCCAGCATGTCTCAGCTTTAAGCAAACGACGGTTGCAATTCCTCATCTACTTCACCACACAGTCTTCCTCTGAGACCCCTGACCCAATTTTCTTGACACGTATCTCTTATGTGCTTCGAGTTGCCTCAACCCACCTGCGGCAACATGACTCGTGGAAAATAATTTCTCGTATTCGCAACCTCTACAGGAACTTGCCTGTCCACCACAAGAGAGAACTCGAACAAAAATGCTCTAGCGACAATATCCCTTTACCGCCTAATGCTAGGTCGACTGTTCTGACTGGCTTCGACCAATGGCGGGCGTGGGACCTTGCCCATGTCGAGAAAAGCTATGCCATGCGCAAGATATGGTCAAATCCCGAGCCTCAGCCATCAACTCCAGAGCCAACAGTTTCTTTGTCATGCACGGTGCAACTAATAAGATTTTCCTTGGATCCCGGTCCTCGAGAAAGTGACTTCATAGTCGAGAATTTGTCGACTGTGACCTCTCTTGTCCCGAATAAGGCGTTCCAAGAAAATGGCAAGGAGAGGTATAAGAAAGTCGTTACGGCGCAAGCGTACTGTGCCTCAGCGGCTCTTCGCTTGCGATGGGAGATTGTCGATCTTGTTGAAGGAATAATCAAGGTCATGTCGACTGTCACGCTGGAGTATTCACCAGCTCAGGCCACTTCCAGCACTGGATACGAAAATCAAACGGAATTGCAAATCATATTTGGTACTGACTTCGGATCAATTACTCTTGATGCCATCAATGTCAAACTCGCCTTGATCTCAAAATCTCTGCGAGCCTCGATTGTGCACAGCTCTTACAACACCAAGAAGAGTAACCAGGAAAGTCTTGCTCTGCTTTTCAGTGCTGAGGCTTGCTCGTCAGAGATTTTGAGTCGGTCTGGGAGTCTCATGTTGTCGAAAATTGCCGACCCATATCTCTATTTCTCGTTCTTCTCTGACGAGGATGAGTTGGAGTGTAAACATGACTGGAAGGTTACTGGGTCGTCCAGGAGACTCCGCTATGAGATGAAGGAGGATCCAGTCAGCTTGGCGCATACCGCAGATCGTGTGATCGAGGATGAAGTCAGATACATTCGGCAACTCATTGACAATGTTAAAATGCAGAAATCTGAGAATCTCCAGGTCTCGGCTTCGGAGAAGCCCACTCGTGATAACATTCATGTTGCAATGTTCCTAGAGGACTATCGCCTTAGCTTCAGTCTTCTGCCGTCCTTGACCTATCTTGTTTCTGGCGAGGTAGCCCGCATGTCAGTCATGCCGGCTGAATCATCTAAGATTGAAGTTGACTTTGACGTGAAGAAGAATTCACACATGTTTATGTCAGGAGAGGGTGACAGATATCATACTCTGTCGATCCTTGAGATTCCTCCTACAAATGGTCGGATCCTTGCAAATGTGCAGTCTGATCGCAAAGAGTTCGAGGTTGACATGACTATCGAAGTTATTCGTCTAGAGGCAAGCTCTGTGCGGAGTTTATTAGCCGTTTTGACAGGGCCCGATATCGCCCATCTTTTGTCCGATCTCAAGCAGAACGTGGATGTTCTGCAGTCTCATCTGGGCGACGTACTCTCGCTACAGAAGACCAAGCCAGAGCCTGAACCCTCCTCAGATGATACAGTGGTTCTCTACAAAGCTCGCCTCACAATGGCTGGATTCGAGATTCATGCCATTGCCCCTGGTTTAAACAGCAAGGCTTATTCTGCGGAGATGGTCTTCAGCCTCGGAATGATGCAAATGCGACTCCAGAATGGTTTGGATCGAGGCTATTCAATGGAGCACCCTGAATTTAGTATTGACGCTTCTCAAATCAAGTTCGAGCTGCGAAGGCAAGAGAGAACCAAGACCACTTCCTACGGTGGCTTTACTGCGGGCATCAAATTACTCGGAACCTCAACTATTCGTGAAAATGGAGAAGTGATGCGTGCCTACCATTTCACGAGTGATCAATTCGATGTTGAGCTCTTTGTTGAAACAGCCGCCTTGGTGGTGGATATTGCTATCTACACGCAGGAACGCATCAAGACGCTGGACTTGTCGCATGAAGTTGAACGTCTGCGGAGACTTCGACGCCGCAATCACAATGACGCAGTCACACCGGCCTCTGAGGTACCTCAGATTCATGTAGAGGGCGATGATGAAGCACCGACACAGCCATTCTTGAATGCATTGTACTCTTTGCAGTTCCGAGACATCCAGGTTGCATGGAACATGTCGACGCCACTCCCCAGTGGTTCTGGTCGCCAACCTGAGGACCTGGTATTCTCGATCCACCAAGTCGAGCTGTCCAATAAAAAGAAGAACGCCGCCAAGCTACGGATCGAGGATATGAAACTACAAATGGTTCCATTCCGAGCAGACAGGAAGAAGCGCTCGCTTAACTCCGCCCTCATGCCTGAGCTGGTCTTCAATGTTGCATACTACTCAAGTGGGAAAGAACTGTGGCTCGCCTTCCAGGCAGCCGGAAAGTCACTGGATATCCGCGCAACATCCGAATTCATCCTTCCAGCTAACATGATTCGGAACTCAATTGCATCCGCTTCTGAGGTTTTACGAGAGGGCAAGGTAGCTTGGGCAACGAAGACATCGCCTGATAATACTGCCAAGGATCGCAGTCTCTTCGGCAAGAGAAGACTTCGATCCGTACTCGTTGATGTTGACTTTGCCGGTGCTACTGTCACGCTCCAAGGAAAGCAGCAGCGCAACTCTCAGAATCTGATGACAGCCGGGATGAAAGGCAACCGGCTTTCGGAGGCGAAGTATGGTGATTATGTGCAAGGCGAATCGGCAACTACAGCGACTTTACGTGCGCCGGGAGTGGCTTTGAAGGTTCAATTTGAGGATAACGGCACCGACGACCCGGCACTCAATGCAGAGCTCAAGGTAGACCCCTCTACAAACGTATTATACCCAACTCTTGTTCCACTGGTCAAGCAGATGACCGCCACGGTCAAGGAGATCATGGGAGAGCAGCAGCAAAATCAGCAACAGAGCCAGCCATTAGCTCCACAGCAAGACAGACCTCGACGAGCGTCTACCGCGGCTAAATTTCAATCGCAGAAGCTGATACAAGATACTCCGTTTGGTGCTCCTGATCCAAATTCCATTCTTGGACGATGCAAGGTGAACCTGGGATTGTTGTTCTACAAGCAGGAGTTCAGTCTTAGCTGTCAGCCCATTGCCAGAGTGGCAGCCACCGCAAGGTTCGAGAGTGTCTATGTGACCGTCAACACAGTGCAGTCAGCTGAGCAGGGCCGCTTCCTTGCCCTCTCCTTGGCCTTCAACAGCTTGGAGGCCTCGATTAAGCATGTCTACTCTAACGAGTCAACGGCAAGCTTCCAAGTCAAGTCCATGGTCTTATCCCTGATGAACAGCAAGCATCTCGGCCGAACAAGCGGCATGTCCGCTATCCTGCGGGTCAGTCCCATGAAGGTCTCGTTGAACGCCAAGCAGGTGCAAGATTCGCTTCTATTCCAGGAAATCTGGGTTCCGTCTAGCGATGATCCGAGCGCCAACTTGAATCCCCAGCCGGAGCAACCGGAAGCCCAAACCTACATCGTGCAGCGATATCATCAGGTTGCTGCCGCCTCCGCATTCCCCTGGAACACCACCATTGCCATTGAGAAGTTGGAGATCCAACTCGACTTGGGTTCCACCCTCGGCAAGGCAGCGTTTGCCATTGATAACCTATGGGTGTCCTCCAACAAGACATCGGATAGCGAACAAAGCATGTGTATCAACTTTGACAGCGTTGGCATTGAGAGCAAGGGCCGGTTGAGTGGTGTTGTCGAGCTAAGGGGCCTCAAGATTCGAACATCCATCAAATGGCCCGAAGAAGCTCGAAAAGACTGGCACACGCCACTCATCCAGGCGTCTGTTGCGTTCCGTCATCTTCAGGCCAAGGTTTCGTTTGATTACCAGCCATTCTTGGGAGCACACATTGCCATGTTTGACTTCTTGATGTACAATGTCCGCGAGGCCTCTGGAAAGGCAAGCGAGCGACTATTCAGTATTCTGGAGGGCGATAAGGTTCAGTTATTCTGCACTTCCTTGACCGCATCGCAGGCCCTGGCACTCTTCCAGGCTTGGCAGCGCCTAGTCCAAGACAAACAAGCAGCGTACGAAGCGTCTCTGCGGGAGGTCGAGCGTTACCTGCGACGCAAGTCTACCGCTCCCCCAGACCGAATGGAAGGCGCCCGCACCAAGGAACACGTAAAGAAGGACGACGAATCAGAAAGAGCTCCTATCTCGCTACATACGGGTGTGGTCGTGAACATCCGTCACGTCAACCTTGGAGTGTTCCCCAGTTCATTCTTTGATAATCAGATCTTCAAGTTGGAGGCCTACGATGCTCAAGCAAGATTTGCCGTTTCACTGGAATCGAACAAGATCCATAGCGCACTTGGTCTCACTCTAGGTCAACTACGTGTTGCCTTGTCAGGCATCAGTCGCCCCGCCTCCGCCCAACTTGACGAGCTTTCGGTGGACGATATCGCCCAACGGGCAGCCGGCTCCCGTGGCGGTACAATTCTCAAAGTGCCGCGACTCGTGGCGGGAATGGAAACCTGGCAAGAGCCCGGCACCAAGCACATCGACTACATCTTCCGGAGCACATTCGAAGGCAAAGTGGATGTGGGCTGGAACTACTCGCGTATCAGTTTCATCCGGGACATGTGGGAGACGCACTCGCGGGCCCTAGCTACCCGACTCGGCAAACCTTTGCCACCGTCAGCCGTCCGTATTACTGGGGGTCCTGGAAGCAGCAGCGAGCGAGGTGTCGAGGGAGCGGAGCAGCAAGAGAAGATCACGGCAGTGGTCAACGTGCCGCAGTCGAAATACACCTACACGGCGCTAGAGCCACCGGTCATTGAGACGCCACAGCTGCGAGACATGGGAGAGGCGACACCGCCCCTTGAGTGGATTGGGCTGCAGCGAGATAAGCTGCCCAATGTCACGCATCAGATCATTATTGTGACCCTGCTGGAGATCGCAAAGGAGGTGGAGGATGCGTATGGGGCGATCCTCGGAACCTGATACATACTATTGGCGTTTTCGGGCACATTGAACATAGACATCGGAAGGAGGTTTCCCTGCATAATTACATATCTTCATTATCAAAATCATATTTCTCTCTCTTAAAACACAGCTATTTCAGTAAGGGGGGGGGGCCTATTCAGCCTCTTGAGGTGCGTATGTGTATATTAAAAAATATTAAAAAACTCATTGTCGGCCCCTCGTGCATTATTAATCAACAACCCCGCGCAGGGATTGTACTGTACAGTACAGTAGGCGGTGAATGGCGGGGCTGATTGGTTACACTCGTTTCAGTATTTTCATCTCCTGGGTAACGTTGAAATTCTGCTAGGACTAGACTGTCACTAAGGAGACTAGGAGCAATTAGGAGCTGCCCGGCAAGGTTTTGCACTGTCCGGGTTCCGCCCAGTTTCAGGTGCGGTTCAATTACGGGCTCCGAATCGGGCCTTTGTACGTGCACCGGACAACCACGGATGCCCTCGCGGTGAGTCAACAGATACTTTAGGAGCATTTGAAATCAGAATGAGCCATGCTAGATGTGACTGGAAATCACGAGGAGTAATACTTGTGATTGTAAGAGTAAATTTGTGTCCGGATCAAGTAATCTGGTAAACGCACAAAACCGAGCGGGGCAAAAAAAAGCGTCTCCACTTTCGCCTGCTTTTTTTTCTCCCACTTTTCCCCCCTCCCACCTTCCTTTCTCCTTCTCCCCTCTCCATCCCCTTAACCGCAGGAGCAGTTGCACATAGGATTTGATCACCATCGAGTTATTTGCTCGGTTTTGATCATCTATCTGTGGTCTTGCTTCTTTTCTTCTTCTTCACAAACCGCCTCTAAGGCTTATTGAAGAAAAAAAAACCGCCAAGATGGTTAAGTATGTTGACTGCCGCACAGAGAGGAAAAAAAAAAAATCCATCTCTCAGCTTGGGATTCATCCAGCTAACCATGTTTCGATAGCTTCACCATTGAGGAGATCCGTACTCTGATGGACAGACGGGCTAACATCCGTAACATGTCCGTCATTGCTCACGGTAAGCTTCCATTCTCATCACCCTCGACCAGAAAAGAGCTGGTAACTGACCCTTGTTTCCCTCGTTAGTCGATCACGGAAAGTCCACCCTCTCCGACTCCCTGGTCCAGCGTGCCGGTATTATCTCCGCCGCTAAGGCCGGTGAGGCCCGTTTCATGGACACCCGTCCCGATGAGCAGGACCGTTGCATTACCATCAAGTCCACCGCCATCTCCCTCTACGCCAAGTTCCCCGATCCCGAGGACCTGAAGGAGATCCCCCAGACTGTTGATGGTTCCGAGTTCCTGATCAACCTGATCGATTCCCCCGGTCACGTTGATTTCTCGTCCGAGGTCACTGCTGCTCTCCGTGTCACTGATGGTGCCCTTGTCGTCGTCGACTGTGTCTCCGGTGTCTGTGTCCAGACCGAGACCGTCCTGCGTCAGGCCCTGACCGAGCGTATCAAGCCCGTTCTGTGTATCAACAAGGTTGACCGTGCTCTTCTCGAGCTCCAGGTCTCCAAGGAGGATCTGTACCAGTCCTTCTCCCGTACCATCGAGTCCGTTAACGTCATCATCTCCACCTACTTCGATAAGGCTCTTGGTGACGTCCAGGTTTACCCCTACAAGGGTACTATTGCCTTCGGTTCCGGTCTCCACGGCTGGTGCTTCACTGTCCGCCAGTTCGCCGTCAAGTACGCCAAGAAGTTCGGTGTTGACCGCAAGAAGATGCTTGAGCGTCTGTGGGGCGACAACTACTTCAACCCCAAGACCAAGAAGTGGACCACCAAGGGTGAGGCCGATGGCAAGCCCCTTGAGCGTGCCTTCAACCAGTTCATTCTGGACCCCATCTTCAAGATCTTCTCCGCTGTCAACCACAACAAGCGCGAGGAGATCTCCACTCTCCTTGAGAAGCTCGAGATCACCCTCACTTCCGACGAGAAGGACCTCGAGGGTAAGGCTCTCCTCAAGCTCGTCATGCGCAAGTTCTTGCCCGCTGCCGATGCCCTTTTGGAGATGATCTGTATCCACCTGCCCTCCCCCGTCACTGCCCAGAAGTACCGTGCCGAGACTCTGTACGAGGGTCCCAATGACGACGCCGCGTACTGCGGTATCCGCGACTGTGACCCCAAGGCTCCTCTCATGCTGTACGTCTCCAAGATGGTTCCCACCTCCGACAAGGGTCGTTTCTACGCCTTCGGTCGTGTCTACTCCGGTACCGTCAAGTCCGGTGTCAAGGTCCGCATCCAGGGTCCCAACTACACCCCCGGAAAGAAGGAGGATCTGTACATCAAGGCCATCCAGCGTACCATTCTCATGATGGGTCGCTTCGTTGAGCCCATTGAGGACGTTCCCGCCGGTAACATTGTCGGTCTGGTCGGTGTCGATCAGTTCCTGCTCAAGTCCGGTACTCTGACCACCGATGAGACTGCCCACAACATGAAGGTGATGAAGTTCTCCGTCTCCCCCGTTGTGCAGCGCTCCGTTGAGGTCAAGAACGCCCAGGATCTGCCCAAGCTCGTCGAGGGTCTCAAGCGTCTGTCCAAGTCTGACCCCTGTGTCCTGACCATGATCAACGAGTCTGGTGAGCACGTCGTCGCTGGTGCTGGTGAGCTCCACCTCGAGATTTGTCTTAAGGATCTCGAGGAGGACCACGCCGGTGTTCCTCTCCGTATCTCCGACCCCGTCGTCTCCTACCGTGAGACCGTCGCTGGTACCTCCAGCATGACTGCCCTGTCCAAGTCCCCCAACAAGCACAACCGTCTGTACATGACTGCTCAGCCCATTGATGAGGCGGTCTCCCTCGCCATCGAGTCCGGCAAGATCTCCCCCAAGGACGATTTCAAGGCTCGTGCCCGTATCATGGCTGATGAGTACGAATGGGATGTCACCGATGCCCGTAAGATTTGGTGCTTCGGTCCCGACACCACCGGTGCCAACTTGCTGGTTGACCAGACCAAGGCCGTTCAGTACCTGAACGAAATCAAGGATTCCGTCGTCTCCGGTTTCCAGTGGGCCACCCGTGAGGGTCCCGTTGCTGAGGAGCCCATGCGTTCCGTCCGCTGGAACATCCTTGATGTTACCCTCCACGCTGATGCCATTCACCGTGGTGGTGGCCAGCTTATCCCCACTGCCCGCCGTGTCTTGTACGCCGCCGCCATGCTTGCCGACCCCGGTCTTCTCGAGCCCATCTTCAACGTCGAGATTCAGGTCCCCGAGCAGGCCATGGGTGGTATCTACGGTGTCCTTACCCGCCGCCGTGGTCACGTCTACTCCGAGGAGCAGCGCCCCGGAACTCCTCTGTTCAACATCAAGGCTTACCTGCCCGTCAACGAGTCCTTCGGTTTCCCCGCCGATCTCCGCTCCGCCACCGGTGGCCAGGCCTTCCCCCAGTCCGTGTTCGATCACTGGGCTATCGTCCCTGGTGGCTCCCCTCTGGACCCCACCACCAAGCCCGGCGCGATCATCACCGAGATGCGCAAGCGCAAGGGTCTCAAGGAGGTCGTTCCCGGCTACGAGAACGTAAGTTTCTACAAATTTCTATTATACTGTGTCATTCAGTCACTGACTTTGCTTTTTCCAGTACTACGACCGACTGTAAAAACGTCACGGCCGGCCAGATTTCTCTTCTGCCAGTCAAATGGAATCTTTTTTTATGAGATTGATGAATTCAATACAACTTCGCGGTTCAACCAAAATTTTACTCCCGTATCGCTACGGACTTGCTCGAGTCATTGCCAACTCTAGATAAGTGTGGAGCTCCAAGGGATGCTTAGGGCACCTTACCTTGGATGCGACCCGGTTGCTTCTTTTTCATATTCTTGATGTTTGATGATCGTTTTGCTTTTGGCTTGTGCTGTTCCCTAGTTATGTATATGTCAGTATACATGTAACGCTATAACAGCCGGGCAGCGTCTCGTAATTTCACTGTAGAGTAAGGTAGATTGTTGCAAATTATGACCAGTTTGATACACGCCAAATCAGGCTGAGATAATTGATCTAGCTACTTCGGTAATAATTGTCACAGTACACGCGCAGTGAATCTTGGTCATGTACTATCATTAAAACGGCATGTCACATACATCATTCCCAGGAAGACTGCAGCTATTGTGCTAAACCTAGGCAACCTACGACAAAAGGCCGAAGAAAGGACCTTCTCGTATCATCACGTGACCGATATCGCGCCTTCGCGTTTTTGGCGGATTCTGCGCTGCCCGATCACTTTCCCACTACGCCCTCGCAGCATGGCTGGTGAATCTTCCCAGTGAATCTTATTAACCAATATCCTCGAGATCTTGTCTCTTCATTAGACCCATCCACTCTCGCGACCGCCGAATTGCAGAGCTATTGCAGCTTATCGTGACACCAGATCCCTGCGACTAGCAACGCTTTGAACGCCAATCCTCTCGGACGTCCGTCAACCTTTGTCCCTAGCGATCGCTGACTTTGTCACCATGCATTTCACCGAGGATGAAGCGAATGATGTGAAGCATTGGGTGGTCAAGAAGCTGGAGGACATGTGAGTACACGCGACGCCCGATCGCAGCTTCTCTACAGGAAGCGCCGGCTAACTAATGTTTGCTTTACTCGCAGCTCGGATGCAGACTCCGATGTTCTTGCAGACTACGTACTTGCGCTCATTAGGTCTGATGCACCGGATGACGAGATCCGAAAGACCTCCGTCGAAAACCTGGAGGATTTCCTCCGCGAAAGTGCGCTCAAATATCCAACGCGTTGCGCTTCTTCTCTTTGCTGACACACACTAGACACTGTCTCCTTTGTTGATGAGCTTTTCAAGTCCTTTGGTCCGAAGCAAGCTCAGGCTGCGCCCCCTCAGTCCCAATTTCAGCAGCCTTCCCAGGACTTCCCACAAGCCATTCCCACAAGCCAGCAGGCGGCCAATGTCCCAACTGGACCGAGATCAGACTTCAACAACCGGAAGCGGACCTACAATGAAGGATTCCAGGGCGAGCAGGAGCAAGGTCATTTCAACCCCCAGGATCGGGCTTTCAAAACGCCACGACGCGGCCGTGGAGGTGCTCGTGGCGATTGGAACGGAGCTGGTCGTCATGCGCCAGGCGGTCAGTTTCCGCCCAACGGCCCTGGTGGATTTCCGAGCATGATGCCTGGGTTCCAGCAGTTTGATCCGAATGACCCGATGGCGGCGATGATGGCCATGCAGCAGCAGATGGGATTCCCGCAGATGCCTGGCATGCCACCTATGCCTGAAATGCCTGCTCCAGGACAGCCTGGGTCTGAGCAGATGAGCAACCAGCGTTGTCCGTTCTACGATACTCAGGGCATTTGCTATATGGGCGATGCTTGTCCTTACAAGCACGGTGAAGCTGGAGCCGGAGGTCGTGATGGTAAGACTGATTCCTCGTGGGTTTTGTACATATTTACTGACTTTTATGGCAGAATATGACCCAAGAGCCTCAATGATGGAATCAGGCGGACGTGGACGTGGCGATCGAGGCCGTGGTGATCGAGGCCGTGGCCGTGGCCGCGGTGCATTCGGCGGACGCAGAGGCGGCCGGTCCGATTTCTCGTCAGCTGGACCCAATGAGGACCAGTCAATAACGACAATTGTGGTCGAGCAGATCCCCGATGACAAGTTCTCGGAGGAGGCAGTGCGCGAATTCTTCTCGCAGTTTGGCAACATTGCTGAGATCACTTTGCAGCCGTACAAGAAGCTGGCACTCGTCAAGTACGAGAGCTTTGCCGAGGCCAAGCAAGCATGGTCCAGCCCCAAGGTGATCTTTGATAACCGCTTTGTCAAGGTCTATTGGCACAAACCGAAGCATGATGAGAATAACGGCGAGCCTCACCAGTTGAGACCTGAGGCCCCTGCCTTCGACCCCGAAGAGTTCCAGAGACAGCAAGAGGAAGCTCAAAAGGCGTACGAGGAGAAAATGAAAAAGCGCCAGGAGACCGAAGAGGCCAAGCAGGCTCTCGAGCGTCAGCGCGACGAACTCCTGAGGAAGCAACAGGAGGAAAAAGCCCGTCTCTTGCAGCGTCTCGGAGGTGCAGAGTCGAGCAACGGTGCCGGCTCTGAAGACCAGTCTATGGGGGGTGCCGCCGATGAGAACGTGAGCGAGGAGACCAAAAATTTGCGTGCGCAGCTGGCTACTCTCGAGGCAGAGGCCAAAACTCTGGGTCTCGATCCCAATGCCGAGTCTGGCCGCGGTGGTTATCGCGGCCGCGGTGGCTACCGGGGCCGCGGTACTTTCCGTGGACGTGGAGGCTACGATCCCTCATTCCGGGGTGGCTATCGCGGCCGCGGTGGATTCGCCCCCGTGGCCGTGGTGGCGTGCTGCGTCTAGACAACCGGCCACGACGTGTGGCCGTAACAGGCGTGGAGCTTAACTCACACAAGGATGAGGCGCTCCGCCAACACTTGATTGTAGGTCATCAATGAGCCAAGAAGAAAACAACCACTAACCGTGATCCAGGGCATTGCCGATTACGAATCCATTGAGCCTAACCCCGGCCAGTCCGACTCGGTCATCGTGGCGTTTAGGGAGCGCTATCAAGCCGAGAAATTCATGTTCTCGCCCTGGAACATACCTTCTGTGGGCGAGGTCCAGCTTTCATGGCTTCCTAACCCACCCATCACTCTTCCCGCATCATCATCAACAGAGAAGAACGGCTTCGAGGAGGACCAGGACATGGTCATGGACTCGGCTTCCGCCAACGAGGCGCCCGTGTCGGCTCCGACACGCAGCGATATGGATTATGATGTGGCAGAGGATGATAATTGGGGCATGGAGTAGTTGCTTCAAACGTTCAAATCATGTACCATTGAACCTGTGAATAGGCCATTTAACCACTTGGGATGTAATACCAAACTTACCCCGTTTCGTTCTTCCAAGACCGTTCTTCTACATCCAACCAGATCGTACTTACATATCCTGTGGAATCAACTCCACTGAATATCCATCCTGGTTGAAGTAATCGTTAGCTGGACTCTTCGAGCTTTCATATCAACCTCACCGGATCAGCCACCATCGCAAAATGCTCAAAAAACCACGCATAATTCTCATGAATCTCTCCCCTCCCAATCCCCCTCTCCTCCTCCCACTCCGACAACGGCACCGACTCCCTCGTGCAAACCCCAAGGTCCTTCAAAATCCGGACCCCATTCTCTCTCAACCTCTCCACCGCAACTCGCACATCCGGCACCGTAAATCCCAAATGCGCAAATCCCAAATTCGGCGGCACATTCCCGGTCGTCACTTCGTCAGAACCATGAACATGATAAAGCTCTAGAAGCCCACTCGTCCGCGTCATAACGGGGATCTGGCTCGTGCATTTCGCCCATTCATCTAGATCTGTTTGGGGGGGTGGATGGCCTAGGTAGTAGATTGTGAACGGGCCTGCGTTCATGGTGAAGATGATTCGCATGCCTAAGAGGTCGACATAGAAGTGCAGGGAGCGAGATGGGTCTTTGATGCGGATTGCTAGGTGGTTGAGGCGGTAATTGGTTGTTGAGGGGGATTGGGGTGGGTTGAAGGTTTGGGTTGGGCCACCTGGGGAGAAGAGGCCTTCTTCAGCGGGTGGGATTGTGGTGAATGAATTCTCCATGGCATATGTTCTTCTAATGGATTCCAAGATGGGAGAAGAGAAGTACGGATGGATTCGTATGTTAACTGTGAAAGAGGGGGGGGGGGGAAGCTACGGTTCTCCACCTGGACATTGCGGGGGGCGTCTCCGGATTTCAAGATATCGTCTTGTCAGGGCCTCGAGTCGGTCTAAGTGTTTCAAGTGTTTCAAGTAAAGAGATAATACTTTCATGCATTGGCCTGGAAGAACAACAATAGCCAGGGCCGCGAGGTCTCCGGCAATGCCCTGGTATAACGTTCTTGGTAGACGTTATATATCCAGCCCATCACTCATAGACGATCATGTCCATCCCACCCTCATACGGCATGGTAACCCTCCGGAACGGACTCCCAGGCGCATCAACATATGCGAACAACTCCTCATACCCAGCCTCCGCCTTTGCCGTATTATCAGCCATGATCACAGCGCCAGGCTTCATAAAAGGCTGGACCAGCTTCAGCACCGGCAGCGCAAGCGGAGTCCAAACTGCATCGAATTAACCCCAATCTCCATGCAAGTTCCATAAAAACTCACTATCAAGCAGCAAGAAGTCCACCACCCCCAAGTCCTCCTTCAAGGTCTCCTTCAAATCCCCAACCCTCAAATCAATCACACCCTCAACCTCCTCTCCAGCCTGCTCCCAATGCTTCCGCGCTTCCACCGCCTTAGTAGCCTCCTTCTCCGTCGCGATGACCTTACCCACGGACCCATCGCGCTTCGCATTCTGTGTAACAGCGAGAGCGAGGTAGATCGTGCTCACGCCAAAACTAGTACCTGCTTCGACGACAGTTCGCGCGTTGATGGCGCGCAGAATATGGTAAATTAGTTCGCATTTGTCTTGGTCTAGGGCGATGAACTTGTCGCGCATGACGGTGTCGAAAGAGGATGATTCTTGGTCTCGGAGGATGGACCAGTCTACGGTTTTTTCTTGTTCGAGGGAGCGGGCGTGCAGGGTGTGGAGGAGGGCGTGGAGGGCGGGGGATGCTGGGATGGGACTTGGGGCTGGCATTTTGGATGTTGGTGTATTGCAGATGGGAAGCTTGTGTTCGTTCTAGGAATGAACTGGAGATACGAGTGCAGGTGTTTTATATAGGATTGGGTGAGTCACCCGTTACATACTCCGAGGGATGCTCGGACGCATAGGGCTACAGGCGGCTGCGGGTTCGGCACTGGGGGAGATTGGCTCGTACGACTTCATATCATCATTGAGGATTATGTCTATTCATTAAGTACTAAGTATACCTTGGCTCCGAACTCCGCTCCAATAAATCCGCATAGCTATTCAGTGACCGCCCGATCAAATTAACCATCTCCCAGATATAATCCGCCGTGAAAAGGCGCGCCCAGAGACGGGTCACCGCTACACTGAGTCTGGTATTTGTAGCCAGTAGCCATTCGCGTGAGACACCATGCTGCACCTCCATAACCATCTCCAGCACAAAGTCCCGCAGACGGGCCTCCTGCTCCGTCAGCCCGGGATCCGGATGTGGAACCGTGACTGCTTCGAGCCATTTGGCCAGTAAGACGGCGCATTCAAGCGAACAGAGAGCGTGCTGGTTTGACCAGAGCGCCACCTGGGAGTGGGCCACGAATCCGATGCCTAGCTTGACCGGGGTACTTAGGGCGTGGGCGCAGTGGAGCGCTGCGCGGGTGAGTCGATCTCCGCGGAGGACGTGCAGGTTGTCTTTGAGACTCGTTGCGATTTGTACGGGATCCCAAGTCTGCAACTGCCTTGTTGACCCGCAGTCGGCATTCAGACGGATGTACGCTAGCCGAAGCAAAGCGGCGGAAGTAAAGGAGAGTGGTCCGTGAGGACTAAGCGGATCGATCGATGACTCTTGGTTCCGTTCCCAGCATTGGCACCACCTTTCGAGGGCTTGTTCGACCGCGATGAGATCGGCCGTCGGAGCAATCGCTGGTCTGAGACGATTGTACCGAGAGAGAGCGAGTCGATTTGCCTTGGTCATGAACCAGATGTCCTGTAGCAGTGCGTGGATTAACACATAGCCGCCGAGCGACGAGAATTGCTCGATCTCGCTATTTGGAGAGAAAAGCGAGGAGAGCGCATCCTGGAACTTCGGCTCGAGAAGACTTTGTCGGCGTTCAGCTTGCCATATCTCGGCCGTGGGGGCTTGCCACTCCTTTTCGCTGCATGGTAAGTCCAGCGTCATCTCTTCCGTTAAGATCACGGGAGGAATATCGAACACGATCGTGTGGATGTTAAAGAAGCAGAAAACAATGAGTTTCAATCGTTTGACACGCTCGCGCCAGATCCAACTGGCCCACGAATCGTCATGATCAGGCAAGCGATTAAGCCCGTCCTTTCGTAATAACATGCCCATCATACTTCTTATTGATAGCGCTTCATGATAGGGTGGGTCGTTAATGAACCAAGAGGATACAGAGATGAGCATCAGTAGTGCCTGGGTTGTCTCAAACGTGTCGATATCGAGTGCTGCATTCGCCGCCGGCGTGGTCCCCGACTGAAAGACCCGTCGGAAATGCTCGATAGTGACCGGCTTGGCGAGCTGATAGAGGCGCATGCTGGTATCTGGTTCTCGACAATAACGAGCTCCAAGAGCGGCCATGGATAAGAAAAGTGGAGCACCCATAGACTCAACATCGTGTGTCGGCTTATGCACGACAGGATAGTGATCGTGGAACCCCGTCAAATATCCCGTGAGGCATCGAGATAGAGCATGTCGCGATGGCAGGGACGGGTCGGGTACTACATTAGAGTAGTCCTTCAAGGAATGAAGCAGCTTGTCCCGGCATTGAGCAGTGACCAGGACGAACCCCGTTGGTTGTCGAGCCTTTGAACTTGTCTGAAAGCCTTCCGGCTGAAGAGATGGCAATTGCGCCCCATGTCGAGGTAAAACAGAGCTTGACGGCGTGGAGGCCGGGGAAGAGAGCGTCGGGGGGTCTCTTTCAGACTGCGCATAGTCTGTAACTGGAGAGAATGGCACGGACGGGAAAAGTGGCAGAGGTTGAAAAGCTGGAGAAAAAGGGTGACTGGGCAGAGGTACACTATCCAAAAAAGAAGTAAAGTCGTTCCCATCGAATGAACCCGGTGGGATTCCGCCTAGGGAGTAGCTAAAATCGGATCCCGGCATGGGAGTTGTCGGCTCTGCGGATGGGGGATCGGGGTTTGGCATCTGGGCCATCATCGGAGGACGATGTACTGAAAGTGGGGATTGGAACTGCTCCATGTCCCCCGAAAGTCCATTGACATGGGGATGATTGGCCACTACCGATGCGAGAGCATCTAGTCCATCGGAGACTGGATGAGCAGGCGACGGTGATTGCTCGTGTCGGGCCACGCTGGTTCCCTGATGGGAAAGCCGTTCATGGCGGGCCAGGAGATCTCTACAATGCTGTTAGGACGGAATGCGACTGATTTGGAGATATACATACTTGCGGGTGAAGGCCTTGGGGCATTGCGCGCAGGCATACGGTTTCTCCTTGGTATCTGGGGAGGATTAGTGGCAATACAAAACCACGTGGACAACGAGACAGGACCTACGCGATCGATCATGGCGCTGCAAATGCTCTAGACGGGCAAAAGCCCGAGGGCAGCGCTGGCATTGATAGGGTTTGCTGCTCATCGCTCATATCTGTTGGGTTATGCGTGACGTTGAATGACGGAGATGAAGGCTCGGGGAGAAGCGGCGCAACTCCAGCTCCGCTTGCATTATGCGATGCGGCACTGTGGTTCGTACGTGGATTACGGATTCAAGTGTCGGGAGGAGGTAGATCTCCGAGGCTAACAGGACCCGGTGCTTTTCTCCTGGCTACTAGTAGACTTGATCAATACGCACTATTGCTATGATCTGCAAGGGATTCCCCCGAATCTCAATATCGCAGGACCTCGATATCTTGATACCTCGGGTGGTTCTCCAATTTGGAGATTTCCCAAAAGTGGGGATTTCGCCCCCTAAAACGGCCATAGACTGACATTCGCATTTGTCATAATCCCAAACAGTGCTCAAGACTTGTTGTCAGAAGGCGCAATTGGCTAAGAAGCGTTCAAAGTTCGGCAATAACCCCGGTCTTCATATGACCCGTCTCCCCAAATCCACGAATCCCCAAATCCATGAATCCACGCCCTTTGACATGGCGCTAAACGTGTTGCGGTCTCAATAAAGCCCAAACCCACCTATCCCCATTCCCGGGTGGAGATGCCTTCTCCAATTTTTCTGTTTTTTTCATGACTCTTGGGCCCACGGCTTGTCAACATAGACTCCATGGGACCCTATAAAGGACAAAATACACCCCAAAATGAGGGGGGCCCACCACATTTTGATAAATTTGCGCCCGCAATGGAACGCAGCGAGCCTAGCTTAGACGGTTCGCTAGCCGAACCCATGGAGATCGAATATCGTTACCTCGAGCTAGAGACGCCGCTGCCCACTCCAGCTATTACGCTACCCCCCGGTCCCAGTCAGTCGGCGCCTCCTGATGCTCCGAGCTTGGAAGAATATACTTCGCCCTTTTTATGGCCGAAATGGCGCAAGTCGATGATGACCTATATTGCCTGCGCCGTTACTGCGCTGGCTGGTTATTCCGCTGGTGAGGTCAGTCCGGCGGCGGATGAGTTGTGTAAGGAATGGGGCGTGAGCAGCGTGGTGTATAATTTGAGCATTACTCTTTTCTGCATTGGGTTCGCTCTGGCTCCCATGGTTTTGGCGCCGTTCTCTGAGATCAACGGCCGCCGGCCTATCTTTATTGCCAGCGGTGTTCTCTTCGTCGGTATGTACGATTGTTCTCTAGATCTGGATCCTTCTTACTGAGTGGTATAGCGACGTTGATTGCCTGTGGAGGCACCCATACATTTGGCGGGCTTTTGGCAGCCCGATTCTTCCAGGGCGTTGGTGGATGTACGTTCGCTTCTTCCCTTCATATACTTGCAATTCTCTAACGCGTCTTTAGCTACTTTCTCCACCATGGTTGGCGGTGTCATCAGTGATATCTACCATGCGCAAGACCGAAACACCCCAATGGCCCTATTTGCCGGCGCAGCACTCTTCGGAACTGGCCTGGCACCTTTGATCGGCGGCGCAATCGTTTCACATACCACCTGGCGCTGGATCTACTACTCGCACGCCATTGTCTCGGCTGTTTTTGTCGTCATCATCTACTTTTTCTTCAAAGAGACCCGTGGAAGTGTCCTATTGAGTCGCAAGGCCCACAAGCTGAACACATACTACGAGCAGCTCGAAGAAGCTGGACATGTAGGCGTTCTCCTGTCGAGTGAAGAGTCCAGTGAAGAAAAGTCGACTCGTCGTATTCGATGGAAGGTGAAGAGCGACGAGCAGCGTGATTCTCTGGCAACGATGATTCGGATCTCGGTGTATCGACCTTTCCGTAAGTTATGCCCTGGCCCAACTTTTATGCGCTGGAGCAAATCGCTAATATTTCTACAGACATGCTCTTCACCGAGCCCGTGGTCTTCTTTTTCTCCGTGTGGGTATCCTTCAGCTGGGCTACTCTCTACCTCCAATTCGGATCTATACCCCTTGTCTTCACGAAAAGCCACGGTTTCAACGTCGAGCAGAACGGTGCCGTGTTTACTTGTGAGTTCATACAGGCATCCCCAACCCTTGAACCCTAAAAGCTAACATCATCCAGCCATGTGCGTCGGCGTCATCATCATCACCTGCATCAGCATCTGGCAAGAGAAAATCGCCGCCCACTTCGGCAAGCTCTCGTCCTCCGCCGAAGGACGTCTCTATTTCGTCTGCATCGAGTCGGTCTTACTACCAATCGGCCTGTTCTGGTTCGGCTGGACATCTTACCCTTCCGTTCCTTGGATTGTCCCAGCGATCGCCGTCGGCTGTGCGACCATGGGTATTTTCTCGATCTATCTAGCCACTTTCAACTACTTGGCAGATACATACCACCGGTACGCTAGTTCGGCAATTGCTGCCCAGTCTTGCTGCCGGAACTTGCTCGGTGGTGTCTTCCCACTTGTGACCGCTGCCATGTTCAATAACCTTGGCTTCCAGGCCGCATCGAGTCTCCTGGGTGGTATTGTATGTTCTCCCTTGACGGTCATGATGTGATCATTACTGACGTTTGTGTAGGGTCTTTTGCTTACTCTGGTTCCCTGGATTCTTGCCTTTTATGGACCCAAGATTCGAGCTAGGAGTAAGATGGTGAGTGTAAGTTTTGGCCCTCTTGAATACCTGGGATCCCATATACTGACTACTTGATAGGAGCTTGCTCACTAATCGCATACGATCATGAATGTGTATATGATTATGAATTCATGTTAGACATTTTTTAGACATAGACATAGACTAATGTATAGAACATTGCACTCGGAAGCATATTTCGGTGATTTACCATTTCAAGCTACTCTTGTACTTCCGCTGAACTAGACATATGCTACAAAACTAGATCTCAATAGGCAGCCTTGACTTTCCATTCGATCATTCGAAGTCATATCAAAGGACCCTAAGAGAGATGCCTGGAAAGATGTCGAGAAAGAAATGAAGAATTAAGTGTGGTGTCCCTGATTGTCTTCTCGATCAGGGCTGCAATGAGACTGCAATGGATTAAATTACAAGGGCCCTGGGCACGTGCCCTGCAAGCCCTCCGGGATCTTAAGCTGGACCTGAGCCATGCACGGGTGAAAGTAGCGTGAACCTCACAAGATCATTCATTATGTAGTGTACGCTCGTGTAGAGCAGTCAAATGCGCATGCAAAACCCCCAGCGACCTCAGGAGCCAGAGCAAGATTCTCCAATATCATTAATGAATCAATAGGTTAAGTAAATGCATTCATCCCCCTGGGATGCCATCGTGTGTATGCCAAAGTAAAACATGCTGCAAAGTCGATGCAAAGCAATTGCCGTATTTCAATTTCCACAGTACCAAGAATCACCTCGACTGTGCATGATGCCCTCTAGAAGCATTTCCCTTGAGCCCAAGACGATGCGTTGCATACCGTACATCATCTTCACTGTCACTTTCCATCTGGTCTAAAAGGCGGTCAATTTCATCTCCTGCGACGGCTTCAAGACCTAATCCATGCGTCTTCGAAGGGAACCCTCGCCCTCCAGATGCTGTGCTCTGTGAGCTTTGGCTGTGGACTGTCCTTTCATTATGATTCGAATAGAGTGACTCGTTCAGACTCTTTTGTGCGGCGGGTGGCTGTAAAGGCCGGGGACTGGAGCGATATCCGGAGTTTTCAGGACTGGACATGAACATGAGCGTTTCAATTGCGTCTTGTTCCATCGCACTGTTCTGAGATTGGGTTCGGGATCCGTAGTATCCTTCTTGTGAGGATGTAGGTGCCTGTCTGTAGGGCGGGATCGACGGCGTTCCGGGTCCCATTACAGATGGGGAGCCGTTCAACGGTCGGGTGATCAAATGTTCTTGATGGGAATGATGTCGTCGATGGCGGCCATATGGACTCCGCTCAAAAGATTTTGAGGCCAAATTGGGGTTAGGTCGTCGACGACGAGTATCCCCATTGGATGAGATAATGTCAACGGGAGGTGCTAGCTTGGGGATGGCAAGAAGTTTGCCAGATGGTATTGCTGACTGTGAGCGGTGATGAGAGTGAAAAGGGCGGGGTGTGTCTGTCGGTGATGGTCTAAGACCAGGTGGAGGTGTCGGGTTTGAGGCCGTTGATGATATGACACCGTTCGGTGCTGGTGAGCTCAGTGTAGAGAGTGTTGCAAGCCCGCGCAGTGGAAGTTCCGCAAATTCACGCGATTGGCGGGCTTTTTCTATTTTGGCAGCCGCATATGAAAGTCGGGTTCGAATATGAACCGATAACTAGATATGCATTAGCAGTGCTCGTCGTGGAGCATAAAGGGAGATATCACCTGTGCAATCCTAGTTCCATGGGCCGGCGAGCCTGTGCTCTTTGACCGCCGGCGTGTAGCCCCACTAGCATCGGAGTTTTGGGAGGCTGCCAAATTGGACGAGATAGGCTTGATATCCCCAGTAGCCGTTCTCTTATGGCCCGGCGTAAATTTCCCCGCCCCGGTCCGCGGGCTTGATTGCCTCGGTGAGCGCAACGGCCCTAACGAGTCTTCGCTTTCCTTCTCCAGCTTTACATCTGCATGAGAGCCATTCAACCCTACATTTCCATTCACTGAAAGTGAATTCGAAGTCTCCTGAGAATGCGGGATCCTCTGTTCCGTTGTGGGTGTTGATGAATCCGAATCCAACGTGCGCAGATTATCTTCCATATATCGGTTGGAATCGTTTAATGAGGATGATGGTAGACTCGGCAAAGAATCCGTAAAATTACTGGCAGACTGCAGCTCCGGTCGCCGACTGTCGCCCGATGTATCGCTGCCGCGTTCTGATGATTCAACGTAGGTATTCGAATTGTCCTTCTCATGCGACCCGGCGTCCGACCCATTTAGCTGCAAGGAAAGTTGCTGAGGAGATCGTGGGACCTGAATTTCCTCCGACCGATTTTGTTCTCCTGGCGCTGGTGATATCGAATTGCTTACGAACTGGGCGTTCGCACTGGCCTCCACAAGGGGAACCCCGCGACTCGACGGGTTGCTGTGAGGGCCGTTCATGATCAAGTGGGCTCGCTGTGGGGTTGCAGTCAAAAGGGACGACAAACAGATCTGGCAATACGCGACCACACCTCAATGGCGCAACTAATGCCGCCGCACAAGCGATCTAAACACGCAAGATGTAATTGCTTGCCCCGAGTCACCGCATCGAGACAACACCGGGAATGTCCGACGCGGAGCAGGGGGTCGCAATACCAACGGTCAGGATTTTAACGCCCTCGAGAAACGTCGGGAGGGTGCAGTTTTTGTGCTGCGGGTATCTTGAGCATCTGCCCGATCCAGTGTCGATCGACCAGCACGCGATGTGTTGAGCACGAGGCGGAACGGTCGAATAGCAGCCTCCGCAAGAGAAATCCCGATTGAATGGGCAGCACGGATAATAGATTCACAGAATTATAATAGAGTAAGAGCCACCAGGAGCGAAAGAGCGAGTTCTGAGTGGGTTTGGAAATCTTCAAGTGAGAGATGGCGTCGGCTTTCCTTCTGCGGCGACGCGTGCGAGACACGGTCACGTGGGGCTGTGCCAGTTGCGGAAGCGCAATTAATTACTTCATCTTCTGTGTATTGAGGAGTTTGGAATTAATTGAGATCGAAAGGAATATAATATAAATTGGATTTTGCTATCAAGTCAATCCTTTACAGCTCGACTGAGTAACCCAAGGGGGCCTGACGACATTGTTCTCTTGGTCGGTGCTCGGCCTCTGCCTAAACAATTTGATGAAGGTCTTCCTAGACATATTTTTGCTCCTTCTCATATGCAATATATCATTTAAACCTTGGAATGGCTCTTGAAAAATATCTGAGAAGACAAGGCATAAAAGTTTTCTCAGGAGAAATTAGAGTATCTCCTTGGTTGGGTTCTACTAGATTTTATATTTGTTTGAGACCAAAAGTAAGAGTGTAATATAATTTCACTGGTCAATAAATCAGCCGTTCGACGGCATCAGCACAGGTATCTGCATAGAAAGAAGGTGTATATGAATAAGTACATTTCCCGGTCCCAACAGTTGACTGCCGTTGGAGAGAACACCCAAGATTCTTAATTAAGGGCATCCACTTGAGGGATAGTTGCAGCTGCTAGTCTCGCCACCACCCGTAATGGAAACATCGGTGAAGGTGAAGTCGGAGCAACTGTCAGAACCACACAGAATGTAGTAATCATAAGCGTCGTCGGTGGCAGTGCCGGTGACTCCGGTGAAAGTAACGCCGCTGATGGTGACGCCGTTTGTAGGGTCGCCAGTGGCACCGCCATTGAGGTAGTCCTGCTGGATGTCAATACCATAGTCTGAGATTTCAGACAGGGTGATATTCTGGTAAACAACGTTGCTGACCTATACACATTGTTAGATTTTGGTTTTCCCAGTGGTCATAGTGATGGGTCATGAATTGCACTTACGCTGCCGGTGGTGTCGGCGTTGGACTTGATGCGGCAGCCGTTCTGACTGTTAACAACCTGGGAGTTCTTGAAGGTAACTCCGTTTACGGTGTTGTTGCTCTTGCCGCCAATGGAACCGATGCTCAGACCGTGTCCTCCAGAGCAGTAGATATTGTCGACAACGATCTGGGTTCCGCTGGTGACAGCGACACAGTCGTCCTGATTGTAGACCTCAATGTTCTCGAGAGTAACGTAGTCACTGGAGGAGATGTCAAAGCCGTCGCTGTTGTGAGCAGCCGGGTCATCACCACTGGCGCTGTTGGGCTCATCACCGGCAGTGTTGTTCAGGACAACTCCGGAAATGGTGAGGTGCTCGCAGCCAGTAATGTCAAAGCAGTGGACGGGCCAGTTCATGATGTTCAGATTGGTGATCTTGGAGTTGTAGGTATCCTTAACGACGATGAAGTGGTCAGGCCTAGTAACCCGAGTTAGTACATATGACTGAGACCCGTCGATTTGATACATACTTGTCCTGTCCTCCGTTGGAACCCTCGCCATCCCAGTAGGCCTCACCGTTACCTTGGATGACATGGCCCGAAGCACCAGTGATGGTAAGATCAGTTCCCGAGATAACGATGGGGTCAAAGTCGTCGTCGAAGGTATCACCGAAGGTCTATCAACAATCAGTGAGGAAACAACCCGACATCATATGCTGTACTCACGGTAGTACCAGCAAAAGTAACTGTGGTACCAGTCTGGAGACTCTGCAAATCAATGGTGCTAGAAGCAGGCGCGTAGAGATCAGACAAAATGATGTTGGTACAGGATGCGACGGCAGAGGAGAGCGATGCGTATTCGGACACAACACAGGCCGAGCCAGAAGCAGAAGCGTCAACGACAGGGCTAGAAGTGGAGGAAGAGGTGGTTGCCTCGGTGGTCTCGGGGACAGGAACTGCGGAGGAAGTGCTGGTAATCTCGGGGGTAGCAACTTCAGACGAAGCGCTGACAACAGGGCGAACACTTCTCACCAGGGTGGTCTGGGAGACGGCGGGGGTCTCGATGGACACCACGGTGGCAGCGCTAGATGTAGCAGGACTCATGTAGACAGGTGTGGTACTAGTCAGAGCAACAGCACTGGTTTGGGCAGGGGCTGATCCGGACTACTTGTTGTTAGGTGAGGTTGTCTTTCTATAAGAAAGGTGGCTTACTCCAGCCGAATCAGTAGCCCAGGCAGTATCGAGGCAGCTGCAGGCACTCGACAGGTGGCTTGGCTTGGAGTCACAGGCCGAAGCGAAGGCTGGGAGGCCGGCAGTTTCGGTCACGACGCTAGCTGTGAAGGTAGCGCAGAACGCAGAAGCCTCAGCAGCGGAAGCAGTGTATGCAGAGGCACAAGCATGGCTGGCGGGATTGTTGCATCCCAAGACCAGGGGAATGAAAGTGAGTAGAAGCGCACTGCGCATCATGATGAAAGAACGAAATAAGAAAAGAGTGACGAGAACAAATGAACTAAATGAACAGAAGCCCTGCTTCTATCTAGACGTGGGTTGAAACGTTCTTATAGACATAGAGACTTGGCTTAGCAGGCTTCGCAGGCTTGGACATAGCTTGGACAGAGCTTGATACTAGAGGTGGAACTGGAGCTAGAACTGGAGCTAAAACTAGAACTACAGTAGAAGTAGAATTAGAACGAGAACTGGAGGACTCCACCAAGCACCATCCGTTCCATGCGCCATTTCGGCTAAATGGACTAGCGTCGGCCTCAACCATCCACCAATAAAATCAGATACCCCTGCATCGGGGACGTGAAACGCCCCCTCAAATATAACAGGATCATAGCATGTTTTCATTCAAGCATACTTCCGATCCATGGGCGCGTCAAAGCTCAAAGTGACAGCTGTGGTAGTGTCATGTTCGTGTCCTTTTCTTCAAGGGCGGAACAGTGTCACTCGATGACCGTTTCATATTGAGGGTAAGCACGGGGAAATGTTTCGGATTTATGTCTGTATTCACAAAAAACTACGAGCTCCAGTTCTTCAGTGGGTCGGTTTGAGGCTAGTCTTCGATGACGAGGTTGGCGAGCTGCCGAGCCCACACGGACAGTGATTACATTATTCTTTCCAGGCATCTCGACCGAGCTTTCACGCTAGTTCCCCTGGCAGCTACTCGTGGCGTGTTTCATCCAGTGTTCCTAGCCAGGATTCCACCGTTAGTGAGAACTGGTGCTATGGACACCGGAAGAATTTCGGCTTCGTGGCTTAGCCGAGATGTATGGTGTACACACGGGTGGCATAGGAGAAATCCACGTGGGAATCAATAAGTGAAAGGTAAATTTTTGGGTACAAACGCCATCTATGCAAGACAAGTACCAATGCCCATTATGTCATGGGGTAGTATGAACAGTCGCGATTACTTGCGCTTCTTTCCACCTCGACCACCACCGGACTCTCCATCGGTGTTCTTGCGCTTCTTGCCCTCACGGCGCCAGTAGTCGTCGCGCTCTCTCTTTTCACGGGCTTCCTTCTTCTCTAGGCTGTCCGCGACCTTAGCACGGTAAACCTTACGCCGCTCTTCCTGCTTCGCTGCACGCTTGGCGGACTTCTCGTTGCGCATCGTGGTCAGCTTCTGCATCAGATCACGGGCCTTTTTCTCTTCGCCGCCGAGGACGACAGCGCGCTTCTGCATGTAGGTTTGGTCGTTGCGCTTTTTCATCTTAGTGATCTGAGAATTGAAGGGCAGGTCGGCAGCCAGCTGCTTCGGCACTCGCAAAGGGTTGAAATGGCGCTCTTGGCGCTCGATCTTGTGATAGGCCGAGTCCTTGTTCATCGGAGTGGGAATACCTTGCTCGCGGCGAACTTCACCGGTCAAGCGCATTCCTTGCCAGCCATTCTCAGTGCTACCCTCATCTTGGTCGAGAAGGTTGGTCACGGGGTTGTAGAAACGGTGAGGCTTGATTGGGTACCACGCGCGCAGGAAGACAATATCACTCATCAGGATCTTGTCCTCGAACGTAGCACGGAAGTGACCTTCAGGCTTGCTCAAAGCCTTCTTGATTTGACCACGAATACCCGAGACGGTCCGGATGGACGCACCCTCGAACTTGGCAATCTCCAGGGAGGAGTTGAACATGTCCTTGATGAAGGCAGTGTTCTTGAAGATCTTGTAAGGCACACCAGTAAGCTTCAGCTTCTTGACGATCTCGGTGTGTTCGTCAACGTTAAGAACAACACCGGTTGCAGCAATGCGGAACCCGGGGTTCTTGTTGGAGAACGACTGGACACAGCAGAAACCAGTGTTGGGCGCCACAAGTGGACCGTAGAAAACAGCGAAACAATGCATGTGCTCGGGAGTATATTTGAGCATGCGGTTTCGAGTACGACTGTCGGAAGTGCTGTACATGGGAATCGATTGGAAGCGACGCCAGCCAAGGGAGAAGATCAACGGGTCATTGCTCTTCAAGATCTTCTTGTGCCAACGGTGACGCTTGATACGAACCTGCACGTATCCGAAGCGGTCCTCAGTAGGGGCCAGGCCTCCGACGATAAGGGGGAAGCGAGGATTAAACTTGGACGCAAACTCGTAGGGCACGTTTTCGAGGACAATACGGGCGTAGGTGCCGGCCTTGAAGCCTTCGGCGCGGGCACGGGAAGATGGGTCCAGAGTGTCGAACTCGGCGCGATTGATATCAGTCTGCTTTTGCATCTTGGCCTTCTGCAGATCGTACCAGTCATCCTCGCCGAACTCCCCTTCGAGATTGTCTCGGGCTCCGTCCTTCGCATTGCCGAAACCTTCACGATCTTCTTCTTCGAACCGAAGCTTCAACTCTTCCTTCCTCTTGGCATTGCGCTCACGTTCAGCGTCCAAATCCACAGGGGCTTCTGGCTCTGCGTCTTTCTCGTCATCGTCCTCATCTTCATCCTCTCCCTCGGCATCGAATCCATCAAAAGTTTCTCCGTTCTCAAGGTCCTCGAATGCTCCATCGCCCTCGTCATCGGAATCAAGGTCGTCCAGATCGCCTTCCTCAAGGTCGTCATCAGAGCCATCGCCCGAAAGCCTAGCGCTAGCGAAACGACGTTTCAAGGATTCGATCAATTCCTCGTCGCGCCACTTTCGCTCCAACTCGTCGTAGTCATATTCGGGAACGGCGCGGAAGTCGGCTTGATCCTCCTTTTCGGTGTTGGTCTTCTTAAAGAAGTCGTCACCTTCCTCCTCGCCCTGCTCCTCATCAACCTCATCATCCTCGCCACGCCACATTTGGACGACGTCGACGGGAGTGATAGACTCATCGTACAGCATTCGTGAGAGGTCATTGACGCGGAAGGGTGGGCGCTTTCCATGGAGAGCCTTAGCGTTAGCCAGCATGTTGTCCTTCCATCTGACATTTCCTTCTTCATCTTCATCCTCATCTTCCTCGTCGTCGTCTTCGTCTTCCTCTTCCTCTTCCTCTTCCTCTTCCTCTTCCTCTTCCTCTTCCTCTTCCTCTTCCTCTTCCTCTTCCTCTTCCTCTTCCTCTTCCTCTTCCTCTTCCTCTTCCTCTTCCTCTTCCTCTTCCTCTCCGCTTTCAAGCTCCTGGTCTGAAACTGAGGAGATAGAGCCGAGGTCGGAATCACTGTCCGCGAAGGCAAAGTCTCCCTCTTCCTGACGAGAATTGCCATTCTGGCGTTCTTTGAAGCTTTTTTCGAAGTCTGCGGGCGCTGAAACATTGTCTTCATCGCCGCTCAGCTCGTTCTCGTCCTCTTCGCCGTCAAGTTCTTCATCTTCATCATCCTCTTCCTCGTCATCCTCGACGGCTTGGATGCGCTCGGCGTCAGCAATCCGAGCATGTCTCCGGTGTTTGCGACCAGTCTCGTCGTCCTCGTCCGCCTGGTCAATCGCCTCACCGCCACGGAAAAGACGCACACCCTGGTCAGCCTCGCCAAGCAATCGACGTTCGCCCTGAAGACCGACCACAAGCTGCTCACCAAGACCCCGACGATCCTCGTCCTCGGACTCATCGTCCGAACCTCTGTTAAAGGTGTTGGTCTTGATGTCAATATAGACAGCGTCCTTGTCGACCAGAACACCACCAACATCGGACATAGGAGCAAACAGCAGTTTCTGCTTCTCGCCAAGCTTGCGCCTGTTGCTCTTGCCAGTCGCCTTGGCCATCTGCTGATCGGCAAAAGGAGTCGGGCACGGGTCAGGCAGTCCTTCAATTCCGGATACTGTCAAATCGCCCACACCGGGAACATGTACTCGTGCACCCTGAGCTGGGAAATTGGTTCCTCGAAGATATCCATAAAGCGCAATAGTACGGTCGCACTTGGTGTTCTCTTCGATCTTGGTGGGAGGAGTTACATCCAGGAAACGATCCGCCAGAGCATACGGGTGAGAGTTACGCCACACGAGAGGGCGGGGGGTCTTCATGACAGACAAGAATCGAGACAGGTTGTGGACTTCGCGATCGGGGTATCGGCCGTTGATCACACCAGAGAGGTAGAAGAGCTTAGCACCCTGGTAGAGCTCGCTCCAGAAGCGGTGCTTGAGGCGCTTCTTGGTCATCTTCAAGGTGCTTTGCTTCTTGAAAAGATCCAAGTGGGTAAGGATACCGAAAACATTACCCGGCATACCGCTTGTAGACAGAGCATTCAAAAACTCCATAGTCTCCATCTCGAATCCGTAGTTTCCGTCAATCATAAGGAGGACGACATCGGCAATCTTGGACACATCGATCATGGCCGCGAGGGAGTCGGACGGACACTCCATGAAGGTGAGGCGCTGCTTCTTCGAGGTAACAATAGTCAGCGGACCTTGAGGCGAGCTGAGAGTCTGCTTGGTGTAGCGGCGAATCAACGACTTGATGAGGGTGGTCTTGCCGACCTAGAGTAGTAAAGATTTCATGTTAGAATCGGGCTTCATAGAACAAGTAGCGCCAGGATTTCAACTTACACCCGGGGGGCCAACAACTGCGACGACCGTGGGAGGAGCCTCCTCAGGCATTCGATCCACCTGAGGCACATGAAGTCTCTTTTCCTTGACCTATAGTAACAACCAGAGTCAGTTTCCATGAACATTCGCAAAAAAGTCCGTACGTACATCGTGCGACCGCGCAGCCTGTCTGTTGAGTTTTCCAGTTTTGGAGAAGGCGAAGGCCTTGGGATTGTTGCCTGTATGATTCAGAACGGTCAGCAAGACTTGCGCTTCTCAATCGGGGCTCGAAAGCAATCTCCGCAGACTTGCACCGTACCTTCGTATTTCTTCTTCTCCTTCGCAGGCCTATGGGACCTGTTCGACTGCTGCTCCATCTTGCAAGCAAAGAGGTCACGGACCTCACAGCTGCTCTTCTGTTAAAATTAACGTGAAGAAAGCAACAAAAGCAAAGCGTGCGACGGCGACATGAACTTGCTCGGCCAAAATTATTATCGCGGGTCGGAAGAATATGGAGCCGCTAAAGAAAAAAAAGAATTGTCTCGTTTTAGTTTAGCGTGACAGAGCTCCCCTGAGGCATCAAGGCAACAGGGCCCTAAGGCCAAAATCATTATGATGAACCGGGCCGGTCTCTCCTCGATAAGAACTTACCCCTCTCATCGGGCCGATGTATTTTCAAGCCACTCTTTCACCCCTGGAAGCTATTGGCTATATGGCGACCTGGCTTGTAATTATTTGAGTCACTTAGTCAAGACTCGGGACATTGTCCACATATCAAGTGACAGAACGTGGAGTTCGTCAAACACTGTCTCCCTCGTATCAGCTTAGTATGTGGGACGAGCCCCATCCATGGACGGAACTAGATAACGGGCGCCTCCGAAGCTGTAGATTTATATAATAGTTATTCCCCCCTCCTGTCTCCCCAGTGTATTCTACATTACAAAATGTCTGTTCGCCGACCTCCCCCAGCCTACGATGCGCCTTTGGATTCAGGCATCCATGCTACATCGCAGCTCTACCGGTCTATCTCCGAGACAGCAACAGACCCCGCAGCACGTCTCCCCAAGGAATCATTTACAGTCCGGCCATGCTCCGGACAGGCATGGGTTGTGCCCGCTGGCCACATCTGCCGCCTGACGACACCCAAAGGTCCACAAGTGGGCGATCTCAACATTTGGAATGCCAATAACCCACGGGAGCGAATGTGGGCTGCACGCACCCGACAGATTCACGCCTCTCACGTCTCCGTCGGTGATCGTCTGTGGTCCAATCTGCCCTATCTGCGGCCACTTGTAACCATCACGGGAGACTCGCTCGGTGGTGGGCAATTGCATGATGTACTGGGACTCGATGGGAGACGAAAGCCGGATGTTGTTTTTGGCAGCACTCAATTCGGAGGACGAGTGCATGACTTGATGGGAACCCGATGCGATCCTTACGTGAATCTCCTGATGGGCGGCGAGACTTTCGACTTCCATTGCCACTCGAATCTCACGCGCTCAGTGGTCCCCTATGGACTGACGGAACTGGATGTTCACGACGTATTGAACGTATTCCAGGTAACTGGGTTGGACGAAGGAGGAAGGTACTTCATGGAGACTTCCCCCGCAAAGGCCGGAGAGTACTTTGAGTTCTTTGCCGAGGTCGATGTCCTCTGTGCGCTGTCTGCGTGCCCCGGTGGTACGTTTCAATTCCACATGAGCGAAGTGTGAAACGGGCTAATCATGCTTAATGCAGGCGATCTTTCCAACTGGGGATGGGACGACAAGGAAGGCGGTATGGGAGCTACTTGCCGTCCGCTTGGTGTGGAAGTATACCAATTGGCGGATGAGAAGGTCCTGGAGGGATGGAAAGCACCGGAGAGCCCCAAGTATCAGGGCATGCACGGAATGAGCATGCCAACTCGCGGGCAGGATGGTCTCGTCGGACTTTAATATCTATACCTAGCTTAAAATGGGTAAAACGCGGAAATAAAAGCGCCATGACTTGCAGTATCTCCACGTGACCTGCCCCGCGTTCATGCATAGCGTCATCGGGGCTCATGCTGCACAGTTACATCAACATAGGCTGAATCAAATCACCGATGCAAGGGAGCACAGTCAGCGTTCGGGGGACGGCACGAGGGGCGCGGATGGCATACCGCAAAGCCAGGCAAACCAGGCATCTACTTGTGTGAGATAACATTGTATCCTCGAGTCCAAGAGAATCACGACATTCTTTGAAGGCAGGACAATGGGGAGACCCGGTCGCGGCAGTGCAACTTCCGCAGTGAAATGTTAAGAAACCCATGCGATTTGTCTAGGGATGCCCAAAAAGGCAGGGCAGTGTCCAAGGTACTTGGAAAGTGTAGAAATGGCGTAAGACCACAGCCCCTCTTATCAGCTTGCCTGTTACGGCGCGTCCCGCCGGTATAAAGCAGAGCCCCTCCCCTCCCCTCCCCTCCACCTCCGCTTTCCTTATCTAGTTTCAACTTACACCTTGACCTCTACACTACACTGCACTACACTACATTGCATCTTACTCCTTCGACTCGGAAATTAAACAAAACATGCCTCTCTACAATGTAGGTGAACTCGATGCCTGCCTGCAACGCTGGTGCTAATAATTTCTAGGTTACCCTAAAGGAGGAGTCTCCCTTGGAGGAGCTTGAGAAGTTAGTCTTACTTGCCCCTCGTTATTCGAGACACCACAACTGACATCCTTCCAGGGCCAAGCAGGATGCTCAGGCCAAAGGCGGAGTTATCAAGCATGAATACAGCCTCATCAAGGGTTTCACGTACGCTTCTTACTTTCCTTCAACTCCGTGCCAGGCTGACCGGCTCTTGAATAGTGTGGAATACCCCGATGACCAGGTCAACGCTCTCGAGTCATCCGAACATATTCACGTCGAAGAGGATTCCAAGGTCTCAACTCAGTAATCGGCTCGAGAAGAAGACCACTGATGCCGATCGGAGATTTATTTTCTTCCTTAGCACCTCATGGGCCAAGGGACAATACGACTGGGGCTGGAGAATGGGGGTGTTTTGCTTTAGCATGATGAATTGATACCAACTTTACCTCCAATAGTTATCTGCTACATTCTGTACAAATAGTTAACAGTGATCTTTGGCAGTGAGAGCCATCACTCCGTCACTCCATCACTCCAGCGTATTTGATGATGATTGTTAACGATCTTTATGGACACAATCAGAAACTTTATAGATGCACGTCCAGGGCTAAACCTTGTGCTGCCAGTCAAAGAGACATCCAGTGTAGTTCAGATCGGGGATTCACAATGTGATTGATTCGCTAAAACCGGTAAATGAACCGTGACATCTTGGTTGTATGTAGAGCCGATGATATCCGTTGACCGAGGCGCATGCAGATCCCGGGTTTGTCACCGCTTCCTTCAACCTTCTTATCTCCGCGCTCTCACACTCCCCACTCCCTCAATTTAACCTTGGACGGCACAATGATAGCCATGATCTCTCGAGCTCAGCCCTTCGAAGCTCAAAGATCGGTCTTCACTGCAAAGTGCCGTTTAATGCGCCATCTGTCGACACAGACAAACAGTAATTGGGGTCAGACGACTTCCGACGCCGCCAGAGATGAGGTTGCTACGCTGGCTGCCAGCCCTCGCCGACCGCTGACACTTGCAGACTTGCTTAAGTAAGTTTCAAGACATTTAAAGCTTGAGAGAGAAATAGAAACTGACAAATTGTTAATCCCTAGGCATGGCCACCCTCCTTTGTCTAAAGATGCGCTTCTGGCCTCGGCGAATTTCACCCTCTCCCTCCTCCCGGCACGACTAGCATCACGAATCCAAGCTCTACGAAACCTCCCCTTTATCGTTGTTTCTAACCCACACGTGTCGAAGATCTACCATAATTACCTCCATTCGCTTTCTACCCTCCTACCCTATCAACAACGCCAAATAACCACATTGGAGGAAGAGCGCCAATTCGGAGACGTGCTAGCCGATCTCGTACAGACGCATACAAACACAATTCCTGTCCTCGCACGTGGATTTCTCGAGTGTCGGAAATACGTCAGCCCAGAAGACGTCACAAGTTTTCTGGACACCCATTTACGTGCGCGTATCGGCACCCGTTTGATCGCCGAGCAACATCTGGCTCTTCATTTCGCCTCACAGCCAGTCGGCGAGCAACCCGAAAACAGCTCCGAACCACCGAAACCCAAAGAACCAATCCCCTCAAATTATATTGGTGTGATCGACACCGCGCTTCAGCCGGCACGTATCGTTCGGTTATGCGAGGACTTTGTTGGGGAGATCTGTGAGCTCAAATATGGAGTGCGTCCCCGTCTGGAGATCGGAGGCGAACCTGAAGCTGCTTTTGCCCATATCCCAGTGCATGTAGAATACATCATTACAGAACTCCTGAAGAACGCGTTTCGGGCGACCATTGAGTCTGGCAATGAGCGCGAGGCTATTGAGGTTACGATCGCGGCCGCACCAGATGTTCCCAGCCATGAGCGCCCAATGCAGGGAGACGGTGATACGGGATACGAACTTGACGAGGCTATGGGATATCCGAACCCGTCATCACAGAGCATCACAATCCGCATTCGCGATCGTGGTGGTGGTATTCCGCCCGAGGTTCTGCCTCATATTTGGTCATACAGCTTCACTACGTTCTCTGATATGGATTTCCGTGGTTCGGAAGATGGTACCATGGATGCTTTGAATACTATCGCTGCTAGCGGTGGCCATCTGAGCAGTATTGCAGGCCTTGGGTATGGATTGCCTTTGAGTCGTGCATATGCCGAGTATTTTGGTGGAAGCATCGCAGTTCAGAGTCTCTGGGGATGGGGTACCGATGTTTACCTGACATTGCAAGGTGTTGGAAAAATCGATTGAAGTGTGGACTATGGAAAATATGGCTCGCATAGTGGAAGGGTAATCCAGCCTGACTCTACAGTCTCGGGTTGGCTGTCGGACGAGCAAGCAGGTTCACAAAGTCATTAACTAGCATATCGTCCTGCTGGAGTTCCTCCAGAATATGCGCCGTCTCTGCTTGTGAAAACATATATGCCATGTTTTGCAGGAATTTTGCTTCGACAGCGGTCTCGCTGGTCGCCCATGGACTATTATCTAGATAGCCCCTGGAATTAGGGACGGCACCCTTCAAGATGGTCAATGCAACGACATATTGAAGGCAGTGATCGCGATCGGCGGCATTTCGCAATGGCCCCGTTTTGTTCATGATCAAGTTGGCTGCCGCAGTGGTTCGCAGTTCAATACTTTTTATCTGTGCCGCTGGATTCGACATCTTTTTCTCCTGGAACCTGCGCAATTGAGTGAGTGCTGCTTCAACTGCCGAGACTGCATGCCCTTGCAGAGGCATAGTCTTGAACAGCACGTTTTGAATTGTCCACACCCCGAACGGCCGAGGAAACTGGAAGCCTTGCTCGCCAAACGTTCGCGTCAAGAAACCCCACGGCTTTGCACTGAGGGCCTCTGCCGCACCGGGCTGACCGGCCCGAATATAAAACGTGAGTTGCACCCCTCGCCGTGAGGCATCGCCTGCCGCCCAGCCTTTTCGTGGAATTGTGTTACCGCGGGACCGATAAACACGGGTTGGTTGCCCGTCCATCCAGACGTGCGAAATAGATGCCATAGCTTGCTCTTCAGTGAGCCCAAGTAACCAACAAGTCGTGACAGTCGATGCCAATTTAACGAATACGACATGATCAATTCCATAAGCATTGAACGAGTTTCCCATCTGATTGCAGCCCTGTATCTCGTAGGCTTTGACCAATAAGCAGCGTGTGTATTGTTAACGGCGGTCCCCTGTGGATGTATGCTCCCGATACTGATGCCCGCCACAACCAATTCATCACAGCAAGAATACTTGCGAGAATATCTGCAAACGAAATTCAACATCAGCTGAAATTAATTCATAAACTAGCCATTACCTGAAGGGTGACCCCACTCTAAACCACCAAGCGCATCGTTTTGATCTAAGTACCGAATCAAAGCACCAAAGGCAAAGGCTCCTTGAACGGGATCTGCTTGCAAGTCTGTGCCTGGAACCCGAAATCTATTCCGTGTGGATGTCTCGCCGAGCTCGGCATTCGATAGGTTTCGACATTCGAGACTTGTGGCTGCGGTCTCGATAGCACATCCTAGGGTGTCAAATAGTGCCATCCGCGCTCTTTTCCATAACGGATTGTCGTTTTCGTCTATCTCATAATGGAAGACATAGCGAGCAATATCTGCGATAGACCGATCGTACGGAAGCGACAAGGTAGGTATAGATTAGGAGCATCAATGCTTGACCGGGCGGAACTTTTCTTGTGCGATATCTTGTCTCTATTACATTCATTGAAGAAGACAGCCCAATTATTTTGATATCCTACCTCGGTGGAACACAGTACCTCTAAGTTGATCGGTTCATTCAACTCACGAGAAGTCCCCGTCACACGAACCGCCCAGTTGGCGCGAACGGACATGAACCCTCCCCACTAGAATTAAAATGCCGTATCTATTACCCTCGGCTCTGGCATGACCCACGAGAAGATGGTGGGATAGGACGCGGCGTGAACTGTTAGCTGTGAGTACCCCCGCGCCTCCACTTGAACTCTCCACCTCGGCGTTATGTCCGATGGAAGAGGAGTTCCGCGCTTCTCCAAATCTATTGCTTTATCAGTGACTCTACTTCCTGAAAATCTCCTCACTACTGTTCTTGACTGATACTCATCCCATATTTTTACCAGTCTATATCAACACCTAGGAACCTGTGAGCCTATCAGTGTGAATAACGCTGTCATGTACGTCTGCGTTTCACATTCACCCTCCTTATCTGGTTGCACGACCTAATCTTCTGCTAGGGTGTATACTGCATCTTTCGCCTTTTTTGAGGCCCTCTGGGAGGTACAAAAAAGACTATTTCCTCGGCCAATCTACTTGACCATACAATACTGACAATATCTAGGGAGGTGTCAACCATGTCTTCGTCAATCTGGGATCGGATCATCCATCTATCCTCGAGGCCATGGTGAAGGGCCAAAAGGAGAAGAGAGACCAATTCCCTACCATCATTACTTGCCCCAATGAGGTACGTCAGCCATTACACCATTGCCCCCAGGGTGCATGACCCACGCATTTGAAGCTCCACCCCCGCTTAAACGGCTATTTTCGGAACTATACGACCTCCACTCATTGTTCACTAGATGGTTGCCCTTTCAATGGCCGATGGCTACGCACGACTGACTGGAAAGCCACAAGCCGTAATTGTCCACGTCGATGTTGGAACACAAGGACTCGGCGCCGCCGTTCACAACGCTTCATGCGGACGTGCTCCCGTTCTGATCTTCGCTGGTCTCTCCCCGTATACAATCGAAGGCGAGATGAGAGGCTCCCGTACAGAATATATTCATTGGATCCAAGATGTACCTGATCAGAAGCAGATTGTCTCGCAGTATTGCCGATTCTCGGGGGAATTGAAATCTGGCAAGAACGTAAAGCAGATGGTTAACCGGGCGCTGCAGTTTGCTACCAGTGATCCACAGGGACCGGTATATCTGGTTGGTGCGCGGGAGGTCATGGAGGAGGATATTGAGCCTTATCAGCTAAACCAGAGGAATTGGGTCCCTGTTGCGCCGGCTGCTTTGCCTCCGTCTGGAGTCGAGTTTATTGCAACTGAGCTAGCCGCTGCTAAGTACCCTTTGGTTGTGGTCGGATACACGGGCCGGAACTCTCAGTCAGTGACGGAGCTGGTTACATTGGCGGATAGCTTCAGAGGAATCCGGGTGTTGGACACCGGTGGCAGTGATATGTGTTTCCCCGCCGATCACCCAGGATGGTTGGGTCTGCGCTACTCGGGTCATGATCTTGTGAAAAGTGCCGATCTGATTTTGGTTATTGACTGTGATGTTCCCTGGGTCCCTACTCAGTATAAACCGTCCGAGTCGGCCAAGATCGTTCACATTGATGTGGATCCTTTGAAGCAGCAGATCCCTGTTCATTACATTCACTCTATGGCTACTTTCCGCGCGGATTCCGCCACCTCGCTGAAGCAGATCAATGACTATGTTGCGAGCAATGGACAGTTGCAGGAGTTTATCAGCTCCAATGAGAATATCAATATGGGACAAAGCCGAGACGAGGAGTATCTGAAGCGACGTCAGGAGATTAAAGATATGGCTGTAGCACCAGAGGGTGGTGATGGTGCTTCGCTGAACATTAACTATCTCATGTCGCAGGTTCGCAACGGATGTCCAGATGATGCCATCTGGGCCATTGAAGCCGTCACCCTCACTCATTTTGTTGCCGATCAAGTTTCGGCTACCTTGCCAAACTCTTGGATCAACTGTGGCGGAGGCGGACTGGGTTGGTCTGGCGGTGGTGCCTTGGGCATCAAGCTGGCGTCTGACGTGGAACACGGTGGTAAGGGCAAGGGCAAATTTGTTGTCCAGGTGGTAGGAGATGGCACATATCTCTTCTCTGTGCCTGGATCTGTCTACTGGATCTCACGTCGCTACAACATCCCAGTTCTAACCATTGTACTGAATAACAAGGGTTGGAATGCTCCGCGCCGCAGTATGTTGCTGGTCCACCCCAACGGTGATGGATCACGCGCTACCAACGAAGACTTGAACATCTCCTTCGCTCCAACACCCGACTATGCAGGCATTGCTAAGGCCGCGGCAGGTGGAGAGATTTGGGCAGGTCGCGCTTCGACCGTGGCGGAATTGGCACAGAAGCTGCCCGAAGCAATTAAGAGTGTCCTTGACGGAAAGGGTGCCGTACTGGAGGCGCAACTGGATGGTACCACGGGCAAGTACATCGAGAGCTCGTAAGATACTATAGTGAACACGCAATAGAACACGCCTTACACCTTACGCCCTACATGTATAGTCCGAGCGCATTTGGCTTATCGCGCCGATGCCGGCGATAGCCTTATCTAGGCGGGGTCGTAATCGACTTTCGGTATCGGCGGTCCATACACCGCAAGATCAGCCCGAGAGCCCTGGTTTTGCGAGTATTCAGGGTACCGATACCAACCCCCTCCATAGCATAGACGCCACCGCCCTTTGACAAGGTTATGATTGCACCCCTGCACCAGCGAGTATTAGATAACAGAAACTCACCGCAACCATGCCGACTGGCTCCTCTATACTTTCTCCAAAAAAGTAATGAGATTTGGGCTGCATGGATGAGTCATGGTGGTCCCAATCGGAACCGCGTAGCCGGGTGGATATGGCAGCTGTAAATTCTACTGTTGGCTCCAATTCGCCTCCGCTCTTTCTTTTTCGTGACTACACTTCGCCTTTAATACTCGGTTCTGATCGTACTCCCTCCGAGACCGAGACGTCCGCTATCTTCTCGCAACCAACTTACCTCTACTGAAATCATACCCGCCCTTCCGGTCCGCTATCGCCATGAGCCCGCCCGCGCCGCTAGAGGTTGATATGGTGGGGGTTACCGATACCTCTGCTATGCCTGTTCCGGATCCTTTGACCATCAATGGTGTCCCGACATGGCGTGAAAAGATGGGTCAAATGCCCACTGGGGTCGCGGCGGCGTGCAGCAGCGATATGTTCAAGAGCCCGGTATGGTACCTGAATGTGGCGGAGTCTGGGGAACGGGATATCTATATGTGGAGGAGGTGTTATGGATGAGTGCTGATAAATGCCATTTCTGGAGGTTCTAGGCTTGCTATTCCAAGCCCAAGGCTAAGCGTTTCGATCGTAAGTGTGGTTCCTCTGGCGGGCGACTGGTATTGTTTGCGCCGCACTATATAATCCTGTTAGTATTTTGCTAATCATATCTTGAAGACTACTTCTCACTTGAGGCTAAGTCTCGTAAGGTCTGTAACCTGAATTTGTGACATAAGCCTGCGCAATCCTCATACTAAACCTTTCATTAGGCCTCTACTCTGAAGACCGCTGCGCAATTCCTGAAGAACCCTGGTAACTATGGCTTCTTTAAATTGAATTTGTATTGTTTGCAAGGCTAACATTGTCTCAAGGAATGATCTCCCTTGGTGGTGGCCTGCCCTCTGCTGATTATTTCCCCTTGGAGAGCCTCGACATGAAGGTCCCCACGGTGCCCGGGTTCTCTCCGGAAGCTACCAAAAAGACCGGCACCACCCTGCACGCCGGAAAACATGATATTAAAGAAGGAAAGAGCCTCTATGGTATGTAATTTGAACTCGACCGGCTAGGGTTATAACTGACAGCCTTTGCCATAGATCTTGAAATTTCTCTCAATTATGGTCAAGCTACCGGAGCTGCCCAGCTTCTTCGATTCGTCACTGAGCACACTGAGGTATGAACGACAAAAGATTCGAATAATAGATCTTATTTAATACTTGGCAGATTATCCATCACCCTCCTTACTCAGACTGGCAGTGCACCCTGACTGCCGGTAGCACTTATGCTTGGGACACCGCTCTCCGTCTCTTCTGCGAGCGTGGGGACTATATTTTGTTAGAGGAATACACATTCGCGAGTGCCGCCGAAACCGCTTGGCCCCTGGGTCTTAAGGCCGCGGCAATTGCGATTGATGAGCAGGGTCTCATTCCCGAGGCCATGGACGATCTTCTCAGCAACTGGGACGAGAAGGCTCGCGGTGCTCGCAAGCCTTTCGTCCTGTACACTATCCCCACCGGCCAGAACCCCACCGGAGCTACCCAATCAGCCGAGCGCCGCAAGGCCGTATACAAGGTCGCGCAGAAGCATGATGTTATCATTGTCGAGGATGAGCCCTATTACTTCCTGCAGATGCAGCCCTATGTTGGCCAGGATGCTCCCGCCCCGCCCCCGCCCGCCAATCATGATGAATTCATCAAGTCTCTTGTCCCTTCATTCTTAAGCCTTGATGTCGACGGCCGTGTGGTGCGATTGGAGTCCTTCTCCAAGGTCGTCGCTCCCGGTAGCCGAGTCGGCTGGATTGTCGCCTCTGAGCAGATCATCGAGCGCTTCGTTCGCAACTTCGAAGTTTCCTCGCAAAACCCCAGTGGTATTTCCCAGCTGGTCCTCTACAAGCTCCTGGATGAGCACTGGGGCCACTCGGGCTACCTGGACTGGCTCATCAACCTGCGCTTGGAATACACCCACCGCCGTGACGCATTGCTGCACTCATGCGAGAAGCATCTGCCTACCGAGATTGCCCACTGGGTGCCACCGGCCGCGGGCATGTTCGTAAGTTACACGCTCATTTTCCACCTAGAAACACTACTAACGTACTCCTAGCACTGGATCGAGATCGACTGGAAGAAGCACCCCGGTGTCGCCGCAGGCAAGCCCCGCGAGGAGATTGAAGAACAGATCTTCCTTTCTGCCGTCGACCACTGTGTTCTCCTGTCCCGCGGTAGCTGGTTCAAGGCCGACAGCTCAGCCGTTATGGAGAAGATGTTCTTCCGTGCAACATACGCCGCTGCGTCGTCTGAGAAGATCGACGAGGCCATCTCGCGCTTCGCTGAGTGCCTGCGTGACCAATTCAAGCTGTAAATATGGAGACAGCACTCCGTAAATTTTGACGAGCTAGGTTATCCATTTTTGAGTCCACATATGTGGTGTGTGTATCTATTGTTAGATTCTAGATGGTTGGAAGACTTTGCGAGCTTGCTGCTTGCTGGGAAACTTCCGGCCTTAAGTTACATATTGCATAAGACAATTCCAGTCATCTGATGAGCAAGCTGGCACGTACTCACAAAAAGTCAGTTCATGAATAATAAAGCTAAGAACAACCAAGTGAGAAATTGAAAAAGCTGCCCTTGTGTACGACGGACCTGTGAATTACTGTATCGGGTTAGTTTTACTGTTTTAAGTTTAGCGTCCCCAAAACGCCGTCACGTAGCCTACAAAATGAAGATCATAACAACGATAATCATTGGATGCGTCAAATCGAACTCCGCCATAGCGAAGTATGAGCACTGGCTGTGTCTTCAAATTTGACACAAATGCTCTTGACTTGTATGCCGGGAAGCCACAGCTTTGTATGGAAACAGATATGTGCGCATATCCGGCAGATGCGAGAGGAGGTGAGACCCGCTACAGTTTACTATGCATTGCGTATTCTCTGATATTGCGTCTAGCAGTATGAGGCATATAAAGAGGACTTCAAATTGCAGTCCCTGCAGGCGGCTCTTGTGTATGAATTATATGCGCACAGTGCACGGATTCGGTATCAATCGAAGATTCTACATGGATTGTCAGCACCATCGAAGTCTGTGTTTCGACTAAAAGACATCTTGAATTTCCAACACTAACTGAATCTATTTGCAACAGGATTTTGCTGAAGAGCTATTTGATTTGGGCACTTGGGCATTAGACGCAGACTGCCTGTGTGTCACTCGTACTCAGTGGGTCTTTGTAGAAACTCCGCGAAGGTAGGCTCTATATCCTATATTATTGTGTTTATTGGATGCGGATATGGGGACACCATTTATTCCTAACTTCTGGATGTAGAATCGGTTGCCTCTATTCATTTGATCTGTTGTTCCAGATCGACACTCAGACTCCTACAACTGGAGATTGTCAGGAATTCTTTGGCTTACCATTGCTCTGCCATCGCAAACTTTGGAGACCGATGTCAGACAAAGATTGGAGAAAGCGAAATGAGAAGGACATCGAGTCAAAGACGCAAAAGGTAAAATTCGGCCTAAAATTGGGAAACCTGCTGTTATTCAGGTAATCTGCAGCCCGTGGCGAGGATATTACTCAAAGTGAGAGACCCGGTTTTGCGAAAGAGCTCGCTGAATGGTGTGAGAAGGTATATTCTTTGTCGATATTATTATTAATGGCTGTCTCGATACAAGGTGAAGGGCAATCCCAGTTATATCGACTAGGAAAAAGCCCACCAATTAATTCATAGAGAAGGCCCAGCAGGGTTGCCTTTTGTATAATGTACCATTATAATCTAGATGACACAGATAGTCATCAACTCCTCCTATCGACGGTCTACTCTCGATCTACCGATTAGTCAATCAAACCATCGTTCCATCGCAAACTCTATAGGCGATGCTTATTCTATCAAATCGGGCTTATTATCGCCTTCAGTTCCTCCTATGATTGATCACCAGACTGGGACTTTTCATCCAGAGCATACAGATGAACGTTGTTAGAAATCTTCCAATGTACGATTCCATCCAAACTACAGACAAAATCTTAGAAAAACATAATCTCGGCAAGCCTGGGAAGTCGAACGCTTTGCAATAACTCGGACGTTTTTTTTGTGCACATTAGACCCTTTGATGCAGTGGCCAAGAGTTCTTGGCATAAGACTGGAGTTAGACAGCCATGAAGGATCATGCAGGGATACTTCGGAACTGAAAGTGCATTGTGGGGGAGTGGAGTGAGGTTCTAACCAGCACTCTCGAATCGTGGCTCTAACTGGCACACCTTCCCAGGCTCACCACATCTTGACAATGGACCCTACCGATCTCGATACTACATAGACCCCATTTTATTCATTATATAAGGCTGTCAACGCCTTGGCGTTGGGGCGACAACAGTTTTTCTCAGTGTGTATTGGTCAAGCCAATTTGGGAAATGACTGTAGACAGATTTATAAATTAACATGTAAGAAATTTGGTCTTCCGCTTTATCGATGTTCAATAGTTGGAGAATAATAGTTAAAGTAATTGGTATGAAGTAACTAGGCTTTCAGAGGGCCTTGATATCATTAGTTGTAAACACGTTTTGAGTACTATATCAAATAATTCAAATTCCATAATGTCATGATTTCAGATGCGTTCCGTTCCTGCCTGGCATTCAGGGAAATTTAAGAATTTTGTCAGTCACATAATGTTCACACGCATTATTTTGTCTTATTCTTTCGTGGCTCCGATCGTACGCGCGGTGAGTGGAGGCATGGCGCAGAAAGTATCCTATTGGAGAGTTGCTATTGAAGCCAATTGGTCGAATAGAGCTCTCGCTATTCTACTATATCACATACAAACAGCTCATTTACCCCGCTCGTTCCCAGTTTCGCCGCTAATTTTCTCTCATGTCGGAGCAAATCGGGCCAGTCCCACATCGGCCCGGTTCCGTTCACGGCCCGGGCGATCATCAGCACCCCACGCAAGCTTGTCGGATTACATTTTTCATGGTCTATGGACATCGAGGGTCAAAGAGAAAGCAGCTATTCATAGCAGGCCATTTACTGGCTCATACTTCATTTCAATAATTGACACTAAATTGCCGTTCACTGCACAGATGACGTGTTCCGGCCGCTTTGCAGGACAACTCATACTTACATTACCTTGCTTCTCGCGTTCCCCGCCTATATTAGATGCAGATAGGCTTTCTCTCATCTTCATTTTTCATCTTTTTCTTTCACATATTTCTTGGAAATTCACTTAGTAGTTGCTAGGAGTTACTTGATAGCCGGCAAAATCAAAGACTAAAACATGGCAAAAAAGAAATCGAAGCAGCACCAGTCGAATGAGGTGTCCAGGCGATCTCTCACCTCAAAAATCTCTCCAAAAATTGACTATCATCGGCCTTTGTCATCGTGAGTTTTTTTAATGAGTTACACTTAGCATATTCTGACTTATTCACTGGCCCTACGAATCCACTTTTGTTACCCTCATTATAGGGAGCAAGCGATATGGCATTCCCGCCGATTTCCTTCGGAATTTCCAAAAATTAGACCTGGAATTCCTTGAATTCTCAACTATCATCATGTCTAATGTTGACGAGGACGTTGGACATACCGTAGTGCACTTCTTATACACAGGCGGCTACGAGACAGTCAGCTCTCCTCTCGACGAAGGCACATCCGATCTCGCCAGAGAATACAAGAGGAGCGTTCTAGTCTACCACGCGTCAAGGACCTGGGGCCTTTCTGATCTTGAAATTCTTGCTAAGCAAAAGATGCAGCAATTAGACGAGGAGATTCCTGTTCTCGAAATGCTGCGGGTCATGAGGGACGTGTTTTCAAGCCTCCCCGCAGGTGAAACCTGGCTTCCGGGTTACATCGAAGGAAACTTGCAGCGATCACTGAAGCCTGAAGATCCAGGTCTTGGTTTACATGAATTTTACAATATCCTCGGCCAAGACCATCAATTTGATATTGCCGTGATGAAAATGATTCTCGAGATATTATCCATTCGCTTACTTTCTGTCAAAGATCAGCACGGTAAGTCACCAACAAACTCACGATACGGTAAAGAGTTGAGTTGAATGTTTACGGCATAATTAGCGAAGCAACTGAACGAAGTCTCAACTGATCTCTCTACTCAAGAGCCTATTCCCGAAGAGCCTGAACCTGTTCCCGAAGAGCCTGAACCTGAGTCCGAGCCTGTTCCCGAGCCTGAGCCTCTCCCCGAAGAGCCCGAGCCTACTCCCGAAGAGCCTGAGCCTGTTCCCGAAGAGCTCCATGCTGAAGAAGATAGCGAGCAGTTGTCTATTCCCCGAGTGCCTGCTGATGCTAACGGCTGGTTGGGCGCTCCTGATCAAGGCCACATAGCGAGGATTTCATGCTCAGACTTAAATCTGTATGAAAACTGGGAAAGTCTGTCCCCGAAGAGAAGAGCTAAAAGGGCTAGCAAACTTGGGTCAAGGGGACTCCCCGTCCCAAGAGAGGGCGGCTTCATTTCAATAGTTACAACTTAAGAATTATTTGGAGCAGCTTCAGCCTGACACTCGAATCTTTTACTCCTCGTCCCTAGATTCTGTTGCTTCTTTCTTGGCAACCTTCTGCACCGCGTCTGGATGGATTGGCGTGGACCAAGCCCGGCCTAAAGTATTTTGAATATGAGAGAATGCAAAGTGAAAAGAATAATTCAAAAAACCGCAGTTGATGGGATGAAGACATGTAGGAAAAGAAAGAAGAAAAAAGGCAAGAGAAGTGAGAATTGTATACAAAAATGGCTCTGGAGGCCTCTAAAACGTACCCTTGTTTCGGCCTCAGGCAATAGTATCACGTGCGCCCCTTGATCGTGGCCACCGCGTTGACCGTCAAATCCGACATTAACTGGCAACAGGGTCTAATTCCATCTTCATATTTCTATGAGTGATGTTGATTGCCCTTTGTCGATAGCGCCAACATCATTGCACTGGCCGCAGAGCTCAGCTGGAAGGAGAAGTCGCAGTCAGAATCCCATCGAAATTCATCTCTGGACCCCCGGCTGCTTCTTTGTTCTACAAACGTAGGTTGGCCTTCCACCCTCACTTTGTGCTTTAATTTTCTTCCCCCCCTCCCCGGTTAATTGAAACTCAATTTTTCTGAACATTCATCTTTCATCCCTCTTCTCGTTGTTGCGCGGTTCGCATCAGAGGAAGCTCGGGCTCCATGTGTGGCATTCCGAGATCCATGGCTGATTGCAGATCCACAGATCGGCGCCGAAAGGACGGTGTTTCTCTCTCTAACACCGACCGTGAGCTTTTTTTTCATTTGCTAGACAAGAGAGACAAAGAGTCCAATTCACCAAGCGCCGGGCGACCCATTCCACTGAATGTGAGAAGTGAGTATCATCACGGCGTTTCACGATTGTCAGAGTGTGTAACCCCTATGATGACTGAGTCGATACCGTTGTTTAAACTAGTTGAACAGAGCACATACGACCCGCGTCCGACTGCCAAGAATCGAGCCTCTGGATCACAGTGCGTTTGATATCGAACTTGACCACGAAGAGTCATCATTAAATCGAGTAGCCAACAGTCTCTGCTTGGAAGTCTCCGACGGCTCAAGTGTTCTGCTTACCGAATTACTCGAACTGCTTGAGACAGATACTATCTGGTCCCCTGATAGGCGGGCTCCTCCTCTTAACTCGCGCTATCTGTCCACATATTACAGCTCTGCGAGTGATACTGAGAGCACGGGTAGCGACCTCGAGCATTCAACCTTGAAAACTACAAATCCGCTGGCCTTTGCTGGGAAAAGTACACTCGGCGTCAGCTGTACTCACTCATACGAAGAGCTCGACAGGACCACTGAGTCGAATCATCATTGCAAATTCGATCTTGACCGGGAACAAGCTAGCCTTTTTACTTCGCAGACTGCGCTAGACGCACTTGAAGGAAGCTCAGAACGCGTTGCTTCCTGCGACAGGGTTATTTGCCCTCGTCCCATTGACTACTTGCTGTCTTCTGGTTCCCCGTCGCCTATTTCCCCGTTCAATCCCCCATCCCCGATTCCTCCGGTTTTCCCGTTAGGGCCTTTGTTGAGTCCTGCCAAAACTCGATCGTGGCCTCGAAGTGGCTTCAGTTCAATACTCAAGGCTCCGCTGTCGCAGTTGTTCAAAAAGCGACCCTCCTCCGATCAGCTCTGAGTCGAAGAAGTAAGAAACATCTTTGTCAAATTTTCTCGCCCCACATCCCATTACGAAGCCATCCAAGATGGATACTCGTGGGTCTAGATTCTTGGACCCGTCGTCCGCCATGGCGGCGATCACCAGGCACAAAGCCGAAGCGATCAAGTTGGCCCGAGAGCAGGGAACTGCAGTCAAAGAGATGTGTCGACGTGCAAAAACAGATGCGCCTCCATACGAATTCGAAGAATTGATTGGCAAAGGAGCATATGGTCGGGTCTACAAAGGCCGACAGATACCATCAGGCCGCCTTGTCGCTATCAAGGTTCTCGACATCGATTCGTTAGATTACAAATCCCAGCGTGACTTCAGGGACGAGTCTATCAAAGATTTCATCCACGAGACCAAGGTCATGAAGCAAGTGAAGGACTCGGGAGCCCAGAATATTAATGAGCTTATTGAGGCTATCTCTATTCACTCCCAACTATGGCTAGTGTGTGAATACTGTCCAGGTGGAAGTGTCAGAACATTGGTAAGATCTCACCTCTGATGCAAGTGAGTCCAACTTGGCTAACCGTTTGAAGATGCGTGCAACTGGCGATAAACTTGACGAAAAGTACATCATTCCTATCGCACGAGAGCTGGCAGTTGGCCTGCGCGCTATCCATGAAGCCGGAATTATTCATCGTGATGTCAAAGGTGATCGACTCAGCTTTGTACCATTCCTTCAGTGCTAACAGTTCTTAAATAGCTGCAAACATATTGGTTCACGAGGAAGGTCGGTTAGAGATTTGTGACTTTGGTGTCGCAGGTATCCTTCAGTCCCAGCGTGACAAAAGATCAACATGGATTGGAACACCCCATTGGATGCCACCGGAGATGTTCGGTCGTGGACCAGCACACCGTTACAGCAGTGAGGTCGACGTGTGGGCTTTTGGTTGTACGCTTTATGAATTCGCGAATGGAAGTCCACCCAATGCAGGTCTCCGGGAGCCAATGCAAATTGGTCGCCAATTAAACAGGACTGCCCCGAAGCTGAACAACGACAATTACAGTCAAGGCCTTCAAGAGCTTATTGCGTTTGTCCTTGAACCCGACCCTGCGAATCGTCCTACAATGGCAGACGTACTGGAACATCCATACATTGCTGGGACCGAGGAAGAATACCCTACGTCGTCCGTTGGCGAGCTGGTCCGCAATTACTACCAATGGTCGCAACGGGGAGGTCAACGTATTTCTTTGTTCAACCCTGGAGGTGCACAAGCGGCAGAAATGCCAGATGTCGAAGAGCCAGTCGATGACTGGAACTTCAGCACAACAGATGGGTTTGAGCGAAGATTCTCTGTCATTGATCTGGATCAAATTGCCGCGTCTCTCGCTGAGATGGAAGAACCTATCAGTCCTACCACGCCAGCTCCTGAAAATGATTCTGGCGAAGAAATGAATATTAGCGACATGGACCCCGAGGAACGAGCCAACTTTGATGAACGTGTACGACGTGGTGCCGCAGCCATGGAAGGCCTTTTCAATGAAGAAATGCCTAGCTACAAGTACGAGACCAAGAACGACTTTGTGCCTATACAACCGGCTCCACCGACTTCTGATCTTCCTTTGCGCACGGACACGGATCGGTCTTCCGTGATGTCCACTTTGATTGACATTGACATTGGATCCTTCGACTCTTCACACTACGCAGCCGGTGCTCCGACAGCACAGCCTTTCCAGCTGGCCAATGCTGATACAATTCGCGCGAATCGTCACCGGAACTCGAATGAAAATAGCTCACAGTCATCCAACAGTGGTCATGAAAATGAGGAATCACAAGAGGAGGCATTCCAACCCCAGACTGGCCCACGCCCTCCGACAATGGATTGGAAGTTCCCTTCATTTGCGCCGCCTTCAGATCCAGAGGATGAGCCCGAAGCGAAGGCAGAGGAGACTCCAGCACCAGCTGCTTCGGCACCTGAGGAACCGTTCCAAGCCGAAAAGCGTGCAACCATGCAGTGGACCTTCCCTGTCATGGGCGCTGATACGAGTGATTCAGTGAATTCCGATAGCTATGATACGCTCCGAGCACCGCTGCCTGGTATACAGGAACAGAAAAACGACACACCCGGGGAATCTCGACCATCGACCTCAGCTTCTAACAAATCCACCATGTCCGACTCCGACTCCGACCCTTTCCGGTTTGATCGACCAAAAACCCCACAAGATTCACTGCACCAACCGACTCCATCATTTGGCTCGGCCCTGGGCGATCCGTCCGATGAAGTGGAAGATGACTCCCCGGGAATGCTCGATGGGCCGGGACCAGATGAAGAGGATCAACCCGAGTGGAGTGAGACCTCTTCGGTAGATGACCTGAACGACATGCCGCTTCCCACGGCTATTCCTTTGCTCGACGGACCGGGGGAAAGCCCTATCATTGCTTCCGAGCCAGGGTCTCCCGTTTACGAAGAGCCTTTGCAGACCGCTCGCCGTGACGTGGTGTCCATGACCATGCGTCAAGCAACCAACCCCAAAGAAGATGAGTCAGGTGCTCCATCCTTCCCTCATATTGTTTCGCCTAGCGTGGAGAGCTTAATGGAAGGTATTGATGATAATACTGTCACCATGGAGTTGGACCGTCTGCTCGGTGACTTCCTCGGTGCCCTAGCAGCTACAGGAGATGCACTCTCAAGAGCAGGTCCTGGTCAGCAGACGGACGAAGTGAAGCGTGCCTCAGAGGTAGGCCAGTGATAATCCTATGCACTAGATTCATGATAGTTGCTTCTATAGCTATTAAGTAGATCTGTGGTTTCAACTTTAACGAAGTATTCATGTCAATATATCACTTCTTATCTGTAGAGCAAAAAGAAACGTACCAGAAACAATTGTAGGTCGTGTCGAGACTGCCTTCATATTCTTTGAATGTCAGCTATGATGTTTGAACAGTCCATCATTTCCTTTCTTCGGATGCAGCTTATTTAAGGGTTAATCACTCATTTGAGGCGGAAAGACGAACAATGCCGATGAACTTCCCGATTAGGAAGGCGTGTCAGGTAAACGTGACGTGACGAGACATACAAGCGTGTTGATTTTTCTCACACATCTTGTATTTCTCCTAGGCGTCTTTCGTGCCCCTTATTATTTTGAGCATTCTACTTTGGCCGCTGTGGCGGTCAGAAGCATTGTTTTCTCTCCCACTCGCTTATCGACGGCCATACAACATGCTTGGTGGATTTTCGAGCAAGTTTGGCCCGACATGTTTTGCACCTCCAGCTAGTCTTCTGGCCGCTCAGACAATGTCAGAATGGAAAGCTGCATTGAATAGCGTGAGGAGTCTGTACATTCAGCGGCAGTACAAGCAATGTGCAGTCCGTTGCACTGAGCTACTCAATGTGGTCAATGAGCCAGTATGTTCTACTTTCTTCGGTTTGATGCATGAGACTAACTTGTAAAACACAGATTGAGCCTTTGTGCAAAACGTTCCTTTGCTTCTACTCCGCGATCAGCAACGAGTTCCTCGGCCGTACAGCACATCTGTACTCACCCAACAAGGTACCTCTACTACACGAGGCCCTCGACTCGTTCCTGGAGTGTGGAGCTGCTCTGCCACAGCTCATTCCTATGCCAAAGCTTCCACCGCTCCTCAACAGTCCCGGTTTCGCAGCCTGTCTCATCCCACCAGAGACTCCTGGTCATTGCCCCCAATACACACCAGAGGACTTTGTCGTCTGGGTTGATACTCCTGAGACGGCCACGCCTGAGCGTCCAGCCCTCATTCGAACCATAACACAAATGATTGACCTCTCGCTGTCGAATCAAGACGATGATCCTTTTATCTCAGACTCCGAGTCGGACCGTATCTCGTCCTTCGCACTGACCCTGCCAAAGCTCGGTGTCTCACCCAGACGTGCAATCGACAAGGATATGATAACTCTGTCCCCCAAGACACCCCAAAAGTCCAACAGCCCGATGAAGAGCCTTGGTCTTACGCCCTCTCCCCTCTGCATTCGGAAGTCTAGTCAAATCAAGCACAGTGGGATCACCTATGAAGATGAGCGCAGCGGTAAAGTGGATGCCAGTCCTCGGTCTAAGCGTCTGCCTTTGCAAGTAACCTTGGCCAGCAAACTGAACATCATGGACAGGAAGAGCAGTGCAACTAACATTGCTGCAAAATTGACAAATAATGATTCCTCTCCCCCATGTAAGATCACTACACCCTCTTCAGTCTACTCGCGAGACTCCAATGGTAACAAAGAGGTCGCGGCCAACGTTACCCCAGCCCATGCTACCAAAATTGTGCGATTCAACCGTGGCATAGAGCTCCTGCGTGAGCAAATCTTGACCAACATCGCTGAAATCCAGCAGCACGTGGAGCAGGTCAAGGACGTACAGCGCGCGCGCCGCGCTCGTCAGATGAAGCGAGCACCCTCCTTCTGGAGCTTCCACCCAACCACAGATGAGGCTGCAGAGGAAGAAACTGAACAGGAAGAACATGTGCAAGAGCAGAAGAAGCAGGAGCCGGGGCTGTGCATGCATGGGTTTGAGAATATCCTGCACAAGGAAACTCAACAGCAGCGACTTGCCCGTCTGCGCTCTGACGGATGGAGTACTGTCGGACTGCGATCAGCCAATAGTACCTGGAAGGGGGCACGCTACTACCAGGAGTTCTGCAATATGGTCTTGACCGAGCTCAGCCTGGATAATTGAGGGGGAGTTGTTGATTTATTTTCTGCTGTTTAGCACTGCCGTGGAGATTTTTTCGATCTGCGAGCTCAGTAGTCTGGCGTTAATGAGGTATTGGGAGGTCTTGTTCATATTTCATATCCTAATCTTAATGCATGATTACATCTTATCATCGAGCCCAGGAGGGGCTGTAGCTCCCTTCAGACTGGTCGTAATCTCAGCGACCTGTAGAATGGAAGAAATATCCAATTTACAGACTCTTGCTCAGCACGTTGCCCACACCTTCGCCGATTCCGCCCTTCCCAAAGTTCCCTGCAAGCTCGCTTCCCAACTGGTCCTGGATCTTGCTGAAGTTCTCGTCTTCAATGAGCTTCTTGCCAGTCAAGCTCACTGCATAGAGATCCAATTAACACTTATTCCACCCTACCGTATCAGTGAAGTTATCATAACTCACTCTTAAGTCCATAAGAAACCTTATTATCACCCATAGCATCGAGAATAATTTCCTGCATCTTCTTCTGATACGGGTCGAGATAACCCGAAACCCATGCCAAGAAGAGAACGACTTGCAAAAGGAGGTAAAGAACGAGTTGGATCATTTTCGTATTTTGATTTTTGATTCGGGATATAGAGCTCAAGGTCGGTGGAATTGAAGATGTCGTGTGCCTTTCTTGTGGTTTTATAGACTCCAGATCGTGTTTTCAAGCCTATGACGTCCTGGGCGTGGGATATGACGCTGCCGCGCAACCATGCCCGCGAGGTGGGGTAATCGTCCCTTTTGTGCTACAAATCAAACAAGGTATAGATATTAATTCTGATTAAGACCCCTAGGATCTCTCTGCGCCCATCTGTCATTTCCCTTTTTTTATGCGATGGACTTGAGACTTACTCGATTGAGAAGGTAGAAGAGTCGATCTCGAGATCAGCAAACTTTCCCAGGAGTTCATGTTGGATAGTGGACAGGGACAGTCAGGGGCATGCTCTTTGAAATAGCATTAAGTAGCATTATAGATCACCATAGCCCCTGGGAGGGCACAGTAAGCGTCCTGCCGCCCAAGTAGGAAGTGGGGAAACAAATAAAGGACGTAAAATGCTCCGACCGGAGATAAAGTCCAATGCCATTACTTGCAGGCTTGGCGAGTGTCCGAAGTCGCTTCTGCCTCATAGGGCACATAGCTCCAACATATTGTATATAATAGCCTATGGCAGATCCCAGATCCCAGATTCCGGATTCCAGATTCGAGATTTCAGGTGAGGCTAAAGGAGATCCTAAAATAGGCCACTCTCGAAGCTCCATGTGTGGTGTGGCGGTGCAAACAACGGTTAAGGACACGCACGCCAAGGGCCCGCTAAACCCTACAGCCCCAATTCACCTTATCGCGCGTCTAGAACTCGAGGTCCCTTTCTCGCCCCTCCTTCTACCTCACATCTCCTAGTTTTTTGGTCGCTGTCTCTGGTATGTTCAAATCCTTTGGGATCTGATCTAGAAGCCCTCGATCTCAGGAAATTCCTGGTGGATTCTTTACCCTTCTTACCCCTCCCGCGATACGCGTGAGCCGCCCACCCCCGCCTGGATCGCTCTTAGGCTGAGATCTGTTCGTTTTTTTTTTTCAGCTCGCTGACTCCCCCTGGTAGCTTTTGCAGACTTCACCGTGCGATTCCAATCCCAATTCACGTCTCTCGCTCTTCGTCACGACCCGCTCTCCTCTCCGCTGCGGGGTTTACCAAACCGCTTTTGCTACCTGACGGGTCTCCTCTGCCCATTCACACCCATCGCATACTCAGTCCGGTTTTCTAGGGTGCTTACAACCCTGTTCCCACATCATGAGTTGTAAGTCAGTCTTTTTTCGCTATGACTAGACGCTCGGTGGCTCCTGCCCTGAGCCGTGCGTGGGTGGATTCTGGCCTCGGCTCCTTTCACATGCCCACTCTCCAACATCTTGGGCTGATCAGAGTCGGGATGGTCTTATTCGTCCTCTTTTTGTCCGTTGGAAGCTATATCGCCGACTTTATTGTCGTGTTCAACGCGTTGTGGTGTCATGGTCTGGTTCCAATGCCTGTTCCTTTTCAATCACCCAATGTTGCTGCCTTGTCGCATCTTGCTCGGGCCTTTACTCCTGATTGTGATTGACCCTGCTGACAATGGTTTTTATAGTCGCAAACATGTTTAACAAGCTCTCTGGGCAGCCAGAAAGCTACGAGAAAAAGTACTATTTCCTCACTCGACCCTGAATTCCACGCGCTAAGACATATCCTTCCCTCAGGGCCCTGTACAGGTTCGGACGCACGCTCGGTGCAGGCACATACGGTATCGTCCGTGAGGCCGAGGCCCAGGACGGCACTAAGGTTGCAATCAAGATCATTCTCAAGAAGAACGTTCGTGGAAACGAGGGCATGGTCTACGATGAGCTGGAGATGCTGCAGAAGCTTCAGCACCCTCACATTGTCTCCTTTGTCGACTGGTTCGAGTCCAAGGTAAGCTTTGCCAAGTCATCTTGGCGGGATAATATCTGACTGCGCACTAGGACAAATTCTACATCGTCACACAACTAGCCACTGGCGGCGAGCTGTTCGACCGGATTTGCGACTACGGCAAGTTCACGGAGAAGGACGCGTCGCAGAGTATCCGCCAGGTGTTGGATGCCGTCAACTACTTGCACAAGAAAAACATTGTTCACCGAGGTTCGTTAGCATACCCGTTAATACCAAAATTCCCAGCTTGCTGATACACCTGAAGACTTGAAGCCCGAGAACCTTCTCTATCTCACCCGTGCTGCCGACTCCCAGCTGGTCCTGGCAGATTTCGGTATCGCGAAGATGCTGGAGAGCCCCTCAGAACAGCTTACCAGCATGGCAGGCTCATTCGGATACGCCGCGCCCGAAGTCATGCTTAAGCAGGGCCACGGCAGGCCTGTCGACCTGTGGTCGCTTGGCGTTATCACCTATACCCTTCTGTGTGGTTACTCGCCCTTCCGCTCCGAGAACTTGACCGATTTGATCGAGGAGTGCCGGGCAGGCCGCATCATCTTCCACGAGCGTTACTGGAAGGGCGTCTCCCAGGACGCCAAGGACTTCATTCTTACCCTCCTGCAGCCCGATCCTACCCATCGTGTCACCTCTGAAGAGGCTCTGAAGCACGTGTGGCTGACCGGTACCACCGCCAGCGACCGCGATCTGCTGCCTGAGATCCGTGCCTACATTGCCAAGGCTCGTCTTCGCCGCGGTATCGAAATTGTCAAACTGGCCAACCGCATCGAAGCTTTGAAGATGCACGAGGAAGAGGTCGACGAGGGCGAGGAGGATATCCCCAGCCCCATGAATATGGGCGATTCCAGCGAGGAAGGTGCCGCGGCCCCGACGGAGGGCGAGTCCAGCCCCGATGGCACCAGGAAGAAGCGCAGTCTGAGCAAAGTTGCCCGCGGTGCTATCTTCCGTGAGGTTGTCTTGGCCAAGGTGCGCGAGGCCAAGGAGAACGAGGAGCGGGAGAAGGTTGAGCGTGAGGCTCGCGAGAAAGCTGCTCATGCTTGATTTGTTGTGTTTCCTTTGGCCTGTTCCCCTTTCTACAACCTTTCCGTCTTTCCGTCTTTCCGTCTTTCCATATTTCCACGGATACTGCGTTATGTCCTGTATTTTGCCATCGTTCTGCATATAGTGTGATTCCCCATAGTCAATACAGTTTGCACATAACCGGCCGGAAATGATATCCGCTTCGGGGTGCTTTAAGAGGTGAATGAATGAATGAAATTCATGCTCGTAAGCAGGCACTGGGTTAAAAGTAAAAGTCTTTATCCTGGATTTCGGTATTCTCGAATCACTCGAATCACTCGAGGGGGTCGAAGGGGTCGAAGGGGTCGAAGGGGTCAACGGGTAGCGACGAATCGAAGAGGCAGAAGTATAGAGGAGTGTCACATGCAGCACAATTTAATGTATATTTAGGAAGGTGATTCGGGGCTTGGAGGACTGGACCGGTGCAGGGGAAGAATAAGAGGTGCGAGTATAGGGGAAGTAATATAGGGGAAAGACGACTGTTGAGAAGAAGCCAAGGCTATGAATAGATCGGGATGCGTACACTACGGTCAGCTGACCTGTAGCGTCCTCCGGCTGTAAGTAGTACATTTTTGACTGGAGATCTGAAATCGAGACAATCATCAGGAACCCTGAAGATCATTCTTTCTTCAATTGGGCCCCTAACATGAACATGGAACGTGTTCATGCTGGCTGTTCCAACAATTGCCTTTGCCGCTCCTCTCCACCAGGATGGGAACCCCAGGCCAACCTCGGTCGTCACAGAGGTCTCGGGGCTTCAGCCCTAACCAACCCTAACATTGCGTATCCCCAATGCGTAATGCGCCCTGTCTAGGCCTCACGGAAAGCCACAGCGGAGATTCTCAACAGGCCTTAGCCTCCACACGTAACGCGATGACGCTGAAGCCTGGACTGGGTCAGGACCCACAAGCCGCGAACCAAGCATCTCATGGCCCCCGACTGGACGGTCAACAACAGCACTGTGGATAGCAGATCCTCTAATACGATGTGTTCCAGGCGCCAGCACAGACACAGTGGATGTGTTCATGGACCAAACCCGTTAGGCCGTTCTTGCCCCTGATCCTAACCCTAACACCACAGAGCCAACCACGATTGAGATGTGCCCTGGTGGAGTCTGGTCACTTACCCGGTCAGGTAGGTGCTCATCGACTGGTGCGTTTCCCAGGACTGTTCCTGCGAATTTATGCACGAGACTCCGGTGCCTCGGTGCCCTAGTTGACCCTACCAGCCAATAGTCCGCCATGATTTCATAGCCTGCGCAATGGCCAGGCGCTCGATGGGTTCCCATAGGCTCTAGACTTGAGTCTAGGCTTTAGGGTTAAACTATCCGAGGATGGCGAATGTCGTTTCTATGCACCTGTCGAGTGTTTCAGAATATTCGATGCAGAATGGGGACATGCTCCACCAGAAAACATAAAGAGCAGGCCATGTCTGCCCTCGTGGCTTTCCTCTTGCTCTCCATACTCGTCTATCCGACAAACTACGGTCCTTTCAACCCTCATTCTCATTCTTTTTTTCCGTCGAGGCTGTGCCTCCGATTCCAGTCCTTCCAATCTTCTTGTCTTTTCTGTAGAACAGAGAGACTCTCAATCCTTCGAACCAAATCAATCATTGATATCAATCTATCTATCATTCCATCTTGTCGATCATTCTCCACAAAAGTATCCAACAATGCAGTTCCTCAAGACCCTCAGCCTCTTGGCAACCATTGCCTCAACCGTCTCAGCCCTGCCCCAGGGCCTTCGACCCACTGCCACTGAAGTCGTGACTCTATTCCCAAGCACCGCCACAGCTACTTCCACCTCTTCCACCACTGCTTCTGCCTCTGCCTCCGTCACCGCAACCTCCACCTCCAGCGGCAAGGGCATCGAAATAGTCAACAACCTGAGCGAAACAGTCCACATCTGGTCCACCTCCAACACAGCCAGCGAGATGAAGACCGTTGCCTCTGGTGACTCCTACACCGAGACCTGGCGCACCAACTCCGACGGTGGCGGCATCTCAATCAAGATGTCCACCAGCACTAGCCAGGAGAGTGTTCTCCAATTTGAGTACACTGAGAGCGACGACATTCTCTGGTGGGACCTTTCTTCCATCAACTTGGACTCCGACTCGACTTTCATTACTGCTGGCTTTGGTGTTACTACTGATGACTCCAGTTGCTCGGATGCTACTTGTGCCGCTGGTGATACTGATTGCGCGGAGTCATATCAGGAGTCGGATGATGTGGATACCCTGAGTTGCTCGTCTAGTGCCGCATTTACTATGACCTTGGGTTAGATATCTAGCCAGAGTGTAGTTTACGAGCCATGTCTTTTGCGAAGAGAAATATTCTTGTCTTACAGTTTGAAACTATCTTTGAACATGTGAAGGTGTGCTTGTAAAAATATATCTAGAATAGAAGAACAAAAAGTTGAAAATATCTTTGACATATGAAGGTGTACGTGGTGTACAGAGTGTAAAAGTGTAGCTAGCTAGAATATAATAGAAAAGGATTGAAGCGAAGAGATATGAATTTACATTTTTCTCAACTTCAATTAAATTGTACATGTAGATGTAGAGTGTAGTAGATCCCCAGGGTAACTATCAATACCGACAAGCGAGCATGTCATTGGAAAGTTGAACCCCCACACCTAGGCAACAAATACTCACCTAGTAGACGGGGACCTTGAAGGCAGGGAACTCGTAAGTCCAGCTCTCGTAGGACTTCTGGTCATAGACACAGTCGAAGTGAGTCTTACTCTTCCAGAGAGGGCGCTTAGGCCACTGGCAAAGCTTCTGGACCTCACCCTCGTAGTCGCCGGAGGATACAGTAGCATTCAGGCGCTGGGGCTTGATACCGTTCTCGACCCAGTTGATCATAGTCGCCATGTTGTCCTCGGGGTAGGGGCCGGGCTGAAGGGTGTTGGTTCCGCAGTGGGCGGCACCGGGGATCAGGTAAAGCTGGTACCAGTCGGACATCTTGGAAGCGGCCTTGCTCAAGGACTCGCCGGGGTACATGATGGACTTGACGGACTGCCAGTAGTGGATAGAGGAGCCAGTGGGAACACTGGGGTCGGACTCACCGTGGTAGTGAATGAGCTTGCCGCCTGCCTCCTGGAAGGGGGTTAGGTCGGGTAGAGTGGTCTGCAGGCTATCCATGTAGCGGACCATAGCGGTGTTCATCCACCCGACCATAGTGTCATAGGTGACGCCATCCAGAGTGGAAAGGTTGTCGAGGTCGACAAGCTCGACGAACTTGGTGACGAACTCACCGCCAAGGGAGGTAATGTCAAGCTCCCATGCCTTCGTGTCGTTGTTCCACTGAGTCGCAGCATCCGAGAACTCGGAACCGATCTGCCACGAAAGGTAGGCCTGATCGCCCTTTAGGTCATGCAAACCATCAATAATAGCCTGGGCAACGGCGACACCCTCCTTGGAGACCTTGCCACTCTGAGCGGGCTCGTAGGAAGAAGTACTGCCCTCGGCACGCTTGCTGAAGCCGAATCCAAGAGAAGTGGAGGTCTCGGCGGCACAATAGTACTCTTCGCCGATGATCGAGGACATATTGAAATTGAGCTTGCAGAGGTCGGTACGGGAGATGACACCGTCAGTACGGCCATCCAGAGGGTCGCAAGCCTTGATGGTAGCGTTTACAATCTTGGCAAGCTCACAAGGAGGAGGATAGTAGTCCATAGTATGCTCAACGAGGTTAGGGAAAAGGTGATTGACCTGCTGCTGGCCGTAACGGAAAGCAGGGGCGCCGGTGATGGCACCGTCATACTCCTCGCCATAGCGCTGGATCTGGCTCATACCCTCACGTCCACCATCGGAGCATCCCTCGTAGTAGGTGTAGAGCTTCTTGTTGTCATTCATACCATAGAAGTTCTTGGTGACATACTTCCCAAGCTGGGTCATCTCACCTAGACCTTGGTAACTGAACATGTAGACGTTATCCCAGTTAATCGAACCATTGCCAGCCAAATTGACCTCGTCGAGGCTAGTGCCACTCAGAGCGTCATAACCGGCAGATGTGGCAGCAGCAACGGCACCATACTCGAGACCACCGGTGGAATCAGTGTTCAAAGCGTAGCCACCTCCCCCAGCGACGTAAAAACGCTTCTTGAAGTCGGAAGGGGAGGGGAGACCAAGGCTCACGATAACATCGGCTGTCTTGCCGGGGTGACGATAGGTTAGGGTCACGTTGCAGTAGTTGTACGTCGAGGTGCTTGAGCTCGTCATGCCAGTGCTAGCATTATAAACAATGTTGGCAGTAGAAGCTGACGGAATCAGGTTGATACCAGATAGAGTGCCGTCCGAGGGCAGAGTAGACTTGACGTGGGAGACGGTGCACAAATCGGTGAGCGATTTGGCATTGGCTGAAGCCGCCAGGGCAGCAACCGATGCGCCAGTTTTGAGACGCATGATGAACCGTGAAAGAAAGATGAGCGGAAACAAAAGAGTGTGCAAAAGCAGAGTTGTATGCCAATGACTGGGAAATCTCTCGGTTATAAAGCAGAAGCGTTGACCTCGAGGGATCCGTTTAATCTAATCGGATAATTATATAGGCGGGATATATTTCCAGTTCCAAGTTGGGTGTAGGAGTTCCTAGATCAAACGCTGATCTTCCGAAGAGAATGAGACCAGGACACGAACCTAACGTTTCCATGGGGCTCCCAGACCATTGAGATTAGTCCAGGCACCACATGCGTCGTCAGCCCTCTGTAAGGCATGACCTAAGAGATGAACCATATGTTTGACATAGAGACGCTGGCTGGACGTGTGGCAGAGTAGGCGATGCCGCTTCTCCGCTACTTGTCACACCGTGTTCAGCCAAATGAATTAGTTGCGTAGCCAACAAGGCTCAAAATGGTAAACCCGGATCCACGATGATGGCATAAGGACTAATAAAGGTGCACCAAAGGTGTAGAGAGTGGGCCACCTCATCCTTGACGAAATCAAAGTGAACTCGAATGTTGGTGAGAATGCATACGACGGCTAAAATCTAGTCCGGCTGGGCGGAAAATCTGCATTTAGGTGCTGAAATAAGCGTCAAAACTTGGGAGACCGCGTCACCCGTTGTTTTTAAGCATCGTCGAGTGGATCTAAGCCCCTGAGACTTGGCATTAATTCAACGTGAGCCGATATCCCGATCTCCACTCCCCGAGTCCGAGTGACAATGGGTAAGTTGAGGATCATATCACATGATGTTCCGACACTTGTCCGAGAACGGCGCTGCTCAAGCCTTTAAGCTCAAGTGGCCCCTTAATATATCGTCAAAAGTCGACTAAGGGCGCGCGGTTTTATATGTGCATCGAGGTGAGGTGAGCTTTGTATTTCGATGCTGCAATCTCCTCGTGACAGGATTCTCCGCGATCTATAGGGAGATTGTTCATTGACGCGCCAGTCTAATAACGCACTACAGGAATTGACTGCGAATGGTTTCGATCCGGTGACGTGCATTCACTTTGGTGGCATTGTTGCTATATAATATCTGGAGTATAACAAATCAGATTAGACCACTCCGAGAGAGGTGTTCTCGGTTCGATTCTACGCTGTGAGCAAAGTACGATAAGGTATGAGCACTACATCGGAAGGAGAAAGTCAGAAAGTGCCAGACGTTATCCGATACATATGTTAGCGTACTACAGAAGTCCAGACCACTTTCATCCATACAATTAGTACAACCGAATTAAAAAGGTATTAACTGCGTAGAATCTTTTGCCTTACATGCGAGGAATGAGGGATATCAAGTGGCCAAAAGGGTAGTCAGATCTTTTCATGTCGTGAGCAATGCAAGGAAAGGTAAAAGATTCGTCAAAAGTAGTCAAGCACAAGTAGGGTGGAAACCTCCAAAAAATTGGCTAGTCGTCCAATGAGTCGGCCCAAGTGCCAGTGAGTGGGGAGAAGGTAGAATCGAGGTTTTCCATAGAGGTAGGCGCTTTGATAGCTGGTGCCGCCGGTTTCTCCGTAGGTACAGACACTGGCGCGTCCTCCGGCTTCTTTCCAGCGGGGAGAGAGGGGAAATCAGCCTCGTTGTTGACCCCGGGTGCGGCTTTCTTGTCCGTCTTGTTGGATGGTTCCTTGGAGGATGCGCGTTCGCCCCGTGGCCCACGTGAAGGGCCGCGGCCACGGCCACCACGGCTACCACGCCCGCGTCCTCGACCGGGACTTTCATTGCCCCCAGCAACATCATCGGCCGTGCCTTGATTCAAGTCGTTTCGGGTATATCCAGATACTCCACCGTGCATACCTCGTCGGAATTGGCTGCCACCACCGCGGGGGTTATAGTCCTCTTCACGTTTTTCGGAGTCCCATTCGCGGCCTGTTTGAGCCTTGAGTTTCCGCTGGCGGTTCTGCTCACGCTCGTTGTCCATCACGCGGCGATTTGCTTGTTCCTCGCGTCGTTTCTTGGCTGCTACCTGCTCTCGCTCTTGAAAAGCAGCATGGTCGGCCTCGGCTCGGGCATGGGCTGCGGCCTTTCTAGTGGCAAGTTCTTTAGCAGCGGCAATCCGTTTGCTGAGTTCTTCTTCGGTAAGTTTGGGCTGAGCCGGTGTCAGAAAATTGATACATAGTTACGGGCATTAGCTTGAGGGCTCTTACCTTCCTCACACCCCCGGTAGCACTTCGGTCTCCGCGAACAGCCGGTACCCGCGGTGCTTCGGTGCCATTGCCCTCTTCATCTTCAACATTCTCTTCCTTGGCTGCCTCTTGGGGCTTCTCCGGAGATGCAGCTTTCGCCTCCGGAGTCGCCGATGGCTCTGGCGTCTTGGTAGGGCCCTTTCGTCGAGGGGTCGAAGCAGGCTTAGTATCAGCAAATCTGGAGTCCTCCAATCCACCGCGTGGCTTTCCCTGGCCGCGTCCGCGACCAGAACCACGAGCACGGCCTCGCTCTCCGCCTCGGCCCCGTTGCGGTGTGTCCCCACGCGGAGAAGGTTGCTTCTCAATCACTGGCGTTTCCTTCCGGGGAACAGATTCCGGCTCCGATTCAGGGACAACAACTTCGGTTTGGGCTTGCTGTTCCTCCGCCGAAACTGGAATGATTTCATCGTCAAACAAATCGTCCGCGCCGCGGGTCTGCGCAAACTCGTCCATCGCTAAGGCTGGAGCTAGGTTCGGAGGGCATACAGAAACTCACGCGACAAACAGAAGCGTCAAAATTCCAGTCCGATGTAGACCGATGTGACAGCTAAACTGCAAGTTGACGCGAACGCGCTCCGAGGGGTAGCTTCAATGGGGGCGAGAAGAGGTGGTCCGTGCGGAGACTAAAGCAGACCAAAATGGAGCGCGAGAGTCAGCGCAGGTTGGTCGTTTACCCAGGTGATATGAAGTAGAAATCCAAGCTCCTTAAAGTGACAATTACAACCGACCACAGTCCTATCATCCAGCCTCACATCAGACTGGATACAGGCGGTGTAGTTTGTGGAGGCGGCATTTTTCTGCCAATGATCGCCGCCTGCTTTCTGCCATATGACGTAATAAATGAAAGTAAATATAGTTAGTTAAACAAACCATGAACATCAAGGTACCTGAATGTTACAAGGGAGGCAAACTAAGAAGAATGGAATAGTTTCAGATAAGCCACAAAGAACGAAAGCCTCAAGCCGAGAAAGAGAAGGAAAGTAAGAGAAGGCAGGCGCTAGGGTTCCTTTAATCACTCTTCTTACAAATGGCATTCCTCTGGGAAATAGTCTACCATCAGCTTCTACCGGAAGCTGATGGTGGGATCAATTCCAAGAGCAGAAGCAAAGAAGAAGCCCTCCACCGATAGGTCCAAGCTCAAGAAAGTGAAACCGATCTCTAATTACCAGCTGGTTGCCTCAAGGTATCCGTTAAGCTCACAACACTGAGATAGAGCGGCAAATTCTCTGTTTGATCAAACACACCTGCACCCAGTATCATCAAGTGATCGGGATGCTTTTCAAACACATGTAGGCTCCGGCTGTATGCGGCTGGCTGTGGCGTGGCGTGAATTTTCCACTGATCAGGCTGGCCATTGGCTTGGTTGGTAAAAACGCTGCCATGATCAGCGTCGCTGACAACAATGGTTCCATTGACACCCCCGACTGGGGACCAGACAACATAAGGAGATGAGCTCGGCTGTATCCCGTCTACGACGATTGGATAACCATAAGCAAAGCGGAAATCAAATGGGCTACCAGACAATCGATAGTAGACCGGATAGCCTGCCCCAGACCAGCTATCTCCCCCTGGAAACTCGTGCACCAGAATCCACTTCTCTAAAGGTGGAATATAGGAAATAACCGTCATTCCAGGACGGTCAGTATAGTTGAGATATGCCACATCATTTATCACCGGGCTCCAGGATTTCAAATTTGTCGATTCCTGGTGAGCAAGCTTCTGGCCATGCAGCGGGTCACGCTGATCAGAGTAAAACACGCCAACTGTGTTGTTGAAAAATCTGTGATTTCGCCATTCAGCGCCTTAAGCAAAGAAAAAAATGGGTAGAGCAGCTCACTGGATGAATGGCTCCCAAATACATGGATTCCCATTTGTAGTATCCGGTCCACTGCCCCTCGCCACATTGCTGACGAATTTCCATGTGTAACCTTTGTCTTCACTGGCGTATATATCGATATTGGTGCTCTGGCTTCCCCAGCTGTTTCCACTGGCCAGGACCGTGCCGGCTGGGAAGTCGCCAATGGCAAACGGTGCCTCTGCCAGCGCGGGCTGAGCCGCCATCCCTAACCCATTAACTTGGTCTGTCATGTTGGAGATCCAGGACCAGGTAGCACCACCGTCTGCACTTCGGAAGATCGGAAAATACGGAATTTTATCCCCCCCATACGAGGCTGTCGCAAGCAGGCTTCCATCTGATAGTTCGACTTGCCGCGGATAGAGAATACTGTGGTTGGAGTCAGGCTGGAAGATGACGTTTTCTGCAAATGTCGACCACGGTCGTGGTGCTGGTTTCTGAGGAGGCTTAACCGATATGACACAATTAAGGCCGGCCAGAAATAGGAACAAAATTTTAGTGAGCATGCTTCTGAATCAGGTATATGTGAGAAAACTACCAGTCACAGCTGCTTGACTTCGGTTTTTCTCTCGTGGGTTGCCATTTGATCAAAAGTTGCTGTCATTATATATGATTTTCAATGTTCACGTGCGGGGGCTCTGCTATTCCTGTTCAAATTAGGAAAATATCCGCGCCGACGAGTTCATCAGCCCTTGAAATGCACTAAAAATTAGCCGGCAACATTGCTAAGCCGGCGTATCCTGAATATTCAGGCTAAAAGCCGAAGCACCCATAACTCATGATCCAAATGGATGATCTCTCAATTTAAGATTCTTTCAATTAGCCTAATCGAATTGATACCTTTTATATTAATCAATAATCTGTGTGATTTAACCGGAGTGCAGTGCTGGCACTACTAAATACTGCCAACTACCTACTTGGTATAAGCCCTCATCCTCCTACGCATGAGTAATTTAGTACTACGTGTATATAGCTCTGCGACGACTTATTCAGGAATCGCAGACAATCTCCGCCTGTTCACAATAGACTGCAAGGAACACAAAGCTACTGGGGTGAGACTAGCTACAAAGACGATAGTGCCTAAGGAGGCAAATGCCATCATGGATGTTGAGTTTTGCGGGGAAATTTTGCCGTTTTTATTGTTAATAAGGGCCACCATTCATTAATATCGTTGCCTGTCGCCCCTCTTCTCTATATCTTGCCTTTGCCAAATTGCTCGTTTTTTTTTAATTTTGAGTCCGGCTTCTTATGAAGGTCTTGTCTTTAGATGACGTTTTGTTGATGTCGGTGTTGTCCCAGACTGGCGCTACATAGGATGTAACCTGAAAATGCTGAAAATGCGGGGAAAGTAACAAAGAGCTCGTTGTGGGTTACCCCTCACTCGTTCAATAGTGGGAATCTCGACGCTGCGTGAAAGCATTTCTTCCAGACTTTCATGGTGCAGCGCATCCTGGTCTCTGCTATATCCGTAATTTAGCCTAGCCATTGATAAAAAGATCTACCAGTATATCTCGTTATTTACAGAAAAGTTTATATAAGTATCCAGCCATCACTTAATATCTCTGTAGGTGTTGTCTTATCAAATCTGTCCTGAATAAGGTGACCCACGAATGTTTTGCATTCCTTGGCGCAGGAGAGGAAACAATGAGAACATCATCTAAACTCTTTCGAGCTGGTACGAAAGTACTACTGTCACTCATAGCAGTACACACGGGCGTCGAGGCGTCTGCTACCTGCACCGATAATGGCTCAGCACCGACGATAGCCTATAATGCATCAACGAACTATCTTGGATGTTATTCAGATCCAAGCGTGACCATATTGACTGCAGCGAAACTTAGCACAATTATTATGACACCGCAGTACTGTGTCAATTGGTGTGGTCAACGAGGTTTTGAATATGGTGGCGTAGAATTCGGAACGTAAGTGAACTGCACTTTGACCAATGAGGGTATGAAGTGAAACGATTATCTAACTTTATACCTGGATAAAGGCAATGTTTTTGCGGGAGTATGCCCGACTTTAGCGCCGCGAGCAAGACCAATGACAGCAGCTGCAACTCGCAATGTTCGACTGAAACATCCATTTCATGCGGAGGGAACTATGTGTAAGCCAAACCCACAGTAAAATATAACGTGACTTCAATTTTCTGATATTTATAGGATGTCTTTGTATCAAATCTTAGATCCACGAGTGAACGCAACGAACACCGGCTTCGTGCCAGCCTGCCAAACGCAACCCCTCTGCAGTCACCAAGTCTGTGATACTTCATGGAGCATTGCTGAGCGAGTGAGCTCACTCGTTAATTCCCTGACAGTGGAAGAAAAGATTCTTAATGTTGTCGATGCTTCAGCCGGATCTGAACGCCTTGGGTTGCCATCCTACGAATGGTGGAATGAAGCAACCCATGGTGTTGGCTCGGCACCAGGTGTTCAATTCACCTCAAAGCCAGCCGGTTTCAGTTATGCCACCAGCTTCCCTTCACCAATACTCACAGCGGCCTCCTTTGACGACGCTCTAATCCGTGCAATAGCTAATGTAATTGGCAAGGAAGGACGAGCATTTGCCAACAACGGGTTTTCTGGATTCGATTTCTGGGCTCCAAATATCAATGGTTTCAGAGATCCTCGATGGGGAAGAGGGCAAGAGACGCCTGGTGAGGATATATTTGTTGTGCAGAGTTATATCCGCAATTTCGTTCCGGGACTTCAGGGTGACGACCCTGAGGACAAGCAAGTTATTGCAACATGCAAGCACTTCGCGGTCTACGACCTGGAGACGGGCAGATACGGGAATAACTATGACCCTACCCAGCAGGACCTGGCTGAATACTTCCTGGCTCCATTTAAGACCTGCGTACGCGACACGGGTGTAGGAAGCATCATGTGTTCATACAACGCAGTTTCCGGTATCCCAGCTTGTGCGAACGAATACCTTCTTGAAGAGGTGCTGAGAAAGCACTGGAATTTCACTGCAGATTATAACTACGTTGTGTCTGACTGCGGAGCGGTCACAGACATCTGGCAATACCACAACTTCACTGACACCGAAGAAGGTGCAGCCTCCGTTGCTCTGAACGCCGGAGTTGATTTGGAATGTGGTTCTTCGTACCTGAAGCTCAACGAATCTCTTGCAGCAAAACAGATATCGGTGCAAGCCTTAGACCAGGCACTGACAAGGCTATATTCGGCGTTGTTTACGGTCGGCTTCTTCGATGGCGGAAAGTACAGTGATCTCGATTTCTCCGACGTTTCTACCCCTGCCGCACAAGCTCTCGCGTATGAGGCTGCAGTCGAAGGCATGACGCTTCTCAAAAATGACAAACTTCTTCCCCTGGGTCCTGCGCATAAATTCAAAACCGTTGCCGTGGTTGGCCCGTTTGCAAATGCCACGACTCAGATGCAAGGTGACTACTCAGGTATTCCGCCATTCTTAGTGAGCCCATTGGAAGCATTCGAGGGCTACCATGGCTGGAAAGTGAATTATGCCTTGGGTACAGCAATCCATGATCAGAACACTACTGGATTCGACCTGGCCCTTGCGGCCGCAGAGAAGTCTGATTTGATAATCTACCTCGGTGGCATTGACAATTCCATAGAGGCCGAAACGCTTGACCGAACTTCGCTCACTTGGCCACAAAACCAACTCGATCTTATCACAAATCTATCGAAGCTTTCTATTCCTATGACCGTTGTCCAATTTGGTGGTGGCCAACTTGATGACAGCGCCCTCTTGCAGAATGAAGGAATTCAAGCTCTAGTTTGGGCCGGGTATCCTAGTCAAAGTGGCGGCCCTGCCCTGCTTGATGTCCTTCTTGGCAGAAGATCGCTGGCTGGCAGACTACCGGTCACACAATATCCAGCCAGCTATGCCGATGAAGTAAGCATTTTCGACATCAACCTTCGCCCTGATTTGAATGGTTCATATCCTGGGCGAACGTATAAATGGTACACTGGAAACCCTGTGGTCCCATTCGGCTACGGGCTTCACTACACGGAGTTCGAATTTGAGTGGGAGGAAGCTTTGGAATGTGAGTATAACATTCAGCAGCTTATTGCCTCCTACCAAACAGATATTAGTGGCACCATTAACGACAACACACCCTTTGCCACTGTCAAAGCGCGGGTAAAAAATGTTGGCCATGAAGCTTCCGATTACGTTAGCTTGTTATTCCTTTCGAGCGACGATGCAGGCCCGATTCCGCGACCAAATAAATCCCTGGTGTCTTACTTGCGCCTCCACAATATTAAAAGCGGAAGCGAAGAAGTATCAGACTTGCCACTTACTCTCGGCTCATTGGCCAGGGCCGATGAGAATGGAAGTCTCGTTATTTTCCCAGGGCATTACAAGATTGCATTGGACATATTCGAAAGCTTGACTTTCGAATTTTCGCTGCAAGGGTATCCAGCGGTAATCGATACACTTCCCGTGCCTGATGCACAGTATAACTTTACTGTACCAGTCCATATTGAGCCAGCGTCCACCGAAGCACATTCATGATGTGTTATGCCTATTGTTGTTCTTGTCCCATGGATTGAATGCCCCAAACCATCAGACTACGCGGACCTTATAGCTTTTCTATCATGCAAAAGTCCGTGTTTTGTAGCCGGATTATAAATTGCATGCGGTCTGAGCGGAGTTCACGCAGCACTGGACAAGCTCAAGGCTGGTGTCAGTGGCACTAAGAGTGTTTGCCAAATTCATAGATTGCCTTTTTTAATGTTCCATGTACCAACCCGAGTACATTTTGCCAATGGACAAGCTTGGTTGTCACTCTCTTTCGATGGTTAGCTAGAACACGATGCAAAATTGATTAAGAAGATTCTTTAAAAATCACAAACATGGACTCCGCTCTAAGGTATATTGTGTAATGACTGGGTCTTTGAGCTGCTTACTTCGGATATTTTCATACTTTGCATAGCCGATCATTTGAGATCCTTGTCAATATTCTGTCCGTGTGTACTGCTGGGAAATGTAGGTACCCAGATCTTATTTCATCTAACATATTCTACCAACACTGACTGCTGTGGTAACCATCCATGAAAGATGCGTTACATATTTGTAATCTATTGTATCAGACAAATTCATGTGAACAGCCTTAGAAGGCCATTTGAGCAAGATGTTGGGGCCCAATATGTATTCGCATAAACATATATCCATGGTAGATGGTAGCAGTCTCTGCTCCCACATTATAAGACGCCTTTTGATGTGCAAATCAGGTAGATCCTGAACTAATCACCCACAGCAGAGGACTCGAAACAATGGTAGTACGAGGGGAGAGGAACATTTGAAAATAGGAGGGCTTGTGTGGTAGAGATGTCGCTTTCTCTTTCTCGGAAGCTTTAATTTTGACTAAATAGCTAAACGTGCTTATAGGTGTTTTACAAAAATATCGAAGGTTACTTTTATTAGCGACAGCTTAGCCAGATCTGAAATTGGGACCGCTCTAGACCCAGCTCCAATATTGTAGCATGCAGCTAAGTAGTGTGATGATCTTAGTTTGAGACGCTCTGCATCAACCAATTAACTTGATACATCAAAATTAAGCTGCAAAAAATCCTTTGTTATCATCCAGCCACTGCCGAAACATCGTAGGAGCCTTGTGGGTATACTTCTGAATATTATCCCGACCTGCCTCCCAGGTCGGAGCATCCCAAATAAAGCTCTTCGGGCTAGTAACCGTCTCTACAAACCAAGTTGCAATCCCTTCAGGATTTCCGTTGCGCTGCATGTCCTTAATAGCCTGTTCCTTTCCAACCACTGGGGTCTTGATTTCCTTCCCCAGCGTATCTCCAACCAAACTTAGACCGTCTTTCAAAGACAACCGTTCGGGCCCAACCAGAGGAATAACATTCTCTTGCAAACCATGAGCCAGAATAGATCCTGCCACCTCACCAATATCCTCAGGTGAGATCCAGTCAAACTCGACATCTGGGTTCGGTAAAGCAACTTCACCTTGCAAAATCTCATCTTTGTACTGGAAAACATTGCTTGAAAAGTAGGCCGGTCGCAAGGAACTCCGCTGATCGCCAAAGACGTCAGCTAGAGCTATCTCTATCTGTGCGTGGACATAGGCTATTATGTCGGCGGGTTTTATTGCGTGGGGATCTCCCTTGACCGCGAAGCTACTGAGGAAAACAACAGATTCGACACCGCCCTTTTTGAGAGCCTCAAGGGTGGATCGCATGCCGTCGGTTGTTCCCCAAACCGCATAAATAAATGCAGTCTTCGCATCACTCTGGCGGGCTGCGTTGAAAACAGTATCGGGCTGGGTGAGGTCTGCCTGGACCTTTTCAACTGAAATACCGTCTAGCCTTGGAATCGGCTTGGAAGGATCACGCATGGCAAGGGTTACTTTCGCACCTTCCTGGAAGGCTTTGAGCGCAGCAGCAGATCCGACGCTTCCAGTTGCACCGAAAACAATAACTTTGCGAAGGGATGCCATTTTGGGTGTTGGAGATGACGATGGTGATGTCTATTCAGTCAAGGGATCGTGAAACCAACGTATATATAGTACGATTGGGAAATGACGTATCTCATGAAATTTTCCAGGAGTGCTAGTCTTGCAGGGGCGTATTTATAATATGTGGCATGGTGATTTGCAGGCGTTCGGATGTATGACGCGGGGCTTCGGGGCCCGAAGCACCGGTGAAGCCCGAGCGAAAAAGCGGTAGATAAATGAGAGGCCTCGGAAGCCGGGCAGTATTAGCTGACAATTGAGGCGTATATGCCTATGATACACCGCCGCCGTACATATTGTTCTGGTTTATCCCGTGTTTCTTAACACTCGTGTTCATTATAAATCAAAATCTTACGATCGAAGGATCAAAGCGACAAAATGTGCGAGTTATACATGAGACTATCGAAATATACATGGACTCCCAAAGAATCGAGCGATCCAGCGCCACCTAGCAAAATAACACAATTTACACTTCGAGATAAGGTTGCAACTCCTTCTCGGTCCACTCCCACAACTCACTCGCCTTACCTTCATCATACGCCATCTTAGTCCCCTTCCCCGCAATACCCACCGGATGATAGTAAACACCCGACTCAGGACCCTTCTTCAATCCAGACCCATCAGAACAAGTAGCAGCCCAAAGTTGGTTCCTCACCCCGTGCTCCACAGGCTTAAGCATGAACAGCGTCGCCCCAACCTTCTTGATTAACCACTCAATCTTCGGCCAATTATTCAAAGTATCCCCAAGATTGGTGACAACAGCACCAGGATGAATCGAAACAAAGCGAACCCCCGTCTCGGCCTCAGGATACCGCTTCGCAAGCTGAGAGGCATAATGTAAATTAGCCATTTTGCTAATCCCGTACCTCGCCCACATGCCCGTCGATGCAAGATCCCCCTTCAATCCCTCAAATGGATAAATGGAAGCAGGCGCGAACGCCTCCGCGCCCGAAGACAAGATGACACATCGTGTCTCGCCCACAGCGATACCCTCCCTCTTCGCAGTCTCCTGCATAAGCGGAAGTAAGGAACGAATCAACAGCGCATGACCCATATGGTTCACGCCGAACTGGATCTCATAGCCCTCTTTCGTGACGCCATCAGCGCCCATTACGCCTGCATTGGCGATGAGCAGATCAAGGCGGGATTCATTCGCAATAACCTCCGCAGCAGCCTTTTTGACGGAGTCGAAAGAAGACAAATCAAGATTGAGAATCTGAATCGGCGCGCAATTGTCACCGGCACGTTCCTTGATTTCAGATAGGGCTGCTTCGGCCTTGGATGGATTGCGAGCTGCGAGGTAGATCTTTGCTGGGGAGCGGGTGGCGAGTTGGAAGACGGACTCTTTACCTAGGCCTTCGTTGCCGCCCGTCACCAGGATGATTTTGTCGGTGAGGACTGGGATGTCGGATAGTTTGAAGGGCATTTTCAATGTGGTTTGATTATGGGGAATTGGGTGAGGATGGTTGAGAGCTTTAGGAACTTGATTTTGAGCTTTCTAGGGATGGCTTGTTTCCTGTTCGGGTAGCAATCTTCGCGCTAGTGGCACGTGTTGGGGTCCGAGCGAATGCAGATTGGCCATTATAGGGGTTGTGAAATTGGAAGATTGGGGTGGAGAATGAATCCAAATCTGGAATGAAGACATTTGATCAGTTACAAAGTACTAATCTTGAAGAGAAAGTGAGGATGATGGTAAGCATATGCGAGTCCACGGCGCTAGGCCATATTCGGAAAGGTCTGGTAGTAATCTCACTCGCTGGCCCAATCATTAATGAAATCTCATACGACATATACAACTGATCCATCTAATGAGGGCACTTAATCTCATATAGGACCAATCACTCGGTCCGCTAGTCAACATCGCCCATCGTAAAAGTCGCTTATGTGATATGTGTGTATTCACGCCCAATATGCTATCACAGTCGCTGATCGACAGGCATAAATCAATCTAAATACACTGCCACGAGTTCTCATCAGTGTAATTGCCAGGTCCGACATGCACATTACGTCGCGGGTAGCGACAGTGCTTGCGTCGGTATTCCACCTTCGTCCCAACGCCATCGGCAAACTTGGACCCACGAATCGTCTCAGGCGCAACGCCCTCCTCAACCCACTTGACCATAGCCATGAGAACATTATCTTCCGGATCGCTGCCCGCATAAGTACCACTGCCCTGACCGATGCCAGCAGCTCCATCTCCGAGGCCACAGTGCGACATGCCGCTAACGGTGAAGAAACGGTAGAACTCATCCAGCTCCGAGGGAGGCAGCTTCATCGTGTCTGAGACATGAGAGTAGTACAACTTGGAGTCCTCGGAGCTGATAAGCTGATCTTGCATGCCGTGGTAATGGAGGACCTTGCCGCCGGACTTCTGGAACGGGGAAAGGTCGCCCTCAAAGGTTTGAATGTTGTAGGGGTTCTGGGCAAGTGCGGCGGCTGCGTCTTTCAGATTGAAGCTCGTGCCATTCCAGGAGGGATTGTTGTACACCACGTATCGGAACCAGTCTTGACTGTATGTGAAGGGCTCACCGTTGTACATGATATACGCGGCATAGTTCTCGGAGCCAGGCTGCATGCGAGGATATAACAGAGTGCCGTTGATGCCGTAGAAGGGAGCGAAGACCTTGTTGACAGTTTGGACCTGCGCGCTGGTCAGACAGCTGGTTGTGTTTGATGCTTTGGGCGCACACATCAGTGTCTCGAAGATGGGGTAGCAGAGGGTGGGATCCTCAATGAGGCCATCCTTTGCCCCGTCAATGGTGTCACATTGACGGTTGATTTCTTCGTGCACAATGTTCCACTCTGCAGGTGTAAGGTAGGTATCAGAAGAGGACGGACCCGTGATAGAATAGAAGTGGGCACTCCAAGAAATCAGGTTCGCGAAGTTGATCGCAGGAGCGCCGGCCACTACGCCATCGAAGTCATTGGGATATTTCTGGACAGACTTCCATCCCTGACGACCGCCAGTTGAGCAGCCGAGGTAGTAACTCTTCTTGAAGCCCTCGTCATAGAACTTCTTTGTGAGCTCCTTACCAATGACCACCCCGGTGTGAACAGAGCGGTAGGCAAAGTCCCTGATGACCTCAGGATGGCGATAGAAAGGCTCGCCCGAAGTGCCATTGTGACCATTGTTAGCCCCAACCGTAGCAAAGCCTAACTGGGCAGTGTACGCAAGGTCATAGTATTGGATGCCTGCTGATGATTAAACCGGGCCCAATTGTTGTCCTGTTAAGGTATACATACATCCTGACAGACCGCCATTACCAGTACTCAAAAAGCGACCTGTGTACTCGCGCGGGAACCATGCCTCCAACGTGATTTCACTGCTCCCAGATGTGTTCACAGCCATTGCGACCCGACAAAGGTCAACTGCAACCGACTGCGACGATGCGCCACAGCTGGGCGCATTGTCAGATAGGGACAGATTCGTTCCTCCTGGTATGTATTCGGCAAAGTTGACCTTGACGTCAGGGATGTTAACTTTGTTGGCGAAGTGTGCACATTTGGTCTGGAATGCATCTTGGCTCGCGAGAGCCACTTGGCCCAAAGCCAAAAGTGAAAGGCCGAAGAATGGAGTCATATTAGGCGATTGACCCAAGTCTAAGTATGTACAGAAGGATCAACAGGCACAGGATTCGTAGGGTATTTAGCTGTGGCCAGCCCTTGACAACCCTCCACTGACCTCATCGTAGTGGAGGCTTTTCGGGAGATAGGCCTTCCGAAGACCGGCAAGTGGGAAGCAAATTCTTCCCGTTGGCGATTTAGGCAAGGAGCGACAAACAACAAGGATGTTCCGAAGAAAAGCCGGATGCCGGTGGCGCGGCAGCGATCCGAGAGTGTGAATTGGTTGATGAGCAGCGAAGTGGGCCAGGGCGAGACAGTGGCGGGCAATTGTAAACGCAAAGTGTGGCAGGTAGAGCGACGATCAAGGAGAGCCGGAACGAGCACGGGGACTTTTGATTGTAGGAAACACGAATATAGAATCCGGGGACTCCACAAATGCGGGGTTTGGTTTGTACACTGCAGGTTCAAGGCTAGTGATTTCGGCACTTGCAATCCCGCCGTGCGAGATGCCTCGGTGCGTTCAAGATGAGGTCAGCAAAGCTTAATCCTTTCAACTGTGTTCTCACAAATATGAAAAGCCTGCGCTCCATCGTTGATTCCGTCGAATACCTCGGTAAGAGGGAAATGCTTAAGCTTCGCGGGGTCGTTGTCGTGGCTAATAGCGTTCATTTCATCCTCGAGGGCATGCATCTAGTGAACCAAGGCCTCGTCCCGTAAGGGCAAATCCTGCATAGGCACAGAACGTGCCTCCATGCCTGCTGAAGAGAGCTTCGACAATTTGAACCACAAGCCAAACGTCGGCGAAGCACCATAGTGTCAACTGAGAGAAGGTTTAAAAGTGCAACACGTCGAAGATTGCAGATGGGACAGACGTGAGACGAAAGAGCCGAATAAATCACAGATATGAATCATATAGATGGAAGTGCGAGATGCAAATCGTGAGTGGGATTGAATCCTTGAGGGTCTGCGACCTCAGTAGAGAAACTTTGAGATTGAGGAAGTCCGTCATGTAAACGCATCGCGGACTCATGGATTCATAATTAGTTGCAGCCGATCGGACACTGCAATATTGAAACAATGATACAAACAACCTTTTCCCAAAGGTGGAAACCCAATACAAGCCGACCATGGTATACTCGAACAAACCCAAAACAAGACAAACCGACTCAAAGCGGGCTCGGGTTGCGACCCTCATGAACAACAACTTCCCTTCTCATCGCGATCGCGATCGCATTGGGCTGCATATCTCTCACCAAACCGATAGTGTCTTCACCCTCACTCTGCGAAGAACTTATCCCAGTTTTCACATGCGCCGAGTAATTGCCACCTCCCATTTCGATGTCCGAGTACAAATACTCCCCCGTCTACGCGGCTCACTTCCAATAGTATGCTGGGCTTCGCGAAGGTTCCCGGCACTCGGTCGCTTCTGCGAGAAGAGAGGCTCGATGTAATGGCGGAACAGAGGTGCCAGCGCGGGTAGGCTGACGATGATCATGCTGAGCCAGAGTTCGAGGAAACTGACAAGGCCGATTTGGTAGAGACCGAATACAAAGTCTTTGTTCGTGTCTGGGTCGAGAGTTATGACTAGACGCCAGATCATGACGGCCACAACGCTGGGAATGGTTAGCTCGGAATAGATGTGATTTTAGTGAGTGAGCTTACACGAGGCCCATTCCGAACATCACGCCAATTGTGAGCTTGTTGCGGAGTGCCATGCGGAGTCGCCAGAGCGCGGGAATCGGGAGCAATGCGATAGTCGTGTCTAGGAAGATGTTCAGGGCGATTGAGGCGATCTCCTGGATCGCCAAAGACCGACATCCACCTCCGGGTACGGGAGCCCACTGCTGGGAGATGGGATGGCATTGCGTGAGGAAAATGGGTAGAAAGGCGATAAAGTATGCGACGACGAGGCCGCTCACCGTCCATACGAGGATGCGAATTGGGCGGAATGTGTGAAATAGACTCGTATACAGAGCGAGGATCGATAATTTGCAGCACACGGTGCCCGTGAGCCATGTCATGCTAATTCCGACGATCATCTAAACTTTGTTAGCATGTCTTTAGAAAGCATGGTCGGTTCGGCGTACCTTGAATTGCACATTGAGTTGACTTTTCGATAGCGTGACGGTATGCGCGCCTAACCCATTCGCGACAGCCCAATAATTCAAGCCGACCATGATAATCGTCGCAATCTGAATCAAGTATTAGCGTCGAAACCAGGGCGCGGAGTATGGAGACGTACATAGGCGACAAACAGTAGATAATCGCTGAGCTGGTGACTCTTGCGAGTTAAATGGATCGCCCAGATGCGCAAGGCGATCACGGCCGTGGTAAGGCTGGTAAACACGGCCATCCATATGGATAACCTGACGCCGGCCTGACTGACAGCCATGGCGGATGATGGAGAAGCGACATTCCAAGGAAATGGGCTCCTTGAAATAAGCAAGGCGGGTGATCAGCCGGGAATCCAGCCCACGGTGTGGCACACTGCATAACTTCGCACCAGGAGGGGTTGGACCATGCAACCACAGGTGTGCGATGGTAAGGTACTTCGTAATTTGGGGGCGAAGTATACTGGTAATCCCGGGTACTTCTTTCCCCAAGGTTCTCTTTGTTTTGACCTTTTTTTAACGCGGACCAGACTTGACCTGTTCTTTCTTTCTTTCTTTCTTTCTTTCAACTTTCGCATCTTTGCATCCTTTCCTCAGGTTACACAATGAACCCTCCACTTCCATCATTCACTTCGGTCTGGCACAATGAGCCCTACAAGGCCATTTCTCCGTCACGGCCCGAGCTGAGCGCTGCCGGTAAAACAGTCATTATCACTGGTGCAGTACGCGGCTTCTATCTGACTGCCGATCCATGGGGGCATAAACAAGCTTTTGAATGTGACTGCTCTTCTGACACTCCTTAGGGCAGTGGAATCGGTCGTGCCACAGCCGTGGCTTTTGCCAGTGCCGGCGCCAACAAGATCGTATTAATCGGACGAAACGAAGCACCTCTGGTCGAAACCCAGAAGACTCTGAATTGCAGCAGCTCGATCTACGCGGCCGATGTCACGGATGAGACGGCCATTACCGAAATCGCCGCTGCCACAGGAACGTGGGATGTATTGGTCCTGGCTGCAGGTTACGTCGCGGGGCCAGCATCCATCCGCGAGTCATCAGTCGACGACTGGTGGAAGAGCTTCGAGGTCGCCGATCCCCCTTGCCCCCGAAATCCCCTTAATTTGATAATTCCCGAAATCAATGTTAACGATGGTCGCTAGACTAACGTCAAAGGAACGATGATCGCATCCAACGCCTTCTTACCTACTGCCAACCCGACATGTGCAGCCGTCGTGGCGCTGACTGCAGCCGTGGTCTTCCCAGCCGCCAGACTCGTGAACCTCTCGGCGTACATTAGCTCTAAGCTTACCTTGATCAAGCTGATGGAGTTCTTGGCTGCGGAAAACCCGACCGTCTTTGCAGCCGCTTTGCACCCTGGCATGGTTGACACCAACATTCTTCGGAGCTCGGGCGCGGATCCCAGCAAACTTCCCATTGACTCCGGTAAGCAGCGCTCATCATGCAATGTCTATCTTTAGCTAATCGCAAGCACTAGTGGATCTCCCTGCAGAGTTCATGGTTTGGTTGACTAGCCCCGAAGCGTCTTTCCTGAATGGTCGCTGTGCGTGGGCTAACTGGGACGTTGAGGAACTCAAGGCCAAGGCAGAGAAAATCAAGTCCGGCTTGCTTTTGACCTCGGGCGTTTATGGCTGGCCCTTTCCATCCGACTAATTTTTTTCTTTCTTTATTTGTGTGGGTGTGAGCTATCAGAAATGCAGCGGCACAATAGTCTTTTTTGCCAATGCAAGTTGCCATGGTTGTGTTTTACCTCATGAAAGAAACAAGTAAAAAACAAACAGAGAAACCACGCAAACTTCTAGCCCTCGATGTACGCAATACAGTAGAATGTCGCCCCATGGCTAGGACTAGAAAATCATTGACCGGTGCGGGGCGTCAAGAGGATCCTTCAGAGAAATAAATTAGGCTACGGCTATCAGCAATCAAGGTGGTACAAAGGGGGCCAGTATACCTGCAGCAAGGTTACATTGCAGGCCTAGCTCATAAAATGATGTCACACACGTTCAGGCCGAGTGAATAGGTATTGGTGGATGAAATGGCGAATCTACCGAGAAGACACTCTGCGTGTTTCCTAGTACGCATCCTAGCTTGCATCCTTTTGGGGGCGGAGTGTAGATTTAACTTGAGTTACTGTAGGGAATGCCCACTTAGCCCCACCCATCTCCACCAACGAAGGTGCCCGGTCTGGAGCTATCGTGCTTACTTGCATAGTCTTACAATGCCTATCATCGGTACTGTACCATCATCGCCTATAAAGAAGAAAAACCAGGACTAAAAGGCCCACTCGAAAGATAGCTGATTATAGTGCTTATGGGATTTTCAATGACTGAATTTAGCAAGTGCTGACCACCCCCTCAAAGAGTGGGTCTTTAATTCCTATCATCTTATTTGCGTCCCTGCAGCACTGTCACTTTCGCACGAAACTGAGTAGTACAGTCTCCACTGACCAGCCATGTCGGACGTCTGACTCATTCCCGGAATTCGAAGCCCAACCGTAAGCGGCCCGGGTTCGACGTGAATTGGTCCTTGAGGTCTTTCCAGACTGAGTCGCCGGTCTCGCCGGGCGGAATGCTGAACCGGTATTTCCGAACTAGGCGGGCTGTTATGAGACGCATGTCATTCATTGCGAGGGCTCGGCCGATGCAGCTCGTGTGGCCTGAAGAAGTTAGATGGGGCCAGGGAGTGGGGGACCTTGTAGAGGTAGTATCTGGGTGGATTGTTTGCTTACCCGTGCCGAAGGGTGCAAAGGCCGCTTTGTTGCGGACCATATCGGGGTGCGTATACCATCTCTCTGGAATGAACTTGCGTGGTTGGTCAAAACAGTCCTCCCCTGTTTGGGATGAATTAGCATCGGTGGTCCTGGAAATGGGAGTTGCCACTTACGGCGTGAGATGACATATCTGGGGGCAACGATTGTGGTTTCGGGTGGGATGTAGACCCCTCCGATCATGACACCATCTTTAGTCGTCTTTCGGTTTCCTCCGGTTGGCAAGGCGGGATACAGGCGCAGAGCCTCTGAAATCACGGCATCGAGACGGGTGCATTGTGCTAGTGCTCGGGTGTCTTTGATATTGATGTCCCTGAGCTCCTGAACGATCATGTCTGTTTGGTGTGGAGCTTTGGCTAGCTCATAGAAGAGCCCAATAAGAACAGCTGCGGTGGGCTCGCTTCCTGCCACGATGGCTAGAATGCTGTCGCCTGTCAGCCATGGAAATTGCTCCAGGTCGTCTCGAGCATCTTGAAGAAGATAGTGGGCCACGTCCAGGACTTTCTCAGTGCTTTTCGGGGCCTGTATACGAATAGTCAGTATACAGTGTGTGGCAATTCAACACAATTGACCAAATGACTTACCTTCAATCGATCCACCATCTGCCCTTCACACCATGAAACCATACGGAACCAGTCGCGCAGAATCCACACACGAGGGAGAAGTTTGAAAGCAATATGAACCATCCAAGGCAGTGGACTCAGCGGGCCCAAGAGAGACAAAGCGCGCTGTAGAAGCAAGATGATATGGTGCCATTCGCCGCGGGAAAGCATGTTGAAAGTACGACTGAAAATGAAGTCACCCATGCGATCGAATCCAAGCCAGAAGAACATGTCTCTCATGTCAGATGGCTTTCCTGCGTGCATGTCTTTGTCGATGCAGCGTTCCAACTGATCAATCAGCGGAATAATCCGTTCTTGGTAATCGTCCAAAGCTGTTGTTTTTAGTCAATGTGTACAACACAGTTGCTGTAAGGGGCTCTCACCTTGAGACGTGAATCCTCGATTCCATTGTCGGCGACGGGATCCATGCACTTTCTTGTCACGCGCAGTCACCAAGGACATCTTGGGGTGGAGTACGTCGTACCATTCTGACTTGACACAGCTGCCAGAGGGGCCGTCGATGGCCATGAACACATCTGGATGGTAGACTGTGATCTCACTCGGCCCTAGAAGCATCCGTTAGACATGGAATGAAAAGAGTGGTCTGAAACTTGGAGATTCATACCGGTTCGGACGAAATCTCCGTATTGGTTGTGAAGCCGTTCCAAAACCAGGTAATTTGTGCGGTGGCGGGCCTGCCAGGCGTGCCATATTTTGGTGATGCTGGCCCAGATGGGACCAGGGAAATGCCTGAGACGGTGGAAGAAGATGCGGTAGATAGTGATGCTCGAAAAGAGCCCAATTATGTACCCTGGGATTATCCAGTGGGCCTTGACGAGGAATGAGTGAAATGCAAAATAGGCGAGGTGATATAGAACAATCTGAGGAGCACGGACATGCCACTCCCCGTGAATAAAGACATTCAGATGCATCGCAATGCCGAGGGCCGCCCCAATCACGAAATGGATAGGCTTTTCCATAACGATAATTGGAGAGAGGGAAAAGAGATAATTAGAGTGGGGGAAGCTCAAGAGCAGAAGTGACGAAGCGACGAAGTGGGGGGAAGTAAGATATCTCTTGGGACACAAACGGCCGAGTGAAGAACTAAGCCGTCATTGACAGCTACAAGGTATAAGAAGGAGCTCGTCTTCTCTCTTCAGTGATAGGCAGCCTGGCGTCCTCGGCAATTCCATTCTTCAAATCACCTTGCTAAAGATGTCAAAGCCTAATCCGGATCAAGACGATCGCCTGTGTTTAGCGCATCTGCCACTGCTCATTTGGCAGTTCACGGAGAGCAACTTCCCTACCTTTGTACTCCCCAACTCGGGGTTTGGGCTACTTGCAGCTCTAGCGGCACCAATCCTCACCAGCTGCCTGGAACCTCTCCGACCTATTGACCTGCTTCTCCGGGGCCTACAGGTCGTGCTCTTCAACTGGGCTAACGTCTTCGTGTTCGACCTAGCCAATCAACGCCTCCCCGAGTCGATAGTGGAGGATCAGTTGAACAAACCATGGCGTCCGCTGCTCACGAAGCAAATCAGTCCGGAGGCGACTCGGAGGTTGCTGCTAGGGGCCATTCCCACCGTGCTGCTCATTAGCGCTTTCCTCGGAGTGGGGACGGAGAGCTCCTTCATCCTGATTCTTACTTGGCTGTACAACGATCTGCATGGGGGCGACGAGATTATTCGTGATTTGATAATCGCCCTTGGTTACGGTCTGTACTTGTCTAGCTCGCTCAAAATTGCCATCGGCCCCCACCATCACATTACGGAACAAGGATACCGCTGGATTGCCATGATGAGCGGCATTATTCTCACCACCATGCAAGTGCAAGACCTGAAAGATCAGGCAGGAGATGCGACCCGCGGACGCCTGACCTGGCCTCTCGTATTGGGGGATTCAGTCTCACGATGGATGATCACGGGGTTTGTTCTCTTCTGGAGCATTGCGTGCTCCTTGTTCTGGCGACTTCCGCTGTGGGGATATGCAGCTCCCATGTGCGTCGGGCTTTGGGTGGGATTCCACGTGGTGAAAAAGCAAAACGACTCGATGGCCTGGAAATATTGGTGTGCATGGCAGGTTGTAGTCTATTCCCTGCCTGTCCTTCTCTGGTTACAGCGCTAGCTTTGTTCTCGAAACTTGGTGCTGACCTTTGACCCCGCCGTGATTGTACCCATACCCAATAATACTTCAAGCTAAGCGGGAATCCTGCGAGTAATAACATCCCGCGCTTTTCATTCCTTCCATGTAAAATTGCCTTCTGAGAGAAAAGGCCAAAAAGGGGACACTCCAATGGTGCTGGTATATAGCTCCCTGTAGATCCTCCCCTGTCTTACCACCACCCATCCCCCAATTCAGCGCGACACGGGCGTCAACGGTGTCTCGACATGTGGCAGGGTATTTTCTTTTGGGCCCCCCTGGTGCTCGGCATCCAGGCGACCAGCCCCTCATGTCGCTGTTTCCCCAATGAGCCTTGTTGGCCCTCACTGCAGCAGTGGAGCGATTTCAACGCGACCCTCGGCGGCAAACTGATCTCAACGGTACCAATCGGGAGCGTCTGTCACACTCACGGGGAATACGCCGCCTATGATCCGGAAGCGTGCGCTGATTTGATCTCTGACTGGGGCTATCCTGTTACTCATTACGATACTTCCTCGTCACCCATGGCCTCATGGTTTTCCAATTTCTCTTGCGACCCGTTCCTGGCCCCCGATGTTCCCTGCAATATCGGCTCTGTGCAGTGGTTTGCGGTCAATGTCAGCACCGCTGAAGACGTCCAGAAGACCCTACGCTTTACCAACGAGCACAACATTCGCCTCGCCATTCGCAACACGGGACATGACTATTTGGGCAAGTCAACTGCACCTGGTGCAGTAGCTCTGTGGACCCACTATCTCAAGGACACACAGCATCTCGAATATAGTTCTGCCCACTACACTGGTTCCGCTATGCGGCTAGGCGCGGGGATCCAAGGATTTGAAGCAACGGCTGCAGCGCACGCACAGGACAAGGTTGTCGTCACCGGAAATTGCGAGAGCGTTGGCATCGCCGGCGGATACACTCAGGGTGGGGGCCATGGTCAGCTTGCCTCTCAGTTCGGGCTTGCTGCAGATCAAGCTCTTGAATGGGAAGTCGTCACAGCTGATGGAAAGTTGTTGACAGCTTCACCGACTGAAAATGCTGATCTGTACTGGGCTCTTAGCGGTGGCGGCGGCGGTACCTATGCCGTTGTACTCAGCGTTACGGTGAAGACACATCCAGAGATGACCACATCTTCTGCGACTCTCACGTTTGATGGGACTGGCGTGTCAACAGAGTTTTGGAAAATCGTGCAAACATTTGTGGTGGATATCCTGCCGCTCCTCGACGCGGGGGCCGTTGCGATCTGGGCAATTTCCGGCTCAATCTTCAGTTTGACACCTATTTCGCTCCCGGGAGGCCGCCGGGATCAGCTACAGGAGGCACTCACGCCAACCTTGGCTCTGCTCAAGCAGAGCAACATAAGCTACAGTGAGTCCCCGCCCCCAAATGAAGTGGATCCATGGGCCGTGCCTTGTAGTGCTTACCACTATCGCAGCCTACGATATTCAGGAGTTCCCCACTTTCTGGGCTAGCTTCCAAGCCATGAATCCCCATAGTAACATCACAGAAGCCCAGATTGGAGGACGCCTAATACCGCGGTCAACAGTTGAATCTGACCTCGCTTCGCTGATATCAGCCATCCGGAGCATTGCCGAAGAGGGCGTAGTCGTATCTGGTGTCTCACTCAATGTGTCCCGTGCCGCTATCCCCTTCAACGCAGTGAATCCTGCCTGGCGCGATGCCGCCATCTCCTTCGTGCTCGGAACGTACGTCATTTCTACCCCTCACTTCCTATTGCCACTCAGCACTAACTATTTGATAAGCACTTACAATTACACGAACCCCAAGGTGGATATCCAATGCCAGTCCCTGATGACGGACTCAATTGTTCCTCGCCTCGCCGCTCTGAGTCCTGGTGGCGGAGCGTACCTCAACGAAGCGGACTGGAGACAGCCTGATTGGCAATCGGTCTTCTATGGCGATAAATACCCGCTACTGGAGGTTATTAAAGCGAAGTATGATCCCGAGCATGTTTTCTATGCTCGCACTGCTGTCGGCAGCGAGTGGTGGCATGAGGAGTTGGATGGACGACTTTGCCGGGCAGCATGCGCATGAAAAGTATTTTCAGGTTTCAGGCACCTCGGATTCCAAGTTATATGTTTTAGTTAAGTAAATATTAACAATTCGATGGGACGAGAGCTACCTATTTATCTAGTTATCTATTCAAAATAAGTACCAATATTTTCACGGGTTTGCAGTACAGTAGTTTCAGCGCTTTCGAAGCTCCGAGGCCTTGATTTATGCATAAAATATCAGTAACATCGAGAGCGCCGGTGCCGGCGCCGAGCCAATATGGAAAGGCGTACGGGTCCCACTCAAGACTTCGGCACGGATTACGGCCCGGCACGGAACTCAGAATGAACCAGGTTTGCTGTTGAAAAACTCATGGGATTGGTGAATATGGTATCCCATTCACAAGTGTTCATATTCCACTAATACCATCCAGAAACTATATAGCGAGTGTCGCGGTAGCATATGATATGAATATCTATGATCCTAGTAAGATATATTTCTATGCCTACGATAACTTAGATTTGCCTAACATTAATGAAATTCGATATTTCGATACAAGAGGCTTGTGTATATTAGTGCCTTAGACGTATTCAAGTAGATAGAGATAGGACAATACACCGTAGTTCCCACCACATTACTTGATTCCTGTTACAGCATAAAGGGTGATTCGCAGTGCATAGGATCTTGGGGGCGCAAATTTCTAGATGCATATTGACTGGTATTTGAGCAAATAATGGGCACAGGTATCATGAATTCTCAAATAAAAACAAGACCCAAGGAATCAAAGCAAAAGGGATAGTCTAGAAATTCACGAATATCTCTCAAAAACCCATGGCCATCAAGTCAGTACAAACTCCGTCCAAGTGAAAAAAAAAAACCAAGTCTGGACTCCAATTCAAACCTTGGTATTGACCGCCTCTACCGGCATCTCCAGGGCGGAGCAAAAAACAAAATTTCGTGTCTTGAAAACCTTGACTGAATACTTATCACCACGGCCCACCAAGCAGTTGATCTCGCTGGGGTGCGCATAGTGAAGAACCAGCATCACAGCGAACATGAGCAAAGCGTCAAAGACATAGATAAAGACCTCATGCTTCATGAGGAATCCCTGGTATCCCTCGATATACTCGACCACACGAACGACCGATCGGACCAGGATGAGAACACTGGCGACATAAAGGGCACTCATGTGGCGATTCCACACGACTTTTAACTCCATAGATCGAGCTGACGGGGTCTTAGTGGTTCTCATCTGGAACAAAGCAGCGGTGATGACGAAAAAGCCGAAGAAGACGATCTGCACAAAGAGACCGCCAATGATAACGTTCTCGCCGGTGTTTACGCCGCTCTTGCTGGTGACCATAAGTCCCGCTCCTTTTAAATCATTAGTATCATGGTACCGTGTAATAATTGAATTGAGCCGGTCAGGCTTAGTCTGAAAAAGGCGGATAGAAGTGAACACTTACCAGAAGCTTGCATCAAGAAAGACAAAACATCTCCAATCACAAAGATCTTGGTCAACCACCTGGGCTTAATGACCGAGCACTTCTCCCCATCCATCATTTGGATAATGCGACCTAGCGTCATGTAGATACTCGCAGCAAAGAAGGCTGGAGCGATCAAAAGCAGGGCACTTTGGATAATGTAGGGACCTTTGGTGAAGTTGGGGGTTTGGAAGGAGGAAAGTAAGCGACCGACATAACCGACGGTTTCCACTAGAAGACATTGTTAGACATGTTATATGTGGCTAACAAGGGGAATTTACTTAGTCCTCCAATCAAGAAGGCAATCATGAACCATGTTCGTGTCCGCACGAGTTGATAGAAGTGCAGAACACTGCTCAGACCAAACAAGACGAGAAAAATACCCGCAGCCGCACTTGATGGCGAATAGTAATAGAAAACAAAACTGAAAGTGGTCGATGATGAGTTATCCGACATGATGGCTGTTAAGTCGACTTTCGCTTGGAACTTTGAGGGGCAGATAGTCTTGATTGGTCTGCAAAGAGGAGTTAAGAAGGAAGCATGGATGGGAAATATTCAAGTCGTGGGACACTAGATGAGATGTGGCTAAATATATGAGAAAACGTGGAGAAAATCTTTCATTAATCTTGTCATTTGGTTTAAAGTACGTATACGAACCCTTGTTGGGATGCTTCGTATTCGTAGCCTTTGCCATAATAGGAAAAGTGCAAGTGGAGTCAGTCGCTCGGTAACAAATTTTAGCGCATACTATAATTTCGTACTCGTAACTTTATCCGTGTGCGGCAAAGATCCTGCATGGAAACTATTTTTGTCGGCCACGGTTACCGTAAACTTAACTTAAATAGGCTTAGTTTTCCATCATTGCGACTTTCATTGCCTAAATGGATCGTAGCTAGTCCACGGTGAAACCCCATCGTTGCCTGTTAGATCCAATATTATCTATTTACTTCAGGACACGAAGCTCAACACACACTGATCCACTTAAGTTGAAAATGGCACTATGGCTTGCGTATAACTCAAAAGGTTTGCCCTCCACTATGTCTATCTTTCAATTGTTTCATTTACACCCATCTTGATCAACATATAGATCGCTTATTTTTCAACCTGATTCCAACGCACATAACACAATGGCTGGAACGTATAAGCTATACGAATATGACCCATCAACCTCAGCAGCGGTAGCCTTTGCAGTGATGTTTGCTCTTTCCACAGCGATGCACCTCGTGCAGGTCTTTCGCAATAAGAGTTGGTTCTTTACACCTTTTGTCATAGGTGGATGCTGTAGGTCTCTTCCTTTGTACCTTTGATTGAGATCGACCCTAATGGTATTTACCCGAACAGTTGAGCTTGTTGGTTATGTAGCACGATACATCAGCGCGAAACAAAGTCCGAATTGGGAAACCATGCCCTACGTTATCCAGGAGCTGCTCCTCTTAGTGGCACCATCACTCTTCGCAGCATCGATCTACATGATTCTTGGACGTGTTATTCGACTTCTGAATGGCGCTTCGAACTCACCAATCCGGCCATCATGGTTGACGAAAATTTTTGTGACGGGTGATGTTGTGTCTTTCTTGATGCAGAGTGGCGGTATGACCCCTGAACCCCACACTCTGAGTCTCTCTGATCTTATTGAACTCAAGGTGGCGGTATACTTGCGACGGCAAAATCGGAATCGAGCATGAAAACAGGTAACAACGTAATAATTGGAGGTCTCATTGTCCAAGTCATCTCTTTCAGCATCTTTATTACAGTCTCCGTCATCTTCCATCGCCGCATGCTTGCCTCGCCGATGCACATGGAAGTCAAGTCTCACATCCCATGGTCACGCTATATGGCGGTTCTCTATATCGGCAGCGCTCTCATTTTGATCCGATCCGCCTATCGAGTAGTGGAGTACGTGCAAGGAAGCACTGGGTATCTTCAGAGTAAAGAACCCTTCGTCTACATCTTTGATGCATCCCTGATGCTCCTCTGCTGCATCCTATTCAATGTATTCCACCCAAGCAAGCTTCTCTCAAAATCGATACAAAACCACGAGGAAAGAGAAGATTTGGAGATGATGAATGACACCGGATATAGAAATATGTAAGATCGAGTCATCCCTCTACATTCCAATCACTTAATGCATCCAATTCGATCTATTGCATAGCTTGAAGGATAAGTTTGATTTAGTGGAGTATTTGACGAACAGGAAGAACAGAATTTATTTAAATTAAAATTTCAGCGATGCCCGAGAATGTACGATATCAATACCTGGCGAAAACTTGGTGCTTTGAGATTTTTCGTTCCTTGGGAGCTTAGAAGAATCCGAAGCCTTCTAAGAATTGCCTTTCGTGTAAGTCACCATGTAATCACTATGTGAGTCACTGTACTTAGGATTCACACCGGGTAATTGGGGTGATTGGAGTAAGTAATCTGTACTGTTATGATCTGTCCGGTTTATCTCAAGATTGTATTCATTTGTTGCAATATTAAAGAACTTCTGCCTCTAGGCAACTCGCAGATTCAAATAGGTGCAATTTGTCCAAATATTTCTTAGTAGTTTGTTGTTTATAACCCCTAATATTCCTCTGGGTCTCAGTCATTACTAGTCGGACACAATGAGAAGCTAAGAGTCCATTATGCTGAGTCTCGGACAAATGTAGTCACCCAGCGGGCTCGCCAGGGGCAGAACATTAACTACTTTTGCATCATGGTTACATGATTATCCACACTCGGGTTCACCAACAGACTAAGCAGGTCTGGACGAGCATAGTGCCCAACAACATCGATAAATGCCTTGGGGTAGTCAATGTCTCGGAGGTTGACATCTGCCATCAGAATACCCTCAGCCCCTGCATCAATCGGCTCACACAGGGGTTTTCCGTCGGGGCCAAAGATCATGGAAAACCCACCTCCGGGCGTCTTGGTTACCGGATTCCCAGTCAAGTTGTTTTTTTCGAGGTTTCCCTCGGTCAGGACCTGAGTTGCTACGAGCACGAAGCATTGGCCTTCAATAGCCATGAATTGGCTCGCTCGACAGCTTGCCTCTGCTGTTTCGTGGTAGAGCCAGTTAATCTTTGCCGGGTCTGGCATCTCGAATTCGGCTGGCCAGCTAGCCACATGGATTTGGACACCCTGTGAGTACTCATAGTACCTCAGCAGTGGCTGGAGATGCTCCCAGCAATTGAGACCGCCGATCTTGCCAAATGGAGAGTCGACAACACATTTGAGCGACTCGGCTTGGCCCTCTCCCCAGATAGTGCGCTCAACGTGGGTTGGTTTTATCTTGCGACGATGATGCACAATTTCTCCTCCAGGGGAGATGAAAGATTGGGCCATGTATAAGCTGGCACCCTCTCGCTCGCTGTATCCGAGAACGACGAACATCTTCGCTTTCCGAACAGCGGCTTGAATACGTCGCATTTGCTCAGAGTCCCGCAGCATTGAGTTTGCCATGTACTCGTGGATGATGTGTGTGTTGTTGATGACCGCGGAAGTCCACATGCTCCTAGACCATCCACAACATTGGCTGTTAGTTTGAAACCTTGATAAGCCCGATTTGACGGATGATAGAGAGGAACACGAAATGGGATTCTGGATATTGGAAGTTGGGGGATACTTTTTAGGGAAGAGAAAAAACCCCCATTTCTGCACTCACCATGGATAACCTGGAATCCACACTTCGGGGAATCCAAGAACCTGGACTCCATCTGATGCCGCCTTCTCAATGAGGCTGATGGTTTTGTTGACACTGCCATCCAGGTCAAGCCAGACGGGCTCTGCTTGAACGGCTCCTACCCGAACTGAGTTGAATGAAGCCATATCCGGAGGGGACTGTTTTTTTTCTGAATGTGTGGAAAAGGGCAGTGATAACTACTCCAGCGGGGAATTATTCGAAATGATCATTAACAAAAGCGCTCCATCTCACAAAATATGAATCACCGACTAGCCCTATCAACGGTGGTCTCTCCTCCACCCAGTCCTTATCGCGATCGCATTCTCTTTCCTTGGATGGCAAGCAAAGAGTCCTTTGATCGCAAAGTATTTCCACTCTGCAAATTGTAACCTCTTTCGGACAAGCCTGCCTGTGAAATGATCCACAATCTCCACAGGATAACTCGTAAAATGCTTGCCAATCCTAAAGATGGTGGACCTATGTGGGGCCAGTCCTCGATAGTGGCGGGGTTGGTTTCTGCGTGACCCTCATGGTAGCCGTGAGCTTGGTGACGCTTGAAATGGAGTTTGCGATGATCCTTCATCTCACAAATTGGATGAGAAACATGGTAATAAAGAGCCGTGAATCGGACGATAGTAATTACATGCACCTCTGAGTCTACGAGAAAGTGGAACGTTAATGTCTCTCCTTCAACCAAAACCTAGTAAACAGGGAACTCTCTCGGGAGATCTTTCCGTAAATCATTTAAGATAAAACGTGAGGAGCGGGTGGATGCTGAATAACTCAGTCTCTGGCGTCTACAGTAATTTACCAAGCTCTCAGCTGGCCATATGTTGTTTGCCAGGCAGTGATTCCAACGCGCCTGCATTGCTTTTAGTCCTGTGCACGGAAACACCTGCCAGGGGAGTTTGTAAGGTCAAGGCCTGGTCACCCTGTCTCAGGCGAGACTATGTGGTAACCGTGATAGTTTATAGAGCCGGGTAAATCTACACGTGACTTTTAGCTGACATCTAAACGACGTTTCCACTAGCCCCTCACTTGCGCGTACTGTTAGACGATAGCGATCTCGGCCATGAAAACAGCTGCAAAGCAAAAAGCCGAAGCCAGTCCAGTCGAAAAGGGAAAGCACGGTTGCTGGACATGCAAGAGTGAGTTTGCCGCACTTATTATTCCTCGTTGATGCGAGAGGTTACTACTTTTAGTCTCGGTGGTGTTGCTGATTACGGCCTGCATGAGTGCTAGGGCGCAAGATTGGTTGTGACCGGGGTCTTCCATCCTGCGACAACTGCCGACGTAGCCGGAGAGATTGCCTTGGTTACGGGGTGCGACTTGTTTGGCCAGACCAGCCTGATGGAAGGAGACGGCCACTTCCCTTTCCATCTTCACCTTCACCTCGGTCTAGGCCCGCCACCTGTACTGGTTCTTATTGTCCTCCATCCGTAATGGTCTCCAAAGGATCGCATTTTCTTAACACCACCTACGATGATCTGCGTCAGCCTCGCTTGCCCAATATCTATGACCTTTTCATTCGAGTAAACTCGGCTCGCAACATTTCTGTCCAGCCTTCTGCCTGTATTTCTATTTACCCCCAACTACTTGGCAGTGAGCCAAGTCTTCTGCAATACTGTGAGCATCGTCATATTCTCGCTCTATCAAAGTAGTAACCTGCTTCTAAGTCTGCGTGCAAGATGAATGTCGAATATCGCGTATGATATCCACGATCGACACGACCAATGGGTTTCGCTCCGAACTCATACCGATGGCCCTGAGTTTCTCCAGCTCTGCTTCGCTAGCTCTTCTTAACGCTATTCTGGCAGTATCCGCCTTTCATAGAGGTGGGGCGACCGCTGCCTTGCCGTTCAAGGCCAAGGCTGTACGGTGTCTATCGTTGTCACTGTCATCAGAAACTTATCAAGGTGCACCTATAATAAATACCCAGATTGCTGCATCAATGATGCTTTGTGTGTACAGTGTAAGTTAGCATATGCACGCGATATTTGCATTGCTACTCTGAACGGTTATGAATTACTCACCTGACGATGAACTACAGGTTTTCGACGAAACAGAAGGTAATTGGTACTCTCATCTCGACGGAGCGAAAACCATAATGTATCATATGATCACTATTTCAGGAGAGAAGCTACGATATCAATTCTTGTACACATGGCTCCTTTACCACGAAGTTCTCGGGGCCTTCAGTCAGCCTCTACTGCCTGTGAAACACAGAATATCTTCTATTGATCTTCTAAAAGATGACAGCTTCGATAAAACCGCCGTGAGTCTTGCTAATACCCACTGCTACCCCGGTTTATCTAACCTTCGGTGTCAGATCATTGGATCTCTGGGATGCTCTCTAGAAGTCCTGGAAGCAATTCACTGCTTGAATGAAATGCGACGTATCATTATAGCACGTCCTCCCGACATCACAGAGGCCCTCATCCTGGAACGAAAAGTTGTCGGCCTAACGCAATGTCTGGATCCCACAGACGATCTTTCGTCCCACGGCATAAGTGTCGAGGAACGCTCCAAGGTCCTTTTGACCGCCGAGTTCTACCGGATAGCGACCTTGTTATACCACCACCGATTGCATGCATATTATTTGCCAAGGCACCGGGAGAGAAAAGTCTACCTGAAGCAAGCCTTCGAGATACTGGACCGTTTGCCAATCTGCACAAGTCCGTGGCCTTTATTCATCGTTGCTTGTGAGGCAAACTCGGACGATCAAAGATTGGTAATCCTCCGTATGCTGGACCGCATGGACGAGGCCCGTAAAATTGGAAACGTCTTTGTCATGAGAGATATTATTCAGTCATTCTGGAAACAGGAAGATCTAGCTGCAGACTGTGACGGCAGCAGCAATCAACCTAATTGGTCCAAATCCTGGGATTTATTATTCTTCGAGTCGAAACTGGCTGTTCCTTGGTTTATTTAAACAAGAAGGCACCCTAGATATAGTTGCATTTGATCAGGAACATGAGTCAGTCATCTACGTGGACTTCAAACTTCCAATCAAACTATCCGCCTATCCACCGCTAAATATGAGGAAGATTACTTTAGCACGTTTGAGGAAATAATCTAGTGCCTTGCATTCACTTGTGGGAATCTATTTCCGCCATGGTCGTTCACTGCACAGTCGGCCAGTCTCAATATTGCTCTCAGCTTGTGATACAATCATTGAAAGCGGCTAATTTCCTCGAATAATGTCTGCAGCCTTCTCCGCCACGGCATAAACAGTCGCCATCGGGTTTGCATGTGAAATCAGAGGAAACACACTAGCATCAACCACGCGCAGGTTTGTTGTTCCGTAGACCTTTAAGTCCTGATCTACCACACCACCATCTGAGCGCGGAAGCATAGCAGTAGTTCCGCAGCTGTGATTAGTAGTCAAAGCCGATGCGCGCAGCTTATTTTTGATCTCTTCCAGACCAGGCAGACTGGATTCGGGCTGTTGGAAGAAACGCTTCAAGGAGTCGGAAGTAGGCAGCTCATGCAGGGTTCGAACATGTCGAGCAAGAATCTCAAGGTCCATTTTGTTAGACAGGAAGCCGGGGTTGACAGTGGGAATTGCATCAAAATCAGCCGATGAGATGTGCGTACTTCCTCGTGAGAATGGGAAGCTTGTAATAGCGCCCAAGAGAGCGAGACTTGCAGATCTCACGGCTAGGAAGATAGATGCAGATGCTTCGTTGGGGCTTTGAATGATTGATTGGATGGCCTTCTCAGATGCATTCTCAGGTTCAGATCTGGTAGTAGCAAAAAGCTTGTTTTGCTCTTCGGCATCAATTCTGACAAATGCGAGTGCTTTAAGTCCCGCCTTGATACCATCTAGGCCTGCATTCGAGCTCAGAGGGGCTGGAAGGACACTCATCAGATGGTTTTGGAGATTCTCGCCAACCCCATGATGATCAATCACCACGGGAATTCCCAGTTCGTTCAATAGATCTCTACCGCCAATTCCGGATAGTTCCAGCAGCTTGGGCGTGTGGAAAGCACCAGCTGCCATGATGACTTCTTTGACTGCAGTGATATCTGCGGTGTGGCCATCATTGAAGGTGACCTTTGCACCCACTGCTGTGACATCCTCTCCCCGCGAGTCAAACAAAATCCGGTGCACCGTCGCTTCAGTGACTATGGTCACATTTGAACGAGCCGCAGCTACAGCACCATATTCATTGTCTGCGCTGCTGCGCAAACCCGAGTCTGGATCAATCGTGGCAGTGTAAGCACGAGTGCCAATTGTCTTGTCTTCTGCCAGAATATCGGTGTTGAACCCGTATCCCTGAGACTTGAAAGCATCATTCCATCCTTCAAGAAGTGAAGATGCGATCTTGTCTTGCAAGGCAGGATATGTCACTTTGATGTTCCCATGGCTCTCACTCTTCGGATGCGGCACGCCCTCGGGAGATGTCACAGTGATGCTCTTCTGGAGGTACGGTCGGAAAGTCTCCCAGTTCCACTTTGGGTTACCGAGCTCTGCCCAGGCATCTATGCCGGCAGGTGATGGTGGAGAATATACCAGTCCATTGATTGCGGAAGATCCACCCAGGACCTTTCCTGCCGGGTGATCCTGACCGCGGTTGTTGAGGCCAGCCTGGTTTTCAAGATTGTCAGTCGAGGCTCAAATCGAAGGGCTACCAACGCTGACCTGTGGAATAATCTTCATTTTCCAATCCAGGTCTGAGCCACTCAAGCTGGGCCAAGTGTCAGGATTCTGGACTTGAGGATCATCGCGGCGATCAGGTCCACTTTCCAGAACAACAATGCTCAAGGCTGGGTTTTCAGACAGGCGGCAGGCAAGAACTAGACCAGCAGATCCGCCACCAATGATCAGGTAATCTGCGCTGAAGGGAATCTTTGTGGAAGTCATGACGTTGGAGGTTGAATGTGGGAGAAACAGGCGGGGTTGAGGGGGGTCGCACCATATAAGAAAGAAAGAAGCCCTGCTATCACGTATCCCTGTTGGGGCCGAAAGTTAGTGCTTATTGACCATAACGAAGATCGGCCTTGCTGATCACTTGTTACTTACTAGCTTCGGAAGGTGTCAGCGTAGCAATCATTCATGCAGTCTGTCCCAGATGTGGAACTAAAATACCATGCTGGAACTAATCTGTGATCATGAGAACGCGCTTTTCGGCTTTGAAGGGCACTCTAGATTGAAAGGACTAAACTCAAATAGACAGAAATATTTCTAAGGAGGTCCTGGTTCAATAAAGACCCTGCCTAGCTCTTTTGAGGAAGGGTTTCCTCTCCTTGCTGTGCAGACGACCATGTATATTTCTCGTATTGCAGTGTCTTAAGTAGCGACCACAGATTTATGTTTACCTTCTATCCAACCAGATAAATAAGCCTCGGGTGTTTTTATCGCGTCTACAGAATGTACCGAACACTTAAATCCATCTTATCACCCAGAGCAAGAGACGGCCTGTGCTCGAGCTTAGTTCGCCGAGTTCTCCGCAAGCGGGTCTCCACGCGGGATCTGCCCGAGTGTTGCGCCTCTTCTCTGTTACCTTCTAACTCGTCCCCGGAAACACTTAACAGCATTTCAATTCCTGTTGGATCGGCCAAGACTGAACCTTAATGTCTACAGCCGACGCCGAGAGAGCTCGTGCCTCGGAGCAGACCCCTCTGCTTCGTGAGGCTGACACCGCTTCCGCGGGCTCGGACGGCCAGGAGCCCGACGAAATCAGTACCAAAGAGCTGGTCATCACCCTGGGAAGCATCTGGCTAGGAGTCTTCCTTGCTGCTCTTGGTAGGTTAAGGCGAATGGGAGTAATGGAATACACACTAATGAAAGCTCATTGCAGATTCAACGATTGTCGCGACACTGTCAGCACCCATCTCCTCATCCTTCAACTCCTTCTCACTGCTATCGTGGCTGGCCACATCCTACCTTATCTCAAATGCCGCTTGTCAACCTCTTAGCGGCCGATTGACCGATATATACTCGCGTCGCTGGGGTTTAGTGTTTTCCAACGTCTTCTTCGCCATCGGCAACTTGATCTGCGGTTTGGCGAACACCCAGTGGGCCATCATATTGGGACGCGTGGTTGCTGGAGTTGGCGGAGGCGGTCTCACGGCGATTTCAACGTTCGTGACCTCCGATTTGGTGCCTCTTCGGAAGAGAGGCATCTGGCAGGGCATTGGTAACATCTGTTTTGGGGCTGGAATGGGCCTCGGTGGGGTGTTCGGCGGGTGGATTAACGATACGCTTGGATGGCGATGGGCCTTTTTGATTCAGATACCTTTTTTGGTGGTCTCAACTTTCCTTGTCATTTGGAAAGTGAGAATACCCGTGAAAGAGACAGACGAGGCGCGGATCAAGCGTGTTGATTTCTTGGGTGCAATTACTCTGGTCCTCACACTGGTTACACTGCTGCTTGGACTGAACACCGGAGGTAACCAGGTGCCATGGTCCCACCCGATTGTTCTCGCATCATTGTCACTGTCCGCGGTATTCCTCGGCATCTTCATCTATGTCGAAGCCTGTGTTGCGTCTGAGCCCGTCATTCCTGTGAAGCTTTTGCTGGATCGGACTGTCGCTTCGGCATGCTTGACCAATTGGTTCACCACCATGGCAACGTTCGGTCTCCTCTTCTACCTGCCTCTCTTCTTCCAGGTGCAAGGCCTTTCGGCTACCGCGGCCGGTGTGCGGTTGATACCGCAGGCTATCGGTACATCTGTCGGATCCCTTGGTAGCGGCATCATAATGCGCGCTAAGGGCCGCTACATGACCCTCAACTATGTGGTCATGGCTCTGCAGGTGGTAGCGGTTGGGCTTATCTCTACATTGAATCTTAGCACACCGACATGGCTGCCCTTCCTTTATTTCTTTCTAGCCGGAGCCGCCTATGGCAGCATGCTCACCGTGACCCTGGTGGCGCTGATCTCGGCCGTGGACCATCAACACCACGCCGTCGTGACATCGGCTTCCTATGCTTTCCGTAGCACCGGAAGTACTATCGGTATCACAATTGCTTCGGCGGTGTTCCAGAACACGTTGAAGACCGGGCTTTGGTCTCGTTTCAGTGAGCGCAAACATGCGGCGGAGATTATCTCACGTATCCGCAACAACCTGGATGAGATTAAGAACCTCCCCGCAGGTTGGAAACCAGGCGTTCTGGACGCCTACATGGTGTCTCTGCGTGGCGTCTTCCTGACACTGCTGGGATTGACTGCTTTAGGAGCACTGTCCAGCATTGCGATGCGGGAGCACAAGCTGCATAACAACATGTCTCGACGATGAGCTAGAGTCGAATGTTACAAATTATATAGATGTACTTAGCACGATAGAAATAGAGTCTTGGTACAAGTTTGACCACGCCAATCACAGGATCGTGCTGCTGCACGGCTTTTCCGCCTCTAACCGCATTGTGTGAAGGGTCTTTTCGGATCGTATCATTGGTCTTGGATGCACTAGGCATCACATTGCATCTCTCCCCATCTGCATCTCCTGATCCCGCGAGCTTCTACAGCTATAAAGACGGGCCGAGAGTGGCGAGAGGTGGCGAGGGCCCACCAAGATCCAAGTCGAGTCAAAGTTGGCCAACGCAGACGGCTTCACCGCCAAGATCGACAGTGAAGGCCAGAGGTTCCACCGCAGTTCCAAGACTTTAGACACATCACGAATACCCCGAGGACGACGATTATTTGCGGATTGACTCTTTGACTGAATTTCTGGTCACCGCTTGATAGTTAGCCTGATTGACAACCAAAAAATCGGTGCTGCCGGATAAGCACTTAAGTCGATCCCCCAATTGGTCTACTTTATTCGACTTGCCTTTCGATCTACTCTTTTACCCTCGAACCTCCCTCGAACCTCAACCTTGATCTCCTGATCATCCCTTCGATCGGCGATAACTCTCTCGGCACACTTGGTGCGCTGATTCATCCTACCCTTGCGGGCATGGCATTTGGCTTTCGGTCCGATTCAGTAGCACCCACACAGAGGAGCAATACAAAGGGGACGTGGACCAGTGAGATGGAGGTGGACAGCGACAGCGAGGAGACGGTGATTGCCAACAAAGATGGTTATCGGATCCGCTCGGAAAACTCTTCGCGCAATGCGACACCACCTCGCGAGCGACGACGGCGACTGCTCCTATCGACGGACAGCGCCTTTGCCGAGACTGTGCTCCCTTCCCTCGTCCAGAGCCCATACCTCGAACTGCGTTTGATCACCGACGAACCCTCCGCCCTGCTGGCAGGCACGAATAAAATCCCGCACTACATGGACACGGTGGATAGTACAACGTTCGATAAGAAGACGGGGGCACGGAAGTGGCTCAAGGCAAAGACGGCCGAACTCTGCGAGTGGGCCGACATGTTGCTGGTTGCGCCCATTGATGCGGGCGCTTTGGGATCGATGTTGGCGGGGTTGACCAACACTCTGACCTTGGCGCTGCTGCGCGGCTGGGTCTCTGTCAAACCCGCCATTTTGATCCCCGGGATGACCGTGTCCGAGTGGGATCATGCATTGACTACTCGGCAACTTGACGAGATCAACCGGTTCTGGCCGTGCATTCGCATTGTACAGCCGGTGCTCTGGAAGTCTAACGGGCCCGAAGATTTGACACCGCTGCCTTGGGACGGCCTGGAGGATCTACACAAATCACTCAAGACTGGTCTAGATTTACCACACTGGGACGTATCCTCGACTAAAGACCCTGCTGGAGACAGCGATACGAATGCAGCTGAATCTTCAAAACGAACTCGTGCATCTGAGAGAGCGTCTAGCAATGCCACCGCCGAGGCGCTGCGGCATCTTCAAAAGCACTGGCCCAACCCGGAAACGAAAGTTTGTTCGCTGCCTTTTGAAATCTGGCTGAATGTCTTTGAAGACCAGTTAGGGGACTGGGAAACTGCCAAAGCAGTGGGCCTTCCGACCAACATTCCCGTTCCCCAGGAGTGGCAGAGCCATCTACTCAAAATGTCCACGCCAGCTTCTTTGGAATATACGATCTTGCGCGGTTCATTTGCCGCTATTAAGAAGCGAATTGATGCTCTGCCTCGATGGAAACCACTATCAGATCTTGCCTGTCACCTTATTGTGAAATTTTCCCGCACCGATATCCTCTCTTACCTCACTGAAAACCACCTCGATCTCCTTTGGACAACCTCCCGCCTTACAAACATTCCATACCGTGCATCTGCGATCTACGGAAACCCTACAGTCTTGACCTGGTGGCGCGATGCCCCCGCTCTCCCCAACAAAGAATACATGGCCGATGCCATGGACGGCGCTTCCCGTGCCGGTTTCCTCCATGTGCTGGACTGGTGGCTACACTCCGGCCTCCTGCTCAGATACAGTGAGCGCGCACTCGAGTCCGCCAGTGCCGAGGGCCGTGTCGCAGTCCTGGACTGGTGGAAATCAGCGTCCGCCAATGCACCCTTTCTCAAACCCCTTCCACTCAAAGTGGGTAAGTCTGTTCTGCTGGCAGCACAGTCTGGGCGCGCCTCGTCTCTAGCATGGTGGGACGCCTCAGGTATCCCATACAGCCACGCCGAAAGCGTCGCCCGAATTGCTAGCACACACGGCCACGTCCACGTCCTCGACTTCTGGTATAAGCTTAAAGGCCCCAAGATGATCTTTGACAACCAAGTCCTCGTCGGCCCAACCAAGAATGGCCACGACCACGTGCTACAGTGGTGGAAAGACTGCGGTCTGCGAGTCGAATTCAAAACCTGCGATATCGAAGAAGCGCTCGAAGACGCCGTCTCCGGGGCCGACCGCCGCGTCCGTGGCTGGTGGGAACGCAACGGCCTGAACCTAGGCGTCGGCACCCGTGAGTGGATGAAGACGAAGGTTCTTTGACCCACCATGCTGGGGTTACGGGTGTTGGTTATTTTCGGTTTCAAGCTTCTCATCAAGCAATGCATTTGGTCCTGCCGGCAATCTTTTCCCGTTTCTGTTATTTTGTTGCTTCACTCACGACGACCAGATTATGAACCAAAATACCCATTTGAACATTCCAATTGTCAATTGCATTGTGCTCGGCTCTGATGCTGATGGATATATCTATGTTGCATGTATCTAGTTACCTCCTTATAGAGGAACTGGAATTATTCCCACCTCTCCAACCGCACGTGCTTAATTTCTGCTCCTTTCAGCGCGCCCTTGATCTTTCCGAATTCTTTGAATGCTTCGGTTTCGGCGAAGCCGTAATGGTCTTCTACTTTGTTCCATCCGTTGAAAAGGACAAATTCTTCGTCATCGCCTTCTTTATCGATTCTCCACCCGCCGCTGTAGGTGAATGGCGTAGTATGGGCACCTAGGTAGGGCCCACCATTATTGAACGCAGTGTCGAATTCAGCTCTCTTTGCGTGTTCCACGAAGTACCTGCTTACAGAGATGACAGGTGCATCGAGAGGAATGGTAGATGTCGAAGGCTTCAGAATATCAGGAGAACGATCGATAGGCCGGTTTGAACTGGAATCTTGGTGTTGACTCACGTCAATGTCCACGTGGAACATCCACTCTACGTCAACATCATCCTTGAGCTGCGCGAGCAATTTTTGGTTCGTCTCGGACTTGATCCATTCGCCATTGTGGTGTACGATAGACTCCCACCCTCCGAGAATGTAGAAATAACTCGAGTCCTCAACTTGGCGTGCAAACTGAACGGGATAGCCAGACCATTCAGATTGAGCCTGTTGAGCTTGCTTCAAGATGCTCCTCGCGCTAGACGAAAGCTCTGGGGTCTTCAGGCGGAGCAGTGCAATTTCTGTAACAGCCATTGATGTCTGCGTGAAGTGAAGATTTTTTGCAAATCCTAGAAAAGATCAGGACTGCGGCTAAGCTCGTATTTAAGCTCATAGTTCGGATATAACGGCAGCTCGCGAACTTCGGGGCCGAGTGGTGGAGCTGCAAGGCAGCCGCTGATGCGCGTCTCACGTCCAATTCCTTCTCTGGGATGGATCTGCCATGTTAAGTGAATGTAGATCGAGAGAATTTAAACTCAGCTTGCTATCATCTTGATGAAGTTCCTCGCCTGCTAGTTTGGAACTAGGGTCCATCTATGAGTTATCTAGAAGTTGGATGGTCGGCATCCCAACGTGAGCCACGATTACGGCTCTCGAGCAGGCCTGTTTATTGGTCCTAGATGTGACATGCGGCTCTGCCTTAGAGAGGGAATGTTAGCCACCCAATTGCTGGACATACACAGCTCGGGAAAACTGGAATAGGGGCTTAAGAAAAAAAAAAAAAAATACAACAGCATGGATTCGCTGGTGGTCACCCACCAAACTACTATCTGCCGGCGTATGACTTATATAGGGTTAATAGTTGGGTGTCGCACGGGTGAGAAACGAGTGAGCGCCGCTTTAGCGTCGCGCGACCGGGGGTGAGAAGGGTGAGTGCGCGTGAAAACGGCCCTCCATCGCATGAACACCGCACTGATCTTTCTAACTGAGCAGGAGTAGAATGTTATTGGGTCATGTACCTCGTCCTGAAACAACTGGTCTCTTGGCATCTGCACATCGCTCATTTGGAAGCATAAAACCGGGACTCCTCAGTTTGCTGCTGTTGCCGCTCAGTCCCAGCAGGTCGAATCGTGCTGAAATTTTGCGCAGGGCAGATAGTCAGGTAGAACGCTCAGTCTTCGGTTATTGGTTACCCCACGCTGATGAGGGTCTAGCTAGTATACACTGCCCATTCGACTAGCACATCGAAACCAGTATTTCTAGGTGACTCCTACCTTTGCTGAGGCTTGGTTATAATATGTATGACAGGTTTGTGGATATCATTGGGGTAAGTTCATAGGCATCGTCATAATTTTATCTCCTAGAAATTTTAACCGGTGTGATTTAGACCGAATACTCGTGTGTATTCAAATATCTGAAGAGGGAGGACATTGACCTTTGTCTACCCCATGAGACAGTCTCCGATAAAGGGCTAGCAGATTATACTCTTTGCCAATAGATCTGCTGAGGTGTTAGAAATAATTACCAACTTCCAGAAGATAGGAAATTGAAAACAGCTTGGAATTCATCAACTTCAAAGAAAAAGCTATAAAGAATTTCCTGGTAGACCTGATGAGGACGGGGCCGGCATTACTCCTACATTCCGATGACCCTCGGCCGCAGGACCATCCGCTATTTTTCAAAATTTTCCTCTGCCATATAAATAACCCGACATGGAAATTGTCCATGTCTGTTTAATGTGCCCTGCAATGGTCGAGAGTCTAAGCATCTACTACTCAACGGTCTCACGGTGTGCGTGTTGAGGAATCTCCTTCTCATGATCTGGCCCTGCCTCAATCTCAGTCTTAGTTGGAAAGAAATTCCCTTCGGCAGGTGCGTCAATGTGGGCATTGAATTCTTTGGATGGGTCAACAAGGAACAAAACAGCTGTGAAAATGTTCCATATTTAGTAATCTGATAAAAATGGCCATAGAAGCTTTTTGAGAGCTATGTTGCAAAGCCCACAGGAATACGTACCGATGGCCGCCACGAAAACAATACAAGAAGCTGTGATCCAGGCATTGCGGAATGCAATACCGTACGCCTCTTTATATGCCACAAGCGCAGCAAGACTCACGGTGGGTGTAACACCAGGAACAGCTTCCACTGCAGCCGGACTTTGTGTTACAAGGGCAGCAATAATTGCAGGCAGTTCAGCCTCGGGGAATCCCAATGGCAGAATGGCTGCAGCGATCTTCGGAACCAAGTTCTTTGCAAGAGAATTATGGATAGTTGCGGTGTTGATTGCCAATCCAATCGCAGCTCCGACGGATCGGATAGAAGTTATTAGGCCGGATGTAATAGAAATTAGCTCAGGTGGTGTATCCATCTGAGCTGCCACCATGACAATGGGCAGGATCATCCCAAGTCCAGCACCGGCGAATATAGCGTATCCCCAGAGAGTGCCCCGGGGGCTATCAAGGTTCACCGTCGCCATAAGAACGTTGAAGATCACCAGACATAAGAGGCCGACAAAAAGAGGACTTCGGACGACTTTCTTTTTGCCCGAATATAATCCAGCCAGCGGGGCAAAGGCGACAGATCCAAAGAACACAATAGTAAAGTGGAGACCAATCGTCCAAAAAGAACCCCCAGTGAACAGACTAACTTCAAAGGGGTAGTAATTGTTGCAGGTAAAGAAAGAAAGACCCTCTGCAAACACAAGAGCGAGAGAGATTGGGAAGTTTCGTTTTTTAAAGAGATCGTGATGAAGCATCCCGTCACGCTTCCAGCGCCATTCATAGACAATAAAGAAAATGAGGAGCATAACGCCAGTAATGAAAGGTGCAAGAATGTGAGCATTAGACCATTCGTATGGATTTTGGGACCACGCGAGGCCAACACAGAACAGAGTTAGACCGGGCGAGAAAGTGCCAATACCGACCCAATCCAATCGGTGTAGTTTCTCACTAGTGCTCAAACTCACTTGGGCTTCTCGAGGAGGAGGGTTATAAAAGCAGAAGCAGAGTATTGAAGACACCATGAATATGCCGGCGACTACATACCAGTAGACTCTATAGTGCTCAAGGATATTATTACGGAGCAGTGCGCCACCCATTATCAGGCCAGCCGCGGCCCCGAGTCCAGCGGTTAAATTCACAGTGGACTGTGCAACGGGTCGGTGTTTTCGTGGTAAAACCTCTGATACAACGGCGAAGAGAAGAGATTGACTACCAAAGGATAGACCCAAGAGGCAGAAACCCCCAATTACCATACCCATTGACGTTGCCCATCCAATGACAAGAGAACCGGCACACCCACAGGCCATTAGAACAACCAGAAACCATTTTCGGCCCCAATAGTCAGCGGCCTGACTGATCGGTGGAGTCAAAACAGAAGTGAAAATAGTGAGAATGGAACTAGGCCAGACGCTTAGACTGCTTGCGCCAAATAGCTCAGTAATCGGCTGGGCTAGAAAGCCAGCGCCGACGATGGCGATCAATTGAACCAGATAGATGAAGTTGATCGCCTAAAGAGATGTTAGAATACGATTAAGAATTGCCAGATAAAATCAGAAGAGAGGGTTTGTACCGTGACAACTAATATTGTTTTGGGGCCAATGTGTACCTCCTCATGAAAGGTAGAAGATCGAACTGAGGTGGCCATTCTGTTGGTTAAGGAGCTAGAACCGAAAAAGGCGAAGATCTGTCTCCTAGCCTGAAGAGAACATCCGGATAATGTGTTATAATTATACCCTTTATCAATACATTGACACCGGAACCCCACCTATTTCAACTTCCTGAGGCTGATTGGAGATGCGGGGTACACTCGAAAATGTGGGGGAACAAGCCGATACTTGCCCATCGCTTCTCTTCTTCCGTGTATCACCATCACTTTATTCACCCAACCACATGTTCAACCCTTGAAAATCTCAAAATCCATCCGAAATGAATCTAGAGAATTCCGAAGGTCGAGTTCACCAGCTCAACCAACTCCCGACCCCCAGCCACAATTCAGCCGACCTCATTTGTGAAGTTTGCCATGTTGCTTTCAAACGAAAAGAGCATCTGGAACGCCATCGACATAGACACTACTTAACCCGGCTTTTTAACTGTCCCGTGTGTCACAAGGCATTCTCGCGAAGGTGGCCGATCAGATATTTACCCTGGCTTCTGCGTATGCTGACTAAGGACCAGAGATGTGCTACAAAAACACTTCCGAACCCACGGTGGATATCTACCCAAATCAAATAGAATTACTTGCCAGCTAGCCTGCAATTTATGCGCAGCGTCTAAATCTCGATGTGGCGACAGTACACCCTGCAGTAGGTGCCAAAGGAAAAACTTGGATTGCATCCGTCCAGAACGCACGTTGCAGAAAGTTCGGCAGTTCGATGCTGTTCCATATTATGAGACGGATGGCCACAGTAACTTTGGACAGAGTCCTATTCTGTCGGCATCAAAAACTCTCCCAGAAGAATCAACTCCGCAATCTCTTGTTTCATCGGGCCCTACTACCAGTTTAAATCCATTCGAGATCGACTCCTTCTGGCCAAACTTTCCGTCTCTAGATATAGATGATCTCGATGGACCTTTCTTCAGTCTAGACCAAAATTTGTCGGAGGAAGATTTTGGCCATCATCTCGATCAGTCGAATACTCAGTCTACGCCAAGTCGCGGGAGACTGAGCTCCCCTCCGTTCGAATTCAACAGGTTTCAGTTCCCGAGCCTGACAGCAGAAGATATCTCTGTAATGAAAAGAGAGAATTCTTGCCATGTGCCACAGTTGTCCCAAGTGTCATACCAGAGGCTGGCAGAGCTAGTATCCGAAAGCCGTGTTTCCACATGGTTCACTTCGCTTGATGATGCCAATCTTACAGTGGTATTCAACTCATTCATTCAATTGTTTTTTGAGTACTTTCATACGGAACTACCGATATTACATCTCCCAACATTTCGGACAAATGAAGAGTCCGCTGTCCTACTTCTTGCTATGGCAGCAATTGGATGTCAGTATACCGCCATCCAGAGCCATGATCAGATAGCCACAGGCCTCCAAGAATCTTTACGACTGGTCATTCTGCATAAGGTAGGACTCTTGATCTTCGCGAGTGACTCCTGCCGATAATATGTAGAATTCGATTCTAAACGTTATAGGTTGCGCAAGATTCACCTAGCAATCGTGACATTTCTTTTGCTCGGGCTGCTCTGCTTCACAATATTTCTCTGATGTTCGGTGGGTTAAAACGTGGTGTTTTGAACCTTCAGTACACAAGAAACCTTGCCATTACGCTCTGCCGTCCTTTTATTGCTCAACAGGGATCTATATTTCCCAGACATGAGGGAGAAAACAAGGACCATCTGACCCACGATGTCTGGACATCATGGGTCCGGGAGGAATCTTGGAGACGTTTAGTCTATTTTTTGTGGTGTAAGTGACTTGAGAAATGCACTTTTGCAAGTGTCTAATTACAAATCGCAGTCACTGAGTGTCTTTATCTCATATTCCATGATTTGCCTCCTATTTTGACCATATCCGAGCTTCATCACAATCTGCCTTCGAGTGACTCATTATGGAGCTGTCCAGATTCATTTTCATGGACAGCCACAAAGCATAAGCATGTCCAGAATTCGGATCCAATTCAATGTACTGGTTGCGCCATATGCAACCCGCGGAGCATAATGAGTCTCTTCCAACGCCAATCAATGGATGATGTATCGATCAAGTCCCTAAGCAACTCTGGACATCTCATCACAATGGTCTCTCTATATGTAGAAGAGCAGCAACTGTTACGATACCTGGACTCACGAATGCATGGTCGCACCGGCATTACTGCAAATGCCGGTTCAATGGAGGCACATTCACTTTCAAAGACCATTTTTGACGATGAATTCTGTCTTTTTACACCCACGGGTTGTTCGGCTGCTGAACTAGATCCAATCAATGCTACGACTAATAAAATCAATCACATAATCGCCATTCTGCGACGCATACCCTTGAAAATGATACGCAGGGCCTGTGGCTGGCAGACTTCGAAAAGTGAGACTGAAAGGAGTAGGAGCCGAGTCTTTAACTGGATCAACAAAACTAGTACTTCTCGAGAGTGTCTTCTACACGCAGCGAAACTATTCAGGAAAATCCGTGATCAAAAGATCATGTCGTATTGTGACTCGCTTTGTTTTCTGATTGCATCGGAGTACATCTGGCTGTATGCATACCTGATTTGTGGGAATACCTCAGGACAAGAAGTATCGACGACTACAAGGCCAGTCAGTTCTGAGCCTATCAGAATTGATGGACCCTTGAACAATGAATCGACAAAGCTTTGGATTGAGAATGGGGTAGGGAGTTCAGTTCACATTTCGGGGATCGGTCTTCTTTATGGCGGGGATGCTCCAGGCCGGGTAGTTCAAGAGGCAATCAGGGTCCTGTATCAAGATGGACCCTGGGCAAAAGTCAGCAGGGATATTGGAGCGAATCTCCGACAGCTACGAGAAGGAAACTGACGTCCAGGAACTAATCATACAAAATATCATCTCTCAGATATTTGACATGGCTCCCTCTGCCAAATAGATATTGTAGTGGTGGAATGCATGGCATGATGAATACAGTTGCGGCCTGAGGTGTCACGAATACCTTGGGCTTAAGCAATAGCTCCTAAATGAGGATAGAGATAGGAGAGGCATCTACCCAATTCATTCCAGTTGTACATTTTTTGATTCATGATGCCGCATTAAGTACAGTTCGTACGGCCTCATTTAAGACAGTTGCTTTCAGGATTGCCCGTATGGCCTTATGGCCTCACCAAGGACACTTGCGACCTCCTTCAGGACGACCTCTGCTACGTGCTGGCTATGTGTGAGTGTGTTGCTGTTGGTTGTTGTTGTCCAGTCTGTATTGTCAGACAGCCATCGAGCCATCCCCTTTTCAATATATATGACTTTCTTGTCACCTCGGGATATCCGTAACGAACTTCCTTTTTTCAGTACCATGGTAGTTATTAGGAGTTCACAAAATATCGATTTGCCTTCACGCAATAGTAAATGCATCCCCCACATGCCGACACTAAGGCCCTCGGATCCGAATCTATTTGAAACTATATAAATATTTAATCACGCGGTGAGTGACTAAATGTCGGTACCCCACCGGGGCAACCCACCGGCCCCACCACAGTTATTGCGCCAAAGCCCATGGTTCGATGTCACTATACAAGCATTCACTACAGACTGCTTGTAATAAAAAGGTAATGAGAGACCATAGATTTGGTCCCATTTTCTTCAACCTTGGAACATTTGAACATCCATCATGGCTCTTTTTACACTTGCCATGTTCGAGTATAAGCAAGTGGCGCTTTACCTCTTAGCTATTTTTATAGCTTTCTTGCTTGGCAAGGTATCATCCGACCAAGACATTCAGCCTATCAACTTGAAACTAATAGAATAATGCATAGGTGTTGTATCATATCAACTTGGGGCGTCTAAGAAAGATTCCGGGCACATACGCATCCAAATTCACGGCGGGTAGATTCGCCATAGCATCACTGAAAGGATGCCGTGCACAGGTAATGTGTCTTTGAAAGCGCTTCTTGACTTGTTCCAAAAGCTCATAGAGGTTATTAGGAATTGCTCAAGCTGCACCAGAAACACGGAGACATTGTTCGTATCGGCCCTAATGAGGTTTCTATTGGGAATTTCAAATATTATCGGTCTATCTATAGCGATGCCAACTCGATAATCAAAGATTTTAACTTCTACGGCGCCGCTTCGCTTAATGGTCATGATAATATTTTCCAAATGGTGTAAGTACACCTCTCTCTTCTAGACAGGAATGTTGGGCGTCTAATCATCCATGCTTTTAGGAACCCTGTCCAACACCAAGCACGGAGAAAGCTTAGTGCAGCTCCCTATTCGACTCAATCAATCAGTCTCCTCAATGGATTGATTCGCAGGAGAGCCGAGGCCCTGGTCAATCGTCTAATCACAGGGGCTGCAATGTCACCTTTGCATACCGTCGATGCATTCGAGATCTGTGGGCTTTATAGTCTGGAAGTCATCTGTCAGGCAGCTTTTGCAATCGACCTTGACTCGAAACCCGCATTTTTGGATAGCTCTGCTCTGCTAAAGGCCATGGATGGCAGCGCCAAAATGCTCATCATCGATAGCACACTACCCTTTCTACGAAAAACAGGGCTTGAGCAAAAAGTGCCTGGTGTCATTGGAGACTGTTACAGAAAGCATGCTTACTGGCAGTCGGTCTCTCGTCTAATGACGAACCATTTGCTTAAGACGACAATGACCAGCCAGGATTGCGATAAATACTTGGTCACTCCTTTGCTCACCGGAGTGGACAGCTTCTTGGGACGGAAATTGACGTACGAAGAGATCTTAGAAGAAGCCATGGGTATCATGTTTGCAGGGAGTGGGACTACTTCCACAACATTGACCTACCTTTTCTACGCTTTATCCCTCCCCTCCAACCAAGTTGTTCAAAAGACGCTTCGTGAGCAGGTGAGAAGCCTTCCCGAGAACGACATCGCCGTCCTGAGGAAGATGCCATACCTCAACGCTGTCATCAAGGAAACGTTTCGACTATACCCAACTATAATTTCCACGCTGCCAAGAACTATCATCAAGCCCATTGAGGTTGGAGGCTTCGTTCTCCCTGTCGGAACAGTGGTAGGAATGCAGAACTACGTTCATCAGCGGGATCCACGGGTCTTTTCCGAACCCGAGCGCTTTGATCCAGAACGATGGCTTTCAAGCTCACCAGAAATGGAGCAATGTCTGACCCCATTTAGCGTGGGGAAGAGGAATTGTATAGGTCAAAACCTAGCATGGGATGAAATCTACCTTGCGGTGGAAGCCATGATGCGATCGGGAGTTACGCTGGAGCTAGGTGACGAAATGGGAGATTGGGAAATGAATATGGAAGACCGATTTAATATTGCGCCCAAGGGGAGGAGATTGATGTTGAAGGTAACGAAGCCATAATAGCCTACTGAAAATAGCAGCTGAGTCAGAAGAGTGATCTTGAGATGTAAGAAATTATCCTTGGGTATATTAACATACACAGAAGGACTACAGAACGAATATATGGTGTCTTCACCTACTTTCAAGGAGACTGTTTCTATCTTCAATTTTACCCGATAGTGGGTTATATTTCTTCATATATAACCATATTTGCCATATAAAGATCGAGTATAGTGCATATAGGAATTTCGAAGATAGATGCAAGTAAACGAAGCAAAAGTAGCGATAGAATCAATTATGTTCCTGGCAGTAACAACTCTTTTGTGGAAGTGCAGAAACCCCTCACTTCTAGACTCAGAAACTGGGGCAAAAGGGCTTTATCGTATCGCAAAACGGGGAAAGGAAGAGGGAGGAATGTGAGATGCCATCGTAGGCCAGGTGACTTTGGAATAGCTTCGCCTGGCTTGCAGGCCTTTTAAGGGGCTGTTTCCCATTCCTCTTGGTACCTAGGGTTTCTTTTAGTCACTTCCAAACTTCAACTACCGAAAAAGGGAACACGTCTTCGCTCAGGCGCATCTTCCCACTCGGAACGCACCAGCCGCAGGACTTTTGAGCCCCATGCGCCAGGTGGTTTTTTGGTCCACTGCTCCGATGTCGTGCGGCTGTAGTCGGTATTGCCGTTTTTTTACACCCTGGACCAAGATACCATGCGGAATTTGAAGAAGGAATGCTCTCAATTACACGTGGTTTTCAGTTGTCCGTTTTTGCTTCGTGCATCAGAGTAGCGTATCCATTCGTAGGGATCTTTTGTCCTTGTGTGCCTGCATCGTAAAAGACACACTTTCTTGATTGCAGCCTTGCTAGTACGTACCCCGCCCAAATCATGGACTTGAACATTTCTTTGGTACCCACCTATCAAGATAAATGTCCTGCCCTCGTAGTCTTCTTTCACTGGAATGGACATCTCTAGCCCCCGAGCGACTGCTGATCTCAAGGGCCTAGGCTTGCTGGACATCTCCGGGCCTAGGAATGAAGCGGTTATATAATGTCTACGCCCGTTACCTACTAGGTACGCTCACTACATTCTTATAGGAGTCCTTTAGGATTGCCCAGGTAGGTGGTTGCTCGGGCGGTTAGTAGTCCTGGGCCATATGTTCAATTTGGCCTTGATCTTAGTCTACATTTCTGTTGCGATTTCAAGCTTCAGGCGGAGTCCATCTCATGCAGTTGCAGGTCAACAGATATTAGTCGAAAATACATCAGTGGAGGGTAGAACATGCCGAATTACCCCAATAAGCTACCAAAGCCTCCTAAGTACATATAATTAATTGGAATTGGAATTGCTCTGTGTTTGTATATCGTGGGGAAATAGCGAGTGAAGGCAAGGTCAGCGAATGGAACCCCCCGGGTCCGACTGCGTAAAACTTGAACTTGGTAATAAATACGTGTTGCTTTGTATTATCTAAAGATCTACAAGCATAATGAGACGAGCTTTTCCTTTTAGAATTTGGTCTCTCTGTTTAGTCTTAAGCCTATTAGACTAGGCAAATATATGATTATACCCTTAGTTAAGCGTAAAGCTAAGGTCGCTTAGATGGAGAGGCGCTATCTCTATGAGTAAAATTGATATAGTCTAAAAGATATAAGTGGATTTTCTTTCGTAGATTTATCTTAATACACTAGATATAACTAATAGTATTAGTAGAAGGGAAGACTATTTTAATGCGCTGAGCGGGACTCAGGATTGCCTGGGTCCCGGCCAGGTGCGGGATACTATCCTCAGGCTCCACATTGCCGTCCTTTTGAACAACATATATCTATGTTGGTCATTCTGGAACACCGGCCCACAGTAAAGGGCCGGGTTTAATGAAATGCAACGCAAAATTGTCGGAAGTAACCAAGTTTTGCCATTGGGGCTCACTCTAGTGGGGTTGTCTTTGGGAAAATCCTTTCATAAATTGATAGAGCCAAACTCGGACGATGTGATTCGATCCTATTGTATCAATATTGTTGACTTAGGCTGATTGGGAACTTGAAGAAATGAGAATACCACTTAATCTCAATCATCTGAGGCACATGCCACGGCAAATTCCATCCAGCCTGTCTAGAATATGCTGTTCTTAGGGGGGATTCACTTGAGGTGCGCGATCCTCAATAGAATGATAACATAGTACGAGAAAGATGGCGACAGATAGACAAAAGCTTGGAACTGTATTTTCTGTGAACGTTTCAACTACCAATTCGGTCAGAGCGTACATATTAATTCTAAGATTTACCACATTTTCATGAGAACATTCTGTAACGATGCTTGATTATCGAGATCCTACCAAACGGCCTGATCGAGAGCACATGGATAAAATTCTCCATATTTTTGACGGCTCCTTATACCATATGTGATAAAGGTTTCTTTCTTGTCTGACAAAGGCTTTCCCTTTTTGTATCGCTTATTAAAAAGATAGGACAGGTTGCGAGATCGCAAGTCTTCGAACGACAGAGGCGCCATATCCTCGAAACATATGCGAGGGCTTTGTTTGATGAGCGACTCCTCAAGTTGTTCTTGGAAGGCATAGGAGCCGTGTGTATGAATCTTCCATAAAGGGTCCTCTTTGTCTCGAACCGGGCCTAGGTTGACCCATCTTGTCATGATAAGGGCAACTCTAGAACCAAGCCTATTGATCTCGACCAATGATTCTGTATTGCACTTGCGACAAGTATAGGAGATGAAGTCTATTCTTCCATCATGTAAAAGATCCAGATCAGTGGCTTTACTTTGAAGAGAGATGTGTCTGCAGATTTCATAGTTCTCGAGAGGACTACCGGGTGAATTGATCTTTGAATCTTCCCATATTTCAAAAAGCACTATATCCTGCATCCTTATATAGATCCCAGGAGATTCGGGAAATATCTGCGCTTGTATTGAGAATAGTGTGTCAATAGTTGGGTAGCGTAACGCCCTGAACTCATTGTTTCGGACTGTGTCAAACGGGTGACAGTAGCGGACAACCTGTGTGAATGATAGAGATTCTATATTGACCCCAGAACCTGGACCATAGTGAAACCTTCTCATCGCAAGCTTGAGTTGGAGGAAGGAAATACGACTCCTTGGATATGAGAATTTCAAATGGTTTCTCATACTAATTGATGAGTCCCAAAGCCAGTCTTCCTCCAGTTTATTCCGTTGCCTTATGCAGGGAAGTCGGCAAGTTCTTTTTTCGACCAATCCACTAAGCCCAAAACTCTCTGATCCATCATACTGATGAAGAATGTTGTAAATATCGCAAGCAAAATATTCTGGAAGATCCCTTTCCAAATGCTCGCCCAATTTGGAGGAAACTGTATCACGACTTGGCATTTCAGAGGGCCAAAGAGCCGCATTATATTCCATTTTACGCCCCAAATGGAAACCCGAGCAGCTGAAAAACGCCAAGATTCACGCAGAAGTTCAAATCATTGCTTGGTGTGCAATTTGTGCGCCGAAATTACATCCTCGAATCATCAGCTCCAGCAAAGATGCTTGCTATCTTTGCATTTGATTTATTAATCTCTATGGGGAAATCCATACGCCAAAGACCCATGTAAGGCTGTACCCTGACTGGCGACTCCCCAATATCTTGCAATTCAAGCACCTGGAAAAGGAATTCAATGACACCCTGGCGAATCAAATTCATGGAAGTTCCAACATAATTCTGAAGAATCAAAGACCAATTAATAAATCCCCAGCCGAATGAGAGCACCCTACTTCCACTCCTATACTCGGCTACTACGATGAGCACAGCGCGCCTCGATGGAAGCAATAGCACTGCCGACGAGTATCAGGCAAACACGCTAGCTTCACAATCAATCTCATCGAGTATTTCAGATTCACCAGCAAGTATCAAAGAGGACCCCACCTCTCTTCCCAGCAGCTGTATATCATCTGTAAGCTCCACAAAGACTGTATTTTCTCTCAAACTAGGGCAACCCAAGTCTGATCACGCTCGAAATAGGAAAATATCACCGTTGTTTATTGTAGGCTCCTTGGAAATTTCAATTGAACTTGAGGATGTCTCAATTCCAGGGCCAGTTATGGCACCTATTACATTTGATGTTGAATGGCTCAAGTCAGAAGATACAAAGACGGCACGCAACAAGCACTTGGTTGTCGATGCACAACTTCTGCGCTGTGATAAGTTGGTTTCCCTGCCAGACAGTCGATGTTTTTGTATTCTTTCTGGCAATGTCATGTTGAAAATAACCTGCTACAGTCCAATGATTGATTCTTATAATTGATTTCTGTGGTGATGTTTCTCATGTACATTACTGTCTGCAGAATGGGCCATTATTCAATAAAATGGTTTGTTTCATTGAATTACAAAAGCCCTGTATCCATACTGAACAAGTCCGAGAGGTCTTGCCATGCCATGGTAATTCAAATGCTGACTGTTCCAAGGCAAGTTGCGTTCTCAGAGGCATTGAATCGTTGGGTTCGGCTGTTGATAAGGGCAATGAAGGGTCAACATTGATCTGGATGCCCGTTTTGCCCATGTTCACGCCCTCTGGCTCCACTCCACGGGACTGGAAATGTGACTTCTTGACTTTCTCGTAGAGGGGGCCGAGAACTGCCCAAAAACAGCTTGTCCTGCCCTTCAACTCGTTTGCCTCTTCGAGTTCAGTAAGACAAGTGAAATAATTATCAACTGCAAGCCATGGGCTGTCGGCTTCCGCATGATCAGGGAAGGCACCAAGAGTGCGCAGCACAAGGAACAATGCATACAGTTGGGGCTGCTGTTGGAAGAACCATGCAAAGTCTGGGAGGAGCTTTCCCGACTGCAGCAAATACCCATCCTCAAGAAGCTTCATAGCGGTGGTGAGGGTTGATTTGTGGATTTGAGAGTATTTAGACTCCGTGTTTGGCGTGTTGGAAAGCCATGCTTGAAGAGTAAAGATGAAATGTGCCTTCAAAATTGAGATCTTGAGTAACGCATCTGCAGCCCGGCAAGTAGGCAGCATCAAGTCCCCAGAATCTAACCACTTCTGGCGGATTATACGTTCTACTTTGTCGATTAAGTTTGATTTCGTATCATTGTCGTCCTTGGTGGTTGCAGTGACAGTGTGCCTTAACCTGCGACACAGGTCCATGTTCAGGATGGAGAAAGACATTTCCGTCCATTGGCCTTTTCCAATCGGGGTTTGCAATGTTTCCAGAGACATGTCCACGTCGTCGATGTTATTTGGCAGAAACAATGTATGATCGTTGTCTACTGACGTGGAGTTGAAGCCGTGATTCTCAGGCGCTGTGGCATCAAGAGCGGTCAAATGCCACCAGAGCCTGCGTCTGGTCTCGGTCTCAAATGGATCCAGTCCCAGACGAGATCCATTCACGTGAACACCAAGAGACTTTGCAACGCGCATGGCAAGGCCGGTGAGGATCCAAGCAGGTCTCGAAGAGTCGTGGTTTCTCAACGCAGTCTGCGACTATTTAGCCCTGAGGAATAAGCTTGAGAGCAGGAAGAAAGTACCAGATAAATCACAAGTGCAGTCAAAGAGATTGTGTTAGGCTGTATCAGGAATCAGGATCTCAGCAGAGCTCTATCCATTTGTTGCATGAAGTGTCGGAGAAGAGTTATTTTCGCGTGACCGAGATGGTGTACAGTGTCGGACTTTGACAATGTCACTGTAGCTGCAAAGGCGATAGCGAATACCAAGGCCAATGTGACATCATCCGCGTCGTCAAAATTGCTGAAGGCGTTGATCAAAATGGAATTTGTGCTGGGTATATGCAAGAGCTTCACCAAGGGGTCAAAGTTCTGCATGTAGATAATCCACAGACTCTCATATACTTGCATGGAAAGAAAAATGTCATTAATCTGAGTGCCGAAAGCATCGGTCAAGATCAATCCAGGCTGAGCTTGCGGTCGTTGGGTTAGTCTATTGGTAGACCTAGCTATCGCCTTTGATGTCCCTGCAGAAGGTTGACGCGAAGCACCCTAATGAGGTTAACTTAAGTAAATCTTGTAAATGATATGAACTTACGTCTAAAAACAATCCCAAGGATACTGAATCGTCAACATAGTTGCCCTGTGCTCTCTCGCCTTCCAGCGGTTCTTGCGCGGGCTGAGCGGACGGTACTAGAGCAGCTGATGGTGGAACCTGGGGAGGTCCATTTGACGGTTTTGACAGTTGACCACCATTGAGAGGTTTAATTAAAATAACAAGAAGCCCTTCGACTTTGTTGAGTCTGTCTAGGATATCTTTGTTCGTGGGTTGATCATTTTCTTCCTGCGCAGATGCATGCTCAGGCTCAGTTGGTGTCCGCGACACTGAGCGGACTGGCGAGGCTATGGGTGGTGCTTTGATAGGCGGGCGACGTTTCCTTGCTTTGTAAGTGCAGGTGAGTCGTAGACGAGAGCATTGTGAGCACGGTGTCCCTCTGTTGCAGCGGACTTTGCGTTGGCGGCATGGTTCACAGGTAGGGCGGCCTCCAGCTTGGTGGCCTTGGGATGTATAGTCATCCATTACATCTAACAGCAAGAGTCAGTCCATAGCAACTTGCAGCCGACGAAATTCGGAAACTCCAATGCTGAAATGTAGATCCCATCTCCAATGTAAGAAAGCACCAGCGGAAGCTGCTTCGAGGAGCTGTAGTCGCCCTGCCCGGTTAAGATCGGCTTAGTCAACGATGTCCTAGCAAACCAGCGGACTTTTGTCATCTAACACTTAGTCTCGGTTACTACATAGATAGTTGAATTCGGTATTGGGATTTGGGATCTTAATTGATCTTTTTTTTTCTTTCTCAATGTCTACAATTTGTGCGCGCCACCACTGTCAGGGCAAATGCGTTCGCGGCACGTATGGTCGAGGGTTGAAAGGTCATGTGTGGAAGCCCATTTAAATAATATTCTCGGCCGAGCCGTATACCTAACCAATGGTTTTGATTCTGAAGAATGGAAAATATTTCTCGTTTTAAAACTCTGCGTTATACACCAAAATATTTCTACCTAAGCGGCATTTAAGGGGTACTTCTTTCTCAGCCCTTGTCCAGATTTATATACAAAAACAATCAATGGAACCATAACCAAACTGATAAATCCCAGCAAGGAATTGCCCCATCCCAGGCCGAGACTATTATACAGACTCGGCCCAGCCAATGGCAAAAAAGCACCAAATAGACATCTTACCGCCGTTGCACAAGCCACCGAAGAGGCCGCATATGGACCAGACGCGTCGATCAAGTAAGCCTGAACCGTGGCATTGATCCCAACCTGTGCAAAACCAAATGGCACCAACCCGGTCAACGGAACAATCCAATGAGTCCGCTCAGAGGCCGACCAGCCGTACCAGAAAAAGCTGATAGGAATAAATAAGGCTGGAAAAATGGCAGGAAAGATCCGCATTTCGGGTTCGAAGACATTGTTGTTCGCTTTCGTGAGACGCATTGTAAACAGGTCGGAGGTTTTTGCAAATAAAACAAGACCAATCAAGCTCCCAAAACCGAGGCCTAGGTATGCAAGCCCTGCTGTCTCAAGAGGCCAGCCGTAGACCTCTTCGAAGAAGCTAGAGGTCGTAGTCAGGAGGAAGTAGAGCAGACCTGAGATTAGGCCTACTATAAAGGACAGAATCATCAAGATTGGAGAGCGAGTGATCATTTTCCAAGGGCGTTTGATTGCATGAGCCAGGGACAGAGATTTGTCGATACCATTCATCGTCTTGTCAAAGTCATAAGCATTCCGTAGGTCCTCTCTACCCGTTTCTTGTCGCATATTCAAAGTTTTTCGACGGATGATGATGGAAGAATTCGTCTCGGGGGTGAAGACTGCCATCAGCGTTGTGAAAACTGCAGAGGCAATAAGCAAGACCCAGAAAATCCACCGCCAGTCAACATTCTGTGTGATTAGGCCGCCAATAAGGGGCCCCAGTACTGGTCCGAATAGCGACCCCGTTGTAACAAGTGCATTGGCCACACCACGCTCGTGGATATCGAACAGATCTGCCACCATTCCCCCGCCAACTGATAGTGTAACTGATCCTCCAATGCCAGATAGTATCCGAAAAGCAAGAAATACGCCAATGTTTGGCGCCAGAGCACAGCCGATGTGACATAGAGTGAAGAACGCATTCGCAAAGTTCAAGATGGGGCGCCGACCGTAGAGCTCACTGAGAGGAGAAAGAAAAAGGGGACCGAACTGGTTTTGCGACTAGTCAGCTTGCGATCAGGCGAGGAATACGGACGAAATCAAGATTGTATGTTCATATACTCACCAAGAAGCCAAGCACATAAATTGTGGTAATCATCGACGAGAGGATAGGCGCTTCGACATGGTATTCGGATACTATCCTAGCAGCAGCGGGTGCAACAATGCTAGACGTCAAAAAGCTGTGCAACGAATGTTCAAAGTAAGTTCTCATGGAATGCTGGTCGGAGGGCAAGATATCACTTACGCAAGAACTATCATACCGCTCAAGAGGATCAATGTAGTCCATTTTTTTGCGGAAGAAAAGTTTCTATTGATAGTTGAAAATGTCAATAAGAGCTTATGATACAACTTGCACTTTTGCACGAGTTTCTCTCTTTTAAGGCACTAAAGAGGCCTACCTTGGATTTTGTGCATCGTCTTGGCCGTTCCAGGCTACCAACCCTCTGTTCAAATCCGACTCCAAATGAAAGGATTCGAACTCGCTTTTTGGCTCATTTTTGGTCTGTCTCATGATAGATCAAGTTGGAATTGTCATTGAAATCTCGAGTCTCATGCTGAATGTGAGCTGGAAACCACTTTAATGTAAGCCTTGCACCGATCGGCCGATCGGTCGGCCGGTCTAGCCTGTCACGCCCTTCTACATGGCTAGATCAAAAGATCCACCTAGACACATTAAAAAAGCGGGGGCTTCTGTTCCTTCTGACGAAAGAGAATCCGTCAAAGCAAATAATGACACATGCTATTGAAATTGGTAACAATAACCTCTGTATCGAGCTCGCAGCACCACCAGCCTGGGCTTATGCCGCCGGTGACACCGTTATTGGCCAAGTTATTCGCTATTCAGATAACATAACTCTCGAGGCTTGCCTCATACTGACCTCAACCTTGTTCAGTCACTCGAAAATGATGTTGACTTTCGACCATGGCTGTGATGGCGGACGTGACTACCGCAGCCGCTGGCAGCTTTGGAAACCAACAAGGACGATACTCCCGCAATGATCTTCGCATTCATCGAATCAAATGCTCTATAAAATGCTGTAGGCTGGCCAATTTGAACTGGTAGTTCCCTCACATCCACAAGTATCGGTAGTAGACGGCCACGCAAGACAGAGAAGCATTCATGCCGTTGAAAGTGAAAGATAGCTTGGATCATTCTCTGTCGGTATTATTTTTCTCGTTCTATGATTGACCGGGAACAGCTTGTGAAGCTTCGGTTGATGATTTCCGATCTGAACTTAATTACGTTTCCGAGTTCAAGGAGAAGATTGGAACAGCGAGTCTAGATGCTATGGTTATTGCGTCGCCAACACATTTGCACATTGATCATTCTGTGGCTGCTATGGAACGGGGAATCCATGCTCTTTGTGAGAAGCGCATGACTACAGATGTCGGGAAGGTTGACATTCCTTGTGTAATTTTATAGGATAACAACGCACATGACTGACCTTTTCAATAAATTGCATGATTTTATTGGAAAAACCAAACAATATCCCCAGATCAAAGTAATGGTTGGATTTGTGCGACGATTCGACGAGAACTATCTCGACGCCCTATCGAAGATCAGAGTGTCAAGAAACTCGACAATAGCGGCTTCGCCATTCCATATGCTCGGGCGAGTGGCGGTGTCTTTCTGGATCACGACATTGATCTCACCCAAAGAACTATGGGCTACAGGAATGAGAGCACATTATCATGAAATGGCAGAGTTCGATGACTTCGATAATGCGGTTGGAGTCGTTGAGTTCTGGGCTGGTCGCATTGCGTATTATCACCATTTAGGAACGGGTGCTGCGGGTTTTGATAACTGTACGGATATTATTGGGATGAAGGGCATGATATCGATCAATTCTGTGCCGCATAGTAACAGAGTACAAGTATCGAGTGCTCAAAAGATTATGCAAGATGCTACGCCAAGTTGGATTGATCGATACCGAGAGGTGTTTGTTATAGAGATGGAATAGTTCACGAATGCTCTTTTCAATAAGGAGGATCTTCCTCCGAGGCTGTCGACGGCTTTGACCGGACTGAAGATTGCGAAAGCTTTGCAGAAGAGTTTGGTGATGGGTCGGAAGATTGATTGTGATGAGAATGGGATCAGATTCTACACTGATTTTACGGGTCGATCACGGGTGTTTCCCCGGATTCTGTTCTTTGAATCTGTTGAATTGAAAGCCATGCACGGGTTCCGTTGGAAACAAAGTATACATCGTCTTGGAGCGAGCGCAGAAATCACATATGTGCATCGAATCCATACGAGAAAAATCATCTCATGGGGTATACCACGCTCAGAGCCAGGGCAAAAAAGCAAGACATCGCGGTTGCATAGGCTAAGGCCACACAAGTTAAACTTCTTTCCTATTTATCCGTTAGCAATCGTATGGTAAAATGACCGTCAACATGCATACCAGGTATAGCCGGTCTTCTCAACTCCGGGGGTGTTAATAGCGTTTCGGTCTCCGAATGGGTCGTCATCATCTTCATCTTCTTCTGATTCCGATTCGCTTTCGCTGTCCAAAATTCGTCGCGTGCCCTGCGATGAAGAGGCAAGGGAAAGGCTAACGGGTCGAGCTGGTCGTGCCGGCTTCGGAGGATTGACACTCAGCCCATTGAAGTTCTGGTTCATTTCTTCCTCCATCTCAGCCTTTGAACGCCAGTTGCCGGACAGGACGTCATCGTCACTGTCACTGTCGTAATCATAGCTTTTATCCAACACCTCAAATGCCATTAGAGCTGTGACTAGCTCCTCATTCGCATGAATCAGTCCGCCAAGGAACTCTTCGCTTTCAATATTCTGGATGTAGCGAAGGATTTGGTGTCGAAGCTTCTTGCACATTTCAAATCTATTAATGCACTCTGCATCCTCGCTAATACGAGTTGTCTCACGATTGACAAGTTTTAGTGCATTCAACAGGTTGGTACTGGCGACGGAGGCGGATGCGAGTGTCTCCAAAATCTGTGGGCGCTCCCGTTCAAGACTAAAGCTGCGGCTGCTGATCGACATCTTCTTCTCCTTAGTCTTGTCCTTCTTGGATTTGCTGGGTTTCTGCTTTGGGCTGCTCAGGGTCCTGGCGGGCCCATTGCCGGCCGAAATGGAGACAGTGTGTCCCATCGGAGGCTCGTTGGTGTTTGCGCCCTCACGTAGAACCTTGCTCCTAGCCTGGGTGGCAGGCTGCTTGCGCTTCGGAAGCTGTTTGTATAGTGCTGTAATCTTGGCCATGCCTGGGGTATCCTTGTATGTTGCAGCCCATTGCCCAAAGAGGACCTTGCACTTTTGCTTGACTAGTGGATCTGAGATGGGGTCTGTTCCTGCGATACGTAGTCGTTCCAAGAGCGGCTCATCGGCAAAATCGCGCAGGAACCGATCACCTGCATTCTGAATTAGGAAATCGAGGATTGTAAGGGATCGGAGCTGTCGGTGAAGATTGCCGTATTTTCTGAGGCTATATTAGTCTTTGCGATCATGGCTACTGTACTTTACGACTCACAGCTTCTTGCGCAAAGCCCGACTGGCTTCTGTCGGACCGCTGGCTTGGATGCGAACGACGTCGATCAGATCGACGATACCGCTAGAGTCCTCTACTTCATATTGTTCGCTTGTAAGAACCTCAATCTGCACGGTCACCGCCGAGTAGGGTTTCTGGTGGTAGAAGCCCAGGTCAGCCGGTTGGTCACAAGACCCCTTATCATTCCTTGGTCGACTTACCGATGACTGAAACATGGTGGATGAGAGTAGAGGATTTCTGGCAACGATACACACAGTGAGCTCAATGAGTTCAACAGCGATAAGCAATTCAGGTACCAACCTCGCTCAGTCTGTCACACTCCCCGCGCCAGAACAACGACTGCTCCGTATAGAACCCCGCACGGCTCGGAATAAACCAGGATCCACAGAAACTGGAGGGGTCAGGCCGAAGAGGATAACACCGGCCTGCAGCTGGTTGAACGTCGTAAACTCTTAGGCGTGAGCTGTGTTTAATGATGCGCAAGTGTAAGTCACTGGTGTTATCGGCAGGTGGTGACGTCGGAGGGGAATGTTAGCGCGAGTCGGGAGGGCGATCAACGTTTGAAGAGGTGGATGCTAATTTACCCCTGACTCAGTGAGCACCAGAAACATGGAGCACCACTGGGCACAGACAAGAAGAGAAATAAAGAGATAAAACCAAACATAGAACCATCGCACACCAAACTCAGAGTAGACTTTTGACTCCCCGTGACTACATCAACCTAATGCGGTTTAGGGCGGGGGAAGAGGGGGAAGTCCGTTCTGCAGAAGATACGCTGAGCTTAACACAGTGATAAATACGAGGCATATCTTTCTAGTCAATTGAACCTCGTTCATGATCTCCTCGACCAAGACGGACTCTCCCCGCTCAAGGTCAAATTGGTTGCGCGTCCTGTCCCGCTTCGTACTTTGCTCCACCCTCATCCTGGCCCTCAGCGTGGCCCTGAAGACCCGCTCCCGTCTGTCCCTCCTCCTTCCCTCCTTCTCACACCACCCCGCAGTCATGTCTTACCAGCAAGAACGTTACATTGCCGAGCTCGCCGTTCAGCGAGCCTGCCTTCTTACCCAGAAGGTCTTCTTCGAGAAGGCCAAGGGTACTGTCTCCAAGGATGACAAGTCCCCCGTCACCATTGGCGACTTCGGCGCCCAGGCCCTGATCATTCAGGCTATTCGCAAGAACTTCCCCAACGACGAGATTGTCGGTGAAGAGGAGGCCAGCTCCCTGCGTCAGGACAAGGACCTCAGTGCTGAGATCTGGCGTATCGCTAAGGACATCAAGCTGGACGACGCAGAGAGCGACAAGGTGCTGGGTGGACCCCTCCCCAGCGAGGAGAGCATGCTGGACATCATTGACCAGGGCAACAGCGCCGGTGGTCCCAAGGGTCGTATCTGGGCTCTTGATCCCATTGACGGCACCAAGGGTTTCCTCCGCGGCGGCCAGTACGCCGTCTGCCTGGGTCTGATTGTTGACGGTGACGTCAAGGTCGGTGCCATTGGTACCCCTAACCTCCCCGTGGACGACAATGCCACCATCGACGCCAGCACTGGTACCCAGCAGGAGGGTTCCTCCACCAACGGTATCCTGTTTTCCGCCGTCTTGGGCGAGGGCGCTACCAGCCGGCCCCTGTCCACCGGTACTCTGGCCCAGAGCAAGCCCATCTCCATGCGCCCCGTCGCCAACATCGCCGATGCTGTCTTTTGTGAGGGCGTCGAGGCCGCTCACTCCGCCCAGGGTGACAACGCCGCTGTTGCCAGCCTCCTCGGTATCACAGCTCCTAGCGTGCGACTGGACTCGCAGGCCAAGTACTGCTCGATCGCTCGTGGCGCCGGAGACATCTACCTCCGTCTTCCTGTCAAGAAGGACTACCAGGAGAAGATCTGGGACCACGCTGCCGGCGACATCCTTGTCCGTGAGGCCGGTGGCCAGGTGACCGATATCTACGGCAACCGTTTAGATTTCAGCAAGGGCCGGACCTTGGCTGTCAACAAGGGTGTCGTTGCCTCCCCCAAGGCCCTCCAGGATCAGGTGATCGGTGCCGTCAAGACTGTGCTGAAGCTGTAATGTTAAACGAATCTGCTTTTAGTTTATCCCAGGCTCTGACCTGAGCTTAAATGTGCCTTTTTGCTAGGATCACGCTTGATGCGTACAAAGTACATTTGTGATACCACGTGGAGGAAGTTGAAGAAGAAAAAAGTACATATATGATGGAAATAGAGTATAAGAATACATGGAACAATGAATGCAATGTTCCTGAAAAGCCAAAGCGCATGCGCCCACGGACTATTTGATCTTCTTCGCCTTGAGCTTGATAGTCTCGCCGTTGACGAAGATACCCTTGCCCTTGTACGGCTCCGGCCGTCTCCATTCCCGGATCTCAGCCGCGAACTGTGTCACCGCTCTCTTGTTGACACTCTCCAGCAAGATACGGGTCGGTTGGGGGGTGCTAGCCTGGACACCCTCGGGGATGCCGAGCTCAATGGGGTGAGAGAATCCGACCTTCAGAGAGACGAACTTTTGTCCGGGGAAGCTGGGAGTGACAGTAGTCGCGGTATCTTCAATGGTAGCCCTGTAACCGACACCGACAAGACTCAAGACACAAATGTGCCCTTCAGAGACACCGGTGATGTGGTTCTGGAGGAGCGCGCGGATGGTACCTGAATTGAGAAAGTTATTAGAGACGGACACGCGCACGAGCATTCGAGTAGACACATACCCCACATGGCACGCTGGGCGGGAACTTCCGGATCCAAGACAGACAGGGTAGTCTTTAGGGTAGCTGCGTCGTGGTTCACGGTAAGGAAAGAGGGAAGCTCGAGGGTCATTTCGCCTGTAACCAGTCGGAGACGTTAGCTTCCAATTCGTCACGCCTCGGGAGTCGACACATACCCTTGGGACCCTTGATATGAGCGGCAAACTTGGGGACATCCTTTCCTCGTGCGCGGGAAAGTGACTTAGGAAGGTCGACCAGGTTCAATGACACATCCGGGGGCACGGAGATGGGGGCGCCTCCGACTCGGGATTGCATCGGGGAGGTAGTTGAGAAGCATTGCGCGCGGGAGTGGGAGAACGCGGGGGTAAGGAAGAGCGGTAATGAGGCGCGTTGGAAAGGCTCTCGGAGGAGCTGCCGGGCGCAGCGTTGGGGTAAGAACGACATGATGTTTGGCGTGTTGGATCGTTGCGCTTGCGGCTTCGATGATTTTGTCGGAGTAAAATGCGGCCCCGATTGGGCTAGAGTTCACGTGACTAGCCGCCATTATGGCCTTACATTTCGGGCAGTATCTGATCGTTTACTGAAAAGAAAGTCTCGAAGCTACGTTAGGTAATGGTGGCGGCGAATGCATCCAATCATTCAGATGACTCTCCCCTGGTCATTGACCTATAGTGTACACAATTTGCCCCGTGAATTGATTCCAATCAAAGTTCAGTATATGATGCTTCCAGTAAACCCTTCTAATGTTATCGGTCTTCTAATCTGGACAACAACGGTCCTAAGAACCTTACAGTTGAGACAGAAATGGATAGACCAAAGGCGACTAGATTGTCAGATTGATGTCCTCCATACACCCGCTAGTCGGAGAGGTAAAATTGCACCCAGTCAATAAGACTTCTCTAGCCTGCTTGCCAGATACATTTCGCTGAATGGATAATCCGAATATCCCACCGCTGATTTAAAGGCATAAAATGTATCCCTGTCATACGCACTGAGCTCCAGACCCTCTCTCATTCTATACACAAGATCCGGATTGGAAATAAAATAACGCCCAAATATGACCACGATGTCCTTGTCCGGATAGTTTACATCCACGAGCCTCTGTGCCTCTTGTGGTGTATATCCTCCAGCAACAAGGAGCGGCCCTTTCCAGAGATTGTATGCAAAATCTAGTCGGTCGTGGCCATCATAGTCCGTGGCGCCGGAGATGCGCGACTCGACGAGGTGAAGGTAAGCGATATCTGATTGGATTGCCTTTTGGATGACATTCGTAAATTGAGGGATAGGATTTTCCATTCTCATACCCTGGAACGTAGACCAGGGGCTTAGACGAAGGCCGACATGCCGAGGACCGAGGACATCGACAACAGACTTGATCACATCGTTGAGAATGCGAGATCTGTTCTCCACATTGCCACCGTACTCATCTTGACGTTTGTTGCTGACGTCTTGAAGGAATTGGTCAAGGAGGTACCCATTCGCACCATGGATCTCGACACCGTCAAATCCTGCTCGGATGGCATTCTTCGACGCGACCACAAAATCATAGACAGTTTGATTGATATCATCCACTGTCATAGCGTCGGGCACTACAGCGCCTTCTTCCATCGGAACGGCGCTAGGTGCTACGATCGGGACGCCCTCCTTTCGGGCTACTTCAACATCTGCAGCACGACCCATTGCGAACAGTTGACAGAATATGTAGCATCCTTTGCTATGGATTTCGTCGGTTATGGCCCTCCAGGCGGCGATTTGGTCTTCGCGCCAAAGGCCGGGTGCGTGAGGAAAGCCGCCACAGGTTGCTGATATGAAAGTTCCCTCGGTGATGATCAGGGTGCCAGGAACAGCTGCCCGTTGGCTATAGTATTCTTTCATCAGGGGTGTCGGTACGCGGTCTTCGGTCGCTCGGAAGCGAGTGAGAGGAGCCATCCCGATGCGATGTTTTACTTCCATATCGCCTATCTTGAGAGGCTTGAAAAGACGGGATTGAGACATTGTCAAAGATCTCTGAATATTTGTTCTCGAGTAGTTGTGAAGTAGAAATTCTGATGCTTGGACACCGGGGACGACTAGTTATTAATACTCAATTACCTATGCCTTGGTGTAGAGCCTTTAACGGCTTTCGATCGCACGTGGTGGGATTATTCTTCATGGTCAAGGAAGAGGCATTGGCATATTTCCTAAAAGGGAACATAGATACTTCCACTTTGAGAATGGATGATTAAGCTTTGCGAGTTCAGGTATAGCCTCATCTTATTAACCAATCGGTTCTCCTCTAGTGGGGTGAGAATTTGTCTCAGTGGCTGATTACAAATGAATGATTCGATTCCACATTGAGATTTTATGGTTGGAATCGGAAGGCATGATTGATAATTATTAGAAGTGCTTCTGAATCTCATGGGTCATTTCAAGACCTTGCCTTTTCTGGTCATCCCCACGGATGACAGTCTACATTTCCCACCGGATGAGCCCATTCATCAGCAGCAACTATTTACAGTCTTGGAATCTGATCGTAATGATTATTTGCCTTGATTTACTCACAGATAGTGAAAAGCATATAAGCATCGGAAAAGTTCTGTTTTATAGTAGTCTAAACGAGACTTTCATCCCAGAATGCCTTGACCTGTGACATGAATGCCTTTTCTGACCAAATGAACTGCTTGAGAATTTCAAGTAATTCGGACCATGATGTATACAGATCTTGAAGCCTGCTTCTGTGGTTTGATTGCAACAGTTCCACGTAGCCGGAGCGTATAGCCCCCTCAGGGGCAAAGGCTCCGCCAATGTGTAGGAGCCATGCTAACAAATCAGGCCAATCATTCCACACGAGATCATCGCTGGTCTGTTGAACCTTGCAAAGTAGTTGTAACGAGAGATGCGACTATCAGATTCAATATCAGCGAGATTCATCAAGACACCGGGGTGCACGAAAGCAAATTACGAGCTGACTCACGGGAATGGTTGAGGTACGCCAAATTTTACATCGCAGCATTGTTGAGCAAAGATATGCCGCTAAATGGCAACACTCTGACACGAGCGAACATGTTGGTAAGCTTACTAGCCTTGATTGAATTGATGCTTGGTGATTGTCAATATGCGTCATCGTTATCACGTCCTCTTGGCCGAAGAAGGCAGAGTCTCGGATGCATTGCAATGCAAAGACATCTTTGAGCACTTCAACAAAATCTTCGCCCAGTAGATGAGACTGTGGTCGAAATCCAGGTGGTAAAGTGAAGAAACTTGGAGCGAAAGGATCTCTTTTCCACTGAAGCTCGGAAAAGGTTGTGTGATCAACGACTCGAGTAGACCCAGTCATGACCGAAGCATTTAAATCTGACCTTTTGACCAGTGTTAGATAGGGGCTAAGAAAAATAATAATCCACTTACCAAAAGATTGCACGTTTGATGCCGTCGCTTAAATAGACACTTTTCCTTCGACATATGTCAAGCAGCTGACGTATTGCCCCCATGTGAAGTTGAACCTGACGGGGCATTCCAAGCCGAGCCTGTACAAATTGAATGTCAGTTCTTGATGAAGTTTCATTTAATAATAGCTTCGCGGTGAAAGAGGAATTTACGCGGACCTACCTCTATACCGGCGAGGAGCAAAATAGCACCGAGCGTCGATTCCGTCGTAGCTTTATCTGAAGAAGTCATCCGTTGACGAATGGAGCTCAAAACCTCGACCTTATACTGGAGACATTCTCTATCGATGCTACCAGCAGTATTAATAGATGCAAATGTGAGCATAATTGCATTCAAAAGAGCGTGATCATCCAGCCCTTTTCGTAGAATTGACCGAAAGTCCTGGAGGACAAGCTCGTCTGAAACGCTTAAGACCGGCTCCGTGCCATGGTGGAGCTTGTCTAAACCATAGTGTGTGAGCTTTTACTGGAAATTGAAAGCAGCCATGAGAATCTTACGGCAACTGAGCAATGCTTGCAATCTTGGTGACTCTGCAGCCAGCATTTGGAATGGACCAAGCTCGCCCTCAGGTATGGGAAATGATGGAATGGCGAGAGTCTGGTCCTGTATTGTTTTGGTCGGTGGTAGGCCAGGATCATCTCCCGAATGGACTGCGTGGAAATTAAGACCCGATTTTTGCTGGAGCTTTCTTTTATTCTCAAGGCCCCGTGCTACAGCATGCGATCGGGCCAGACGCTTGGCTTTTCGATCATCTAGACTGTGAACGGCAACGAAATGAAAGGGACCATCTAGAAAGGAAAGAAAAGGTCAACATTCAGAGACGGAATCATAGTGCCTTAGCCTTCCAACCTACCTAGACTGGGCTGGTTGTGTTCGGCCATTTTGATGCGAACGATACCCAGAGTCTGCCGGGTGTCCCTTTCATACAGAGTCTGTGAGTGAACCCTTTTCAAGTGAAAATAAGCTGCTTGCTATATAGTCCTTGGTCACAACAATGTTATGAGGTTGTTGACAATTTAGTTACCTAGAAGATCATTGTCGATTAAGGCGAGGGTGCGGATTACAAATCGGCATTATGTTCGGGCATGAACCAGTGGAAGGTAGTGATTCCACGAACACGTGAGCAGAAACGTCAAGGGTGAGATCTACTAGATTAAAAATATAACATTTCCATATTTACAGTTACTCTTCCTCGTAAAATCTATTGGTGAACAAATCTAGGATCATCGAAGTATCGAGATAGATTTTACTGCCTCGGAGTGGGTACTCCACATTTGTAGGTGAATTGACCCTACAACGCAATCCGTTCACTCATTGGAATGGTTTGTTAAAGTGGCCTCTTAGTTGGCTGACTAGAGAAAGACTTCATCTGGTAGTAATGAGCAGCTCATATATGCGAAGAGACCCACAAGGACAGTAGATTTAAAGAATCTGTCATGTCTCTACCGTTTTCATCGCGAACCTAATTGTCGACGTAAGTACTCGTTTCCATACTTCCAGTCTTGTGGTAAAGTATGTAGCGGAGAGAGTGACTTCCGCTCAGTTGAGGATCTTGAGGAACACCGAATCTCCACATACCCTCTCTCCCTGACTTCCACAACTACTCCCAATGAACATATCCCACACCCTCTTCGTCGCCTCACAACTCTCAGGACGAGCACAGGCACTAACTGAGAACGGTATCTGAAACGTCGTGATTTGAAAAGATACCTGAGATACACAGGCAAAATGAAGAGGCTCTTGTCAACTTGGCTGGGCCTCACAGTACTCTTTGTTGTTCTCACGCGAGCTTTCAAAGACCCCAGCCAGGTGGAAAATCCCGAAACTGGTAATTCCCGCCGAAATAGACTGCGACACCCTGCTGATGATTTCAGACAATCTTCCAGGTTATCAGGACAGGTCCAATGACAGCAACGCTATCTCATACCTGAGATCCAAAACAACGCAACGAGATGCAATATACTCTGAAGCAGTTCAGCTTCTCGAATCCATGACTACATCACCCTCATGCACTCGCATCGCAGCAACGAGGCTGGTGACATCATGTCAGTCTTTTGGAGGCAAGACAAGATCGGAGGAGGAGCCTCCAGAGGCCCTGGATTGCATCCGGTCTGTCTACGCTGCTCGCCTCGCGATCTGCGAACTCAAAGGTGCAGGTGCCTCTATTCCCGCACCTTGCCTCCCGGTGACAATTTCACCCCCATCATCTAAGAGTCGGTTCGGGTTCATGAGTAAATCCAACATCCTTGGCACCGGTACTGATCTAGTGCCCAAGGAGCTACTTGAGCAGTGTCTCAAGGCGCTGGAATCACGGCCCCAATGGTGGACCTCATACAGCAATAGCAGGCAGAATGCAATAGTCATCTGTCAAGCTGCGCGGATTGAGATTGAGAAAGAGGAACTGCTGGACCTTCATCGTTCTGTTTTGAGAAGTAGCGTCAAGCTGGATCAAGGAATTCACCAAGCTTTACACAATGCCGCAATGGAAGCCTCAAAACACGATACCTTTCTACAGGCTGTTCAATTGTTACAAAGGAAGCTTGTAACAGATATAGAGGCTAGTCAGTCTCTCTTTCAGCAAACACTAGGAGGTTTTCTTCGTGATATTGAACTTGGGATTGAAAGGGTCGCTGCTGTTTTTGCTTCGGCCCTAGGTCATGTGCAATCAGAGACAGCAGTGCTCGGAAAGGTAAAAGAGATCCCTTGCCCATTGATGTGTCTAATCTAACTGCCTATAGGGAATTCGAAATGCGTCCAGCCAGGTCGACATGCTCCAACAGGCGCTGCAACTTGCGCACGAAGAAGCCCTATCCAAAAATCGGCTAGCTCTCCGCACACATGACGACAATATTCTTGCTTATCGCGAACTTGCTTCAGTACTACAACTATCTCTTGAATCACTGGTGGAGACAGATATGGCAAGACTGTCCCAGAGTATAGGGAGACTCGATGCTGCATTGGTATGTTCAATCTTCATGTTTCATGGGAATGATACTAACAACGACAGGAATGGCTCACAAGCCGACTGGTCTTGATCCTGGAGCAAGAGAACAAGATGGCCGAGGTAAGTTCTTCAAGTGCCATATCTGATACTTTACTGAATTCAACAGCGGCTGCAAACCATGGAAACGACCATGGAACAATCGCAAATGAGAGCCAATGAGCTGCAGAATGCGCAAAACATGCAGGTCCAAGCGCTGTCAGCTCAATCCCAAATTCAAAAGGAGATGCAACTCAATTCACAGGTCTCTCAAGCTTTGCTGGACAAGACTACCGCGACTGCTTTCAATCTACACGCTCTCATCGAAGAAACCGCCACTAAATATAAGCAGATCCCGAGATTGCACCTCGGCGGCCTCTCTACCTGGACCTTTTGTGGTACTTTTCTCATCCTTATCGGAACCCACAACGTGAAAGCCGCCGTCAGTCTCTTCTTCTTGGTACTCGGTAAGCAACCTTTTTAATAACCCATTCAAGCATTCGCTGACGGAACTATAGGGCATTTAATGGTGGCATCGTTTCTGCGTTTCTTTTAGTTATACTATTTACCTCTGGTATTCACCTCTTGCCCGGTGGCGCTACACACAACGAATGCATATTTAGCCTATAGCAGTGACATGAATATCCATTTATCTTTGATTCCATGCAGTTTCAAGGATGCTCTTTCGAAATGGCAATCTCCACATAACAATGTTGTTTCAAGACGGTCATAACAAGTATGCTCATTCATTGGCTAGTGTGTTAGAGCATACAGTATTAAGCGCCGGCGATGTGGAGGCCCTAGGGAAATGACGTTTCACAAACATAACTAGAGGCAGCACAGCCACGCGAGGTGTCAGTGCCAAGATGGGACTCGGCGGGACAGAGATGGACCCACTGGAGCCAATCATATCCGTGGAATACCTACTATTGACCTCAAACTCGTGTTTATCAGGACCCCTGACCATGACCTGGGCCTGAATGGCGTAAAGTCAATACTAAATCAATCTTCTACGTGCGTTAAATTGATAGACTGTCACGTGGCTTGGGATTGGCCTGCGCTGGCGTTAAGAATGCCGTGATGCCAATTCCTTTCACTTCTTCTACACTTATTGATATCACCAACAACCTCGCTCTCGTTCTTGTTCACTCAATAAATATCATCATGCCCGGTGTTCGTAAGTTTCCTACTTTCACCCCCTTTTTTGTTTGATCTTGTTCTTTCTTTCGTGCGCCACACTGACACCCCGCAGCCCCCGACGCGTTTGCCCAGATGAAGAAGGGCCTCAAGGCCATCTTCCGCCGCAAGAAGGAGAAGAAGAAGGAGAAGGCCGAATCCAAACCCGAGGAGACTCCCGCTACCCCCGAGACTCCAGCTGCGACCGCCACTGCTGCCGCGCCTGCTGCGGAGCCAGCTCCAGCGCCGGCTCCGGCTCCGGCTCCTGCCCAGGAGTCCACTGGTAAGCAACGCCGAGTGTAATTCAAGGACCAACAACTAAGCCATCATTCCAGAAGCCACGGAGCCCTCCGAGGTCAAGACTGAGGGGCTTACTGCTCCCGCCGAGGCCACCGAGCCCAAGGTCGAGGCTCCCAAGCCGGAAACTCCTGTGACCGCCGATTTGCCGGCTGTCGCAGCCAAGACTGGTGCGTGATGTGATGTGTCTAAAATCCAGAGATCTATACTGACTAAGAACAGAAGAGCCGACCAAATGAGGTGCACATACGGTGTTTCTAGGGTGTATCAGCATTCTCTCTTTCTTTCTCCTGGCGCGTCTTCGGAGGCCGCCACACATACCCCCGAACCAGCTACCATCCCTTTGTCTCTTTCTTTGCGTTAAATTCTTCTATTTGAGGTACCATGGTACTCTACATGTGATTAATAATACCCCGTCGCACTGGGCTATCGCCGCGCATTCGCCAATCAACTCATTTTCGTTTCTGGAGCTTTCTGAATCATTAGGGTATCATGGATTGGATTGGATATTCGCTGCAACCACTATAGACATGCTTCTCACTCATCTGACCCAGATGAATCACCGTCTGCATCTACCATGGAAATATCTTCACCGTTGGCTGCTGCTTTCGCGGCCTTCTCTTCGCGCGCCTTCTGTCTGCGCTTGAGCTTACGTTCGCGGTTCTTGCGGGTGCGCTTCTCTGCTTCGTTCTCTAGAGTTTTCTTGGCTGCTTCTACCTTCTTGCGCAGTTGGACACGACGCTTCTTGCCGGGCTTCTTGCGTGTCAATGGCGATTTCGTTGAAGGCGCGCCTTCAACCACGTAAATTGGGATGTCTGTGGATTTGGGAGGGAGCTTAGTTTGGTGCCGCTTGAGACGGGTAACTCGCCAAGGAAGGTGACATCCAGGCTGTGATTTTGTTAGCAGGTTTACAATGCTGGAACCCCCGATTGTTGGGTAGGGGGGTCTTGATATGGCTTACCCAGGGTTGGGATTTGGCCCATGTTGTGATATGCTCTCCGCTCACGGCCATCTCTTCGAATTGCCGCCTCCTTTCCACTTCATTTTCTTCCTCGATATCTTTGAGACCATACAGTGACGGGGCGGAGAAGTAATACTGCCAGCCACGGAAAGCCTTGACGAAGCGGCCCTCGGAGGGGTTTGCGGGTGAGGGGGACCGCAATCGAATGCGCAATTTCTGGGTACCGCCGGTTTGTATATTGCCTTCTGTGCCCTTGTCCGTTGTAAATTTATCTTCTGTTTCGGCTTTTGTAGTTGTATCCTTGGCTTTAGCGGGTGCACTGAACAGGCGGAACTCGAACTCCTGCTCTTCGTCCTCGGCGGCGGCGGCGGGCTGGTGGGGCTCCTTCGTCTCTTGTGGAGTAATAGTGGTTCCAAGTAAAGCATCGAGATTGAGCAATTGACCGAGTCTGGCTTGGGCATCTTGGATGGCGGACTCGTCGACCGGGGACGGAGAGCGGGATGAGGCCGGCGACTGGACTTCATCGCGGCGAACGCTAGAAGATTGGTTTAGGGACTATCATCATGCCATGAGAACGATGTGGAACATACCGTTTCGCATTCGGTAAGTCAAACATGGTAGGTAAGTGTGTGCAACTCAAGTCAACGAAGAGTCGTTGACAAGTGGACGAAAAAGTTGCAGTGCTAACTCCACGCAGCGGCCACGCACCATCTTATCATCGCCCGATGACATCGCACGGACTCTCCTTCCCAGCCTCACTCGAACTTCTCCTCGAACGTCTCCTCGAACTTGCGCTATTTTGCCATTTCTGTCATCCGTTCTGCACCCACACTCCTTACCCCCCACCTTTAGCGTCAGTCGTCGCACTTCCATCAAAGTTTGCCCTTACTTTGAGGGGGAATGGTCCCACCTCTACATCGATAATTGGGGTGTTTAATCCCTCGTGCCCATTCGCATCGTGCGCCATTATACCACAACCCCTTATAAATGGGTGTCTGTGCTTCATGCCTGGGTGGCAACCGCCACGAATCTCCCGAGGTGAGTTGAGTCCTGCCTCGACAGCCCAGCTGGACGCTATGTTATTCAATGCGCATTACCGGGGTCTCATGCGCGTTGCGTGGAACGTATGTCGGATACAGCGATATTCTAACAAGTCTTTTCAGCCTGAATCTTCGCGACTTCTCGAAGATGACCCCTACCAGGCGGGATACGGCTACGGAGCTCTCAACCATGCTCAGCAGGCCAACCAGCCGGATCCGGAATACGTGAGGCGAGAGCGGGAGGCTCTGGATGCTATCTGTCAACGGACTTCTGAGTGAGTACTCCGAACTAACCCATCTTTGACTTTAACGGGGAATGTCTTTGCTAACTTCCTTTTGTGTAGCTCCGTCATTGACATTTGGTCCCTCCAACCACAACCTCACCTGCAACCCCAGGCAACCCTCCACGGCCCGACCTCCGCATCTGCATCTCCAACCCCCGAAGAGGGTTCACAGCTCACTGTATCTGCCGATAATATTTCTCAACGGAGTCGTCCTTCATCCGGCGGCACTGTTCCAAAACATTGGGGCGAGGTCGTCGTCAACCCAAGCAAGAAGCGCTCCCGCCAAGATTTAACCACCGGCAACGATTCGGCCCGCGATGTCCGCGATGTCCGTGATGTTCGTGATGTCCGCGATGTCTTCGGTGTGCTCAAGGTCAATTAAAAACTGATATTTAATGCGAACCACGCTTTCGCATGACCAGGATAAACATGAAGGGATTCGGGGAATCGATTTTTCCTAGTGCGCCGTTGTACTTTTGACTCTCTTTGTTTTGGTGGTGCTTTTTTTTTTTTTTCTTGCATGGATCGCCGGTCGACTGCTCGCACATACATAGCCACTCACTTGCCTTCCTTTTGGTCTGATAATACCCATGGTGCCGGTTCTCTATCATCAGATCTCTTTCCTTTCAATTGTTGAAATTTGTTGGTAGCGTTTTCGATGAGGCCAGATAGTAAAGAGCTGCTCTCATATTTTCCAACGTTTTCCTAGGTGTGTCCTTTTTGTATTTTTGGTGCGTCTTTTGTCCTGATCTATAGTTTGGATTTACTCCATACATGCAACCATCTCCATATACCTCTTTGGTCTTCAGGTAGAGCTTGAATATTCACTCCATGGCAAACTATGGAACATAGTATACTACCGAGATAAATCTGTCTTATGGGCAGTACAGGGAGGTAGGGCACTGGGTGCTTGTGGTGTGAATAATAGCATGGACATGAACGATTTGCCTTTAGGGATAATTGACAAAACTTGAGCCGTCATGAAATCACCCCAGCCGGAAAGTGTAATACGACTGCCCAATTATACACTGATCTTGATTCCAGACCTTCCACTCCTTGCGGTTCAGACTCAGCCCAACGCCTAGCGTCATGTACAAGGGTAACACATGCTCCGCAGTTGGATGAGCGTCAATCCAATCATCCCGTTTCTGTAACGTCAGAAACTCAACATTCCTTTGCTGCAGAGTTGGGGCCCGCAGAGCTTTACCTGCAGCTGCTTCGAACGATTTGGCAACAGCGGTGTCAGAGGTTCCCAGTCGAGTCGCCCTTAGGTTATGACATAACATTCCCGACCCGATGAAAAGAATACGCCCATCACTAAGCCTCGTCAGTTGTCGTCTTGACTTGCAAAATACAGATAGGAGCGTATATCATACAGAGACGAAAGAGCTTCGCCAAGTTGAATATGAGCCTCTAGATCATCCCCAGCGTACGTCGATATCTGCAAGATTGGGACATCTAGCTCGTCCTCTCCATCCGGAAACATGAGTTTGAAAGGAACCCATCTAACAGAAGTTAAATAGTTGGTCTCAGCCATTTGTCACACCTCAGCGTAAAGACGGATATGCTTACATTCCGTGATCTAAATCGCGTTCAACGCCCACGGCCTTGATGCCCTTGGCCTGCAGATGCTGCAGCACTTGCTCACCCAGTGCCCGAGAGGACTGATGACAGTAATCGTAGTCAAATACGTGGGGAAATGTTGTGCGCCAAGATGGACCGATATCGTGCCATACTTTAGTTGGTTCTTTGAGGTTGACTAGCAACAGGATATTCGTCAGCATTTGCCTTGGGATATTACATAGCGCTTGAGGCCAACCTTGAATGAAATCATTGTCACTTTGAAATTCACCACATGTGCAGACGATTGCCGTAGGGTTTAAGGCCTTGATCTCCTTACCAAGCTCGCGCAGACCCTGTCGCACGAGCTCATGCTGAGGCTTGAACATGATGCTGACCCCACCTAGGCAAAAGATGATTAGCGTTCTGATTAAAGGCTACATCTAGAATGCTTTCGATGGGAACTGCACCATGGCCAATAAAATAAGTCGGCAGTCTTTCTTCAAAGGTGATATCCATTGTGAAGTTCTGGGGAGGTGTTTTGGGATATGAACAGACAACGCAGTGGACCGGACGGGCCTTTTATGTAGCCTTGTGTTTCATACTTAGCCAGCCCCGCTGCCAACAAAGTGGCTCATGGTTGGTACATTTCTCATACTAGCCTACTTTTTCGCTATACCTGGATGGTTCTGGATATAACATTTGCCGATGGTTCTATTTCATTGGATAGCACAGAGGCATTATGTGGGGTCGTCTCGCCTTCAATCCTTGGACGGGTTGCTGTTGAAAGAGCCGGCGTGATCCTATGAAGGGATCATGATGGGCGAATAGTTCATGAAGCGCGGTCGGGTCACCTTTACGATGCTTCAAATGTTTCCAGGTCAGTGTTTCGTTTTAGTCTCTATTTTGTTCTAATGATCAGTTCTTCGTACGACATTGTAGAGCCTTGGTAAAGACTTCTGCTATTCTGAGGCCCAAACACTAGCATTCTTTAATTGGATTAGACTCAAAAAGCAACATTCCACCAGGAAGTAATCGGACGGAACCGAAATATCAGCACCAGTCCACTAGTTCATCAGCCTCACCAGTATGATCCATCCCTGACTCCACCCATAAGCATAACAATGCCGAGCTGCACCACAACCCGAAAAAGAAGAGTGGGGAAATAAAGAAACTCCATGATGTGATGAATGAAACGCCCGCTGATCGTGCTCCCATGAGCAACAAAGGTATAAGAACTACTTGGGGAATGCAATATGTCCGTGCAGATTCGAGGGGACCAGACTACTGGCTGCAGACGAGTCGTTGTTTAGACATCGTCCATTGCGCCGGCGGGCTCTTCGCCACCGGAATCGTAGCTGCCCGCTGAGCTGAGCTCGTCCTCGGACTCGGTATCCTCGCCTGCTTCATCAACTGCTTCCTTGCTAGCGTACTTGGCGACGTATTCTGTAGCCGGTGGTTAGCGGGGACATAGAACAACGAATTTGGCAGAGTAAGCCACGTACCCTTCACCTTCGCCTCGTAGCCCTTGGGTTCCCGCATCATCAATGCCGCAGCTTCGCCGTTGAGAGGATCGGAGGGGTTAGGGTAGCGGAGTAGTTGAGGCAAGAAGACTTCGAAGATGTTGATCATGTCATACATGGGCGACCATGTTTGGTTGATGACATCGAGACAAACGGAGCCGGACCTAATTAATATGATGAGTAGTGATTCGGTGATATCTGGAAAATCCGACTCACAGCTCGTCGATATTGGGATGGAAGATGCGGTTGACAAATCCTATGCTGGGGCTCTTGTATGGGTACTGATCGGGCAATTCGACGTGGATCTTCCAATGGCCACCTTGGAATGGTGCTAAGAGACGGTTAACATGACGTGATATCGGTTGATGATGAGCAACAACGTACTCTCTTCGGGACCCTTGAAGCGCACATAGAATTCTTGCCTGCGATATCGGGAAATTGTGTTAGAGCTGCGCCAGAGAGCTTGCCGCGAAGACTTGGTACATACACTATTGTTCAGTTAGCATTTGAGCAAGTTGTCCGTGATGGAGCAGAGTCCTTACTGTTGTCATTCACCAAAGTCACTTCATAATCACTCATGAGCCTATACCCTATCATCAGACATGTTCCAACAATCAAACATCGTGGGTCGAGTTCATAATCTCGGGTGCCGTGTGGGGGGGGGGGGGGGGTGATCAAGTTGGGAAAGAGGAGGGGGGTCGGCGGGCATACATCCTAGAAAGAAGGTTAGCAAAAGAGGAGCTTGACAAGCTCAGTAAGAATTCAAAGCGTACTTCATGACCTATGCAAACAACAAAATCTCGGTATTAGCATTTGCTGGGACCCGGGTGCCTTATCGGAGCTAGCTGAGGGGTAACGCACATCTGTCTCGATTCTCCGCTTAGGGCTGGACATGTTTGCTGTTTGTCACCGGTGTGTGCTTGTTGTGCGGACAGGATGGTTCTTCGTGCTAGAGCTGGTAGCTCACGAATCGGAGGCGGTATCGTAGAATGAGGTCACCGGGCGAGAGATTACCCCCAGATCGGGGGCGGGGAAGTAATGAAGCGGGGCAGAAGGTCGGTGAAAGGCCGACACAGTAAGTATATGGTGGGAATGATATATCGATGGCTGGGCTGTAAAGCAGAGTAGCAAGTAATAAGATCACGGAAAAGGACAGTAAAGGAAAGGAAGGAAGAGGGGGATCTCGAGTGGTGATATGATGGCTGGATGACTCAGCGCTCGAAGGCGGATCGGATCCATGGAACTCGCTGTTTCGATGGTTTCTTTCCTTACAAAAAGTATACAAAGCACTCAATTTTGGGTCTCAGTCTTGAGTCCTTTACTAAATGCTACCCTTTCCTCCACCTGATGCTGGGCCCAAGCAGGTCCGCGCCTACGTGGTCCAACTACTCACAACCCGACACGACGCCGACCTCGACTTCGCCGAAAGCATTGCCGATCTCTGGCAGTTGGGCCGCGGAGTGGACTTTCGATCTGCGATCAATATAGGCGCAGTCCTCGACGTTCAGAACGTTTTTGGAGATTCGGTTGGCCCATTTCTCTATAGAAGTGCCCGTGAAGAGTTTATTGCGGACTATCGTTGTTCTTTGACGGGCCTTGCTACCTCATGGGCTCTGAAAGCTGCTCTGGTTCTCGGGCTCCTCCTTGTTGTCCGCGGCATTCGCCAACCCTCTGAGAAAAAGGTTCAGGCTTTCATTGAGGCCGGTTTTGTAGTGGGGATATCTGCATTCATTATTGGCCTGATCGACATGTTTCACGTTATCTCTGGCGGAGCAGCCACATTAGGCGCATGCGGAATTGTTATAGTTGGGATTTCATCGTTACTTGCTATTGCCCGAGCTCAGGAGCGGCAAATTCAAGATTACCAGAAGACGAAGGAAAAATAGAGATATGAATATAGAAGGAATGAATGTACAGTGCCGGGTGGATTAACGCGGATAGACGCAAGTCAGCCATGGTTCCGCGCTCCTTTCCCACCCGACTTTCTCCAACTACTCATCCACCCAACCTACCAACAAGATCGGGTCCAGCCAGGAGTACGCTTCAGGTTTCAAATATTTGGCCATGGACCCTTCATCGCTCCCAGAGCACTCTGCGCGAGACTCCCCCATCAACCCGGCCGGGTCGAGCACTCTCCCACAGCGTCCCAGCCCTGGCCGCCAAAGCCAACGGACAGAGTCGGACTCTCCAAGCAGGGGAGATGGGCCGATACCTGACGATAACCATGGTGCCGACTTACCAATGAACATGAGTGCCTCCGTGATGCTGACAGGCCTGCCCCGCGATGCGCATCAGGCGTTGGCTGACGTGGAAGCTATCGATGCTGGCAAAGGTACGTCTAGCTGCAGCCTCGTCTCATTTTGCCATAATTTCCCCTTCATATCATCGGCGCATATTAATTTTGCACAATAATCAAATTTCGGGCTTGCTTCTATCGACGAGTCAACTAACGCTTCTGCAGTCACTGTGCGCTTCCAACCGCTGCCATCCGCCCCGATACTCAAGAATCGGGTGTTCAAGATCAGCGCGTCGCAGAAGTTCGAAACCGTGGTCAAATTCCTTCGAAAGAAGCTGGACTGTAAAGATACGGATTCAGTCTTTTGCTACGTAAATAGTGTATTCGCCCCAGGCCTGGACGAGGGCGTAGGTGGATTATGGCGAGTACGTCACATCCTCCAATCTAACGGGACTTTACTCATCACATATGCAGTGCTTCAAAACAGATGATCAATTGATTGTCGCTTACTCAATGACGCCGGCGTTCGGTTGAGCAAGTGGCATCGCTGCCAAACACGAACAGATGAATGAGCTTGTGTACAGCAGAGGGCTTGATACAAAAACATGATGATAGGGCATTATATAAATCGTTACTTGCGATCCATCTCCTCAACCGCCTTCTCAAATTCCGCTAGCTCCTCCTTCGAAATCGGATAGGTGTATTCTTTCGAAGGGAAAGCGCGGCTTTTGACTTCGTCGCGGTATTGCGTGATCCCGCGGGCCGCTTCACTCCAAACATCGGCGTACTGCTTGACGAATTTTGGCACGAACCGACCGGGCTCAAAGTTGCCGGTCATGTCAATCTGGACAAGCACTTGGCCGGAGCAACCGTTGCCGGCGCCGATGCCTATCGTGGGAACCTTGAGTTTCGAGGTGATCAAGGTTGCAACCTCCGAGGGCATTGCCTCAAGAACGAACATGAAGACACCAGCTTCTTGCATAACCATAGCGTCCTGCAGAAGCTGCAACGCACCCTTGCATGTCTTGCCCTGGACTCGGAAACCACCGAGCGCATTCTGCCGTTGGGGTGTGAGGCCAATATGGCCAACGACCGGAATTCCAGCCTGAGTAATGCGCTTGATAGTCGGGCCCAACTCCTCACCACCTTCAATCTTCACTGCATGAACATGGCCCTCCTTGACAAGACGAATGGACGACTGCACGGCTTGCTCTGAGCTCACCTCATATGACCCCATGGGCAGATCACCAACCTACACACGTCAATGCAACGCCCTCAAAGCACGACTGGAAAACTTACAATAAACGAGCTCTTCGCACCACGGGCCACACTCCGACAATGCAAAATCATTTCCTCCATAACCATCTCGGTTGTGTTCTCCAGCCCCATCGCCACCATCCCCAAACTATCCCCAACCAGCACGACATCAACTCCCGCCGCCTCGGCAACATGAGAACTAGGGAAATCATGCGCCGTGATCATAGCAATCGGCTCCCCCTTCTTATACAAGTTCTTTAACGTCTGCATGGTAACCTTCTTGCGAGTATTGGTAGACGGTTCGGGCGAGTGATACGAGCTGTGTCGGACCTGGGAGAGCGGGGTAGAGGGCAAGATGGATCGAGAATCAAGAAGGCATCGAAGCTGTCGAGGCGGAGCACGCATCGCAGTCGTACTAAGAACCGAGGGAGCAGTCAAGACAGCCCGCGAAAGCGGCCGCAGAGCTGAATTCGCCATGACGTTGTGATATCGTTCGGAGGGCCGGAGGGGCACGGAGTAGCTATTAAAGCTTTGAATGGATTTCAGGTAAAAGCCCTTTCGGTGCAATTCCCGAGTAAAAGCGAGTCGTTGGTGTAGTTGGCGGAGGATTTGCGAGGAGCTGCAATGTTGCGGGGATGACCTCAACGGCCGAGGCAAATCGGCAGCACGAAAGCTGAGAACTGGAAGCTGAAAGCTCAAAAGAAAATCTGATGAGAATGCAGCTTTCTCGGCGATGCGGCACAGTTCTTATATTCGACAGAACTCGTTATGTTTCCTTCTGTCCGGGTGTTCGTGCTGGGTTATGCGGCGTAGACGGGAGCATCTCCGGGAAAAAAAAAGTGACAGGGGCGCCGTTGAAGCATCGCCGAGCAGCTTGGTCAGGTGCTCGGTTGTTCTCGGCTCTGGGACCACGCCGTTGGTTTTACGACATTTGTATGGTAATTTCTGTTTTCTAATCGCGCACAGTAGCGACTAGACTATTTCTTCTTATTTTGAACTATAGCCTCGTACTGGTGCTGGTGGAATTGACGCTGGTGTAGCAGACTCACCGCCTCCCGATTGCGCCGAGGCTCCTGCCGTTTTGGGTTAGTGCGGAGGGGTATAGACTGTGTACACAATTGTGCCTGCCGATTCATGTACAATGGAAGTGATGAGGTATACACGGTAGGTGAAAGCTTTTCTTGGAGAACCTCCACCCTTAGTTCTTAGCCTAAGAGGGTCTCCTTAGCCGCCAGAAGGGCAAAATCGGCATGCCCGGGAGGTTACTTGCAGATTATTACCCCAATAGAGATTGAAAAGGTCGACTAGAAACACCGTGAGGTGGAGGAACAATATAATAAGACGTCTAGGCTACTCACTGGTCCTCCTACACTCCATTGTCGAGCTCATCCGGTTCCTACATGTGTCTAGAACAGCTCCACAACATGCAAGGTACACTCAATGACCCTCAAACCGGGCACTGACTCAAACCAAACCCCACCGACGATCCCCTGAACACCGACATACACTAACCAGGAAGCAAAAGCACTGGATGATCGAGTTCATTGGGTAATACTGCAGTCAAAAGAAAATCGGAGATAAAAGTCCGCCACCGGCGCCCGGGTATCGCCCTCCACTGGGAAAAAGGACACCGCCGGATGAAACACGACAGGATAAGAAACAACTAGATAAACGAAACAATTAGGCCCGTAGGCTTCGTTGACAGATGTGATCATGTAAGAAGAATCAATGCACTGGCATTCCGCCTTCCATGCTTCGCGATTACAAACATCCGTATACCACATGCCATGCCTTGTGCTTGTGTCGGATGGCGATCCGACACAAGCAGGCAAGTTCCACCACCTGGCCGTTAGAAAAAGAAAAATTGGTGAGGTCATTAGCCGGGTCTCGGCTACCATTGCAGTGACGTAGACGTACGTTTCCGCAGTTTTGATGCAAAAGGTTGGGTAAGAAATACAAGGTAGAAGAGAAGTGAAGTGGTAGAAAAGGTCGTAACGAGTGGACAACCTCCGCCCAAGGGAGGTCAGAGCAGGAAGCAATAGAAATGCAGTGCTGTCGATTGCGTAGTGCTGATGCGAGGCGAAAATAGAAACTCCACAGTATGCGTATGTGTCGATGCCGGGGTATGTGTATGCAAGCCATCACTTCCAAGGGCATGGCACCGTCACCGGAGAAAAAGAAATATATAGGAAGCTCAGAAGAGAGAGAAAAGGAAGATAAAACCTGACAGAAGCCATTTGTGGGGGGCAGTCGAAAGAAGCTGAAATCTGAAACTCAATGCCGAATCATTGCGGTATCTCCAAATCACTCGTTAAATTCGTACTCTTCCTTCAAAGGCCGTTGAATCTCAAACAGCAGGGCATCAAGTTCGGCCCAATTAGCCGTGTTCTGGGCGAAGCGGCGATGCTTTCGAGTCAAGGTGTGCTGTGAATTCTTTGTTAGCAAATGTCAACTTTAGAGATGGAAAAAAACAAACCTCTTCAAAGTCATCGAACTTATCACGGCAGTTCTCGCAGTAGCCAGGTTTTGGGTCTCGCCGTCGCTCTGGCTTCTTCTGCTCGCTGTCCTGATCTTCGTCCCGACGACGCTTCGTGCCAGCAGCTTCTGCTTGGTTTCCACTGCCCTCCTGAGAGCGGCGATTATTTTCAAGACCGGTGGGTTTAGGGAAGATTTGACCCCTAGCAGGGACAGCGGACCCGTTGATAGGACGTTGCGGAGCAGCCATCGATCCAATGCCGCTGCCCTTCTCGAGCACCTTCCTCTTCAAGCCATGGACTTCCTTACTCAGGCCTGCCTTCGCTCCTGGTGCGGCGGCGGTTGATGAGATCATCTGGGACCGGATGGCGGATGTGACATTGGATGGCTGTACTCCAGAGGCGGCAGGCTCACGACCGGCGTAGAAGGGGCCGGTTCGGGGGAAATGAGGAGGAATGAAGCTCTCTGAGCTCTTGCGCTCGTGAGATTCATCAGTCAAAGCCTTCGCTGGGGCCTCATATTGGTTGGGCTGTTGCTCTTCGGACCGCTTGGGCTTGTGAAGCTCGGTCACCAATTTGGTGTCGATGGCCCGCTCGGCGGCAGCAGCAGATGGTTTGGTGCGATCGTCCATGTTCTGAAGAGCCGATTTCTTCTCTTTCTGGATCTGGCGCATGCGGTGACGGTCGAAATCCTTGCGGCTCGGAGGCTCATCGAGGAATGGACACTTGCCTAGAGGCGCACTTCGGAACTGTGGCCAGACTCCATCCTGGCGTCTGGTAACCTTGGAGTACTCTCGGACCATGACCGGCTTGGTCTTCTCATTCATGTCGTGAATGTAGACGAAAGGTCCCTTGAACATGAGCAGCTCCATCGACGACAACGGATCACGGTCAGAGGGTCCATTCAAAGCCTCTTGACGAAGAACACGCGAGAGATCGTTTTCGCCACGCCCGTTGGCCGTAGCAGCAGCTTTGCTCCGAGAGGCATCGTTCTGACCACCAATGTCATTGTCGTTGATTGTTGTGATCATTCGCTGAAGCTTTTCCAATGCCCAAATTTTCATACCCATCTGCCGAGCTCTCTGCAAGACATCCATGGTGCCTTGATCCCGACGCGGATCATTCTTCAGTGAAGGCTGCAGGTGGGTGTCGCCATTCTTTTCCAGCAAGGAAGGGTTCACGGTTTGCATATTGGCCTCTCCATCGGTTCCAGGTGCCGCCTCCTCGGTCGGGCTAGTAGAGGCTTCCGGGGGAATAGGACGCGAAGTAACGACGTGAGTAACCAGACGAGAGAAGAACTTTTCCTCACGCTAAGATTCATCGTGTTAGCAAAGATGAAAAGAAGCCGAGCGTGTCTTGCCAACCCAAAAGATGTGGCAATGTTGAATCACGCGAGAAACCCAATTGAGGTAACACTTACAGCTCCAAGAGCAACGACTTGACGAGAGAACTTCCGACGAACATCCTCCGGAATACTGTCAAAGTAGAAAACGAACTGTGGGAATGCCTTGCGGTAGTGCCGTTGCCACTGTCGAATTGTGTCCATGGTGTCTGCGGAAGGCTTCTCGCCTCTGGCCGTCTTCAGCTGCGAGGTGCGATCCTTTTCACGAGCAGCAACTAGCTTCTTTTCGAACGCACTAGGATTGGGATTATTGGACCGTCTCGAGAAGAGCTTCGACTCAGTGCTCTGGTAGGCCGTCGACCGGTTTCGTGAAGGGGACCGAGAATCCTGCTCCGCCGCGTCCATCACCTGCTTCTTGGGCGGAGGCTGGCCGTAGGGAATTTCAAGCTGTCCAGACCGAGCTCGCTTGGCCGGCAGGAGCCCTGCCCGGTGGGGAGAATTGGTTGCATTCGGCACGTTGGCGAGAGGGCGGCGAGTCGACATATTCAGCGAAGTTTGGGGAGAAGGTGGGATGAATACAGCGGCCATAAGGTCTCTGTCCCTCGGGGGTTGAACGCGTAGTTCGGGTCAATGAGAGAGGTCAGCAGTAGAGGGGTATTCGAGGTCGAGCACGCGACGTGATACACGTCTTGCAGGGCTCGGACGAGTTCAAAGGCCGGACATGGTAACACAGAGCACGATGGAGGAGGGCTGATGAGAGTTTCAAAGGAAGGAAAGGAAGGTCAAGGGGGAGTAGTGGGTGGCGAGGGAAGAAGGTCGAGGGTTGAAGGTTGATGGTCGAAGGGCAAAGTCGTGTGGTGGAGCCCTTTGGTAGTTTGTTTTGGCTGCGCCGGGACAACCAAACGGCGTCGCGCGAAGCATGAACATCAACATTGCATTCTTTGCCCGCGCGACGTTCCATTCGCCAACTTCTTTTCTTCCATTTTATTTCTACTTTCTATCCTCGATCAGATGCAAACATTCATCGATTTCACAGATCCTCTTGGGATACTGCCATCCCCAACCACCGCGGATCGGACCAGCCCCCAAACTTTCACTAAAACAAAACTACTGAAACCATGTCACGTCGACTGAAAGATAATAAGAATGTATTGTACACTGGTTTTGGAGGGTATTTGACAACTAATATACACTAACGAGGCCTAAGGACGCAGTGCCTCGATGTCTTCGACCTATTAAAAAAGGTTAGTATGACTCAAAACAAACAGATCATAATCAACATACCTCCTTGACGGCCTCGGGGGTCAGTACGATCGGGTGCTCGTCTCCGACACAGACGCTATCTTCAATACGAATGCCAATGCCACGGAAGTGTGCAGGCCATCGGTCATCGTCGGGAACGTAAATGCCACTGGAAGAAATTAGCTCCTGTCAACCTCAGAAAGTGGGGTCCGGGACGCACGGTTCAATAGTAATACACTGGCCAGCCTTCAGGTTGTACCCTCTGGAATAACCAGGGCAGTCGTGTACATCGAGACCAATATAATGGCCGAGGTGGTGGGGGAAAAGTGTGGAGATGGCCTGGTCACAGTCAGCTACATCTTCTGCGCGTCGAGAAAGGTCGGCTCTTACGTTGCCAGACAGGTCGAATCCAAGCTGCTTCAGCTGGTCTTTCAAATCATTCTCGGCAATGCCGTGCAGCTTGTCCAGGGAGAGGTTTGCATTCTCGCGGCAGAGAGCTAGACAGGACCGGTGGACGTTGAGTACGGCGTTGTATAGATCCCGCTGGGGGTCTGTAAATTTGCCGTTGACCGGCCATGTTCTAGTAATGTCGGAGATGTAGCCTCCAAGCTCCTGTTATTTGTTAGCCTCCGGATCATCAACTCGAGGATGAAGTACTTACACCGCCGCCATCAACAAGAACCAAATCGCCGTCCCTGTGTCAATATTGTAAGCCCTATCATTCGCAAAATACACCAAGCTATACTTACCGGAGAACATCGTCATTCCTCGTGTAGTGAATAGCCAAAGCATTCTAAAATCATTAGTTTGAAGCCCTTGGGGTTGAATTGTAGAAGTGCCTACCTGACCGCCAGCCACAACGGGCACAAAAGCACTGCCATCTGCACCATTCACCTTAAATTGGTACTCTAAGAATGAACATAAGTCCTTCTCCATAGTAAAATTTTGGCGCATTGACTCGGTGAAAGAGCGTCCCGAAGCCTGTCCAAGTCGACGCAAATGTACGACCTCGTTCTCGCTCTTGAAAGCCCTCATCTCGTTGAGAATGTGTTTCAAGGGCTGGACCTTGCGATGATCAACAACCTTCTTCAGCTTCTCCGATGCCACTGTAGGACCGTAAAGATATCGGTGCAGGGTTGATCTGGATGGGTCGAAGCCAGGGATTTCGGAGTAGACCTCGGTGGCCTGGGTGATGATTTTGGGCAAAATTTCTCCAATTCGCTCGATGTTGCCAGTCTAAAACCCGCAGTGTCAGTGTGAAGTTCCTGGAGTTTCCGTCAAAATCATTTCACGCACCTCATCGGCGTTGAAGACGTCTACAGCTGCCCGGGTCCCGGACCGTGCTCCATCCCAGAGCTCCGCCCTGGGGTCCTTTTCCCGTACGTAAAGATGGAAAATATGATTGTCACCGGAGCCATCGTTTGCGATAATCGCCAGGGCATTCGGTTCGTTGAAACCTGCGCGTGGAAGAGTGTATGATCAGCCCACATCCTGGATGGCGTTCCAAACCCGCCAGGCGGGCTCTTACCCGTCAAATAAAAGAAATTAGACTCCTGTCTATACACGTTGAATATTCCCGGTGCGCGGTATTTCACCTCCGACGAGGCCAGAACAGCGATTGCGCCCTTGGGGAGCTTGTTGGCGAGTCGCGAGCGGCGCCGGGCATATTCAAGAGCGGAGACTCCGGGGGTAACTATTCGCGGATCCAAGTTAGCTAGGCAGCTCATCATTCCAATGCGACATCCAACAACATACGTTCACCAGGTTCGAGGAGGTGGGGGTGTGTCTCGTGCAGCGGTTGACCGAACTTGAGCTCCGCGGCGCCGACCGAGGTAGCGAACGCCCTCCGAGGGATTCTGCTTGAGACCAGGCTAGCACGCGACGAAATGATAGATCGACCTGAAAGGCGCAACTGCGCGCCGACTCGGGCGAGAGACCTGCATGCCATGATCGAAAGCCTAAATAACGGTTGATAAAGGCAAATGGATGTTATCGCGAAGTTCAAGAACGGCGTCGGCGGTGTGGGCCAATCACTACTCAAATGTTTCGCATCATAAGCTTATAGCTTACAGTACTTCTGGACTACTACGTCAACTTTTAGCGTCACTTATCCATGCGTTCCAAATTGAACCCCTGACTCATCCGTGCGCAACTGTTTCCTAGCTCGTAAGTCCGTCGTGGCGGCCAATTACACACCGCGGGGAACACTGGCGCGGATGGACCTGCTCAATAAGGTCGGGGACAGCAGGTCTTATCTCGATGTATAGAGTGTAGACGAATAGATATATAAGCTTGCTTCTGTGTTTCTCGATCTTGCATCTTTCATACTTTGACCCATTCATCCTGTGTATGCATATCTACCATGGGACGCACGCTCACCTACCCCAAGCGGACGTCTAACACGGCCAACCGCTACAAGCATCGCGGTATGTTGAGCTTCATAGACTGAGAGCTCATTTACTGACACTAGACCACTAGCTACATATGACTTGGGCCCAATTCACTCAATTATCAACGACTCTCATGTCCTCCATGTATCCTTCAACCCCGGACCCGAGGACCCATTCCCCGCCATCCTCCCAATGATCGGCCAGATGGGCTCATTCGAGTACCCATCAGCAAGCATCGACGAGCCCCTGGAGTGCTACCTACACGGTTACGTGAGCTCGCGGATCATGAATCTAGCCCGCAAGGCCGAAGGAGACGGACTCCCAATCTGCGTTGCAACCAGCAAAATAGACGGTTTGATTCTATCCCTGACACCCAACTCGCACAGCTATAACTACCGCTCTGCTATCCTGCACGGATATGCCACACTCGTCACTGATGAAGCGGAGAAACTCTGGGCTATGGAGTTGATTACCAACTCCGTTCTCACTGATCGTTGGGATAACTCCCGTGTACCACCTGATAAGGCGGAAATGTCTTCCACGGTTATTCTGAAAGTTAAGGTTGTGGATGGGAGTGGGAAAATCCGTGATGGTGGTGTTTCGGACGAGCGTAAGGATACGGATAATGAAGAGATTACGAGTAAGATTTGGACGGGTGTTGTTCCTGTTTGGGAGACGTTTGGGGAGCCTGTTCCTAGTGGCGGTAGTATGATGACTGAGGTTCCTGAGCATATTACTTCTTATATTGCTAAGAAAAATACTCAGAATCGCTCTTTGGCTGAGGATGCGGTCAAGATTCAGCTTCCTCCCGAGGAGCTGCCCTGAAGGTGAAGACGAGACACTGTCTATTCCCGAGCTCGTTTCCTTGTGTGGGTCAATGTTCCATTTCATTATCTTTCAATAAGCTTCGTTGTATTTGACTTCCTCATGTTTAATGAGACATCGTTTTATTTACAGCATTCACCTTCACAGTATTCTCCCTGGGTATATACTTCTTCTTGATCAAATCCGATGCCCTCTCGGCTACAGCGTAAAGAGTGCTTGTCAAATGCCCGCATAGCTGAAATGGCAAGACAGAGGCATCAACGACTCGAACATTCTTGGTACCGTAGACTTTGAGCTCAGGGCTGACAACGCCTCCTTTATCCCGAGGAAGCATGCTTGCGGTACCGACAGGATGGTAATTTGACCGATCTGAAAGACGGTTAGACGGATTCGAATCTCTTAGGAAGGTATGTAGAGAAAAAAACGCACAAGTCGATTTAACCCAACTAATCCATGCGTCCTCCGGTGCATTCTTAGGAACGTGATCCAGGCTTGGCGAAAACTCATCTCCGACAAGGTCACTCAAGGGAGCAGTGACAAAAGTGTTGCGAATGTAGCGAGCCACATCAGCCTGAGAGTTAGAATCTGGTTCAAACATGAAGTAATTTGGGTTGATCGAGGCCGGCTGCATAGCATCTGCAGACTTGATGTGGATACTGCCTCTTGAGAAGGGAAGCAAAGCCCAATATTCACTGGTGAATGAATGTGCGATAGGAAGGTATACAATCTCCGCAAATGGTACTTGTGATTTGAAAATCAAATCGTACTGAAGTTGGAAAGCAGACATAAGGTTGGCTTCCTGGACAGCACCGTTTGAGGCGCTAGCGACAGACTTTGCGTAATCTGCGAGACTGGAGTTGATGGAGGAGGCGACTGCAGAGACGTTCTTTCCGTAAAGCTGGTCTGCTGATGGTAGGGCAGAGAAAGTTGGCGCACCGAGCCAGAATTCTGTTCCTTCGTAGGCGAGACCATTATTTGTCTGATCTTGCAAGTTCTCCCCAACAGAGGAAATGTTGACCTGGACAGGGATGTCGTATTTGTTTAGAATATCTGGGTTTCCAATGCCGGAATGCTCCAGGATAACCGATGATTTGAGGGATCCAGCCGATAAGATGACCTCCTTCGAAGCGTATATGATCTCACCTCCGTCTGGGCCAGTAACCTCAACTCCAATTGCGATAGCTTCGGAGCTAGACGAGTTAGCCCAGATAATCTTGTTTGCGTGAGTATTTGAGATGATCTTCAGGTTAGATCTCCCTTCAATAGGCCAGTAGTAAGCTCTTGCAGCATCATGGCGAACATTCGCTTCTCTGTCGAGGGTATCAGGATGCGCCGTGAGCCCAACCATGTTGCCGCCGTTGACATCGCGATTGTACGGGAGGCCCAGCGTCTGGAAGGTTTCATCCAGAATGGGAAGCATGCTGCTGTTGGTCATCATATTAGGCCAGCCGACTTTCAAAGGGCCATTTTCACCATGATAGCTGATGTAGTAATCGGCACCGCGAGCAATCTGGTCCGGGGTTGGGACCTCGAATCCTTCCGATTTCTTATAGTAAGGTAATAGACTGTTCCAATTCCAACCCTTGTTTCCCACCTGCTCCCAATTGTCAATTTGCACCTTCTGGGCCCGAGTGTATGACATTCCTGCGCGAAATTAGCATTAACATACATTCACCAGCAGACTTTATCGGTAGATATTGAAGGATATGGCTTGCCATTGATAGTGCTTGTGCCACCGATGGCTTTTCCAGCACGCATGATCTGCTTCGTTCCGCCTGCATATTTTTGATCTTCCGTCTGGTAAGCCCAATCGATACTTGACCCAAAACTGAGACCATAACCTTGAACGTTCGTAACATTGCGATTGTTGAGAACCGAGTCTCCGGCTTCGATAACAGCGACAGTAACATCGGCCATTTCTGAAAGTCTGTTAGCAACAACTAACCCACTGGTACCCCCGCCAACAATAACAAAGTCGTATTTTGGGGTTGATCCATCTTGAGTCTTCGCTTCCACCACACAAAACAACAGAGTCGCAAATGCAAGGATCGGCGCGAGCATCCTCGCTTGAAGCGAATGGGGAGAACAGTAGCAATAAGAAGGTCACTCTGTGTGAAAAAATCGAAACGATCTTGAACGAGAAAGTAAATAAATCTCACCTTGGGATACCAGCTCCTGTTATTCAGCGCCCGCCAGGTGCGTTGGCAACAGTTGGAATGTTGGCGTCATTCCTAACCGGCAACACTCGGTTAATAAGTCAAAAGTTGTGAGATTTGCTAAACAGCTCAGATTTCACAGTTATCTAGGTTTGGTCCGGCTTGCTGCTCGGGGTAATGTGATCGGCAAGTGGTTGGCTTTTGCAGCCAACCGAAGCAAGGGTTTGTACGCCAATGTCCCTATCCAACCAAATGACAGTGAGGTGAGTTCCGGGCTTCAATTGCATTCGCATGAAGGGTTATCCAATTAAATTCCAGGATCTCTATTCTCTGGGCGATAACAAGTTTCTTAGATATTATGAGTGCATAGTCCCCTGCTTCGCCGATCTTGAGCTCTTAAAATAGAGAGCTTCGGTAAAAGATGATTATCGCATGTCCACCCATATTGATCCGCAGCATACTATGGTTTGTTGCTCGAAATAGAGATGTCTTAGGGCTAACTCGACTCTTTCGTTGGTTTCCCATGGCCTCAGAGTGTTGACGGTAACTCTCAGAGGAGAGAAAAATATATCAAACCCTCCATCATTTCACTTTTCTCCATCACCTCCGGTGCTGGAGGGCTGTCCCTGAAACACTACCTCAAGCCCACATGTCATGGCTGTAGGTATGGTAGATTAAGCAATTTTAGCATTGAGTGAAAATGTACAGGTAAATGCAATTACCTAAATCAGGAAGCGTGATCACATAGGCTTCAAGGTGGAGTGGGGTATAAAGATCGAGCCGCGAGTGTTCACAGGAAATTCTTGTTTTGAATCTCAATGCTTTGTTAAAAACTGTCGCCACAATGGCGAGTTAACTCTGTTGCTTGGATCCCATGCGGAGCTAGATGAAATAGATTGAATTAAGAGACCTGAGAGTATGTCTGTCAAGAGTATAAGCAAGTTAGTGCCCAAAGTGAGGGAGCCGCAACCCAGATCGGCTGCTCGGGGCCCCACGTTCACCCGCTCCCGCAATACTTCATCCGATAAATATCTCTACTCGCCTTTCACTTTCGCTTTTACTTTTCCAAATTTCCTTCTTTTGACATGGCATCTGTCAGACAGGCTGCTCGCTCCGTTCCGACGGCAGACCTAGAATCCTTTGCCGAATGTCTCAAGGGCAGCCGCCGAATCCTAGCTCTCCTGGGAGCTGGCATCTCCGCAGCTTCGGGCCTTCCCACGTTTCGGGGTGCCGGAGGTCTATGGCGCTCGTTCGATGCCACGGCCCTCGCAACACCGGGGGCGTTTGAGAGAAACCCGGGGCTAGTTTGGCAGTTTTATAGCTACCGCCGACACATGGCACTGCAGGCGCAGCCTAACAAAGCACACTACGCACTGGCAGAACTGTCACGGATGAACAAGGAATTCTTGACAATATCCCAGAACGTTGATGGTACGAAGCACTCGCTACATCTCATATTCTCATCTATTCGCCGCTAACCTCCGATGTTCAGGTCTATCGCCACGTGCAGGTCACCCTGCGGAACAGCTAAAGTTGCTCCACGGCTCACTTTACGACCTGAAATGCACTTCGTTCTACTGCGACTACACGCGAAGCAACGACTTCACCGACCCCATTGTCCCTTCGCTGGACATTCCCAAGAAGGAACTATTCCCGGCCGGTTCCGGAGAGGACAGCTCCGGTGTTGCCAATGAAGTCGACATCTCAGACGTAAGCAATCCGATTCCTGATTTGAAACCCGAGGATCTGCCCAAGTGTCCCAAATGCAACGGTCTACTCCGCCCTGGGGTGGTCTGGTTTGGAGAGGCCCTCCCCAAAGACACCCTAAATTATGTGGACGAGTGGATTGAATCCGGGCCAATCGATTTGATGTTGGTCATTGGCACGAGCTCTCGCGTCTGGCCTGCTGCCGGTTATACGGATATTGCTCGCAATCATGGCGCACGAGTCGCTGTGATAAATATGGATCCAAACGATGTCGCTGGTAGAAATTCGATGAAGGGTGATTGGTTCTTCCAGGGCGATGCTAGCGTGATTGTCCCTGAGATCCTAGAAAGTGTTGTTGGGGAAATATGATCCCCTAGGCGACGCAAAAACACGTATACATGCATAATTTCTGGGATGACTTCAAATAGTAAAGCACATGTCCTAATCACTTTGAACCACAAGGACGGGTTTGAAGATCGCTAGTTCGGAAATATACATTGACTTCAATCTTAGTTGTATCGCCTTTAGGTACCCTGAAAGATGCTGACGGCCTGCAACAGGTTGAAAAGCCAATTTTCCTTGGCTTCGAGGTAATATCTATGAATGTAGTAACCTACAAGGCGCGGTCCTGTTCGTAATTTTTGTTTCCTCGCATGATGAGTGCTTTGATGCCTGAGGCTACAACCGTTGCTAGGGCGAAACCCAAAACAAATTGAAATGTTATCGATAACGCTCGACCCGCGATTCTTCCTCACCTGCCACTTCCCCGCGTCGAAGACTTCAAGGCTTGGTCTTTGATAGTTTGATCCGAGGTAAGTCATGCGTTCGATCTGTATTTCATGCTCGTGCCCTTGTGTCTTGAGCCTTCAAGGCGCAAGAAATGGTGGACCCGAGCAACACGATAAGAACTCGGACCCGACTTGTCGATCCCACCAAGATTCCACACAAAGCTAACTGAACCTCATGTTATCAGCTGTGCCATCCCTTGCATTTCACGCCCAGTCTTTGCAAAGTAGATCTTGCGACAGTGGAGAACATTGCACGATATCGATAACTTTGGACCGAGAACCAACTCTGCACCTGTCCGGAAACCGCCGAGCTGTTTGGCCATCAAGTCTTCACCGAAGACTGAACTCACGACCATGGCCAGGGAAAGCAACGCACCGCTAGATAACTCCACTCCGAGCAAAAAGAATGAACAATCTCGGCCTTCAGCCACACAACATCCAGAATTTGGCAAACCTTCCCCGATCGGCCCCTCTCAGTACCGTTCCAACCAGCCAAACCAGCCCAGGAACCATTCGAACCACCTATTCAACATCCCCAAATCAAATCGGCCACGAGCAGAGCATCACCGCCCCGCTCAGCAGTCCCAGCAGCCCCAACCACAACAACAAACTCGGCCACAGCAGCCCGGACAGCAGCATGGAGCTTCTCAGAGCTATCGCCCCCACTCGGAGGCTGCTGGGACTCCGGCCAAACGTGGTCCTTTCGATCCGTTCCAGGCCGTAAGGCCCTCAGCCTACAATGATCACCGATCAGGATATCCGTCTGGGTTGCCTCCTGGTGCGACTCCAATCAAACGCCCCGAAAATGTGACGTGGACAACTCCCCGTGCCCCCCGACCAATTTTTTCGTCGAAGCCATCGGTACCAAAACCGTCGAATGCGTCAAAGAATCTTCAAGCTTTCATTGATCTGACTAAGAATGAGAGCCAGTCCAGCAACAATGCGACGACTTTCGGCAGCAGTAATGCGCCTGGCTTTGGCTCTATGGATATGCACGGCTATGTTGATTCAGAGAAGGCAAACGAGAATATCAAAGCTCTCCTTGAGGGCGCTTTTGAAGATGAGGAGGAAGAAAAGGCCTCAAAACCCAAGAGCAAAAGCAAAGGAAAGAAGAACAAGAGCAAGAAGAAGCTGTCAGAAAAAGCTGAGCCAGCTGTACCCGCTGCGGCCAAGAAGAAAGAGGACGATGATCTTGATGATTTGGCTGCTCAGCTTGAGGGTGTGACTGTGAACGACACGAGGCCAGTTGAGCCAGATTCAGCCGAGAAATCTAACAAAAAGGCAGCCAAGGCAACTAAAGACGCATCCGAGAGCGAAATTGAGGATGAAGCTGCAGACCAAGATGATGACGAAGCGGAGGCTGAAGAGGAAGATGACGACGACGGAGCGGACGATAGTGATGAAAACGACGACAGTGGGATAGTCGAAGGCCTCAAGGTCACACTTCTTCCTCACCAAATTGATGGTGTCAAGTGGATGTGCGACAAAGAGACTGGCCGACGTGCCACCAAAGGAATATTCCCAATGGGTGGAATTCTTGCAGATGATATGGGCCTTGGTAAAACTGTCCAGGCCATTGCCCTCCTCCTCAAGAACCACAAATCCGAGATCGACGAACACAGCGAAACAAAGGACGAAAACGAGAAGGACAAAGAAAGTAACCCTTCGACACCCGTCAGCAAGAGCACACTTGTTGTCGCCCCTTTGGCTCTCATCAAACAATGGGAGGCTGAGATTCACGACAAAGTCGAGAAAACCCACAGACTCCGCGTTTGTGTTTATCACGGCACTAATAGAGCTAAGACGGCCCGCTCGCTAGATGACTACGACGTGGTGATCACTACCTATGGTACTCTCACTTCGGAGTCTGCCACCGCGGCTTCCGACAAAACTAAAAAGTCCGGTATTTTTGCTCTCAATTGGCTTCGTATCATCCTTGACGAGGCACACACCATTAAGAACCGCAATGCAAAGGCCACACAAGCCGCCTGTGCACTCGACGCCAAGTTCCGCTGGTGCTTGACCGGAACACCCATGCAGAACAACCTTGATGAACTGCAAAGTTTGATCAAGTTTCTTCGAATCAAACCCTTTGACGACTTGGCTGTCTGGAGAGATCAGATCAGTCGTCCACTCGCCAACGGCCGAGGTGGTCTTGCCATTCAGCGCCTGCAGGTCTACTTGAAGGCGTTCATGAAGCGCCGCACCAAGGATGTTTTGAAAGGGAATCAAGACAACGAGGACGAGGAAACCCAGGGAGGCGAAAAGAAGCGCTCCAACGGTTTCAAGATCGTCAAGCGTGAGGTCATTAGAGTGGATGCTGAATTCATGCCGGGAGAGGAGAAGTTTTACAAGCGCCTGGAGGCAAGAACTGAGAACAGCCTCGAGCAGATGATGGGCTCTAAACTTGATTACGCTGGGGCGTTGGTTCTGCTCTTGCGTCTACGTCAATCCTGCAACCATCCTGATCTGGTCAAAAGTGATTTGGCCGCTGACAAGGACGTTCTTTTGCAGAATGGCAACTCGCCTAGTCAGTCGAAAGATTCAAAGGCAAGCGAGCTGGATGACGTTGCCGATCTTTTCGGCGCGCTTAGTGTTGTTACCAAGAAGTGTGATGTTTGCCAAACCGAACTTAGCCAGGCAGAAGGCAAGAGCGGTGCTACTCGCTGCAGTGAGTGCGAAAAGGACTTAAACACCGACTTCATGGGCAAGGAGAAAAAGAAGCACAAGTCGAAGAAAACACACAAAACCAACAAGGAAGATGCCGCGGAAGATCAACCTGTCCGGTCTCGGAGAAATCGGAGAGTCGTGATTGATAGCGACGACGAAGATGAAGACGAGGCTGAATGGATTGTCCCTGAAGACCAACGCAAGATGCCCAACCTCGGAAAGGCCGGCGGCTCAGACGATGAAGATGCGGAAGGCGGCGGTGATTGGATTGGATCTGACGATTCGGATACCGACGATGATATCCGTAACTCCCCGACAGGCAAGAAGTCCAAGCCCGTTGCTCTGAGTGAATCCGAGGATGACTCCGACACGGACGACGACATCTATACCGAGGAAGGTGAAAACGGCGAGCTCCCTTCGACCAAAGTTCGTCATTTGATGAAGATCCTCCACAAGGAGTCCGCGGACTACAAATTCATTGTCTTCTCGGTCTTCACCTCCATGCTCGACAAGATTGAGCCCTTCCTGAAGCGCGCCAACATTGGATTCACGCGCTACGATGGCCAAATGAGGAACGATCATCGTGAAGCCAGTTTGAACAAGCTCCGGAACAACAGTGGCACTCGAGTTTTACTCTGTAGTTTGCGCGCTGGTGCGCTCGGCCTCAACTTGACTGCTGCCAGCCGTGTCGTCATCCTGGAGCCGTTCTGGAATCCTGTAAGTAAGCCCCGTCCGGCTTTTCATCTCACAATATCTAACATCTCAACCATAGTTCGTCGAGGAACAAGCCATCGACCGTGTCCACCGTCTCAACCAAACAGTTGACGTCAAGATCTACCGCATGATCATCAAGAACACCGTCGAAGAGCGAATCGTCGACCTACAAGATCGCAAACGTGAGCTCGCTAAAATGACAATCGAAGGCAAGTCCGCCGCCGGAAAATTGACCATGGGCGACATGATGGCCCTCTTCGGCCGAGACGCCGAGTCAAAGTTCCAAGACAAGCAGGGTACTTTGGACTTTAAAGCACCCACTGGGCTATTGCGTGCTGCGGACGAGCCCACCACTACTCCCAAGCGATCGGACTCGCGTGATTCAAATCGCCGGCAGGGATCCAATCGACCGACAGCCGAAAATTCGGTCTATGGTCGACGTTGGTGAATGATGTGATATTTTATGCATTTGGGGCCGATGGGATAGGGAAGGGAGGCATTTCCAGGGGAGTTTTGATTGGACTCTACATGATGAGGAAATGGCGAAGACGGGGTTGGGTCTGGAGATTTCTAGACCATTTCTTAGACCATTTCTTGTTTATTTCTTTGGTCCGCGGGCCTGTTTGGCACGTTTCCTGTTATTTTCTTATGCCATATCATGAAGACATACGCAGTTATCATTTTAACCTGAGCGTAGCTCTCTGATCAATCGCTAGTCGTAGAAGACAAGCTACTGATTCAAAGCCAAGGGCGAGAGCCAATTTTTTCCTGGTTGAACTAGAAACCCGGGAAACATGTCCACGAGTCAGAGCGCAGGAGACCATTCCAGACCATGGCAACATCTGACAACATGCCCGGAGGTAAGGGCCGTGAATGAGTTGCTGGGTCAATTTTCCAGATCGTGTCCGCCGAATTTGAATTTAGACTTACAAAGCATAATTTGAAGATAACATTCCTCTCATTTCTTTGCCCTCGTGTGAAACTGTGATAGTAGCGTGTCAGTTATATGAACTCGGCATTTCTTAAGCTGAATGAAGACAAGATTCTACCAACTCTAAGTCGATTACGCTTAAATGTGACACATGGTTGGCCTACATGAGGACTATGGATAAAAGCAACGTAATGCCTGTCTAGACCAGCTATAGACCACGTCGATCCACCATGGCCTTTGTTAGTGATACCCCACACGTACCTGCAAAAGCCGCAGATTCCCAATTCGACTCTCTTAGCCAAGGACCAATTATATCAGGATGGCAATATGGGTTGTAGTTTTAGAGATTGAGCCGATCATAAGTCACGCATTATGTCTCTTATCCACTCATCCCTGCTGATACAAGCTGGGTGTCGATGGCTAGCAGTCGATCCAATCTAGAGCCAATGAGAATTGAAAATTCGAGTGATAACTACTCAGAGCGAGGGCTTCAAAGTAGGCAAAGTGTCTGTGTATCTACCAATTTCGACATCTACCTCGGCCTGAGCCGCGGTTCCGGGATTTGGGTTTATGGATCGCGAGAGCATTTTCGGCAGTAGTCCCTGGCGAACAGGACGGCTAAACCGGAAACACTTGTGCCTTGAAAAACTTCGTGGTCAGACAATGATCTTTCATAGGTCTTCCTACACGGATATAGCCTTTAAATCTGGTTCGTTGCTGGAGGCGAGGCACAAGCCGAACTCCAAACTCCGGGGAAAGCTCGATTGCTTTTCAACATTCCGCTGTTCTTATAATTCTTTTGATATCTTGCTTCGGTGCTTTTCTTCTGCTCTCCACGCACATCTGAAGCCGCATTTGAAGATTCAGACGCTTCAACCTTTAAGCCGTTCAATGGTGGGTTCATCGGATCTTGATACCTTGCCCTTCGTTTTGAGAATTCCAGAGAACTGACCTCAATCCACAATCTAGGTCATGTTATAGATCAGTACCTGATGTGCAAACCAGCAAGTGATATGAAGGGTGTTGCTGGTGGTGGCCACTGGAAGGTCGTAAACAGCGGGCCTGAAAGTAAGAACAAGAAATCAGATGACAAAAGAATCCTTGCGCGAACACTATCAGAGCCGAAAATGATGTGCATACTATCTGATGCAAAGACCGAGATATCGACTGTGACCGAGCTGCCTCTGTCCAGACTGAAGCTTCCCCAATTTGCCAACGATACAACCGAACGCGTGTTTCCCATCCGATCTGTTCTTTCATTCGATTCCAATCCTTCATCGGCACTCCAAACGCCTTCGCTGGATAAACTCGAGTCTCCGTTTTCTCCGTTCAGTGATGTGCTCATAAATGGGTCGATCGATGAGAGAATTGCGGCATCCAACAAGCGGCCGAACTATCTGGTTCGCATGCGCAAGGAGAGAGGGAGCTATTCTGGAGTATCGCCATCGCTTCCGATAGTTCCGACACTCGCTCATCCTTTTCCAGAGACAGAACTGTGTTCATCCAATACTCGCAGTTCTCCAGACATTCTTAGTCTTCAGGAGCAGTTGCAGCATACCATCTTGGAAGGCGGGAGGGTCTTGAATACTCGTAGAAAGAACGAAGGGTTGCAATACTCGCAAGATGATGAGGCAGACACGATGATCCAGCCATTTGGTGCATTTCTCGTTATCTGCGAGACTGGCGATTTCTTAGCTGCCCAAATTGCCAGCAGCAACTCGGGCGATATCCTGGGCTACAGCCCCGAGGAGCTGTTCGGACTCGAGTCCATTTCCAGTATCCTGCCTGGATCCCAGCGAAGCATTTTCCTTTCACATGTCCGATATGTGTTAGATGATGAGTATGATGTTGAGATCTCTGGGCCAGAGATTTTCGATCTGTCACTCGTGACCGCGACAGGGAAAACAAAGCATCTTTGGTGTACTATGCATACAAGCCATGCATATAAAAATTATGTCATTTGTGAGATGGAACTGGAGCCAGTCATTGAAAGTGCGACGGAAAAAATATCCCACGAAACCCTAAAATCTAAAAAGAGAATGAGCGATCACAGCAACCCCGAAGACGTGGATCAGAGGGCAGCAACCTTGAATTCCGAGCTTCTGAATGCCCTTCCTCGCATCCTGCAACAGGTAGCCAGCACGCAGACATTGCAGGCTCTTATACAGTATACCATTTTGACTCTGCAGCAACTGACCCAGTTTGACCGCTTGTCCATGTTCCATTTTGACGGCAATCGTAATGGAATTGTCATTGCAGATTCTGCCGACCCATCCCTAGGCTTGGAGTCGTATGAAGGTCTTCAATTCGAGGAGTCGGCATTTCCAGAAGAATTGAAGAGAAAGTACTTGCGTAACCCAGTGTCTTTCTCCTATCGGCAGAGGACTGAGGCTGCCAAATTGGTGTATCGAGTGTCAACAAATCGATCGGGCCTGGACTCATCACACTGCTACCTACCAGTGAGCGCAGAGTCTACTAAGACAGACAGGCCGATCCAAGCCTGCATCTCCATCGGTATTTATGTCTTCGGAAAATTGTGGGGATTGATCTTATGTCAATCATATGATGCTGATCTGCAACTCCATCCACTTCTTCAGAAGGTGTGTTGGTTCATGGGTGAGGCAGTCTCAAGTAATATCGAGCGCCTTTCCTATACACTGCCATTTCAGTTGCAGGAAAAGAGCGCATCTCCAACATACGCGACCAGTAAAGGCAATGTAAAGTGTTCATCTGGCGATCTTCTTTGTCTTTTCGGTGCTGATTATGCCGCCGCATCCATCTTGGGGGAAATCAAGATTTTGGGCAAACCATTCGACTCTCAGGAAGTTCTCGCCCTTCTTGAGTATATGCGCACTAAGGATCTCGACACTGTGCTTTGGTCAACGGATATTCTTTCCGACTTTGAAGATCTAGCCTATTCACCCGGGTTTCGGCTTCTGTCAGGCCTATTATATATACCTCTCTCAGCCGACAGCCACGACTTCATTATTTTCTTCCGCAGCAATAACCAACATGAAAACCGTCAAAAACTTGCGGGTAGCCAGCAAGACAATCTCGACAAGCCAAGTCGCCAAAGAGAATGGTCTGCCACAGAGTTTGCAAAAGCATCCATCTTGTCTTTGCTCTACCGGACATTTAGCGAGATATGGCAAGAGAAAGAGGCCGCGATGCAAAACAACCAACTGATGAGGTTACTGCTCGCCAACTCAGCGCACGAATTCCGCACGCCACTAAATGCAATCATCAATTATCTGGAAATTGAATTAGATGGAAGTACCAATCAGGAAACAAGGGAGAACCTTTCCAGATCACATTCAGCCTCCAAGTCGCTCGTCTATATCATCAACGATCTCCTTGATCTCACAAACGCCGAGAACGGGCAAAGTCTCATCAAAGACGAAGTCTTCAGTCTATCTGAAACTCTTTGCGAGGCCACCGATATCTTCTGGGAAGACGCAAGACAGAAACAAGTTGATCTTCAGGTTGTGCAGCACGCTGCATTACCCTCGGTGCTTGGCGACCAGCGTCGTGTGCGGCAAGTCATCACCAATCTGATCAGCAATGCCGTCCAGCATACTTCATCTGGAGCTGTCACTATCGAATCATGTGTTCCGAGTGGCGGCTGGGAATCCGATCATATCACAGTGGAAGTGGCTTTCCACGATACCGGGTTAGGTATGTCTTCGGAAACCGTCGAGACACTTTTCTGCGAGTTAGAACAAGTTTCCAATTCGGGATATCTGCGGAATCCTAATTCCGGAAAGACCTCAGATGAGTTGACGATGGAGACGGAGAGTGTCCTAGGATTGGGTCTCGCCCTCGTTGCTCGCATTGTTCGCAATATGAACGGGCAGTTGAATCTTAAATCTGAAGAAGGGAAAGGCAGCTGTTTCAAGATCAGATTAAAATTCCCATTGTCAGAGAAAGAAAAGCCTGACCTTCCAGAGTATTTGAAAGAAGACCCGGTGAATGGTGAAGACCCGGTGAATGGTGAAGCTTGTAATGTTCAACAGCCAGATGGTTCTCGGGTAGACCAAGTATCTTGCAAAACATGCACAGGCAAGAGCGAACACGGACGGATGCCAAACGAGGGGAATCAAAGCGAAGGCGTGACATGTCACTGTGGTGATGGAACATTCACTTCTCCGAGCAATTTGTTGGACGTTGATATCTCCCTCAAGTCGGGTGAGTCTCGATTGCTCTCTCTTTCCAAGCCCGAAAACGAACCATCCTGCGAGCCCGATCCGAAGACCTCCACCGAAGACAGAAACCAACGCAAGTCAAGTGAATCCTCGAGCATGCCTCAGATCTCCAAGCTCCGTATCCTCGTCGCCGAGGATGACCCCATCAACAGCACCATCGTGAAGAAGCGTTTGGAGAAACTCGACTACCAGGTTCAAATGACAAGCAATGGCAAGGAGTGTGCTTCTCTATACATGGAATGGCCTCACTCCTTTGATGCCATCCTGATGGATCTCCAAGTACATACTTACCCCGCTAGATCTGCCATCAAACTAACCCACCTCCCAGATGCCCATCGTGGACGGCACCACCGCTACGAAGATAATCCGAGACCACGAAGCCCAATCATTCGAGAACTGTCGCATTTCTATCTTCGCAGTCTCTGCTTCCTTGAAAGAGAGCGATCGACAGGCCTACATTGACGCTGGCTTCGACGGATGGATCATGAAGCCAATTGACTTCCAGCGCGTGAAAAAGCTGCTAGGGGGATTGGAAGATAAAGACAAGCGGGACTCATGTCTCTACGAACGTAGTACTTGGGAGCAGGGAGGCTGGTTTGAAGCTGGTGAAGAGGAAGCCTCATCTTAAGAAACGATGACGCAGATTACATTCCGAGGTTATGTCGGTCTAAGCTTGATTTGATATACAAGACCAAAAAGAAACATAAAAAAAAAAATACAACAACCATTTCCAATGCAAATGCAAGCACAATGTGATACTCGATGAAAGAAAACACGTCAAATCCTTCGTAAACATCCCATCTCAATAATACTCCTCTAGTCCGAGTGCGGAGAAATCGGGAACTGTATCGCCGCATGTAAAGGATGGCGAATAGGCTTTGCTGGGCATGAATCCATTCTTCCATGCAGTGCGGTAACTCCACTGCGCTGCAGACTCCGTTTGCCAGGTCCAGTAGAACCAGCCCTGTGCCGCCTCAAATGCAGCCATTTGCGCCTCGGCGTAGGTCTGCAGCCACTTCTTGTACGCGTCCGAGTACTCAGATACGTCGGCGTTTGCATCTGAGCAGATGCAGGTTCCATCGTCAGCTGTGGGACAGTAGGCTGTTGAGGAACTGGTATCATAGGTTCCCTCCCAGCGCGTGCCGCGGTTAACGTTATTAACGTATTGGGCACAGTCGGTGTCGGCTTGGGACCACTCGCCGCAAATTGTCGGGCCCCAGCCTGTGCTAGTGATGTTAATGGCTTTTATCATGGGCTTCCAGCTGTTGCAGATGATGTCGATCTTGGCAGTGTGGTTGAGGACGATTTCACCTGTGTTGAAGGTTGTGTACTGGTGGGTATCAAGGTACATGTTGTCGGGGTGGGTTTTAAACATAGTATCCCACTTGTCGAGATTGAGGAATCCGTCGTGAAAGACGATCGTGGCGTTGACTCCATTGTTACGCACAAGATCTGTGGCTTCTTGTGTCCAGTTGAGAACTGCCTCTGTGGACAGGGAGAGCATGAGTGGCTCGTTCACCAGACCGTAAATTGCCACGACGTTTTTGTATCGGTCTTGAGCGAAGAATGTGGACAGTTGGTCATGAATCTCGAGAGATCTTTGCCTGTTCAGGTCGCCGTCTGTTCCGTTCATCCACCCAATCTTGCCTTGGCGGCCACTGTGGTTCCACCCGTTCTGGCTACCTGGAATGCCGTGAAGGTCGAGGTTGACCCGAAGCCCGTATTTCCGACAGTACTCGATTGCACGGAGGAGGTATCGCCAGGATTGCTTGGCGACGTACGGGTCACCGTCGTACGTCTTGACAGCCCAGTATGAATACTGGATGCGGACATGATCGAGTCCGGCCTCCTTGATTTCGGCAAAGTCTGATTCAGTGATGAAGGTGGCATAGTGCTTTTCAATGGTAGTCGTCTTGGCGGACCCCAATTTCGTGGTCAATGTCCACTCATCGATGATGCCATCCTCAGATGAGTACGAATCAAACAAGGACGGTGTAATGAAAGGTTCAATTGACAACCACCCACCCAGATTCACTCCACGAATTGGCTGTGAGCCATAAGGGAACTTCTCGTTCAAAGGGGGCACGTTGTCGTTCGGCCTGGCAGTGTCGGACCAGGTTGAGTTCAGGCCCATGATAGACAGGCCACCGACGGTTTCGTTGGTAAAGGTGACATTGAACCCGTCGGTATCATACCATGTAAATGGATCCAGGTAAGTGCCCCGTGCATAAGCCTAGAGATGTAAGAGTCAGTAAAGAGTTCCGGAAGATATCCATTTTGGATGGCAACACACCGGGATATCCTTTTCACTCATGCCATCGAGGTTCGAATTACCAGGCGAGGTTGAAGATGAATCAGACGAGCCTGAGTCCTCTCCGCCGCTCTTGTTTTTTGCTCCGATAATAGCAACTGGGATAACAACCGCAAGCAGAGCCACCACTGCTACTATACTTCCAATAACAATGCGCTTCTTCCTGGACCAGTTTGCCCAGAACTTCCAGAATGGCCGTCTCGCGCCACTCTCATAGCTGCCCTCCCAGCTGTCTTCCTCTTTCCACTCGTCCATGGCAGGTCCACCACCTCCACGACGCCGCATTTTCATTTCCGGACTGCGACCTTCTTCCAGGTAGGAACCCGACGCGACTCGCGCACCAGATTTGCGCCTCGACCTTCCCTCGGCGAGCTCTTCACCAAGCTCGCCGGTAGCAGCTGCTAATGCAGCCTTCTTCCGCCGACGACGCTCTCTGCGCTCTTCATCATGGTCTCGAGACCGTTCACGTTCACGTTCACGATCCACACCTCGAGATCGCTCCGGACGTTCATCAAGATCTTGCCCAGAAGCCAGCTTAGCCAGTGCATTCGCACTTAGAAGATGAGACGCACTGCTCGTCGACTCGGTACTCTTATGCTTGCGCGCCGCCGGAAGAGCAGCAGCAGCCTCCAACTCTCTCGCTTTTTTCTCTCTCTCTCTCCTTCCTTTCCCTCCGTCTCTGTCTCCTCGCCTCGGCATCGGGATCCAAAGACCTCTCCCTCCCCTCCCCCTTAGCAGCCCTCGACCTCCTCTCCCTAACATCCTTCCCCGGACTCCCCTCCTCATCTCTCCTCCTCCCATCCCGATCCCTCTCCCGATCCCTCTTCTTCACCGGCGAGGTAGCAGGCGACTCTTTCGCCTTCGACCGATCCCTCCTCCTCTCCTCCACAGCATCATTATAAGCCCTCTCTCTCCTTCTCTCCTCAACAGCCTCATTATAAGCTCGCTCTTCGTCGCGTCGTCTTCGTCGTTCTCGGTGTTCGCGCCGCCGTTCATCTTCGTAGTCGCTTTCAGGCGTACCGGAATCATATGCGTCCCCGCGGAACTTGTATTTCCCACGCGAAGCTTCGGGACTAGATGCGCCTTCGTCCGCGTATCGGCCTGCGATATAGTCGCGTTCGCGATCGCGCTCTCTTCTCCGCTCCCGCTCGCGTGCGCGATCGCGCGACCCGCCATGACGGTCTCGACTGCGAGATGGGCCCGGCATGGCTCAGCCGATCCGAGGTATGTGGAAACTCGTTCTTCGAAGGGGTTTCGTTTCAGGGGAGGAATGGGGGGACGTGGAATGCCGGCGTGGCGTGGTCCCCCGCGGAACGTAACGTGGTGGCACAAGGTATGAGATGGTATGAGCGCCCGAATTCAGCCTTCGGGTTCGTAATTAAGGCAATTGGGTTTGCATGTCTTTCGCGGTTTGTTTCGAGGTCGGAGTGAGGTGGAATGGAGCTTGGGTGGTGAGTGTTGGTGCTGGCTAAACTTCGGGGTTTATGTTTTGCTTTTGCCCCATGCGCGTTAGTGCGGAGGGTGTCTAAATCGGGTTGCAGGACACGTAATGCCCAGGTAGTGCCCAGTCCTGGGCGCTTCCAAGTAGTCTGGGAGATGGCGATGCGGGAATCTGGATATACCATCATCTTTGTTTCCAAGGTTCTGTCTTATCTTGGATCTTGGTGGGGTTCTGGTTGTGCGGAGCAACGCCGGGTGGATCTTGAAGGCGCGAGTTAGGAGATCAGGGTGCACATGTGGGTTCCAGGTGGGCGGTTCTATACTAAATTACGGACTTCAGATCGAGATTCAAGCTATTTTGGTATTGCCAGCTTGAAAATATCGATGTTTATGGTATTTTCATGGATATATAGCACTAAAGACATTATATATACTTATTCTGCTGCCTTGAAAATGCAAGCTCCAGTCCTTCTAGACCAGAAGACAAAAATAGAAATAAAATGTCGTGCGTTCATCAATGAGGGGATGAGAACTCCAAGCATAGACGGGTAAATCAAACATGGATAACAGAGGTACCTCCCATAATGAAAAATAGGGATATCTGTGAATCTGTACAACTTTGAGACGAAGGAAGTATGAAGTAGAAATAGAAAACAAATGAATTGTCGCTGAGTCCGGGGAATCTAGAAGAACAAAATGGAGATGCCACAGGCAACCCGTCGTTTTCTGCAGATATCTGCAGTCAAATGTATGATAAAACATTCATAAATGGTCCGGACATGGCTTCCCCTTCTCAGCGGGGCTTTGAAGGTAGAATGAAGTCGAAATGGTGAGAGCAATCCGAGCCGAGTCAGTGGAGTGTGTGGAAAAGCCCAGTGGACAGACCAGTGGGCACCCAGCAGCGTAGATATAGTAGCATTGCCAAGGATTCGCAAGGCGAGCTGTTGCTCCGGTGTAAGCGGTGTCTACCGGCAGGAGACTTCAAAGACGAATCCGTATGACCGGCAGCATATTCTTCCAGGATGATGTGCTCAGCCGATGATCTGCCTAGAACCCTCCTTACCCAAGACACCAGGCTCAGTAGGCTTGGGACTGCGATCGCGGCCCTTCTTCCGACTGAGGAAGGACAGCATGCCACTGTTGGATCCCTTGCCCTTGCCATCCTCGCCCTGCAGCCCCTCTGCGGGAAGAGTTGAGCTGTGATTGGCAAGCTCACTCCAGCTGCCAGCCTCTTCAAGTACCATCTGCACTCCGCCGCCTTTGCTCGTTTTCCGTGTGGCGCCACGCTGGGGATTTGGAGGTAAAGGACGATGGAAGGAGGGAGCTGGAGGGGGAATGGGAGAGGGCGTTATGCGAGGAGAAGAAGGCGAAGGTGGCTGCGGGCCGGCCGAATCATTCGGGTCGAGGTTCGAACTGGCCGAGGTCATGTTCTCGTTTGGGGGCATTCGTTGGAAAGATCCCTCGTGTTGCGGGGTTGAAACGTTTCGGGCGGACGATTCAGGTTGCGAGGGCTGGCGGGCATGGTTTGTGGAGGTGGCGGTCGCGATAGAAATACAGTCTTCGGGGTTTCTGTAGAGAATGTCAACACAGTGCCTCCATATTAGATAAGATTTGAGCTCACATTGCTGCAGCGATGGCTTCCGCGGCAGTAACTTGGAAGCTGACGGTGGTGTAGTCGAATGGTTCAAACATTGTTTCAATCAGGCGATGAAGCTCATCTTCGCGAATCTCTTTGGCTGTAGCATCATCACGGAGTTCGGCGCGGGGCTTCTGCCGGCGAGCGCGGGCTTCCAGTGGAGCTTCCTCCAACAGCAGCTCCTCCAAATCATACGTCGCATCGAAATTGGTCTTGTCACTGGACGGTCGGAAGACTGGGGAGTACTCTTTGCGCTCAAGAGCTTCAAAGTCGATGTCGGCGAAGAACATGTGCTGGGTGAAGCTTTCCCAACTGATTGCACCGATGCGGCGACTCCGATCCTTCTCTATCAATGAGCCCAAGGCACGTAGACAGGGCACTGATACCGCGGGGTTGGTGACATGGTATTTCGGTTGTGCCTTCTTGATGTTTTCACTCAGAGTTTCCTGGCTGCGGCCTTCAAATGGTCGCTGAAGAGAGGTTAGACCCAACTCGACTTTAGCTGCCACAGAGAACATACCTTATTGTAGATGCACTCGTAGAAAGTAACACCTAATGACCACCAATCAACTTCGTAGTAATACCCAGTTCCTTCGTAGACCTCGGGGGCCAGGTAAGCTAAGGTTCCTGATTTGCTCGTGAGGGGCTTTCCAGGTCGGAAATCAGAGGCAACATTCTGGACCATCCGTAGTTAGCAGTAGTCAAAAGAAAAAGAAAAAAAAAAAGACTAGGGCAGCGGAACATACAAAATCGGCCAAATGGACATGCCCCTCGGAATCCAAAAGCACGTTGTCGGGCTTTAGATCCCGATGGATGATACCTTGAGAGTGAATATATTTCAAGGCACAACCAAGCTCTGCCATCCAAAAGCGCACTGCGTCCTCCGTGAAGCACTTGCGCGAGATATGAAACCGAAGATCGCCACCATTCATGAGATCGACCACGATATAGCTGGAGAAGGAATTAGCGAGCTGGCTCAGATTGGTGCCCAGTCGACCAAGACGTACATATACTCTATATCCTGGAAACTGTATCGCAAGTTGCAAAGGAAGGGGTGATTGAGATGCTCGAGCATTCTGCGTTCGCGAATAATGTTCCGTACACTCTCCGAGCGTACAACTGGAGATAAGGTTAGTGATGTTTCAGATGGGATCGGTGCGGGAGACAATATACCTTCTTCTTTGCGAATATATTTGAGGGCAAATGTCAAGCCTGTGTCTTTCCTCTCGACAATGCGAACCTTTCCGAAGGCACCTTTACCGACCACACGAAGGAGGCGGAAGTGATTGAGGTTGACTAAGGATAATCAGCACCAGCCCAGTCTACACTTCATCTGCTCCCCGCAATATGAAACCTACCTGCCTCATCGAAAGCCACGGGCTTTCCTTGGGAGTTTCCCATCGTGACGGGGCGAAACGTGAAACCGAGGTATTGTATGTTCGACTAGAGATCTAGCAACATCCCACTTGGTCGAAAAAGCTCAAAGGGACAGATCGCGTCCAACAAGCCCAGTACTTCAGCCACGAGCGGGGAAAGAAAGATAAAATGCGAGTGTCGATCTTAAATCACGAGGGCCATGGGCGATTGAAGGATCCCGAGGGCAGAATCGCGGAGCGGGAGGGGGTTGAGAGTAAATGGATCGCGCGTTCGAGGGTCCGCAGGTCGACGAGAACGCGAAGCGAGGGATCGGAGAGATGCGACAGGATTATGCAGGCATCCAAAGGGACATGAGGAATCGCAGGATATGTATATTCCAGATCTCAGGATGGGGAAAAAAAGTAAGGCGAGGGCCCGGGAAGCTAACAAGCGGCCAAAGCGGTACTGAGACGGGAAGGGAGAAACGCGCCGACGGAGGTAAGTGAGACGGAGCAGCTGAATGAAATACGTCCAAAGAAATCCGAAAGTGTCTCGTCTCTCAACCCTCAGCTCTTCCAAGGAAGGTTGAAAGAAAGGGGAGGTCGAGCGGTCAGGTCCAGGTGGCAGTAACGTGGCCAATCACCAGGTGTGAAGGAAAGGGGGGGAATTTGGTCTCTGTTTAACTAATTTACGATTTTACGATTTACGTTTTTCCTATTCCACTTGGTCTCTCTGAACTAATCCTCTACATGGTGCCGATCGACCTCCTTTCCCCTGGCGTGGGCGCCCTAGGCTTGGGTCTCGTCTTAACGGTGCTCCGCGCCTTCTCGGCCTTGCCTCGATCAAGTTCAAGTTCTGCACGCGGACCCACGGGCACCAAAGAAGAGTGAGAAAAAGAGGGTCGCAACTAGTTCGAGTCCGAACTAAGCGGGTCAGTGGAGGCTATGAGAATCGGTTGTGATCGTTCAGGCAAGGCGTGTCAATTGCAATTCATTCGATCAGGCCCTCGGATATGTGAACCAAAGCGGTTTCTGCCGGAATACCATCTCTGCTCTCCGAAACTTTGTGCCACCTGTCAGTGGTTTCGATCAACCCTCAATTGCACCAACCAGCGGGCCATATGGGCCATGGGCGTCTGACTTGTCATGGCCCTGCAAACCGGGACACGTCTCGTATCTCGTGGCCGCCACGTTGTTCCGTAGGCTGAGACGCAGGAGATTACATATGCATGGAAAGGGATTGTCTCGGGCCCTGTCGTACAGAAACGGCTGTGGAACTGCGGCAGAACATTCGACACGTCTTTACGTGCTGACACGGTGTGATCAATCAACCAACAACCTCCCTGCTGATTTCCCACGACCTTGCGAAAAGGGGGTTGAGAACCCTGTAGACTTACCCATGACTCCGTAACTCGTGTCGAACCCACGTCTTAAAGGCTAGCGTCACAAGCTCGCAAGCTATAACAAAGAACGCACACTTGGCAAATGCTCGAAATCGCCCCCAATGCCCCTCATGGCCTTTAAAGTTACTGGGCTGGACCCGGGGCCCACTGGGCGTGAAGCAATCGGCATCCTTTGCTGTTTCATCCGACGAAGAAAAGATGGCCCCTGCTGAGACTTGCAGTTTCATAGTCGGACTTTTGCCTGGGAGACCGGACCACCCGAGTCAGGATCGGGCTAAGGCTGTAATTCTGAATTTCTGGAGAGCATGTATTTAATTCCTGTCGATCTTCGGCGCCAGCTTGTGACGCCGAAGCCGTAAAGCTAACGGAGTGGGCTCGCTTGCAGTAGCTCGCCACCGATCTACCGATATGTAGTCCATTACTCCATTTTAATGTGTGACCTTTGTCATTGGAGGATCGGTAGATGACTTCGCCTTCCTCACCCGCATTGACAGCAGTCTGTGCAACGCTACGAGCCATATCACCACTTACCTTATCTATGATCTGCATCTATACTAGTGAAGATGTGCCGAAATCAAAATCATCAATTCGCGCAAGGTTACTAAACGCAAAATACTGTACAGGCCCAAATTCCATGTCTGTTTTTTTTTTTTTTTGATTCGCCAGGAGAGAGCTCCACGAACCGGAATATGAAGACCAAAGCGCGGTGTAAATAGTCGTCTCCCCAAACCTCACAATGCCTCAAATGCACTAAATCCCCATACCAGACCCGAATCGTGCTAGACCACTGGAAAAACACTCTGCCGGATCTAGTGCTCACAAATTGGAACGAATTGTTGTAGGGACCATGAAAATGATCCAAATATGCTAGAATATGACACGAAGAAAATACGAATCAACAAGAGTACGGTGCCAGATGCTCACTATGTTCGAGCTGGCGGCATTGAAGTCACGGGAGGCGCACCTTCCTTCCTTGACTCCATTCTTCCTCCTCACCTCGTGACATCTCTCTTTCTTATATCCTGATCTCGATTCTTCAGATCAGATTGCAGGAAGACTCACGGAGCTCAATGGCCACCGGAAGTCTTTCACCATACTTCAAACCTCGGCTAGGCCCAGCGCCCCAAGGCCGACCCATCCAAAGACCACCCCTGCTAATGCAGCGCCCTCAGAGCTCGGGAATTGACACGGCAGGGTTCTCATTTGCCAAACCTCCTACCAATCAGAGGGGCTCTTCTTTGCGACCTCCTCCCAAGCAAGGTCTGATCAATCTCAATTCACCTTGGGCTGCAGCCACAGTCGAAGACCAAAATATAGACGACGGACAGGAGGCGCAGTTTTCTGTAGCGAAAAAGCTGTGTGTAATAGCTACTATGTCCCGTTGAAGCCTTGACTGACATTTGTGCGTAGTCCTGCGAGGCCAAATGTCGAGCATCAGCCCAAAGGTCTTTCACACTCTGGTGAAGACAGTTCACCACATGCGGCGCAGGATGATCCCCTATGGACCCCGGGTCCGAATCACGACAAGTCGTTGAAGGTAATTGCTGAAGCTGCCGCCTTCAAGAAGAATCAGTCATCGAAGCCAGCAACTGGATCCAAAGCAAGAACTGACACCGTTTTACCCACGGGCCCCGGCACTGATATAGATACTGAGGTATGTCCCTTTCATATCGCTTTAGAGTTCTTTTGCTCATCATCTGAAGGCCAACACATCTCGAGCAAGCTCAATTCGACCCACTCATGATCGACATGGAGGAACCACTTCAGGGAGTCCAATTTTCATTGCCTCCCAATCACTGATCCGCCCCAGCAATGACTATCGAGTGTCTAAGCGATGTCGACAATCCCAGAAGATTGACCAATCTGCTCGAAAGCATTCGTTTCCTGGAAAGCCAGACTTCAAGCCGCCGTCCGAAGAAAAACTTTTCGAACTACTCATCAGGAGAATCAGGCAGCGTGAAGAGCAAGAAGCTGCAACCGTCGAGCTTCAGTGTCAACTGGAAGAACAGAACCTTCAGTTGAAAGATGAGAATCAAAACTTGAAGCAGCAACTGGAAGCAGATCACGAGAAGCTACGGAAATCTGTTGTAGAGTTAAAAGAATGTCGGACCCAGATGGACCACTGGAAAGAAAAGCTTCGCAAATTCAAGAAAGTGGTCAACGAACTGGGCAAAGAGTACGACATTCTCCGGGACGATTTGAACAAATTCAAAGTCGCAGCTGAGTCGCTTGAGAAAGAAAAGTCCAGCCTTCTGCAGTCAATTGATGGCATTCGGGTTCAAATGGCGCGCGCAGAAGGTATTATCGATGAGCAGAAAGTTCAACTGTCAGAAGTTGAGTCTCGTGCTGCTGTTCTTCGACGAAGCCTGGAAGCTGCAAGGGAAGTTAGGGACCTGGGCAAATCGGAGTTGATCAACGAAAAGAAACGATCTGCAGTCCTGGAATCCTATATCCAGAACTGTGCTCGAAATCAGACCCGGCAGTTACTTCTGATTAGAGAAGACCAGCGCAAGTTGGTTGAGAGCTTCGACTCGGGCATCCAGTCTCTTTCCGAGGAAACAGGTAGTTCTAAGGAAGCACTTCTATCGGAAGTCAGAACATGTGCCGATCAACTTTGCACGTCAGTTGAGATCTTGAGCGACAAATGTACCGCTGAGAGGATGGAGGTCCAAGATTTCACAGATACCGTTCATGACGCAGTTTCTCGGTGATTTCTATCTTCCAGCAATCAAAAGCCACACACTAATCTAATGGACCAGCTTAGACACCATGTCAACTCAATTTACCTGCAGTATCGAGGCGGGCACCATATACAACGCAAACGTGTCTGGAAAGGTCCAAGAGAGCCTGCAATTAATTGAAAGACATCTTGGAGCCGAATCAACGCTACTTCAACAGCTTGGTAATTGCGAGAGCTCTTATGAAAGTCTGAAGAGAATACTTGCGGCCATGGAGCCTACGCTAAGCACTCTCGATATTTCTGTCCAGTCTTTAACGACTACTGAAAGCAGTTTACTCCGGAGGCTCAGCGAGCTTTGCGAGAAGCTAGCCGAGGCGCAGATTCAACCATCTAACCCGGCTTTGGAATTGGAGTTGTCGAACAAGTACGCCGAGAATACCCAGCTTCAGCTTCAACTTCAAGAGATTTCACTCAAGTCCGAAAATCTCCGCCAGCGACTCGATGAACGCGAAGCACAAACACTTGCAGTACAACGGTCGTTAACAGAAGTGACTGCAGAATGCCAGAAAGCCGAGATCCTCAACCAGAGAATCGTAACCGAAAAGCTGGCTATGCAAGGCGAAGCCGCGTTGGCCGAACAGAAGATTCGACATGAGCTCATCACGGAAAACACCACAATAACTGATCGCATTAGAATCGAATACGAGCAAAAGCTGCAGACACTTCAAAGGGAGAAGGACGATCTTGAGGATAGATCAGAAGAAGTCCTTGTTCAGCTTGGGGGTGTTCGTGATTCCTTAGTGAGCGCAATAATTGACTGCTTGCTGACAATTACGCTAACAACATCCAGGTGGAAGCTAAAAGTATTGTTGATGCGCAGCGCAAAGATCGTGAGGCTTTGGTACATGGCCCGCCTCAATTCTTCCACCCTCTGCTAACTCTGTTAATCAATACAGGCTGAGGAGACTGGGCAGCATATTCAAGAGCTCACCGCATGCTACTCCGAGGCTATGGCTAAACTGGATTCTCAGGCAATGCTCATCGAGCAGTATCAGGAAGTGGAAACGGTATCGATCATCGAGAAAAGCGATATTCGGGAACAACTCAAACAGGCCCAAGAAAAGATTCAAGAATTTGAGCGCGCATTGGTATTAAAGGACGGGACAACAAACCAACCGGAACGTCCTACCAATATTGTACCTTTTGCGGCCTTTGAGAACAGGATGTCTCCAGATGTAGACCTGTCGCCGTATGATGACCCGGCTGACTTTGCAATGCTCTTCATCACAGACGAGTCAGCCCCGCCGTCGCCTGCTGCGAAACCCATCAAGCCGCTCCCAGTCAACATTGAAAGTGCCCCAGCAACAAATGATTTGCCACGGTCAGTGAAAGACGACAAGCGCGTCTTCAACATTCTAGAAAATTCAGACCAAACTCAAGTCCACAGGAAGCGAAAGGCCATCAATTTCGACGCAGTGCCCTCTGTAAAGGACTCTAAAGCGGCTATAAGGACAAATTCTGGCTCAATGCAGGCCCAAGAAGGCCTCGAAGATCACCATAATAAATCAGCAAAGCACGTTCACAAGTTCACATACAGTCGTGTTCACACAACATCTACCAAGATTCAACAGGAGCAATCCACTGGTCCCGCGCGGCCTTCCGTCACCGAGCGACCGACTAGCCCAAAGGGCCTTGTTTCTGCAAGCAGTGGAAATCATCTCGCTGACAAGCCAAACACCCGCAGCCGTGGCAGACGCCGTTCACGAGGTATGTGAGCTCATCCGCTTTTTCCCCCTGCTGACTTGGATACTGATGAGCATCAACAGGTGAACGCTATGATGCTCGATTCAGCCAAGAGGGCTGATACTCCAGGTCAACGATGCGAAAGCAACAACCGACTCAAGCATATCGCTATCTCTTCAGCAACCACCCTGATGCTTCTGATAGTGACAACAAGCGGCATATCATGTTATAGTATGCATGAGTTATATCTTGCTCTTTTCAAGTCTCATTCTCAGAAGGCCGTTTAGTCTTACCGCAGTCCCCCATATTAACCCTCCTTGATATTCAAGAAGATGCAGTGATGCTGTTATAATTGAATTTTATTTTCAGTTGAGAACCCAAAGCACTTATGCTCTAAAACGCCAGACACAATGCTCCATCAAAGAGAAGTCCACTGCAGAGCAGTCAAGTACAGGAACGTAGTCCTTACTCTTCCCAGGATATAATGTACACAAAAATTGATACACGCTCCACACATGCCTGTGCAACGATTGCCGTTTCCAAAGCTCGAGTCCGGGGTCGTGATCGGGGTAAAAGTCAAGACCTCTGAAATCGCGATTCATTGTCGAGGCCGCGGGTTTCGAGTCCGAATCGGTTATATTTTCAGACGATTATCGTCGACACCAAGCGAGAGAATGCAACGTCGATTATTTCGCCTTTCCACCCTTGGTCGCCTCGAGGAACAGCACCTTCTTCTTGACGACGGGGTCGTACTTGAGCATGCTGAGGGGTCGATGCACACGCGGGCGCATCATTGTGCGGTAGTAGCCCGTCATGGCCATTGAGATCAGCCGGACGGCGATGGTGCGTGACTTCGCTGTTAGAGGAAGGGTGTTAGCAGTTTGGTCCGGCGGACGGGTGTTGCCGCGTCAGAGCGCGAGCGCGAGTACGAATTGGTATGGTGAGGTATTGGGAAAGGGTGATCTCAGGGGGCATGGTGCAGAAGGACTTACCTTTCTTCGCCATTTTGCTCGACGTCCCGGGGTATTTGTCTGGATATTCGATGGGTTGGAAATTCGAGGGCGGATACGGGCAAAACCGTGAAGGTCACGTGGTGGGATGGGCTGATTCACCGCCCGCGTTTTCTTGGAAGATATCGGCTCTTAATATGCAAAAACCGGTAGGCTTTGATGGACAGGTTTCTGCAAAATAAGACGCATCAGTTTGTCAGTTTGGCCGAGTGGTTAAGGCGATTGACTCGAATTTCCGATATCAATTCCGTTCGCGGGCGCATGTTCGAATCATGCAGCTGACGATTTCTTTTTGCTTTTCTCTTTTTACTTACTAGACAGGCCGTGGTCTAAAGGTAAAGACGAAGAACAGATCAATTGAAGAGGATGTCTTATGGTCGACAAAAGCCCCATAATAACAATATGAACCTTATAAACCTTGGAAGGGAAAAAAGAAGATCAATCTTATTTTTGTAAGGCATAATAGAATAATTCTTGAATTGTCAAGTGAAATATTTGCGGTAATGGCCGACAGATTTATCGAATCAAGATTAGATTAACAACAATAACGAAAGGTGATTCAACTTCATGTATTTGTTTGGAAGCAAGGGTACTAAAGCTTGGGACTAAGAAAAAGTGGTGAAGACGCGTACTGCCTTTCAAGTAATGATTACTTATATTACTTTATTGACTGCCAAGACGAACTACAAAATTGGTTGTGCAAGAAGGCCATTTTGTGTTTTGAGAGAGAAGCTGCGGGGCGATGAACCACTTCCCCTGTCTCATGATCCGTGGCATTGCAACTATCCCAATTCCCATGATAATAAAGCTGGGAGGAAACGCCGACATAGGTGCAGCAGCATTTATAAAATATCTATCATTTCAGGTTGTCCCTCAGAAGGTGGAGCAGAAGACAAGAGTACCTACTATTTCGAGGAAGGAGATCGCTATACAGACATCACACGTGGAAGCTAAGTTGTAATGAAAGAGACTCGATTAGCGGAGTGGGGTCTGGGGACTTGGAACAGTAAATTCTATCCGGAGAAGTAACTTCTAGATCTCAGACTTATTATTACACCTAAGATACGGCATATCCAAGAGAGAAGACATCATCGTTCAAGCTCACATCCACGAGCAGCACGGCACGACAGCACCGCGCCCGGCAACACCCTTCTCCCCAAACTTCTCAACATACCACTTACGTCCCCAGCGAGCATGAGGCAGCATATTCGCAACCGCATTGATAACAAACAACACAGCAGGCAGCGGTAGCGGCAATCCATACTTGTCAGCAGCCCACACAGCAGGAATGACCCACGGCGCAGGATACATTTGAGGCGCAACGCCGATGTCAGCACCAACACTAGCAACATTCGTCTTCGCAAAGGCAGCTAGAGGAAACACGGCTGTACCAGCCAGAGCAAACCCAGTCCACTCGATCCACTCAAAGACATAATGTGGGTACAAGATAGATCGGAACACGCCCTGGACAGGTGGGATCACGTAAACCTTGTGGTACTTGCCATCGCCGGCGGGAGTCCGGGAGTCCGATTTCTTAGCGGCTCGTTTCTCCGCTTCTTCTCTTCTGAAGCGGAAGAGAGCCTTTTCGGAGTAGATGTTTCCCGCCATACCGATGACGAAGAGTGCGACGCCAATGAGGGGGAGAGTCTCAAGTAAGGGGGAAGGGGAAGATAGGGAGGTAGCCAATGCGCCAGTGCCATCTGTCTTGAAGTCGGGGACCGGGATGGCATATCCGCGGACCCAGCCTGCAATGCAGGAAGAATTGAGCCAGTTGAATGCTATGGCGCTAGTCATGACGAATGCATGGATGGGCGACATGCTAGGTGCTGAAAAGAAAGGGGAGATGATGCCGCGGTTGAAGTAGTGGATGCAGTAGAGAGCTGCGACGAGCTGATTTGATGCTGGAAGCTCGGAGAATGATGGCGAGCCAAAGGAGAGATTGTATATTAGGTTGATAGGGCCGACAATCTCCATTGCGAACCATGCAATTCGGCCTGGAATGTTCAAAAATGAGCTTTGCAGGCTGGTTTTGCCGGCCGGGTGCCAGGAGAGGAGCCATTGAAAAACTGTACACTATTCTGTTGTTAGAGTATTATTCTTCGTAAGGGGTTTGGACTTGTGTTACTTACAACAGGGAAGTATTGGAAGGTCGTGAGTAGGGTTGTGTAGGCTGCTGGGCTTGGTGGGAAGAACTCAGTCGGCGGGGGCAGTGAGGCCCAGATGATGGAAAGGGAAGCTCCCATGACGATCTGAGAATGAAACAGATTTATGGAAGAGAGATACGAAGAAAGGGACATTTAAAGTGAAGCTAGGACTGCCTGGGTAAAAGGGCAAAGCATGAACAAGGCGGTGATGTGATTTGCCCAAAGAGGAAAGCGGTCATGCCGGGCTGCATCTATCGGTCTGCATTGGATCTGAGAACTATATACTTCCAACAAATACCCTTAGCCAGCCGAGGTGTCCATCTGCTCCGGTGCCTTCTTGCCAGTCTTTTCCCTGACAAATGCGTCGATCCTAGCCTTGAGCGCCGTGTCTGGTAAAGTTAGCAATGCATCGGGGGGCGAATCTGCAACTAGGGTCTTACCGGGTATGACGTCCTCCATTTTCAAGGGGACACGGTTGAAGGGATCGTGGGGATCACTGAGCAAGTGCGTGCGGATGGTATCCCGATCAATTGACATCCGGGAGTTGGGCAGGATAACGGGATCTTCCATGAGTGTGTACATGAGGGGATCTAGTTAGAAAGTTAGCATCGCCTTCAGGTATAGAGGCATTAGGAGTAAACGTACCGAGGAAATCATCAGGAATTTCGCCGAGATCCTCCTCGGCCTGATCATCAATTGCTTTGGCCTCGAAGACCTTCTTCTGAAGCTGACTCCAGCGGCGCATTTCTTCCGGTGACTTCAACGACCACTTGCGCAAGATCTCAGCAGCCTTCTCAAAGTTCGCGGGCTTGTAGGAACGTCCGTCACGGGCAACTGCTGTGATAAAGTTTGGCTTGCCCATCAAGTTCAGATACACGTCGGTGATTTCGCTGAGAAGAGCTCGGGGGTTGAACCCGTATTCTTGCAAATTATCCACGCGGAGGGTGGAGCTCTTCGGGCCAACCATGGCATCAAGGTTGTAATCCAGCATGTCAGCTAGACGCTGGACGATCTCTGGCATGGTAAATGAGTCGGCCAGTGCCTCTGTGAAAAGCTTGAGCATGGCAACTGTCTCATTGGTAAGCTGCATGTATGACTTGGCACTTCGCTGCGCAGATGACAGGTGCTCTTCGCGCTCCTGCCGGGTGGTCTGATCCATCGAGCTGCCTTCCCGCGCAAGCTCAATCTGAGTGGTATTGATGGTCTTGAATGCACCAAAAGACTCGTCAAGCACATAAGTCACGTCGTTGAGGAGCAGGTTGACAAATCGGACGAAAAAGTCCAGGTTCTGACTCGCCTGGATGGACAACTTTTCGCGGTACAGCGTGTTGGGCCAAATACACTTAATGATCTGGAAAATCTCGTAACGAATGTTGAACTTGTCAAAGAACTGAGTGTGGGTGCCAGTGTGTTCTGCTTCAATGTAAAATTTCATGACAGCATGTAAGAGATATTCGTTGGCGAACGGCATCGAGTTTAGCAAGTCTACAAGGACACCAGTTGCACCACCAGGGCGAGGCCAGGTTCCGCGGAACAGAATCGAAACCAGACCAGCCTTCAAGTATGGGTTTTTGATGTATGCTGAGCTCTCAAGGAAAACAATGCAGAGCATCACGAGCTCATCACCTTGCGTGGCAGTGATAATTTGGGGCATGCACCACATAATGAACTTGAAGTTGCTGACAATGTCCTCCAGGAAATACTCAGGCAGGCATTTGAAGACCTCTGGCTGCTCTTCGGGAAGAGGCAAAGAAATCTGCTGCTTGGGGAAATTCACGCCCGAAACGAGTCTTAAGAGCCATACGGTGACGTACCTCATGAACATCATTGAGCGACCCTGCCACTGGTCGTCAAAGAGCACACCCTGCAGGCTGTACTTCAGCGCAAGGCCCAAATCAAGTTTGTCTTTGTACTTTTTGAGGGCCTGTTCATATACGCGAAGTTGCATGGGGTTGCTCATCCACCTATGCCGTTCGAGCTCAAACTTGGTTATGGTAGATTCCATGTGTCGTAGATCCTTCTCGAGTTGATCCAACTTGGAAGTCAAGGATTCGCTGCCATAGTGGTGGGCGGCAACCGTCAAGAAGAAGATCTCTGTGATAAAGTTCGAGGTTCCTTCGGCCTTTTTGGAATAAAATGCATCTGAAGCATGTTGATCTGCGTTGATCTTGGTCTCATCGCGCATATCCACGCGGGAGTTCCGGTGAAGGTACTCTGCATCGATTCTATCGATTTTGCTGAAACTTGCGTCCATGAACGGCTCGCAGAGCTGGTCCAGACATGTGGTAATATTAAACATGAACCCGTCAGATGAGACTTGCGTGGGGTCGACCTGCATAGCCCGTCGCTTATGGTTGATATTCAAAGCAGTAGCGAACCAATCCAGGACTTGATCCCGGGCCTCTTTCGAAGCACGGATCATATGATTGATGACATCAAGAAGATCTGAGCTGATTATTTGTTGTGTCATGCGAAGAGATCGCTGGGCATTCATAATGTATGCCTGGTCTCTAGTTTTTGGGCTGGAGAAGAATGACATCGTCACGGTGGATTGAAGGGGCGACAGGCGGAACCACGGCCCCAGAAGAGTTTCCTTCTCGAACTGAGCTGGGTCTTTCGAAGCATTGAAAACGGAGGACTCTGTAATGGCGGCAGCAATAGCCGAATGACGGACAAGATTGCGCAGTGCCGTGCAGTAGGATTTGTAGTCGTCATTGGCATTCTTAGAGGATAGCTCGGCGCTTAGCTCCTCCACTGCCGCAATGAAAGCAGGCTTAACGCTCTCGTCCTCGTCAAATCTTTTCACAGCCTCGCTGATAAAGTCGAAATCAATGCCCTTGTCATCTTCAGGATCCAATAGTAGATACTGCGCTAATGGAGAGCGTTCGGGGGAGTCCAACCCGAACATCTCGGGCATCGTAATGGCGAAAATGCAATAGCTCATGCAGAGACGTCGCGCCTCGCACAGCACCTGGAACTTCGGTTCATCATCCCGTACCTTCCGGAATCCTTTATAAAGTTTTGTGATGCGCTTCCAGCATGGAAGCAAGTAATCAAGCGGACGCTGCTGCTCCAGGTTCGACGCAGCCTCCAGTAATGCCTGATCCAGGATAGACGTTTGGATCACGAGATCCTTACCCTCACCCTGCAGCTCACTCTGTAATCCAGGGAGGAATATCCGCTGCCCATTCATATCACGCTGTGCGTTTTGTTTTAGGGTCAGCCTGAAAACTGCGCCCAATGTGCGGTCCTCAAAAGACTCGATGCTCTCCTGCTTTGTTAGAGGAGGGGTTGCGGGCGAGGAGGGCGCAGGAGAATGAGGTGTCTCGGAAGCAGAAGTCAAAGGGGTGATCTTGATCCGCTTGCCTTCCGAGAGTCGTGGTGACTGTGTCGTGGAGGCTGGCCCACTTTGTGGCTCGGATGACTTGTGTGCGGACAAAGGCGATCGGGTAGGGGAGGGGCTCGAGGCATTCGCAGACGGCTCGGCAGGGCCATCAGTTGGTGAAGGTGGCGTTGGGTTGGAGAGCTTCGCCAGGCGCTTGTTGCGGATCTGAAGCACACGAAAGATATCTCATCAGCAGCTGCGGAGTAAAACGCTTTGACTCTGTGATAGAGGTGGCGGTTTACTGACCTTCTCCGCATCAGAGAGGGTATCCGACATATTGAGGGGAGGGGAGTCTCCGGTGTTTACAACGCGAAGCGTAGATATGTGCCTTTGTCGAGCGCGAGTTAAGTACAGAGAAGCGCGGGCGTCTAGGTGAAAGTTGGGGAGTGCGGGAGCCGCCAGGGCGATATGATCTGACACCGATTCAAGGCGAGATTCGCCGTGGGAAAGACTCCGTGAGTAATACTTTCCAGCTCCGGTCAAACGACGTTGCAAAAAGAGGGGGAAATGAGGGAAGCCGCTCGAGGTTCGGTCGTGGTCCCCGAGATTCCCTCGCATGTTCGGTATGATACGCCTTGACTAAGCAGATTTGCGAAGCCTCAGAATCAAACACTCCTATGCTGCTTAGAACTTTAGTTTACCTTCTGTCGAATGAAATATCTGACGATCTGCATTTTTCATAAATTAATTTATGGCTGAGAATCTAAAGATCGATATAGAATACACTCTAAGCAAAAGGAGTGGCCTCAATATCAAAGTATTCGATCGAGTCACGGAGACCAAATGCATTGAGAGTAAATGTACATCAGAAAAGTCCATGAAACCCAAAGACGCCGCCCATCGCACATGTGATATCGACACCCTGGAAAGAATAGAGCAGAGCAGAATGAGAATGGGAATGGGAATGAGAATGAGCTAGGCCGTGAAGCCCGAATTAGTCCTCAGTACTTCCCCCTGAGCGAGTCTAACATCCGGCAGTGCGTCAATTCCATAGCCCGCGCTTCCTTCATCTTCTCGATATCCGGGAAAAACCACCCCTGGGCTTCCTGGATCATCCGCTCGCGGGCGTTGACCTCGCGGTCACAGTCATACTTGAGTGATGACACATAGTCCAGTTCCACGCGCTGATCGAGCTGACGGAATTTCCGTTGACTAAAGTCCTCCACATCGACCGGATTGACATAGTACCTGAGGTCAAGCTTGGGCGTTGTGCGGCCCATGGTGTGCGGGGTCAAAGGATTGCCGAATCGGTATGTCGGACCGGCCGAGGTTGAAGGACCAGAGAAGAGAGAGGAAAGAAGAGGAAGAACGAAAAGGAGGAGGAGAGGTAGTAGTTGGCGAACAAGACCCCAGCCATCAACTGGAGGCTCGGACTGTCCGCTAGCGGTTGGGCGAGGTCTGCGGCGGGGGACGCCTCCTCCAAATTGATGCATACGAATGCCCGGACCGCCTCCTCCCATATTGAACACAAACTGGGGACCACCTGGACCATCGGGTTAGTTACGAAAGATGCCGGATCATGTGGGCTAAGTCATACCAAATCCCCCATCGAACGGGCTACCACCACCCATTCCTCCAAAGCCTCCGTTGAAAAAGCGAGCGAACAATTCTTCTGGGGAGATTTCTGTGGCATACTGAGCACCTCCTCCCCGTCCCCCACCGCCGAATCCAGAACCCGCCGATGGACCAGGGGCGTGTTTGGCGTTGGGGTCGACTCCGGTCTGATCGTATATGTTCCTCTTACTGTCATCATTGAGGATCTCGAATGCGTATGCAACCTCTGCCGCGAGATATTAGAAGTCGATCCAAGGATATACAAGTCTGATGATCACTCACTCTTAAATGCTTCCGCCGCGTCTGGGTGTTTGTTCTTGTCCGGATGTGATAACAGACTTTGTTTATAATACGCCTTCTTGATCTGTGCCGCCTTTGCAGTTTTCTCGATAGCTAGAATCTCGTAAAAGGCGCTTGCCGAGCATTTTTTGATTCGCAGGGCAGCGGCCTCCTGTTCGGGTGTCCAGGTGGCGTTCTGGTTGCCCTGCTTGTGGTCGCGCGATCTCGCGGAGCCCGCACCATTGGCGTCAGATCCTGAAGCCTTCGCAGATGGCATGATGGTCGACGGTGCAGAAAACGTATCGCAGACGGCTCTGAGGGGTCACGGAGGGAGGGAGGATGAGATTGGTAAGGGTGGCGTAGGGCGGCGCAAAAAGGGAGCCCGATCCCCCAGGACAGACAGGTAGTCTGCACAAAGATCAAGCAAGTAATCGCTGGCGTGGGGAATAAAATGCGAACAAAGAGCGTGGTTGACTCGGGGGAGGCGCAAAGAGAAAGATTAGGTGTCTTCGCCAAGCGGGTAAACGCCAGTTGCGCTTATCCGTGGTATACGGCCTTCAACTTCACCCGCCACCCTCCCAAATCGACTTGACACCCACACGGACCTGCTTTAGCGAGAGGCTATCAATCAACCCACCCTTTCTCCATAGATTCACTCATACCTTTCAATTCTTGAACGACACCCGATCCAACATGGCGGATTCCACTATCGAAGGAGCAAAGAAGACGCTCGTGCAGCGTTTTAAAGCCTGGGGCGGTACGTCCTCGGCAATTTCAGCCCTTCCAGACCTTTACATCTAGCAATGCGCATCGAAGACCCCTAGCGGATTGCAAGGCGCCGGACAAGGCTAACATCTCCGATCAGAAAACTCATTCCCGCCAACGGTGCTCGCCTCGCTAATCTTCGCGCAACATGCCCGTCCCTTTCAGTTCTTCCCAATGCTCTTCCCTCCAGCCCTGCTTTTCACCAGTTATGCGAATATTCAAGGATTCAAGACAGACAGTGCCGGTATTCAAGCCGCCTGGTCCGGATTGTACCTGCTCCTAGCCGGCCGGCGGCGACAGGCTTTCGCGAATAAGCTCGGACCTCGCGGGATCGTTCGCGGCTTGACTATGGGTCTTTGCTTGGTGAACATGGTCGGAGGTGGTCTGGCTTATACCCTTGGCAAGCGTGAGGAGGAGGAAGTCCAGAAATAAGCTAGTGCATAGTGGTCACGCGATGCACTTCTTCCGTCTCAGTGTATGATATATTAAAAACGGTAGGGTCACATGCGCGGGGGGTGGATGAAACGGATTTGGCGTCGATGTACGAGGCGTTCATGCTATCTTAATGTAACATATTGTCCAGCCCGGGAAAAACTTCACAGTTTTATATGTGGAGTATTCTATTCAATTGACTATGTACAACAACAGTCTTCAGATCTTAGCGTCTTCAGAGTACGGCTTTTCGCACAGAACGAACTGCCTTACGTTCTCCGGAACAAGCCAATCCAGATCCTCTATAGCAGACTGTGTTGCCTGCCGTGCTTTTGTAGAGCTCACAGAAGGTGCACCAGGAGCCCTTCCCTCGACAAGTGTGATCCGCTGTGCCCATTCCCTGCGGACGCCGTTCTTCTCCATGTCACCACGAGCAATGCTGTCGACGAACTCTCGCTGTTCTTCTTTGCTCCCCCATTCGTCACTCGGTCGCAACGTCACACGCAATCGATGTTGCGAGAAGAGAGGAATAAGAGGCTTCAAGTTATGCTCCGGAGGATAATATTTGGGGTTGAGGATACGGATCAACGTATCGTATCCTGTAAGATGGACCTGTTCAAGCGGAGTAGGGTAGAAATCGCATGCCTCAATTTCTGCAGCCTTGTCAACAAAGTAAGGCTTTTTCGTCACGCCGATGTCAATTGAGGGAATGTTCTTCATTTCCTCGGTGGGCTCAGAAGAGGCCATGTTTGCCTTTGTGTTTGCCAGGTGTGTGCGCAAGTCGTGCGCGAATAGCTCCATCATGGCAAGCCGGTCCTCGAAAGGTGCGGGTTTGGTCGCCTTGTCAGCATTCTGCGTTGCTAAAAGAAGGAGTAGTCGGGAGCTTGGGTCGAGTCGTTCCAAAAGGGCTGTGCTGGCAATGCGGAGATGGGCGCATGTTGGGGGATTGAATGACGAGTCCAGCACGTAAAGGGTCTTTGCGGGAGAATTTCGCTCGGTAGAGACGCTGGTCAGGACTTCTAAATCTTTTGCAGAAGCTGCAAATTGTTGCAAGAGGGAGGCGTACTTAGTACGAAGCACCCGAAAGGATGCCATTGTTGGTGAGTTTGAAGATGTTGTCATGACGCGATAGTCGACTGGAGCGGCGATAATCCCCGATAAGCTATCTTATCGTCTTTATCGCGGTGGGCCAACATTATACGCTGAGTTTTGTAGATCCTGATCTAGATCAAATAGCTTAGGAAATTCAGAAGCAGTATGGCGATCCTGCGCTTCTTTGAGCGAAAATATACATGTCAGCAGTAAAATCCATCTCCGTTGATGGCCTTCTGTGTATATTGAACTGCCTAGGTGGTTGACCTTGCACCCCCCACCGCGATCCTTGATTTGTAACTAGTACTCAGGTGCATGAGAATGTTCAGCCCTGACGATCTCCAATATATAGATCCACTGCCCTGATTCGTCTGCCTATCAGGGTCTAGTCGACCGGCCCGATTCCCAGAGTTGTAACTCCACCCAGGCCGAGCCCTGGAACGCCCAGGTCCATGCGGTCATCTTCCTTCCGCTCGTGAACAATAAAGAGTGGATTTTCATTGAATGCTGCATGTTTCTTTTTGAAGCTGACCGGCGAACGTTGAATGGCTATCTCGTTAATCGTTAGGTTGTCTCGATGAAAGAACTCGACAATAACCCGAAATAGGATAACTACTGCAGGTTCTCTCTTACTTTATTAGAATCGCACAGGGAATCGCGCGTAATACAAATTGCTTGAAGGATCTAATAATATGACGCAATGGCGAGGAACGGTTCAATTAAACTGATAGCATGGTTGAAGAATACACTTCGGCATTTAGTCGGTACCGAACCATCTCCGAGTTTCCCGCCGAGTTTCGTCCCCGAAAGCAGCAGAGCATTCGCCGAACTATGCGCAAAAAATGACTCAAAGTTGATTGCGGCATTCTATGGGAATAATAAAGGCCTTTCAGCCTATCATGCTTGGAGACTAGCGATCTGGGAATCTGATACATTACGGTCTATCTCGGAGATTGGTCGGCGCAAGGATTACGTATATACTACTTCATGATATGTTCTACCTATAAATACCATGGGATCCCTTCGGGATTTGGTGCCCTGTGACTTAAAAGTAATCTACTGTACTAAATTTGTACAACATCGTTCACCTCAAGATGGCCGAACCCACGCCATCCGGATCTCAACCGCGAGATAATCTTCCCGAGACCGAAATTCCAGAACAACCTCTACCACTTGACTACAACTACCCCGATGTTGGACGCAAAGAAGACCCCGAATTCCCTGACGAGTACGTCCTCGAAACTAGCACTGGTATTGTTCCCCAAACGACACTGGAGCGCCGACGCTCTCGAGCATCTACCTTTACTGCTCACAAACCTCCTACCGACATTGAAAAGGCCAAAGAATCCATTGAATTTGTGACTTTCACCATTGGAGACCCTGAACACCCACATAATTGGTCGGTCTTCTATCGTTGGTACGTTACCCTCGTCGCGTCAGGGTTAGTAGTATGCATCGCGTACGGCTCTTCTATCGTCACTGGTGGCTTGGGCCTGATTCAAAAGCAATACAACGTCTCATTAGAGGTCGCTATCTTGACCTGCTCAATCATGGTGTGTGGATTCGCCGTTGGGCCTCTAATTTGGTCGCCTCTCTCCGAAATCATTGGTCGAAGACCCGTCTACATCATCTCTCTGTCCCTCTATGTCATCTTCAACATCCCATGCGCCCTGGCACCCAACATCGGATGCCTATTGGCCTGTCGTTTCCTCTGCGGTGTCTTCTCAAGCTCCGGTCTTTCGCTAGCTGGTGGAACCATTGCCGATATCTGGAGGATGGAAGAGCGAGGAGAAGCCATCGCTTACTTCGCCGCCGCTCCATACTGCGGCCCTGTCATCGGCCCCATCGTCACCGGTTGGATCAACGTCGGCAGCGGTCGCCTGGATCTCTTCTTTTGGACAAACATGGCATTCGCGGGCGTCGTCATGATTATAATTGGTCTTGTCCCTGAGACCTATGCGCCTGTGATCCTTAAACGCCGCGCTGCCAAGCTACGAAAAGAAACCGGCAACACCAACATCATCACAGAGCAGGAGCAGCACAAACTCACCCTACGTGATATTGCTCGCACCAGCTTGATTCGCCCCATCACTATGATCATGACAGAGCCTGTCCTCGATCTAATGTGCATGTACATTGTACTGATATACTCCATGCTCTACGCCTTCTTCTTCGCCTACCCAGTTATCTTCGGCAAACTCTACAATTACAACGACGGCCAGATCGGCTTGATGTTCATTCCAATTTTGATCGGCGCCAGTTTCTCTCTTATGGTTACCCCAGCGATTGAGAAGAATTTCCGATCAATCTGCCGCAAACGAGCTTCTACTCCTGAAGACCGACTCATCGCCGCACTCATTGGTGCACCATTCATCCCGATCGCATTCTTCTTGCTCGGCGCTACCTCCTTCAAGCACATTATTTGGGTGGGACCTGCTTCGTCAGGCATTGCGTTCGGATTCGGCATGGTTTTGTGCTACTATTCCGTGAACAACTATATCATCGATTCTTATCAGAAATATGCGGCTTCTGCGCTGGCTGCCAAGGTCTTCCTACGCTCTGGTGGCGGTGCTGCGTTCCCGTTGTTTACTACCCAAATGTATGATCGTCTTGGCTTACAGTGGGCTTCGTGGCTTCTTGCTTTCATTGGTGTTGGAATGGTTTTTATCCCCTACGTCTTTTATATCTATGGAGCGAAACTTCGGGCCAAGTTGAACCGGGATTGAAATGGTTAGGTCTCGGCTATTCTTGAGCAGGATGGTGGAGAAATTCCGAAGGAAAAGTGTCAGGGGACTTTTCTTATTGCTTTGTACTTTTTTTGCTTTCCCGTCGCATTTTGGAGGTTTGGAGCATTGATTGGCGGTCCTCATTCAATGGAGTATAGATCTAATGTTCAAAGTCTATGGAAATAATTACTATTGCGACACATAATTGACCATCATTCTTTTTCAATTTCTAAAATCTCCATTATAGACCAAAGATAGTATCAAAGCCCTTCATAAAGTATAAAGAGAACTTTTGATGTCTGTCAGCAGCCAGTTGAGACTTAATCTTTGGTAGTCTGGTCCCAAAGACTCCGAACAGTGACATCCTTTACCCACTTGCCATTTGTGTCATCCTTTTGAACAGTAAAACGAACAGTCTTCTTCTCACCGGGAAGCAATGTAAAGGAGTTATCATCGAAATAACCCACAACGCCAGACGGGTAGTCAAGCCAAGTGTAGAGTGAGACACCCTTCTTGGCTTCCACGGTGAAAGTACCGCCCTTTTCGTCGTGCGAAACCTCTACTCCGGGATCAACAAGAGCGAGTTGGTTCGGGAACTCGGCAGCGACCTGGTTACGGTGGGTGAAAGTGGTGTGAGATCCTCCGGAGTTGGGTAGGATACCAGTTGCATCGAGAGACAAAACCAGAATAGCATTCTTCTTGTCATCAAGAGTCAGATCTGTGATCTGAGTGGCGTAGATCTGAGTGGTATTTAGACCACCAACAGTGAATCGCTTGGACTGGGGAGTGCCTGCATTACCGGAAAGAGGGTTTCCAGACAAATCGACCCAGGTGAGGTTCACCGAGCCATGAGCGGTCTCCCAGAGATCAGAGGTCACATAGACCGACAGGTCACCAGTGGTATAGTTCCAGAATGGGGAGACAATGATGGGCTGGTAAATATCGCGAGCAACGTAATGGAGGACCTTCCAGCGGCCATCATACTCGATACCGGCCCAGGTAGGGGCCTGCCAGATATCCTCGAGCTGCCAGTACAAAGATCCAAGTTGGCGCTCCGGCATTCCACTGCCGCGGCGGTAGAATTGAATCTCGGACTTGTACATATCGGCTTGGAACATTTGAGTAGCGTGGCACCATGCACTGAAGTTTGCAGCAGAGTTATCCTTATTGGGGATGGGATAATAGCGTTCAACCGCGATAGTCATCTCAGCCATGCCCATGGATGTGTTTTTGTAGTTGCGGGTCTCTCTGCCACCGGGAGGGTAGTGATGGTTTCGGAGCATGACCGTGCTGCTGTTGAAGTGAAGCTGATCCTTGTCAACAGCCTGCTTCCAAGTTTGTAGACTGGGCATGCTGTGGTAACCGAACTCATTCGCAAAACGACCAACTGGGTAGCTTCCGTAGTCAAAGGCCACAGTGCTATCGTAGTTGTAGTGGTCTGTATCGGAATAGTATTCGCCCGAAGTGATATTGTTGTAGCGCTCAGCCATGGGGATCGGCGCAGACATGTTGACCCAAAGGTATCCGTTGTTTGTACTGCTAGGCATATATGAAATTGACCTAGAGTTCTCATAGACAAGGGGTAATATCAAGTTAATGAACAGCTTTTCGTATTCGCCAACATAGAATGAGTAACGATCAGGAGCTGCATCTTCAACGAGAGGCAACTCCAAGCTCTCGATCTCGTTACCGCCAGCCCACAAGGCCAATGATGGGTGGTGGTTAACACGTCTTACGTTGTAGACAACTTCAGCAGCAACGTTTTCAAGGAATTTTTCATCGCTCGGGTAAAGTGCATCACTGAACTGGAACTCGCTCCATAGTAGAACACCGTATTCATCAGCGATATCGTAGATGAAATCAGGGAGGTAAGCACCAGAAGCCCACACGCGAAGCATGTTTTGGTTGCCAGCCTTGACAGCAGTGAACAATCGCTGCATCTTAGCCTCGGTAACTCTCGGCCAGAATGCATCTGGGGGAATGAAGTTGGAGCCCTTCGCATAGAACTCCTTGCCATTGACCTCAAAGTGCCAGTTCGCGCCTGGTGCAATTCCCTGCGCCAGCTGTTCATCCGTGATAGCAAGCCGATTGAGGAAGATGGTTCGGAATCCAGAACGCTTCGTGACACTGGCAATTGCGTGCTTCTCGCTGTCCTCAATTATAACAGTCACATTATACAGGTTCTGCTTGCCTAGCCCGGTTGGCCACCAAAGATTCGGGGCATCTGCATCAATAGTGACACTACCTGTAATAGTTTGTCCGTTGGAAATAACGTTCTCGATGGGTCCCGATTCAAGGACCTCGCCGGTCTCGATATCTTTCACCTGAATGGTCATGGAGGGCTTTATTGGCAGAGATCCAAGGAAGTCCATACTGGCATTCACCACCCAGGGCTGGCCTTGGTCAGGGGCGAAGTGGTTGATTTGTCCCTTGCGGAAAATGTCCAAGTCAGTGTTTAGAACGTAGACGCTTTCTTGGCGCCCAAATTGCACGAGGTAAGCATCTTGCCATGGGCCAGCCGGAGCAAACGCGGGGCCCCAGTCCCATCCAAAGTCAGATTGTTCTTTCCGGATGTACCATCGGTTAGGGAACTCGTAGATTTGCTGAGGTCCATAAGGCCATTCTAATAATTGGGTTAGACTATACACGCAAGAAGTCATATTTTGACGTACGCTCTGAGTTTGGATCATCGGCAATGGCATTGGCAATCTTGGGAGCACTGCCAAAGTTGATTGCCAGAGTAGGGTCACCCTTGCAACTGCTGAGTGCCTTGGAGATATCAAAGGTATACTGGCGGAACTGATTATCTGTGGTACCAATGAAATGGCCGCAAAACTCAATTGTGGTGAACGTGTCCAGGCCGTTGAAGACAAGCCAAGAAGATTGGGCATTTTCGACCAACCCCTTGAGTGGCTCACTTGTGTAAGTCCAATTGTTGTCTGGAATCCAACGCAAATTGAAATCGTTGAGACCAAAGTATGGGTCCTCAATAATACCGGCAGCAAATAGATCCAAATGGACCTGGGAAGGCAGATGACCGGGGGCCGACATGTTCAATTCTTTGCTACTGACGGTCCAGCCATCGCCGCCGAGATTCACCACATGCTGGCCAAGCGCAATGTGGAACGTCGATGAGAGCGCAGCCAAGGCGAGTTTCTTCCACAAATGCATGCTGTCACCGCTAGCAGCCCAAGACTGTGCCGTGCAGAGTTCGAGGCAAACGACAGACTATTATAACGATTTCGGGAGTAATCTTCCCGGTTAATGTCGCGACACTCCTTAGTCTCCACACCTCAAGAATACCAGCAGCCACACCAGTGGAGAACTAATATACTGGTAGCTCGGTTGTTCCAATCGAGTTGTGAAGCTGGAGGTCGGCCGTAGACCGTGCCATTTTGTCCCCACGTCAGGGATATGGGGTTAATATCGCACCAACGGCAGAAACGCCCACGAGCGGGGAAGAAAGCAACGGTAGCAGCGCTGAGTAGTGGACAGGGCTGATCCTTTGGGAATTGATGCCGGGGAATCTCCGGTTCTGGGCTGAGTGGCGGGAAAACGCGATGATCGGCGATGCTTGAATGTGGAGTTGAGTGGAGGTCGGGAGGGGTAGAAATGGTGGAAGCAACGTTGAGACCGGGGAAGACTTATAGCCAAAGCATAGCTCCATAGCTCGTCTATTCCAAGATAAAACAAAGCTCCTAACAGATGACGATGAAATGCTGCAGCAAGGAATTATTGTTATTCTAAGCTCAGCAACTACAGACGCTCAGACGCTAGAACGTATCCTTGAATCCCTAAATCCCCGAACCCCTGCATTCTAGCGCACTGACCATCCGGACCGAAGCCTTGAAGCTTGTGTTTAATACTGTACAATTTCTGGTCTATTCTATTCTGCATGCTGTCTAATTGAGCTTTTGTTCAGCCATCAGGTTATGACGCATCTTCCCGATGTCCTCGGGCGAAAAGAAGAGCGCTTTGGTCAAATAGCCTTCAACGCCGCCGTATGTACTTTCAAACGTCTTCAAAAATGCCGCCATGGCGTGCGCCCGCACTCCACTAAGCTCTAACATGCCGACCGCTTCGGGACTCAAATGGTCGGTGCCAAAGTGCAGAGCAAGCGCTTGGGTCAAGTTTTCGCGCACATGCTCCAATGCAGCGCGAGTTAGCATATAGTCACGAATAATTTCCTCATGCGGTCGGTCGATGAGGAGCAGAATCAATGCTGATAGAACTCCAGTGCGATCTTTGCCAGCTAAATATTTGAGTTTGGTCAGTTACAGTTCAAACAATAACAATATAGGGTCACGGTCAATATGGGTTGGAATAAACTTACCAGAACAGTGGACAAGGAACGGGTCATTGGGCTTATCTCTGATATGCTTGAAGATTTCCGTAAATGCCGGGCTTGCGGCCTCGAGAATACCCGTGTACATCTTCACAAAACCAGTGTCGCCCTGATCCTCCCCAGCGAAATCTTTTAGATTCAAGGAGGCTGGTCTGGCCCCGTACGGCAACCATACCGTCTCAATGCCTTCGATTTCTGGGCTTGGAACTCGTTCCCGCTCGCCTTGATTTCGAAGGTCGAAAATCGTAGTGACCTTCAGCTCATCGACCAAAACTGCTTTTCCTGCATCTAGAATATCGGCCACATTCCCGGACCGATAAACAAAGCCTTGACGTAGGTTGTTGTCCAAACTTAAATCTCGAATGTTGGAGACTCCTGGGACATTGACGAATGGGGGTTGAGAAATGATCTTCGACACAATCGCATCGGGGATGGGTGTTCTGATGTCTGTGTTCAATACATCTTGGACGTTGTCGGGTTGAATCATGGTAGTGGTAGCGGTAGTAGTAGTGTGTGAAGACAAGTTGAATTGAATGAATGTGGAAAGAACAAAGACAGTGTATCTGGCTGGATCAGGAAATCCTTTTCAGGACGTTCAGGAACACCCTCCAGGGACGGGCTATGTCATAGTACCCATCTAGCCAACAAAGTTTGATGGTCGGTGGAGTTGATGACAATACCTGGGAGGATGAATGCCAATGGTAGTGAGGCACGTCGGGTAGCGATGTCATCGGCTTGAACTTGGTGCTGGTGGGTCCGATCCTTGCGGTGACGTCGGGCCCAGAACAATGCGGTTTTCTTGTGACACCCGCTCATCTAGAACGGAATTACAAGTATTCTGAAGATGGCACACCGCAGTCTTCCACAGACAAAATAGTCCATCCTTGAAGGTATGACATGACCGTGCATTATCAAGCCCGATGGGAATTGTTTTCCTTGAAAAATCGGAAGCAATTCGGTGTGAGGGCAGCTTGCAATGGCCCTATTCCACTGCAGAGCAAAGATGGTCAATCAGCATTGTTTATTCATATCAGTTATTCTCACGTATTATACGTTACCCTAATGCTGAAATGTATGCATTTGGTAAAAGGGCCTGGATCTGATGCTTTCTACGACCACACGTCCAAGCTAGCACACCTGGGCACGAGGCTCAAGTCCTTGCACCGCCAATTTAGAGGTCGCCAGTTCCGGGATATCTCTATGTGGATGTAGAGAGGTTGCTCACTGTGTCTCTCACAGGACATGCTTGTGAAAGTGTGGCTGCTTTCAATATTGGTTCGGACCACGTGCAAGCTTCAATATACTCGCTTCTGCGCCCTTTCCTCAATGATTCAAAGCCAGGTCGTTTCGCACTATGCCTCAACTTTAAACGAAAGATATAATGACTGAACAGGGGATAGCAACTAACTCTGTCTCAATTCGCCATTCTTATCACGGAAAATCCGTTGCTTTGGTAGTCACGTGTGCACAAACTGCTGTAGCTAAGCTGAGGTTGGTGCTGTTTATTCCAATAGTAGCTCTATGATGGTAAGCTGGATGAGCTGAACTTCACATTCTTTTGTTTCTCGGATTGAAAAGCAGAGGTGGCCCTGGATCTTGACTCCACGTAGCAAAGCCTGTGATTTATGAAAGGTCACATCTTGTTCCGAAAGCTGGGCAATCGGGCACGACTTCACTTCCGATTAGGTTGGGCTGATCTGCGATACAGCGATCTCGCATGATGAGAAATTGGAACATTGTATGTTACAAGTGGCGGTGACCAGTTTTTGACTCTGTATAATATCCAGTAACAACTGTCGCTATCACGGCTGCCAAAGGTGGGGGGCTCTGGGTTGATAGAAGCCAATCATCATTTTAGAATATCACGATGTAAGACAACCATAGGACATAGTTCTTATTGGTTATGATCGTAAAGCTCTTATTAATTCACATGTCTGTCTAGTTCCCTCCACCGAAGCATCGACTTTGTGCCACTCAAAAGTGGGGAGGATAAGCAAACTGGGGGATAAGCCGCAGCTCTCTTTTTTGCACCTGCCGTCTAACCCCAGACTTTTCTCGCCATACCTTCACCCAGAATTAAGTCCTACGCCATGCGAAATAGAAAGGCCCGGTCACTCGCTGCCCAATCTTCCAAAGTTAGCAAGGCGCGATCCTGTGAAGCCTGCCGACGCTTGAAAACACGATGTGAAATTGGCCCGGGTTTCGATCAATGTCATCGCTGTGAAGTTCTCCGGTAGGCTTACTCGTAGCTGGTCCTCAATTCTTTCTGACTGTTTGAAGGCTTGATTGTTCATTTCGCGGGGTAGCTCGAAGCCAACCATCTCCAGGACAACCTGAAAGTGACTCCGGAGGGAGTCAACGATGTGACTGCCATGACAGGTATACTGTTCAAACTCGCTCTACTCGGTCAGAACTAACCGGGCTAATCTTTTAGGCTCGCTGCGGTTGAAACCGCGCTTATGCAAATCCAGGCTTCATTGCCCGTTCAAGGTGCCGGTCGCGACCAAGAGAAAGAAAAACTAGAAGTCAAGGTATGTGCATTTTAGCCCCAAATTCGTAGCAGGTAGCTGATTATAGAGGTACAGTCGCCTTCTATGGCAGAACAAACTGCTCGAGATGCGCCTATGAGTCTCATTCAAGAAATCAGAGAAAATATGGCGTTGCCGCAACAGCCCTCCACAACACTGGATATTTCCGAGGATAGCATCATCAGTAGTTTCATTTCTGAAGAGCTTGCTTCAAGGCTTCTTGATGGGTAACCACTCCTTTCCGCCGAACATGATCGATCCCGCTCTAATATGATACTCACCACAGATTTTCCAAGCTATCCAGCCGCTGGCTATTTATGAGTACAGAACCCGCCGATATCTACTCCAAGTCATCTCTTCTTCTAGGAACTTGTAGCCTCGCGGGATTTCATAGTATTCCAAGTTTGCACGGGTCTGAAACACACCACATATTGTACCGGCATGTTCATGGCCTTTTGGGCCGGGCACATCTAGCGTCAACAGCTTCGCTGGATACAATCCAAGCGATGCTTATCTTCTCAATGTGGGATTTAAGACCGACCCGAGATCACGACCATAGAAATTCTTGGTTGCTCAGTGGTATGGCTGCTATGCAGGTTGTGATGACTACACGCTTCGATCAGCTTTTGTGCGCGAACAATTCTAGTCAGGCTAATCAATCACGAGAGTTGATGCGCACTTGGAACTTGATATGCCTATGCCAGTTACAGTATGCCTCGCAAGTCTCAGGTCTGATTGCGGCTTTTCACTTAGTGAAAACAATCTAACTATTGACTAGATTCTCGGTCGGCTCTGGACGTCCACCTGTGATCGCAAAGCAGTACTTTGATCAATGTGCCAAGATCCTCGAGTTCCCATTCTACAATTCCCGAGATGAACTTGTTCTTGCAGGAGTGGAGCTTTATCGCACGCTGTGGGATCTCACAAGCTCCATTGTGATTCAGAAAGAAAGTGCAACATGGCCCGAGATTGACAGGCTGCGCAAGACCCACGATCATATTTACAGTAAGCTCAGTACGTATATAAGAACGACTGGAGTCTTGAAATTAAAATTTTTTACAGAACTTGATTCATCTGAGCCTTTGCGTTTCGCATACTCATGCACCTATCTTATTCTTGCGCGTCGAACATTACAACATCTAAATTACGCCGAAATTGTCAACGAACCCGAATCCAAGGATCTGAGCACAACAAGCCAGAAACTCCCCTTCATTAAAGAAGCCATCCTCCACTCCCATAAACTTCTAAGACTTTTCCTGTCTATGTCCGACCTCACCACTTACATCCACCCCGCTTATGAAACCCTTCTATGCTCTTTCGCCATGGTCACTTTGGCTGAGTTTGTATCTCATATCTCTGATGTGAACGAAACGGTAGACCTCATGGAGGGTGTTATCTCACATATACATCACGGCGGCAAGGCGGAGCCCGTCAGTCGATGGTCGCTGAATATCGTTCGACAACATCTTATCGGAAATGGCGGGCAGGAACCTCCTATTTCAACGGTGATTGATAATAACCTATATGGTACTTTGATGGCTGATGAAGCATTGAAACCTTGGGAGGAGGGAGATTGGAGCTTTGAGCAGGAGTTTCCGTCACTCGAAGAGATGTTTTTCGGGAATGTAGTATGAAATTAAAAATATACATGAAGAGAAAACGCCATCGTCCAGCACTTGCTACCTCAAAAGAACTTTGTCATCATTCATATTCCACATAATTTATAGTATTTATAGCAATCTCACAGTGTATCTAGATACACGTAATTTTTCAACGGGTTAAATATTCAAACTGTGCTCCTCCGCTGAATTCCAGCAAAACATTCCTTCGGTTTCTTCGAGAATCCCTCATGCGACTTCATTTCCTGCTGATATAACTCAAAGTCATAACGGTGAAACAGCGTACCAATTATCAACTGAAGTTCCATTATAGCCACGTTCTGACCAACACAAGCACGCGGGCCGTACGAGAATGGGTTGAAACAGGTCTTTTGTCGCTGCGTCAGGTTGAGCCAGCGCTCAGGATTGAACTCATCCACATCCGGGCCCCAAATTTCTTCCATATGGTGGATAGTATATGACGGGACAGAGAGAACGGTCCCAGGGGGAAGTGGTATTCGTCAAATTCGACACCGGGACCAGCGGCGACGAGACGAGGGAGTCCAAGTGCCGATGTGGAGTGAAGACGCATGGCCTCATCAATGCAGCGCCGCAAGAAAGGTAGGTCGCGGACTTGGGAGTATGCGGCTATCTCAGAGGTCGCGCCGATGGAATCGTCCAGCTCCTTCTGGAGACGAGCAACGATCTTGCCGGGGTTAGCGCGCTCGCCGGCGAGAATCCAGTAGAAGCAGGCGCAGGCAGTGTTAGAAACTGTGTCTGAGCCAGCGATCAGCTGGGTCAACGCCTCGGCTATGAGCTCTTCGCGGCCCATAGGTTCTCCTTTGGAATCACGAGCTTGGATCAAACGAGCGAGAATATCGTTACGGTTGTTGGCAACCCCTCGTTCAGCGGCGTCAAGTCGGGTAGCGACAGCGGCGATGGCAATACCTGTTAAGTTCTGCACAGCAGCAACGCCCTTGGAGAAGAAGGGATCGGGCAAATATCTGGCAATGGGACGGAGGGTTGGCAGAAGACCCAGGGTAGAAGAGATCTCGCCTCGTCGGTTCAGCACGTCGACAGCGGGAGCTTTTCTGATAGGACCACCCGGTACAAGTTGACTCTCGGCCTCATCCTTGCCCTTATTGACCATACCAAATGGGGATCCGAATGCCAGGTCACCGATGATATCGAAAGCGAGATAACTGAACCAGGGCATAGCGTTGAATTCGCCAAACTTCTTCTGGGTAGGTGCTTTGGCGGCAATCAAGTCCAGCTGTTTTACCCATCGCTCCAGGTTAGTTGTCATGTGAGGCTCAAATTCGGCAACAGATCGGGGCGAGAAAGCGTGGGCGATAATCTTGCGCTTGCGAGTGTGCTCAGCACGGTCGCGAACGTTGAACATGCCTGGGGTCTTGGCGATGAATGCTTCATAGTAATGACTATAGGCTGTTAGAGAGGGAATAGATGGGCGAATTTAATCCATACTCTTTCAAGAAACCGTTGCCGTGACCGTAGACGATGTTCAGGCCTCGCTCATCGGCGATGGAGACATGGTTGAAACCGATACGAACAACTTTACCGTATTTGCGGTGAGCCCGGTCAACAATATCAAACTTCTTGCCTCGTCGAGCACCTAAAGCGACCCATAAATTGCTGAATTTAGCGACAAATGGGCCTGGAACGTGGGCTAAATGGATGAAGGTTGTAAAGTATGGAACTAAGTAGTACAGAACCAGCCAGACCGGCACGGTGGCTAGGATCCATGGTGAGGCCAAGTACTCGACCACAAGAGATGCAATCGCCATATTGTGTAGATTGCAGTCGTTCAATTGAATGAACTTCTGGTGAGAAGCTCATCTAAATACGATGCTGCACACCGACCGTATACTCTTTGTTCATTCCCCGCGTCTTGATCTGCTCCGGCGGAGATCATAGCCAGCACCGTCGGAGGCACAGGCAACTCCGTTGGATGAATCCACATCGTCATCTCAACTGCTTCGATGGATTGCACATGCGTCTTATCTACTGCGATCATATCTGCAGATCTTTAATTGTCACCAATCATTCTAACCTCGATGTAATCAAGTGGGATCTCGAGGCTCTAGACCAAACTCATGTAACCAAGGGCCATGTAAGTCTCATCAATATGTTGGGCTGACAAAAGATCATGTTTATAATATCTTGTGTAAAATCAAAGACTTTGAATCTTTTGAATCTGAATCCGAATCCGAATCCGAATCTGAAGAAGAGCATAGATGGACTCGGTTGGAAGCGGGGCGGTGAGGGGTGTGACGTGAAGGCCGACGCCAACCGAGCTCCTCCGCATTTTGCCCCAGATCAACTCTCGAGTACTCCTTGGTTCTTGTTCTTGTTCTCAACATGCTTTCTTTCTCATAGCAAACATGTCATTCAAAATGCTTCTTCGGCGTCCGCTTCTAGCGGCGCGTATGCCGCGATCTTTCGTGCCCGTGCTTGCTTCTCCCACCCGATGGGGAAGCACCGTCTCACAAAGGCCTGGTTCGGACCGGTAAGTGAGAGCCGATTGCGTCTTCATGCCTCCATTGTTCTTGGTTGGACTCAAGTTAATAAATTGATTCTGTAGGGTTGTGTTTCCAGGCGCCGTCAATAGCGAATTCACATCCGACATGTCCTTCGTTACAGCTAAAGACCTCCCCGCTATTCCTACATACCGAGTGATGAACTCAGACGGCGAGATGGTCGATAAGACAAGGGGTCATCCTAATGTTTCGGACGAAGAGGTTTTGACATGGTACAAGAATATGCTGCAAGGTATAATTATCGCGGATTCGCCATGAAGGGGTTTGCTGATCGGTTATAGTGAGCATCATGGATACGATCATGTTCGATGCACACCGCCAGGGTCGTGTTAGCTTCTACATGGTAAGATTATCTATGCTTGGAGTATTCCATTGGCTAACACCTTCACAGGTTTCACAAGGTGAAGAGGGCATCTCTATCGGCTCCGCGGCAGCTTTGACCCCGGATGATGTGGCTTTCTCTCAATATCGCGAGGCTGGTGTTTATCAGCAGCGTGGATTTACTCTCAAGGACTTTATGAGTCAGCTCTTTGCCAATTGCAACGACAATGGCAAGGGTAGGAATATGCCCGTCCATTATGGCCAAAAATACCCTCGCATCGTGAGTGTCCTGCCAATAAGCCAAGTCTTATTAACTAAGCCGACTCTTCAGATTACCGTCTCCTCTCCCCTGGCCACCCAGATTCCTCAAGCCTCAGGAGCCGCATATGCTTTGAAATTGAAAGATCTTCAGAACCCCAATCAAGCCCCTCGGGTAGTGGCTTGCTATCTCGGTGAGGGTGCAGCTAGCGAAGGTGACTTCCACGCAGGACTTAATATTGCCGCTACACGTTCGTGCCCTGTCATTTTTGTCGTCCGAAACAACGGATATGCCATTTCTACGCCAACAATAGAACAGTACCGTGGCGATGGTATTGCTAGTCGTGGTGTCGGATACGGAATGGACACAATCCGAGTCGATGGCAACGATGTATTCGCCATGTACGAAGCTATGACCGAAGCTCGAAGACGCGCCCTTAGTGACGGCTGCCAACCAGTCCTGATTGAAGCGATGAGCTACCGTGTATCGCACCATAGCACGAGCGATGACAGCTTCGCCTACCGCGCACGCGTCGAAGTAGAGGATTGGAAGCGCCGTGATAATCCTATCATCCGGCTACGCAAGTGGCTCGAGAACAAGGGGATCTGGAATGAAGACATGGAGAAGGAGACGCGCGACTCTATGCGCCAAGCTGTGCTGAAGGAGTTTAAAGAAGCGGAGCGTCTGAAGAAGCCGCCGATTCGAGAGGCATTCACCGATGTCTACGAGGAAATTACAGAGGAGGCGCAAGAGCAGATGAAGGAACTCAAACGGATTATCGAGACATATCCAGATGAGTATGATCTGCAGCCATACAAGGATGGGTTGAAGGGCTTGGAATAGAATTAGAGATTCAGAGATTCCTATTACCTACCCCACTAGCCCTAATGAACATGATGAATAAAATCCAGCCGACAGTGACCAGACAAAAGAACTTATAAGCTGGATTTGTCAACCATTACATTGAATAAACGCAGAACAAGGTGCATCTTTAATGAATGGGATAAATCTTGAACCGATGATGATGATGGGTCGGTCATTCCCACAGGTTTGTCGATCATCATACAGGCCAACATGTCGGGCCACCGTCTACGCAATAAGCTCCATCCAACATGGGCTTTGACGAGAATATCGGCACCGTACAGGCTCACTGTGAGATTTGATTTGAAATTTTAGAGGACAACTGAGTCTTTATAATCACCCGGGTCGTGGAGTTTCAAGGCTTGTGTATGTAGTTCGTACTACAGGGCCTGAAATTTCCAGTGTATTAGTCTGATTCTCATGATGGCAAAAGAAGCAAACCCATTTTTTTAATCACTTGAGAATCCATGATCAGTGTACTATTTGCCTGACGGTCTCGCATTCGGGACAGCGTCATTCCTCGCTTTCTTCTTCCAGACCCTGGTGGTCCCGAATTAATTTCTGGAACTTCCGTACTACCTGCAGCGTCGCGTAGTAGCTAAATGGCAATGCCAGAAACCACAATGCCAAGTTGATACTGGCAGTAACAATCAATGCCGTCGGTACGGCTTGAACCCCGAAACCTACAGCGACCCCCGCTGTCTCAATGCCTCTAAGTAACGAACTGTATCGAATCTGATCTCCAGGCGAATCGGACAGATTGCCAATGCACCAGTAGATATAATTCTCGACTAGGCCGAGACTGATGCGCTCAAAAAGATAAAGTCCAAAGCCGCGTCCAAAGGCGCTGTGGTCGCTCCAGTCCAAGACAGGCTTGGTCCGCCTGTATTCATCCTGTATAATGACAGCCCATATCCATGTCGCACTATTCAGCAATGCGATCAAGATAAATGTGGCAACTGCTCTGGCCTTGCGACTCTTGTGCCAAGGGAGGTCGACCAGTGAGCCACCAAGCCAAGTCGCAATGGTACCAACTACGGCGGACATGAAACTGCCGAGTGCTCTTGCCCTCACGGTGAAATAGGTCTCCAGATAGGTACCTGGATATGCTTGTATCCATCCAAAGTACCAAAATAGGGGGACGAGTAGCAGTATTGATCTACTTCGAGCCAATCGCCACATAGCTGTAGCTTCCTCGCGCCAGTGGATACCGCGTGGGGCCTCGAGTTTGGTATGGTCGTCTCTTTGAACCTTCTCGGGATTTGAGAGAAAGAAACCGAAAACCAATCCCAGGCACTGGATAGCAATAAAAGCCGAATATGTCTGCCACCCAACCTGGCCACGGTGGTTTGCATTGTGGTTGATGCCCAAGGAAACGGCACCGCCAATGATGTTGCCAAAATTGCGGAATGTGAACCACGTTGCGATATAGCGACCACGTTTATGCTGCTCTGGGTATCCCGTGGCAATTGCACCCTCGACACTCCAGAAGAAGCCTGCACTAATGCCGCATGTCACTGAGCCCAGGTATACTAGCCAAGTCGCACCCGTGCGGTTATTCAGGTATAGCCCTGCGGCATATAATGGATAGCCGATCGACCCAAGAGCAAGAGTCCACCGGAAGCCAATAATGTTGGTTAGCCATGGACCAGCAAAACAGGTGACTGTCATTAAGGCATATAGAAGAGCATTGGCGGCGTTGACGAGGTCCGGACTCTCCGAGCCGCCAACTCCCAGGCCATTCATGGCGCTCCATATTCCCGGGGCGCAAAAGGCACAGACGCCTACGACGAGGATTTGAAAAAGGGTACTGCGGAAGAAAGGAGGCTCTTGCTTTTGACCATCTGGTCTGATGTTTGGAACAATTTGGATGTCGGATTGTACACCTTGCTCTGGCTTTGAGGTAGAGGCCATAGTTAAAACGGTCTCAGCCACGGCCAAAAATAACCTTAAAGTGAGCCTTGAAAGGAGGGAAACAGGTAGATTTGAATGTCTCGACTCAGGACACGACGGTGGACTTTATCTTGAATATCGTAACAGACCCAGTATCAGTCCTGGATTTGCCATTTCCTCAGATATCCCCGCGCAGATACGTATTATGCAGCCAGAATGGCACAATCTACCCAACCGCCTCGGGAGACGCGATTCTACTTGATTGGATTCATGCAGCAATCGGCAATAATCGGCAGTAATCGCCCAATGATCTCTTTCCAGAATGGCAGGGAATAGCTGATTCCCCTCACTTGTCCTGGGTCGTGACAACCAGACTACTTAAACCCGTCCGACGATCGCGGCTGCAAGAAACTTCCTCTCGCCGACACTTGTTGATTATTGGAGTTTTACGGCCATGGCGGTATCAGAAGATCGACTTCCAATAGCACAGCTTCAGATCAGTGATGCGGGATCATCCTTCGTTTTCTTCGAACCTTTCGAACTGCCTGCTTCCAACCAACGTGTGCTTGGCCCCCCTCATCCCCCTAATACCGTGATACCCATGGCACTCCGGCTTGCACAAGAAAGCAACAAGCCCAATCTTGATGAAATAGTGGACACTGTCAAGATAGTTCAAGCTCAAGGCGGTACTTTTACTAAACGACTGGCTCAACACGGCACACTACTCTTCCGTGGCCTTCCCATCCACAATGCTGATGACTTTAGCAAGTTCGCCCATGCATTCGGATTCAGGCCGCATGAAATTATTGGAATTGTGGTGGATCGACCGCTTCTGGCGCCAAACGTCGCACCCGCCAATGAAGCCCCCAAAGAAGTGCTTATTTATAACCACAACGAGTCACCCCAAGTGCCTCACGCCCCGGAATACATATTCTTCTACGGACACCATGCTCCCACTGAGGGTGGCGAGTCACCAATATCCTCATCGCTGGAGCTTTTCAACCGCGCCCAACTCGAAATACCCGAATTTATCACCGAACTAGCGGAGAAGGGTATTTTGAGCCGCGTAACCTACAAGTACGACAGACAGTTCCAAGGAGGCTCTACTCTCCGCCAAGCATTCGGGAAAGAGATAGTGGATGGTGATGACGATGAAACGAAGCGGCGTAAGATCGAAGCTCAAATTGCGCGCTACGACAGAAAAGTTCACACGACGTGTGAATGGAATGACGATGGCTTAGTTTTGACGCATCGACTGCCGGTGATTAGGACCCAGCCGGGAACCAACCTACCAACCTTATTTACGGGACTAGCATCCTACTGGAAAAATACACAGGTTAATGATGGCGTCCGGAAGAACGTCACCCAGCAGTTATTTGGAGACGGAACTGTCATTCCAGAGAAGTATCTAAGGCATCTGGCAAAGATCACGGATGAGATCCGGGTGCTGCATCGGTGGCAGGAAGGTGATGTTTTAGTATATGATAATGTCATTGCGCAACATGGCAGAGAGCCTTGGAGGGGTGAGCAGAAGGATCGAGTTGTGCTGGCGAGTCTGTTTGACGGTGAGAAGGTACCCGGGGCATATGGCTTCGGGGATTGGGCACAAGTAGTTCCAGCTTTGGAATAATCTAGGTAGTCAGCCAAACCTGGAGAGTGAATTAGAGTTGTTTGTAGCCTAAATAGTCTAGTTCTCCTATAGCACTAATTCATCACTCTTACACATATTCAGTCATCCCTCTCTGACAAGAATAATGATATATCAACAACCTGACTCAATAGGGAAGAGAGCCTCTGTTAATTTTAGCAATATATTGAATATAATATTATGACCCTAATTGTCTGCCCTAAGCACCTTCAAATGCTTAGGGAGTGCTCGCTGAGCATTCAAAGAGTATATAAGAGTAGGATTGGAATGAAATGAATCATACATTATTCTAAATAACTAAGATCCTGGCAAATAAAACACGTAAATTGGCCTCAAAAGTGGCCGTTTTTCGGCGCCCAATTTACCATCACCTATTGTCGTAGTGTAAGGAAGGCTTTTAAGATGACGACAAGATTGCTTGGGCAGTCTGAATGCAAAATTCCTTTCAAGCGCATTTATCGTAAAAGTTGAGGAAAATTGCATTCCGTCCTCACTAGACAGCGGAGAGTAGATGCAACCCTTCACTTAGCTTGGGCATTCGCATGTTGGAACGGAACGGCCGTCACGGTAACCGTTGAAATGGCAGTCAATGTCACTGTCGAAACGGCCGTCACGGTTACCGTTGAAACAGCCGTCGAGGCTACCGTTGAAACGACAGCTGAGGGTAACGTTGAACCAGCACTCGAAGACCCAACGGTATCACCATCTGCCTGAACAAAAGAAGCCGCGACCTTACTCAGGCTATCGGCAGTCTTGTAATCATCGCCATTGGTCAAATATGCAGCACCAAGGCCCATCCCCTGAGCCTCATGAACAACAGCCTCATAATCTGCAGTAAGTGGCGCACTATACAAGAGAATAGCAGCCTTGTCGTAATAAGTATCCGAGATTTCATCTGCCGGAACAATGGAAGTCCACGTCGAGTAAGAATTCTCAAACTCGACAATCAGATCTGCCGCCTTGAAATATTCAGCCGCAGAGCCGGTTTCAAGCTTAGTACCAGGGTTGAAAACGACGGTGGGAAGGCTGCTGGACTTGGCCGATTCGGAGACTTCCTGCATATACGAAATCAGAGTATCGTCATTCGTTCTGGGGGCCTCGTCGAAGAATATTCCGGAGATGGTGATGTTCTCGGCTTTGTAAGATGACCAGTTGCTGTAGGTTGCGATGGCGGTTTTAATCGAGGAGATGTCGCGCGTGCCGTATCCAGTTGGGATGTAGCCGATTACTTCAACGTTGGAGTAGCTATTTAGCTGGGCTACGCTGGCGATGTAGGAGTCATCGGGGTATGCTGTAGAGTAATTTAGCGCAGACTTACTAGTGAAGGAATGAAGTAGATTACTAGTTTCGCCAGGGCCACTGTCAGGGTTGACGATGACCTGGAATAAAATGTCGGGGTGCGCGGCAGCCGCCTTGTAGACGGGACTCCAGGTGCTATTGTCCTCGGGCCAAGAGTATAGAGGCAAAAGAATCGCCGTCGAGGAGACCACAGAAGCCAGGGAAAGTGCTCCCAAGATGTACGAAAAGCCGAGCATGACGAATTGAAATTGAGCGATGTATGTAAATGAGTGTAAACGATCTAAAACCACCAGGGTCGATCTTGCAGAGAGAAAAGAATAAAAGATGAGCGACAAGAAACAATCCACAGGACTGATGAAGAGAACAGCGAGCATTCAAGATCGAGGGGAACCCGACGTTCTTATGCTCACACAGCTCCAAAGGTGTCAGCCCTAAAACAAAGACGGGGCAGACAACGCAATCTAAGGAATCAAACTCTCATTTCTCCGATGACATGGGCAGCGAATCGGAAAACAAGCCACTCGTTTCAAGAAACCAGCAAACACCCTCATCGGGTTAGGAAATGGGGCAAAGATCGATCTAAAACCGCCATGGCCGCGATTCGTGATTGCAAGGGCCAGCGGGAACAGCCCTTAAGATCGCGGTGAATGAACCATTGGCATTATAGGGGGGGGTCAAGGGCGCTCTAGACCTGTGCCAAAAGATGCAGGAGCAAGCGCCGAGCCCAGTTCACCGAGCCTGCTCGAATGTGGCGCGAGACGAGACGTTTGTCATACTCCTAGGCAGCGAGACTTAGGCGACACTTGGCTGCGCAATGCACTGCTCGATACATCTTTACGGCTATAGAGTGTCAGCTTGCAGGGCACCCAAGATTCGAGATTATTAACTGGTTCATTAAAGCGACGGATGCGCATCGGACGGTTGGCGGATCATATCGACGCCACAAGGATCCTCGCTCTAATTAAATTGTCCGTTTCAGATCTGACGGCGAATGAAGGGACGCCGTTTTTTCTTTCATCTTGGCGATGCTAGTATTTAGGGCGCTACGAGGTTTTTGTGCATGAGTCGGGGGGTATGCCGGAGAATTTCTTTTGCTTTTTTCCCCGTATGCATTTTACTTTGATGTTAGTATTTGGGCAAAGCTTCCGAGATAGTGGAAATGAAAACCAAGTCGGCTACTGGGCAAACACTAGAATTTACATGGGTACTACTTTATGCAGGCGTTCCGCAATGGGACTAGTATTCTACAAATTTGGCAAATCCTTAAGACGAATCGTTCATTTTCGCTAGGTAATCATACAAGTGGCGGCGCCAAGACGAAAGGTCGAGACTGGGGAAGCTACCGGTGAAATTTGATCACCATGAGAAACCACTTAGTGTACAAGGCCATAATGACCACTGGGGCGGTTAGACTTCGCATGATTGATGTGGGCACAGATCAATTCGGCGAGTCAACCATCGACAACGCCTGTTGCTGAACCTTCTTGTTCCGGCGAAGCAGGGCCGCAAACTTCTTGTCTAGCGAGTCGAGCTCCTTGCGAGTGCTTTCCAAGTCCTTCTGTGACCGACCAGAGAGTTCCTTAAGCTCTTCATTGGTCATAGCAGATACATCTTCGAGGCTAGGGTTGGCGCAGGGAATACCAGCAGTGCCAAGGATTTGCTTGGCCGTAGCAGCAGCAAAGGAACGCACGGCATCGGTAGTGGTCTGCAGGAGCTCAGCGGAGTGGGCGATAGCCCAATCGTGATTCCGGGTGCTGTCTGCTTCCATCGCAGACATAACACTAGGAGGAACGACGTTCTCCGCAGCGCCTAGGGCAGCGGTCAAGGCGGTGGTGGGAGATGTAGCGCCCAGGCGGGCTGGCTCATCCACCCAGCAGATATTGTACTTCTCGGGAGTCGCGAAAAGGGCCTCGAGACCTCCGTTGATATTGCTAGAGTCATCGCCAACCACGAAGGGGTCGGTGAAACCATTCCGCTGCTTCTCCAACTGAAGGTAACGCGCCTCTTCTTCAGGTTCCAGGTGACGAAGCACGGAGCCACGAGGAGTGATCAAACAACGGTTTTTCAGCTGGCCATTGCCAATGCGAACTGGCTCACCGCGACGCAGAGTTTTGCGATGTTCATCAGTCAACTCAAGGGGTTGCTTCAACTGGTCGTAATCATCGGCTGTGCACTTCATATCTGTACGCTGACCGAGGCTGGCCGGATTGAACAGGAGACTTTTGTTAAGATCCAAAGATGCGGATCTATGCATTTGAGCAAGTATCTCGTGAAGAGGCTTGGTTCTCTCCATCAAAATATCTTTGATGGAACGGCCAGATTCCTCTGCATCTTTGTTGGCTTGCTGCACGGTATTGTGGGAATGCCAGGCTTCCTCCACGTGTGGCTTTGGCGGAGCGGGCGGGGCTTCTGTGCGCGCTGGCTTAATCTCCGGCAAGGGTTGCTCCTTCTCCTTCACTTTCTTTGGGGGTTCGGGCTTGGGCTCGACTTTCTTTGAAGGTTCGACGGGGGCTTTGGCAGGACTCGCAGTTTCAGCAATACTAGCCGAAGGTCCATCAGCGGAGTCGGTAGGGGTAGAAGTGGCCTTCTTGGTCTTTCGCTTTCTACCCATGATAGGAGCCTGGATAAGCTCTTGGGGAACAGGCACAACCTCAACCTTCTTGGCGTCAGCTTCCTTAGCCTTCTGTCGTCTTTCCTTTTTGGCCTGGCTCTTGGTGATGGAGCGTACGGGAGCGGATCCAATACGAGACGAAGCAGGGGGAGAGTTGGCACGGGATGCCGTTGTCGAAGGGAAAAAGTCAGCTTCAGATCCGTAGTCCCCCGGAGTATCCGGTCGACTGTTTGATGACAAGCTCTGTCTCCTAGACCGTGACTTGTCGGCGGTGGTGGTCGAGGCCGCAACGGATGGTGCCGTGCCAATTGGGGTAGGAGGAGCGGGTTTCGGGGTCTCAACCACTCGTAGGATACGCGGCTGACGAGCAGCGGACGACTCAGAGATACGCGAGGCAGTGGTCAGTGGCGTATTAGGCCTTGAGCCTATCGCAGAGGTTGAACCTGCTGCGGAGGCAAAAGTCCCCGAGAAACCACGCTCAGACTTGGTCGAGCCAGCTTCCTGGCTAGCCAATGTCATGCTCACACTGGCGGGGCTTCCCTTTGTGCCAATCAGCGGACTTTGGTCGACTTGGGAAAGATCATCTGTAACAAGACGCAGGTCGCCCTTAGCGTTTAGCCGCGCTTTGTTGGCTGATTTGGCAACCGGAGATCCAAAGGAAATCTGGAAGGCATCCTGTACACGAGCAGATATGGAAGCATTTCGACTATGCATCTCAGGGGTCATGGCTCGAGATTCAGATGTCTGATCCTGCTTCGAGGGAGTTCCAACTCGAGACACGTTGGCACTCAATCCTGGTGGCATTATAGGAGCAGGGGATGCCGGCTTTGATGAACTCATGTGTTCCTGAAAAGCTGCAGTGGCCGGATGTGCATGAGGTAGAGGAAGACCAGGAGGAAGGCTCGGGGTTCCAACACGGCCAGCCGACTCGCTAGGAAGCTGGGACTTGAGGAAACCAAATGGATCAACGGGCCCGGCGTCTTTCGATGAACCGCCGAGCGGAGGGAAATCATCGTTCACTATTGACCCAAAGTTAGCATTTGGTTCGTAGCGGCGAAGAGAAGTGGGCTGGTGATGTCAATGGATCTCAACCGGGGAACGACTAAGCGTGCGTGACTAGAAAAAATACAAGAGGCGCCAAAACAAATAATTACACGACGGGCACTGACCCGCATGGGCCAGGTACATTGTAGGGCAATGGGTCTATGTAAATGGCAGTGAGACAGCTGTTTTTCAAATAAGACCCTGTCCAGGCTGTGATATCAGGGTAGGGAGGCCTTAACGTACATTAATCCATGGATCCATCGCGGTCTTCAAGACGCTGCAGATGGTCGAACGAAGATCCGAATGCAAAGAAAAAAAAAAGAGAAAAAGCATAGAGGGAATACAGCCGCCAAATAAAAAGGGTGACCCAGCAGACATGCAGTTATGTCCAACAAAATGCAAAACACCAGGAGCCAGGAAAGCCGGGTAAACATGTGAAAGAGATAAAATCAAGAATCGAAGACCATCAGAATACGCCAAGGGCACGCCGACCCGTCGTACTGATCCAGAGCGGCCTGTCCGTTTGCATAAAAGACAAAATGCAGCCCCGGCTTCGCATAAGATAATAGCAGAAGGGAAATGATATCATATCAAAGGACAGACCCATCAAACCATATGGTGGAGCATCATTTTTATGGGGAAAAAAGAAATGCACAGGGAAAATGCAGGAGGAAAAATCATGAGCAGAAATGCAGGAGGGAAGTCGTTCACCAGCGGTTGAATCCACCACCGCCGTACATCACAGAGGGATTGTACCCACCTTGGCCCTGGCTCCCGTACAACGCCTGCCCAGCAGTAGCATTGGCACCGACCTGGTGCATTCTCGCCTGCAAAATGCTCGGGTCCGCAAGATCTACTACACCGCCTCCACCGGAGGAAGTGTTAGCGTGTCTCTGCTTCTTCCCCTTCTTCTTCTGCTTCTGTGAGCCACCAGAGTCAGGCGCTGAGCCTGCCTGGGACCCATAGAAAGAGCTGAGAAGGCCATTGACGGGAGTCAGGGGAGGTGGGGTATGGTGCTGTTGAAGGAAAGGGAACATGAACTCACGCTTTGCGGCCTCCTGGCCCTGTACACCGCCAATATTCGTACCGCTTCGGCCACGTAGTAATTCACGCATCAGTTCGGGTGTCGCATCCTGTTTACCCATGGTGGAACCCAGCCCAACGTTGTTGTTTGTGAAGCCATGGCCCTGAGCGAACATTCCACCACCACTAATGGGAGGAGTTCCAGCGGTCTTCAAACCGGGAGGGGGACCTTGAGCACCACTCGCGTAGAAGCCACCGCCGACGGTATGCTGGGGGCTGGGCGAAGAGAGCGGGTTCGGGGTACCAGATTGCATCTGACTCAACATACGAGCGTTGGTCATGTTCTTAGAACCAACCTCGTTTGCGAAGGAGAATCGGGAAGAACCTTGGCGGCTTTGGGCATGTATCGCATTGAATTGTGCCATTTGGCTTTGCAAAAGCCCTTGGCGCACTTGAGCGGCCTGGTCCAGAGCAGCAGAGCTCAACGGGTCGGACAATCCAGCTTGCTGGTTGCCAGCGGACTTGAGGAGCATCAATTGCTGCTGTTGAAGTGGGGTCAGGCTACGGCCAGCCAGATTCAAGCCCTGAAATTGGTGGCTAGTGGCGGAGACTGGAGAGCCAACAGTTGAGTTTTCTGCTGTGCCCTGCTGAGAAGGAGGCTGAATGGCGCCGTGCGACTCACGCGTTGGGCGGCCGCGGGGTTGACTACCTTCCTCCGGCTCCCCACCAAGCTGCAAGCTGCCAGCTTCCCGGCTTTCCTCCTCTACTGAAGCAGTCTGGAGAAGCTCCTGTTCACGCTTCAGGCGGTCCTGTTCAGCCTTCTCGCGCATCGCCCGGCGCTTGACACCACCGTACGGGTCAATGAAAGATGGGTAATTCTCAATTGCCCTGAGTTCGTCCGCGGGAAGCTCAGATGCAGAGAAAACAAATCGGAATTCGGGAGACATGAGCTCTTTGATGAGACTATCGAAAGGAGAGGCCAGCTCGGGCTTGGGTTCTCGGGACCTGGTCTGGCTCACGGGCGATCTTGTATCGGACTGGGAGGATACCTGCTGGGCTTCCTGGATAATAGGGGACGACTTTTCTGTGCGCTTAGATTCTTCGGCTACCATTGCAACGTTAACACTGGCGGGACGGGGGCTCTGAGAGGCTTGGCTTCCAGATAAACTGGGTCGTCTAGTCTTGAATGAAGCATCTTTATTTGCCCAGCTTGCCGATGAAGGAAGCGCGGGTCCATCAGGAATAGATTGGCGTCCACTGATCGAGTCATCCTTGGACGGTTGGCGGCGCATTGGATGGGATATCGGCTGAACAGGTCGAGGCTGCGGGACCTGAGGGACGTTCTGGCGCTGGCTGGACAACGTGTTCATGGATGAGAGATCTGAGCGGCTGTAGCTCTCACTATCCTCCCCGGTCTCGTGCAGGAACGTGCAATTGCGGTTGTTGCACTGCTCATTTCGAAGGAAAGAGGAGCAGTACTTAGTCGTTCCGTATTGGGCCCGTAGAACCCGGTCGCCATTCGCGGAGCCATCTACGGCATTAATACATGTCGCAGCATCGACCTTCCGAGAGAAAGTGACATAAACACCAATGCCCTGGTGAGGATTACCACCGGGCTTAGCCTTGCTGACCACAATTTTCTCAATATCACCATATTGTCCGAAATACTCCTTCCCACGAAGAGTTAGAAGGAGTTGGTTCTCGTCGCGGATCGTGGGGTTGAGGCCGATGACGTAGACCAGGTTCTTCTGGACTACTCGGACGCCTGCCAAATTCTTGCGGCTAGAAGCTTCGATTTCGCGCTTTTCGGCTTCCTTCTTCTTCGCTGCGGCTGCCTTGCGGTGTTTCAGTGCCAAATCTGCCTTGAATCTAAAATGCCAACCCGGGTCAGTAAGTTCGCGCAAAACGGTGGCACCGAGTTTGGGGAAACTGTGACTCACTCCTCCGCATCAGGAATCTTGTATTGAATTGTACTGTCATCGTAAGGGCGGCGGCAATTCGGGCATCGACCCTCTTCGCTGTGGGTCTTGATATTGTTGTAGCAGAATTGGCAAATCTAAAAGGATAACATGAGCATCATGCGCGGCAGCGAGGTTTCACAGGGAGGTAGAGGCATACCTGATATCCACAGGGACAGGGTCTAAAGTTCTTGTCTGAAAGATCGAACTCTTCGATACAAAGGGGGCTTAGAGAGTGTTAGCATGAACGTCGCAAACCCATCCAGAGATTCACCACATACCAGAACTCGTCATCGTCGTCGATGACGGAGTCGATTTGTTGGCGACTAGACATGGTCGTGCTGAAACTGGGGTAATGGGGAAAGGCGACTGTGAATATTCAACGCCCGCCGTTGTGTCGAGAGCAAAATGGAAAAATGGAAATACGGTACTCCGGAGCCAGCACAAAGGAGAAAGCAGGAAATTAAAGAGGAAAAGGAAGAAGAGGGAGGGGCGAGATGATCGAGGGAGATGAACGGCGAGGGAGAAGAAAGGAAGGAAATTGAAGCGCGGCTTCATTTTGCTGGCGTTACCCGATCAAGTTTAGCGCCTGTACAAATTATGTCAGCCTCACGTGACTCGCAGGTTCAGCCAACCTCCGTCCTCACAATCCACCTTACGTGCCTTGCCTGTCGCTCCTCTTGCAAGCCATTGCTCCTCCTCCCACAATGGCATCCGCTCGCTCTCTGATGCGCTTGGGCTCTGGACACCCCGTAGCTTCGGCTGCGAAGTCTATGGCCCCTCGCGCCTTTTCCTCGTCTGCCCTGCAGTTCGCTGCGAAGGCCTCTACACACCCGGCCGGAGAGCCGGAAAACATGCGCCAGGCGCAACGGCCTCGTACGTGAAAAAATTTAATCAATTGAGATTGTTATACTTGAACTGACTCGATTGTCGCTCTCCAGCTTCCGGACCCCTCCGTGCCCCCGTCATCAACCCGGTCGACAAGTACGCCGACAAGGCCGACAGCCTGCACACCTATGGACAGTACATTATGTCCTGTCTGCCCAAATATGTCCAGCAGTTCACAGTCTGGAAGGATGAGCTCACCGTCTACACTGCCCCCGCCGGTGTCGTTCCCCTCATGAGCTTCCTCAAGTACCACACCGCGGCCGAGTTCACCCAGGTCTCCGATATCACTGCTGTTGACTTCCCCACCCGTGACCAGCGTTTCGAGGTCGTGTACAACCTTCTCAGTGTCCGCTACAACTCTCGCATTCGCGTCAAGACCTACGCCGACGAGGCCACCCCGGTTCCCAGTGTGACTGGTCTGTTCGAGGGTGCATTGTGGTACGAGCGTGAGGTCTACGATATGTTCGGTGTTTTCTTCTCCGGCCACCCCGATCTGCGCCGAATCATGACCGACTACGGCTTCGACGGCCACCCGCTCCGCAAGGACTTCCCCTTGACCGGTTACACCGAGCTGCGTTATGATGAGGAGAAGAAGCGCATTGTTATTGAGCCCCTTGAGCTTACCCAAGCTTTCCGCAACTTCGAGAGCGGTTCTACGTCATGGGAGCCTGTTGGTCCTGGCACGAACCGTACACCCGACTCGGTAAGCTATGATTCTACAAACATTCCCAAAACAATCGCTGATATATTCGACTACAGTTCAAGTTCCCTACTCCCAAGCCGGAGCCCAAGGAGGAGGAAAAGAAATAGAAAGAGTCTGTACGCGTATTACCTTTCTTTGCCATGTCTGTATGTACATATCGTTAATCGATGGTGTTCTTCGCCCTCCAATCTTCATAATGGATCCACATAAATTTGTTACAGCCAGGCCAAGGGTATCATGCATGTCTGAATAGACCTTGAGAGGAACGTTGGACTACTTGAGAAGATGTCCGTTCAAGTGCTTCTGTGCAAGGCTTAACTTAAGGCAGAGAAATGTATATGGGAAATGACTAGGTGCTTCTTTAGAGATATATATACCTCTTAGGTAGCCGTTCACATCTGGATAATGTCTCACATCTGCCTTGTTCCAAAGTTGTTCTGATTTGAGATCACCTCACCAGATACATAGAGATACTGCGTGGCTTTTACAATTCTGACGAACCATTTAGCTCAACTTAATTTTGCTAGCTACATTATAGAGCGACAACTGGCCCAGATTTCAGTGGGATCAGAGCGCGAGGCGGAGAGTCTTGGCAATTGATCTGCGCAAGAAAAAAAAAAAAAAAAAGCTCCGACCCATCAAACATCCAAAGCGACTCCGAACCACCAAGCTTTTCGCAGTACTCTCTCTCTCTCTCTCTCTCTCCTTGCATCAACAGATTGATATCGGCATATAGCCGACTAAAGCAAGTTTGAAAATACAACCATCAGTATGCCGAAGCGCAAGCTCTCCGAGCTCAATGGCTCCGACGATCGCAAACTGTCGATGAAGGCAGTGCGCCTCGGAGTCAAATTCGACCACGGCGTGCAAATGATATCGAAGGGCCTAAAAACTGCTCGAGGATTCGAAAGACAAAAGCTCAGCCGACGAGAAAAGACCGCCAAGTCACAAGACAACTCAACGGCATTGTCGAAGCTGGTCGAGGAAGTAAATGCGTTGAAGGTATGCGCGCCTAGACTACAATTCAAGCTCTGGAATCTCTGGAATACTGACTAGGATTGCGATTCATTTAGGCCCTGGACTACAACGTTACCGCCGCGAAATACCTGTTCAAACAACTGTCCAAGACGAAGCGCATTGCGGAGTGCCCAGCATTCAAGGAATTCGAAGAATCTAGGAATGTCCCCACAAACGGCCCCAAGAGTACCGCCGAGGCCAATATCCTGGGGCGACTGTTCAGTTCCACCCCCGTGAAGAATGTTGTCCCTACCATCATAAGTGAGATTCGGAAGTTGTTAGAGGTGGATGAGGCACCGGCTGGGAAGCAGGACAAGGCCGAGACCAAGAAGGATGCGGGGTCGAAGGAGAAATCAGCACGAAAGAAGGCGGAGGAATCAGAGTCGGTATCTGGGTCAGAGGATGAAGCGCAGCCTAAACGATCCTCAAGTACCCGGGATGGCGAGCGGGCCTCGCATGATATGGATATTTCTGGAGATGAAGAGTCAGGGAGCGATGAATTTGCAGACTTCGATGCGCGACTAGGACCGGGCTCTGACTCTGAAGGCGAAGTAGATTCCGATGGCGGTTTGCCCATGAAGAGCAGGGCTCTTGCAGATGACATCTCCGACTCGGTCTCCCGCTCGCCGTCTCCCGCCTTTTCAGCTGCGGATTCCCCACCTTCGAAGAAGACCAAGGCTGCTAGGGGCTCCGATGCCCCAGTGCAAAGTACAACATTCCTTCCATCTCTGATGGGTGGCTATTGGTCCGGCTCCGAGGATGCCAGCGATGGCGAGGAGGAAGCAGCTGCACCCAAGCGCAAGAACCGCATGGGCCAGCAAGCCCGTCGCGCACTCTGGGAGAAAAAGTTCGGCGCGGGAGCAAACCATGTACAGAAGGAGGTGAAGAAGCAGAAGAAGAGCAGAGATAGCGGATGGGATACTCGGAAGGGAGCGACAGATGGTGGCAGGGGAGGTAGATTCGGTGGACCAGGAGGCTTTGAAGACCGAGGCCTCTCGGATCGACCGCATAATGTCCACAATGCCGGAGGCCAGCAGTCAAGCTCAGGTCCGACCCAGAGAAGCAGGCTAAAGCCCCCTCCCTCGAAGGACGACGAGGGTCCTTTGCATCCTTCTTGGGAGGCAAAGAAGAAGCTCAAGGAGCAGGCTTCTACGGCAAAATTCCAAGGAACGAAGGTTACTTTCGATTAGCGATTCTATTAGCATATACCTCGGCTTTGGTTGCATTACGGCACTTGAAGAGAAATTCATTACGAAGATATGTCATTGCCAGTTGTCATTCTCACATACCAAAAATAAACGAGAAGAGACCACCTTTCAACGTAACTAATATAGAAAAGAACCTCGCGGGATATGGTGTATCAAAACTAGACAAAGACAAGAAATAATTGACCGGCTAAAACAACATTTGTCACAAGGACTAGACAATCACTCATTCATAAACTGCAGCCAATGCGAATCCGCACTCCCAGGAGGTTTGAGATCTGCGGGAACCATACCTGGATTCCCTTGAGCATCAGGCTCAAAGCAGGGAATGGCAGTGAACTCGCCCAGCTCCTGCGGGAAGTTCGAGACGAAGTGATCGAACCCGAAATGCGGCATCTGCGAAAGAGACTGATGCGAGATGGAGAAATTGTCCGAAGCAGAAGGAATATCGCCTTCCAAAATCTCCTCGGGTGCGCCAATGGTAGGCTCAGAGCCATTCGTGTTGGGCAACGGGATATTCGGAGGTGTGACGGACATGCCGTGAACAATGGCCTCAGCCGCGGACGGATCACCAGGGCCTTGGGAGGGCGCACTTTGCTGCATGACAGAGTCATTTTCAAATGCTTCTTGTTGTTTCCAGGCCATTGTGGATGGTGAAACGGGTCCGGTCTTCCAGAGCATTTCCCAGTTCTTAAAACGATCGTATGCAGACTCCGAACCGCTTCCGTTGCTTTGGGCTTGTTGACTCTCACTCCATAATTCGAGTCGACGGATGGCGCGTTCAAGTGCTTCGATGACGCTGACAGCGGAGCGAGCAGAACCGACGCCCATGGACATGATCTTGATCAGTGAAATGCCTTGCTCAAGAGCTGCTCCAAGTCGTTCGGTACGCTTGGTCAATCCTTGGGCTAGGATGACGAGAAGGGCAGCACGACATGAGCTGAATTCGGTGAATGAGGCTCGGGCAAGACCGGCTTCATCTCGGAGAAGGCGACAGAGGTCAATGATCTCAAGGGCTGCCTCAACGCAGTCCGTAACAAGGGTGGCGCGGTTCTTAGAAACACCCGAAGGGCCTTTGAAAGGTGTGACAGGTGTCTGATACAGACCTTTTAAACTGCTGAACAAGAACGGACGACCGATGAAGATTCGGGTTAAGCAATAATCGAGTTTCAGGTGCACATTGGATCGGAACAATGGTCCACCGGGGTTGAGATCTCGACAATTTGTTTCTTCGGGCAAGGTAGACCACCAATCAATCAAGTGTTTTCGGATGTTGAGTAATCGCTCAAGACAATCCTGTTGTTGACCTTTTCGGGCCGTTCGGAGCAGAGAAATCTCATTAGAGACTTCCCCGAGTTTCAGCGTTAGAGTAATCAATGCCACCATGTTGGTGTGATTTGATTGTTGTGAAGCGGGCATGATTCCAGGGAAGTCAACAGGGAACGCAGCGTCGACGTCGGCATCAGAGAGTGATGAAGGCCTGCCATGGAGAATGCTAATGCGCTTCTCAATGGTATAAGCAGTCCAAAAGACGCGGTTCCTTGTCTCTAACATTCGAGGAGAGAGACCTTCTCCGTGATATCGACGATGCATACCATTCTGGATGGCGAGTTTGAGTGCTAGACCGAAGTACGTGTAGCACAGCCCAGATGTATCCAAAGGAAGTAGGTATGTTCCAATCAGTAAGCAAGCCTGCACACTCCTCACAGAAGCCGTGGCAATGATGTCCGGTAATAGTTTCGACGCAAACTGATAGAAGGTTAAGCCGACCTCGTCTTCAGAAAAATGGTGATCTTGATTAGCATCAGACGGTGGAATATTCACTGGCGTCGATGATTCCATATGTGCAAACTGTGTGCCAACAGCCAGAACCATCAGAATCGAACAGACAGCACCTGAATCATCAGTTGAGAGACTAGATGGGTTCGTATAGCAGATGTTTAGTTTGTCGCGGAGCCAGTCTTCCTCCACGTAGAAGTTATTGGTTTGTGCGTATTTAAAGAATATCTGCACGAGGAAGTCGGCCACATAGCGTGGTGGTAGACATGTGATTGACGCTGACACAAGAGATGACCCTGACTGGAGTTGTGTGGACCGCCACCTTTCCTCGAATGGCTCAACTTCAGAAGACGCCTGCATCAAATCAGTCAATGAATGGCCTGGATAACATGCAGCAATCTATTATGACTCACGTCTGGTGCCGCCGTTTTCATCCACTCGTCAATCTTCTTCCGAATCTTCATGGAGAAGTTCAGGTAAGAAAACTCTCCGGAATATTCTGGGACCAATGATTAGCATGTCGAGATGGCAAGGGCGTTTCAATGCAGGCTCTTACGGGTTGTGTTATCTGGAAGAGCTTTAATCATGAAGTCTTCATCGTCAATCGCCAAATCTTCAAGCTCATTGGCATCCGCCTTGGTCGATATAGCGTCTGACTCAGAGTCGCGGTGTTTGTTCTTCAAATCCTCCGCAGCCTGGCGAAGCGACTGAATATCGAAAGTGATGCCGGGAACATAATATGAAAGGAGTCGCTCCATACAGTGTACACGCTCTGCTTCCGCAATTTCATGTCGGTTAAGCGAAGCCGCTTTGTCCAACAACCTATCAAAGACCCGTCAGCCTAGTCCGGTCAACGCGGCGTATTGAGACCGAGTGCACTTACGAGACGGACGTCGATCGAGTCTTTTCATTGGGGTCGATATGTGTGAAGTTACATTGTCGGCGATAACGAAGACATCGGCGACACGGTACACCTCCCTCGCATTTCTCTTTCACTCTGCGACAGCCGTCGCATCTGCACGAGACCCATGACGTTAGCGATATATCCACCAGCCGTTGTGACGATACGAAACAAGGGCAGCATACGCTCGGACAGCTCGTTTGCGATTCTCCTCGGCCACGCGTGGGCGCTTCTGCTGCGTGGGGGTGGAAGTCAGGTCGTCCATTGCCGTCTTGCCGTCAACGAGTTCGGGGGAGCATCGTCTGCGGAGAAGTGCCGGAGAAGGCGGAGACGGACTAGGCCCGAGGCTGAGGCCGCACAGGGGAGGGAGAGGGGCAAGGCGATCGGAATCGGTTCGTGCTGTCGGGACGAGAGAAGAAAGTCGGGTGGCGAGCTGGAGAGCACTTATCGGGTTGATATAGCGAGAAACCACGGATCGCGGCCCCGCATCCTGGCAAAAGTCTGCCTCCAAAACGTTCCGCTCCGCCATTCCCGCTCCTGTATCACCTCACGAGACTTTGGCATTTCTTTTTCACGACACATACATATGGGGTATTCTGGTCAATCCCAGATCTCATTTGTATCTACCTCTCTTTTTCCGTCTCTACAGTTTCATAACATTTTGAATTTAATCCAGTCCCGAATTGGGCTACGAGCCCATCTGCGCGTAGTACAGGGATCACCAGATAAGCAAGCGGCGGTCAAGAGCATATTTTACAAACAGCTGTTGATTGAGACAAATCTATAGCCTTCATCATAGTTGCTTGTCAAGGGAATTCTTAGCAGCATCATCGACAGACTTGATGGAGCCCAATTATTTGGTTATTGTTCTACGTTATCGCTCAGCGACGATGAATAGTAATCACGAGCAGGGATAGTTTTTAGCGTTGCAGGCCTGGTGTCGAAAAATGACTAGCCTGTATAACTTGTATAATCTGTATTTTAAATTCTTGTAGCAAGTTGAGGTAAAGAATTCTAGCTTAGATCTTCAATGTAGTCTAGAATCCATCAACATTAGTCCCAAGTCCCTCCTCCTTCCCCACATCAAGCACCTTCTTGCCAACAACAAGATCCATCAAACCCATTCCAACACACTTATAAATAATATTGCATCCGTCCGGAATATCAAGCGCCTGTTCGGGACTAAGCTCTCCCAAAAGATCACCCATCTCAATCAACTGGTCTTCCGTAACCTTCGCCGTATTCAACTCACCCGACTCCTCCATACACGCCGATTTCGAGTCAACGTAGATCTTGCCTCCGCCAGAAAGCAGAGTTTCACTATCGATCTCGTGCATGTGAGGCTTGTACGATCCAATGAGAGAGATGAAGCGCTGTTTGGGCACAGATTTCAGCGCAGAGTATGGGAAATTGGGTTCAATAGACGGTGTGCAGCTGAAGATGACGTCGCAGGCTTGTAGAGCCTCGAGGAGTTTCGCCTCGTAATCTACTGTGCCTTCCTTTGCGAAAGTGGCGAATTTGATATTGGCATACCGTTGACCTAAGTCACCGAGAACGTCGCGTTCCAGCTCGTTGAGTCTTTGACGGCCGCGGTTGATGAATGTTACTTGGCGAATTTGGTTGGGGTAAAGAAGAAGAGCTAGTCGAGCGTGCCATTCTGCTTGTCGACCGGATCCAAGGACGAGGATGTTCTCTTTGCGGAGAGAGGTGCAGCGGACAAATAGTGTCATAGAGGCAAGTGCCGTACGGAAAGCCGTAACCTCCGCGGCTGCGAGAAGACCCTGTAAACGGCCATCTGGCGAAAAGACATTGATAACACCCTGGATACCGCCACTAGCAACGGTGACAACCTTGACGCCGGTGCTGACGGTGTCAGACACGGGCATGAAGATGCACGAGTTGTTAGCCTTTGTGGCGAATACGGTGCGAAGTGGCTGATGGATCAGCTTCTCCGAATCTGCAACATTGGGCTTGGATTCAGCGGATATGGCAACTAGTGCCTTGCCTAGGATGTCAATGAAGTCGTGGCATTTTTCCTGGGTCAAGTTCCGGAAGATCTGAGCCACGTCGGGCTCGGAGAGGACATGCATCTTGGATTGGGGTATAAGAGAAATGTTGAATTGATCTGGGCAGATCCTTGACTAGATATAGATTCAAGTAGAAGTGACTGGTATGAAACAAATGAGTTTATTGATCAAAAAGATGAACTCGGCAAAGCCAACCGATACCCGCGTTTTGGCGAGGGGCAGCCCCGAAGGTCGGCGACTACAGCACCTGCGGGCCATGACTTGCCCGATACGACTGGCTCCATAGATAACCCCGCAATGGGCAAGTGGTTCCGGATATTTGAATACAATAGGGCAGAAGACCAGGAATATATTGAATTTTGGATTGTATCATTATTTGCAGCTACCGTGACTCATAAAACATTAACGCCCTCTGTGGATGCATCCCAAGTGCGCACAAATGCAAGCAAGAACCCCCTTGACGAAGCGACTGGGCTCCCGCACACGAAACAAAAAGTGGTATCTAAGCCTTAGAAAAAGCAGGCTTGAAAGCTTCAATCAATGCACAAGATGACCGAAATCTAATTACGGCCAAAGACCTTCAGGCAACGACGCTTCAATTCGGCGATCATGGCGATCTGAGAGTCCTTGGTCCGTCCGACGGCCTCGGTGTTCTCAACAGCACGACGGAGCAGGAAACCCATGCACTCCTGGACGGAGCCCCAAGTCAAAAGCTTGAAGACATTGGGGGCAGCCATGGGAGTAGCACCAACACTAGCCTCGGCACTCTCGAATCCTTGGAGGAGTTCGCAGCTAACCTCGTCGGCCATACCCTGAAGCTGGGCGTAGCTGAGGTCGACGCCGTAATCCTCACCCTTGAGAGACTGTTGCACGCGGATGGCATGAGCCTTGCGCACAGACTCGCGGTTGTGGGTAGCGATGATCACGTTGACGGGAGGCAGCTCGGTGGCATCCTTGTTAGGAGCCTGCAGCATGGAGTTATACTGGCGGGTCAGAAGAGCCTCGACGACCTCATCGTAGCACTTGTCGGTGTCCTCCTTCTCGGCCCAGACCAGCTGACGGGGCTCGGTCTTCATGTATGCGCCACGGACGAGCTTCACGCCGAGAGTATATCCATCGCGGCGGGCCATCTCGAGGTGACGGTTGAGAGTAATGGGAGTAGAGCGGAGATATGCCTGGTATGTGCCGTAGAAGATGGCGCGGCCGGGGGTCTGGGCGTTGCAATATTTCTGGTACTTCATAATCCAAGCCTCGATACCAGGCTGCACAGCCTGTTCCTCGGCATCGACGAGCAGACGAACGCCACGGGAGATAGCCAGATCGCAGACCTTCTGAATTGACGAGTCCATGAATTCAGAGGGCATGGCCTCCTTCTGGAGGTGGCGAAGAGCGTCTGTTCCCATACCAGTAAACCTATGATGGATTAGGATCCCGATGCGAAAAAGGAAATCGAAGATAAACTTACTTAAGAGCGACAAAGTCTCCCTCCTGTGCCATATCAACGGTCTTCATAGTGCCATCAAACCACATTTGGACCTCAGCCTGAGCTGCCTTGGCATCAAGCTCAGCCTCCTGGTTCTCTCCAACCAGGACCTCACGGGCATAGCCCAGGAGAACTCCGCGGCATCCCAAGCCCTTGATGTTGTTGATCGACTGCTGGACCTCAGCTTTATTCTCACCCGCATTGAACTGCTTGTAAATGGTGTGCTTCACAAGGAAGTTCAGCAGCGGGTTCTTGGAGACATCGAACAAAGCCGAGCGAGGATGGGCCAGGAGGGAAAGGGTGTAAATGCAAGGCTTCAGAAGCAGGGAAGAGGACGATACGGAAAGAATCATCAAAGAGCGTAGAACAGTTGAAAGCGGCAACTTTGACAGGGGAGCTGTCAGTGCTTTCCGTGGCGTCGGCGCGGTGACGGATGGCGATAGCGACTGGAAGACGTTGCTAGCAGCAACAGAAGAGTTCGAGGTGCCGGTACGGCTCACAAGTCGCTTGCCAGCAGTGCTGGTACTCTGGATGCGGGGCACCCGCACTGAGCGAGCAGCCTTCATTGATGTGAGTGTCGTAGTGCTTATCCGGGAATAACAGAGATGATGCGTCGATAAATGAGAAGGGAATAGAAAATGTATAAATGGCAATAGCCGCTTGAGAGAGCTCAGGAAGACTTCTGGTTGGTAGAAAAGACAGAAGACCCAATGTTGAAGCGAGGCAACTTTGTACTATGAAGAGGGGATTATGTACAGTTCGTAAGGGACAAGGGCCGGTGGCAAGCGCGTTACACCGGTACGGTGAAAGCGAGCTTAATCAACGGCCAACCGGCAAAAGCACACATATTTTATCGGTGCGGATGGAGTCCTTCGGTACCGGTCAGTGTTTTGAGCCGGTATTATTCATAGATTCACTCTGAATACAGGCTATCCCGGACTATGGACTATATTACCCCACACCTCGATTGGACCGGGACTGGACCGGGATCACAGCAGACAATACTATTCGTGATTGAACAACCGGCATTAACCTGATTAACTCCTTGTGTAGTTGATCTGCAGACCTCCGAGCCTGAATATTACTTGGTCAGATCCCATGATCGAGTCAGCCAGAAAAAAAGAAGAAAAGAAAAAACAGGTATGGCGAACCGATAATCACGGCCCGGTTTGATAGCGGACTGGGGTGGCACGGGCCACCGATAAGCAAATCACCGGGCCGGTGCTTTCTGCAGCTTCGGGTCCCTCACGTGCTCACGCGTTCCCGGCTACCGGCGCTCCTGCGAAGCGCCAGTTTCTATTACTCAATAGTAATTGCTGTTCCCCATACATTTGACTACCTAAAAAGTTAAGGGGCCCCAATTCCCCCAGATCCACGTGAATCCCCAGATATTCTACATCACCTGCAAATCGCGAAACGTCGCGATGGTCTAGCCAATCAAAACTCGGTTCCAGAATTAAGCATTGGCGATCGCGGCTAGAAAGAGCCTCAAGAGCTTAAGCGGCGCATAGTGAAGGCTTCTACCGCAGAAATGATTCCTATTTGACAACAGCATCACTTACAGATAACTCTATCGGCCGCAGATAGGATGTCTTCCGAATCTAGAGATACCATGTCAGACAGTGGCCGATAAGAGCCGCCTTTGGCCTAAAGTGCCCACCTGTGTCTCCACTACGGGCGTTCTTCTAGATCCTTTTTAAACTTTGGGAATGAAAATGCGTCCGATCACGGCGACCAACCAATGGAATCGTGCTTTGGGTAGGAATTGACTCTTCAAATAGCGGAACTTGTCGTCGGATATTGTCGCTTCCCCGCAAGTTGGCCAGCAATTTTACCTGGGGCGTGGCCTTGTCAACTGCTTTATCTATCCCTGGTGGCGCGCGCTGGTAGCGGTCTCTAAAGATTTCTTTTTTCCATAGCTCTTTAGAAATTTTGCATATTTATATTTTTTTGGTTCTTTTACTCATTCCGCTGTTCTTTGCAACTGCTGGAAGAATTCTCTGGACTTCTTGGCCATACTCATCATGGAAAAGTCTCCGAAGGCCGTCGAGGCAGGCGAGGTCGATCCATCCTATGATGACCCCAAAGCACTCTCGGGTGAAGTGGATGTACCTGGCACAGAGACACACCGTGGTTTGAGTTCACGCCATATTCAATTCCTTGCTCTTGGTGGTTGTATTGGCACTGGACTGTTTGTTGGAAGTGGATCAACATTGTCTCTGGTCGGTCCTGGTAAGAGCCCTCCATGAATGATATATATATGGGATATGATAGCTGACTTAATATCATCCATAGCCCCTCTACTGATGGGATACATCGTTATGTCGTCAGTGGTTTACTTTGTTATGAATATGCTGGGTGAAATGACCACCTACCTCCCCGTGCGCGGCGTGTCCGTGCCTTACTTTATCAATCGATTCACTGAGCCCAGTCTGGGATTTGCCGTTGGTATGTTCGCACCTGGTCTGCATGAAGGTAAATGCTAACAAAACACAGGATATAATTACTGGTACTCGTTCTCGATGTTAACAGCGTCTGAAGTTACGGCAGCTGGACTTGTAATCCAATATTGGCCAACTTCAGTCAGTGTCGGTGTATGGATTGCAATCGTCCTTCTTGGTAAGAGAAATACCGCATCGCAAGCAGAGATTCTATACTTATGCCGACCTTTTCTACAGTTATCCTCTTCCTGAATATTGTCGCTGTATCATGGTACGGTGAAGCCGAGTTTTGGTTCGCATCGTTGAAAATCATCGCCATCATCGGCCTCATTATTCTCGGCGTTGTACTTTTCTTTGGCGGAGGTCCCAACCATGATCGACTTGGCTTCCGCTACTGGGAAACTCCCGGCGCTTTCGTCGAACCGTACCTGGTGTCAAATGTCAACACGGGTCGCTTCCTGGCTTTCTGGACTGCCTTGATCAAATCTGGATTCTCATTCATCTTCTCACCTGAGCTGATCACCACCGCTGCAGGAGAGGCTGTTTCGCCTCGTCGCAACATCCCGAAGGCAACCAACCGATTCATCTACCGTCTCTTTGCTTTCTATGTCCTTGGAAGCTTAGTCATTGGTGTCACTGTTGCATACAACGACCCGAACCTTCTTTCTGGCGTTGCTAGCGGAGCCTCCGGCGCCGGTGCCAGCCCTTTCGTCATTGGTATACAGAATGCTGGCATCAAGGGACTGAACCACGTTATCAACGCGGCAATTCTTCTTTCAGCCTGGTCTTCTGGTAACTCCTGGGTCTACGCTGGCTCGCGAACCCTGTATTCCCTTGCCTGTGCTGGTCAGGCGCCTAAGATGTTCACCCACTGCGATAAGAATGGTGTACCTTACCCTGCGGTATTGATCACCTGGTCGATTGGCCTATTGGCATTCTTGAATCTGTCGAGCTCGGGTGCCAACGTCTTCTACTGGTTCACCAATATCACAACGGTCGGCGGTTTTGTCTCTTGGGTTCTTGTGGCCATTGCATACCTGGTATGTTATCACTTAATCTCTGTCTTCAAATACATCCCACTAACCATGTCGCAGCGTTTCCGCAAAGCTCTGGCTTTCAACGGGCTTCTCGAGTCACGACCATTCAAGACCCCCTTCCAGCCTTGGGGTGCCTACTATGCCTTGGTGGTTGTTTCACTGCTCGCAATTACCAATGGCTATGCTGTTTTCTTCCCGGGCTCGTTCACAGCCTCGGGCTTCCTGGTCTCCTACATTGTCTTTGCCATTTTCTTTGCGCTTTACTTTGGTCACAAGATCTGGTATCGGACTCCTTGGATGGTTCCGGTGGCTGACCTAGATGTTATCTCTGGCAAGGAGGCGATTGATCGAATGAGTGAAACTGAGGTGGAACGATTGCCTCGTAACTGGCTCGAGCGCGTCTGGTGGTGGGTTGCTTAGACTACCACGCATGTACATAGATTTTATACATGATGCCATTTACAATTATTTTTGAGCTTCAGATTTCTTCGGGTTCCTTCAATGAATGTGCAGTGTACGGTGTGAGATGAAAGGACGCCAAGATATACCTTAAGATACCTATGGAGTGGGTCGCACCTAGATCTGAAAACGGTATTTTCCACACAGTCTCCACTTTTATCTTCGCTAGCGGTACATATCTCGATTATCGCGATGCACTTTATTCAACTCACTAATTACTATCTCCGGTCAAAGATAGAGAGCAAGATAGAGAGCTAGATAGAGAGCTAGATAGAGAGAGTACAGGGTACAGCGACCTTAGCCCATAGTGGATCCACCCGGGCCGGTTGACCCACCCGGTACTCTTGCCGGCCTACTCTTATTCGTCACCGGCTCGTGCGCCATGTACTCTGTACTTTACACAGCTTAACGCGTTGAGCTTCGGGTCACCGCCGGTGGTAGCCGGTCATTTCATCATGTCCAGGTACCCCGCGTCGATTTTCAAATTTTGTTTCTTTCTTTAATTCACTCCGACCTCTGGAAAGCGATCAGGAATCCTGTGTATTCTTCCAGCTTCATATCCAGAATGCAGTCGACCTTCCTGCGCGCCAGAGCGCAGCCGCTCTCGCGGTTTGCATCCCGCATCCCGAGCTCGAGCTCGAGCTCGCGTGCTATGGGCACTTACGCCAACTTCAAGGTGCCCCAGATCAACAACGAACCGAACCAGCACTACACGCCCGGAACTGCTAGCCGCAAGGGTCTGGAGGAGGCGCTCGCCAAATACAAGCAGCAGGCTCCATTGAACGTCCCTCTGGTCGTGGCGGGCAAGGAGATCAAGAGCTCCCAGAGTTTCACTCAGAGCAACCCCGCCTCGCACGCCGCTGTCGCTACCTACTCCAATGCGTCCAAGTCGGACGTTGAGGACGCCATCGCATCTGCTTTGGCTGCCCGCAAGTCCTGGGCCGCCACTCCCTTCGCCGAGCGCGCCAGCATCTTCCTCAAGGCCGCCGATCTGATTGCGACCAAGTACCGCTATGATATTATGGCTCTGACCATGCACGGCCAGGGTAAGAATGCCTGGCAGGCGGAGATCGACTCTGCAGCTGAGCTGGTCGACTTCCTCCGCTTCGGTGTTAAGTACGCTGAGGAGGTCTACTCTCAGCAGCCCGCTCACCACTCTCCTGGTGTCTGGAAGTAAGTACAGTCTCATATGCCTTCAGGAGGGACCGGATTGCTAATATTTTACTAGCCGCCTCGAGTACCGCCCTCTTGAGGGCTTCGTCTACGCCATCAGCCCCTTCAACTTCACCGCTATCGGTGGTAACTTGGCTGGCGCTCCCGCTCTGATGGGCAACGTCGTTATCTGGAAGCCTTCGCCCTCGGCCATTGCCTCCAACTGGCTTGTGCACCAGATTCTTCTCGAGGCCGGACTTCCCAAGGATGTCATCCAGTTCGTGCCCGGTGAGGCCGAGGAGGTTACTAGCGCTGTTCTGGCTCACAAGGAATTCGCTGCTTTGCACTTCACTGGCAGCACCGATGTCTTCCGTAGCCTCTACGGCAAGATCTCTCAGGGTGTTGCCGATGGCAAGTACCGCAGCTACCCTCGCATCGTGGGAGAGACTGGTGGCAAGAACTTCCACTTGATCCACAAGTCTGCCGATGTTCGCAACGCCGTTGTTCAGACCGTCCGTGGTGCTTTCGAGTTCCAGGGCCAGAAGTGCAGTGCTACTTCTCGTGCATATGTCGCGTCTTCCATCGCCGATGAGTTTGCTCAAGGAGTTGCTGCCGAGGTTGAGAAGCTCCAGATTGGTGAGCCATCTGAGTTCACCAACTTCTGCGGCCCCGTTATCCACGAGGGCTCCTTCAACAAGCTGGCTGGTGTCATCGATGCCGCTAAGAACGACCCCGAGCTTGAGCTGCTCGCTGGCGGCTCCTACGACTCTACCAAGGGATGGTACATCAAGCCTACCGTCTACCGCACCTCCAACCCGGACCACCCTCTTCTGTCCCGCGAGCTCTTTGGTCCCATCATCGTGATCCACTCCTACAACGACGCGACCGAGGCCGACTTCGTCAAAATCTGCGAGAAGATCGATACCACCGGTACTTACGGCCTGACCGGATCCGTCTTCGCTCAGGACCGCGAGGCCGTCCAGGTTGCCGACGAGCACCTCCGCAACGCCGCTGGTAACTTCTACATCAACTGCAAGAGCACTGGTGCCGTTGTTGGTCAGCAGCCCTTCGGCGGTGCCCGCGCCAGTGGCACCAACGACAAGGCCGGCAGTGCCAACCTGCTGTCGCGCTTCGTCAGCTTGCGCTCCATCAAGGAGGAGTTTGTTCCCACCTACACCGTTGCCTACCCCAGCAACGCCAACTAGGTAATGACTCTGACTCGTTCACCTTGTTAATACTGTATGCCTTATGACATCATGGCGTCTTTTGCATTCCACCCTCGGCGTTTTTTCTCAAAAGGCATATATTGCCTCCGTTTGATTTGTTGAACAAAGGATTGTGTCCCTGTATATCTATATCTATCCAAAAAATTCAAATGTTCAGCCACATCTAGTCACCAACTTTTGCATAGTCTCCATTGCCATCTTCGTATACTTTTCCATCTCATACTTCTTCCTCTTTCTCTCTGACAGCATCGAAGCATTCCAGGGAGGACCGCCTACGGAACCAAGTCTTCGAAGCCGCTTTTGCCGCACTCTCAATAGGCAAATGACCACCGGAATACGGCATAGGTCGGTACTCAAGACTTCAACGATCCATGGAGCTTTATTCCTTCAACAGGGCCATCCTTTAGCACCGGCGAAAAGTTATATGCGTCGAATATCTGCAAGCAATAGATATTAACTGACGGAATATTTTGAGTGTCCTCGTATATGCTGACAGCGAGACTCTTCTGCAGAATATCCTCCGATAAATCTTCGATCAAACCTGCAGGTGATCCCGACGGACGTAGAATCTGCATAATCACCCCCCGCCATCTGGAAGGTATCTAAACACAACCCGACATTTGGACGGTCGATGTCCCATCTCATTTCCAATACTCCCTTGTACCTCAGTGCGTATGTCGATTAGAACTGGTTCTTGTATGCGCATTCGGAAGTTATATTTTGTTAACATGTCCGCTGGTTCACGAAGGTCCGAGACGGCAGACTCGCGGGATATTGAAATCTTCTCGGTTGGAGAATGTATAGATCCAACATACAAAACCATTAGCCATCCGTCCCATCGCGACCCCCACCCATTAACGAAAATGTACCTGTAACTGATCCGCCCTAAGATCTTTCATAACATAATTTTAATACACTCACTCGCCCTCGCAAACGCATCCTTCCTCCCCGCCGACCCCCTCTTCCAGCCCTGAGAGTTGCAAAAGGCTAGAGGTTCCTAATAGTCACCGAATCAATATCAAAAAGCCTCTGGATCTCATTGGCAATAACTTCATGCACGAGGCCAAAAAACTGTCCAGGCATATTGGGGAATGAGAGTTTGGATGAGATGAAACCGGTTTTGCTGATCGTTTCACGTTTGCGTGGGAGGATGTCGCTGGGGCTGGATACTATTGAGCAGGAGGTGAAGGATAAGGGATAGTGTGGACGGATGTGCGGGTTATTGGTGTCAATTTGAAAGATTTCCATCCCAAATAGCGCTTGGGATTAGAAAAACTTGAGCGATAGATGTTCAAATTCTCTCAGAGGATGAACTAATTAGGTAAATTGAGATCTCGTACGAGTGTATAGCTTCGTGCTACATCATCATGATGCACGACAGATTTGCCTGCTTTGGGGCTTTTTCATCAGTTCTACATCATCTGTCAGCAATGTGGAAAAAGAAGAATGCTAGATAACACCCAAGAGATATTATTGCTCGTCAATAGCCATCTATGGGGCGGGGCCGGTACTGACTGCACGTTGACAGTATCCCGAAGCCCTAATCCGGTTGCTACTCGTGTGTTGAAGAACATCAAAACTGCTATCCCCAATCTGGCCCTTCTCTATATCATTAGCCCTCTTCAATTTCCGTAGGCCCGGGGCTATCTAAGTTGACGAAAAGAATCGCCACTATGCCGTCTACAAATGCATCCCAACCATTCAAGCACATCGGCGTGGTCGGAGCTGGAAGCATGGGCTCGATGATGGTCTTAGCATTCGCTGAAATTGGTCTCGATGTGTCAGTCTGGGACGTGGAAAAAGCCAATATCGAAAAAATCGCCGACATGTCGAAGAAAGCCACAACCTCGAAGGCCAAGGTAGAAGGATTCACCGATCTAAAAAAGTTCACCAAGAATCTCGAAGGACAAAACATCGACGATCGGAAGCTTTTCATGTTTTCGGTTACACATGGACCCCCAGCAGACTCGATCTTGGGAATGCTGAAGTGTGATCTACAAAAGGGCGATATCATCATCGACGGCGGCAATGAAAACTACCGGAGAACGGAACGCCGCCAGAAAGAATGCAAGGCTATGGGCGTTGACTGGATTGGAATGGGCGTTTCTGGTGGTTATCAGTCAGCGTGACATGGACCTAGTCTATCGCCTAGTGGAGATGCCAAAGCAATCGCCCTTGTTATGCCTTTCCTTGAACAGTATGCTGCTAAAGCACCCAAAGATGGCACACCATGTGTTACCAGGATTGGGCCAGATGGCTCGGGAAATGTCGTCAAAATGGTTCACAATGGTACTGAGGGCGGTTTGTTGTCTGCTCTTGCCGAAGCGTGTTCTTTGATGCACTATGGCATGGAAATGGACTACGCTCAGATCGGGGAAATCTTCACGTAATGGAACAAAACAGGCGAATTGTGCAAGAACTTCCTCATCAACATCGGAGCCGACATTCTCAGGACTAAGAAAACATCGGAAGGGGATGAAAAGGGCGAAGGCGCAAGCATGAACAACGGTTATGTACTCGACGACGTTCTTGACAAGGTGGTTTAAGACGACGATAACACTGAAGGCACGCCTCTTTGGTCTTTGATGGAGGCAGCTGATCGACATGTCTCGTGCCCGACATTGGCTGCCGTGCACTGGATGCGCATTGCAAGTGGCAACCGTGGTGAACGCCAGCATGTCGCTGAAAGGCTGAAGATACCTGCGCCGAAACCTATAGGGTCATCCATGGATCAGAAAACGTTGGTTGAAAAGCTGCGACGCGCTGTATACGCCACGTTCCTCGCGTCTTTTTGCCAGGGCCTGGAACTGATTGCCAGAGCATCCGAAGACGAAGGATGGGAAATTAATATGGCCGATTGTTTGCAGATTTGGCGTGCAGGCTATATCATTGAGTCCGAGCATATTGCAGATCTACTTCAGCCAGCACTGGCCGAGAAGCCAGTGAAGAACATGAAAGTTTTCGATTCTGTTTCTCAGGAACTGCACAGCAACTATGAGCCCCTGAAGGAAATTGTAGTCCAAGGCGCCATGACAGATCAGTACATTCCGTCCATTACAGCAACGCTTGAGTACCTCAAGTATGAGGGTGGGGTGATTATACCGACCAAGTTTATGGAGGCTCAGATGGACTATTTCGGCGCACACGGCTATAATAAGCCCGGTATTCCCGGTGAAGATCCTGGACCGGTGAAGAAGGGGCCTCATCACTACGAGTGGAAAGCGGCGTAAACGGAAGGAAGTTCTGAATGTATTGATTGTTGTTACAATGAAATTAATATTAGTATATTCAAACGCTTGATATACATGCTCGAAGTATAGTACAAGTGGAGATTTTGTGTGAAGTCGGTGTTTGCGGTCGAGTTGAATGTCCTTCTGGCATACGAGAGTAGTGCACACTCACGAGCTCAATTCTCCATATTCCATATCCTCGACCCAGCTCCTAACATTGCCACAAGCCTCCTCCGGTTGTCGTTTATATCGCAAAAGATACCCCTGCACATCCGCAATACTGAATCGTCTCTCGGGAAGACACCCCGCAAAGCGCACTGCGAGGTCATGGAGTCTTCCAGTTTCCCGCTTCTTGTCTCCAATAGGGACAACAGCGTTCTGATATACGTCGCTGTATATGCTCAAGAAGAGGTCTCGCAGCTCCTCGTGAGATGGAAGCTCAAACCGAATATGTATATCCACACGACCCGGCCGAATGAGCGCGCGATCCAAATTTTGGGGTACATTTGTGGTCATAATCAAGATGCGGCCTTCATGCGATGCGACGCCGTCGATTGCGTTCAGGAGACCGGATAAAGAGACAGCTGTATTTGATGATGGCGTCTTCGCCGAGTGGGGCTGCGTACCATCCCCGCTAGGCCTCACTTCTCCTCTGTTTAACCCTGCAGCGTCGACGTCCTCCAAAAGCACCACGCACCGCGTAGGCACTTCGGAAAACAGCCGAATGAAGTGTGACTCTGTCATGCTTGGGTCTAACAAGCTCAGCACATAGATATCAAGACCGAATACACCAGCAATTGCGGATGCAAGACTTGTCTTCCCGGTACCTGGAGGGCCGGAGAACAAATATCCACGTCGGTAAGGGATGCCGTGGTTGGCATACCATTGTCTTGTGTGCGGATGAAGGTATTCGTTGATATCCCGGAGGATAGTCTGCTTTTTCTGTTTATCAAGGATAACAGTCGAGATATCTCTCGATGGTCGCGAAGCAACTGAACTCCAACGAACAAGGTCTCGAGAATCAGGCCTGGTGCGGTAGACTGTGATGCTCGACACGCAGACTTTGCGACCGTACGCACGAACTTCTTCAAGGAACTTCTTGATCGGGGAAAGTGAAAGACTGATACATTGCAGTTTCAAGGGAGGATTACTATCCACCTGTGGAGGCCGAGTGCTGCTATCAGGACTGCTCGCCGCGTGGCTAAACAACATCCATGTGCGTTTGAAGCGAAAGAACCGGGATCCGTGGAAAGGCTTCAGCTCGATGAAAGAGTTGTCGTCTACCTCTCGGTAGCTGACCAGGTTATCGGATTCCAGTTGTCCCAGTGGGGAGCGTGTTAAAGCTTTGTCGTTGTCGGAACTATTCGTGGTTTGTGCCAGCACGGAGAGAAAATTGTGCCGGCGAAATGCATGATCGTTCATCCAGCGAACAATATCCTCGTAGAGAGGGTCTTCTGCCCTCACATGTACCGTTGACAAGCATGTCTTTTCGGCGTAGTGGTATAATACATTCCCGGCAGAGCGGAGCGATGTGATCAAACCGATAACAATCAGTCCAGAGTTCACAATAACAAGAGGATCGAAGTTCAGTGTTCTGCGGACCAGTTCCACTAAAGAGTGGATTGCACCAGATCCTGGGCGATGAGCAGACAAGGACATCTTCGTTCAAATCGAACGGATCTCACATGCTCCGGAGTCTGGTCGCAGACTGAACTCCGCTTTGCATCCGACGATCTGTCTCTGGATCAAACCTCCCACGGTAACCCCTGGTCGTTCCGATTTAATGATAAGCGCAATGCTCCCCCTCGTTTTGAGACAAATAGTATTAGCGGGACGACGCGAGGCTCTTCAAGGATACCTAGCCCAGCCCGGAAAAAAACACACTGCTGAGTCAGAACTGAGTATTTCTGCCTCAGGCTACAAGTCAAAAAAAACATGAGGAGGTGCTAGTAGTAGGCCTTGGCTACGATTAGACGGTTAGACGTTTAATTTATCTTGATTTGAATATCCCTATGCGTATGTCGTGTGAGCTATTCAGAGGAAATGAAAGAAAAGAAATCAGGTACAGTCATTCTCGAAATCGGCTTGACCAATACACACATAATGACTCTTTTGTGGCCCCATCGCCGAGGTCTTAACGCAGATCCATTATTGAGCGGACCGCATTAAATAGAGGGACACCGTAAAGTTTAGTCTGTATAATACAATACATTGCCACGTAATATCACACGATGTGTACAAGAATTCAGTGGAATTGCTTGGAAAGCTATAACCAATGGATCTCTGCAAATCACATGGGGAGGGCCGTCTAGCACCTTGTAACTTGATGACCTGATGGGTGACTTCGATTCTCCTTGTCATCCTGTGCGGCATATATAAATTATCACTTCTGAGGGGTGTCTCTTTAGCTTAGAGAACCTCATCACGAATCGTACCATCGGCAAAAAGCTGTCTCAACCAGTTTGCGGTAGTTTGCAGGAGAACAACAACAGCCTCAACGGTGGCCGATGGCATGGGCATCAACTAATAGTAATTCACCATAAGTCTGTCATTACAGTAGGCCTAGAGACATAGAGCCTAGTCCTCTCACTGGCCATGAGGGCTACGGCGTTTAACCGCCTCCCCATCCGACACAAACTGCACTAACATCGACTTAACACCCATCAGTCACACCTCTCTACAGCAAACTGCTTCGTAAAAGAGTAGCCTTCCGTTAATCTAATTCGGTGGTTGGGAGGAAGGTCGGGCATATAATGAGGACCCACCGATCTATATTCACTACTTGATCGATATGAAGGCCGCTCTCAATAATAGGACGGTGGCGAAAGATACTCAATATTAACAAACAGATTTAAATCTCTGGTGATGAAGCGTACTTTCCACAAATCAAGCCAGTCAAGGCCCCTTCGGTGAGGAAGAAGCCACTAATAAATGCAGAATTAAATAGATAACCGATTTAATGTTATTATGTCCGAAAGCATACATTAACTAATAGATAAGGCTTCATAAAGCACAATCTTTCAATAGCGTATCTTTTCCTGCCGAAGGGTTGTCCTGTACAGAGGCCCATACTCTGACACCCTATTAGTTCGATATCACAGGAGTGCTTCGATCCCAAGTGCTCGTCTCAACAGCATCCACCAGACATGCCGCCACGCTAGCCCTCGAAATCCCCCCTAGACCCGCGAAAATACCGAGTCCTTTCCCATCGTCGCCAAGGAACTGAACGGGCTTTTTCTTTGCCATAGTCAGTCTCGCTGGCCTCAACAGTACGAATTTCAATTCGCTTTTTTTGAGTATCTCATCGACATGATTATGGTCCACGAATGAATGCCCGAGGCTGGTGTTGGAAATTGCCCATTTCATAAGCACAGTGATATTCGCGAGAGAAGACCCAACTCCAAATGAAGATAGTGTCGCAATCTTGGAAACTCCATGCCTTTTCATAGCAGCGACGAGGTTTTCGTGCGTCTGAGACATGACTCGTGTCCCCTTTTCTTTTGGAGATGAAAGCGTGACGATCACAGCAGTTGGGAGGTCGCCTTGGACTGCGTTGAAAGCGCTTTCAATGTTCGAAGGTTCCACCGGTGTGCCCTTCACGATCTTCAGACCTTCCATAGCCGGAAGTGCAGAGGGATTACGAATCAAGGCTGTAATCTTGTGGCCGCGCTGTAAAGCTTCATCGATGACGAGACGGCCAGTCTGTCCACTACCACCAATAACGAGAACACGCATGATTTGAAGATGCTGTTGTGCTGTTGGTAGAATGCTGATTTTTTTTCCGAATTGTTATAGGGTGGGTTGGATTGACACGTGGTACAATGATTTCGGTGAAAGTTTGAACTTTGTTGAGATCAACGGATGATAAACTAGATACTTTGGAATGACATAAATAACGAGCTTTCACCAAGTATATATAGCTGCGGTATAAACTCTATCGAGGGTGTCAGGGCAGATTGGGTCTAAGGTCTGCCTACAACGCGGCCCGGCTTCTGCCTATGGACCTAAAGACTGCCTACAACGCGGCCTGGCTTCTGCCTACTTAGTACTTGTTCAGCTACCGCAAGTAAGTGATGGGCAGGCTTATCAATCTCGACATTAACTGTAGTCCGAAGTCCGTACGGTCGCATGACCCTGGATTAGCTTTCTGCAGGATTATAAATCCTGTTGCTTACCAAGGAAGCGTAAAGTTTGGAGCCTCCGATGATCCAAGGGATCAGGGCCTGCGACGACCCTCACCTTCCTGTGGTGTAGGCTAGAAACCCGAGAATGCATTCTTAGGGCTAAGGAGAGTCGACCCCTCGAGCGATTGAGAGACATTGTGCGAGAACGAGCGATGATGTTGGGGACGTGAGTCTCTCGGCCATATTCTTGGAGAAATGTGGCTTGACCACGGTGAGTGGCTAAGGCCTTCAAGCTTTGTTACGACTAGGCTGCTGCTGAGTCAGGGAATCATTACGTAGCTGCAGATCATCTAGAAACTAGCACCAGGCGGCTTCATAGGTTTTCAAGGCATTCCATTGAATTCTTCTACGCATTGTGTAATTATAGGTTGTGGTAAGATTGTAGAACAACTGGGAGTGAAAGGCGAAGAAATACTTTGAATATGAACCTATTTGCAAATAGTGGACTCTTTATCAACATGCTTATTCTTTCCAGGTAGTAAATACCACGAGCTTTGTGGAGGATCTTGGCCTTCGCTCAATACAGTGGAGGTAGTCATGGCTCTCGAAGAGGTACGAAATCTCTTCATTGTTGCCTTGATTTGTGGGCTGATAGGAAATACAGGAATTCGGTCTCGAAATCCCGGATGAAGAAGCTGAAAAGATCACCAATGACAGTACTTCAGTTGAGGACATTGAGTGCTAACACCGCTAACCATATGACAGTTCAAATGGCCATTGATTACATCAACGGCCACGTGTCAGGGTAACTAGAAAAGCAATTATCAAAATTGAATGAAAAATACTATTATTAGTTGGAAAGGACATAAAGCTATCTTTCAGCTGATTCATCCGTTGTAGAGTTGCCCGGTCCCCGTTTTTGATTAGCTTGATAGCTTTTTTACACTTTGTTTTGTGTGGAGCTCATTGAGAATCCAAATATTGTCTTTAAGCGGCTCTTGGGTGCGGTAATGCAAAATTAGCGTTAGTGAGTAATGATTTAGATGTAAATGAGAAGAAGTGTTACAGAGGTCTATCCGCATAGACACCTCGCACGGTGGAGAAAGTGCTCCACCATTGCATCTTAGAGTGTAATTTCCCCCCCCTCGAATGCTGCCTAGGTGGATCGAAAGGGGCTGGTTGTTTACCCGGGGTTGAGCACGGCCGGTGTGGGCGGTGTGGATTTTTGGCGGTCGGACCCATATTCATACCCTGTCCTTGGTGGGTATTATTGATATGGACGGATCTGTCAGATAGAAGTTTTCCAAATGACCGATCACTGCTCGTGTGAGTTGAGCGAATGCGAAAGAGTTGACAAGTTCAAGCAAATCCACTTGATTTTGATTCAACGCCACATCGAAGCGCACTGGAGTGGCCACGATGATGTGATAGGTATTATTCCTCACATTCCACATATGCGGCCAATCGGTGTTAGACGACTTTAGGGCAACGGACAATGATCCAAATTGAAATTCCCCGAGATCATGGAAAAACTATCATCGCAACCTGGCTGAGTGGTGGATTTAGCGATCCCTGGAGGGGTTTCGTCAGATTCCACCCTTAAGACCCCTAAAGAGAACTCAAACATCATAATTGGCGGTCGTGTATAGATGGTGGACCTCAGTGGGGGCCGGATCACCGGTGTCCCAAGCTCGCCTAACATGTCTCTGCTTTCTTCACTCTTCAAACCTTAGTCGACCCACCCCACCAATTCAGCTCGACACCGCATCTGAACGAGTATGGGTGGTAATGCGTGGCAGTCAACTGGCTGTCTAACATGTAGAAAGCGCAAGATCAAGGTCAGCTCTTTACCCATCACCTTACCTGGTCAATGCTGATGCTCGGACTTAGTGCGACAAGCAAGAGCCCGAGTGTGAACGTTGTATAAAACGTGGCGTTCAATGTCCGGGGTATGAAACTTTTCGGATTTTCTTCCATCAAGAAATCATTTCGACAAAAGAAGGGAAGCCGGCAAACTCGAGGACACCTCCAGCTACCCAACTTCAAAATGGAGTCGGCGCAAAGCCGTCAGAGACTTCGGACAATAATAACCCAACGACTAAGACTATATATTACAATCGCGCGAGACCAATAACTTTTGGACACAATGCGCTCGACAGTGGTCCATCGAAACGGGTGCAGCTTTTTGCGTCATATTTAAATACCTACTTTCCTATCGATATCAAAGGAACAACCGGCATCGATCCTTCGTATGGCCTCATATCTGGCATTTCCGCGCTCCCGAATAAGTCTCCAATGCTTGAAAAGGCTCTGGCAGCGCAGACTTGTATCGTTCTCGGTCGTCAACAGGACAAATGCATGTTTCATCATGGACTTCAGCTATATAATAGTGCGATACAACACATGTCGCATGCTATAAAGCGGAACACGTATCGTGACGATGTGGTCTATACGGCTGCTATCTTTCACTGCCTAATTGTGAGTTCTTCATTTCTTATCTTGTTTGAAGATTCAAGGGTCTTGAGCTAATGCAGGACTCTCTCAGTCAACATATTGCCCTTATGGTCTTGATGTCTGGCTCAACCAGATGACAGTCACCAGCGGAATCTTGAAACATTATTCCCTTCACACGAGTAGTGATCCTCTTGTTAAGACCCTGTATTTGGGCTTCAATAGGATGCGAATGGTACGTCGTCCACTCTCTTTAAAGTTCCCGCCGTGTGTGATTTGCCTAACACCCAGCATGGCATAGTTACAAGCCTTGTCTCCTTTGCAATCCAAGGAAAAGATAATTTTGGGTGAAAATCAAGTTCCATCCATTCAGGGCTTGGAAAAGCATCCAGTTCTCCCCATCGATGAATTACTCAACCTCATGTCGGAAATTGCCCCCCTTGCAGCCATAATTGATACGGATAATGACTCCGCATATTGTGGCTCCCATACACAGAAACCTCTGATTGCTTGTCTTGTGCACAGGACAAAGCTTTTAGCCTGGTACATGAGAAGAAAAGAAGACATAGGTGGCGGGCCCATTCCTTGTTCTTCTAGTGAATTGATCACCAGACTGCCTAATGCAGAGCACCTGTTTGGTCCTCCATATAGGTTCTCCTCGCCCGACAATGCCAGGATGCACGTTCTTTTCTGGACAGCGCTATCTATACTTCAAGCTTTGATCGGTCAAGCCCAGTTGTTGCCTCCTGCAGCGGGGGAATATCTACTTTCGGAATTCTACGCCGATGAGATCGGCCGGGCCCTCCCCTTTTGCTTACAAAATAGCATGAAGGCATGGGGTGGTCATATAACTGTATTCGGAGTCGGTCACATATCCAAGGTTTACCTTGATTTCAAACGCCGGGAAAAGTTTTTCTGGAGTCTATATGCGTATAGTGTGCAGAAGGATATGGGGTCAGACTTCGCGGGTCATCTGGCAAGCTTTCTGGAACACAGCTGGAATATGAAGGAGAAAGAAGATTCTGTCCATTCATCATCGCCATTGGAGGGAGATATAGATGACAGTCTCTCGTCTACATAATTAGTGATATACAAAACGCGGCTACATATGTATGTAAGAAATGTATTTGAGGAAAATGTCAAGAGCATGGTATCGCGTAGTACTAAATGTCCGTACAAGCACCTGTAGCCCAGACTAAAGGGCAATGGCAGCAGAACCGAAAGCCCCAATTTAACCAAAATAAAGCCAAGGAGGAAATACAGATATATACTGAGGAGTATCAATAGTGTATCAGTTTTTTTCTCGTCTCTTCCACCGTTACCTGCCAACCCCTCAAACGTTAAGGTCTGTTAGGCAATCTGGCATGGTCTCAATGGCAATGGACCTTCTTGACCTGGGGAGCCTTGACGACCCTGAGTATCCGACTATAAACTTGACTAGATAAAAGAAAACGAAAATGCCCAAAATTGGTCTCCCCTTTCTACCCAATGACAATCAAAACGAATAACATTAGAATCTCTGGATTTGTATAGATCTGAGCCCAAAGCGGTGGACGGCCCGCGGAACCACGTGGGGCAACCCAGTGGAAGCGGGGCTCTGAATTTTGTCGCAAGAGATGTCCTGGCTTCGTCAACTTTCCTCCATATCCAAGCCCTTTCGTCGCATTGAGTCTGCAAAGCAACTTGCTAAGAGAATGACTGCTCTTCCCAACACCTACGAGGGTACTTCTATCCCGAGCCCGTTGAGCCCGTTGAGCCCGCGACCCCTCCCCCGCTATCCTGCTGACAATCGCATATCGCATTAGGCCCAGTCCCCATTGCTGTCATCGGCGGCACTGGACTGCGCGAGCTGCCTGGCTTTACCCAGGTTGCCTCTCTGTCTGTTTCGACCCCCTGGGGCGAACCCTCCTCCCCCATCACCATCCTGCACCACCAGTGCAGGCACAATGCCAAGACCGTTGCCGTCGCGTTCCTGAGCCGCCACGGCGCCCACCACCAGATCGCTCCCCACGAGGTCCCTGCTCGTGCCAACATCGCCGCCTTGCGCTCTATCGGTGTCCGCAGCATTATTGCGTTTTCCGCCGTCGGCAGTCTCCAGGAGGAAATTAAGCCCCGTGACTTTGTTATCCCCGACCAGATCATTGACCGTACCAAGGGTGTTCGCCCGTGGACATACTTCGAAGGCGGTGTTGTCGCCCACGTTCCCTTCGGCGACCCCTTCGATGAGGGGATTGCCAAGGTTGTTCGTGAGTGCGGGCACAGCCTGGAGGGTGACGGTGTTATCCTGCACGACCGGGGCACCATTGTCTGCATGGGTATGTGGCAACCCTTTCCCTCGGAGAAGAACGACGCATTGCAGGAATAGAACTAATCATGATACAGAGGGCCCTCAATTTTCCACCCGTGCTGAGAGCAACATGTACCGTGCCTGGGGCGGCAGCGTGATCAACATGTCCGTCCTGCCCGAGGCTAAGCTAGCCCGCGAGGCCGAGATCGCCTACCAGATGATCTGCATGTCCACCGACTACGACTGCTGGCACAGCTCTGCCGATGTCACCGTCGAGATGGTCATGGGAAACATGAAGGCCAATGCCGACAACGCTCGCCGTTTCGTTACTGCCGTCCTCGATGCCCTGGCTGCCGATGAGAACACCGACCTTGTCCAGGCCAAGCACCTGGCTGGCGGTATCAAGTTCGGTGTCAGCACCCCTCAGCCCGAGTGGAGCCCTGAGGCCAAGAAGAAGCTCGACTGGCTGTTCCCCGGTTACTTCTAAGCGCATACCTTGGCCCGTCTTGCCTGACGGGACATTTTACTATCTGAGACGACATCGAAACGCGTACATTTGACGATCGCATGTGGATATACATGTGAAGAATAGATAAGATATTTTGATGCATTTGAATTCTCTTGCATGGACAGAATTTGCCTTTTAGTCAGCCTTGGTGGGCTATAGTCATTCAAGCTATTTCATTTTCCTTATTCGTCGTCTCCCAAAAAGACGCGAATCGGCATCCAACCATCACCAACAACTTTAACGCGTGTTTGAATCCCGCTAAGGGCGGCAACATCGTCTTTCGACAACCTCCAGTCATCCATCTGAAAGTTGGAATCGATTCTTGATGGCGTCACACTCTTTGGAATAATACTGGATCCGCGTTGTAATCCCCACATCAACCTGCATTCATTAGCATGCTTTCCGCTATTTGCAACAAGGTCTCTCACAAAACTTGAGCGGGAGTTTTCTTTTTCGCCTTTGCGATCGCAAGCACAACGGGATCCTCGAGTAGACTAGTGTGAGCGTTTATGGCAGATGTCGTGTTGCCACCCAAGCAGGAGTATGCAGTGCAATGAATGCCTTTTATCATGCAGTACTCCAGTAATTTGGGACTATATTTGGTTAGCACCGGTAACTTCGCATGATCCAGGCCCACGATTGACTCACGATGGGTTGTGCGGATGCAACTGCGGAAAATTCGACAGAATCAGTACCGATCAATCATAAACAGGTAACATGGAGGCAAATACCTCGATTTGATTGACTGCCGGAATCACTTTACACGATGCGTCATTCAATAGTCTCTCCAGATGCGAGATCTGGAAGTTGGAAACACCGATCGTCCTCACTTTTCCAGTAGCAAGAAGCTTCTGTATTTCTTGCCTATTCCAATGAGCCTTTTATTCCCCAATATATGTCTGGGTGGAAAATTAGATTCTTACCAGGTCTTCACGAAGTCCCAATCCGGTAGATGCTTTGATGCATCTTCTGGATCAGTCGAACACGGAAAATGAATGAGATACAAATCAACGTAGTCGAGGCCAAGGTCCTTGAGAGAAGAATCAAGCCCTTCCGACACACGATGATGCCAAGGATTGTCCAGCTTGGTTGTCACCCAAATTTGGTCCCTCGGCACACCTGAAGCTCGTATACCCTCGCCAACCTCCTTCTCATTGCCATAGTTCAAGGCAGTATCGATGTGGCGATAACCGTGCTGCAGTGCATATTTCACAGCTTCAAATGTCTCGTTATCTTTTGATTGCCATGTCCCAAGCCCGATAGCTGGGATGGAGGCGCCATTATTCAGCGGAAAGGTGTGGGTGGTAATCTTGGACATCGTCATGGCGAAAATGTTTGGCTGCGACGTCCTTGGAAAAGGAATGGTGATTGATGGTTGATAAGGATTCAAGAATTGGAGTCAATGATTTCTTTGATCGGTGACGGGGACCTGGGGCTATGCATCTCGATAGTTTGCCGATCTTGCGACGACGTGTCGTATCAATTCCTATCCTGGTACCAGCCACATCTCTCTGTGGATCTTACTGTACACTACAGCTTCACTGAGAGGAAAATTTAAGGACTAAAGTAACACCAGACACTTCAGGTGGTCAGACTGCGGGGTCGATCGGCGCAAATACGATCGGCCAACTCAAAACTATGCGCGATAGTGAGAACCCGCGTGAGGGGACACAAGCCAATGATCGCCGCCTTGTGATTCGAGCAATGATAAGCTGCAAATATTCAAAATGAATGCTAACCTGCAGACCATCCTTTGTGACCCATAACTCTCTTCCACGTTACATGACAGGATGGGTTGGTCGTGGCCGGAGATCAAGCACAGGCTTCAGTGGTGAGTATGCCCTCTGACGCACAAATACATTCGCTTACGATGCCTACAGCCCCGTTGACGAAGACGCTCAATATGAGAATACCACTTGGTGTAACCGTGATCTAATTCCCATCCCACCAGCCCGCCGAACATATGGCGTTTGGTCTTACTTCGGTACGCGGTTGCCCTGAATCGTCGAGATGACCCACTAATGGATCCATCAGGGTACTGGACCGTGTCAGGGTCCTGTATCTCCGCTTGGTCGACCGGAAGTACACTACTGGCATTTGGACTAAGCCCGCAGCAGGCCATTGGTGTTGTGGTTAGTTATTTTGAGGCCTGTTTGTTCGACTGGTGCTGATGAATTAGGTGGTTGGGGGCATTCTTGCTGGCCTCCTTGCAGTTGCCTGCGGGTGGATGGGCGAAAACCACCACATCGGGTTTACCGTGTCGAGCCGATTTTCCTGGGGAATGCGAGGATCATATTGTATGCCATCAAATCGCAGTCCGGCTCAATCTGCTAATCATACGAGGGATAGTTCCGGTCATTCTACGGTCCTTTGTCTCTTGCATGTGGTTTGGCATGCAGGCATTCTGGGGCGGTCAAGCCACGAGAGTCATGATCGGTGCTATCATTCCTGGTATGCGCAATCTGAAGTATTGACATGGAGCTATCGTTGACTTGTTGAAGGTTTCGCTCATATGCCAAATTACTTTTCTGCCAGCTCACATCTTCAAACCAAAGACTTTATTGGGCTTCTGATATGGATGGGTGCTTTTATCCCTGGGCTGCTGATCCGCCCTGAGAAACTACAAATTCCATTTGTGGTCTGTTTCACCTTTTTTTGTGGATCGTGCTTTGGATTATTGATATGGTGAGTCTGTGTCCACCACTACTCTAGTTCCTTTTTAACAAGAGAGTAGGGGGGTATCTCAAGCCCACGGACCGGGAAGTATGTTCCATGAGCCTGCAAGCACACCAAACGTCGGATGGGCTTTCATGTTCGGTATAACAGCCATTCTCGGATCCTGGGGATCCGGCACCCTTGGTCAATCAGATTGGACTCGCTATGCCAATCGAAGATTTGCCCCAACGCTATCGCAGCTGATTGCCTCTCCAATAACCATTGCAGTGACTGCTACGATTGGTATCATTGTCACCAGTACTTCTCGCGATATCATGGGTGGTGATATTGAATGGAACCCAATCTATCTGTTGGCTGATATCCAGGACTTTTATCATTCGAGTCCCGGTGTGCGCGCAGCGGTGTTTTTTGCCAGTATCGGCCTGGTGTTCTCGCAGTTCTCGGTAAGTATTCTTGTCCCTTGGAGTTCAAGAAATCAGCTGAAATTTTTTCAGATCTCGGTTGTACTCAACTCAGTATCCTGTGGTATGGACATGGCTGGTCTGTGGCCTAAATACATCAACATCCGGCGAGGCGGATACATAATGGCTTGTATCGGCATTGCAACTCAGTATGAGACCAACCGCATTTTCAACGTAATGCAAGCAGCTTGAACTAACTGGAAATAGGCCATGGCAACTAATCTCAACAGCAAACAAGTTTCTGTCGGTACTGAGTGGATTTGGTGTCTTCATGGCCCCAGCAACGTAAGTGGTTTCCAACTACTCTGTGAAGAAGTCAACTCTAATACGATGTGAACAGGGGAATTATGCTGGCAGATTATCATCTAGTCAGACGCTACAAGCTGAAGCTTGGGGACCTTTATACTGGTGACAGCTCTTCTATCTATTGGTTCTCAGGCGGAGTAAATTGGAGGGCATTTGTTGCCTTTTTCGCGGGAATGTGGTCACTTCTGCGTATGCCATCCTCTCAGAATCCCCTTCATTCCGCATTTTGATCTAATATTCTCATCTAGCTGGGATGGTTGGCACCGTTAATTCCTACTCCGGAGGTCAATGGACAGGTTGGGTTCGTCTGTACAACTTGACGTTCTTAGTCGGACTTGCAATGAGCTTCCTCATTTTCTGGGTGCTGAACTATCTCTTCCCTCCCACTGGATTGGGGCAAGAGAGCCCCTTCATGGAGGAGGAAGGGGTTATATATGGGGTAGCTAAGACGAGTGGAGAGAACGACACTCTGTCCAGTGATGAGGAGAAAAAGGTACCGATCGCTAGTGTGGTTTAATCTTGAGTGATATCTTTGGAGCCGAATGAATGAAGGAAAGATTCTAGGAATTTGAGTGAGAAACTGCGGCGTTATCAGAAGTATTATTTCGAGGTAATCAAGTGTGATACAATTCTCTAATCAATCTATTTCAACCAAAGACCTCAATGACACTTCGAGGTTTGCTGTACTTTCCAATCGGAACATACTTGACCTCTTCGAATCCCATCGAGCCAGGCCCTCCCAGCTCCATACCCCTCTTTGTATCAGTCCACCGGGGCGATGCGGCAATAGCAATAATGACAACCTTGAGTCCATACTTGTACTCGGGCGTTCCAAGCCCCTCTCCAGTCTCTGCATCAATGACGGCAATCAGATCAGGCACAGATGCCAAGATCTTCGACTCGCCACCCGAGACCGCTTCAACAAAGGCATTTTCGTTCTTGAATGGGACCTTGATGGTGGCCTCTGTCCCATCGCTTAGAGTTCCATCGACCTCCAACACACCGTAGGTATGGCCAGTCTTGAGAACCCGCTCGACGCTGGTGATCTTTCCCTGACCGAGAATCGTCGCACTGTCCGAACCACCGACTTCATCGACAATCCGTTGGGCTTTTTCCGTGATGCTTTTCTCTAAAGCCAGCGCTCGCCCGATCCACCAAGCCAAAGAGACGGTATTGGTGACGGCCTGCTCTCTTACTGCCTTGGCGGTCTTCGGCGACAGAGACTTCCCTGCGCGGCATCCCATTTCTACGCATGCTGCTCGCAGAATCTTGTCAACCCCTCTGTCTGTGCGAGATTTAGTCATGGTGATGAATGACCCATCACCGCTTGCGATCGTCGCAGGTACCAGAGCATCGCCAGTTGAAGAGCCATATACATTCGGCGTAGTTTGCCAAGTGGTTGGATACGCGCGACCCATGAAGTCGGCATCAATACAGGGTACTCCGAAGTGTGCTGAGACACTCAGATTGACGACACCATTTCCTCCACCAATCTCCAGAGATAGAAAGCCAGACACAGGTGGGCTTTTGATGACTCGTATGAGTTCTTTGTGTGCTTTGAGGCATTCGTCGTTTTCGAGCCTCTCCATGCTCACCTCCGGACTGCCCATACAACCGGTCCACCCAACCAAGGAGTCATCGGGTAAGAAGTCAGGTGAAACTACTTTGATTGTACCCGGGTGAAGTTGTACAATTGCTTTTGCCTTCAGGTACTCTTGGTATGGATCGCCGCCACCTCCACAACCAAGGATCTTGCACCCTGCGGCGATGAATTCCAGATCTGTAGTGGAGACGATCCACTGTTTGTCTCTGACCTCCGGGCGATACGTGTGAATATCAACTTTCGCGGCGACTGGAGGGATATCATGATCTTTTGGAATCTGCTTCACGCCATTGACCTCTTGCTCACCGGTCGTAATCACCGCAGCAAGTCCCGATCGAGGTATATGTTGTTGAGAAATGATATCCAGCTCACCAACAGCCCTCACGATGATTCGAGCTTTTGCCTCAACGTATTGGATTGGCAACATGGTTACTTCGACAATTTGGACCGTTTCTGGCTTTGCACCATTTGCAATCGCCTTCTTAACAGCAATCTTTGACACTGCTTCTTGAGCCTCTCTAATTGTTTGATCTGAAGTATCCAGAACGGTGTCAACAATGCCTGAAACGCGTGATATAGCAGCACCGACAGCGTTCGCGACCTCGCCACCTTTGACAGTTCGCACTATGCGCACCCCTGAGAGAGGCTCGTCTGTTTTGATGATGGGAGCCCCCCCGCCGACGATCAGAACGTCTACATCACCTTTCTGGATCTTTGTCCTGTCCACGAGCTCTTCGATCTTTCGCCGCATAACAATCTGAGCTTTCTTCACCAACTCTGAAGTGACATCTGCGAGATGTGTGATATCTCCCATCCCTTCAAAAGGATTGTTCCCTGTCGGTGAATACATTTCAGACGCGGCAACAATATCCGTCGACGTGAGATAGTCACCACCAAAAAGTTTCGCCTTGTCAAGAAGTTCCAAAGCGACGCTCTCTGGACCAACGGACAGATCTCCATTGTCTAGGCTGCGGACGATAGAGCCTCCACCCAGCCCAATACTTTCAACAGCAGGGAGAGCAAAATTGGTGCGAACTCCACCAACAAGACTCATGATGGAGCTCATTTGTGGGATTCCATTTGGAAGCAAGAGTCCGCTATCAGATGTGGTCCCGCCAATATCGATGACCGCGAGGGGCTCGGTACGGTCAACATGCTGCTGTCCACTTTCCTTGGCTGCAGCACGCCAAAGAAATTCACCTCCGCGAATGGAATTTGTTGGACCCGAGTTGAACGTGCGGATAGGTAATTCCACAGCCTCTGAGACTCCCAGAACACTTCCATCGTTTTGGGTCAGGTATAGTGTATAGTGTTGGTCCCGGAAGATGTCTTCCATTGATTTCTGGAATCCATAGATTGTTCTTTCCGCGAGAGGACGCAGCGTAGCATTCAGAATCGCCGCATTCTCACGAGCCAGGAATCCAAGACCTGACACCTCATGAGACAGGGTGATCCGAGGCTGAAAATCGGCTCCGCCTCTCTTGATCATATTTTCTAGCAGAATATCTCTAGCTGTTGTCTCTTGCAAGTGGTTCAAGGGAGCATACATCCCCGAGATTACCACATTGGAAACATTGCTCTGTGCCAAATCTTCAGCCACACGTTTCAGTTCTTCATGGTCCAACGAGCTGATTTCATCGCCGGAAATTTGATATCCACCGCTACAGTGATAAATTTGAGAAGTCTCGATGCAAGCGCGCAGATCTGCTGGAAAGTCGACGAATGGCGGGATTCCTCGACCGAAGCCTTCCTCGGAACCACCACATAGTCGAATGACGGCTACGCGTCGCAAAGATGGTGAACGCTGAACAACTGCGTTGACGAAATGCGTGGTACCTATGATCACACAGCCAATTGATGAGAGTGATACGTTTGAAGAATCGATAACTTTGCGAACGGCATTGGTGATGCCTGTTGTGACGTCCGGGGTGGTAGGTGCTTTGTGAGAAGCGATGATGGACACAGGGTCAAGGGAGATGAGGACCGCATCGGTGTTTGTGCCTAGCGATTGGGCAATTAGCTTTCGTTTTGCATGACACGATACATCCAGACGCACCTCCTACATCAACCCCGATACGGTATTTCTGCGCAGTCATGCTGGCCATGGCGCGAATAAGCAGTGAGAATGTTCTGAAATTCCTTCTCACAGTGAGTGGTCTAGGATCTCAACACCTACCCGATCTTATGGCGATTATATTAAAACAACCCCCCTCTCCCCTCTCCACACGGACAAACAACCGTCTATCGGAGTCCATGCGTTGCGGGGTACAACGTCGGCCGACACAACGTAGTTCGCCGATCGCGATAGGCAGAGCGCGATAACGCCAACCCGCATCAAGAAGGTCGACGACAAGCCTCGGCCAATCTCAAATGAGACTATTTTCTGTCTTCTGCGGATGCGGAGGCGGAAAGAGTCCGTGTCTCCACATAAAAGAGCCGATATCAACCGTTCCAACGGACCATAGCTGAATATTATCATCGACATTCTTGATTCACGCAAGATGATCACGCCAGCTGTTGATACTCTCAGTATTCCTATCATCGACCTTGAACCGGCTCGAACTGGGACACCAGATGAAGCTGCCCAGGTCGCGAAAGATGTTTACGAGGCTTTCAAATACATCGGCTTTGCCTACATTAAAAACCATGGGGTTCCACAGGAGCTTATAGATGAAGCTTTCAGCTGGGTATGTCCCAACATCTGCTCTACATGATATGAATATAAACTCACACTTGAATGTGACCATAGAGCCAGAAGTTCTTCGCCCTTCCTCAGAGTGATAAAGACAAAGCACCACACCCTCCGGTCGGCTGGTACCATCGAGGGTATTCAGGAATCGGCCGTGAGAAAGTTGTGCAAATGGTCTATGACAAGGAAGGCATTACAGAAAAACGCAAAGTACCGGACGTCAAGGAGTCGTTCGAGCTTGGCAACGAGAACGACGAGCGCATGCCAAATATTTGGGTCCCCGATGAAGTCCTCCCTGGATTCCGCGAGTTCTTCACCAAATTCTTCGAGACTTGCTACACCATTGAGCAGCTTATGTTAAGAACAATCGCTATTGGGATGGGCTTGGACGAGAACTTCTTTCTCAATTATCATCAGAACAGTACTAATCAGTGCCGCTTACTTCATTATCCGCCCGTGGAAGAAGAGCTTTTGAGACTCGGAAAGGCGGAAAGGATCGCAGCACACTCCGACTTCGGCACAATGACCATTCTGTTCCAGGATGAGGTCGGAGGTCTGGAAGTTGAGGATATCCATGAAAAGGGCACATTCAACCCCGCACCATATATTCCCGGAACGGCGGTCGTCAATATCGGAGATCTTTTAATGCGCTGGAGTAACGATGAACTTAAATCAACTCTTCATCGCGTCCGTGCCCCGCCGCTGGCTACCTCTAGTGGCGACTCAAGCGGTCGCATGACTCGACCTCGATACTCAATTCCATATTTCATCAGCCCTGATCGAGATAGGCTTATTGATTGTCTACCTGGGTGTTATGGACCGGATCGACCCAAGAAATACGAGCCCATCACTAGCAAGGATTATATTTCGATGCGTATGAACGCAACGTATTGAGTTGTCCGTGTTGTCTGCCCGGCTGCATGTGTGGCTGTTCGAGAGGTCCAATTTGTACTTATCTAAATAGTTGCAACAGCAATGGTCCTTATGAAGATGCAATTGGCTTGCCCAAGACTCAGAGCCCCTTGAAAATGACTTCTTTCGGTGGTAAAAACTATGGAAGTGGCCCTACATGGGATTGCGGCCCCATTCCATTTCTCATGATACGTGCCGCCTGGATGAAAAATGAATCGATTCGCAAGGCAACAGGTCGAACAAGTGCAAGGGATGCATCGTCATCTGCCCACTCTCGCAGTCTTTGGAGAGATTCATGGAATCTTTCTAGAAGTTCAAATGCACTATGGACCTGCTCAGGCGTCGAAGCCAGAAGAAAGAGGTATATCAAGAAGTTTCCACATAGCGTCAATTGCGAACGTGCGTCTGATTGAGGTCTTTGTAAGCTTGAATCAATCGTGGGGCTTAAAAGCTGACTTACGACCACCCCAAAAAGCATGCAGGCATGGCATGTTAATGTCATTCATGAAATGTGTGAAAGCTTGAAACTCATCAACAGCCTGGTCAAAATAGCGGCGTAGCGAAGAAGTAGGATCTGATTTGACACGCGTCTTGGCGGGGCTCATCAACGCCCGATATAGAAGAGCCTGTATAGCGAAGAAGGCCAGGTGCAAGGGCGCTTTATTTGTCAATGAGAGAACTATTCAAGACATTTGAAATACATACCGTTGTTTCTAAAGGCTGGAAAGCCTTGTGAGCGCTGCATTGTTACACACTGAGGGATCATCGAGACCCAGTTCTCCAGCTTTTTCTTGATATTTAACAGCTCTTTCTCCCGCTCCACGGCATTTGACATTGTCTTTTCGTAGCCGACGTCAGTACTAATCACTGATGTTAGCATCGATATTTTCTAGAGGAAACCTGGAAGCGTACTAGAATGAACCAACTAAATCATGCAATATCCGGCTGAGATTGACCATCTGTAAGAACCGCGCGCTGGTAGAGATGTCCACATCACTACTTGATTCATCAACCATATATCGCATCTCTTCCGGGACGTCCTCATCGAATGCTAAATCATCAATACTAGGTGGAGCTGTTGTAAACGACTCATTATAGATGAGGGGTGGGTTTCCATGGCAGATAGACGACCAGATATCAGCGACGTAAGTAGACCACCATAGTCTCCTACGAAGACTTTTCTCCCATGGAGCAATTTGCCAGAAGGCAGGGTCTCTATGCAAGCCTATCATTTGTGAACATGCCACGGTGTGGGCTGAGAAGACCCATGTGCAAGGTGTTTCAATCGTCGCATTGTCCGCAGGTCTTTCATACAGCAGCAAGAGACAAGCTTGAAGTTTCCAAAGATTAGGGGCATGAAACTCTCTTTGAAGTGACGAATGAGCTTCCTGGAATAAGTCGTGCAGGTCAAACTGCAAAGGCCCATCTTGGGCGGGTTTGTGCTTCCAAAACATCGAAGCTAGACCGTAAACAGCTCCACGTAACGAGGCGGGAATTTGCCGCTTGTTTGATGCGTACGCCTGGAGAAATCGGGTCTTGGATACAACACAGTATACTGGATGGACATGTTTGAAGAAAAGCCGTACAAGGGTAAGGCCATGTGGAGAGACCATCTCTTCGATTGTCTCCGATGCCCGCGCCTTGGCGATATCATCGGCAGGCTGGAATTCGTCGTGAAGAACGTTAAAATGAATTGGTGATATATTCTGGTCTTCATTGCCGGCTCTGACTTGGATCATATCGGCGCTGACACCATCTTTCTCGTTCATGATGACTGATCTGAATGAAGCTAGGAGGTCAGTATCTTGCTCGGCACAAAGCCCCATGCTGTGGGCAGTCCGATTCTCGTTGTCTTCCAGTGTATAGAGAAGTGGCACTCCCGAACCAACCGCACGTCCTCCTGGGGACATTTCTACCGGCAATGGCTCTGGTCTTGGCCATGAAACCGGCGATTGGGCGTTACACTGTCTCAGGGGTAGTGACGTTTCTCCTTGCAAGGACCTGGCCTGGCCTGGTGATCTATCTAGTGGTGACCTTGAATCTTCTGGACACAGAGAAGAACCACCAGTATCCTCAATGGTCGATGGTATGCTTATGCTCGTGGGTGATTCTTGGTTGGTACGACCTACTTCAGCCCCCTCTTGTCCAGAGCGTGGTCGGTGCGATTCATCCTCAGTTGAGCGACAGGGCAAGCCCCTAGTCAGGCAAAACCTACCTGGTATACCATCAGCCGTGTCTGTTAAGAGATGTGGATCATTCCATACATGGGGGATTTGACTCAATGACACACGCCGTCTTTCTCCTTCGACATGTATCGCATGGTCTGTTCTTGCGACTTCTCCACTGCCGAGCACTACCAAACTTGGTTCGGATTTTGAACGTACGTCTCTTTTGTATACGACTATCCATACTTGGCGAATCTCAAATCGACGAAGACATAGCGTTTATGAAAATGGTTGGGTTTGGGAAGATGGAGGTGGAGATAAGAGGGGAAGTTGGCTCCGCTCCGGGCCCTAAGGACTGATTTTGGTAGCTCGGGCACTTTTCGAACTTGGTCTTTGCATTGCCATCAAGAGCAATTGGTATCTAGCTTATTAGCCACCTTTGTCGTCCTTCTAGTCCAATCTACCTCGTTTTTCCAGCTAGTTGTCGTCTACGAATCCGTAAAAGAAGTCCCCAATTCAAATAATTATTATGAATTGTGTATGAGGCATCACAGACACCACGTGTAGAGTACAAATTACACCATCGTCATATTTGTCCAGAAGAATGTAGAGCCCAGGGACTGCGCTCACCAAATCTTCTTTGCAACCATCTCATACCGCTGTACATGATCAATCTTCAAATCCTTATCCTTATTTTTTTCTTTCTCTTCCTTCTCCTTCACACGCCGTAATCCGTCAGAATCATCCGCGTAAATCCATCTTCTCTTTTCATCGCCAACCTCAACCATACCCCATCCCCCAGCGCGACGAGCTCCGTCGACGGCGAACTCGTCTTTGCGTGTTCCAGGTGTTTCGGCTGGTGGTTGTGGGTGTGATGATGAGTGGGAAGACTTGCGCGGTTCTGTGCGTGGTTCTGTCTCGGTTGGTTTCATAGCCTTGTAGCGGGAGCGCGCAAAGGCGAGGAGGACCATTCCCAAAAGGAGTTTCAGGATGAGCAAGACAACGAAGCCGGTTATCAGAAGGACGACAGTGAAGATTTGCACGGATTGGGCAGGTGACGGGATAGCGTTTTCTAGGAAGGTTCGGAAGAAGGAATTGATGTGTGCTGCTGAGGCGGGGAGGATAGTTCGGAGGGTTAATGGTGGTGTTGATGGTAGGGGGAGGGGTGCGTAGTGGCTGTGAATTGAGGATAGGGAGGTAGATCCCATTGCAGTGGAAGATGGATGTTGAGGGATAAGAGAGGCCAGGAACATCTGGTAGGTCTGCACTGAGATTCGGAAGAATAGGCAGGAGAGAGGGATGACGGGGAGACCTAGGCGACGAGTAAGGTTTTGGTCGCCGAAGGCGTTCGTGTAGTAGTCCTTGGCGAGAACATCGAGATACCGGCCGTATAAAGCTGGACGGTAGTTGTTGAATTTGTTAATGTACGCGTGTTTCAACCAGTCGACGAACATCTCGGAGCCCAAGACCACCAGGAAGGGACCTAGGACTTGTGCCAAGGTCGGGATGAAGGAATTGACGTTGTTGAAGGATGACAGAATGGATGACGGGAAGAACGTGAAAGACTGAGGCAAGATAGATGACGCAGTTCGTGGAGGCGTGGAAAGAGGTGTGCTATTCGTAATGGTCGAGGGCTGACTAGAGAAGCTGGATCCCAGCCCGAGGTCCCCAATAAAATTGAAGGCGCCCGTTTCGACAATGTTGCGCGAGGCAATGATAGTGAGCATCAGCCACAGCTGGAACCTTTCCACGACATCAGCGCAGGTGAGTTGGAAAAGGTTTTCCTTTTCGAATTTCCTGAAAACGGTCGACTTGATCTCGACGAACTGGTTGGATAGCAGCAGCGTGATGAGGGCGTTCGAGTATGAGTTGACGGCCACATTCAGCGTCATGACCTGGTAGAATAGTGCTGTCGCATGCGCCACGGTGTATCCAAATGCCAACAGGAACAACCAGAATGGACGGAAGATCTTACTGCGTCCATCAGGGCGACGTTCGAGGGCTTCCCGGGAGAACAGGCACTCGAGAACATCCTGACCGAGAGCTGCCAACAGTCGATCACTCACTTCCAGCACGTTGTATATGACATACAGCTTGATGGCTGCCTGTCCGCGAATCCAGTGATACATCCTACTAGCATCGAAATACATCAACGCCCAACAGGTCGCGATCATGAGGAGACCTGTCAGGATGTCCGCTTTGTCATCCGGAAGCAAGGCCGAAGGAATCGACTTCTTCCTTCGGTGATGATGCCGACGAGACTCTGAGGCCCGGTGTCTCCGCTTAGAGGGTTCCGAATGCCGGTGTCTTGCCTCTCGATCAATTGATATACCGTCATATCCAGTGGACGATCCATTCGGTATGGGTGGTGTAGCATCGGGCTCGCTCTCGCGCCTTTCACCATGGGTTTCGGCGGGGTGTTGTCTCCTTCGCCACACTCGACCAACACCATTGACAACAAATTTCCACACAAATTTCATCTCAGCATCAATGTTCATCACCCAAGATTCGAATAGCATATATACAGCCTTGGTAAAGCGGAGGGGAAGGATTGTAAACGAATAAAGCCATGAGTCGAGACACGCAAGCGTGCCAAAGCAGAGAACCTGCTCTAACGACCAAGGAAGAAATAAGACATTAAGCAGTCTTTCAAGTTTGGCGCTAGATGATTCATAGGGGAAGTCCGTCGTCGAAGAACGGTGGATGTATAGTGGTGAAGGGCGACCAGATGCAAGCTCGAGTTGAAGGTAAGTCGGTATGGATACAGGAGGTAGAGGAATAGCAGGAGGCATAGGGGATGTCAGAGGCGTTTCGATGATCTGTGCAGACGCGGCAAGCTGACTCTTCAGGTCTTTCAGGTCTCTTTCCGCACCAGGTCGATCCTGCTTGGAGCGTGACGTCCATGTCTGAGCCAGTCGTTCATTATTGGGCGTAGAGCTGGCTGAACGACGCGAAAGACCAGGGGTGGAGAATGTTCGAGATGGATGCGGGCGATTCCGCACTGGTACATTGTTGGCATTTCGTGTAGCAGCCGGGCTTGCGGACGCAGAAGCATCAAGATCAATATCTTTGATAGACCGGATCTTCTCCGTTAGCGGGGTCGTCTCGCTGAGTGCTTGCAAAATAGAATCCTTGATCTCCGGCCTGATATGCGACATCGTAGAATTTGTGTTATCCGACACAACCCTCCTTCCTGTGTTGTTTTCCGGTGCCACTGCACGGTACGGTATAGATTCAGGCGACGATGTGAGTTCCTGAATCTTTTCCGGAGAGAGTTTCAGCACTTTTTCCTTATCATCTGCTGGCTGTCTGGCAATATCTTCAGCGATTTCCGTCAATGCAGCCTTGGCCTTTTGTCCCCCGAATACATCCACGACCGACGTCCGATGATTCTGATTCGTCTGATCCTGCGTGTGCTCGAGAAGTATGCCCAGACCCTGCTCAGGTGATACCGAAAATTGTTCAGCTTGGTGACTGCCATTTATAGCTTGTTGCCCTATGGCGTTGTTGGAATCCTGAGGTGGTGCATCGGCCGAATGTCTGGCTCCACTTATAGCACTCTCGCTGGCGTCCGTTTCAGGTGTAAAAGTCGAGGGACCGGCATCGGCATCTTCGTGAATTGAGGAGCTGGAATCACCGTGATCTGCCGACCTAGCCTTCCCATTCCCTGGCATCTTTAATTCCTGGCCTGACACGGGTCTGCCACTCTCCGCTCCGGGCGCCATACTGCCCGACTTTCCAAGAAGCTTCCCTAGCACAAGAGTATGCCCTCGTTTTTATTATCGATGATTTGGCCGTTGTTTAATCCATCCAGAAGTCGGCGGGCGGCGTTTGCATAATCCCAGCTGGGACGGGATGCGACAGGACTGACAAACTGTCAAGCTATCGTTTCGCGAACAAGGGAACGAAGTTCAACGCATGGATAGAATCGAGGCGGTTTCAAGTCGGCAGGTTAGTTTGGACTCATCCGGAGTGCATTTTGAGTAGACGCGCACGATGTCGAGGTGCGTCTGAGATGCAAGCGGTGAAGTTGGACAAGCTGGGGGAGATAAGGCCGGTTATCTGTCAACTCGCCATTAATGTTGGCCTTAGGCATCCAGGGGTCCAGAACTCCACTGTTTACTCTTTTGGCTCGAAGCTACCATTCTATTGGGATATTACAATCTACACATAGTCCACGAAGTATCTCAAAATCAAATCATTCACATCAAGGAAATATTGAAGGCGCGGGATTGGGAATCAAATAATGGGGTATGTACAATGGTCCAAGAGGCTTGCTCGCTGATCATGAACGGTATTTAACAGGATAACCGGTCATCAGATGCAGTAGATCCAGCTGTTCTGCATTTTATCGTAAGGGGATACCAGTGTGAGGGTACTGGCTTAGTATTGGTGGGTGTTCGCACGATTGAACGAATGGTCCGCCGGTGGACCATTTCGATGCATGGTAGACGGCGAGGCAGTGTTCGCACGGGTGAAGGGCTGATAGCCCGTTGGTGCAATTGGTCTCTGCATGCGAGGCTGTGGTGTCTGGGAAGGCATTGGGGGGTGGAATGCAGCGTAGCCGCCATTTTGCGATCCAATTGGGCTCTCCGGGCTCATGGAGGCGAACGTCCTCGGAGGTGGCTGCACTTGAGCGACGGATTGCGGCACAGATGTGCTGGCATAGCTTGCCGGGGTCATAGTCCGCCCAGGTGGGCCGATTGGGGGTGGATACGCTCCAGTACTAGCAGGAGTGTAGGACCTATAACCGCCCTGAGCCTGCGAAGAGGACTGGTTGGCGGGGGCTTCGGGCTGTTCCCTATACTGGTCATGGCCATGACCATATCTGTGGGCATCTTGATTAGCCTCCGAGCCATAGCCGTTACCCTGGGCGCTATAAGGATTGTATCGAGCGGGCGCATCGGAATGCCCATAAAACCCATCCGGTGTTTTGGATCGGCCGTATGAATCGGCAGCAGCTGCATGTTCATGGTCATAGTACTCATCAACAACAGCAGCGCCAGGCGTGTGAGATCTTGCATAGAGATCAACAACGGGGCTATGTGAGCGGCCGTAGTAATCGTCAGTAACGGGAGCGCCAGGCGTGTTGAATTGGTCATATGGATCAGCAGCAGGTGTATGTGAGCGACCATAATAATCAATAGCAGGTGTATGAGAGCGGTCGAAATAATCATCAGCAGGAGGAGCTGCGGGCATGTTGGGTCGTGCGTAAGGGTTGGCAGCAGGTGTATGCGAGGGTCCATGGTAATCAGAGACGGGGGCTCCTGGCGTGCCCGACAGGGCGTAGGGGTCATTCGCAGGTGTGAATGTGCGATACGGTTGCGCTTCGGAGTCAGTCAGGTTGCGATATCCAGATGCAGGGGTTCCACGCCTTGGATCATTGCCGAATGATGTCGCGCCAGGCGTAGGGCCAGGAGTCGATCGTGACATGGCTGTACCTGTTCTCGCAGGAGGCACGATGGCGGGCAGGGGTGGTACAGGCGGAAGCGGGGAGGTCTGACGGTCAAGAGGACTATATCCCATCCCAGCGGCGTTGCCGGTGAGGGAAGCCGACTCGGACATTGCGGATGACTGGGTTGTCGTCCGAGTGAGCGGTGGCTTGCTATCGAACTCGATGTTGGGCAGAGTCGGGGTCTTCTCCGTGGCATTGGAGTTGGTCCTGGTATAGGGTGGCAAGGTCGTCTCCGTGGTGCTTCGTGACAAAGTTGTCACGATAGGACCCTTATTCAAGTCTGGCAGTGTTGGTTTCGTGTCTTGGCTTGCGAAAGTCGGTTGAGTTGGAGCGCGATCTTGTAGCTGGAAGCCCTTGGCCAATGCTTTGTTGACCTTACGCTGTACGATGCGCTTGAGCCGGGTGCTAATCTTGCGGCGGCAGTATGCCTTGAGTGTACCGTCTTCCTCTGGGATATGGTGGAAGAGGAAGACCAAGTAGAGAATGACAGCCGAGGCCAGCTTCAAAACGGACAGAACCCAGATAACCAAGGTGAAAAGCATACCGAACAAGACCACGGCTTGCAGGTTGTTGTCTTCAGCGAGAATTTTGACGTTATTGAAGAACTGCAGGATCGGTGAGGTATCATTGTCTGCTTTCGTATTTGCACCGCCCGGGAGCAGGTCCAGCTTCATCACTGAGTAGAGAGTGATGCCGTTGATGACCTGACGGGGACCATCTGCAAAGATGGTGTTCATCCAGAATTGGAAGGAGAAGTATGTGTACAGAGCCACATACTCGGCGCCTTTCTTACTCTTTGTCAGCTCGGCGAAAACGAGGAATCGTTTCCATCCGTTACCCTCTTTGGTAAATACACGGAAACTCTGCACGCGCACCGCAAGAGGGTCCAGGTAGCTTCGAGTGATGCTGCCGGAGCGGATGGCCCGAATGGCAAGAATCCATCGGTAAATGAGGAGCGCAAACGAGGTAAGAATGCAGGCGGCGAAAATCCATCGAGAGATTCTGAAAGGAATAGCGGGTTCAACGCGGCCGGACCAACGAGAGAAGGCCAGCAGGTTAACTGCAGTGAATGTGTCGACGCCATAGACGGCAAATGAAACAATGAGAAACACCCAGAGGAAGAAGTAAGAGAAGCCTGCCCAGCACGAGTCGGACTTGAAATCGTTGAGGTTCTAGAGTGGCCAGTATCAGTATCAGTATCAGATCTTATATTTATCGCATCAAGTCGACATACCACATAGTCCCATTGCTCCTCCATAGCAACATCATTGCCTTTTTCACGATCACCCGAGCACCCCATGGTGTGTGTGTATGGACCTGGGCCTGCCAGGAAAGATTGAACGTAGAACGAGGGTGGTGATTACCCGACGAATTGGTGGACTTCCTCGGGCCAGCCGGGCGAAGTCACGATCAGGATAGCGAGTCGGGTGTAGGTAGAGAGTGAAATGCTCGAAGAAGACTGAGAAGGAGTGATGGGTGTCTTAATCGCAGCGGCGCATTACTGCGACAGGCTAGGAGAGGGGAGGCTGGCGCGAAGTTGAGAGCGCAATATGCGCGGGGCAGTGAACAACGCGCCGATGTTTCAGAACGGCATTCATGCACGAGTTCAAAGGCCGGAATATGCAGGCGACAGTGGATAATGATCGCCAGGGGCGAAAAAGGCAGATCTCGTTGTCTGAGCGCCAAGAAAGGGGGGATGGGGCCGAGGATTGCGGAGAAAGAATGTCAGCGGTGAAGCTGGGGTAAAAGAACGGACTTGTCCACGAAGACAAAGCAAGAGAGTGTCGAAGTTCCCGAAGTGAATGGAAACGAGCGAGATTGAAAGGGGGGATGAAACACGCTAAGGAGCAGAGCAAGCACAAAAAGGCCGGTGGAGTTCCGAGCGGCACGCCAGGCACGAACTCGTTTAGGGCTGAATCACATCTCACTTGGCTATTTCGGACTGTTCATTGGCGCCAATCGCTGTCTCGAAGCTCACCCTGCAGAGTCTGGCGCCTGTCACTGTCGCGGAATCGCGAAATCCTGCACCAATTGAAGATATAACCAGGGCCCCAAGGGTCAGAACCTCCACGATCCACTTTAAAGTAAGGCGAATAATATGGGGAGCTCCATCCCGCACCGACCAGACCCTGGCGCTGGCGATAGCTCTGTCTTCCGAATCACTGTAAGCGCCTTGAATTATAAGCGCCTCTGTTCTAATTTCATTCATAGTGACTGCCAAGCGTGAATCTGATGCTATCCATGGAGAGAGCTGTTTGGATCGATGGGATTGCTGGGTATAACTCTAACCGGTCGCAGTACTGCAACTGCGGGGGTCTCCAATCTGGGGTCCATGAAGCCGATACCATGGATTCCAAGGTTGGCAGTAATCAGCAATGCGAGGTGGTTTCCTGCATACTGATTAAAATAGCTCATCGCTGCGCTCGTCGGTAAAAAGGCAAAAAGGTCGAGATCCAGATCATTTGCAAGTGGAAAAAGAAGCTCTCGATCGACCGTGTCATGCGTCAAGCAGGGTCAGTTCGCGCCTGACCTAGAATAATCCTTCACATATGTTGAAGAACTCAGTAATCTTGCATCAAGATCCTTGAGAGCATCTCTTCCAAGGTTGTAGCTTAGATTTGCGTCATAACAGACCCGGTCTAGAGTCATGAAGAGTGTGTCCCAGCTCAAGCCCACCTAAGAATCCCGCATTCCTGCGCCTTGGTAGCTTCGGGGCTTACCTTCTATCGCTTTGAATACTCGACTTATAAAAAAATTAAAATTAAACTTTAAGAACACAAACAATGGGTAGAGCGAGCCTGAATTGTATAAAAAATAATTACCGGTCCATGACGTTGACCGGAAGCGTAGGAACCTTATTGCGGTGAGCTTCGCATTTATAAGCTGGTGGGGTAGGTATCTGGAGTATAGAGAACAGGGTCTTGGGAGTTGATTCCTATAAATTGGTACTCGGATTCCTCTTTTTTCGTTTCCACATCTACAACTTTTCGACTGCAATCATGACACCCCCGATCATTGAAAACAAGGCCGCCGAGGGCATCTCCTACTACACGCCCGCCCAAATCCCTCCTGCCGGGTCAGCCGCGATCCCGCAGTCCGATGGATCGCAACCTCCCAAGCTCTTCCAGCCTTTCACAGTGCGGGGCAAGACGTTCCACAATCGCATTGGAGTAAGTCTTCATGAGTACGTCGGGGTGCCTTACCTTGACCAACCGCTAACTGCAAATCGTCTCTAGCTTTCCCCACTCTGCCAATACAGCGCCGACGATGGACACATGACCGATTGGCACATGGCACACCTGGGCGGTATTGCCCAGCGGGGACCCGGCTTCCTGACGGTGGAGGCCACGGCAGTACAAGCCAATGGCCGCATTACGCCTCAAGACCACGGTCTCTGGAAAGACTCGCAGGTCGAACCTCTCCGCCGCGTGGTGGAGTTCGTGCACAGCCAGAACCAACTCATCGGCATTCAACTAGGCCACGCAGGCCGCAAGGCCAGCACCGTGGCTCCCTGGTTGAGCGCAGCCGACACAGCCACTAAGGAAGTCGGCGGATGGCCCGACAACGTGAAAGGCCCCTCGGACATTCCATTCCAGGAGCAATTCCCCACGCCCAAGGCCTTGACGCTTGCCGAGATCGAAGAATTCAAAAAGGACTGGGTGGCCGCTGTAAAGCGTGCTCTCAAGGCTGGTGTGGACTTTATTGAAATTCATAATGCCCACGGCTACCTACTCATGAGTTTCCTATCGCCCGCTACTAACAAGCGGACGGATAAATACGGCGGCAGCTTCGAGAACCGCATTCGACTGTCTATGGAGATCGCCAAGTTGACTCGCGATAATGTTCCCGATAACATCCCTATCTTCCTGCGTGTCTCAGCGACCGATTGGCTGGAGGAGGTCATGCCCGATGAGCCCAGCTGGCGCGTGGAAGACACGGTCCGGTTCGCCAAGGCTCTGGCGGATAGCGGTAACATCGATGTCTTGGATATCAGCAGCGGAGGTAACCACCATAAGCAGCATATCCACGCCAAGGCGGCTTTCCAGGCGCCGTTTGCTATTCAAGTCAAGGAGGCCGTCGGAGATCGCCTCAAGGTTGGCTCAGTTGGCATGATTGGTTCGGCACATCTGGCCAATTGTCTTCTGGAGAACAATGGCCTAGACTTTGTGCTTGTCGGTCGCGGATTCCAGAAGAACCCGGGACTTGTGTGGACGTGGGCGGAGGAATTAGATGTTGAGATCGGCATGGCTAATCAGATTCGATGGGGCTTTTCGAGTCGTGGTGGTGGTGTCTATTTGAAGAAGCAGCAGAAGGTGTAGGCTGCAGTATGCGTCGACGAGAAGAGTCGAATGAAATGACGTTTGACTTCTCAAATTCTTAAAATGGTATCAAGTGTCTTATTCAGATGAATCTCAACCAATATTTCGTTCGATCTAGACAGTCAAGGTGGTGACGAAGAGGCATGCTCGGCTCGTCCGTAGACTTCGGCCGACTCTTCATCCGTATATTCTAACCTTCTTGACGATTCGACGAACATTATAAACCATTGCAAATGCCATGTGCGTGTAGATATATATCCGACCGCCCTTGAAGACACAGTGATTGTGTGCCGACTCCATTCGCAATGGTTACTCTCTCAGAAGTCCAGGCATCCAATGCCCAAATCGCCACCGCGCTTCTACCCGGCCTCGTCGCCGTCTTCGTTGGCGGAACCAACGGCATCGGCGAGGCTGCACTACTTGAATTCGCACGTCACGCTCGTCAGCCTCGTGTCTACTTCGTAGGTCGCTCGCAAGAAGCGGGCGACCGGATCGCCGCCGAGTGTAGGGACTTGAACCCAGACGGCGAGTTCACATTCATCAAAGCGGATCTCAGTCTGATGCGCAACGTCGACGATGTTTGTCAAGCGATCAAAAGCAAGGAGAATGCTATCAATCTACTCTTCCTGAGTTGTGGCGTTGCGATGACAGGCGTCGGTTCGTATCTACATCTACGCCCAATTTGGAGATTTGAAAGCTGACCTGGGATGATTCTAGATACGAGCGAGGGTCTGCATATTATGCTAGCTGTGGGATACTATGCCCGAGCGAGATTCACTATCAATCTCCTGCCACTGTTGCGACAAGCCACTGGACTCCGGCGCGTGGTGACTGTCTTGGCTGGAGGACATGATGGCCCCGTCTACCCAGACGACTTCCAAGCCCAGCGCATGTCTATTTTCTCATTGCGCGGGCAGGTCGCGTCGATGACAGACTTGATCCTTGAAGGGATAGCCGAGCAAGCGCCCGAGGTTAGCTTCGTCCATGACTACCCCGGCACAGTGAAGACCGGGATTGGGAGAGATGCAAACACCCTGCTGGTACGAATTGTTTCGTGGATCGTGCCGGTGATTGGAATGTTCCTGTACATCCCTATTAAAGAGTCAGGAGAGCGACACCTGTTCTTTGCGACCAGCGACAAGTACCCGCCTCGAACAGGCGACCTGGCTGGAGTGCCGTCGGGCGGAGTCAGTGTGGCTGATGGCATCGATGGCAAATCCGGTAGCGGGGTTTACAGTATTCACTGGGACGGGGAGAGTGTTGCCAAAGTGGTTGAACTCTTACGTGGGATGCGGGAGAAAGGGATGGCGCAGCAGGTGTGGGATCACACACAGGGGGAATTCAAGCGGATCTTCGGCTTGTGAGTTGAAAACAACAGGTAGCCAACCTCAAGAATTAGTTACCCCATGTAGTAATGAAACGCACGTGCCCAAAGTGAATATTAGGGATGCGAACATGTCAATGCATATGCATATGCAAATGCACATGCCCCGATTGGCGTCCCAAAAAGGGAATCTCTTTCGTGCGAACCGACCCACGACGCGGCCCATGATCATCCATCTCGATTGGGTATGGCTTGCGAAGCCGGGTTTTGCTGCTTCCGATTCGCTCCAGCAATTCGGTTCTCAATTATCGGTACCTAGGTATATATATCCTTAAGTCATGCACATGGCATGCTCGGATTTATTCCTTATCTCGAATATCTCATCTCTCCATCCTCGTCCGTGGTATTATTGTTCGGCCGGTCGACCGTGGGAACGTTAGAGCGCATCCCGCTTTCCTACCGTTTATCACGACAGGTGTTCTTCCGCCTTCAACTTTCACCAAGATCTTCAGATTGCTAGGTCTTTCTTCCGGTGTTGAATAGCTTGCACCGGGGGTTTTATCATCGCATCATACGGCATTATCTGGCCCCCATCATGGGTCGCATCAGTGAGAACTTCGGGGTGCTCTACCTCGGCGTCGCTGCAGGCGTCTATTTTAAACCGGAATATGCCATATACAACTCAAGGATTGCAACTATGGTTATTCTAACGATGATTATCACCGTATCCAAGTTGATCTATCAGCTGTTCCTCTTCCCTGCGCTATTCACCCCGGCTAAACATATTCCAACCCCACCAGTCAGTCAACCCGGGATTATTTGAGGGCGCGGGTTTCATGACTCGGAACTGATATCTTTAGAATCGGCATTGGCTCACTGGAAATACTTCTTCGTATTTCCTTGAAACTCCATATGAGCACATGCGAAAATGGATCCGCACGATGCCCAATGAGGGCCTCATCCGATACTACATTGTTGGCAACATCGAGCGTATCATTTTGACGAGCCCCAAGGCCTTGAGTGAATTACTGGTCACCAAGAATTATGATTTTGAGAAGCCATTGATGGCTCGACAAAGTCTGCGCCGGGTCGTTGGCGATGGTATTCTCCTTGCTGAGGGTGACGAGCACAAGGTAGACAAACCCCACCCATAATACCCCATCTTTACTGACAAAGAATCTCAGCTCCAACGCAAGAACCTCATGCCTGCATTTGCCTACCGCCATATCAAGGACTTGTATCCTGTCTTCTGGACCAAAAGCGCGGAAATGGTCCAGCTAATCCAGCAGGACATCGAAAGCAGAAACTCCTCTGAAGACAACACCATCCAGGTCCGCAACTGGGCCAGTCGAGCCACACTCGACATCATCGGCGTGGCGGGCATGGATCACGATTTCGATTCGCTCCGCAACCCGGGCAACACTTTGAGCAAATCATATGAACGTATCTTCGTCAGCCCTAGTCTGACAACCAAGATCTTATTCGTCGTAGCAATGCTGCTTGGTAACATGGAAGTGGTCGCGAAGCTTCCCACACAGCGCAACAAAGATATATACGAGGGCGGCGAAGTCGTTCGCAATGTTGCCCGCCAGATGATCCGAGAAAAGAAGGCAAAGATGGAAGACGCCAACGCCACAATAGGGTTCGACATCATCTCCGTTGCCATGAAGAGCGGCACATTTGATGAAGAGAACCTCGTCGATCAGTTAATGACCTTCCTGGGCGCCGGCCACGAAACCACCGCCACGGCGATGCAGTGGGCCGTGTACGCACTCTGCAAGAACCCGGAAGTCCAGACGCGTTTGCGCGAAGAGATCCGCGCCAATCTCCCATCCATCTCCGAGGAAAACCCAACCATCGACGCCGCCACACTCGATAATTTACCCTACCTCCACGCCGTCTGCAACGAAATTCTCCGCTTCCATCCATCAGTCCCCTCCACCGTTCGTACTGCAGTCAAGGATACAACAATCGTCGGGAAAGACATCCCCAAAGACACAATCCTTGTCATCTCACCCGAAATCCTTAATCATATGGAAGAGCATTGGGGGCCGGACGCAGACAAATTCAACCCGGATCGATTCATGGGTCCCGGAAAGGCCAATACCGGCGGCGCCACCAGCAACTATGCTTTCTTGACTTTCCTGCATGGCCCGCGCAGCTGTATTGGTCAGGGATTTGCAAAGTCGGAACTTGCTTGTTTGCTTGCTGCTACGGTGGGGAGGTTCCATATGGAGTTGAGATATCCTGATAAGAAGTTAGAAGTCAGGGAGGGTGCGACTGTTTCGCCAAAAGACGGTGTCTTGGCTAGATTTACTCCGCTGGAGGGGTGGTAAACTGCCCAGTATGCCACTGTCAATTTATTTAACATTTCTGCCCGAATTCGTTGTACAAACTGACTTCCCATACCCATTCAACTCAGTTATAGCAAGATAGTTCCTCTGGTGTATGTGCGAGTTCAATCATAGTTGAATATATAGTAGTAAGTAGATACAAGAAGTTCTTCATTGATAAAGGAACGAAGCATGGCAAAGATTTTGCCCCAATGGGTAAATTCCGACTCCATACTCTTCCACATGGACTCTGTGGGCTTGCTCTATGACTTCGTTGTATGATGGTCTTCCTGTGCACATGGAAAACCAGGTTATTTTAGAGTACTTGAGATAAGGAAGGTAACAAGATAACAAGATAGCAAGACAGATGAACCCATTCCAATTGAAACCTGGCTTATTCAGCGCATAGTGCCCGTGGAGCCGAACCAGGTATAAATGCGGATATGTGTCCTCGATTCCAAATGCTTAGCGAAAATTTCCCGTCAGATCATATTTATCTCCTTAATCAATTGACTAATCAGCCGAAGTATAGTTTTTGGAATCTTATCCATCCGACACCCATGGAATGTACTTCTCCTGGAGCCCAAAAATGACAGCACCGTCACCTTTTCTAGTCCGAGGCGCTACAAAAATGGAACGTGATATCACCTTTATCGTTTCAACGTTCGACTCAACCCTCCAATTTCTAGATGTAATAGGCAGCCATGAGCAATGGGGTTCAATCCCGTTTTATCAGCGAGGGGACTTTTCTAAAGAAATGCTGATGGGGCTTCAACATTCTGAGGAGTACCGCCTTACGGGCCGCAGCAATGTAAATGGCCTGCGCATCTTCATCGTTGGAATAGAGTATCCTGGAGAGTCTACTGAGCCTTGCAATGGGGAAATACATTCCCACTTGCATGTTGCAGCTGACGGCCGGCACTATCTGCCCATCGGATTTGCCTTTACCCGCGAAAACTGGGCCCCAGCCTCCGTGAAATCGCAACCTCACCTTCAGATCCTAGAAGCTAACCTGGGTGATTTTCTCCATCTGGAGGCCATAGTCGCAGACACTCATGTGGGTAGCCTTCGCCGCGGGGCGGGCGTAGCGCTGATACGCGGGATCCGAGATTACGGTCGCTCCAGACAAGAAAAAGCACTCTTGAGCTTATACTTGAAAAAGCCGAACGCTGCAATTGAGATTCAAATGCGGCTGTGGATCATCTACTCGGCATGTTTTGAGTGATGAACATCATAGCTTGAACTGAAAAGAAAACTAGGTCTAGAAATGCCATTGGGGAAAGTTGCATAAAAAGAGCTTTTGAGAGACATTGAAAATGGAGCTAGGTTTTCAGATCCTTTCAAACAATCTCCTTGGTAAGGCCATGCAAAGGCTACTAAGCAAGCAACTTGGTAATGTATTTATGAAACTACCCGGGTTTGGACTAAGACCTCGGGAGGACAGCTACAAGGCACCGATAAGTGTAAATCTGTGACAATCTTCGACTTGGACCCCACTGAAACATCCATTTACCTAATTTAATCATTTGACTTGCGGACTTTGATAATCCTGGCGGGGCTAAAAATTGAATGAAATGATCTGCCTTGCTGTAGACTGGGGGACGCCCGTTGCTTATCGAACTTCCTATTATGGAAACCCGCTGAGATACCAAAACAGATACACGAGATATCTAGCCATGTGAAAAGAGCTCGGAAGCGTTAAATAAACTCAGCGTCTTTGACTTTGTTTAATGTTCCTACACTCTTCTGGCATCATCGAGTGATCCCAGTTCTAAGATGGAGCCCCAAGTGACTTCGAACGCCAAAGCCATTTCTGGTCAAACATTTGACTACATCGTGTGTGGCGGAGGAACATCAGGCTGTGTAATTGCAGCAGAACTTGCCTCAATCCCAAATGTCTCTGTGCTTCTTGTAGAAGCCGGAAGAGATTCAGGCCTTGCGCCGGACGTTCTAGTTCCGGGTAAATATGTCAAGCAACTACAGGAAGATAAAGAGGGGTTGTGGGAACTGGAAACAATACCGCAGGCACAGTTGAATGCTAGAAAATTGGTATTCGTAAGAGGCAAACAGCTTGGAGGCAGCTCGTGAGTTCTTTTTCGTCAACGGAATATTGCGATGTAGCTAAGACTTGAACTTAGGGCGGTCAACTACATGGCGCTTGCTCGAGGCCCGGCGGCTGACTATGATGAGTGGGCTAAGATTGTCGGCGAGGATGGATGGAAGTGGAAGAATATTCTGCCACTGATGAGAGAGGTCGGTATTCTTAAGAGGCCTGTCGTGAAACGAGTTAACAGATTGGGACAGCTTGAGGACTTCGACCCGAAGTTACCTGCGGATCTGAAACAGTTTGCTGCTCCACAAAGTGCAGACCATGGCGCTTCTGGGTAAGCCCGGAAGGCCTCCTCATATGTCGAAGATTTGCTAATATGATCACCGCAGGCCTCTGAAGATTGGTTTCGGCGGCGAAATGGTTTCTGGAATCGAGACATTTGTGAAAGCATGCTTCGAGAACGGGATACCCTTGTGTCCAGATATAAACTCAGGAGACCCAGTGGGAGTTGGGTTAGCCCAATTCAACGTGAAAGATGGAGAGAGATGTTATGCAGCAAATGCTTTCCTGGGCGAGTCCGCTCGGGCATCGCTAAAGAATTTGACCATAGTGACAGAAACGGAGTGCGATCAACTTCACTCCAGAGACGGTGTCGTTACTGGAGTGGACCTGTATCACAGACCAACCGGAGCGCAGTGTAAGTTCTTGAATTCGTCTTCACAACTCAGAGCTGACGGAGAAAAGTCCATGTGTACTGCCGCGAGGAGACTGTTCTCTGCGCTGGTACGTTTGGATCTCCTAGAATTCTCATGCTGTCAGGTCTCGGGCCCAAAGATACCTTGGAGCGGCTCGACATTCCAGTACAAGTTGACTTGCCAGGTATGTTGGCAGCCTTTATGAAGGCTCTGAATTTTCTATCCGTACATAGTTGACTCTCTTTAGGATGTGGCCAACACATGCTTGACCATTCAATCATCACCTGCGAATACAAAGTGAAGAATTCTATCCCGGCACATAATCAGTTGTTTCTAAACCCTGGCCTTCTTGCAGAAGCAGAGGCCCGGTATGCAAAGGACCATACTGGGCCACTTGCCATGTATGGATCTAGTGGCACCTTGACATTCCCTAGAATCCAACGGCTATTTGACTCGAAGGAATTTTCCAACCTCAGCACCAAAGAGCAAGAGTTTTTGATGGAGCCCACGAGGCCTTCGGCTGAAATCTGGCTCGGCTCAGGACCTTCCGTATACCGGGACAATCGACCAGAAGAGAGCTATATGACGCACGAGCTTCTGCTGCAGAATAATCTCTCGCAAGGAACAGTCATGGTTCGCTCCAAAAATCCACGAGACAATCTGATTGTACACCCGAACTTCATGGCTCATCCGTTCGACCGGCGAACCGCTATTGAAACTGTTCGCATGGCCTTGAAAATTGCGAGCACCGAGGCCTATCAGGATACCATTGAGCGAATGGTCCATGGTCCGGACATTGAATTTGCAACGGCAGATCTTGATACGATTAGTGATGAGGTGATGCTGGATTTCATTCGCAAGAATTTGGATCAAGGTTACCACAGCGTGTCTACTTGCCGCATGGGTAAGATCAGTGATCCCGAGGCTGTGGTTGACTTCCGGTTCCAAGTCAAGGGGATGGAGAACCTGCGCGTGGCGGACCTGAGCGTGTGTCCTATTTTAACTTGGTAAGTTCATTCAGTCGAATTACTTGCGGGTCATTTACTTACCGCAATAGCAACCACACCCAGATCAATGCTTACCTGATTGGCCTTCGAGGTGCAAGGGAGATGGTTGAGAATCACAAGGCACGTACACAGCTTGCGAAGCTGTAGCCTTTGTTTATTCAGCGAAAATTAAGGAAATGGCTTATAAAACTTCAATGACATCAAATAAGAAGTACAGTTCCATTTCCACGGCCCAGCATTAGATCAATATACTTCTCTGGTCGTTGTCCTTTCCAAACCCCCGCCAGTAAGAGAAGTGCGCTTTGCACATTGCCAAACCCGCCAGAGCTCTGCATACACCTCGCTCGCTCTCGAACCCATTCCTGACGTCTAGCGTCGGTCAATTCAAGGCCAGCATGAAACAAAGGCCATAATAGTTGATCTGACCATCCAGAGGCAGGTGGTGTAGCTCTTGCATGGAAGAGTACACTGCTGACGAGCCAATCAAGCTCAAACTCATCAACGTCACAAGAGAATAAACGTAGTAAGTAGAGAATAATTGCAAAACGATATGCTTCTGTCATGTGGAGCCAGTTCTGACCCCTATCGCAATGGGCTGGCCGTTGCAACAGCCGTTGCTTGATCTCCCAGACTTGACTCAACGTTTCGATTGAAGGACTGTCGGGATCAAGTTGGCTTTTATACAAGGTGACGATGTCGCAAACGATTTGAAATTGATCTGATGGACAAGGTATTGCATCGAAGCTCCACCGATCCCCGGATTCTCCTAGTAGAGTGCCGATTTCTTGTGATGAAAATACCATCGGTCGAGAATGCGAAGCAGCAGCCATCACATCTAACCTAAAGTATGAATCGCCAGTCAGTCATCATTTCCAGGTCACGGGATAGTTAAGTTTACCAGGCTAGGTATTGTTCGACAAAGCAGCCGACCGTCCGTTCCTGACGTAGTTCTATAAGCTTTTTAGCTCCCTGGAAATGTGACTGGAAGTCTGAGATCCCTCCATGACAAAGATCACACAAGCAAAGCATGAGTATCGTGGCAAGTGTACCCGGGTGTTTCGCCCGGATTTGGGAGTATAGGTCTTCTTGTAGTCGTTTCATAGCCTTGCCCTTAAAGCGGAAGAACTCGCGTTCGAATTGGTTTGTAGAGAGTCGCACGTTGAAATGGCATGCTGCCAACGCTGCACATGCGTATAGTAATGATGGGACCTCGATGGCAAGAGGGAGGATGTAATCGCGATAGGGATTTTGAGGAGATAAGTTGTCCACGCATAATTTGGGCACAACTTCACAGATATCTGCACATAAGCATGCTAAGGTTAGCGGATTTGAAGAGCAGCCGTAGTTATATGGAGGACTAACGGTATTGCATGATGAATTTGAGCTCATCTGGGATGCTCAAAATGTCAAGACTTGGACCCAGCATATGGCGGAAGTCTATAGACTTTCCAAGCTCTTTAGAATAATCCCGTGATGGAGATTCTGTATCGGGATTCGAATGAAGTTCAACAAGATCATCAAAGTTGTTAGCCGAAGAGACGTCGTTGTACCATATTGAGGGTTCGGGTGGGGTCTCAACCTCCGTAATCTCCTTAAAGAGCTGCATCGGATCAAGCAATTCCTCAAATCGAATTCGCTGAGTTTCGGCCAGACCATCATTGTTGGCAGAACTCTGGTGTGATTCCAGAAGTGTAGGCGGAGGTGGACTAGAACTTGTCGGTGGCTGGACTCGGCGCGTTCGCCGGCGCTTTGTAGTCCCAGCTACAGGGATGCTTTTGCCCACAAATTGACCCCGGCTTGCTAGCCCTGGCCACTGCAGCTGGTAGCCCTCACACGTCTGACCACTGGCCTTGCATGTATTGCATGAAGGCATGCGCCGGTCGCATCCTCGTCCTCGACGACGACATGTTTTGCATGCCCTGCCAAAGTATCGCTCGTTCGCCATGGTGAAAGTGAAGAGGAATCCAAGTCAAGTGCCAGACATCTGGAGCGGAGGTGACTCGGAGTGGCGCTGTTATCTTGCTGATAGCGGGGGGAAACGCAAAAGCCGCGATATCGCTGCCATCGTTATCGCGTGGACCACGATAACTGGAGTCCGTTCACTCCTGGTTTTTCGTGATTGCAGTTCAGGGAACTGCCTATGGTCGTTCATAGACGAGAAAACCCACGTCACTAACTCTACACCCGGCCCCTTAGACAGAAGTCCAAGACACCAATTCGACTCGAAGTATTTACAACCAAGCTCGGCATTTCCCATCCATGGCAATTCGCAACGCTGATTCGTCCCGTCTTTCCCCGCATGATCGAGATACCTGAAGGTTCAACGATCCTGGGGAACCCCGGTCCTTGAGCCAAGAATCTGACAACAGGAAATTTGACCAACGAATCAACGGTGCGTCATAGAAGTCAGCTTAACTCATATGCCGCGAGCGCATTCTATCTACGCTAAATACATGTACGTAATTGCTATTCTACGATCAAATTTGAAAATGCTAGTGCACGGACTTCTTATCGGTTTTCCAGTTTAGGAAGGTCACTGAGCTGACCAATGACATGCGCAGGCTCATCCAGAGATTCTAACTAGTTGCTCTTTAAGTGTTCGAGAGGCGAGTCTGTGTTGACAAAGCCGACACTCCTATTGATAATTCAATTGAACATCTAGTTTGCAACCCAATTCAAATCAGCATCATGGCAAAGCGCGTGCTTGTAGGATATGGCATCGACGTGGATGCAGTCAGTGGCTGGTAAGGCTGAATTATGATGCTTGGAGTTGAACAAGAGACTAACCAGGAATAAGGATCAATACTGAAGATGGCCATATACCTGACCTGACCGATATATCGCGTGGCATCTTCGGCGCGACGGTGGGTATTGATCGACTTCTGCGATTGTGGGACAGATACGACATCAAGACCTCGTGGTTTATTCCAACTCATTCACTTGAGTCATTCCCCAACCAGATGATCAAGATTCGTGACGCTGGACATGAAATGTAAGCTTTTCAAGGTTTCTTATGCTGCCTATGAGCACGGCGGCGCTAGCAACCTCGTATTGACAACGTCCAGCGGGCTGCATGGATATACACACGAACATGTCGATATGTTAACAGAGCAGCAAGAGCGCGATGTACTTGCCAAATCAATTGAAGCGGTCACCGCCTTCACCGGAAAGCACCCGAAAGGATGGACTGCGCCATCTTGGAGAACATCAAGCCGCAGCATCAAATTGCTCGAAGAGTTTGGCCTGGCAAGCAAATTTGTCAAAATTTACAAACTGAGAAAGCTAACGCTTTGACCAGGAATATGACCACTCCTTTATGCACCACGATTCCCAACTCTACTATGTTCCCTACAACTCTGGTGAACTGGTTGCCACTGACATCTCGAAACCTGCCGAACAATGGATGAGGCCGATGGGCAAGCTCAGTCTCAGCAAAATCGTTGAAGTGCCTGCAAATTGGCATCTGGATGACTGGCCGCCTTTTCAACTCACTGAGGGTCCATCTCATGGATATGTGGATCCAGACGTCATTGAACGACTTTGGAAAGCTCAGTTTGATTTTCTGTATCGAGAGTACGATACATTCGTTTTTCCGATATCAATTCATCCTCAGGTCAGCGGAAAGCCCCAGGTCATTATGCTGCATGAGAGGCTGATCGAGCATATCAATTCGCATGATGGGGTGGAATGGTGTACATTTGCCCAGATGGCCGAGGAGTTCAAAGAGGGGAGAATTGGGGGCTTCAAGGTCGAGGGTGGGGTTTAGTTGTACCGAGACCTATAGGCTACATCATGTAATAGGATTTGAAAGAATATTGATGAACTGGAAGATTCTCATTTTCAAAGACAACGTGTCATTGTTGCAAATATTGAGGAATGTTTCGAACGAGCACCTGAGCAGCCGTCAGTAAGCCAATTAAAATAGAGGCTTAAGCTTCCAATGTTGTTTGAAAAGTGAATGTCCAGCAAAATTTGCTTCAAACTAAGCGCAGAAACAGTCTGGATAAGACAATCTGTTTCCTGTAGTCTTCCTTTTTTTCCCACGGTGGAAGATGAGAAGAAATTAAATTTTCAACTGTGTCTAGTTTCAACTTGGGTCTCGCATTCATTTCTCATGTCTCAAAGATCATTCCAAAAGGTGGAACTTCAGTTCCAAACGATGACCTATGGGACCTGCAAGATAACCATCACTGGCTTCCATATCTCCGTGGTCATGAATGGTGGTAGTAAAGTTGGAATAAATGCTTGCGAAGAAGAATTTTATTGCTGAACTCTGCGTTAGCTTGGTCTCACGCCGTCAGATTTTCAGACAACTCACAGTAATAGGCAAAATGAATTCCCAGGCACATTCTTCCACCACTGCCGAATCCCCAGAACCATTTCCTCATGAGAGCCAACTGTTCCGGCGATGAATCAAGCCATCTCTCCGGCTTCCACTCGAGAGGTTCAGCGAAAATATCGGGCATCCGGTGAAGAACAGACGCGTAGGATTGCACAGTCGTTCCAGCTGGGATGTTGTGGTAGCCACCCAAGGTACAAGGCCGCGGCACTACCCGGGGCTGACCACCAGGCACCGAGGGCCAAAGTCGAAGAGTTTCCATCAAGACTGCTTGAAGGACCGGCAGCTTGTCAATATCCTGGGGGTTCGTGATATCTTCGATCTCAACGCTCTTTCCGGGTATATGCTTCAAAGGCTGACTGAGACTGAGTAGTTCTTCACGAAGCTTGGTCTGCCACTCTGGACGTCGACTCAACTCGTACAGCAAGTAGGTGGAGGTGTTGCCGCTTGTCTCGAATGCCCCGGAGTTCAAAGAGAACATATCACTTGCCAACGGAAGCCGTTTCGGGTACATTTGGGGCTTCGCGTGAACCTCGCTCATCCCCTTCAGTGCTGGCTCAAATGCGACCGGTTGATCATCTACTGTCAATTGTTTTCCACTTGCCAGAAGTTGTTGGGCTTGATCGCATTTCTCCAGATTCCATTTCTCAACACCTTCAAAAGCATTCAGGGCACTCTTGGGAATGAGATAAAATCCAACTTTCTGGAGCATGGCAACTAGGCGAGGGAAGTGATATTGCCAGAATGTGTATTCAGCCACACCAAGAAATCCGTCAAGGTAAAATCTCCTTTCTTTTTCGTCTTCAACCAAGTTGCTGGCTAGCGACCGTCCGAACTGCCACTGGACAAAAGTATCGAGGAGGTAGGAGTACGTGAGATCCATCACCTCAATTGGCTTATCTTCGGTGGAGGCTTTGTAGATCAAGGGAAGAACGCGATTGAACAAAATGTCTCGAGAAGCGCCCCGGGCAGTTTGGGATGACATGACAGACGACTTGGAGAAGCAGCTCGATAGAGCCTTTTTATGCGCAGCATGAGTTTGATTATCCTTGATGGTAAAAAGGTTGTCGGTACTGTTGGTGAGAATTTAGCCAATGCCATCTCATTCAATTCATTCATAGAATGGGCAAATCGCTCATACCCGTACACGGCAAACCCGTTGAAGTAAAATTCCGGTTTGGGGAAACCTCCATGATAGATTTTTTTCAATCCTTCATAAGAATTCACACTAACTAGGCTTGGTGAAAGCCTAATTGTCGAGCCTTTCTCCAGATGGAGCTTGTAAATCCGACTGTTCTCCTGCTTTGTCCATTTCATCCAGAAAATCCAGAAAGGACTGAAACTGCAAGACCAGTGTGCATTCGGGATCTTTGCCAAGGGAGAAAAGAATGCGGGATATAAGAAGAATTTGAATACTGCTGCGGCCGTACCCAACAAGATGATGGCGTAGTACAAGTGAGGTTCCATCTTATTAAGTTGGCGCTCACACTGAAGACTTGATTTTGGAATAGGTCGAACGGTAGAGGTAGTTCTCGGGCGTTCTGAACACGGGCTTTATAAACTTGCAATTATTTGACTAGTTTCAAATATCCTTAAGAAATAACCTTAAGAAGCACAACCAAACTCCATCTTAGATCCCCCGTTTCTTCCAGTTGCATTACGTGAGGCGAAAAAGGTAATGACGTGATTGGCAAGCCAGTAGGAAACACTCAACCAGTCTCGGATCACATTGTAACCAATTTAGGTAACTGGTGGGTGAGCGTATCATAACTCTCGTTCTTCGGAGCCCTCTTAGGATGGACTTTCTGCTTTTGCTTCAACAGTCTGATTAGAAATCTACGATAAGCTCTTGTTCGATAGGCGCAGATCTTGACCGAAAATAGTAAACATTTGAGCTGGCCCCACTCTAGATACGGAGAGTATGGCCGCATAGATCCAATGAAGAAGTGATGATGAAACAGAGACAGCGATATCTAAACAGCCATGGAGGTGTCACATATAGGAGCATATGATAGTATTCCAAACAGGGCAATGGATGGTATTCATCAGGGTTGGTTCATGATTAACAACTCTTACGGCCACCTACGAGGCTCAGAATCTCGTATGACCCGGCCCATACACCATCCTAAAACTAGAGTCCACATTTCGGAGCCATAGAAATTTTTGCGAGGTAAAGACTACGATGTACTTCCTCAAAGTTCGGAAGGTCCGGGGTTATACTACACCGGGTATGTAGAAATTGTCTCCGCATCCGCCTTGCTAAACAGAGAATTTTATATGATTATTTCACCATTGCCAATCTTAAGGGATTTTCAAGGTTTGTCGACATTCTAATAAGAGATGGATAATTTCGGTCAATTCAGACCATCATTCTAGCTGTTCCTTGCTGACCGTGTTTCCGAGGACAGATCATTGTCCTGCAGTACAACCTCAAGCCCCTGTATCTCAACTGTCTGTTAAAATTAGCATGTTAGAGTACAATCACGCAGAAACAACTGGGATTGTAGTAAAATTTAATTCAAGGGAGTCTCACCGGCCCGGAGAATGTCTTTCTTTTACCTCCCCACCAAGATATCAGGATCAAAAATGAAATACCAACTATAATCACACTGACATAGTTCATACTGGCGACGGTGGTCGGGACGGATGTAGGGAAGCAGAAGAGAATTGTGATGAAAAGAACCCATATGATTGAAAACGCGTTGCAGATTGGCCCAAGCAGTCGACCCAAGGCGAATGGGCGTTTCGGCAGGATGCGTTCTCGGCCTCGGACCAAGAGAATGGCCTGCGGTAGAGCGTAAGTCAAGTTGAGCGACAAGATAGACATGGATATGAAGCTATTGAAAGCCGTGGCGGATCCGATATAGATTAGTCCGTAAATGATTACCACTGCAGCACACGCGACCGTCACGTTGACAGGGGCTTGGTACGTGGGGTGAATCCGGGCGAAGAATCCCGAGTATGGAAGGCCCCCGTCGCGAGCAAAGGCATATGCAAGTCGCCCAGTTGTCACAATGCATGACACCAAGGCGCCAAAGTAGACAAAAAGAATCCATACAGTGAGAACAGTGGCCGCAGGTTGACTTCGTGTGGCTTGTAGATAGATTGTATACACCGGGATCGATGACGCGGCCACAGCATCTGTGTCTGTGATGGAGAAAAGGAACGCAACTGTCCAAGGCATGACCGTCATTATGCCAATCAGCATCGTAAGACCCATAGCGCGGGGGACGTCGCGACTTGGGGCGGGAAGTTCCTATTTCTTGAGTGAGCAAGCAAGTGAGAGGGATGAAGTGATTGAGGCTTCGTTACCTCTGCAATATGACAAGCTCCATCAATGGCCAAGTATGCATACATACATGTTCCAAGCCCAATAATGAAGGAAGTACCATCGCTCCAGCCACTTGTGTTTTCATACTTGATAAAGACTGCCTTTGCTGACTGTTTATTTGTCTGCATAGCCAAGACAGTGACAAGGCTAACGACAAATCCCAAAAAGCTGCTGACAAACATCACCATCTCCGCTCGAGGAAGGGCTGCCGGCAAGAAACAGACAATTGCCGTTGCAATCAAAACCAACAGGGAGTAGATCATCCACGTCTGCCAAGCCTCTGCAATGTAGTTTGGGTGGTATATACCGGCCAAGTTCCCGGCTATCTGAGCTGCGAACAGATATTAATAAGCCGTGACATTCTGATTCTTCCTGACTCGTTCAACAAAAACTTACCACAGACTAGAGCAGTGGATGCACTGGTGAGGGCCCACGCCACTACACTCAACCATCCCATGACAAAGGCTACCAGAGCACGATACTTCGGAGGGGTAACCATGTAAGTGAAATGATACTGTCCGCCGCTGGAGGGATATGCCGAGGCGAGCTCTGCAAGACCAGCCGCTAGAATTGATGCTGTGTCAGAGGGGCCTCGGGGCAGGGACCAGGAATGGACTCTTACTTATGAAGCAACTCGCGATCGAAGCAGCAATGAGACCAAAAAACACCGCTGGACTTCCACCTAGTAGCAGTGGTGTAATGAAAGTGGCAGAATAACCGAGCCATGAGTTCGTCATGCTGAATCCAAATGCAAGAGTGGAAAACAGGGAAAACTGTCGAGGAAGTTCATTGGGCTTGTGGCTCGAACGAGTCTCGACATTTTCACCATATTGACTGGCGATATCAAACGGATCCGGTATTTTAGACATAGAATCGGTTGTAGAGTCTGCCATCGTAATACCAAGTCAAGCCACCAGAGAGCAAAAGTTTTGATAAGGGCTGGAGTATAGGAAGTTAGAAATAGCAAGGAGATCTTCACTATCTATGTCATTGTTATAAGCTCTATGCTAGATATACCAGAATAACAGATATACTAGCAGATGCGGCTACTATCAAACCCCGCGAATTGCCTGCTGATACGGTTTCACAACTCCCAATGAGGGTTGAATGATTTGGCCCTCAAAACCTTCCCGAAAAATAAATGGGGCACACAATTGGATCAGTCTTATTTGGGCCAGTCCTAACTGTTTTGCTAATCTCGAAATTCATCCGGGAAGGAGATGGCTTGTTCTTGAGCCTATTATGGCATCTCATTTATATGCCAGATTAGGCATAGTCAACGGATTTAAGCTTTTCCTCGCGTGGCTTGCCATAGCCGAGCAACACCAACGTGTTGCTTGTCGGTCATGGTAAATGTTCTATAATCGTGTACGCCACATTTTCTTCTGTCTATCATCCTAATCTCTGTGATCAAGATATGGCTGTAACATCAAATCCTTCGACTAATTTCATTGACCTACCTAAAGTAGTATGGTCATACATACACTTGAGACCCTATCTCTAGAACCTTATTTATCATGATTTCCTTAGTGTCCCTGAATGTCTCAAGAATACTTAAGGGCAGGCCGGATAAGTCGGGGTGTTTTGATCAACAAGCAGCTTGAGACCTACCATTTCCCTCTCAACTCCATCCCTTCCTTCCTCGCACACACGATACTCAACATGTCAGTTGTCACTGGATCCGACTACCCGGGCTATGAACAGCTGGGAAACATTTTCAATATCTCAGCCGCTGTGTCAATTCCCGCCGATGCTCGCATTGTTGCCACTTCTGGCCAAATCGCCGATAATCATGACCCGATGTGGGGAACACATGCCGAGCAATTCGAAAAATCAATGGTCAACATCGAGAGGTCTTTGTCGTCGGCATCCCCTCACATAACCAATCCGAGACAACTGTGGGAGGGAATATTCTACGTCACATCATTTCACGTTGGAGTTTTGTCGAGGGAAGAACAATTGCAGATTGCCGAAATTGCTAGAAAATACTTTGGAAACAACAAACCTGCGTGGGCAGCGATTTGTGTTAAAGCCCTCTTCCCACCGGAGGCAGTGGTGGAGATCCAGGTTCAGGCAGCTTATCGCGATGGAAAATAGATACATAACCTTGTGAAACTGCCTGCTGTTATTGACGCTACAATTACCATTAGCTGCTGAAAGGTGTGACATCCCCGGCGCTCAACTGTTCTCTCTTCTGGTTGGATTTGATGTCTCAAGAGGTGTTTAAGTTTTATCTATATTCTTGGTATCTCTGGAACGTCACATTCTCCGTCAATGTCCTTTTACTAGAGAGCCTTTACTGCCTGTTTTTGGTAAAGGTAAAAAGCCAGCAACGGTGATTGATGCGATAGAAACGTAGAACATACACGAGGTACCGGTTATTTATTGACTAGTACGGCAATCCACCGCTGTACGACATATCTTAGAAAGTATGTCATTGATACATGGCACTTCTTAAATTGAACTCTTCATCATTCACATATTTAAAAAACAACTTGCGTACACTTATTTCTATCTAAAAATCCAACAGTCACTCTTCCCGGTAGAGTTTGATTTCGGGTATAACCTGCACAAACCTGACGAATGATCAGTATTCGTAAATTTCAAGCTCATTATTCAAAGTCTAGTGCTACTGTCTCTTCAGGTTGACACGGTCTTCCCAGGTACACGGTAGCAGCTCTACCCCGAAGTTCCATGACAATGCTGAACAGCGTGGCATCCATTCCCAGTGGACCTTTTTCGTAACGACAGATTGAGACCGGAAATCCATCGTGATCGTCCAAAATGTGTGTAATATCAGTCACGCCCGGCTCTCGACCCGCAGATGGATCATATTTTAGAGCCAGCTTCTTGATACGCTGCTGGCGGGGAAGTGAGTCAGCCAGCCAGCCAGCATCCAGAGGGCCATCATGATCCAACAGCAAGTGGTTTGCGTGAAAAATCTGATGCTGCTCATTCATTTTGATAATTCTGATAGTCTCTGCTGTTGATTCCAACCCGATGGCTTCATCTTTGTCAGCGATCAGAATATGCGCGGACGCGGCTATCCCGGCCTCTTCCAACTGCCGAACAGCATCGTTGGCCGAGGGGCTATCCAGCACGGATCGAAGCGCAAGATGAACTGGAAGACGTGACGAGTTGCACCCGGGCACTTTGATGGCATTTAGACACACGCCAACGCCGAGTTCGTTGAATCCAATCTTTCCGATGATACCAGCTTCGGTAATCATCTTGATTCGAGGCCCATCGTCCTGAGTGATATCGAGGATGATCAGGTTCTGCTTTTGTTCTTCCATCCACTATCCGAATGTGAGAAGAGAGCATCGACACTTAAGTTAATCAAAACTTACATCCCAATTCTGAGCCAAAAAAGAATTGTTGTGGGTCTTCCAATACAGACTTGTACATCCATCATTAAACATTCCAAACGCGATTTCGGTGCGAATATTGAGAATGATGATATCGATGAATGGCAATCCTGCACCATCTGCAATTCCTGCCATTTTTTTTTATTGTAAGCGACATGAACGGCAAAAGCTCAAGGGGAAAGTTGGTGGCATGTCGACCAACGTACCTTGCATCTCATTGTAGTACTTCGGCCACTTTTGCTCAATTTGACTCTGCCACTCCTTGGAAATCCCGCGAACAGTGCTCCATTCCATTTTGCAAGTGTGGGCAAACATCTTCTGGTAGAAAGAAATACTGCGACTAATCATTTCTTGCGCGCCCACGCCATGTGCCTGTCCAATCTGTTGCTGGTTAGAACAGATTCATAGTGTGGACTAGAACAAAGAAGATCAGACAGAAATCTTACTTTATATGATCCTCCATCACATTTAATTGTTTTCATGTTGAGTTTGCTGTATGTAATTCAGTCACTTGACCTAGATACTTTCGAGTTTGATAGCCAGATCTAGGTGACCAAAAAGACTTTTAATGTACATCAAATCTCGAATTAATCGATTAATATGTTGAAAAAAAAAGGATAAATTAGTTCATCATTCGCTCGGAAATTTGGGTTCCAATCGAATATCCGGACACTCAATCTTTATCCATTTTAGGAAGGCCGTTGAATGCCATGCTCGCCTATGAGGTCTGGAGGATCTGAGGTTATCAACAATAGCTGCTCACCTAGGCAAGCCAAAGGGCAATTTTATATCTGCAATTACTACCTCTCTGCTGCCAATCCCCCAGGTATCCGAGTGAAGTAGACATTTATCCAAATATCCTGGAGCCGATCATCCATGCGGTTCTGGTCAGGTGACCCGCACCCCTCCTATGCTCACTCATGTTTATCCTGGATGGCAGCCAGGAATATGAATTATCTCTTTGGCACGCGGAACTATTCGCTGTAATATTTCGCAGCGTCATGAAAACAGTTGATAATCTTGATGTCGGCTCACCCCGGCCTGGTGGCAACCAATCTTGTAGTTGGCCACACACTTCTTCCGTGGTTCCATTTCCCCGCATCGTCATTCATTTTGCTTTATTGGCATCTTATATTCGATTTCAAGCTATGTAGCCCCAAATTTTATTATCTTGAGCAGTGTCCTGTATGACAGCACAATCAAAATCAATATGAACAATACTATGGCGGCAAATCATCGGCATTCCGAGGACGATCGTAACGATGCTGCTTCGAATCCAGAACTGACATCTCGGCTAAACAACAGTCACGATACGAGTGGCAATCATGGAGCTGATGATAGTGAAAAACATGATGGAAAAAAGGAGCTGACGGAAGCAGCGGCCTATGACAAGCTGGGCTACAGTTTTCCAGTGTGGAGAAAGTGGCAGATTCTGTGCGTGATGTTTTGTATTCAGATTTCGATCAATCTGAATGCGAGTCTTTATGCCAACGGCGTTCAGGCGATCTCCCAGGAGCATAATGTCAGCCAGCAAGTTGCAAGGATCCCACAATTGACTTTCCTCTGCGCTTATGCCTTTGGTTGTGAGCTTTGGGCACCATGGAGCGAAGAGCTTGGACGATGGCCCACACAGCAGCTTAGTCTGCTTCTTGTCAACATATGGCAATTCCCATGTGCGTTTGCTCCCAACTTCGCAACTTACGTTGTAGTGCGCCTCCTCGGCGGACTAAGTACAGCTGGTGGTTCGGTCACATTGGGAGTCATTGCAGATATGTGGGAACCTGATGATCAAGAATATGCTGTCGCTTTTCTTGTACTGTCTTCTGTGGGTGGGTCGGTTGTCGGTGCGGTGGTGGGTGGTTTCGTGGAAGTGCGCCAGCCCTTGAGATGGATCTTTTGGGTTCAACTAATTGCCGGAGGCGCTGTTCAAATAATGCACCTTTTCCTGGTTCCAGAAACACGAGCTACCATCATACTCGACAGGGTAGCAAAGAAAAGACGAAAGGCTGGTCCGGGAGCGGTCAACATTTGGGGACCACATGAGATTCACGGCTACTCTCTATCTCCACGCGAAATTTGGGCTGTGTGGAAGCGACCATTCAAAATGCTACTCACCGAGCCTATTGTGTTGTGGCTTTCGTTGCTGAGCGGCTTCAGTGACTCCTTGATCTTCACCTTTCTTCAAGGATTCCAGCCGATCTACAAGCAATGGGGCTTCGGAACAATTCAAATCAGCCTCGCTTTTATCCCGTAAGTCTTCCAATTCTCTCTGCTATGAAGCGGCTCGCAAATAATAATGGATTGCTAACATAGAGCTTTACAATTTTTTAGACTTCTTATTGGATACTTCCTTGCTTACCTTTCGTTTCTTCCGTCCATTCACATGTTTAGACAAAGGCGACGAAAGTATGGTTCCGAATCCGTCCCTCCAGAAGCACGCTTGTGGTGGCTACTTTACGGTGAGTTACATTTGGTCAAATTCATTTGTCGTGCTAAACCAAAAACGAAAACTGATGCCTGGGATAGTGATTCCATGTCTACCTATCGGTCTGTTTGGTTTCGCATGGACGAGTCTTGGTCCACCACATGTTCCCTGGATTGCCCCAATGCTGTTCACAATGGTTATTGGCATTGCTAATGTGAGTCACTGTCCCTTTGTTGAGATTCATCTTATAACCTTTCCAAGTATTCCATCTATCAATCTTCCATTGACTATACAGTTGCTGCTTATGGCGAGTATGCAGCATCTGCTACAGGCAGCAACGATTTTGCTCGCGATTTCCTTGCCGGAATAGCGGCTATGTATTCTACTCCAATGTTTGAAAACATTGGACATACGCACTCGTATGAATACGCTTCGACAATTCTCGCCTGTGTCTCCATACTTGTCACAGCACCTATATACTACTTTTATCGCAATGGGCCAGCAATTCGTGAACGATCCCCATTTGCAAAGAAGATGATGGAACATACAAAGAAACGGCGATTATCTCGTGTCGCCAACGAAGAGAAAAAAGGAGGCCAGGAACATCACATAGAGGATGCCCAAGAGTCTAACGCATGATGTGCTTTACCATATACTTGGGCCCGTCTAGTTTCTATGTGTGCATTAATATATTCATTATCGCATGTTTAATTGGATTATTGGGAAATATTGACTATGTATAGTTATACTATTATTTAATAATAATAATCAACAATGTCTTATAACTTTTTATTTAAAGTATTTTACTAATATAGAAGTTAATTATGTAACACAAGATTAGGAACTGTTTACTTTTTTTTTTTTAAATAAGTATGATCCTGAATTTTACCACATGGCGCTAAAAGTTCATTGAATGTCATCGGCAAATTTCGACTCTTCCCAGCTATCCCAAGAGCCTGGCGATAAGGCTCGTCCGCTAAGATTCTAGTTAAGGCCAGGAACAAAGAGTGCGCTTGTCTCGATTGATGTTTTATTGGAGATTGAAATGGTATTGGTAATTTACAAGTCGCTTAGCAGAAGGCCGCACTAGTTATAGACTCGATTACTGCTTTGGTACGAATAAGCCTGTTCTCATTTCCTTATTGAATGTCTGGGATCAAATCAACTCAAATAAGATGAAAAATAAAATCGTCTCAAGACTACTTCTTGCTCAATGATTCAAACCAAACACGCTTCAACAAGAAGCAAAAAAAAAAGATCTCCGATAGGGGGAATCGAACCCCCGGCTGCCGTGTGAGAGACGGCGATGTTAGCCACTACACCATATCGGACCGTTACGATAAAATTGACGTCGATTAGTTTTATCAATTACAGCTTGGCGCCAACGGTCGCTGTGCGTGCCCGTGAATGGCTGTCTATAGTTCCCTGCTCACCCCCCATCCAAGAATCTCGACAACTTTACTTTTCTCGCAGGTCCCCACAGGTGAGGCATTTTTTCTATTGATTCGGATTACCGAGCTTCTGGGGCTAATTATTTATTGAACTTCTATACAGATCTAGACATATTCACCCTTGTAAAAATAGGACTCTAATTTAACTCTGCCTAATGCTGACGAGTAAGAATATAAAATTGAAGAAGACAGCAAAAAAAAGGGAGGGCACTCGCTATCCAACAAAAAAGCCTTTCATTCTTGTTCATTCTCGAATTGCATGTCCCATACCTCAGTTGCAAACTCGACGAGTTCCTGTGCCGCAAACACTATGTTGCGTTCTCTGTTATTCACTGGTGGTCGTCGGAATAGAAGGTGAAAGGGGATCACGAGCTGTGGCGTAGGCTGGTCAGTATGAAAGCGGATTCCATCATCGTATCTCGTTATGGTTAAGTCTGATGTTTGGATGGGTCGGGAGAGCTGAGAGCTCCACTCCCACTGTCCGATGGTGATCCGGGGATTTTTGGCATGGATCTTGACTCCGATAGCCATATTGGCCTGCCCTCTTGCTGGGTCTACCCAGTAGTGGGCATCACGGCGAAGTTTTGCTGAAGTCTCTGACGATGCGACTTCTAAAACCACCGTGGGTCTCTTAGGAGATCCGCGGGGGGCTCTTCGTGGACTCCATCCCCCGTCTGCCTCCTTAGTTGTTCCATCGGGGGCAATAATTTTCGAGGATCCCCATGAAGAAATCGCTTTGTGTAGGCCCATTGGCTGAAGGGCCAATATGAGCGCACTGTGAAAAGAAAGTGCGGCTTGCTCGTGCACTGGGTCAGGCATCTTCACGACAAGGATGTTTGTTCTTGGATTAAAGGATAACTTGTCATGAAAAGGAGGATCTGTTCTCGAGTCAAGGAAGTCGTGTGCAAAAGTCAAAGGTTCAATGATGAAGATAATGTGATCGCTCTGGGTGCCTTCCGTAAGATCGTCTTGCCGTCCTTCGCAACTTCCATCAGTGGCCCGTGCTCTTGCATTTTGTGCAGCACGGAAAGAGCTATAGAGACGGTCACGCTCAATTGAGATGACCCGGCAATAGTCGTCCATACCCTTGTAGAGATATACTTTAACCGAAGGAGGTAGTTCTTCGATATCCTGCGGGCCATGCCCGGTGGCGTTGTCATAAAGCTCGGCCATCTTTGTCTTAGGAGAAGAGAGATGTGTCTAGAAAAAAGAAAGGCAAAGAAAGGAGGGGATCAACTACATTAGGAAAATTACCTCATCGTGATATACTGATATGATCTGCATAGCGCCAAGCCCGCACTAGCGCCGCACTTAGATGGACAGAAATCTATCAGGTGGAAACACCACTTTTTTGTCGACATATGGGCAAGAAAACCGTAGTCATTCTACAATCCTCTCCGTTTACACCCATGGATCCCAGAGTGGAGCTTAGCAGCCACTCGGAATTGAGCAGCTTGCAAGCTCGACAACTCAGTAGCGAGGCCGTTGTATCTAAGTTCACCGCTTGGATGGTAGATGGAGTCACCTGATTCTGTCGTCCCTCCACCCACGGCGTCGGTCGACAGCACCTGAATATATATCCTTGTCATCCGTCAGAGCTGGAATTTCAGGCCTCTTCTATTCTCCGTCGGCGCTCGCACAAGCAAGAGAAATGTTACATCGTTTTTGTAGATGAGGTGGTCTTGCGGTACCGTCTGTCTTACAGGCAGGAGCTGGCGTAAAGCCCTGTCTTATGGTATTGTGAGATGTTATCGAATGAAGAGGCTGCAAGAGAGGCAGGAAGGGAAGGAGCCTACGAAGATGAAGCAGTGATATCAGGGCGAGGGGCTCTTAAAACATCTCTATGTAAGCTGGCATTTCTCTTTGTTTGCTGACAAAGATATGTATTCTCAGCTTGAACGCCTAAGCAATCTGAGGTTTCAATAGGTAAGACATGTCAATAAGAAAACGTTATCAAGCCAGTATGGTTTAACCTGTTACTAACTGTATCTTGCGCAGAGTTCGATATATTCAAGTTTGAATCTTTGGAATGTAAATAATTATCTAAGTATCATTCATCGAAGATCTCAAAATTCGAGTATCGATGGCTTGGCGACTTTTTGCGTTCCACTGAGTGTTCCAAGCTTCTTGAGCAGTGAAATTTGAGCCTCACCTGATAAGCCTGTTATTTCCTTACAGCACTAGGGATTCTTGGTGACCACTCATCCAACCACCAACCTGCAGGCATTAGGCTTATGTGCGGCCAGTAGTCGGGTGGTTGCCGCCCGGGTGAACGACAGGTGAGAATTATCCCTATCTCCCCTAGGTCGCATGAGCGTCGCACTAGCCCCTTGATCTGAGCTACAATATATTTTCAATGAATCGCAATATCCCCCCAAAAAACTTTAGACTTTGGCACCTTCACATAACTATGATGTTTATTGAAGCCAGAAAGGTGACAGTCGGCGTTATTGAAAGCCATACAGACAAGCCCCAGTTATCACATCAGATATAATTACAGAATTTCTACCATCATTGAAGACAAATCTTCAAAAAAGCTATTACTTGAATCTAGCATTTCCTCGATTCTACAAAATGAATCATGTTAAGTGACTTGGTATGAATAGTGGAAGCGCAACACCGTAGTAATTATTTCTCCAGCACGAATTCGCCCAAATATTCAGCTCGTCTTTTCAATTTTGCCTTGGCGGCGTTATAGGCACCTGAGATTGTTGACGGTCTGGAGGATGACACGTGGTACGTTCACAGCGCTTCTTCTTCCCAAGTACTAAAGCGCTCGCATCTTCATCTGCTCTGCCTTATCCAACTTGCCCTGGTCAATATATAGCATCTGAAGCTTGTTCACGGCTTGAAAGGTTAATCTGTGGTCCGGTCCTAGTGCTTTTTCATACCCAGCTAGCGCCCGTAAAAACATCTGCTCTGCTTCATTCAGCTTGCCCTGTCCTCGATATAAAATCCCGAGATGATTTATAGTAGCGGTGGTCAACGAGTGATCCGGTCCTAGCACTTTCTCTCTTCCCTCTAGCGCCCGCATGAACATCAGCTCCGCCTTGTTGGGTATGCCTTGGTCACGATAAAGGATTCCGATATGATTGAGAGTGGCAAGAGTTGATGCATGGCCTAGACCTAGCACCTTCTCCTTTCCATTCAACGCCCGTATGAATATCCGCTCCGCCTTATTCAGCTTACCTTGTTCACGATAAAGGATCCCAAGATCACTTAAGGTCGTGAGAGTTAATATGTGGTCTGGTCCTAGTGCTTTCTGTCGTCCAGCTAGAGCCCGTACAAACACCTGCTCCGCTTTATGCAGCTTACTCTGGCCTCGATAGAGGATCCCCAGATTAGTGACAGTGGTAAGGGTCGACGTGTCGGCTCGTCCTAGTGCTTTCTCTCTCCCAGCTAGCGCTCGTAGGAACATTTGCTCCGCCTTGTTCGGCTTGCCTTGCGCACGATATAGGCACCCGATAGAGTGAACAGTAGCAAGGGTTGATAAATGATCCGGTCCTAGCACTTTCTCGTACCTAGCTAGCGCGTGCGTGTACATCTGTTCCGCCTTATCAAACTGCATTTGGTGTCGGAGTAGTAGTGAGATCCGTGCTATCTTATCCAGTTGACCAGGCGTAGCATCAGAGATCGTATAGTTTTCGAGAAAACGCTGTTCTGCTAGTCGTACTGCATGACGAGCGATACGAGAGAAAGAGAAATCTCCAAGCGAATGCTCTTCCACCCCCGCGATACACGCATTAACGCAGTCCACGGCGTACCAGTAATAGCTTCTATCAATGTTCTTGTTGAGAGTTGCTAGTGTCCAGTCGTGTACATATTTATGCATGTGCCATGATCCTGACAATGAATCAACTTCTAGAAAGAAGTATTGGGTCAGGACATCAATCGCTCCGCAGAAGCTCACGTTACTTGTGACCACATTATGAAGCCACTTCGGAGAACCTTCTCTAACTCCAGCATAGAAGAGTTCGTACCAAACATTTTGGTTATCGAAGTAGGCTAGCACACTTAGTAATTTAACGGCGTCTGAATCCTCTGTTTTGAGATGCGCGTATGATAGATCCCAGGTCGTGTAGGGTGTATTTTCACGATACTCTTGGAGTAGGGCGCGGCGATTAGGATCAATATTCCAAAGAGCTTCATATTCTTGCAGGTAGCGCTCGAAAGTAGAACCTGTTAGCTGAACATAAGTCCCAGCGGCGGCTAAAGCAAGAGGAAAGCCACCAAGTTGCTCAGCGAGGCGCTTTGCGGATAGATCTAATAATGATAGTTAGGGGGTATTTCTTCCGAAATACACTCATCAGTACTATACCTGATTGCACGTTGTCTTCCTTTGACCAGATTTGCAGAATTCTAAGACTATCCGCAACTTTCGATAAAGGTTTTATATGCAGAGTATTTCCAGCAAGATCTAGCGCTCGAGTGGTGACGATAATAGCTCCATGAGAAGCTGATGGGAAATAGTCGCTGATCTCAAATTGACTCTGGTCATCATATTTATCAAAGATCAAAAGCCACCTAGTGTTTCTTGAGTCAGATAACCACCGATATACACGCCCAGGAATTGCACTCCTTTCTAAAACACCGGGGTCCTGTACGGAGAAGATGAGAGAAGCAATAAACCGTAGACTATCTTTTAGTGCGGCCTCGGATTGTGCATTCAGCCAAAGCACTGAATCATAAGATCCTCCATGAGACTTTGCGTAAGCAATGGCAAGCTCGGTCTTGCCAATTCCACCCATGCCGCCGAGAAATAGGCGCTGTTGCTTTTGAAAGGTATGAAGAGGCTGCAAAATTCGTGCGATCTCGTAAAGCTCGCGACTACGTCCCACGAAGTGTTCTGAGGCAAGGTAAGGTGCTTGCCCTAAACAACAGCCAATAGGCCCGCGGAAACTGAAGTCTTCAAAATGAGGGGCGTTGGGCGTCTTTCCAGACAGGACCGCATCATAGTTAACAATAAGTTGAACGTCTTCGTTGATTGATGCCATAAGCTCTTCGACCTTATTTCCTTTGCCAAGTCTGCGAAGGAGCCTCGAATATCGTTGTTCCCATGTATCGCTTTCACAGGGTACAATCCTCTCAAAAATACTTTTCAAATTTGAAGAGTTTGTCTCGCAATTGTCAAGAATCTTCTCTAAGGCTTCGGAGACGTCTTGAGGTATTGTATCTTTTCTCAGTTCTAGATGGCTTTTGCAAGTCTCGAGGGTATGGCGAAGAACTGGGAGCCGGCGTCCAACAGCTTTGAATGTTGCAGACAATTTGAAATCATGCTGAGCACTGTTGTATAATCTAATCGAGGTATCGAGGATGGAAATGACAGCAGAAACACCACCGATCACTTCGAGGCCTGACATGCTGAGAGGACTGATTGATAAGTTCGGTATTCGCAGCTGCAATGAGATATCAGAGTCAGAGGTGAAAGATACAGCACGCCTGAGCTGTGAGTTGAGAAAAAGGAGGGGTATTTAGATATATGCAGGCGGTGCCCTGCAGAGCCCCTGGGTGTCCACGGATTCTACACATGTCAAAAACCGATTCGCCGGCATAACGCTTAGTTCATTATTTTAAATTTCATGGACCCTTCAAGCGCCAATTATCCAGGAGGCTCTAGTGGCTGAGCGTTCTAGGTGGAGTGGCATAATCCAATGATATCATACCGTAGCATAGCCGAGGGGTTGGTGCGGCGATTACTCGACGCAAGCAATTCTCACCTGATTCCTCACCCTGTATAGGGCATAATCACAAATCGTGGCGCGACCAAAGAAGCAGCATCCACCTATTTATCATTCTAACGACTTCCACCGAACTAGCCATCGAGCTTACGCCACACACCGGTTTTTACCCCTTTTTGTTGTTCAACCTAGTACCTTTTCCGCCCTATCTATCCTTTGGGTCTTTCAGCCCATTCGCCCTGCAGGCCTTGGACACCTTTACTATTTCAGGCGAAATTAAAAGGCATCTAGAAAGGGACAGTACCTTACACGTAGAGGAGAAGTATATGTTTTCACTCCTTAGCATTTAGTTCACTTCTATCTTATCTACCGCTCACTTATCCCAACTAAATCACTTATGCGACCAATGAAAAGCTATCAAATCGGCAAAAACTCAGGCAGGGTTAGGTGTCTATAGGCTGCCTGTCCAGGGAGGGGCTGTAGGCCCAAGATGTTGTCCATAGACAGACAGCCCATACTGATGCCTAACCAGTCTTTTCTCCTCTGCACTAATGCGCGCTAGATCCACTTCCCCACCCCTCTTCCAGCATGGCGTCAATGCTCGCGCCACGCTGCACTGGTCATGGTTCTCAAGAAAGATCGACGTCTTTCATTGACCCAAACAATTAGTGGATCTTCGGGTAATCGGAGACATCACTCCCCATATCGACCTGTGGACTCTTGTAATGAGGGCTGGCCCTGATCACGGCCACCAAATTAGGTCCCGAAGATAATCTAGTCTGGAGACGGTTCCAGGGATGTCACCTATTCCATTCCCTGTTGGAGTCTTTGAAGCTGGCTAGATCTCGTAGACCCTCTTTCGGATGATCGTCCCGTCGCCGATCGGCCCCATTCGGGCTACGGTTGGGGCGTGACCTAGGGACTGATTTTATTGGGCACGTTAACCGATCGGGAGGACGCGTTCCCCCACGAGGCTGGATGACCCCATCACCTCATATCCCCATATCCCCCATAGCCCCATAGCCCCAAGCCCCATAGCCCCGTATCTCCAGGCTCTTCTTCCCGCCTCGTTCGCTAGTACTGACCGGCCTGCTCCGGATGATACGCACTGTTAAACCGAACCTTATAATGGTTATGCATGTATAATTTTCCAGAACCCTCAATTTTGGCCACACTCCGATCCAAAGATAGACACGGAAAAACAACACTCCAGAATGGCAGCCGCTCAGGTCGAAGACGCCACGACGGTCTCGACGCAACATGACATGCTTCTGGATGAAGCTTGCCAGGCTACACGCCGGGAACACGAGCTCACCCTTCTGCCATCCCTCCGAGTGTATCGCAAAGCGATCGCATGGTCCATGTTTTTGTCCTTGGCTATCGTCATGGAAGGGTATGACATGAAGCTCATGGGCTCTCTCTTTGCCCTGCCAGCGTTCCAGAAGAAATATGGACAGCAGCTGCCCGACGGTACATATCAAATCTCGGCTTCCTGGCAAGCTGGCCTGTCCAACGGTGCTTCCGCCGGCTCAATCTTGGGCCTGCTTCTCAATGGTTATATGGCCGAGCGGTTCGGTTTTCGCAGGACGATGCTTGCCTCACTCTCATTCATCACCGTCATGATTTTCATTCCTTTTTTGGCACCGAGCATTGAGGTCCTACAGGTTGGCCAGGTTCTAATGGGTATTCCGTGGGGTGTCTTCCAAACCCTGACCACCTCATATGCCGCCGAGGTGACCCCGACCCACCTTCGTGCGTATCTCACCACCTATGTCAACTTGTGCTGGGTAAGCTCCTCCCCGACATTCTTCTTCCTCCCCGCTTCTCGAATTGATAGAAGCTAGATAATAGCTCTTCTACTAATCATATGAACGGTGATAGGTTTTTGGACAACTCCTCGCCAGCGGCATCCTGCGAGGCGTAGTCACTCGCACAGACCAGTGGTCGTATCGCATCCCTTTCGCCCTGCAGTGGGTCTGGCCCATTCCGCTTATAGTTGGAATTATCTTCGCCCCCGAGTCACCATGGTGGCTAGTGCGTAAGAACCGATGGAAGGAAGCCAAGATAACCCTCCTCCGGCTAACATCGCCCGGTCGAAATGAATTTGATGCTGACCAAGCTATCGCGCTCATGGTGATGACGACCGAAAATGAGCGGGAATGTGGGACAGGAACAACCTATCTTGATTGCTTCCGTGGCGTAGATCTCCGCCGCACATCGATCGCCTGTTGCTGTTGGGGTATTCAAATCCTATCTGGCACCAGCTTACGCATTTATTCGACATATTTCTACGAGCAAGCAGGGCTCCAAATTGAGCAGGCCTTCAATATGACTATAGTGCAATACGTCATTGGTATCATTGGCGTATTCATAGCCTGGGCTATGCTTCCACGTTTTGGCCGACGAACTCTTTACCTTTGGGGATTGGCAACTTTAACGGTGGTCTTGCTGATCATAGGTGGCCTGGGTGCTGCCCAGTCTCACTATCCGGCCCATTCCAAAGCCACCAGCGGTGTGAGAAATCAACTAGCTTGGGCTATCGGATCTATGCTGCTTGTTCACACATTCTTTTATGATGTCACCATCGGTCCAGTGTGTTACTCGCTTGTGGCAGAGATTCCGTCTGTTCAGCTTCGTTCTAAATCCTTGGTGCTAGCACGCATGACATATAACATCTTCAACATTGTCAGCAACATTATTACGCCCTATATGCTGAATCCTTCGGCATGGAACTGGGGCGCAAAAGCCGGGTTCTTCTACGGCGGCACATGCGCTTTATCCCTGCTATATACCTATTTCTGTGTCCCCGAACCTATCGATCGGACTTACGCAGAGCTAGGCATCTTGTTCCAACGGAAAATCTCAGCCCGACGTTTTGCCGAAACACACATTGACCTTCCCGACGTGAGGGATTTTGAAGAAGTCTCCCCCAAAGGCGTGTAAATTGTCAAAAGAAGGAGTGGCCAATGTGGATCAATCGTCACTTATGTACCAAGTAAATCAGCATAATCCACTTGTCTGTTGAGATTTTCAGGAACCCGACCGATATCCACGTAGCACCATAAAGCAAATTTGCAAATCATAAATTCTATAGATTGCCTTAGGCCTGCAAATATGCTCAAGTGAAAGCAAATAAGAACAGAAGCAAACGCCGATCAATTAAGCCATCACGCGCTTCGAAAATGTGTATCTTCTCGCCCTAAAAGAGAATTTCCTGTAACCTGAATCTAACGCGGTATATTCTTTCTTCTAATTTGGCGTCGGAATAATATTTGGAGAGGTCGCTGGAGAAGAGGTCAGGGTCGTTGCCCTTTTCAACTCCTTTCAGCCTTTTCGTCCCCTGAAATAATATATTCAGTGGCACGAACTTGATTGTTACTGTCCAAGGCAAATAAACCATTCCATATATGTGAGAAGAGTAACTGATTTTGAGTGGCAGGTACGAACTACGCCGTGGGCCAGGTTTGCGCCATAGCCATTGAATTAATCGCTGCGTAAGTGTTTCTTGATTAAGAGCAAAAAGGCCGATTTCTATGTCGCCACAAGGTACGAAATACTATAAATTAGGCAAGATTGGAAAACGTAACATCATCATCACCGTCTTGCCGGATAGTGAGTATAGAGCAGCTTTTGCGGCTAACGTAGCAACGAAAATGCCGAATAGCTTTCCTAACATCAGAACGGGTCTAATACTCGGCATCAGTAGCGATATACTAAGCGAGAAGCATAGCTAGATTACTTTTTTTTGCCTTTGTATATCTTTTTGCTGCTGCTTTAATCGACGTTCTATTTATCTAGGTCTATCTTGCTGATCACAACCCAACACACATCTAAATTGGCGCGCACAATGCAAATACCACTGAGATAGTAATCAAGCAGATTCACAATTACTGCTCAAAGACTGGCGTGTCTTTCATCGAACGCGATCTAGCATCCTAGCCTGTGTCAAACAGGCCAACGAGCAATTTGGTCGAGTCACATGACCGGCCTTATCGTATCTAATCGCAGCTCCAAAAAATTTTTGGATGATTGAAGTCCGCGATAAAATACTATCCCACACCTTCAATTTTCTCTCATCCCCAAGACACTCGGCCTGAGGGTTTCTTGGATTTATTCCTTTTCTTCTTTGAACTTCCACATAAAACCCCTGGCTGGCTTCCCTTGACATTGAAAACATACCAAATCCAGCCTCCTCCCCCACCAAGTCTGCGGGGTATCGATTGGCACTGCACCACCAAACTTCAAACCCAATCACGCAGAAGAGACGTCGTGTCTTTTCAGACCACAAACTCCAGAATGAGCACACAATCAACACCCGCCCCGCCGGCCAATGACGGCGCCTCCTATCTCGACCTTGGTATTACACTCGCCCTGAACGATTGGCCCGCGCTCACACTCGCCGTGCAATCAAACTGGGGTGGTCCTACATCCGATGATAAGCGCGCCTGGCTCTGTGGTGCCGTCTCCGAGATGCTGACCGAGCGACCGGAGACCGACGCCGAGGATCTGGAGGACGTCTTGATTCAGGTCATGAACGACGAGTTTGACGTTGTGATTGACGACGAGAGCGCTGCGATCGTGGCGACCGAGATCATGGAGATGAAGCAATATACAGATCGCGGAAACTTCGCTGAGATCCAGGCGATGTGGGAAGTGTACCAGCGCAAGAGCCAGCAGAAGTCCGCTTCTGCGGCTATGTTTAAGAAGGTTGATGCTAAGGATGAGGATCAGGAGACTGACGAGGAGACTGATGAGGAGGATGATATTGAGATGGGCGATGCCCCTGCTTTGGTGCGTGCGCCGAGGGAGAAGGCTGAGCCTGAGATTGATGATGATGGATTCACCATGGTTAAGAAGAAGAGGTAAACTCTGTATGAGTGCCTGGCGGTCTGGGGTGTTGGGCTTTATGGCTTTGTGCCAGGGCTGAGTGAACACATCAATATGATACCTTTTTTTCCCTACATAGACGAATTGAACTTGAATCAGAGGAAACAAGAAGGCAGCCCGACCAAAGAGATTGATTCTAAGGATACAGCCCGCTTTCTTGGTCCTTCTCAACTTCCATGATCCAACTCCGATGTACCATTTAAACAACTCTTAAAATTTAGCCAAAAAAAACAAGGCACGGCCCCTAATAAGGGGGCAGTCAGAGTCTCAAAGAGATAATGTGAATATACCATTGGCTGTACATTGGTTAGATCACGGGCAAACTATATCACATGATTGAAATGCATGGATCCAAAAGAATCAAACACAACAACCACGCAGTTGTAAAAGGTGACTCTACGGGAGAATGAAAAAGAGAAGCGTAGAAAATTCATCATCATCAGTTGAGGGAGCTGTGGTGTATCATCGCTTAACCTCTGTTCACCCATCTATCTACCTCCTTGTCCAGAGGTTCCGCTCAATCCCAGCCGACTTTTTAGCGATGGGCTGAGAAATAACCATCAGCACCATGGGATATCTTTTAGGCTTTCTTCTTGCATCATGTATGCCATTATGCGTTTCCGGTAATTGTTTAAGCCTCGTTCTCCGGGAGGCAGAGTTTGGTGATCATACCAATGGCGATGGTTTGTCCCTGTAAAGCCGTTAGTACTTGATCCGAAATTTATAGAGCTCAAAATAATATAACGTACCTTGTCGCGCAAGGTGAACCGTCCCATGGATTCATTGAAGGCGAACTCTTCGACACAAACAGCCCCAGCGGTGCTAGTGACCTCAAGACGGGCAATGATGGTCTGACCTTTGTTGACGAACGCCGGGGGGCGCTTGCTCTTGCGGCCAGTGCCGGGTTCGAGTTTATGAAGAAGTTGAGCGAAAGTAACTTCCTCAACAGCAGAGTGGACGTGCATCACACAGTTGAATCCGGCGGTGAGAATGCTCTGCAGATCCAGAATACGGATCTTGGCCTCGAATGCGCTCACACAGTGAACGGGGCGCTTTGGCGAGCAGAGCACGAAGCCGGGGAGGAAGTCCTCTTCTTCGACACCACGCAGACGCAGGCGAACCTGGTCACCGCAAGTCGCGGTCGGAGTCTCATCTTCGGTCTCACCGTAGAGAGCAGCAACCGAAACCTCGGTTTTGTTGGGCATCATGATGTAGGTGCCGTTCTTCTTGATGACACCGGACTCAATACGGCCTTCACACATCGTACCCATGTCACGGTACTTGGAGCTGATAGGCATCATAAACGGAGCATTGATCTTACGCTCTGGGAGCTTGAAGTCGGTCAGATACTCAAGCAGGGAGGGGCCGCTGTACCAGGGGCAGACGTCCTTTGGGACACGGTCCTTGATGCCCAGGGTGCGTTGCGCGGAAATGGGCATGCAGAGGATGTCATCCTTCTTGTAACCAAGGGCTTCCAAGAACTTGATGACCTTGATTGTGCACTCATCAAAACGCGCCTTGCTCCACTCGACTGTGGGGTCATCCATCTTGTTGACAACAATGACCAGTTTCTGGACACCGCTGTTGCGGGCAAGAAGGGCGTGCTCACGAGTCTGGCCACCCTTCTCGAAACCAGTTTCGTACTCACCCTTACGGGCAGAGATGACAAGGCAGCCAAGGTCTGCCTGAGAAGCACCACCGATCATGTGGGGGACATAGGACTTGTGACCAGGGGCATCAAGAATCGAGAACTGACGCTCGATAGCGCCATCAGGGTGAGGGATCTGAACACTAAAGTGCGCTCTTCCTACTTCCTTTAGAAATAGTCAGCTTTCAATTCAATTACTCACGCAGTCCATTTCAATTCCATTGCTGGACTTGGATAGGCAGAAAGAAGGTACTTACGACAGTCTTTCCCTTAGCTCGCTCTTCGTTGGTCAGATCCAGAGCCCAAGACATATACCAGGTCTCACGCCCAGCTTCCTTGGCCTCTCTTTTGTATTTCTCCATCGTACGGTCATCCACCATGCCGGTGCAATACAGCAATGATCCACCCAGGGTGGACTTTCCAGCATCAACGTGACCGATGAAGACAACGTTAACGTGTTCACGCTTCTCACCATAGATTTCTTTCAGGGTTGCGTCATCGACATCGGCTTGCTGTGCCTTGGCGACGGCATCGGCAGCACGGGCAGCTTTAGCGGCCTCGACACCGGTGCGAGCGGGACTGGAGCGACCAGTGGGGCTGGAGCGACCGGACGGTGTAGGCGAAGACTTGCCGGAAGCAACATTCTTAGAGTCTGTGGTCTTATCGATGGCCTTAGCAGCGGTCACCTTAGCACCGGCTTCGGCAGCCGCAGTACCCTTGGAATCACCCTTGCTGGTGTCATCTGAAGCCTTCGCGGGGGTTGGGGTTCCAATGGAAAGGACCTTAGTCTTAGGGGCAACGGTAGAGGAGGAAGCCCCAATTGAAAGGACCTTAGTCTTAGGAGCGGTGGTGGAGGAGGACGCTCCGATGGACAGGACCTTAGCCTTAGGCGGGGCGTCGGAGGAGGCAGGAGCAGGCTGTTGGGGAGCAGCAGGTGCATTCTGACGAGGCTGCTGCTGGAAGCCACCGGGCTGCTGGTTGTATGCGCCATACTGGTTGTAGTTGCCGGGTTGCTGGTTGTATGCGCCGTACTGGCCATAGGCCTGCTGCTGTTGCTGCTGCTGCTGGGGGTGGCCGTAGCCCTGTTGTTGGCCGTACTGGGCATAGGGGTAACCACCATACTGCTGGTACTGCTGTCCAGGCGCGAAGGAAGAAGCCCCAGGGGTGAAGGAAGCGGCACCAGGCTGGAAGCTCGCTGCACCAGGCGTGAAGGTGGGCATCTGGCCTTGTGGGCGACCCTGGTTCAGGTTAACGCCCTCGGTCTGTCTCGAGAGTTCGTCCTCCCATGATTCGGGGGTTTGGTTCGACATCGTGGAGGGAAATCCGAGGCGCAATCAACGAGATAGCGCGGGCGACACGAGAGTCGGGGGTGTAAGTCAAACAATGAGGGGCCGGCGTTTTTTGATTTTGCGCAGGTGACTCAGCGCCCCGCGATGAGGATGTCACGTGGATTGTATGCAAAATGATAGAGACGTGACTTCTGCGTTTGTTTTATTTTATGGGTTCAATTGATACTCGCTGTACTCTTCTTATCATTAGAGAGGTGGCAAATTACCGATCGCCCAATGTTTCCAGAATTTTCGACTCATGTGTTAGGCTCATATCCTCATCTCCGTTGTGTGATATCCGATAGAGGCATTAGGATCATAACTTTTTTGGATGGCAGAAAGTCTTTTTCTATGATTGTTTTTATGGCTTGGGGCCTGGCCATGAATTGATTCAACTTCCATGGAGTAAAGCGACCAAGCTTTTGGGGCGGCCTGTTGCTTCTTCTTGTATATATTAATAGGGATGTTTGAAAAGATACAATATATTCGACAGTCAATGTTAAAATATTGAAAAGATACCCATCTAGTTACCTAAAAATATCGTCAAGTAGATGCTTCGGATGAGGTTAAGAGGAATGAAATTATAGAAAATACTGCGCCTACGGTAATTCTTGATTTCTCCTTTATAAAGAAGTATGTCATGGGGTTTGGAATTAAGCACCCAGTACTTTTAGTAGAGACTTGATTTGGTGGATCTGAAGGTGGTAACTAAGGCGGTGAATTATGATAGAGGGGGAAACTTCCATGATGCCAAGGTCTCTATCGTAACGTTGGGCATAACCTTCACTATCGATAAGCGCCCCTCCATTCTTTGTTACTCAGGGGCATATATCAGCCCAGCCACTCTCTTCGGTGGATCTTGAGAGATCCAAGTGGATATCTTCCCGACAAGATGGAGGTCCTTTTGTCGCGCGTATGTTCATTGCTGAATTGCAGAATTGAGGGCGATGAAATGCTAACATTACGGACAGCTGACCCAGCAGGCAATGAATTATGCCATTCGGTAAGGCAAACGGTTCTGGAGAATCTAACTTCAAGCTAAGACTCTCAATTCAGCTCTGGAATTGCAATCACCGCAAGCTACGCCATACGCCAGTCTTCACGTTTGCTCAAAGTACGCAGTATCGAATGCCTAATATGAAGCAGACTGAGCTGACCTCATGGCTCAGAATGTAGATAGCGAAGATCGTGATGAGCTTCTCTCTTTGCAGCAGCGCTTAGAGAGCAAGATCCAGGTCAGCACAGTTCATTGATTTCGGCGAGTCAAATCCACCTCTGGCTAACTTGAAACAGGTCATTTCCCCATCAATTGACATGATTGAATTGATGTGAGTATACGAAACTCAGTTCCAGCCGTCTATGTGGGATTCTAACAAAATTCTAGTGCCGCTCGAGGCAATACATCTCTTGAATCGGCTGTCACTCTTACAAAATCCCTGAGATGGGAAATTCAGGCCCTTGGGCAGCGATTAGCCAAAGCCGCCTCATCCGAAGAAATCTCACGCAAGGGCCCCAAATCTTCCCGAGACCAGGCAGTCATAGATGCCCAAGTGAAGGCCGTCATCAAGGACATCAAGAGGCTTCTAGCTCGGATCGAGGATGCAGTGCCACTGATGAACTTAGCCATCACTACCTCGGGTGCCAAGCTATCCACCAACTTGCCATCGACCGTGTCACCATCTCGCCTTCTCCAAGCGAGCACTTTTCTGACTGCTGGCGATACTCAATACTCAATGTCAGATTCTCATGCCGTTCAGATAGGACCGACATTCACCCTTTCGATGTACATGCTATTTGCAGGCCACGTACGCCCTCATGACCAGGAGTCTGTCCGCGAGGCCACATGGAAAGAGGTTATGCATAAAGCACGCCTGAAGCTTCGACGGGTTCCAATGAATCTATACTATTCTGATGATCGGACCAAGTCAACGGAGCTTCCCGGTTCTGCGGGTACTGACGAGTATGCCTATCAGGTTCTTATCATCGAGGATTTTGATGACGGAAGAGTTCACTCCTTTGAAGAAGGTGAACCGCATCCCCAGGCCTGTGAAGGTGTCGCCAGCGCTGGTATCCGAGAGATTCTTTCAATCCACCAAATCTCAAAGATCTTCTATGCGGACACAGGCAGAATTTTGAATATCAGTACTGAGGGAGAAACAAATAACCCTGTGCTACTCCTCAAGAGAGACTTGAATGCTCTCCCGCCTCGCCGTATGATGGAACGTGACGATTCTGAAGATGACTTTGCACCCGAGCCAGAAGAGGGAGGCCCGGAGCAAGACGAAGAGCAGGCGCTACTTGACGCACAATTGCATGGCGGCGATGGCTCAGCACACCAAAGCTTCAGCTCCCTTCACGAAGACTCCATCCCCGAGGAATGGCGACTTCCTCCCGGTCTCGACCCAGAATGGATTGCATTTGAAGTCTACAACGAGGATGAATCCTCTGATACTGAGTCCGAGGCAGACAACCCGACAACAGAAAACACGGTCGACAAGATGGCCAAACTATCTCTCAAAGACAAAAGTGATGCCCAATCCCCATCACCATCCAGACCAACCTCTTCCACACAGCCCGCAATCACCACAACCGTTACCAACCCTCTTTTCGAAAACATCCGCACATCACTTTCTCTCCTCGAAACCCTTCTCCGACTAACCTCCCTCCAACAATTTCAACAACAATCCCACCTCTCCATCAGCGATGAACTCCTCAACTTCTTCCTGGAAGAATCATCCACAACCGGCGCCGGTGGCGACGAACAACATCGCCAACGCCTCCGCCACGAAGCACGCCGCCGTGTCGGATGGGATCCTTACGATGAAAGCCCCGTCAAACACCGTGGCGAAGATTATCAATACGGTTGGGAAGCAGGTAGTCCCTCTGGGTATCCACAAGAAGACGAAGGGCCCTACTCACCCGGAGGCATGTCGCGTGGATTCCAGCTTCGATCGCGGGAAAGTACACCGGAAACTCCGCAGCGTCGGGGTTCGCCTGGGAGGAGAGGTCCGAGTGGGTTGCGGGGCATGACGCCTGCGTATGCAGATAATTCGGAGCCTGGACAGAGTTCGCCGCTTGCTAGGAAGGGGGGTACTTCGAGGGATGGAAGTGCTGGGCCTGGAACTGCGGAATAAGATGAACTTGGCCCGATGATTATGGTGACGATCTTGTATGACTAGCGAAGTGTCCTGACTTTTGATTTTCAAAATCTACAGTACTTTCAGTCCCTTTTAGAGAAATAAAGTCTCATACATACACAACCACTTTGGGGGTTCGTTGAAAGCTACGGTAGAGTCAAGTTGAAAGGACCTAAAGAGCAGTAAGGATAATACGCAGTAAAGTGTATTCAATGCCAAGGGATATGTAAATAAAGTGAGCAATGTGCATGTCAGTCACAATCGATCAGACAGGGAAAAGGCAGAGCGGGACATCAACCGCTGAAGGCAAGATACGAGAAACGAAATTGGGAATAAGACGGATAAAGAGTCCCAACTGCGCCAAGGAACCAAGTCACACCAAACTCCCGCGAAGCAAGCAAGTCAATTAGCCCGTTTTGGACCTAAAAAAGTGAATCTTTCCCAAGGCCCTTGAGTTGGAAGAGAATAGTTTACTCCCAGTCCTCGTCACTGTCGTCCGCCTTGGACTCAGTAGTCGGACTCTTCTCTTTGGGACTGCCGGGGGTTCGGCTAGCGGCACCGCTCACAACGTCGTAGCTTGACTCGCTGTCGGCCTGGGACTGTTGGTCGTTTGAGCGGCGGGGCTCGGCCTTCAGGGTAGCATTTTCGGCGGCGGGTTTCTGGTTCTTGGAACGAACTTGGGGAGTAGAAGGGGACTCGTGTTCGGAGTCAGAATCGTCATCCCAGCCGACCTCTTCCTCATCTTCGGCGCTGGCACCTGTAGGTAAGGGTGAATATTAGCAATCATCGTTCCAACGTGTAAGAAGGGCACATTCATACCCTTCAAGAGCTCCTTGCGCTTTTTCTCTTCGGTCTCAATAACCAAGCGGAGGAAGTAGTATCGAGTCCAGAACTCTGCATACTCCACAGTCTCAGGAACGACCTTTTCCATGGCCGACCGCAATTCAGGGTATTTCTCGAGGTCGGAAGCAATCTCGTCGGTCTTGTTCTCGACATCGAACTCCTTCTTGAACTCCGGGAACTTGTCGCTGACAGGGTCCATGGTGAAGCTATCCAGGTTTGAGTGGATAACATGCAGTTGAGCCTCGAATCGAGTGGCATGGATAACGCGCTTGCCATCGGCATCCTTGCTCTCGAAAAGAAGCTTGCCGGAATCGTCTGTCTCGGGGGGCACAATGCTCACAGCCTCACGCAGCTTTTGGCCGATATTCAGCCCAAATCGCATGATCGCTTCGTCTGCCGCTTCCTCCGCCTTCTCGATTTCCTTTAGTCGTCGAGCGGCCTCAGCCTTGAACCGGGAAATGAAGCCTTCTCCGCTGGAGCCAGCCTCGGCCTGGTCCTTGGATCCTCCTCCGGTCGAAGCCGTAGGTGTAGCGGCCTCGTCTTTCTGGCCTTCACCACTGCCAGTCAAAGCTACGGTGTTGATCGAAAGCCCCTTTGTCCGATCGACAATGCTATCCCGCAGGTCTGAGAACCCCTTCACAGCTTCCTCGCTCGCGGCAGCATATTCCTGACGGGCGCCCTCGTAGTAGGTCTCTCCCTGCTTGCGCACATTATCCCAAAGGCCTCCGATCCGGGTGCCCCACGGGCTGGCGGAGAAAGCGCGGAAGGTTTCTTGAAATTCGGTGTTGAGGTTCACGTTAGATTGTTGAGCGTTATTGGAATCGGAGGAATGGTCCTCCCTCGGTGTCAGGATCTCCTCCTGAATGTGGTCGTAGGCGATATCCATGGTGGTGTTGTTAGAGAGAGGTGGTCTCCAAACGATAATTCAGGTTGCACCTCCGCGTTCGTTCACGGGCCGACCGCCCCGCTCCCCCGTGCTTAACCTCAACTACTGATCGACGTGACGGTTCCCGATGAGGGTCGCTCGACCCTTGAAATTATTTGCACAAAAAATATCTACGTGCGCATGTGCCTTTTTATCAGCCTCAAAGAGCGGTATAGGGAAATACTACTCGGTATATTCACGGCCGAAACCCCTATTTGGGCACGTCTGGGAACCGCATCTCATGGGTGCTTATTCATGGAATAAGAAGATGAAATATATTTGGTATAACCATGAAATTGTAGGGACATAAACTTGTATCAGAGCGCTAAATGAGATCATAATTCATAACATGTCTTAGCTCACCGATCCGGCAAACTATACGGCTCACCCACGCTGTCCTGACTTCCCATCCAGAAATTGGGGAGCGGAACACTTTCCATGACACTCGATGTAAGAAGTTGACTGCGAGACAAGACTCCTACGGGTCCATGATTGTCTCTATCAACTGGTTGGGAGGATTCGACCTGGACCACCGAATCAGGGACTTGGGGTCGTTGAAAGACGGCGCCAGAGTCAACGCTATTCTCGTCTTGCTCATGAACGGGAGATGACTCCGGCACAACCTCGGTCTGGTCGGCCTCTTGGCTTTGCGTTTGGCTCTGTAAAAAGGGACCCGGGATTTTCTGAGAAGAACCCGCGGTTGCGGGTTTGGCGTATTGAGTGCTCCCATAATTGGGAAACAGCTCGGACAGCTTTTGGGTATTTAGGGTAGGAATAGGTTCAAATGGGAATTGCGTTGCTGGCTGCATCCTTTGATAGAACATAGAAGCATCTGACATCGGTGCCTCAGACGGCAGTTCGTCGTTCGGGTCTGCGGACGGTTTGACATCTGGTAGAGGTAATTCTTGAGAATCGTCGCTTGATGGCTCCGGGCTGTGCCGAGTAGGGACTGGTGTCTCTGCGCGTGGTCCATGAGCTCGAGATGGTGTTGCGGGATCATTGTTCATGTCGTTTTCCGAGTCGCTGTTGTCGCTGTCCGCATCGGTCTCGTAAACAACTGTTCTTTCTTTTTGTTTTCGCTCTACTTTGATCTCTGGGCCACCAGGCAGCACTGCTTGGGACCCCGAATCTGTGGAAGGTGCATACAGAGTCTCGTTTTGCATAACTGGTGACGAGTGATGCTTCAAGGAATCAAGCAATCTGGGCGAGGGTCGAGTTGATGTCTTCACCAGTGATGCGCCTCCGTGGTCCTGCGAATCCTCGATATTCCTTTGTGGGTCGGGAGACTCCTCTTTGATGGTGTTTCCCGGATGGCATGCGGCGTTCCAAAATTTTAGTTTTAATGGAGATCGGGTTGCGCCGCGGAACTGAGATGATGTTATTATAGCCAGCCCCGGGCTTTCTGGCGACTGTGAGGACGGAATCTCAAGCTTTCGGGATTTCTGAGGTGTGACCGGCGCATCTAACATTGATGCATTTTCGGATTCATGCCCCGGATTTGAATCCTGATTATCACCAAGACCCCCAGAGAGTGGCTCGCCCGTGGAAAGATCCAGCTCCGGTTCGAGAAGTCTGCGATTGCGCTTCACAGATGCAGGTGGTTTCGGATGAACCGTCTGGTTCATAATGGAACTGGCTTGCTGCCCATCATCTGGAGGGTTATTTTTATGCTCCGACAGTATGTATCCCATATTCACATCGTCGTCATCGTCTATTGTAATGTAGCGTCGCACGAAGTCCATTTGCGTAAGAGTCTTATCACGCTTCGCAGGCGGCTTCTCTGTAGACTTTCGTCTCCCTTTACCATTGAAACTCGGTTTCGGTGTCATACTTTTTCGTATGCTCTGGCCCCGCTCGGATGCTCGAGGAGTGCCTCCTGCGCTTTTTCTTCGTTGCGTAGGGTGATTTTTATTGGGTTCGAAATTTGTGGGGCGCAAAGATGGTCGATAGTCGGCATCATCGTCTGAGTCACCGTCCGCTCGATTGTGTGCATTAGTTGTATTGGTACCTTGGCGCGGTTTAGTCTCGTCGAGATAATCGAGCTGGTCATCGTCGGAGTGTGGAGTCTGAGTCACGAAGTCGATTTGGGTAAGAGTCGATTGCGCTCGTGAGCTTGAGAGCGAGCTTCTCTTCCATGGTCTCGCAGATGCTGAAACGCTTGGAGATGCTGGCCTTTTGGATGTGGTGCTCTTCGAGCTTTTTGACGTCCCCGGAGGACTGGGTCGTCGCGGAGTTCGAAATTTCTCTCGGGGTGTTTCTGACAATGGACCGGGAGTATCTTGGGGGTTCATTGCAGCTCCGGTCAATCAGACATGGAGATTGAAGTAGAGGTAGCTTGATGCTTCGGTGGTTGTTCCTGCCCATGACGTTCTGGCGTTTGTTGCCTCAGGCACACCGCGTCGACGCGTTTCACTTTACGCGATCACGTGTATTGGTGTGAGTATTCTACGGCACCTTCCTAATGATATTAATGATTGCTTTCGTCGATTAAATATAGCTAATAGTTTCTCTTCAAGTTTGGGGAATCGTATCAAACATTTGCATGGGACCATCAATTGTTTGCATTATCTTGGTCTCTCGTTATGTATCTTGACAATTTACAAAAAGGCATCTAGGGCCTGATAATCATCAAATGAGCCAATCGGGGACTGCATCTTCGTCATCCGGGTCTTCAGACAGCAAGGACCCTTTCTCGATCTCACTATCTGAGTCATGTAACAGCTGAGATTGGCGAAGCTCTTCTTGAGGAGAAAGTGGTCTGGAGATAGATTCCACCACACTAGTGGACTTGGAGCCACCATTCGTTGATGAATCAACCGTAATCGGAGCTTGTTCGGACGACCCCTCTAGCCCTTTAGAGGTTGCACATTTTGTTGACTGTTGTCCAGAGTCCGTAGCGGAGTTCTTCGGAACTACGATCAACTCGTAGCGAGGGATGTTTGAAGCTCTTCCTTTCTTGAACCTTGGTGGGATCACAGGCTGGAGAGCGGCTTGAGGTTTGGGGACGGGTTCGGCATCCGCCGAGCCATCAAGCATGAACCCTCCCCCGGACAAACCGTCTTCTTGACCACCGTTTGCTGTCGACGGGTTGACGGCTGGACCTCCGTCGACAAATTTGTCGGGCAGAAATCCTCCCCCGACAGTGCCATCTTCATTCCCGGCATCGACTGCGTCAGCTCTATCTAAGACGGGGTCATCTGGTATAAACCCTCCTCCGAGATAATAATCTTCCGTGTCAGGTTCTTTGGATGCACTGTCTGTGGACTGATCTGGCTCTGGAAAGAAGCCCCCTCCCGATTCTTCCAGGTTCTTGACACTTATATCCGACGCGGCTGCATCATCGTTTTCCTCATCCGAGCCGGCATATTCTTTCACTCGTTCAGCGATCCGAAGCTTAACAAGGAAAAGTCGCCAGAAGCGGAGTGCCTCCGCACTTCGCGCTTCAAGTGCAGCTCGATGCCTTTCATCTGCCATTCCCCTTGTTACTTCTTCCAGAGCTTCACTGTATTCACAGGCGACGACGATACCCTCGATGACAGCGGTTCCACGACGTCCTTTGAAATCGAAACCAGTCACAGCGTCTGCGTAATCAATCCCCAAGATTCGAGCAGCTCGAGCCGCCTCTGGTCTTCGAACGTGTATGCCCCCTGGGGGTACCATGCTTGGGACATAGATATCCAAGTTGCCATAGGAGTTTTTAGGAATTCGTCCTTGGACTACTGGAGGTGGTTGGTAAATCTCCGTTTGGTACTCGGCATATAGAGCAGTTTGCTCCGGTTCGTTATCTTCTTCGTCGCTGTCGAATCCGCTCTTGGGTCGTGTCGCACGAACATGCTTGAGGGGATGTTCGCCAACTTTGACATCCCGTCCCAGTCGGTACCACTTATCAGCACTGCGCACGACGTGCACGTCAGATCGACGGTAAACGGGATCCAAATTATCGCTCTTTGAAGTTGTTTTGCTCAAACCAACATGTCCGATAACTCGTTTGGGAAAGATCACCTCGTTCCGATGCAAATGCTTCTCAAGTGCATAGATTGGATGGTCTTTGAAGTCCTGGATATTGCGTGGCATCGGCTCGGCTGCAGACTTGGAAGTCAATTCGCTGATTTCAAGCTCGTCTCGATCCTCAAGGAAAGGCTTCTCGTATGCTTCTAGTGCAGCATCCCACCATTTTTCACCGTTTCGCGTCGATTCAATTCTAAGCTTGCGTGTCTTTGCATTGAACGCCTTTGCATAACGCCGAGTCACGTCTCGTGCGGAAGCGTCATCTTCGAAGGCAACTACATAGCTCATGCTGTTGTACGGATCACTTGCAGGCGGTTCAAATTTGGAGGGCTTTGCCAGAGACTTGGTCACCATTGGGTCAATTGGAAACCATCTTTGCACAGCTTCGTTGAATGCCTCTACCCAGAACACTGGGTACGAAGATTCTCGGGGGTTAGGAATAGAGCCCAGACGAGCGGAAGCTTGGCCAGGCCGTGAGGTGAATTCAGGTCGACCAAGCCGCCTCGCTCTCGAAGCTGTTGGTGACTCTCCGCCTGACTTCTGGCGTTCATCCGTTGACGTTTCATGGTCATCGGATGAGACAACAATATACTGAGGACCTTTTTTCGAAGGAGTCATATCCTTGACTGTGCCGGAGAATGGCAAAGGTTGAAGTGAGCAGACGAGTCTTGCCTCCACTGCGACTGATCGCAGCAAGGCACAGAACAATTGTGCGCCGAAATCACGAGAGCCCTGCATAGTCTTTGCCTGGGATCGGAAGTCCTCTTTGGATAGGAAGACCTCGACATTCAACATAAGCGCCTCCTACGGGCATGTCAGCGACCATTCTGCTATTCGCAAATCGATCCGAGAGACGTACCAGTCTCTGCTTGAGTTTATTTTGGTCTTCGGCCCAGTGGGGACGCCTCAAACCTAACTTGTTGACACGAAATCGACGGGTAAAGATTTCACCAGCTTCATTTAGACCATCAATGAAGGTAGTAGACCGAAGGTACTGTGGCTTGTCCTCGTCTGGGTTCAAAAGTGCAATAACCCTCTTGGGCAACATTCGTTTCAGGTAACTCTAAACCAATATTAGACGCTGAAAGTAGATTATTCACTAAAATCATGCGTACCTGCAGCGACCCGTCATTGCACCACCGATTTCGTAAGTTGACATGAGCCAAAAGACAGAGAAGATGGACTTTATGAATATCCATCCGGATCTTCTTCTCGGCTGCGGTAACTGGTTTTCTCCTTTGCACAGCCTTTTTCGGCTTCTCTGGCTCTTGCTCCAGAGTGATTTGGAGTGTCTCGTTTCTTTCTTGTGAAATTGCTGCTGCACTAGATGCTTCAGGTACTTGCTGCTGATGCTGAATCTCCACGTCTTCCCATTCGATATCAGATTCCTCTGTTTCCGAGAGATCGTAAACTGTTTGCACATTTTGTGCCTGCTCTTCTTCATCCTTGCCTACATTCGTGACTGTGTCGGCCTGTGCCGGTGCTGGTGAATGAACAGCAATAGCCCTTGAGTCGCCAACTCTTCGTCTCTTGATCGGCCTATCGGAATGGAACTGCTCTGGGTCTCTTGCTTCGGCCTCTTCCAGCATCTCCTGGAAGACATCTGGAACTGGTTCTTTTCGCAATGCCTCACGCTGTGGCTGACGAGCCCGAGATGCCCTGCCCCGAGAGGGACGGGCCTGAGACTGGCGCACCATGCGTGGCTAATCTGTTGAGGTGCATGAAGGAGTTCACCTTGGCTCTTAAAACGAAGTTGTTTTACGCGTCAGCAGCCACAGGTCAGAGCCGACAGCCCTATTCACGACAGGTTCAATGTACAGCCCTGGAGAGTGGATAGCTCGATGAGACTCGAGCCTCAAAGCTTCCTCAAGTGAGAGTGCAAGGGTGCCTGCCAGTGGGGTCGCTGCGTCATAGCGGAATAACGGATTTTCCGATACTGTCAACACTCAATTCAACAATCTTTATGTGAAAGAATATAGAGTGCAAGGTGAGAAGATTATGAGTTTTTGGAGCTGTGCAGCTTGTAAGGGTCCTGCCACCTTCTTATACCATTTTTGTTTTCCTGTCTTGTTGTGTGGTTTTCGTGAAATGCCCAGGTAACTATTTAGCAGTGGTCCGTCGGTCAGATGTATATATCTGAGCCCGCTTGGATACGAGAAATCGAAAATCATATTGTGTCAAGCCCCAGAGAGTTTGGTAAGTCTAGTTTAAGTTGAAATAGATAACTAGAATGAAACAATTGAGTATAGTGAGGAAATATCACAGTAATGTGATTCTCTGACAGATATTGTGATTATGGCCATGAATTCATAATTGCGTCATATGCTTGCCGGCCAGATAAGAGCTAGCATTGGCATTGTTCGCAACAAACCTCGTACCTCTCACACTCACCTCATTGGAATATTCGATTACACTAAGAACAATGAGACCTTCCAATTCCTCCTTGCTACCTTTAACGTCCCGTTTTCTGGGTCTCCGCGCCCTTCCCGGCTCACTACATGCCAACACGCGTAGCTTTGCGCAGGTCGCACAGCGACGGGTGCTAGACGTCCCATCGGTAATTCTCCGAACGCAAAATACGAAAAAAACGATCTAACTGTCCCTTTAGGAGGATGACAAACCTTTTATGGTCCCGATCGCAGACACGAGCTTTGAGACGTATCATTTCGACCCGCCATCATACTCGGTGGAAACTACCAAGGGACAACTTAAACAGCTTTTTCGTGACATGACAACAATAAGGTATGGCTCTTCAAAAGCCATAGACTGGTGTCAAAAGCTGACGCTTGCACAGACGGATGGAACTCGCCGCAGATGGGTTGTACAAAGAAAGGAAGATTCGTGGGTTCTGCCACTTGTCAATCGGGCAAGAGGCCGTCGCAGTCGGGATAGAGCATGCAATTACCCGAGAAGACAAGCTCATTACCGCGTACCGGTCTCACGGTAACACCTTGATGCGTGGTGCTACGATAAAATCGATTCTTGGTGAACTTCTCGGTCGGCGCGACGGTATCGCGCATGGAAAAGGCGGCTCAATGCATATGTACGCCAAGAGCTTTTTCGGTGGAAACGGCATCGTGGGCGCAAGCGTGCCTCTTGGAGCTGGTATCGCATTGGCTCAGCAGTATGACGACACGGGTAACGTCACAATCAACCTGTATGGTGATGGAGCAGCCAATCAAGGCCAAATCCACGAGGCATTCAACATGGCAAAGCTGTGGAACCTGCCTGTCATGTTTGGCTGCGAGAGTAAGCATCCCTTTTTCGACGACACCGGAGGGGTCACTAACAAGAATGCTAGACAACAAGTACGGAATGGGGACATCGGTTGATCGTGCTTCTGCCTCAACGGAATACTTCAAGCGTGGACAGTATATTCCTGGGCTTAAAGTTAATGGAATGGATGTTCTGGCGGTTCTGGCTGCTGTTAGACATGGCCGAGAGTGGATAAAGGCAGGAAATGGACCGCTAATCTATGAGTATGAAACCTACCGATACGCTGGTCACTCGATGTCAGACCCCGGAACCGCCTATCGTACCCGCGAGGAGCTACAGAAAGAGCGAACGAATGATCCCATCACAAGCCTGAAGTCGAAGCTCATAGACTGGGACATTATGACGGAGGATGAGATAAAGGCAGTTGAAAAGGAAATACGGGGGATGGTGAGTCACGAAGTCCAGGCGGCTGAGCAGATGCCTGTGCCTGATCCAAAGTGGGATATCTTGTTTGAGGATATTTACGTCCCTGGGAGTGAGCCTGCTCAGAGACGTGGAAGGACTATCGACGAAACGATTTATTAGATGCGAAGGAAACTACTACAGGCTAGCGACCAGAGAACGAATCATGTTGGACCAGGATATTGTGAACTTTGGATACCCTATTCCGAAACTCATCGTATCTACTGACAACACAACGTCACAATTACCCCTTCACGATGAACAACTGAAACCCTCGTCAAAGCGAAAAAGCTCAAACTTGATTTGTACATCAATTTCAATTGAAAGAAAAAAAGATAAAATGATAACAATGGCGTCCGCACCTCCAGCCCTGGCAACACCTTCACGGTGCACAGCCGACTTTTCTCTTATTCCAGTAAAGAACACCCCCCCCAAAAACGATTTGATCGAGTCACTAAGCAGCATACCCATCAAAGATCGGCTCTCATATGCATCGTTCTCTCAGCAGATCGCAGATATCCAGCGTCTTATTCAACAGTCAGGCCTCAAATATGTGATGCATGCCACGGGAACAACACTAGGTACGCCTTCATTTCGGGGAAAGACTTGGATGTCATAACAATCGATCGACTCTGTCCTCGCTAGGTCCCATCTCATGGCATGAAAAATACAATTTGAAAGACTCATTTTTATAAATACAAACAGAAGGGACATGGGATGAAGTCTCCCAATTGATCGGATTCGCACACACCCTCATCCATCAGGAAGGAATAGCCAGAGTCCAGACCGACATTCGCATTCAAACTAGGTATTGCCCTACTTTCGTTTCGACCCTTAGCCAGCTCCGATGCTAAAAGTCTACAGAACCGACAAGATCCAGCCAATAGAGGGGCATATTTCCTCGGTGGAAGCAATCCTGTCTGCGTCAGCCTCTTGACCGTGAATCACAATTTCGAGTTATTTCCTTCGCAGCGAGTACACCTCGTGGCTAGTGTTGTCTCAATTTTTTACTATGTCACTTGCTTAAAGCCAGCGCATAAGACTAGACCGCTATTGCTTTGATACAAGGCTACATTTAATGAAATTCAAAACTGCCCTTACGTTTTTGATAGTTCGAATAGTTCGTGGTCAGTAACCCGTGAGCTCACTCGCCAATCAATAACGAAACCGGACCGACTAATTTTTAAACAGTGGCTCTGGCATTTGATCTACATGAATTTTATATATTCTTTTTATCTCGTGCAGTAGACATCGCGCGAGCCGTGTCATTCATGCACTTCCGCGTATTGAGGCTGCTGATTGGCCACTAGCCTCTCCTCTCCACCGGGGTAAGAGTAATACATAGACAGACGCACACTAACTACAGACTAAGTAAATTAATTCCAAATCCCGAGTAGTTAGTTACCCAGGGCCGGAATTTGTAGTTTAGATGTTCCATCGAGTTGGAATGGTAGCCGAGACCTCGTATGTTCCACTTGTGTGGGCCTAGTCGATCCATTGCTTTCACCCCGCAGTCTGGTTCTCCGTCTATCAGTGTACTGAGAGGAAGATTTACCCGGGAAAAACTAGTAGGGTCTTCTTACGGTAGGTTGGTTTGAATGAAGTAGTTCGAGTTGTGCTCAATGGCAGTGCCCAATGACAGGTGTCTTTGTGGGGAGTGTAGATATTTGTCACTGGCAGCGGTCTATCCGGCCAGTTTAATTGCCCTGCGGGCCACGTAGCCTTTCTGCGCACCGGTGAATGGTGTGATTGCGTGGGTAAGTGCTCCGGCCGAATGATTGATTATCTCGGGATTTGCTGGGAGTATTAGGCAGAATAGGTCGCGCAGACGATCGAGCTAAGCTTTGCTCCTTTTTATAGTCAGTGCAACGTTCCTAGGATGATAACCGAGACTTTGTGCGATGTTTCCTTCTCAGCATCCTCACCATGAGATCTGCAAGGGTATTATTTGATGACCCGGCTTTCACGCTCGTGTAGCATCATGTTTGATCCTGGTCTTTGGTAGAGCTCACTGTACAGGGAACCGTGGAGCTTCCATCTCCATCTCCATTGTGTGCAAAGTGGAAACTCCCTCCTTGCCGACTGCCAAGCTCCACCCGGTCCAGAGCTCAAGTCCGATTCATCATCGCTACCATCGTGAACACGCAGAGCTTGGCTCTAGCGGGATCAGTACCAAACAAGACCGTCTCCACCACAGAAATTCTCGGTCGCGAGCCAAGATCACCGAACGCCCGAGGTAAATTGGGGTAAGACACGCGTGTTGAAGAACAAATTGACCCTGATTTGAGTAGGTCATCTCAAAATCTCGAAAACTGGCCCCTGCGACGTTAACCGACACGTTGGGACCCAAGGTATTCCCAGTAGTCGGGTCCGACTCATCTTAAGGCAATCCCAGCACTGTGGCCAGAGGCGTTAATTATGGATTGGCACATGCACCGTTGCTATTTTTTGTTCTAGTCCCCGTCCGATATGCCTACGCACAATAATTCACAATCCTATATTTGGGGGACCGCCGAGCGATCCGACACTACCATACACCGTACACCGTACAATCCAAGACCCATATTACTGTGACTTGTGGGACAGGACACCTGGGACTGCCGATCAAGGCAAGCGCGCTTTGAGTTTGGATCGACATTTCGTACATTACAGTACACTCGAAGTGGTCGGCGACTTGATACCCCGAACTTTCGTAGGAAATCTACTCGAGTCTGGGGGAGATTGACGCAAAGTCACACTTGGGCGGAGGCTTGCAGGGCATACATAGGCCTTACAGGGCGACCCGGATCGCCGGAGCATTCTGTGTGCTCAGCGCTGCATGTACCAGATCCCGGTCATAGAACTGGAACCCCCCTCCTCCCCCTCCGTTGAATTATATCGACCCGAGCTTGAGTTGCGGCCCCCTCCGCCCCCCAGCCACCGGCCTAGCGTGAGAACTAGCAAGTGTCAATATTGGATTGACCACTGTAAGGATTGACTTTCCAAGCCGTGTGCCCACCTGGGTAAAGGAAATGAACTAGAGGAGCCTATCCAAGCACACCAATCAGGATGGGCAGTGGGGAGGGAGGAAAAGGCCAGACTTCCAGATTCCTGATTCTCACACGGCGAATTCTGACAGATCAACCTCGAACACCGCTAAAGCTCAATCTAGCAGGAGCCTAGTAGTTAGGCCCATGCCCGAGGACGAGCAGTTTCCCATGCAGAGGTTAGGCAACTAGACTCGATGAGTGACGGGCTGGTACTTCAGTCCCGCGGACCAGAACCCAGGGACCATGCGACTTGTGGCGGAACTCGGGGCCAAGCCCCGAGTCCTGTCATGTATGATCCTAGTACATTTTCACCCATGTACCCTGTTTTTCTATTTTCTAATTTTTATTATTTGATTATTTGATTTTTTGTTATTTGTTATTTGATTTTTGCTTTCTGAGTTTGCTGACAGCCCCACATTTGTGCCTTCTCACCCAAAACTTCGGGTCCGATGATTCCCATTCAGTGGTCGATCCGAGGATGTGGTCATTTCGAAGTTCAACTCGATCAAGTCTAGTAGACGAACCATGTGATTGTGTATTTTCTCCGATTGTACCTCCGTAATTTTACCGTCCGTGCTTCCGAACGCTTCACCCTTAAGAACAGGAGGAACATGAAAAGAAAAGGAAAAAAAAAAAGAAGAAGAAGAAGAGGAAGCGGAAATTCCGACAGCCCCTGCAGAGCTCTGCACAGGTGAGCGTAGAAAAGGGTTCAGGACAAAGGATTAAAAAAGCGGCCCGTGGCTTGGTGGGTTGTCAATTCCCAGCAGTATGGAACATCCATCGATTGGGCCAAAGATTTGCGAAATGCGAAATGCGTAGGACGCGAACCCCCGTTGCGCAGGGTCCACCCCGAGGAACATGGGACTCCTGACTCCAAGGGACTTCGGAGCCGCCGATTCCCAGTAGCCTGGGTTTCGGTTTAGCTACCGGGAGAAAGGGTGGGATTTCAAGTTCCCGATCATCTTGCGCTCGAGCCTCACAAAACAGGGAAAGGATTGGATGTGCGGGTTTGATTTGCCTGTCGCGTATTTCAGCTTCCGCCCCAAATCGTGAATCTTACCCTCTGTGATCGAAACCTGTCATTTTTCTTTTCTTTTCTTTTCTTTTTTTGCGATCTCTGGTTTCATGCAGAACAAAGGGATCTTGGATAGAGACCGGACGCATCCCTGTTAATCCTCCTCCTAGCCCTAGATTCTTCCCCCCCAAGGCCAAGGTCTCCCTGGGATTTCATGGTTATCCGCTGCCCGAGGCGTCTTTTTTCTGTCCCCGCCAAAACCCATACCCCCTCTGACGTCCATGACCACTAGAGAGACCGCTATTGTCTGGCTCAACTTTGTACCCCATGCACTGATCCCCACTTACACACCCCCTCTGCGGGTCTTGCTTTCTACGACACTTGGTCGATCCCATCCCGGCTCTGGATTGATTTATAGTTGTCCGGATCGTCTTCCCGCCCTGCCAAATTATAACCTAACCCAAGCTGTCGGGCTCTCCACAAGGCACTGACAAATAACTTTCACCTCAATTTTTTCTTCAATCTGGGATCTTCATCCCTTCATCCCCTCGCTATTTTCTGTTTTCTGTTCCAGTGTGGTGGGACATGGGAAGATCGCCCATTTTGCTGGCATACGCACGACTTAGCTCCCCGCCAACGTGCACTATACTGGGGCTGCGATTCCGGATGATTGGGAAGCCAGATATTTACCCCCATCTGCACAGAGTAACCCACAATAACTCTCTGTTCTATTTGCTTTAACTACTTTCGTTCTGGTTGGGAGCTTGCCGACAACCCTGTCCAACCATCATTAGGATTGGTTTGCCTATCCTATCAGACTCGGTCCACCACACTGACCCAAAGCAAGCACCATGGGTCCCAAATCTTCTGTACGTCTCTGTCCGGTACCTTTCAAATCCCGTTTCCCTGCCCCTGAAATTGATTTTCTTCCACTCTCACTAGAGCCTGGAGATTGCTCATCACCACCTACCATATGACCATTGTAGCCGGTGCTAACGTCTATGATGCAGGAACCAAGGAGTGAATGGTACGATCCTCTGCACATGCATATTCTTGCCTATATCTGTCCCATCATCCAATAGACTCGTGCTAACGGAGTCGTGACAGTGATACGCAGTCTCTGACTGACAGTGTAACGGACTATCCTATAGAAAATGGAAGACGGTATCACAGGTACCATGAAGGAGGTATGTTGCCATGCATTTCCCGCATCTCGTGTCTCATTAAAATTTTATCTGACCTCTTTGCCAGCCTACCCATATCCAAATGACGAGCAAGAGCTCGATCGTCTTGACATGCAACACCACATGTTCAAGATGTGTATGAAACAGAAGCTGTATAATGTTCCTCTCAATGACCCAAAACAAATACTCGACATCGGCACTGGTTCTGGTATATGGCCTATTGAAATGGGTATGTTTGCGTGTTCCAAGTTGTGCGGATTCAGCACTCAAACTCGGAACCTCTTAACTAATTGTCGTCGATTTACAGCACCCCTCTTTCCCAACGCTGCCATTATTGGAACAGACCTCTCTCCAGTCCAGCCGACAGAGGTCCCCGAGAACGTTCATTTTCTGGTGGACGACGCCACAGAAGAGGAATGGCTCTGGGACGACAACCATTTTGATTTCGTCCATATCGGCAACATGACCGGCGCCATGCCCTCTTTTAAACGGTTACTACGACAAACCTTTAAACACCTCAAACCAGGTGCATACATTGAATGCCACGAACTAGATCCCAAACCACAATGCGACGACGACACCATGCCCCCGGAAAATCCAGACGGGTACAGCAAATTCGCTTTGCACGACTGGTACGATCTAAACATGCGTTCAAGCCAGGAAATGGAGCCTTTAAGGTATTTCCGCATCGCTCCAAAGATAGAGCGGTGGATGAAGGAGGTTGGCTTCATGGATGTCGAGCAGAAAATTTTCAAAGTTCCGACAAACACCTGGCCCACAGACGAGCGACTGAAACTCATTGGGAAGTGGAGTGAAAGTAATTGGCTAGAAGCCCTATCCGGCTGGTCATATAAGCCGTTCCTTGCTCTGGGCTGGTCGAAGGCCGAGATTGAAGTCTTCCTCGTCGATGTGAGGAAGGCTATCCAGGACAAGAGTATCCATGCATATATGGATTTTTACGTGGTGACAGGAAGGAAGCCTCAACCCGGGGAAGAAGCCTCTTGATACTACTTCGAGGAGGGGCCTTCTTGCCCTATTCTCCTTTGACGACTCTCTTTACGATCCACTATACACGTTTCGATCATATCCTAATTGGCATGATTAGCATGAGATATCATTGCCATGAGAGGAGAATTCGCATGGCATTGCATTGGAGTACGGTTGCATCTTGTTTTTTTTTTGTTCTTGATTTCTGGTCCCATCTTGGGTTCAACCTAAGTTGGCTCCTGAGTGACCCAAAATAGGCACTGTTGTGATATAGACCGGACGCTTGACGATTTGATCAAGGCCATGAAGACTGGCTAGAAGTAGTACATAGTTCCCAAGCATCATAATCATTCAAAAAAGATCCAAGTACATCTACTTCGTTCCTGCCGTAATTCCAGTTCGCAGATTGGCTGGCCAACGGGATTAGTCATTCAACGCCAAGACTCCGCGCCGAAGCTGCTACAGAAAGACGTCGCTCGTTCATCACGACTGAATCCGGCAATTGGCTCACATGCGCCATCTTTAAATTCATGTCTTTCGGTAGGCGTGCCTACCGGCATGCTTTGAAGCCATCTGCTTCATCTACGTCCGACCATCTGTGGATCAGTGACGACCTGCTCGCAACCACCTTCCGGCATTTCGCGAATGGACAGCGCCGCCATGGAAGCTGTGTGCCTGGCCCTTTGGAGGCGCGGAGGCGTCTTGCGAAGCGAAGGAATACCGCTTTAGCCGGTATTGCAGGAGTCGAGGATATCGCGTGCCTGTTTGGTCGCAATGGCAGGGAGCATATGAAGTGGACGGACCACCCGTGGCAGAGAGCGCAACCCGAAACCCAGGGTGAGTGCGAAAGTGACGCAAATAGCGTGGCCGATAAGTTAACTATCCCTAAAGAGCTTCGCAGTTATGCAATCGCCTCGCACGGGGCTCCTTTACCCTTCTACGATCACAATCCCGAACCTATTGATTCGCATATCTTCGACGACCCGTGTACAACCCCAGACGCAAAATCGATAACGAAGGATGAGAGGTGGATAGAATTCCTCGACAAGAATGACTGGGGCATGGAAGATGCCCGAGATTTCGCTCGGTATTTGAATATCGACCTTCAACGGGAACCTAAATACAGCCAGCAAATCTTCGACAAGCTCCTCACGCGGTCAACAATGGACTTGACACAAGCCATCCAATTTCTCGATGACCCATTTTTAAATACTCGAGGATCCGGGAACTACCTTGCCGCCGTGGAATTATTCGCCCAAAAGAAATCAAAACGATCTAACCGTACTGCCGTGCTCAATGCAGTTACTCGCGCGCTAGAACTAGGCTTGGTTCCCACGGAAGAGTTATGCTTAATCGTTAAGGCTCTTCCGAACATCATTGTCGAACGAAACAAGACTCTTGGGTCATGGGACCAGAAAGCGTTGCTGAAGCACTACCGGGCTATGTGGAAAGCCATTGGACGTTGTAACATCCTTGGCTACCATGACCTTGAAAAGACAGTTACGGATACATGGTTGCAGCAGCTTTTGGATATACGGGGCTTCCGTTTCGCGGAAGAAATCATCATCGCGACACATGGCGCCAGCTCGGATGACTACTGGCCCTCGGCCATGGTCATGACGTGGTTGAAAGCCGTGGATAGCCCGAACACGACAATGCTTCTTCCTTCGCCCGAACGAGTTCTGAGCCAGCTTGATGCTGACTGTGCGGCCAAGTGCGTCATCAACGTGACCCAGCTCTTGACTCTTGCCGTGCGGGAAGACAAGACCCGAAACCAACAGCTTGAGCGATGGCGCGAATGTTTAACAAGTCTGTCAAGTGTTGAGGCCATTACAAGCTCGCAGGTTTGGTTGGATCTGCCTCTTGCCTACACTGAGACACCCCTGCAGGCCCACATCGCCTCCGATTTGGCCTTACCGATTCAACATCAGATCGTTTTACGTTTGTGGGCGCTACGAAGTTTGAGTCGAGCACTGGCTCCTATGTATAATCAAGATGCCAGGTCGACGGACCGACCTATTTACTTATTGTTTGGCCTCTTTGAGTTGACTGTGCGAAACACAGAAGGATCCTTCCTCGCAGACCTCCTGCGTGGGATCCAAAGCCTCGACATCCCACACAACAATCTTCTCCAGCTGGCAGTCGATCTCAAGCTGAGAAAGCAGACCAAAAAAACCACCCGCAGAACCCTCGAGCGACTGGAAACCTCCCAGACTACCCTGTCAGAAGTCTGGACAAAACCGGCCGAATACAATGGAGTCCGAGCCCTTTTCTATGGTACATTTGACCTAATGCTCCGCCGTATGGATCTCACCAACCCAGTCATGATGGAAGAGTGCCTCCGCCTCGCCAGAGAGGGAGACTCAAAGAGCGTTTGGTCAATCCTCAGACTACTCGACAACCACACCCCGTTCAAGATCTGCCTAAACAAAGCCTGGGTCCCCATTCCCCACCCCGACCAAATGGCCATCGTGCGTTACCACCCTGGCTTAAGAGACAGCCAGTGCCCAGATCCTTACCTCGCGGTCGACATGATCCACCAACTTGCCGTTGCACTATCCTGCTCGACGCAGCTGAATCCCTCCCGATCATTCCACCTGATCCACTGGCTCTACGACTATCTGCGTAAACACGGCGGTCCTGTGTACCCGTCTCTGGTGCGTGCTATGTACCATGCCGGCGTTGTGCGTTTCCGTCGTGAGGGACTTCGTGTTTCGGCTACGCGATATGAGTACATTCTCTGGATCATGGAAAAGTTCGAGGGGCGTGCCGTTGTGAAGGAGTTGACCTCGGGGCCTCAGATTGGGCGGTCCTACCATGGCCAGCCGTGAACAACCGTTCTCGGATCAAGTTATGGCATGAAGGTGAAGACACTCGAGCAATCTCGGAAACTGGAAATCATTTGTACATACTCAGTAGCATAGAGATACCCACACTGGCCCCTCGAGGCAGTGCATGTCCACAGCCTGATCAAAGATATAATCTATATATTCCTGAACAAACGGTCATGCCGAGTCTTTCTAAGTGTACTTTGAAGCGGCATTGGAATGATACATTAGAGAAGAGCCTAAATTTGTCTAAAAAAAGACGTTTAGAGAAATTTCTGGGAAGAGGATGAGGAGGACTAATATTAAGTCGACTCTTTAACAAACACTAGCCTGCGCCACCGAACCAGAAATCCATCTTAAGCATCAACTTCCATCTTCTCACCAGCCGCAAGATTGTCATCCCCAGACAAAGTCTGGATGGTAACAAATTTCTTCATATCGTCCTTGCTGATGATCTTCTGGTTCAGCCAAGCGGTAGTACCGCGAGGGAATCTGTAGTTGCGCTCCTTCTGACCACGCTCGTTGGGCTTCTCGTAATTGCGGAGCATCTGAGTGGGCTTGTCTTTCTCAATGATACACACGTCAACATTGCTACCGGATCCCAAATCGTTGAAGATACCGGCCTTGATCGCCTCGGCGCAGAGCTTAATAGCACCCTCCTTGTCAAGGTCTGGCTGCCACATCGACTCGAACACAGACATAGCTGCCAGAGAGCCGGATCCCATTGTCACGTAAGGCAGCTTATCCGTCGAACCGTGCGCGTGAACGGTGTACAGGCCAACTCCGGTCGGATCGACGCCTGCAACCACCAGGTAGGCACCGATGTGACCCTGGTAGCGGAAGAGGTGCTGCTTCAGCATAGTCATACAGGTGATCACTCGCGGGTCGCGGCCTGTAGATAGCGAGTGCAGCTCGACATTGGAACTGATGAGGGCGGTAGTGAACTCTGTGTCTGCGGCGGTACCGGCACCGGCACACCAGATCTTGGGGGCAATGTAGTGTAGTTTCTCGCAGTTCTATCACGGGTACCAGTCAGTCTCTGGTAGTCTTGTGGAAGGTGGTCCGCGATCTATTCGATCATACCTTGTCTGCTACTATAGGGCCGCTGGTAGCTCTGGTATCTGCTGCAATCTGCGATCACGGTCTAGTCAGCTTCCTTGCCGCGCGGTGATTTCGGGCTTTCTGCATCAATGGCAACATACCACAACTCCATTATCGTAAATACATCCGACAATTGTTGTACCGGTGCTGGTGGCTTTGGGAAGGGGAACCCCTTTGGCGTGAAGAGCCGCGTTGCGGTTGTAGTTAGAGAAGTCGAAGCCCGGCATTGTGACGATGCGGGGGATGTGTACACGACCGACGTGAGAAGGGAGATCCGACCGGGTTGATAAGTAGAACCAAAGCAAATGATGGACGTGGAGAGAGGGAGTTGAGGTGGGTGAGATGGGGAAGAAAGGCAAGCTGGAAGCCGAGCTGTGTTAGGAAGTGACGAAGCTCCCGCAGCCTAAAATGGCCTGAGCCGTCAGGCATCACGCGGTGTTTTTGTCTTGCGAACATTTTCGGGTATTCACCTTCACTTTCTCAACGTCAAAGGTTCTGCCTGGGATTACTCTCTTCGCACCTCCCTCTCCTCTGTACGCGGAGAGATATATCCATCATTTTTGCGCGTACCCTCCACCTCTTCAACCGGAGTCCGCAAGCACTCCAACGTCGCTCTTTCTCTTCAACACCTCCGAGCTCTCCATCACTCAATGCTTCGAGGACCGGCTCACCTCTAAGCGCTCAATCTCGTTCCGTTTCCGCAGATTTTGACCGCTTCAAGATGGCCTTTAACAGCTTTGGAGCGTCCAATCTCGCGGGTGGGAGTGCGCCAGCGGAGCTGGGCCCGGAGCTCTCTGAGGTCTACACTGATGTACGTCGCCCCGCCACAGCTTCTGTGAGCTTGTAGAGCTCTTGTCACTAACATTTTTATAGAAAGTTGGCTTCAAGGGCCTCAGCGGCGATGCCAACATCCGGCTACTTCCCACGCCATGGCCTAGCGATGCGCTTCCTTCCCCAACCTCTTCCCTCCTGGCTGTCGCGCAGACCAGATGTGTCATTGTTGGCGCTGGTCCCGACTGCCTTGTAGTCGCAAACACCGATTCAGCCCGACAGTCCATTGAGGCACCTGCTGGCAAAGACAAAGTGAAGACGAAGCCTTTCGAACCGCAAGCAAAGATTCCTCTCCCTGCGCGCCCTACACATGTGGCATTCACCGCCAGCGACGACGCGTTGATCCTAGCCACCGAGAATGGTTCTCAAATCTCGGTTTTTCAAACAACAGACCTCATCACCGGAAATGCGCAACCCGCCATATCGATCCCAACAAATGGCGCCTCTCTCCGCGCCCTGGTGCCTAACCCGGATCACAACTCTACCTTTGTTGCCATGGTCACTGTCAATGGTGAACTTTTGATTGCTGATCTGAAGTCGGGTTCATTGGTGAACGGGCCCAACGGACCTATTTTGAAGAATAGTGTCAGCTGCGTTGCATGGAGTACGAAGGGAAAGCAGGTCATTGCTGGACTGGCTGATGGAACAGCAGCCCAGATGACACCGGATGGTACACAAAAGGATCAAGTTCCCCGGCCCTCTGATCTGGAGGGTGATTGTCATAGTGAGTCATTTTTTATCACTGTCTTCCCAATAGGCGATTGTGCTAACAATCACAGTCTCATCTGTCGCATGGCTTGAGAACGACCTCTTTTTTATGGCCTACACCCCTAATTCCGCAGAAGAGGATATGTCTTCCTACTATATTCTCACAAGACGCAAGCAGGCGCCCTTTTTGATCCAGAAGTTGCCCGAAGTTTGCCCTACGATGGGATTCCAGATGAGATACACGGCGGCGTATCAATTTGTTGTACGGCTTCGAGATTACAAGCCCCATTTGAAGGATGCCTTGATTCTCTCATCAACAAGGTCTCCTGATCTCAGTATCATCGTTCGCTCCGAGCAATCGCTGGCGAGTGATGACCCTTCCCTGGCGAATCAGTTCGCCGTTGTCGATTTCAGCGACGACACAAAACGAGCATCAGTTCCACTGTTGGACGACGGCGGTGAAACCTCTGTTATCGGCTTTGTTCCTGATCTGTCGTCCAGCACAAACGTCATCATGCCCATTCAAGGTGCAGACATCAACGAGAGCTCTACTCCTTTGCCAGGCATATTCCTCCTCAATAATGAAGGCATTCTGTCAGCCTGGTGGTTTATTTATAACGACGCAATCCACCAGCAGGTTGCCTACTCTGGCCTCGCCGCCACTGGTTCAGGACCGGAGGCGTCTTCCCTGGCCCAGCAGTCTACCCCTCCCCCTCCTACTCCTGCGCAAAAACAGCCCGATTTTGGTCAGTCATCCTTCGGCGCTCCGTCATTCGGTGCATCTGGTTTCGGCAAGCAATCTGGGGCTCTGGCTTTCGGCAGCCCTTCTAGCATGGGAGGCTCAACCATGGGTGCCACAGCGTTTGGAAAGCCATCTGGCCCTTCCTTTGGAAGCCCCTCTCCTATGGGTGGTGGCTCTGCTCCGGCATTCGGGCAGCCATCAACCCCAGGGCCGGCGTTTGGTGCTCCCTCTCAACCGGCACCAGCCTTCGGAACCGCGAGCACGCCTGGACAGCCCGCATTCGGTAAACCGGGCTTTAGTGCAGCGGCCTCTCCGTTCGGTACACCGGGAAAGAGCCTACTAGGGACAGGTACCGGTTCCTCTGGCGGCGGTTTCAGCTCATTCTCAGGCGGAGGCGGAGGCGGTTTCGGTAGCTTTGCGTCCAACAAGCCTAGCGAATCGCCCTTCTCAAAGCCTTCGACTGGTGACAGTGCTTTTTCGAAACCCGCGGCAGCTTCGCCCTTCGGAGCCCCTTCTCAGACTGATTCAACCTTTACTCCCAAGCCTGCCGAGGTTAAGAATCCCTTTGGTGCTAATTCCGGGTCAAGCGGCTTTGTTCTTGGGTCTTCCTTCAAGAGTGATGGTACGGCTGTCAATGATGGACCCAAGCCTGATAAGCCGTCCTCGGGTGCCTTCTCCTTTGGCAACGCGCTTGATGACATGGTCTCGTCGTCTAATAAGGCGAGTCCTCAAGCAGAGTCTATGGATGACGCAGAGGACACCGGTACGCCCGAGCAGCCCAAACAGGAGGAGCCGCCTAAGTCGTTGTTTGGCGCGCCCAGTAAAACGTCGCAGCCGGCGAAGACAGAGACTACTTCGATGTTTGGTGCCCCAAGCCAGATAGAACAACAACCAGCTAAGACAGAGCCCAAGTCACTGTTTGGCGCGCCCAGCAAGTTGGAGCAGCCGGTGAAGACCGAGCCAAAGTCACTTTTTGGTGCCCCTAGCAAACCAAATCAGCCCGCTAAAACTGAGCCAACTTCATTATTTGGGGCGCCCAGCAAACCGGCCACTCCTCCGACCTCTCTCTTCGGTCAATCTTCACCCGCTGCCCGATCTAATCCCTTCGGACAGCAAAATGAGACAAGTCTCCCCTTTGGTGAGAAGAAGCAGACCGAGACGAGGCAATCCAGCTTCTCGATGTTCGGCAACAACACAACCACCACTAGCCAAACTTCCTCTCAAAACCAGGTCACCAGCCCTCTGTCTGCGCCGTCAGACAAGACTGAGACTCCAAAGAGAGGAGAGAGAGAAGAGTCTGTCACAACGCCGACAGTTTCTTCCTTCGAAGCCCCATTGCCACCCGATTCTACTAGTAGGGATCCTTATGCTGCTGGTGATACCTCAGCTTCATCCAACGTGTCTAAGAGCTCCGTGGACGACGCACCCCTTCCCCCTGACTTCATATCTAAGAAGTCTTCGCCCGAAGAGAGCGATTCTCCACTCCCTCCTGACTTCCTGGCACAAAAGAAGACCATTTCCAAGATGGACGACGCTCCTCTACCTCCGGACTTTGTGACCAAGCCCAAGAAAGAGGAAAGCCCGCCTCCAGTCCCCGAAGAGGCACCCCTCCCTCCGGATTTCACTGCCACAAAGATTAAGTCTGAACCCGAGAGTGAAGATGAGGACGAGGCTGTTCCAGTCCCAGACGGCTCAGATGCGGATTCTGAGGAAGAAGCAGATGAGTCTGATTTCTCTGACAGCGGTGAAGAAATTACTCATGATGAGACCAATGAAGTCAAGATCCCGAGCCCGAAGCCTTCCGCTGGAAGTTCATTCGGCGGGTTCTCCGACAAGAGCACTACCGGAGGACTCTTCAGTAGGATCCCCGAAGCTGCACCCAAGCAGGATCAACCTCCACGACAGCTGTTCGGTGAAATTCCCAAGCAGCCACTTCTCCCTCCCCCTGGACCTTCTGCACGAACTGGTCGTGAACCCTTCCGTTCCCCCAGCCCTACTCGTGTCAACTCCCAGAAGAATGTTTTATTCTCCAAGAACCAGAGCCGGCCTGAAGCAGGAAGTGCTTTGACCTCGCGCAAGGCTTCCTTGACCCAGATGGCTCAGCGTGGAGGACAGCTGCGAAAGCCTAGTGATACTGCTCGCCAGGCGCATGCTCGCGCTCAGGCTCTCGCGCAGCGACAGGAAGAGGAAGAGGCTCTTTCCCTGTCGGATGACGACGAGGATGAGAGACTTCGTGCTGACCTTGCTCGTCCTGTTGAGCCTGTGTCCACTCTTGACCCATTCTTGCCCCACCAGGACTACATGGGCGAGACAGCCAAGCCTGGCATTGCTGGTATGATTGAGCGTCTCTACCGGGATATCAACTCCATGGTTGATACATTGGGTATCAATGCTCGGTCATTGGAATCCTTCCTCCTTTACCAGCAATCTGCTGAGACCTCCGACGCGGATGACTGGGTGGATACGCTGAAAGGCGATCAGCCTGCCGATATTCTGGACGAAAAGGTCTGCTTGGAAGATATTGACAAATTGGACTACATCATCATCTGTCTCAATCAATCTCTCGACGAACAGCGTGTACAGGGAGTGGAGGAGAAGCTGGAGCAATGTCGCGACATGCTTACCAAGGACATTGTCACACTGCGTGGTCAATGTGCCAGCATTCGCAAAACGCTTGACGCACACACTGATACCGGCTCCATCCTGACAGCACCTCTGTCTGCCGAGCAGGCCGCCCTCCAGCACGACTTGCGAACTGCATTCACGCAAATCCAAGCTAGGATGGCCGATCTCGAGCAGGGAGTCTCCCTCCTGCGAGCCAAGATTGCCGACATCCCTCGCCCTGACGGCTCAGGCAGCGGCCGCAAGCGTCCTACTGTTGAAGCCGTGTCCTCAACCATTGCCACAATGATGAGCATGGCCGAGGGCAAGAGTAGTGACATTGATGTCCTCGAAGCTCAAATGCGGAAGCTCGGTATCGACCTCAACTCCTCTTCCGCCTCTGCCAGCCGTGAAGGGTCTCCCTTCGCGACACCACGGAAGAACAACGGTCTGATTCCTGCCACCCCTGGCTCGCGCGGCTCCATTGATGGTAGTGCATACCACACACCCGAGTCTGCATCCCGCGGAGTCAACTTCCGAGCCAGTGTCAATGGATCCGCGAAGCACAGCCGCCTGCGCAGCGTGGAGCTCGTCGGGTCAATCAGTGTTCAAGAAGACATTGCTCAATGGAAGAAAAAATCTGCTCATCGGAAGCAACTAGTCGCGAGCCTGAAGGGTGCGATCGAAAAGAAACAAAACAAGGTTCGCAGCGTGGACTGGTAGATTGGAGATATCTTTCTTTGCTTTTTTCTACTTTGAACGTGGGGGGATTTGGAACACAATGGGATTCGGACATTTTTATCTGCCCGGGCGTTGAATAATCGAATTTAAACTGACGAGAGCTGAAGGAGATCTTCCTATTTGGAGACTGTACATAGTTTGACTGTATTCTCTGGTTATCCGATTTGAATGAAGACCGGACTCTGACATCATTTGCACGACACGACATCAGCTTAATCTCCATTTCGCATATTCTGTAAAAATCCTCATCCTAAAGTCAACCCAACCATGTCGCAAATCGTTAGTGAATTCGTCTACTTCAAGGTGAAGCGCAGCGTGAGGCCCGAGGATCACAATAGCGAAGAGGGCCGAGCACTTCGTCAAGTTTTCGACGTCACTAAACACCAGAGCGGCCACTCGAGCTCCGCATGGGGCCGCACTGTTGAGGATCCAGACATACTTGTCTGGGTCATTGGTAAGCCATGCTATACCATTATGTAGACTACAAAGCTAACAAACCAGACTGGACTGACGCGCGCGGGGCAACAACAGCTGGGAAGCTAGAGCCATTCCTAGCTCCAAATCCACAGCCACCATTGGCGCTCTATACCATACTGCAACCTGCCATCACTGGCACAGATACTCTCACTGCCAACCCGATGACAGAGCTAGCGGCACTCCCATTCCCTAGCAACATGACCGTGGCCGAGACCAAGGCGTTGAACACAGATATGCTCAACTTCCGCACAGCCATGACTGAAGGAATAGCACAAGAGATAGCGCCGCAATCATGGGCCATGGGCCATGTTGACCGACCTGGGACGATAGAACACAAGGAAAGTCCAACTGGACAGGCAGTGATCAGGCTCTTGGTCATTGGGTGGACGAGCTTGCAGGCGCACAAAGATGCGAGAGAGACGGACCAATTCGTAAGAACTATTCAGCCTCTTCAGCAGAGGATGTTGCCGCCCGTTCCTGGATTGGAGATGAAGCATGTTAGTTTCCAAAAGATTTGAGGTGTGCTGGGGTGGTTATATTGTGGTGCTTCATGCAATTGATGATTGTTGTGAACTGGAAAAAATTGGGAGTGGTGTCTGTGGAATGGGAGAGATCAAGGCTACTTGGGTTGGGGGTGGGGCACGGGGTTAATGAAATTGTGGGATTGGTTATTAGGAGGCCAGGGCTCAATCACACGCCTTGAATAAGATACAGCAAGAAAGAAAATGAGACCGTGAAAATCAAAGAACAAGGAGAACAAAATCATCGTAAACCACCGTAGACTTTTGGGGAAAGACCCCCGCTGGGGCTCCCGAGAAAAGAATGGCGTCAAATTTATACGCGGTGCTTTTCGCTCTCTGTACGTGGGTTAGCAGGGGATTCGGAATGGATTTGATAGTATAGACTGACCAAGTCGTGAGTACAGCATGTACAGAGCCATCTGGTTGCACTCCTGGGTACCAGTGATGGTCACCAGACGTTCGTTGCTGTTTTCCTGGGGCTCGTTGATCTTAATAACACTGCCGCTCAGGTGTCGGATCTCATTGATCTTAGCACCGCCTTTGCCGATTATGGCACCGACCATATCGTTGGGGATGTAAATCTGCTGGGTCAGTGGCTGACCAGGTATGGCGCCACCCGCAGCGGGGGCAGTAGGGGGACCGCCACGGGCAGGAGTAGGCTGGGGACCAGGACCAGGGCCATAGGGGCCGGCCTGGTGAGGAGCAGGGGCGGCATAGGGGGTGTGCGGTGCAGCGTAGGGCATAGGGGGCTGATTGACGGGGCCGGGAGTAGGACCGCCAATGTAGGGAACACCGTAGGGACCGGCTTGAGCGCGGTTGGGGTGAGGACCACGCTTCGTGAAGCTCTCTGGGTGTCCGTACTGGCCACCAGCGGGCTGGGGAACATAGGGCACAACCTGCATACCACCGGGAACAGCGCCAGCAGGGCCACCGCTGCGAGTGGCATATGCGGACGCCGCAGGGCCGCCAAACCGCTCGGTCAGTTGCTCACCCAGGGTAACTGCAACGTAGTAAGTCGCAATGTGGACCGCATCGGCGACACCCAGGATGACGAGGGATCGCTCCGTCGACAGCGGGAGGCAGGCGTCCGAGGCATTGAGACGAGCGCCGGAAGCCTCTTGAATCTCGCGGATGCGGCTACCGCCCTTGCCGATAATGGAACCAATGAGAATGTGGGGGATTAGCAAACGCAGAGGGTACGTCTTGGACTGGGCAGTGGAAGCGGCCTCGAGGGGTTCGTTGTTCAGGGTACGGATGATGAGGCCAAATGCTTTAGCCACCGCGTCCTGGGGGCCGCTCACGGTCAGAATCCGCTCAACGGCTCCCCGGGCGTAGTCGCTAACAGTACACTTGGCGCCAGATGCGCGGCGGATCTGGGAAACGTTCTCACCTCCCTTTCCGATCACAGTAGCAGCCTCGGGGCTGGAGATCACGGCTCGGATGTGAATCCAGCTGGACTCGTCCTGCGGCGCGTGCGAATCGGACTGCGATCCTGCGCGGTCACCGTGGGAAGCAGTCGACTGGATGGGCTGGGTCTCATCGTGGGCCTTGCCGTTGGGCGCATCGGTGACGACGGTGTCGCCCTGGGTGTCCTTAGTGTCCTCCACGGAGGGGATCTGGTTGTTCACGTCGGTCTCGGCCTCAGCCTCGGCATCGTTCTTCACTACTTTGTCGAGAGCCGGGCGCTTGGCATCGGGTTGGTCGTTGGGGGCCGAGGGCGAGGAGGGGTCCTCGAGAGGGCGCTTGGCCGTTTGGGTGTTGGATGGAGAAGCCGACATGGTTGCTGTATGCTGTTCTGCCTTCACTTACGTGAAAAGGTCGGATAGTCAAGAACGAAATTTGCTTTCTTTCTTATGGATCGTCTATGTACACCAGAGGTTCCCACGAAAACGTGCTGGTGCTTGGCGATCGGGAGAGGGAATCTGGTGCTTGGAAAGGCTGAAGGATGGAGAAAGTGCCGACGAAATGTGCAGATCAGGGTGAATGATAGATTACTCCTCGAAGAAAAGCAAGGGAAACCTGGGGAAATTGTCGGGGACGTCGCGGGAAGGGTGAAGGGAGATGAAGTGTCGGTGAATTGCGACGGGTAAGGAGAGGGTCGAAACTAGGAAACCAGGCAAGAGGGAACCGGAACCAGTGCTATCTCCAAGCTGCAGGAGATAACTCGCAATGGGGAGAAGACCTCACAAAAGGAAACGCTGGGATGGAGAAGGGGGAAGGGAAGTTGCAGTAAGCAGGCGGTCGAAAGTGAGGTCGAGGTTGATGTGATGGGGAAGTTGCGAGCGCTAAACCAAGTCGGGCGCATCACGTGCTATCAACGCGACGCGAGTGTTTGGGAGGGTTTCGCATTCATTTGCGACTCATTATATCTGAGACCTCTGCGTGTTGGTAAGGTATAGCTGTAAAGATGGAAGTCTCTGAGGATACCGTGCAGAGGATTCAGGAATTCGTTCAGAACCGCCAAGCAGCGGAGAAGGAGTCCGCCAGAGAGCCGCTTAGAGCAACCAACCTACAAGCCTATGCACACCGGCTCGATGAAACCCTGCGTGAGCTACAAGAGCAGGTTCAACGCCAAGAAGATGAATTGAACAAGGTACGCTATCTGACCAACGCAATCAGGTGGATCTGAACTTCATGACTAACATACATTCAAAGCTCCGGGAGATTGGCTCTCATGGCCTGTTGGATATTTCAAACGATCCCTGGGTCCGAGTGGCGCAAGCGCGACGCGCGAAAAAGGCATACGACTCACTGCTACAATCAGAAGATGAGCTTCCACCTACAGGTTCAATCCTGCCTTCGCTCCTTGCAGTTGCGGATACCTCTCAGCTCATTAAGGAGAGTAAGGTATCTGTGACTGTCACCGCAGAGAAGCTATCAACAGATCGTGAGCGCCTCCGAGTTGAAGAGGCAAATTTACGGGACTCGCGCGCAATCGCAAGCGGCCTCCGGGAACGCATTCAGCAGATACGCAGCACCAATGCGCGCAAGCAAAAGCAGACGCCGTCCCAAGTAGCCCAAGACGTGGCCAAAGAGCAGAAAAAGAAGAACAAGGAACTGGACCGTGCTTCTGCAGCTCTGAAAGTTTCCCTTGACAGCTTCATCGATGAAACGCTGGCTCCGATGCTTGCTGCTGAGGATCTTGGTGGTCCAACTGTTGGTGATGCCCTAGAGGTATCTGACGCCACGTTGAAGGCGGGCTACACAGCTCATGGAAACCCGAAGAAACCAAAGCAGCCAGCCGAGCCCGAGAATGGCGCGCAGCAACGGATTGATCAGTTTTTGCAGCGCAATAATGACAGCTTGAACCTGACAAATAAGCGAGAAGCTGCTGCAACCGAGGTGCACGAGCTACTGGATGCACTGCTGGAGGCTGGAAACTCCTACGTGGATCTGAAGCGCGACTCGGCAGCTTCAAGGTTCCTTGTCAGGTCCAAAGTTGCCCAGTTCCACCCGCGAGACGCACGCCGATTACGGCTGATTGACTTTGGTCGCTCGTTGGGTAACTAGAAAATAATGTGATATGATATGATGCATCGGGACAGAAAATGGTATAATGTTTCCTAAAATCCTAATTCACTAATAAATCAATGCCATGAACTGTATAACAACGGTCCGAAACAGCCCTGGGGAATAGTAGAACGCCTAGAGATGCTTGCTTCATGTGCACAACGAACGCCCAAACAAGATCAAAAAATCGAATAACAGAAGGCAAAGTCAAATGGGCATCATTCCAATCGTGGATCCGGGGGTCTTCGCTTTGACGGTCTTCTTTGGCGCGGCGGACCGATTCGGGGCACGGTCGCCAGCCTTGGATTTTGCTCTGGAGCCCTTGGCTTTCCAGGTACCACCGCTAGAAGCACCTTTCTTGCCCCGTGGACGTTTGGTGTATGGGCGCTTCGAGCGTCCCTTGGAGCCGGAAGCAGTTGCGCCCGACTCCATGTCGTCACCAGGGCCAAAGCCGGGCGATAGTGGAGGAGGGAAATAGCGGCTGGTGATGTCTTCGTTGGGAGGATTATCTTCCATGGGATAATCAAAGGTGGAAGCTTGATCCACAAAAAGATCATCATCATCACTATACTCATCGCTGCTGCTGAGATTGATGACATTGTGATGGTTAGGATCTGGCACAATTCCATTCGCGTCGGCATCTTGCGCGTCTTGGGTCAATTCCGCATAGCGTCGTTTCGCATTATCGACTAGCCTCAACATCTGGCGACCATATCGCTGGACCTTGTCTTGATCGATATTCGGGATTGCAGCAAGCTCCAAAAGATCTGTCCGAGCATTAGTGTGACTTCGCGTTGATTTCCAGCGTACAAGCAGACTCACTTTTGGGAAACCCGATGGCCATTTCGCGCAAAATGGAATCGGGGAATGGCTGGTAGCGAAGATCTTTCTCAACAACAATCTAGGAAAATGGTTAATACGAGAATAGCCAGTCAAACTGTGAGGGTCTTACATCTTGAAGGTATCGCTTAGCAGTGACCTCGAAATCCTCTACAACAGCACGGTGAAGATGGTCAAGTTGATCCATCTTTTGATCACTCGTAATTGGGGGACCAATTTCTCGCGCATTGTCACGTCGTTGCTTTCCAACCACCCGAATTGGCTCAAATCCGTCGCTATCTTCATCGGCCGAAGAATGATCGACCCGAGCACTTCGTTGCTGAGAACGCGCCTGGCGGCGATCGTTGGCAGATTGAATAGGAGAAGAGACCATCGTAGATTGAGGATATCCTTGACTGCCCCTTCTTGACTTCTGTGCTGGTCGTGCTGCCTTGGTCTTGCCATTCGGAGATACGCGAACTTGCAGCTTCATCTTTCGCTGACCGGTTTCATACTCGGTCGCACGGCGACCGAGAAGGATGTACTGGATAGCAAAGTCCTTGCCGTTGATGACATTATCTTCCCCAAGTGCGTCCTCTCCCAATAGCCGGTAGAAAAGACGTTCTGCTTCTCCTCGATCAAGATCAGACCCATCGCCGTACCAAGGTATCTTCTTGTGGGACGGCGATTTGGCTCTTTTCAGATCTCCACGCAGGAGGTCAGCGCAGTAAAGTACAGTGACCTTCTCTTTCAGGTCATACTGGAAATGTCGCACAATCTTGATGGCGGATGATGCATGATGAGAAAAGTCGTGTTCCTCGAACACCAGATCAGACTTGCAATTATCACAGGCATTGCCACAATCGTCTCGGCGAAAGTATTCATTGAAGTAGGCAAGTACCTGTACCCGTCGGCAGTCACTGCGGTTCTCACAGAATTGCACTACGTTGCGAAGCATTGCCTTTTGTCGGGCCTTTTGTTCCCAGCTGCCCTCGCCAGCATCAATCATGCGTTTAAGAGTGGCGGTATCCTTGTACCCGTAGAAGAGGTAGCAGCCAGATCGTTTGCCATCTCGACCCGCACGTCCAGTTTCCTGATAGTAACCCTCCAGGCTCTTCGGGATGCTGTGGTGGAAAACAAAGCGTACATCGGGCTTGTCAATTCCCATTCCAAAGGCGATTGTGGCAACAATGACATGGCACCGACCCATCTGCCAGGCATTTTGCGTCTTGGCCTTGTCACTAGAATTCATACCTGCATGGTAATGTTTTGCTTTGAGGTTGTACTTCTTCTGAAGATCCTCGGCAACCTTCTCACATGTTTTGCGAGATAGACAGTAAACAATTCCACACTGATTTTTATAAGTGCTCGTAATTGTTTCGGCAATGCTGGCGAGCACCTCGTCATTCTTGCCCTTCGGTCGAACCTCGTAAGTCAAGTTGGGTCGATTAAAGCTTTGCAAAAAGACCTCACATCCGCTCATCTTGAGATTGTGCATGACATCCACTTTCACGTTTTCTGTCGCCGTAGCTGTCAAAGCCATGAGTGGCACACCCGGAAGTTTAGCTCGGACTTCTCCCAATTCCTTGTAATCTGGTCGGAAGTCATGGCCCCATTGACTGACACAGTGTGCTTCGTCAATAACCAAACGTGCCAGTTGGTTGCGGCGATGGAGCTTTTCGAGAGCTCGGACCAGAGTTTGATTTTTGTTGATCATCTCGGGCGTGATGTATAGCAACTCTAACCCCTCGCCGCCATGGTTGGATAGTTGGCCGAGGATCCATGAGCGTTGGGCTTGCTCGGTTTCGCCGTTCATCAAGAAAGCATTGATATTCAGCTTTCGCAGGTGATCGACCTGGTCCTGCATCAAGCTCAACAAGGGAGAAACAACGAGGGTCACACCGCGTGTACGGCCGCTGTTCACAATTGAAGGCAGCTGATAACACAGTGACTTTCCTCCACCGGTTGGCATCAAGATGAAGGTATCTTTCCCACCAAGAGTAGCGTCAATTGCCTCAAGTTGATTTGGCCTGAATCCACGAAGATGGAATCGATCTTTGAGAACAGTTTTCACTTCCTGGGACCATTGATGGTTGGACCAAAAATTGCTGCGAGCCGGTGACTTCTTTGGCGGAGGCATTCGCGAAGAGTTTCCAGAGGTCTCGGCAAAGACCTTGCGGGTTTGACTAGGCTGTTCGCGAACAGACACTGAGGGCTCATTCTCAAAGCTTCCGGCTACCTCTAGCATCTCATCATCGCTAGCATTCCAGTCAAAATCATCGAAGTCCATTGGCGGAGGCGGAGAGCCCATATTTCGAGAGATATGACTCCCATCATTGCGAGCCATGATTGAGCCTTGTTTGTATCTCTTGGGACTCGTAAATGACTGCGGTTCTCGGATATTCTCTCTTCTTTGGGCTGGCTTTATCAATGCTGGTGGTGATGGCCGTGAGAAAGATGATCCCTTTAGTCCATCTGAGAGCCGAGGTGACCTGCTGGAATTTACGGGTGAGCTAGGATAACCCGACACTGACTCGTGGCCCATCTCCAAGATCTTGGCCCGAGGTAATAGTTCACAAATCTCTGATTCAACTTGTTCCAGCTCCGCCTCAACTGCCCGACTCCGTGCAAGTTCATCCGGCATCGTTGTTGGGTCCAAGCCTTGGGAGATAGCCTGCATGAGACTCCGTTTGAGGGTCTCCTTGCGAGAGACACAGTCTCTGTGGGTGTCTCGATGTCCTTGCAAGGTATCAATGGCTTGGATTTGGGAAACAAGGTTTTTGTTGTCGGCAATCAGATCAGGTGCCGGCCGACCTTCCATCGCTTGTTCGTAAACAACCTCCGCGTTCTTTTGTAAAGTTTTCTTTAACTGTGAGATTGAATGTTGCAAGGCTCCTGCCGATAAAGTCAGGAATTGCAAAACTTTAGGATCCTTTTGCTGAGAGCTGGGCACTTTCAGTCCTGGAGATGGCTGCGGAGGCTGGGACTCCTTGCGAGTAGTTGTATCGTCCACAACAGTCTTTGAAGGTGAGCTTCTGGGAGCCGAGTTCTCGATTTTCTTCTTCTTCTTCTTTTCACTTTCAGCTGGGCTAACTTGGGGCAGCCGTGGATACAATCGTGGGTCAGCATCAAGGACCATTTCCTCAACCCCGTCATTGGCCAGCCAGCTCACGTCGAATGGGTCGTCTTCTTCATCTGAGTCGGCAATAACCCGCTTGCGACTGCTCGTGGGGGGTTTTCTAGAGCTCTGCTGGCCAAGAACTATTGATTGAAGAGGGCTCTTTCGGCTGACTTCACTCTTCGCAGAAAGATACTCGGCATTACTCGATACTGAGGGCCGGCTTGCCTTTGAAGGCGTCCCCAATTTGGCAACATGCTTTGACGGTGAAAGGACATCAAATGTGTTTTCTTCACTCTTTCGTTTCTTTCCACGTTTCTCGTTGGCTCCTTCTCGGGATGCATCGTCCTCGGTCCATAATTGTCGCGGCTCTGCAAACTCGGCCGTCGAAGAAGAGGGCATCCGATGGAATTCTCCAGTCAGATCAATCGAATCAATGACATCGAATGGAGAAGTCTCTATCTTTGGGTCTAAGCAAAGTTGGGTTGCTTTGGGTCGAATGGTCTTGGAAGATGAAGTCGGCTCATAATAAGATTCTATGTCTCCAGTTTCCGTGTCAGATATACCACTATCATACAAATTGCGATTTCTCGTACCTTGGACCACACTCTTCGAAGAGGAGAGCTTTTTCGATGTCGAAGGCGTTCTCTCGAGTGTTTTGTCGGGGTGGCTGAGCATGCGAGGCTTGCTCGCCGATTGCGGTGCAAGCATAAGTCTTGCCATATTCTCATCCGTCACATCGTTGCAGTCTTCAAATATTTCGTCTGGTTCGTCGCTTTCGTCGAAGGGTGGAGTTGGTTGTTGAGACGCGCGGTTGTCGCGTTCAATCAGAGGGGTATCGGTGGTCAAGGACAGGTACAGAGAAGGGCCTTGATTCAGAAGCCATTTGAGATGCGAGGCAAGATTATTCTTCGTCATGGGGGCGTATGGCACTCATGGCCTTCTCGTTGTCGTTTGTCGAGTTTCCGCGTCGTCGCGAGGCAATCGACGCGTCTTGCACGTGAGCGGTCAGAGCCACTGATAGCGGATTTGGCGATCACCTTGAATCAACTATTGATCTTTCAAATGATTGAGTTGTTGATTTTGAAGTAGACAATTGTGAAAGTGGGTGAAATTCGACCAAAAACCATTAAATAGCTCGGTTCTTAGGCCTGTATATTCCATGTAAACCTTAGCGATCAAAACACCCATAGTTAACGGGCGCATATCTATGTGGGGAAACCCTTTTTATGCCCCGCGGAGGTTGAAGGTTGAAAAAATTCGCCCAGACGCAATCATTCAACCATGGGCAAAAAAGACAAGAAATCTGCCGAGCACAAGGCCCGTGTTACGGCAAAGGCTTCTAAGAAGTCCGCTAAGTCCGAAAAAAAGTCCAAGGCCAAGGCCAAGGACGCCGACAGCGACGTCGAGGATGCAGATCTTGATGCCATCCTCGCTCAGTACGCGGAGGAGCAGGCCAAGTTCTTGAAGGTTACCGAAATCCCTTCCGAGCCTCCAGCGCCCCGATCATCTCCCACCGTCCTAGCATCTCCGTCCAACCGGAACGAATTGCTGCTTTTCGGCGGAGAGTACTTTGACGGCACACATGCGACGTTCTTCAACAATCTGTTCGTGTACCTGATTGATCGTGGCGAATGGAGAGAGGTCACAAGCCCAAATAGTCCTTTGCCTCGAAGTGGTCATGCTTGGTGTCGTGGAGGTAACACCGGAGGTGTATATTTGTTCGGAGGTGAGACCACCACTAGTGAGATTAGAAATTCTCCGAGCCAAGTCTAACATCAAGTAGGAGAATTCTCTTCGCCGAAACAAGGTACTTTCTATCACTACAATGACTTCTGGCACCTGGACACTGCTACTAGAGAATGGACTCGTCTTGAGACGAAGGGGAAAAGCCCGCCGGCTAGAAGTGGTCACCGAATGACATACTACAAGGTAAATATATTTCTATTCTCTACATGGCCAGTCCTGACACTATTCAAGAACTATATCATTCTCTTCGGTGGATTCCAAGACACCTCTCAGCAAACCAAGTATTTGCAGGATCTGTGGATCTACGACTGCAACAAATTCACCTGGTTTAACCCCGTTTTGTCAGCTGCGGCGCAGAAACCTGATCCTCGCTCATCATTTTCACTCTTGCCTCACGACACTGGTGCCGTTATTTATGGTGGCTATTCTCGCGTGAAGACCACTACTGGCACGGGCAAGCAGGGCAAGAGCGGTCCCCAAAAGATGGCGCTCCGCCCAATGGTCCACCAGGATACCTGGTTCCTGAGAATCACTCCTCCTGAATCCGAGTCCGCAGCAGTTTCAACAGGCCCTGCTATTCGATGGGAGCGGCGAAAGAAGCCTGCCAACACGCCCAATCCTGCTCGCGCCGGTGTCACGATGGCTTACCACAAAGGTCGTGGTATCATGTTTGGCGGTGTCCATGACGTCGAGCTGACTGAGGAGGGGATTGAAAGTGAGTTCTTCGACACGCTGCTTGCTTGGACCACCGACCGAAACCGTTTCTTCCCGATGAGCTTGCGCCGTCCTCGCGCACCTGGCAAGAAGCAACAGGCGAATCAGGCCGCGAAGGGCCGTGACAGAAGCAAGGCGACCGAAGAAGAGCTTCTGGCTAACCTGAAAGCCTTGGAGGAGAAGGGAGGCATCCGCTATGATGATGACGATGATAATTTCATGCAATCAAACGTCCCCAAGACCGAGGAGCCTGTCGAGTCTAGTAAGCCAGCCGTTGTTCGCTTTGAAATGCCGCACCGGAGATTCAACGCTCAGCTCGCAGTGCAGGATGATACTCTCTTCATCTACGGTGGTACCTTTGAGAAGGGCGAGCGGGAATTCACTTTCGATGACATGTACTCCATTGACCTGGTCAAGCTTGACGGAGTCAAGGAGATCTTCTACAGAGAGCCCGTGAACTGGAACCTCTTAGAAGAAGCCGAGGACAGTGATGAGGATATGGATGATGATGAAGATGACGACGAGGACATGGATGAAGAGGAGGTCGATGCCATGTCTCTCAACACAGACTCGCCTACTCCCACGGACGTGACTGTGCCATCAGTTACTCAGGGCATGGAGCATCTCGACGTCGAGGAGCAAGAGTCAGATGAACCTGAAGACAGCAGGCCTCTCCCTCGTCCCTTTGAGAGTCTCCGTGAATTCTTTAACCGAACATCGGAAGACTGGCAGAAGCTTGGTATCGAAACTCTGACCATGAAGGGCAAGGTTGAGGGCAAGACCATCAAGGAGCTGCGTAAATTCGCCTTTGACATCGCAGAGGAGAAGTGGTGGGATAGCCGTGAAGAGATCATGGCCCTAGAGGATGAACAAGAAGCGGCCGGCATTGGTGAGGTCGTCACTCTGGCTGAGCGTGCCGAGAATGTTGGAGGAGCTGGTCGCCGTCGGTGATTTACGAAGGAGAAAAGGTCTCTTGCATTATCCTGGATTGCCCTTCAATATCAACGATTCGATGGTCATATACATGTTCCCAAATTATTCTGTAGACACTAGCTCTGAGAAACCTCTGCTAGCACACCTGTCACCAAGGCGACATCTCGCTCGACATCAACTCGCCAATTGGAGATAGCAACTCGACAAGCAGGGGCCCCATCCCAGCTTGTTCCCGAGACAAACATCCTGCCGGTGTCATTGATCTTTTTCGCCAACTCACTGTTCAAAGCATTGTCCTTGGCGCGGAACAAGACGCTCATAAATGTTTGGTCCAGGAGCTCTGTTTTGGAAATCGTCTGTGGTAGAGGAATGTACTCCTGGTGTTCAAAAATCCAATCGTAAATGGCGCGAGCAAGTCGAATTTGACGCTCCAGCATTTCTCGGTATCCATCTTTGCCATATGAAAGGAGAGACGCGTACGCGGGCAATGCCCTGAATCGGCGAGAATTCTCAATTCCGATATTCAGAGGGGATGGAATAGAGGGCCCATCAGATGCCGCTGCAGTGAGATAGGCTGCATTCGCATTCTGGAAGACCTGGAAAGCCAAGTTAGGGTGTCGGCATAAGAAGAAACCACAATCATAAGGCACATTCAGGAGCTTGTGGCCATCGCCGGTAATCGAGTCCACCAGTTCTATGCCATCACCTCCCTTCCTAACAGTTGCGAATTCCGGGTTGTCATCTAATACTCGACCGAAGATTCCAAATGCACCGTCAGCATGAATCCAAGCGCCATACTTGTCACACAACCGACGAATTTCAGCTAATTGATCCATGCCAGATGTAGCGAACCGGCCAGTGTTGACCTCTCCGCAGGATATAGCGACGATGCTGACTTTGTCCGTCCGTGCAAGCTCTTTTTCCAGCTGATCCATATCAAAATGAAGCGGATTATTCGCAAGACAGATATTTCGAACATTGGTGCGCCCAATGCCGAGAACACCTGCAGCCTTGACTAGAGAAGAATGAGGGAGCGTCGACAGTACTTGAATGCCAGAAAGGCCGAGCGCCTGTAACACTTCAAATAGGCCTTCTTCTCCAACACTGTATATTGGGCTTCCTTTCTTTTCAGCAGCTTTCTGGAGGACGAACTCGCGCCCAAGGGCAAGACCGAGAATGTTACTCGCCGTGGCACCGGTGGTGAAAGTCCCGTTATGCCATGAGGAGCGGTCCAGTCGAAAGAGGTCTGCTAGCAGACCGATTGCATGGAACTCGACATCCGTGACGATAGAGTGGTTTGATAGATGGACTTGGACATTTTGGTCGTAGGCAGACACGACGTTGTCTGCGAAGAGCGCTGCCGGCGTGACTCCGCCTGTTATGAATCCATAATAGTTGGGGCTGATACTCCCTCCATTGAAGGCCGGGACTATATCATCCAGAATGTGTTTTTGAACTGAATCAAGACTGGCACCTGTATTGGGAAGGCTATTAGGCAGAGAAGCTCGGGCTCTAGCCAAGCTCTCGGCGCTGGGAAGGACGCCCGACTCCCATTTACCTTGGGCCACTTTCCATAGGTTTTGCAATATTTCTTCTTGCATTCTGATTTTGGATATAGAAATTTGTCAAATAGGTCCCGGCAGGTTTATACAAAGATCGGGATCTCCCAGGTCTCGGGGTTTGCAATGCGATGACTCCCGGTTCGAAAGGCTAGGGGAAACTTCGGTTGGACCTCCCCAAAGAGGCAAGGGTGGATCCAAATAGGAGCTTATGCTGTAAGACGAGTAAACCCAAGAATTGAATAAAGAGAGATCGATTAGTGCTGGGGTTAATGAAGTTAGAGGAGAAAGAATTGGCGATGGAAGCGAGCCAGGAACAGTGGTGATGGTACCTTAAATGGCCAGGTGGGTTGGTGTGGTGTGGCTTAGGAGGTACAATGCCGTTCTCCGCCACTGCGCAACTCTCCGGACCCCAACATTCTCCGCAATGGCTGCGAAACTCATTGATAGACGATTCCACAACGTCCCTGGTATGTGCCGATCGGATATCACCAGATGGATTTGGGCTGACTGGCTTTTAGGAAAACTTCGGGTGGCCGAGCTGTTCTTTGATGTTCCCATCGACTACAGCAAGCCAAATGAAGGGACGCTGAGACTGTTTGCCCGCAGTGTGTCTCGCCTTAATAAACCGGTGGAGGCCACCAAGGATGAGGCCAAGCTTCCTTGGCTAGTTTACCTTCAAGGTGGACCGGGTTTTGGCTGCGCTGCCCCGCAGAATTTCGGTTGGATTGAGCCTGCGCTCAGTAAGGGGTATCAAGTACGTGACCACCTACAGCCACATCTCCCAAACTTGTATACTTGGATGAGGGGTTCGGTCTGGGCTAACATAATTGAGCAGGTTCTCTTTTTAGACCAGCGCGGCACTGGTATGAGCTCAACCATTACTGCTGGAACACTAGCTCGCCACGGCGACGCCATTAAGCAGGCAGAATACCTGAAGAATTTCCGCGCAGACAGCATTGTCTATGATTGTGAAGCCGTTCGTAAATGCTTGACCGAGGATTATCCCGAGGATCAGCGCAAATGGAGCATCATCGGCCAAAGCTTCGGTGGCTTTTGCATTACCACTTATCTGTCCAAATTGTGCGTGTGGAGAAAAACGTATGCTGCAGCTATGGAAAATTCCTGCTAACACTAGGTGTCACTTTAGCCCTGAGGGCTTGAAGGAAGCTTTCTACTGTGGTGGATTGCCTCCAATGGTCAACCATCCGGATCCTGTCTATGCTCGGACCTACGGTAAGGCCCCTATCATTGAGAAGCTGCACAGCAATGCATTGACACGCAAATAGAGAAGGTCATCGAGAGAAACCAGGCATACTACTCCAAGTTTCCTGAGGATGTCGAGCGAGTCAAGAAGATCATGCAGTACCTGACTGAGAACAACATTTCCTTGGCATCTGGATGTCTCACTCCCGCTCGTTTCCAGCAACTTGGCATTATTCTCGGCTTTCACGGTAAGAGTCTTTCTGATACTATAGATGTATTGAGTCTAACCTTGAACAGGCGGTGTCGAGAGTTTGCATGGTAAGGTATTCTTGAAACAGCAAGGCCTGGCGCGTTCTGACTCATGATCTAGAAATTGTCCTCCGAACCTGGAGCGACTTGGAGATGTTTGGCTTTTTGACGGTTCCCACCCTTGCTCTGATCGACAGCAATGGTGGAATGGACAAGAATGTCATCTATGCTATTCTGCATGAGGTAATCTACTGCCAAGGGTAAGAAACAACATTCCTCGTCTTACTAGGTCTTTCGATAACAAGGAAAATAGTAAGCCCTCGCTCTGGTCTGCGGATCGACTTCGTGCCGAGAACCCGCGATTCCAGACCAATGGGTCTGAGCCCGAGATTTACTTCACCGGAGAGATGGCAAGTGACCCATATCCCCCATCAATGGTGGAATTGCTCCGGTCTAACATCCGGTCTAACATATTCCAACAATGTCTAGGTCTTCAAGGACATGTTTGAATCGTACTCGGAGCTCAAGGAAATCCGAGAGACCGCCGAGATCCTCGCTACTACCAGTGACTGGCCTACCCTTTACGACGAGGCCCAGCTGGCCAAGAACGAAGTGCCAGTCTACGCGGCCATTTACGTCGATGACATGTATGTGCCTTTCGATTTTTCGTGCAACACTGCTGCCAAGATCAAGGGCACAAAGCAGTTCATCACCAATGCCATGTACCATGACGCCCTGCGGAGCAAGTCCGGAGAGCTCATACGCCAGCTGTTCAACCTTCGCGATGATTCTATCGATTAGACTCTTACACATCGCCACCATTTTGCGCTGCATTAGAAACATCAACCTAAGCTTCTGCAGGTTTACTTTAGATCAGTTAGGAAGTGACAATATACTGAGATCTGAGATTGGGTATAATGTGTTGGCAAGTATATACATAAAGTCGTCTCTCTAACATACGTAGAATTTCCTGCTCATTAAAAAACCTGCAGTCATAGTTAGCGTTTGCATGGGGTCGAGGCAACGTGGAAGAGTACATACGGCTCCGCCGATGATGAAAAGTCTTTCCTCTTCTTGATGTACCCACTGGGCAATCTTGGTCGCGCTTTGTACCAGCGCGTTTCTATTCGCATTAGGTTCGGCAACGCAGTAGAGCTCGAACACCGGGGTCACCCAAGCGAACGAGCTTGCTGATCGTGAGACGCAGTGGTGAACCTTAACACTGGTGTTCTTGGCGTGGATGCTCCCATGAAGATTATTGTATATCGACATCAATCTTCGTCGTCGAGATATTGATGTAAATCCAGGGGCGTATGATGACATGGTAAATTGCACGTTTGCGCGCGATTTATACAAGAAATGGTGCAGGACAGAACCAGGGACAATATCAGTGGTAGCTGGTCGTCCCTGATCAATGGCGGCTCTGATCACTTTGAGACTGCCGTTCTTCTCCATTTGCTGTTTAATAGTTAGTGGTGGCTTTTGAGACAAAAATGCAGAAGTACGAACCTCGACAAGGGAATCTCGCATGCCTTGCATCTCGAAGAAGCTTTCTTTATCCGGGCTTATCAAAACGATGGCGACAGACTCGTCTTTGGAGATATCCTCATAATCGTCGACATCATGTCGGAGGTCAAGGAAGCTGACATACATATATAGATAACCGCTACTGTTGAAGCCGGGAAGGCAGACGGGAATCCAGCTTTCCCCTCCTCCAGCCTTGACACCATCGGCTTCGAAGATCATGTTGAATAAAAGCTGTAGATCGCCCGGATGAAGCGAGTGTTTCTTGGGGCGAACCACACTGACTAGCCGTCCGCCGGCGACAACCAAACCATAAAGCAAACTGCTAGCTTTTGTCTTCAAAAGAGCATTGTTAATGGACTGGCGGTATACTTTGCGAATCTTGAGGCACTCCAAAGCCGAGAGCAGGGTAGACGGCGACCCACGCGTGAAACTGTCTGCCAATGAGGACAAAAGTGTTTCTGATCCCTGAAGTGGTCGTTTCAGGTCGGTGGATGGTCGAAGGGAGAAGAGATGTGTAAGAGATGGAAGGGTCAGTGTGGACAGAATCTGCATGTAGAGGGCTTCCAGTTGAAGGCGGAGCTGGTTGTCACTTTCCATCATCCGGCTGATGGCCACGAAATGAAGAGGCCCGCGAGTCAAAACAACAAACTTTGAGTCTTCTGCAGAAAAACTGCGTAGTCGATCACCCGCGTCTTCATAAAATGAGATGATAGTCTGGATGACACCAACATAAGTAGATATCAGTCCACCATCACCGTGGCGGGTCCAAATTGGTTTGCCGGCCGCGGATAAAATGAGGTAGTGTTTTTTCTTCGCCTTCCACTGACCAAGGAGCAGATCTACTTCTAATTAGCTCTATTTTGGGGAAGAATCTGAGGTGATATATCAAAATCCTACCTTCATTGCCGGCCTCTTCACTCAGTTCCCCGACGGGCTCGAACTCGCTCAAGAAGCCGTCGTCGTCGACATCATCGGCCGGAAATTCAGGGAAATGGAGCAAGCTTGCGGCATCTGAATGTTCCCCGGTCGCTCCGGTGACAAAGTCCTTGAACAAACCCTCGACATCTCCCACATCGCCGTTCTGGATCGAGCTCCGAATACTCGCCGAGTCTCCGGCTTCGCTTCCCTTCGGACTAGCCAGCTGGCTCAGGCTCGCCCTCGCTTTGACGCCTCGTGGCAAGCCACGGACCGCTAATGTAGAGTAAGTGTTTTCAGCGTCCGGTGTCTGAGTACCAATTTCTGCCCGAGAAACCGCCGTTGTAGCCTCCGCTTGTAGGCTAGCCCGAGATGCCGTTTCATCGTTCAATAGGTTCAATGTGTTTGGCCGTGGGGGTAGAGGAGGTCGCACACCCTCTGAGCTGGGACTTTGATCCCTGCTTTCGGTATGCGGTGGGATGAACTCAGAGGGAGCCACCGAGGGGCTGTCGACATGTTCATCCCGACTGTCGCTTTGGTCAGGCTGCAGTGAAGTCATCCCCGCTATGGGCGTGCGCTTGTGAACGCAGTCGCTGGGCGCGGGGGCATTAGCTCATCTAGTGCGCATCGTTTGGGAAAGAGCTCGTAGGTCGAGGACAGGTTCTTGGTGCTCGCCCTGGGAAGTTGTTGAGTTGAAGCGCTGACGTCGATCGGCGGGAGCTTCCCAAGGCGGACAAAACATCGATATGTGGCCGCCTGCGTGGCCCTTTCGTACTCCAAGTCACTTCCCCTCCCCCTTTTCCACCAGGGCCCTGACTCGATGTCCTAAATATGACGGAGTGCAGTTTGCAGCCTTTGAATCAATTTGACGTCCGACATTGGCACCATGAGCCTTGATCCCAGTGCCTTTCCGAGGTCGAACTCCCCCGCAAGCTCCGAGAGCTCCTTGACGCGCCCGCGCCTCCAGGGCAAGGAAGGTCCGTACTCTGCACAAATCGTCACTACTCGCCAACACTCGTCTGACTTTGCCTTTTACTTCTAGGGTCTCTGAAAAAAGACAAGACCTACCGCCGCTATGCGTCGAGCGTCGAGCGAGCCTTGTCATTGTTCGACAACGCCCTTCAAGAATGGGCCGACTACATCTCCTTCCTCAGTCGCCTACTAAAGGTCGGCTCGCCGAAGTGAACCTGATTTATGTTTCACTATTGACTTTGCCCAGGCACTCCAAACACATCCTCCCGATCAGCCAGTCGTCCCACATAAGCTGCTGGTTTCGAAGCGACTTGCTCAATGCCTAAACCCGTCATTACCATCGGGCGTCCACCAAAAGGCGCTTGAGGTCTATACGTACATTTTTGGCTTGATTAAGGTACGGAGTATAGGCACGCAGGTCACAGACACTTAACTAAAAATCTTCACTTCAAAATAGCTTGAGGGATTGTCGCATGATCTTCCGCTGTATCTACCTGGCCTTGCACCCACCCTAACATTCGCCTCGCTCTCTGTTCGGCCGCTTTTCCTATCTTTGGTGGAAGGATACATTGTTGACCTTGAACCGTGGGCCATTCGCCCCGCTTTGAAAGCAATAATCCTAGCCCTGCTTCCTGGCCTGGAAGAAGAGACAAGCGACGACTTTGAACTGACGCTACGAATTCTCAACAAGCTGCGAGATGTCTCCGGTCTCCTCGAGACACAAAGGACATCCGAAGCTGGCTCTTCTGGGCAATACTTCTGGCAATGTCTTTTCCTGGCTTCAATTACGAACTCCAGCCGACGACTCGGCGTTCTGGCATATTTGAACCGCTACCTTCCAAAGCTAGGAATTGCAGATCGTCGACCAAGTGTGGCCGAGACCGGAGATATGAAGGATATCCCGCCTGAGATGCTTGCAGCAGCCGATTCAGTAATTCTTCCTGAGCCAGGCCTCTTGATCCGCTGCTTTGCATCAGGGCTGTCTGATGAGCAGCTACTGGTCCAGCGCAATTTCCTCGACCTACTCGTGACCCATCTTCCTTTGAACTCTCCGATTTTACAAACTCGACTTGCCGAGGGAGATCTTGAAACATTGATTATTTCTGCTGTGGGCGTGGTAGCCCGGCGTGATATGAGTTTGAACCGCCGCCTGTGGTCATGGTTTCTTGGACCGGAGCCTGCGAATGAGCGATTGTCGATTGATGGTCGGAAATTCTCATCGGAAACTGCTCGTTCGTCCTCTATTGATGGCGGGGAACTCTCCCAATCCCAGTATTTTGGTCGCGTGGGATTACAGCCATTGGTCAACGGTCTTCTCAAAATGATAAAACAAGCTCCCAGAGCCCCTTCTGAGCGGACGAAACCCTTTCGAATTTCACTCTCTTTAATGGATCGTTGGGAAATTGGTGGATATATCGTCCCAGCCGTTTTTCTTCCCACCATGTACAGCGTTCAGGCATTCGAGAAAGATGCACCCAAGGGTCACTTCGAAGAAGTTTTCCGCAGTGCAAGTGCATTCTTCGATGGTGTCGAAAGCAGTGTCATTTTCTCAGAGCTCCTGCACCTAGTTGACTTCCGCTCCAAGGACGTGGAACATGATCATGAGCAAGTCATGTGCAGCTTGAACCTTGCTCAGTTTATCCTTGAAAACTTCAACGTGCGAGAAGAGGACATGATACATCTACATGTTCCTCTTCTGACTGTCTCAGTGCTTGTGAAAATGAGTGAAGTTGCATCAATGAACGCTCGTGTCAATAAGCAGGCCGTGTCTAACGCTTTGAACGACGTGCTAAAGTCACTGACACCATTGCTTACAGAAAGAGTCTTTTCTAGGAAGACGGGCCAGGAGAAATCGTCCGCTGATGGCAAGGCCCGGAATGCTGAGATTATGAAACAGGTGCATCAATTCTACGAGATCAGCAAAAACAGCCTTGATCTTCCACCCCTACCGTTTGCCCCCAAGCAGATCGGCGAGATGATCATCCGGGAAGCCCATGATCTTTGCATCGGAGCCCTAAAGGACGATGATGGCACCTCATCTCTCAATGAAAAGCTCAATATCCTTGTGACGCTATTGCAGAGACTTCCCAAGTCGCGCATCCTCCGCGACAGAAGACTCTATAAAGCTATCTCGCAAAGGTTGGCTATCAAGAATGCTAAATTGACAACTGCAGCATTCGCCGTCATTTCTACCATCGCTTCTTCTGTGACAAACCTATTTTTTATCCATACCCCCGGCTTCTATGTAAGCTACGAGGATGCGTGTGATGTCATTCCAAGCCTGGTTGAGCAACTATGGCAGTATTTGTCGCCATCAAGCCCAAAGTTTCATGTGGAGGCTGTGCGCTGTCTCTGGCTGCTTCACTCGATCTCTTGGGTCGACCATCTCGTTGAGGCTTCGATTACTTCTTTGATGATTAGCACTGTGGCTGCCGGAGCTTATCATCTATCCTCGGAAGAGAAGGCAGAAAAGTTCTATGTTCTGTGGAATCACAGTCACCACGGGGCGCATGAACAGACCCCGAAGCAAGTCCTAGACGTCGGAGGATCTTTGTTCTCGTACCAATGTACTATGCTTGAACGCCCACTATTCATTGTCTTGGACCTTTTGTCCCAAGAGCCTGGCGATGTCTCTCAGAGCGTCCAGCAGTGGCTTCAAGACCTCCCGACTATTCACAAGTAAGGAAACTGCGTGGGACGTCACGCACACACGCTAATCTACCTTCCTAGGATCTTCCATGTTATCATTTCAAAACTCGAGGAACTCTTCGAGCGTGGCACCCCTAGTGAAGCAATCCATGATAACCAAACTATCTCTCCGGACGATTACAAGGAGTGCTATTACTTGTTGCGAACAGCTTCTAATATCATCTCTATTCTTTCGCATAACGGGTGGATCATTCTTCTGTCTCACACCCTGAGCCAGGCTGAGAACCGCACAGATGCAGTCAAATCTGACGGTAGGATTCAATTTCCTCCCATACGAACAATGTTTTGTGACTGACCCTGGATGCAGAAAACTCGAGCGGGAAAAGTCTTCATACAACCTTCTTCGAAGCATCTCTTAGAATTATCAGCGGTCAAACCCCCACCCCTACCCCCACACAAGTCAGCACCGAGGGGGAGAGACTACAGAAAGATGCACTACATCTCATGCGACAGCTTCTCCTAGGCCCTGGCGCGGAGGATCTTGTCGAGTCTGGAATTGATGAGTTCCTAGTTGAACGTCTTCTAATCTCATCTGAAGGTGGCAGCGTTGCGGTACAGGGTGCAATCATCGATGCATTACTCGCCGCTCTTAAGGTGCGGTTCGCCCAGGCGTACGTGCCACCACCGCCCCCTCGACCTAAACATCAACGAGCTGGCTCTCGTGAACGCTTGAAAAGCCCTTCAATGCTGTCTTTCACCAGCGACAAGCCAGAAAGGAAGTCTTCAATGGCTCACATTCCTCGTCCACCTGAGCGGCTTTTAGATTGTCTTCTCAAGGGGATTAGTTCAGCCAAATCTCGAGAAATTGTCGACAAGTGGATTGGACTCCTCTGTGAGGTTCTTCCTCTCTACTCTGGCCAGATCTTCCAGATTCTTCTCATGCTTGTTGAGTGCTTTTGTAGAGAGATCAGGGCATCTTTTGGAAGACTTCAGCTCGCATTCCAGCAAACAGAAGACTGGCCTCAGGATCGCTCCGAACATGTCACTATTGCTTTATTGACGGGTCTCGAAACTTGCATCGCCAATGCCCACGAACGTCTTCTGGTGGAAGAGTCAAATGTACCTGCGGTCAAGAGTCCGGATCAACCTCAAGGGTTCTTTGGAAACATGGTCTCGGGGGTTTTCCACTCAGAGGGTAACCAGGGTCGATCTAACACTGCCAATGACCGCTTGACCGTTCTGCTCTGCTTCCAGGATGCGGTTCGTCTTTGCTTCTCTATTTGGGCTTGGGGTGCTGGAGATAAGAGCGGAGTTCCTCCCGATTCGGAGTCAATGGCATCGTTCCAGTATACATCATTGCGCATGCGCAACAGATCGCGACGGATATTGGAGCATTTTTTCACTGCTGAAGCACTTGAATGCCTCGAGACACTGGTTGAGATGTGGACCAAATCCGACATGGAGACTGCAACTCTCATCTTCAGCCTCCTACATACTCTCGATGGATCACGTCCAAAGATTGCTATTCCAGCCGTTTTCAACGCCATTTACACACGTACAAACCCGAGCGCTTTGGAAAATAATCGCAAGTCTTCTTTGACATCCAGCCTTTCTGAATCTGAGCTTGCCAGCTTCTTGGTTGCATATGCACGCTCTTTGGATGATGATGTTTTGGATGAGATCTGGTCCGATTGCACAACGTTCCTACGTGACGTTTTGAGCAACCCCTTCCCCCATCGACAGATCCTTCCCCGACTCATTGAATTCGCAGCTATCTTGGGTGCGAAATTGGAGAATACAACATTTGGCGAGGACCGACGGATGCGCAAGGAACTCGGAGTAAGCCAACCTCTTCCTATATACATTTCGTTTTCTTTTTACTGACTACGCCAATTGCAGGATGTGCTTCTCCGACTGCTTACAGCGGTATTTACCAGCAAGCCACTGGGGCTTAACCAGGATAGCGGTCTCATGGCGAGATCGTCTGTAGACTACGATCAGACTGCAGTCTCACACACCGGGCCCGACGACATGCTGAGCATTCTTACAGTTTCCATGCCATCATTCATCACAACTTTGGGTGATTCGGACCGCATCAATACGGCCATCAGCGGAGTGTCGACCAACGTGATCGGCCCTCTCATTCGCTCCCGTCTGTTCCCCAACAACCTCAATCGCAACGTCATGGTTCTTTTACAGCAGATGGCCAAGGTGCCCGCAGCAGCAAAGGTGTGGAAGAAGGATATAGCAGATGCTTTCAACGACCCGCGTTTCTTCGGCCTGCAAGTGGAATTGATCAAGGCCACTTGGATGGATCTTCTGCGGCAGTGGGTTCTCGCCGACAAGGAGCGTTTGGCTGAGTTGTTGGGTCGACTTCCGCCGCCAAGCGCAGCTGGAATCATGTTTGGTGTTGGAGCCTCCGCAGCGCGGCTAGAAGCAGATCGCAAGGCACAACTCAACCTTCGCCGCATCGCCCTGCTTCTTCTTTCCGCCAATGAGGACTACTTTGTGGGCGAGCTGCCAGGTCTACTCCAAAAGCTGGAGGATCTCCTAGCTGCAACTAGCTCTTCATCACCATCATCTGCGACGCGTGCTGAGATCTTCATGGTTTTACGAGCGCTCGCCCTCAAGACTTCTACTTCCACCATGGCGTCATTCTGGCCATTGATCAATATGGAGCTGCAGGAAGCTATATCAGCTGTTCCACGAGGTTCTCAGTCCGAGATCTACAGCCCGTATTCATTGTTACAGGCATGCAAGCTGCTCGACACATTGCTAGTGATCGCACCAGACGACTTCCAACTCCTGGAATGGCTCTTCGTCACGGATACAATCGATGCAGTGTACCCACCCAACCGCTGGGAACCCATCGCCCTTGCCGACGAAATCTCCCAAAGCTTCGGACCACGCAGCGTTCTCTCGCCGGCCATGACACACGAGCATGCCGAACCCGTAACACGCAGCGGCCTCAAACGGCCGTGGCTTACCTCCGACCGAATCCGAGAAACGGCCAAGGACGAGATCGTTGAACGGGTCCTGCGACCGTTCTTTGACCGGTTGAGTATCTACGTGTTTGAGAGCACCTATGGAATGGAAAGTGTGGATCTGGGCGTGTGCCGGGATGACCTGCTCGCGGATCTATTCAATGAGAGCACGATGGCGAATTGAAGCCATATAGCGATTCTGGTGGAACCATACCTTATGTAGTTTTAACATCAATTTATCTTCCTATCCCTGTCAGCGCCGACTCGTATAGAATTAGAATTTTGGCAGATAATCGACTTGGGCGTATTATCTGATGCAGTTCCAGGAAATCCCCTGCATAGCGGATAAATGTTTTAGACTATAGTTCATTGTTGGGGATGGACGAGTCAGGATTGCGGTATCGCAAAGCAAGTCCCACGCCGCCCGGAACCCCGGACCTCCGCGTCTGGCAACGTCACTTTCCCCCATTCACGCCGCCCGCCACTGCGCATCTACAAAACTGTAAGACCTTTTCGGATTTCGAGTTTGGTCTCATTTTCTGATATTCCCAGATCTCCCGCCACCATGATCGCCCGTCCAAAGGTCTTTTTACCGCGACGCGTCGTCACCCGGCCTTTCTCAGTCTCCCGTCCCCGCTGGGAGGCCGCAGCTCTGCCTGCCCGAAAGCCCGTAGGGGCTTTTAGAGGAGGGTGTGTACCGATCTTTCTGCGATCTCTTACACTTTGATCTGCTGTTTATTATCTATTTATACGTGAGAATTCTAACTCTTTGCAGTGTCTTCGGCTTCCTCACTGGCGCCGTTATTGCCGGCGCGTCGGTCTATTATTACATCCTTGGTGACTACCGTGTCGCCAATGAAATGCTGTCTGATGACATTGGCGTATGTCTCTCTATTACTTTGCACGTTGTATCTCGTTGCTTGGAAGCTAACTGCTGGATGTTCTCTCTCCGGAGTTCCCGGGGAGAGATCATCGTGTGAACAGGCCCTTCAAACAGCTACCATGAAACTCCAATCATACATCACCGAACTGGAGAGCAAGGTCAATGGCCTGCAGAAGAAATGACTGTCACTACCATTTCATTTGTTCTCTTATTGTACTTATTCTTTATTCTTTCATCGGAGGTGTTAGGGGCCTTTCCTTTGCTGGCGAACCAGTCTGACATTGGCAACTTTTGACTACTGAAATCTGTCAAGTGGATTTATATATACACATAAGCTTAAGGACCAAAAGTCAATAAAAAACAGTTTGATACTCTCCTTGTTCCTGAAATCACATGATGCCCATTCTGCCAAGCTTAGAAGCTCCCTGTCAGTGCAAACAGGACAAACACCGTCACTTATCAACAACTTTCGCATTCCATCCTCGGCCACCTCTACACATCCAATCCAGCCATGTTCCGCGTCGAACTCCTCCCTGACTCCGGTGCAGCAGCCCAACCCGGCTGGACCTACGTGGCCGACCGGGGCTTCGACCCCTCAAAAGCCGCGATGGCCCCGACACTAGGCCGCAAACGCGGCATCCGCCACGCCGGCAAAGGCGGCGACATCTCCTCGCGACGAGCGAATGCCATCGTCCGCCACCTCGCCGAGCTGGATCGTGAGAACCAACGCGATGTACAAATATCTATCCCTGTCAAGCAAGCGAAGGAGGCTGGTTCGCGCGGCACGCGAGCAAAGACGACCTCAAACGTGCGCCGCATCCTACAATCCCAGAAGACGTTCAGGAATTACCTTGACGATGAGGAGGCTGCGATCGCTGCTGGAGGAGGTGGTGTTAGTGCAACAGTGGGAGGTGGAAATATGGCCGCGGCGGCAGCCAAGAGCAGAGCTGTAGCTGTAGCGAGACGAAGTTCAACGCCAGCTACGACGCCGGTATCGAAGAAGCGCACGGCCGGTACAGTGACTGCTACCTCAACCCCCACGCCTGCACCCTCCCAACCCGAGACGACAGACGCTGAAGCCGAGGATGATGATGGACCAAAGCCGAAACTCATCAAGACCGAGTATGATAACGATCCCCTACTACGCTCATACGCACCAACAATGCCATCTGAGCGAATCATGCAGCGGCTCCTCGCCGAACCGCCTCTATCCTACAACGCGTCGCGCACGGGACCTCCGATTTCCGCTCGGCCTCCGCGGGCATTCTGCTGCATGTGTGGATACTGGGGCAAGATTCGGTGCAAGAGCTGTCATCTGCGGACGTGTGGACTTGATTGTTATCGAGTTCATGAGGAATCCCGGTGCGGGGCGTTCTTCTAGAGCTGGGGTGGATGCTCGCTTGTATACTACCGAGACGGGCTTCGGCTCTGTTCTCTTCTTATGACTGCATGACTCTAATGGCAAAATCTGTAGAATACTTAATTCAAATGTGAATATTATCTCACTTATCTCCACCTTCAATCCGGGTAAAGGATTCATCTACGATGTGCTTAGTTAGGCATTTCAAGCCTATGCAAGTGTTCGGATCCTTTTGATCAGGAGTAATTGCTGAAATTAACGGAGGATTGGAAGAGAAGGAGTGCACGGGTTTGAATTTATGACTAGTTAAAGACAAGAATGAATGATGCTAAAAGAACATACTTCATGAAGTTCTCAAGAGAAAGAAAAAAACGGGGGTTTAATACAGCGAAAAGAGTCCTCCAAACGTAGGGAACCCCCAGGTAGCCGAGCTATTCTTTGATATCCCCATCGCTTACAATAATCCAAATGATGGGACGCATCAAGTGATGCAAGGATTTTTCTTTAGATACGTCGTCTCTTTAAATACGCCGAAGCCAGTTCTCAACCTTCGAATCATAAGGAATCTGATAGCCATGATGCTCATCCTCCCAACCCCGTTGAAGCCTCATAGTCTGCTGAGGCATCGGAGTCTGCTGAGGCATCAGAGTCCGCCGAGGCAGACGACCCCGGGGAGCTGGAGCTGGCAGAGGCAGTAGAAGTGGCGGAGGCGAAGGCTTCATAGCACCTGGCCCAAGATCTTCATCATTGTGAAGGCAGCCATAACTATTCTTCAACTTCTCATAATTCCCGACAGGAACCAACCCCTCCCACTCGAGCCTAAGAATCAAGTACATGGCCCAGGTTCCACAGTCCTGAGGTGGGATGGATTCGGCTTGTTGTACGACTTCATTGACAACTGTTGTCGGAATGCGGGAAATAAGTTGCTTGCTTTCGAATGACCAGCTGTCGAGTCTCTTTTCATAATCATATGTAGGCTCGCGGGCCCCGGGACTTCCTTGGCAGTGGTACCAGGCGCCTCGATCTGCGCCTGGGTTGAACAGGCCGATTATTCGGTGGGTGTTGCCGTTGGTGGATTGTTTGCAGTTGATCCAGTAGATGTCGACATAATCCCGGTCAATGTGCAACATTATGATCTGTGCTGCCCGTGGGACAGTCCTGGGGGAGGTCAATGTAAAAGGTAAAGCGAGGGATAATATTCGGAGCAGAAGAGTGAACTGGCTTTTTCTGTAATGGCCGCTGGTTGTGATGGGGTTGTCTTTCATAGCTGGGACTTGGTCGTTCTTTAAAGTATTTCTCGAGGCCGTCTACCGCGGGGTATACAATTAGTTGAAGCAGCCTCTTTGTGAATCAACACAATGATAAGTCTCGGTATGCAACCCATAGCCTTTGTGTGGCAACCACTTCTTTGCCATGCTTTTCTTCTTTCATCCTACAGAAGGGGAAGATAGGTCCCCTGTGATAGAATATCAAAGGCAACAGCCCTCTCATTGAGCTCACTGGCACAACTTTGACTTACCAAAATGAAGCCAGGTTGAGGAAACGTGACTCGAGACCAAGACAGAGTGATCCTACGGGCCCTTGGAGGGCATTTTGGCGTAAATTGGATTTTCTTTATCATTTTGAGGTTGGATAACTATGAGAACTGCAATGCGCACATTTTGTCTCGGCAACGGAGATCGAATCAACATTTCAAGTTGATTCCCATGCGTAGTTCCTCCTCTCGAATCTCAAACATGACCTGAACACCAACGAAAAGAACAACGCAGCACGAAATCATATATGCGACGCCAGCATATGAGCCCGTCAGACTCGCAAGAAGGTCCTTCAGTCCGTCCAGACCGAGCGCGAATCCAACCAGGTTCGCTATCATCATCATGAGCACATTGGCCACGGAGCCAATACCACTCAGGACGCGATATGCGGTTGGGCGAGAACGCCAGCGATGGGCAGGGAAGAACATACCGCCAAGAACCTCTGGAAGAACGAAGAGGGTGACGAGCCAACCCCACATAAGCAGGCGGAGGTTGATATCATGCCAAAGCGCAACAAAGGTGAACACAAGCATGAAGTTGCGGATCTGCTGGAACTTGACCCAGAAGCCTGATGGTGCAGGTCCTGGCTTTCCTGCGGCGGGCCGCCGTCCAGCTCCGCCCAAGGGTACATAGACGTACCGGACGATCCAGCGATTGTAGGAACGGTGCCAACCGCGCCAGAAAGCGAGGGCGGAATAATTATTGGACATGCAGCGGACCATGTTCTCGGGCGGGTCAATTCCGTCGAGAAGAGCCCAGAAACGGAAGAAGCGCCAGGGGATGAGGAGCTTCAGCCAGATGATGTGCAGGTTAAAGTAGGCGAGCATGCTAAGCTGACCGGATGTGAAGAGTGACCAGTCCGGTGAAGCTTTCGAGATGGCCACTGCGTAGATGTAGTGGAGGATTAGCTCCATGCAGAGCAGGGTAAGAAGGAATCGGACTCCGTAGAGGATGGTGCGGGTGCGTGTCAATGACGGCGCAGTGTATCTTTGCTGCGAGACATAGTCATTGAAGGTCAAGATGGGTCCCGCCAGGTAGAGTGGTGAATAGAGCACGTAGGCGATGTAGTTGCGCATGTTATACGCAGCAGGTTCGGCGGGGATCTTGACACGATCTCTATCTGAAAGGGCCGCGGGGTCTAGTTGTTTCTTCTTATAAATTTCAGTCAGTTGGGAGTCGAGACGAGACAAGCATGTCAGGTGAAATGGGGAAGCATACTTCAATGGGGCTCGTCGCGAGGTGGTCAGCACTCCAATGGTAGTCCATGTTGAAGCTGATCAGCCGTAGCACGGTGACTTTGAAGAGGACCTCCCATCGCGGCATGATTCCTCCCAGGCTATCCAATGACTGCGCCCAGTGGACCAGCATCGATCCCTTCTCTCCCGGTGTGCCTGAGCCTGGTGCGAAGAACAAGGCAATACGTTCGAGCGGGTATCCGCCAAGCAATTCGTTGGCGAACAATATGCAAATGTTGAATGTGTAAGTCGCGGCGGGGACGTAGTTCCGGGGGGGTTTTTGGCAATTTTGTAATTGAGGAACAAAATCGCAATTACCTTGAGGGCCGAAGCTCCATGGAGGGCTGTGATGAAAACCAGGCCAAATCCAAAGTCGAAGCGCATCCGTTGTTCGAGGTGTGCGTCTCCGGCGGCGACCACGGAGGGTTTGGAAGATTTGGGTGCCACATCTTTACGGCTCATGAACGATTGGTAGATGCGACGAGCCACAGGATGGGCGATGAGAAGGAGGGCAAGATATGGAATGTTGTCGCGGAAGCTGGCGTATTGCGCATCGGAGTTGTCCTATTTATTGAGGCAGGTTTAGCCAATGGCGCTTCACAGCGCAGTATTGAAGGCAAAGACTCACGACTTGACGGCCAGGAATCCATCCCGGTGATAAAAGGTTTGAGTATGTAGGGTAGATGGGGTGGTCATCTGGTTTGCAGATCCTCGATCAGTATTCGGTGCTTCCGTGTTTTAGTGCAGAGATCACGCACCCTTGGAGGCGTCGATGACGGTCTTGAACATCAAAGGAACGAGGGTAATGAAGAAGAGGTAGTAGACGAAGAATTCGGGCGTGCGCCAGAGTGATGCCGGAGCATTTTGGGCAATGGCGTTGGCGCGGGCATCTTTAGCGGGCGGAGGTCGCGTGTCCGTGGCAGGGGTAGTTGCTGAGGTCGTGAAGCGAGTGTCGAGGGTATCAAGCGAGTATATCTGCCGTAACCAGGAAATAATGGACGGCATTTTACCGCAATGACATGGCGCGTGAGGAGAGATGGAGGTGTTTACACAGGGTCGAGGATCCGATCAGGGGCCGAGGCAAGCTGATCGCCACTCTGCCAATCACCGCCCGCCAATATTGCGGCTATTCATACACTTCCACTTCAGGGTCCATCAAGTATATTTGGTGTTTGGAAACCTACATTTGGACTACTTGATTTCGGATTGGGGCATACTGTTTAGGCCGCAGTGGCATTATTGAACCAAAAAGCAAGACAGAGGTAATCAAATCATGTAATGAGCAAAATTTGCAAGTCTCCAGATGGCAATCAGACAGATGGTCTTTTGAAAGCTGGTGCTGCCATAGAGGCGTCAGAGCCTGAGCCTCTGGAGAATGCCGCAAGTGTGCTCTTCCGTACAAAGCGTAGACCGAATACAATCATAACGAGTGCTGTAAAGCCCGCAAGAACGCCCAGAGTTACCATCGCACCAATAACACCCGCAACCGCAAGACTCATTCCACCAGAGGAAGACGAGGAAGACGAGGAAGACGAGGAGCCATCTGAGCTCTCATTTGCACTAGAGCTGCAGATACCGGTAGTATTCCCGCAGGACTGGCACCATTGCGACTGAGTGGAAATCGCAAATTGGTTTGTATCGTGGACAAATTGTGTCCATGGAAGGGTGGTCGCAGTCAGATTATATAGTGGATAGGCCTGCAGCTGGGTCGACCCAGTGATACTTGTTCCATTATGGAACATGAAGCGTACACTGATATCGGACTCGGAAGGCATGCCCGATCCAGAGGCGTTCGTCACAAGCTCCCATGTCATTGAAGAAGCATAGTCAGGCATGCCAGTAAAATTCACATTCTCTGCACCGAGTCCTGCAAGACCGAAATAGGACAAAAAAGTCGAGTACGCACCGAATTGAATGTTCAGCTTGGATTTACCACCGGATGTAATTGTCTTGTTCAGAGCAGTGACTACTTGACCGGCCAGCGTCATACCCGCCACAGCGCGGATGGTGTCATTGCTGCTGTATGCGAGGTTATATTCATGGTTATTGGCCAGGACTAGAAGGTTCTTCATCTCCTGGCTTGACGGAAGAGCTGTGCCAGTTCCGTTATGGATAGATGCCACGTTGAGAAGGTCCCAGATGGTGTATGCGTTTTTGAAGCTCAACTGATCCGAAGGGATGATACTGCTAACGTAGGGAGAGAGAGACTGGTACATTGTTTCCGTGGACTTCAACAGATCCTTGTATGAGTTTGAGAACAGATAGTTGTTGCTGCTCACTTCGGCTTTGGAGCAGGATGATGTGCTCTGGAGCCATGTGTTGTCCTCGGAGCCGCTGCCAGACTGAACGTCTGACATGGGGATCAACTGGTAGCCGTTCAAGGGAGACTGGACCGTGGACCCATTGCGAAGGGTCTCATTTGCGGCTGTACCGATCGGCGGGTAGAGACCTTGCAGGAAGGCCTGGCCTGAGTTTTGGATGACAGTGTCTTGTGGAGCGCTGGCTGTGATTTGAGACAGGCTCACTATCTCTGTGCTAATTCCCTCGATTTGGAACGCGGAACTGGAAGAGATATATCGGTTGTTGAAAAAGCTGCCACTCATGTACTCTTCAGTATAGCCGAGGTCGGTCAACTTGGTTGGCGCGAGGGCTTTGGCAGTACGGTCACCATGGCGTTGGAAGATATATGCGCCGAGTATTCTCTCTGCATTGCCCATATCCACCAGGGATAGCGCTAGCAGCACGGTGAATGCGCTTTGAATTGTCATGGCGTTATTTTCGATCAAAGTTGGAAACTTTTTGCAAGAAAAATATGACCAAAAAGTCCTACGCCCTGGGAGACAGTACGGCTTATCAACAAATTTATTGGGGGTGCGGGGGTGCCACAATGTATGACAGTTCCTGGCGTACGGGTGGTGAAGGTTTGGCTAATAGGGTGATGATCGCGAAGACTTTTTGACTTTACACGGTCCAAGTCCTGCATACACGGCGTGGGAGCACGCTCGGGAGCTAGATTACATCTATGAACGATATAAGTCGTTTCTATTGGACGCACTGAACGGCTCAGTTGGAGGTTAGTTGAGGTGGCTTACTGCCAAGGGTTGAAAGAACCATCCCATTGTATACTCACCTGGAGGTGTGGAGCTTGGTTCCCTCAAACGTGTGTGAAAGCTTAAGCCGCGGCATTCACCCCCACCCTCGCTCGGGCCCGTTGACATCAAGACTTGCGATTTAGCTGCAGATATTCTGCAGCGGTGATTGGGAATTGAGGCAAGCGTGTTGGCAGAACGAGAACGATGGGTAGTATTCAAAGTTGCGCCGCTAAGCTAATCCATGGGATCTGACGCCTCTTGGACCGAGAGCACGACTTGCCTTGGATGCTTCTTTCAGACTCGATGGCTTCATGACCGAGGACTAATTTCAGGTTTCTAGGCTGGAGTTATAAGTACCAAGGTTTGCCAAAAGACACGGAGACGAAGCGGGTGTTGAAATACAACGATAATGAAAGCTCTCGAAGGGGATTTCCAGGACCCAATGAGTACTATTTTTATCATGCTTTCCATCATTTCTCCGATGCGTGAGCGCACGACGCCTTGGTCTGCCAGACAAGGACTAGATTACATCTCATAGAGGGGCTGGTTGTCTCAGGAGACCGAAACGTCGAATAATACTCGCCTGGAAGCAAGTCAGCTCGTCGTGCATTCCGGCTTAGCCCAATCGGGAGGGAAGACCGCCTAATCCCGCAATACTATCCTTATCAGGAACAACAAACAGCCAATAGAGTAAAGGAGGTTCAAGCTTACGCTGGTCCGCCACCGAGAGGAATGTCGGGGAATTCGCCCCTAACATTCCTGAAGGGTCCAACTCTAAAGCACGGACTTGAATTGGTACTGAATGCGGCATTGGAGAAGACGTCAACAAAGGAGCTCACTTTTAACCTTTGTTCTGCCTCAATTGTTCTATTATTCTCCGCATTGGAATTGCAGCACGCTGCTTGAAGTAATTGGTTTACCGTCTCCACCGATCCGGCGCCGGAACCCATTGCCGAACAGCACACCCTGGACGCATCATATCAACGCCAATATGGTAGCTGCAATTTGTTTCTTATCTTCCTCACCTAATGAGCTAGACTGATCTTTGCGTCTGTGATTGAGCTCTTTCTATTCTTAGTTTGGATTAGGACCAATGCAATTGCTAGTCTAGATTAGGACCGTTGGAGTTGATAGCTCAGACGCCACTCGGCCCAGTCGGCTCGGCAGAGTCGTGAGGTCATATCAACATTGGCCTGATACCCAGACAAGGATCATATCATGACTTGATCCGGCCAAATCCGGTCCTGATTTGATAGATCCCCGGCTGAAAGCTCCTTTGTGGAACAGTTTCGGCGGGGCCAGGAAACAAGGGAGAGCTTCGAGGAATGTGCCATGGATGATTGCCCGCATCCGACTACTTCACCCACATTGTACTCCAGGAAAATAGGTCTATAAGAAGCGGATGACAGCTGCTGTCTTTTGGTTTTTTAACCAGCAAAGATCCACCTGCAAATTCATCAACCTGTCAACTCTTTCTACCTTACTTCTTACCCTTTCCTACTTTTTGACACTTCAAGCACCATGGAGATCAGCATGGAAAAGGACACCACCAATCGTCCTGATGAGTGGATGATTGAGCAGGGTATGGCCGGCCACAAGCTGCCTATCCTCGACCAGAGTGGCAGCGATACTATTAAACTGTATCCGCCCAACCCGACCAAGTTGACGAAGGATGAAGAGGCGATTCGCTCAGTTGGCGATCGCGAGAAACTGTTCGCGCGCGAGCGTCCAGGCTGGAAAGGGTATTTGATTCCTTCCCAGGAAAGCTTTATTCTTATGGCCCTGAAACTAAAAGACTGTTGTTTCTACTTATAGGTATGTCGAGTGGGAAAATTATCCTGAGAAGAAGGACAAGGCCCACAAGATCCTGACCTCTCAGACCTTCCCAGGCTGCCCCGATTTCATGTTTGGTCCTATTCCTCCAACCAATCCTGTGCTCCCAGGTGATGATTTCAAGGCCTGGCATGCGGCCATTGGTGGAGAGATGACCACTGTTGCCGATGACTCCTGGCGGACGGTGCTGCGTGAGAAGCATCCCGATATGCTTCATCTTCTTCAGTTTCCTTACAACGGAGAGCCTCCCAAACGCCTGGTTACCTCCAAAGCAATCACACCAAATCCTCTCCATTTCGTTCGGAACCACGGTGGTATCCCTTATATCGAAAAGGATAAGTTTGAATTATCCCTCGATGGACTCGTCTCACATCCGAAGAAATATACTCTGGATGATATTATGGATGAGAGCAAGTTTCCTCGTATGGAGACGACTGCTACCATCCAGTGCTCTGGAACCCGTCGTATTGAGCAGATTGCTCTCTATGGTGGTCAAGGCGACGAGGTCCCTCAGGCTCCCTGGGCTGAGGGTGCCATTGGCACCGCGCGATATGTCGGCATCAGCTTGAAGAAATTGATCAAAGATTGCGGTGGTCTGATCAAGCCGGCGAAGCACCTTGAGTTGTACGGTGCTGAAACCTACGTCAAGGATTTGGAAGTTGGCAACTATGTTGTCAGCGTGCCTTGGTCGAAGGTCAAAGCTAACGAGGTCATTCTGGCTTGGGAGATGAATGGCGAGCCCTTGCCCAAGATCCACGGCTACCCTCTTCGAGTCGTTGTTCTTGGATATATTGGTGCTCGTAGCGTTAAGTGGCTTTACCGCATTAAGGCCATTGAGCATCCTTCGCGCGCACCCGTTCAGGCGAGAGAATACCTATATTTCAACCAACAAATTGGCAAGTACAACCAGCGTCCGACCGACGGCATTCAGATCCAAGAGATGCCCGTCAGCTCAGCGATCATGTCACCATGGACCAAGCAAGCCATCATTCATGCGGGCAAGATCCGCTGCAAGGGCTGGGCTTATTCCGGTGGTGGACGCTGGCCCGAGCGTGTTGAGCTGTCGGCCGATGGAGGTTTCACGTGGTATGCAGTGCCGCCCGAGAAGTTGTCGAAGAAGGGCAAATGGACCTGGCGGACATGGGAGTACGATCTGCCTTGCGATGTGGAAGGTTGGATTGAGATTGTCTGCCGATGCTGGGACAACTCTCTTAACACACAGCCACTGAATGTCCGCGCAGCCTGGAACTGGGGTCTTCATGTCACTTCTTCGGCTCATCGTATCAAGGTTTACAGCGTCAACAAGACCAGGGAGGTCACCCAGAAGCGTCTGGAGAAATATGAGCAGATGGGTATTCCTTTGGCGCCTCTCACTCAGTATGAGATCGTGCCAAGTCAAACAGCGGAGGAGTATGAAAAATATTGGAAGGAAAACGAACCTCGCGACGTGGATGAATGATTTATTCCTCTTTGGTTATATCTCTTATATTAAGTCACTTACCTGTTAATCTTTATAATTGCACTTTCAACGTCTCTTTGTGTATCGAGTTACAGTAGCGGCGTCAGGGCGTTACCTACTAAACTCCAGCATCAAATCAATCACCCTAAAATATTTAGCGTCTCCATGTAGTTCATGTTCTCGGCTGGTTTCTCTTAAGGGTGTGGGGAACACAGGGATCCGTTCCATCCCTGCGCCCATGTCAAAAGAATATTCCAAGGTCGGTGCTTGCAGTTGATTCCTTCAGTCTTTTCCTGTTGGTGACCAAGTTCAAGACGTTGTTCAGTTATAAGTCATTGTTTCCAAAATAAATGTCATTCCGTTCTAGCGATCTCTCCATCCTGCAGCAGTCTCTTCTCTATTTGAAAATGCATCTTCCTGCCTATTTATGGTCGAGAGCCCCCAAAGACCGTGATTTTGCTGTGATATCAGTCATAACAAACCTGAGACGGAAAAGGGAAGATTTGATGTCAATATAAGAGATCCTAAGACATTAACGGAACTCCCTTGAAGTCGCTATGTGACGTCTTTCGGTTACAAGGAAAGTGGGCTTTCTCGGTTGATGGAGAAGTGGAGCCAATAACAAAAAATTGAACCTCAATAAAAAATAAAGCTTGAAAGGTCGTGCCCGGGATCGAACCGGGATCGGCGGAATCAGAATCCGCAGTGATGACCATTACACTACACAACCAATTGATTGGTTGTTGTCAAAATAATTGGACAGAGGATTCAATCTTAGATGAGAATCGGGACAAGTTTACCAGATATGGCACTCGGGCGCGGCCAGCCGAAGCATCTTCAGAATGTGAATTTGGGGTGGGAGAAAGGACCCCGGGTATTGGCAGCATCCTTGTAGACTTTAAGATATACGAATCCTTAGAACGTTACCTCCGGGAGATATTTGGGAAGACGTAAACAAGGATTAGCTCAGCAATGCATTGGCCACTCAAAGTGGCGAGTTCATATCCACGATTATTGGATCTCACTTCTAAACATCTACGACCTTCAGTTTCTCTGAACAATACAGCATGGCAATCGAGCGTGTGAGTTTCTGCATATTTACTCGGGCACGGCTATCTCATACGAGGCCTGATTTGCATTGATTTTCCTCGTTGAGAGGCTATATATTACCCCACATCTCGGATGGCTGACCTCGTCCAGATCTTGTTTAGTGTTTCCGGCTCAGTGCAAGGTAAGACCAAACACCCGAGAGCATTTCAAATCAGAGCCTTGTCTTTGAATTCCTTCGAGCTCTCCGCCGCTAACACTGGTCTTTAGGTGTCGGCTTCCGGTAGGAGCTCATTCTCGATCCGACCGATGATGTCATATCAAGTTCAACGAAGAACTGACCAGGGCCAACCTTGATTATATATAGGGATTTTACGCAAAAAGCCGCAGTCAGACAGAAGTTGAAAGGATGGTGTAGGAACACGACCTGCGGAAGGGTAAGTCGGACTTATCTTGCCTTTAGATAGTGTCTACGTACAATCATTGACGAACGGCACAGGTCGAGGGCGAGGTCCAAGGTGACCAAGCTGCTATGAAGAAATTCCTACAAGAGATTGACAAAGGACCACGAATGTCGCACGTGGTCAAGGTGGAGAAGAAGAACATGGAACCCCATGAGCGTGAGGACTCTTTCGAGGTACTGAGAACGGGCGAATCTATGTTCCATTCAGGATCTTGAATCTTGAATTGTCTGCGACGCAAATGGTTGAATGAAATAGTTGGGCTGTGTACTACTTTGATATAACGACAATGTCATTATGCTTATACGCCTCGTGAACCTTCGACTTTTTGTCCAAGTTTCGCCCAGAGATCTTTGTCTAGTCCCACTACTATTGTCCAGTCTAAGCAAATTCGAGCAGCGCTCAACCCGTGGGCTCACTTGAGGCTCAATGGTTTAAATATGTATGTGTTTTCTCGTCATCTACTTGTGGCTAGCACGGACTGTGGCTCGACGCTGATCGGCTACATACGCGCCGTCGAGCAGCCCCGCCCCGCCGTGGGGCTGTTTCTCTACAGGTACCATCAACGCTATGCAATGCTACCTTAAAGCAACCACAACTGAAATGAACTATGGATGAGTAGCTATGCGCATAGTCCCTAGATGTATCCTAAGTGAGAGGACCTAACAATATTCGGGCTGGACACGATCGACTCAAAGTAGCTCTTTTGGATGTTTTTTAGAATTGTGGTATATTAACTCATTACTGTGCCTGTGCTCTAATCGATAAAATAAGGGCCATTATCGTTCCCAATTTCCACCGCAATTGTCTGGCTATTGTTACCTCGTAGGGCCAAAGAAAGTCCTTGAGCTGCACAAAAATGCGAAAAACGGTGCGAATGAAGTCAAATCCATCGAGACGACAAGACCGACCTACAGAAAATCAGAATTCATAGTAGAAGAAAGAGGGGACGGCATCCGTATTGGCAAGCAAGCAAGAGAATTAACCAATTCGAGTAAGAGTAAACGCACACGAATATTATAATGAGGCGAAGTTTTAGGGGCTCAGGCTGAGGCTGACTAGATAGGGCCCATGGTCTGAGCTCCAATCAACGGGTTTAGATACCCGCGACGCTCTAACAAATCAAGTAACGTGCTGAGCGCACGCCGAACGCAACGAACCCACCAGGGTCTGGAGATCTTATAATACACCAGGGGTTCAGCGCGCTGACGTGGACCCGTTCTGATTTCCAGGATTCACTGATTTGTTTAGGCCGCCTATCTTGAAAGGATTCACCCTCACCTCCTATAATCATCAGCAGCCCATTGTGATATTCCTCTTTGTATTCAGTTTCCGCTCACCCTCGAGAATTGATTGACTTGCCCTTTGGGGCCCGCACGATGTTCTCGGTCTCCAACTTGAAGAGTTCGCGCTCCGTGCGCGTAGTCGTCGTTCTTTTTATTTCTCTCACTCTCGTTTACTCTTTTTATCTGGGCTGGAAACCGTTACATACGTTGTCCCCCAGCTCCAAGACTTCATTACAAACATCTGCGACCGGTAGCGCGGGCTCAATACCCCACACTCCTCCAAAGGGTCCTTTAAGCAGTGACCCTAAGAGTTACTCTATCACGAATACAGCAATCAACGGGGTTCCAGACAAGGTTTGGCACTCGGCCAAAACCGATAGCATTTCGGAACAGCAGCGAGCATACATCAACAGCTGGACAGACAAAAATCCCTCTTTCCGCCATGAGCTGCTGACCGATCGTTCGGCCGAGGCATTCGTTCGAGCATACTACCAGCAGACGCGGCCCGATATCGTCCAAGTCTACGAAGGCCTCTCAATCCCAATCTTACGGGCGGATCTCTTCCGCTATCTAATCATTCTCGCCAAGGGTGGATACTGGAGCGACCTGGATGTCTCGTCTGAGAAACCTTCCGCTGAATGGGTACCGGCGGAGTACAAAGGCCAGCACATCGACATGATCGTCGGACTAGAATTCGACTTTGAGACGCGAGGACCCGGAACAGAAGTCGCTTCCCAGTTCTGCAACTGGGTGTTCTCGGCACAGCCATCATCTCGCAATCTCCAAGTCATCGTCGACTCGGTGGTCAACACATTGAAGAAGATCGCCAACGACAACAACGTTTCCATTTCGGGGATCACGCTGGAGATGCTTTCAGATGTGGTCAATGTCACTGGGCCCAAGATCATGACAATTTCAATCCTGGAAGGTCTCAAGCAGTTGTTGGGCAGAGAAGTCGATGATCGTGATTTTGCGGGGATCAAGCACCCGAAGCTTGTTGGCGATGTTCTGATCATGCCTGGGGTTTCCTTTGCTGCGGCGCAGAATGGATTCCCGAAGGACCAGGGAGATGCTCTTGTCACGCACCATTATGAAGGCTCGTGGAAGCAGGCTGACGCGGAGGCGAAGGAAAGGAAAAAGCAACAGCAGACACAGTCAGGAAGACGAAGCCATGTAACTATGTAATTACAATGAATAAGTTTAAATTGACCATCAAGATAGACAATGCAGAAATTTTACAGCGTGCATTTTGAACAAAAGACACACGGACTACATTTGAGAGATCTAAAAAAATTCTGCAAGGGTCCCGGTGAAGTATATAGATCCCGAGAGTGAATTTGAGGCCGATAAATTCTCGGAGTCGGTGACTCAGGACACCGAAACGGGCTTTGCTTACACTCAACCCGGCTACGCCCGAAGTCACCTGCTCAGCTGGCGCCCGAAATGACGGTAATCGGGTGACGGGTTCAGGGCAGGGGCCAAATGGAGGGCAAACTATGATGATAATGGGTAGGGTTTAAGGGATGCTTCTTGTCCTCACTTAGTCTGTATGACGATCATCGACTGACCATCGGATCCGATGTGATTGCATCGGAGCCGCAAAACGGGAATGCGGTGGAGTGGAGTCCGTTGCACACTGTAAATTACCGTCAGACCAATGACAGACTAGGAATGTCATCATTCAGGTACATCTGTTAATTATGGGAATCTGGTTTCAAGGAATCGAGAATTTTTTTTATTTGTTAATTCTTTTTTCTTCGGCTGACTCTGATCGGGATTTGAAGGGTGAGGACGAAAACCATAGACTGGGTCGGACCTATAAAACGTACTTTCGGGTCGCTGTCTATTCTCTCTTCCTTCTACCATTTACTCTAATATTCACCAGACACAACTGAAAGAAAAAGCTGATTATACTTCTAGCTTACACCATGAGCTTTATATCAGTATCAACTGCAGCACCCTTACGGGTTGCTGCTCGTCCCACCGCATACTTTCACCTGGCTGTTCGAGCCTACTCGGCTGTCGCCGTCAAGGGCATCAATGGCTCAGCGCGAGCAAACAGGAATCCGGCATTTTTCACCTGCACATCAAAGCGCTCCATCTCGTCAACACCTCAGAACCAGATCACAGAGTTTTTCCCTCCTCCTAAAGAGCCAGGCGTGAAAGAAGTCGAATCGGCCTGGGTTCATCCAGTGTAAGCCTCACCGGCTCATGCCTTGCTAGTTGTCTTGCTAACCCGAGTCCAGTTACACCGAGTCAGAAATGAAGAGCATTCAAATCGCACACCGTGAGGCAACGAATTGGTCAGACTGGGTCGCTCTCGGTACCGTCCGGGTCTTTCGATGGGGCATGGACTTCGCAACCGGCTACCGACACACCGAGCCGGGCGAGCATACACCGGAGAGATTCAAGATGACTGAAAATAAATGGATGGCCCGTTTTGTCTTCCTAGAGAGCGTGGCAGGCGTACCGGGTATGGTCGGCGGTATGCTTCGCCACTTGCGCAGTCTCCGCAAGATGAAGCGCGACAACGGATGGTATGTACCGGCGGCCATTGGAATAATCAAAGAACCGAAAGATCTGACAGCATGTCTAGGATCGAAACCCTCCTAGAAGAAGCATTCAATGAACGCATGCACCTCCTAACTTTCCTCAAACTTGCCGAACCTGGCTGGTTCATGCGTCTGATGGTGCTGGGCGCTCAAGGCGTTTTCTTCAACGGCTTCTTTATTTCCTACCTCATTTCACCTCGCATCTGCCACCGCTTCGTTGGTTATCTCGAAGAAGAGGCCGTCATCACCTACACCCGCGCCATCCAAGAACTCGAGGACGGCAAACTCCCCGAATGGGAGACCCTTCAAGCACCTGAGATTGCAATCCAGTACTGGCAGATGCCGGAGGGCTCACGCACCATGCGGGATCTTCTCATGTACGTTCGTGCAGATGAGGCTAAGCATCGCGAGGTCAATCATACGCTTGGCAACCTGAAGCAGGCGTTGGATCCTAATCCCTACCAGTCCAAGTACCGGGATCCGACCAAGGAACATCCGAGCAAAGGCATTGATAACCTCCGAGGAACTGGATGGGAGAGGAGTGATATCTTTTAAATGACTCTTGCTTTTTCATATTTTTCCCTTTTTTGCCTTCATGGCGTTGGTGGTGGAACATCGCATCTCATCTGTACATATTTACAGGCCAACGCGGCCCAAAAGACACTTTTGTTTGGGACGCGGAACGCGGGGCAAAGCTAACCCGACATGGCAATTGAATCACATCGGCAAAGATTGTCGAGCTTGACATTATTTAATGGAAAAAAGATGTAACTTATAAACTAGTCCAATATTGGACTATGTAACCAATTGCACTGCCGAGGTCATATTCTATCACAGCTAGTACAATCATGATAATTAGGGCTGCTGCAGATAGCGTGTGTGACCCGCCCCTTTCCCCGTTCGGTCCGCCCCTTTTGACCCAAAGAAGTTTCTCGGCCGCTGATCAACGACTTCATTTAAACCTCGTGGCCTTTGTTCCGCCGTTGGCCGTGCGACCAACGGTCTCGCCTGGCTTTTTCTTGTCGACTACTGTATCTAGTGGTTTCCTACACCCGCATTCCTGTCTTCAAATCTTGTACACATTCCGATCCCGGTCGAGCCATCCCCCCATCGAACCATTGAACAGGTGCGACACCAATTTCAGAACGCCATGGAGCCGCAACTTATGGACAATGACTTGTCTCCCCCCGTTCGCTCCGGATCGCCTTCACCTTCCGTTCCTGCCACACCAGCGATCTCATCGTACTCCTCGCCAGATCGAACCTTCTCCTCCGTCTCATCCCACTCCGCATCTTCAGCGACCTCGGCAGACGCACGGTCTTCGGTCTCAACTTCGTCCCGCCGCCATGGATACATCCGCGCTCTTGGCGCGGAATTCGCCGACTCAGCTCGCCATCGAGACAGTGTCATGAGTCTGGGTAGTATCGCACATTTACAATATTATTTTGCGAGGACGGGCCTGCTGGATGGGAAATCTGGCCGCGGAAAGGAGTTTAAGAAGAAGAACAAGGACAATGTTCCCCGGGTGCTCATTACACCAAATGAGCAGCATATTGATGACCTCGTCAACAGTCCGACGGATATGTCGGAGTCGGCGGAGGTAGACTCTATGGAGGATGAGGAGGGGGAGGTAATGCTACCTCCCACGGTTAGCACTTACAGTATCAAGACACATCACATTCCACCCCCGCCTGATCTGATCTCTCTCCGACGAGATTTGCAAATGGCATTGGACAAGGCGGAGGCCATTATCGAGGCAATTGAGAATGGCGCAGAGCCTTCGCCCCGCGAGCCTGTTCGGACCAGTCTTTCTCCGAGCGATATCTCGGAGAATATGGAAGATGATGGATCGCATGATGTGCCCACTCCGCAGACCAAGGAGGAAGCGCAGGGAATGTGCATTCTAGATGACGTGACCATGGCTATCCGAGCAGCCAAGATCTACTACACCACCCATGAAAGCCCGGAGCGCTTGGCTTCAATCAAAAGTGAGCGTGAGATTCGTAAGGATCTTTTCCATGTTCTTGATGTCCTGAAGCGCTGGGCTGCGAGACACTTTGCCACAGGACTTCGGGATGAGGAGCGCGATGTGATCAAAGGGTGGATTTCCGGTGTTCGCATAATGCTTGTTCGCGAGAGGGCATTGGAAGACCTAGAGGCTCGGGAGCGTGAGAACTGGGACTGGGCTCAGGGAGACTGGACCGGACGAGAGCGAGCACGCGAGGAATCCTTTCTTCGGAGTTTGTTCCCAGATGGCCATACTTTGCCAGACTGGACGCCAGTTGAAGACTCACCCAGCGACTCCCTCCCAACAGCATTTCTCGCCCGTTTCAGGGATGGCCGTATTCTGGTGCAGTTGCACAACATTGCCGTGAAAAAGTCCAAGCACCCGTTTGGCGAAATCAAGACATACCACGCAGATGTCGCGAAACCATACCGACAGGCAGAGAACCTCCGGTTCTGGATCAAAGCCGCTGAATTGCGATGGGAGCTCCGACTCAAAGTTGACGTGATGGAGGTGGTACAGGGCAGTAACGAAGTGGCCTGGAAGCTATTCGACACAGCCTTGCTGGCCTGGTGCAAGACGGTACGCGAGGAGCTGGTGCGAGACTGGCAAGCGGCCAATCCAGGCCGACCGCCGAGTGCCGGTCTGATTTGAGGTCCACAGTCATTATTTGCATATTCTCGGTCTTTGTTTTTATACGTTTTGGTTCTCCTTTCTGCTGCGGGCCCTTGGCTATAGATACCCCTGAAATGTCTCCGAATATTCTGCCCATCTCCGCATCCGGTTTTGGTTTTGGCCCGATTACTGGCCCTGTCCGGAATTTTCTTGCATAGTGTTATACTTTTCACTTCTTCCTTTCTTTTCTGGGGACTTGGCGGTTATGGTTACAGTGTAGATGCATAGATGAGCATACGCCTAATACATAGTCATATCAAAGGAAACACGTCCACTGTTCTGTGCAGCCCCCGTCGCACTGACGCTAGGGCACATGGCCGCTGATCGGCCCCTTGAAATGAACGCCGAGCCGAGCTTCAAAGGTTCATAGATCGGCGCGAACGTTTATGGTCGAATGTGCTTGACCATGTGATTTGAGGTGATGGAATTCAAGGAGATCTATATTGGAGAGGACAGACAACCGTAGTGGATGAGCTAGGGAGTCTTGAATTTATCCAAGGATATTGGATCCGCAGGGCGCCGATCCCTTGAATTACAGAGGGGGAGGCGCGGGTACCTGGTGCCCCATAGTCAAGCGGGCAGGCACGGAGGTACCTGTGTACCTGGGTACCTTTTATGTAGCCACTTCATCCCTCGTGTCTTAAGTTCGCTGCCCAAATGTTCGTTGTTATTTGTTAAATACCGTTTACCTTTTTCTTCTCGTTGAAACCCGGTCATGTAGCTATCCAATTCCTGAGTCTATCTTTGACAAACTATCCGAGCTCATCTCAACCCTTTTCGCCAACCGAGACGAAACATTCCTTGTCCATCCCTACCTGAACCACCCTGTTCTTTCAAACCACCCAGGGTCTTATCCATGCACGCCACAGTCGGCGAACCAACTTCTTCAGCGACTGACATCGCACCGCCCTCCTCCAGCGCGTCGGTCTTGTCGGCATCTCCTCCCCCCGCCGGCTCCCCAAATGAACACGGACCATCCCCTCTCCGCCGCTTGAAATCCAAGTCCTCCCTCTGGAGTCTTGGAAGCAGCAAACACAGCGCTCACGAAGACGAGGCTCAAGAACCCAGCAGCGCGGAAAAGAACAACGGTAACATCTTCCTCCGCCGCCTGTCGCCCGCCCTCGCGGCGAGGGTTAAGCTCCTCGAACCCGGCAGCAAAGTGACCAGTGCGCCTCGCAACCCTGCAGTCGGCCGGATACCGGAATCTCATATCAAGGAGCTGGACAGTCTACACCAGGATCTGTCAATCAAGGTTAGGCGGAGGGGCCAAGCGTGGAACGGAACAACGTACACATCTCCACCGACAACGCAGACACCACACCGCAGCGCATCCAACACTCTTGAACTACCCAACCACGATTTTCTACGAGAAATTTCCGAAGCTCTCAGGTCCGGGTCAGGATCAGAATACGCCGACGCCGTCATTGACGGCCCAGAGCTCCCCATTCTAGCCGCGTCACTGCCCGTGCCAGTTCTAGACGCACAGAGCAACTCTCCGCCGACGTCGATGTCTGTAGTGGAATCCGCCTCAGCGCCACCGCGCGCTAATGCAGAGCTAACCGAAGAGCCTGTGCCGAACGAGAAGACGGAAGATACGAGGACCGATTTTGAGAAATATGTCGACGATACGAAACGGCATGAGGAGCAGGCGCATGATGTACCTCCTGCTCCCCCACCTAAAGATTCCCCGCCTGCTTCGATGCACTCTTCTTCAAACTCGCAGTCATATTTTAATTCAAGAGGGGCTCAGCGTGCTGATTCAATATACTCTTTCTCGCGTGCATCGTTCAGCAACCAGCTCTCCCAACTGACCTCCATTCCCCTCCCACAAGCTGAAGTACTCGAGACGAGCATTTCGAATATTGCGACGGCTCCCGCCGCCGTCCGGGTCTTGAATGGTCATGCTGATCAGATTCAAATATGGATCTCAAGAGCTTCCAATGTCCTCAGTGGTTTGGATGCGGAGGATGACGTGGAGTGGGCAGCAGCAGGTGGCCGAGAAGGTCTTGAAGGAGTGGACAAGGCCATTGTTCAGTTCGCGACACTCGTCAACGTTTACATGACATCAATCGAAAACGTGCAACTAAGGGAGGATATCGCTAAGGTCGATGCCGACAGCTTGAGGACCATGATCAGCCAGATGGAGACGATCACTACAAAATGGACAGGGATAGAGAACAAGCTGAAAGGCGTGAAAGGACTTGTGGAACTCGCAATGGAATGGGAAGAGCTTTGGTCCAATGTCCTAGGCGACGTGGGTATGGAGATCGACAATCTAAGTGGAATGATTTTCGAAATGGAAGAGAAACGTCACCAGAGTCTCATGGACCCAGTTGAGCCTGCCGGTGGTCTTGATATCAATGAACTCGAGACAATTGTGGAAGAATCTCCGATCAAGGGCCGGTCACCTGCTAGCCGCTTGAGTATTGGTCCCATGTTGGCGGCGGCGGCCGGTACGCCCGTCATCAAGACTCCGCAGGATGATACGAGTTACTCTAATCTCATGGCTTTGTTTGCGCGCATGCAACCGTTGCGTGCATCTTTGGATTTCTTGCCCATGCGGCTTTCAATGTTTCAGTCACGGGCTGAGCATGTATTCCCGAGTGCGTGTGAGGAACTTGATGAGCGGCGAGATCGCCTGGAGAAGAGTTACAAGGTGCTTGAGACTGATGCGACGGCTTTGAAGAAGGAACTGGGAGAGGATAAATGGATTATAGTGTTCCGCAACGCTGGCAGCCAAGCACAGAAGATGTTTGACTCAGTTGAGCGGAGCATTGCCAAGTTGCAAGAAGCCTTGGAGAGCAACTCACAGGTGACTAACCCGTCGAGCTTGACCAAGCGGATGGAGAATTACGAGGCGAAGAAGATGCACTATGTGCCTGCCATCGAGCGTGTGATTACGATTATCCAAAAAGGGGTCAATGATCGTTTAACAGTCAATGGCGAGATCTTGCGACTCTTGTCAGATATGACCTCTCGAACGGATGCTCTTAAAGCGAGCCTTCGGGTGATGGATACGTCTTTGGAAGATGTGCAGATCATCAGGGGCCAGCAATTGCGAGATTCTATCTCGAGCATCGTCACAATGGATAGCCCAGCAACAGGCAGCGTGATCGACACACCCGGCAGCTCGCCTGCATCGTCAGTAATCATGGGCGGGAATGGGTGGAAGACGCCTTTGGGTGGCTCAAGCCGTCGCGAGAGCTCCGCTGGCAGTGCTTCAGCACGTTCCACCATGTCCAAAGTTCGACGGTTTTCTGGAATTCCGCAGGCGGCGGCGACTTTGACTGGACGCAAGTCCTCCATCCCAATACCAGCCGGTCTGGCATCTCCAACACCCTCTTACGCCAGCTCCTCTATCACTCCGACACCCGCTTCTCGCAGACTATCTCGCACTCCTCAGCCCACCTCTACCATCCCGAATCGTCCTCGATGGACCAATTGTACGAACTTGAGCGAGGACTCTAGCAATTACACTCTCAGAAATTCATCCGCTCCGGCGCGTACGCCTCGGCCATCGTCCACCCTCGCCAATCCATTCCGAAGAGAATCCACCGCTTCTCCTGCACCGGGAGCAGGTCCGGGACGATCTCTCAGTCGGATATCGAATCGACTGGCTTCATCGTCCCGCAGTCCCGCGCGGAACTTCTCCTCCCCCACTCCCACCCGATCCTCCCTGCTTGATCCACCCCCTTACAGTCGCCTTCGCCGACCCCCAGGCTTGTCCGATGCCCCTCGCAGCCGCCAAAGCTTCGCCGGCATGCCATCATTCGGTCGGAGTGTCTCACGGAACCAAGAATCATTCGACAGCCCGAACAAGTCAGCGCGCCCCGGCACTGCCCTGGGTCATTCAACAAACAAAAGAGCCAGTCTTCTCCCTCTACCCAGGCGAAGTGATAAACCGGCCGCCCAGCCGGTGGACACAAAACCGCGATGGAGAGCCTGACCTCCTCGCCCCTCCAACCTCATCCTCATCCTCATCCTCTATCCTATATCCCTACCATTTTCTCTTCTATCCTTGTCTTATGTTTTATCTACTTGTGCATTACTGCCGGCCTTCTCGGTAAAAGCTAGAGGCGAAAGGCGCAACATGAATATTGAGGGTCAGGTTAAGCGTGATATCCCCATTGTTGCATGGAATGGTCTGAGCGTTGGGTCACGTCTTCGGTTTCTTGTTTCTTGTTCTTTGGCCGATGTGAATATTACCTCTTGTAGTTTACTATTTCTTTTCCGCTTTGAGATACTAGATTTTTGTTCACTAGAGTGTGGCTTTGCATGGTGTTGATGTTTCGGTCATTCATCAATTCGTTTAGATGTTATATACATTCTATCACCTCAAGAGCATTTCTTCCTCTCCGGGGTTCAAGTTTGTAGGTATTTCAACCTAGTTACCCAGCTCCCGTCCGATAATCAAAGCATCAACCAATTCCTCGCTATTCGCGAGACGAGCTGCCTTTGGAACTCGTCCGATCACGTTGAAGCCCAGCTTCTCCCAGATGCGGATCGAGGCTGGGTTATTGGCGAAAACCAGGTTGAAGACAGAGTACTTGTATCCCTGTACACTTGTGTGTTAAAAAAAGAATGTCGTACAACTCGGGACTAGATCTTACCAGCTTAGGCGCAAACTCGAGGTAGGCCTCGCCCATCGCCTGTCCGACACCCTTTCCTCGCGAAGCAGTGGTGGTGATGAAGCCTGCATTGCAGATGTGCGAGCAGCGGCCTATTTCAATTAGCATCACCACTTAATTCCGAACCCTAGAAGGAAACTCACCGGGATAATTAGGCTTAATATAAAAAGTTCCCAGACAAACCCTATCCCACTCCCTCCCCTCCTGCAACCCCCTCAACACCCTCCTCATCCAGCACCGCCAGTACACAAAATGTACCAAACCAGTACTGAGCAAACTGTTCCAGCTCCATAGGCTGTTCCATGGGATACGTGGAGCCACGCTCGATCTCCGCGCTGAACTCCGCATGCAGGAACTTGATCAGATCCTTGGGCACGCTGGACGGACCACCTGTGATCGGGTAAAGGGTCATTCCCGCCCCGCTGGCCTTGGGCAGTGTTGTGTGCCGGGCTGTTAGAGAACCCGCGGCTTGGACGTGTGCCTGCGGTGGGGGGTTGTGGGAGGAGGGGTCTTCAAGCATGGCAGGCATCTTGGGTGATTAGGGGAATTGAATCGTGATATAGAAGTAAGGAGTGTTGATGAGACTGTACAATCTGACGCAAGACTCAATTAGGACGCTTGAGTCACAGGATGGGTTGTATGAAATGCTATCTCCAATTATCCGGCCCGACTTCGGGGCTTTATAGCAGACTTATGTAACGTCCCCACCCGCGCCCTGTATACTACATGCAAATCTACCATTATCTCGATGATTGGATTCCGTTCAATTTTGATAAGTGCTATCTCTTGAATCTCGATCCCGGGACTTGTGCTCCATTTCTCCGTCTACTTGGTACCAAGCATTGCGGCGATCAGATGCAGCGTGTTCCTGTTGATTCCGGTAATATTCCCGAGATACAACTGGTAATGCTCTGGATGGGAGGAAAAGAAGACGCCCTCGGTAATTTCCTGTATTGTTGGCGAAGGCGCTACAATGCCAGTGCCGAAGAATATGGGTGTAAGGAACGGGATAATCATAGAGTGGATTAATTTGCCTGATACGTTGATCTTGACATAATCGTCTCTATAGACTCCATTGGAGTTGCTGAGGTAGGTTGTCAGCCACTGGGTCGCATTGGTGGTTTCTTCCTTGAGGACATTGTCCAATGCTTGCTCATCTTGGTCGTACAATTGGCTTTTGAGGCTCAACACGTCTATTCGGACTATATTTAGCTCTTGCGTTATGGCTGCGGCTGCGGCTGTCTCGCTTGGGTCGGGAACAGGTGTTGCTGTGCCGTTGTGTGGGATGTGAAGAAGGGCACGGTTGGCTGCGCGGAGCTCCAGACGATCGACGTAGCTTTTGTCTATTAATCCAGAGCTTGTGTCGAAGGTGAACGGCAAGCCGTGGATACTGTTGAGGGCTGATGAAGGATCCAAGGCGACGGCGTTCGTGAGGAGCTAGAGCAATGCGCAATGTTCAGGAGAATGTATGAAATGCCGAGCATGAATTCGTTACAAAGTAAAACTCGAATATTTGAATCTTCTTGGATTGGGCGCCAAGCTAGAGCAATATAGAATGCCATTGATGGTGAAGAAAGAATCGGCCAAGGCCACTTTTCCGGGCGTGGAAAGTGCGACACCCTGAGTTGAGGAAGATATCTACACATTTCAAGGTTGAAGATCGCCGACAGTCCTGGGGAGATTTCACTGTCTTATAGCTACCCGCGGACTTCTTGTACCCAATTGAATTGCCTGATTCCATACAATTGTCTTCTCTTCTCATTTCATCTTAAACCCCAAAACGTGAAGTGCCCAGGTGGATTGTGGGACACGGGGGATTGGAAGGGCTTAAGTGCTACCAAGCAGTCTAGTATTGTGATCCGGTCAAGTTTGCAGCCTGACAGCCCTTGACCCGATATTCATTAAATGCAAACATAGGATCAGCATTCTCGACTAGGTATTTAATGCATCTATTACGATATTCCACGGCCAGGTACCTAGATAGTCGCCCCCCTCCCACAATTTCGGGTCAGCGATATATCACGGCAAGTTCGGCTTCCCGGGTTGGAACGGCAGCCAGCATGCTCATCCTGATGAAAGGTACATCATAGGTACAATCCAACTTAAGTCTACGGTGGAAGTGAATCTCTCTGATGTGAGGCGCTTTCTATTTGTTGCAGAGATATAAATACAGAGGTGTCGCGCAAATACCGAGGGATGCCCGCATCTCGATACCGTCGTAGAAACCACCAATTCGCCTCATCGTATGGCTCATTGTTTCTCACCCTCACCCTCCTCGCCTTCGCCTCCGTTCCGGATAGCTTGCATAAGCTCGAAGAGCTGTCCAATTTGCTGATCTGAAGGAAGGCCAAGTTAGCACACCGCAACAAGTTTCGACAAGACCGATCTTACCGCTCATCTTGTTCAACTTGGCCTCATCCAGCTTGTCACCAGCCCAATTATCACCTTCCAGCTTCTGCGCGTAGAGCTGCCACTCTGTCAAGAATCCGATCTGCCAATACCCGTCAGTCCCGATCCTGTAGCACCACCTTGAACACTCTAATCTTTTCCTCCTTTCTCTTCCATGTATCGACGGGGAGAAGCGAACGTACGATGTGCAGCGGGTTTTCTGCGGTCCGATGCGCCTGGAACTCTTTTCTCACGTATGAATCGCCAAGCAGACGCATTTGCGGGTCGAGCTTGCGGTGGACGCGCAGGATGCGGCGGTACAGCTGCAGCGGCGGGAGGAGGGCAAGAGCCTCGGTAAGGCTAGATTTGGAGCCGATTGAGGCCGGCGTGGCCATAAGGAGGCGGTGGGCGACGCGCATCGTGGCGGTTGTGGATTCTCTCAAAGTTGACGAAATGACATAATAGCTGGGGAAGTTGGAGATTCCTTTTTGGAGTAGGAAGGCGGCGAGCCCGCGCGGGCGAATCATCGCTGCCGCTGCGAACTTTTTTCTTGAATATCACGGCACTTTGGTCCTCTCTATTGTGATCTCCTGGGCACTTTGTTAGTATCTCGTACGGGCTGAATCCGGTGTTCATTCTTTGTATTCGGTGCGATCTTACTATTGGAACTTGCCTGGGTGCCCCGCGGCGAATCTTTAAGACAACCACTCCCAGCATCAAAAACCACCGAGAGAGAGCAATATATCGAACCTAGACGCTATATTCACTATGCTACCAACACCTGATACGTCACATGTATCGTTTGACACCATTTACGAACCATCAGAGGACTCATACCTCTTCCTGGACACACTATCCTCGCCATCAGAGTCAAAATGGCTCACTGAGAAATTTCAAAGTGCCAACCCAATGCCTCTAGTGGTCGAAGCGGGCACAGGCTCCGGAGTGGTGCTAGCTTTCACTGCAGCTCAATCCCAAGAAATATTCGGACGTCGAGACATACTCACGTTAGGGACCGATGTGAATCGCAATGCCTGCATTGCAACCCGACAGACGGTCTCAACAGCCATCAAAGAACAACAAGAAGCGCAAGAAAATCCTGCCGATTCAAAACTGCATGCTGTTCACGCTTCATCTATTACTTCCGATCTCTGCTCTGCGTTGCGTCCCGGCAGCGTCGACGTTCTTCTTTTCAACCCACCATATGTCCCCTCGGAGGAATTACCACGTCTCCCCTCAGCGGAAGAAAATGACCCCGTCACGGCAAAAGCCATGTCTCGCTCTGCCAAGTTCGAAAATGATTCATACTTTTTGTCACTGACGTACGCGGGTGGCGCTGATGGTATGGAGACCACAAATCGGTTATTGAATGACATCCCGGGTATCCTGTCATCCCGTGGAGTCGCATATGTGCTGCTCTGCAAGCAAAATCGGCCTGACGAAGTGATAGGACGTGTTCGGAACCAGGGTGGATGGTGTGCTGAGATTGCTGGTTCTAGTGGTAAGCAGGCCGGTTGGGAGAAGTTGGTAATCGTTCGCATATGGCGAGAGGATCGTTCCTGAAGGACTGAGCCGAAATAATGCATATATTGGCATTTGATATGGTGCATTTGCTGCTAGATTTTTGTTTTATACCACATGAATTGTATTCATGAGATTATCATTCCACCAATTCGAGCATCAAGATTCACTGAAGTGGCAGCATATTGGATACTTGACTTTTACAAGGATCAACCGACAAGGACCAACGTACATTTCTATTAATTTTTTTGGCGCCGCAAAACCTACGAACTCCAGGCGTCGCGGCTTGACCCCGAAAAGTCTAGAGCGTGAGTATTAGAGATAGTCCGAAATATTCTGTCTAAATAAGTCGTCGCCTCAAGCGGTCCACCGAGAAAAGGATTTAACGCCCGACAGGCTTCATAGCCAGATTAATCTATCGGAACAAAGATTCCTGGGTATAAATTAATTTCGGGCAACACCCTATCTGGCCCACGTGGGCACCCTGTTCTGCAGGGCCCCATTCCCTTGGATCGTCTGATTCTTCCAGGCGTGGAAGAATCCTTCGGCTTAGCCCGACGCCGGCCCTTGTTGATAAAAATACGAGGAATAGTAATATAATTAGCGCAGACCGACATCCGGTCTGACATAATATGGGGAGAAGACGATCTAGACATAAGAAGCTGCGAACGAGGGGATATTATTGGTCTGCATGCCCTAGCTTGCTAACACAAGTTCACTATGTCATGATCAGAATAAAGCGTATTCTAGCTGATCACTCGCCCTATTCCACGGCTGTCAGCTCGGAGTCTATCCTAGTCTCCGGCTCCGTGCTCACTTACCCCGAAGCCCGATATTCCGGGCGCAGAACTAGGGAAAGGAGCATGCCATGTGGCTTTGCTAGGCTAGCCCCCAAGGAGTCGCATTGTGCACCTGTATGTATGTATGTATGTATGTGTATGTATGTGTTGGCACTGATGGTGGAGCGATTCTCATGCTTTAAGCGAGCCATGATCCATTCAAGCCTGCCTTGATTCGCAAAGGTTGCCTTTCTGGGGGGCAGACCTTGGGACAACAAACCAACAGCAGCGTGTGCTTCAACACTAACCGTGCCAGGGGAACGAGAACGAAGTTATAATGAACGATAAAGCTCAAATACAATCAAATTCTTTGTGTAACGCAATAGACAACGTCAGCAAAAGGCAACAAACACTCCCTGTTCGGTCTTAAGCTTTTTGGCCCCTTATTCTGATTATGCGTCGGCTTTGGATGCTCAGACCCCGAATCATAGTTCTTCATTCCCCGAAATCTCCACCCAACTGACTTGGGATCAAAAGACTAGCGTTTGAACTGTACAAGGGAAATTGAGATTGGATTGTCCGATCTGAGATACAGGACACGAGATAAGTCCAACACTCTCGTGTTTGACACATGGAAATAAAACTGTCCTAGGTTCGGACAACGCCCTTGGGGTTGGTTTTTACGGATCGGAAACATGCCGACTGTGCCGCTTGGGGGCGAGAAGCTGTCACGACCATGAACCCCGGACCTACCTGCCAACAATTACGTACCTTGCAGATCTTACCGCAGGCTCTTCTATTACAGGTTCAGTTCTTCGGTGTATTTCAATTCTTCCGTCTTGGACCGGGGTAGTGACCGTGCTCGATCAAAGTTTCCACCTTGGGACGGGAACCGGCAAAAGGTCGATAATGAATCGAGGTACGATCGGAGCCACCTGCCTCATCCTGAGTGGGTAATCAGAGAGGTCGATGGAGTTGTAAACCGATGTAATTTGAATACATGCATGTGAATGATGGAACATGACATAGTGCACTACCCCGACACTTACAAGGCTCGTAGATATCAAACTTGAAACACCGCCTTCTTTTTAGGATATGTCCAACGCGCACATTAAGAGTAGTAAGATCAAAGATGGAGAGCTGTCAAACATGTGCCCTCAATCTTCGTCAATGTCTTTGTGTCAGAAGCCCGTCTAGATTGACGTATGCATTCAACTGATCAATTAGGGCAAGCTGCCCGCCCGACTGCAGGATCCATCACGTGTCATGATCACACAATCAGGTGATTGTAAGCAGCCTAGTATGCATCAATCAATTAGCAAGAGAGCTCAATAGCAAGCCGGGCCATGTTCTAAATTCGGAGGATGAGGAGCAACAGTGGCTTTTGTGGAATGTAGATTTCTCGTAGATTATGGTTATGTGGCCCGCGGTCCTAACGATCTAAAACCAGGGCCCTATGATGAGCCTCTCTTCAGGCCTTGTTGTTATGCGGCGCAGTTTCAGTCGTCGCGTATACTCGTCATAACCGGGGATCTGGAATCAGATAGGAGGTCGAAAGCGAGAAACAATCGGCACCTTGGCAATGCTCCACACCGCATCAAGTTGGAAAAACCGCGAGCACAGACCGAGCACCGAAGAATAACAGGGAGATAGCTTTTTTCCTTTCACCCTCCAGAATTGAAAGAAGCCCCGGGGTAATAAGACATCCCATGATGATGCAAAGTTGAAAAAGGAAACCAGATTTCGAAGACAGAGAAAAACGCCGGTCTGTACTCTCAGATATACCGAAAAAGAAAAGAAAAGCTTAGAATCCACGCCCCCGCCCGCGGCCACCGCGGGGACCACCACGACCCCTGCCACCACGGGGACCACCACGGCCGCGGCCGCGGTCTGCCTCCTTGCGGGCCTTGTTCTTGGGCTTGGGGGCGTCATCCACAAGTAGAGTGTCTAGCGGCAAACTGTCGGGAAGGATGTAGTAACGGATGGTGGAACCGCGGATGTTGATAGTGTCGAGGGAGATGGGGTCACGGCCCTTGGGGGTCATCTTGACGGTGCGGAGAGAGGTGTTCATTTGAGGGGAAACGGATGTGATGGTGCCGTGGAGAATGGTGCCTGCAAAGTCACTCGGTTAGCTCTCGATTCGCATTCACAAGCCTCGTCGCCGTCATATGGCTTGGGATTGAGAGGTTGGGCCTGGAGGGGAATTGATCGGGTCTTTTACCATTCTTGAGCTCAATGGTCACCGTCTCGTTGGCGCATTTCATCAAAAATCTAGATGGCATGTTAGCGCACAGCTCAAAAAAGATATTTCCAGATCCTGGATGCGCGCGTCGCAGATGGTTATCCCGCATTCTCAGACAATGGCGACATACCGGACGAGCTTCATGATGATGGTTTCTGTCGGAGTGGCAGAACTATGAAGGGTATGTGATAACAGAACCCAGCAACTAGTAGGTTTGGTGGGGAAATTCTGGTGGCAGACGCGGACGATGATGCCGTTGGATTACAGTGCAGAGTTGGCCTCTGCACGTGACCATGCCGAGCTCCATCACGTGACCCTGTTTGCACTGGAGTCGCGGGAAAGATAAATCATCTTCATCACTATGCGCAGTCGTTCTCATGTCAAAGCTCCTCAATCACCCTGCACCTTATGAATTCAAAGTCGATGCTCCATCATGTCGCGTGTGTGAGTGTAAACTGGTTGAAGCACCTTTCCTCGGAGTATCTACAAACTCCTACAATTACTCGCCTATCTGATGCTCGGATATACTTCGGCGATATGCAATCGCCATCAAATAGTTCTGCTTTAGCGGCTGTTTCCCCCCGATGTCCTAAACTTTCAAAACTCGGAATCCGACTCCGTCTTTTGATAGTATGCTATGATACGACATGATTGGACCCCGGCTCTGATATCATATGGAGTCGGGCTCCACTCTGGTAAGTAAAATTACGGCCAGGTGTCTCACGTTCCTCCGTACGAAATAAGGAGTACTCGATCATCTAAGACAACTTGTGCTAGGCATTTCAAATCGAGTAAGACACCTTCCTGTTAGACGAGAAGCTCACACGCGAAGTTTCCAGACGTGGCTTCTAATGCAAGGATCGAGTCAGGGCTCGGGGCAGCCACCGCCCACCGCCCAGCGTGCCGTGCGCCGATTGACTACAGCGCATGAACCGGCAAGAACTGTTCCCTAGCGCTTCAGGAACAGAAAGGCCGAGACAAGGTTTTCAATGCAGAAGGAAATCAGCTGAGCACATGGTGAATAGATGCGGACCCTACCGTGTGGATACGTCGATCATATAACCAGCATTCGGGCGCATCATACTGGTAACTACCTGCCGCGACAATTTCATGGACGCCTAGCGTAATCGTATGCTCCCCGGGTCGACCTTACTTTTTTCTTGAACAGTATTAGCCTCTCCCGTCGGGACCTTGGCATCCTATGGGCTGGTGGCTGCTTGTTAGGCCCCACCCCTGGAGTTACAAAACGACGCATCTATGGGCTATTTCCCATTTGCCGGAAACCACGTGGCTCAACCACTCATATCATCGATGAAGCGAAAATCCTAAAGCTGGCTATTTGGCCATGAATTCCATATTACTCTCCCACGATTGATGAGTAGACGCGGCAGGACGCCCTGGCCCTGGCCCTGGTCACCGTCATTTGTTCTCCGTATATCGGATCGACGTTCTCCTGCAGGTCCAATCCAATTTGATATAGTGGACACTAGCAAGCGTTCCAAGGTGTGGAATCTTAATTACAGCAATTACCGGTCTTAGTATACTTCCTGATGATCGGGAATTAAATTCTGCCAACGGCGCGCTCGTGGGGGCCAAAAAGATGTGGTCAGATGGAGAAGTATCGGAAGAAACAGCCCCCGTTAGACTTTTTTTCTTTTTTTCCGGCGTATCAAAAGGCGGCCTGAGTCGAAGACAACTAAGTTTTTTGAACTATCAGCCACACACGAACCCGTCAATGGCCCCCAACGTGATCGCTGGGCACCATTTACTTTTTGGGGCTAAAAACCCACTCCGGTTTTGACCTAGAGCTCCCCCTGTCATACCGCTGTTGTACCGCCCAGGATCATTAACAGGTCTTGGCCCCAGACCCGAATCTCACCCGAGCTTTTCTCCAATATAGGCTTTGCTCTAGTGACGGGGATTCCGGTGTCAGTTGTGGGGTCCCAAAAAAGTCCAGTTCTTCCTTCCCAAGATCCGATTTCGGCCCACTCGAAGATCATAGGTCTTGCGTCCTCTCTTACACGCGCTATATAAGATAGGCAATGATTACACCAATGCTGTCGTAGAGCGATTGATCGAAACGGGCCAATGGGCGGGATTCATTACCCCAAGGGCGTTTCACTTGATTACCCTAATCCACCCCCGAGGATTTATGAACCATCCTATTGGTAACGGAAGTTCTAGAAGCCCTGGCCCTGTGGACCAGTGACGGTACCCAATTCAGGCCCTGATTCAATAAGCGTGGGGACTACTTGCTGTTACGTCCTGCCATCGATTTGAACCATCTTTTTTAAATCTCTCTTCGCCCGTCGCCCAGCCTGACTTGTGTTGACAACGGAAAACATTTTACATTTGCCAGCAAGGACTTGCGAAGAACGCACTGTATGTTGCTTTTCGCCTCAGAAACCATTTCCCCTGTGGTTTCAGGCCCCTCGGCCCCCATCTGCGTGCGCGAGTGTAGTCCCATGCTAGGTTCAATGACCTAGATCAATTCCCTATGTCCCGCGACTCAAGCTCACAGGATCCTCCGTTCATTTGCAGGGACCCATCCGATCAGCCCGAGAGCTCAGCCTCGCTTCCAGAAGCTGACTATCTTTCGTCTCTGCTCGAGTCAGGGCACGCGCCGGACTACCAACAAGGCGCTTTTCCAACACCAGTTCCCCCGTGGGCATTGAACAGCCCTCGACCGACTCTGGAAAGCGCTTCTCATTCAGCAAAGTCATTCCAAATACCCCTCCATCCGCAAAATTCAGCCACATCTTTGAATTCCAGTACTAGTCTTGTTGATTCCACCCTGGAGCCAGCGCCGTCACTTCCTGAAGGCGCGCAGTCGACCTCTGACAGGGTCAACCACGGAGAGCGCTTGACAGAAAACGAAGTACAGTAGGTCATAGCTCTTGTCTTCTTGGGTGAACCACGATGACTGATTATGGTATCTTTGCCATAACAGACGACTTGAAGACGCATTAGACCCCGTCCCTATGTCAGTCACAGCAGGCGGATATCTTGTTGGTCCGATGCAGCCTAATTCCCACCGTAAGAGTCTACCTCTAAGGGAAGTAATATCGACTAATAGCTTTCAGAATATGTTTGGGGCAATCGCCCCTATCAACCAATGCATCTAACACCAGGAAATATGGGCTCCCAGTTCCCTCCTTCACAGTCCTATTACTCTTCGGGATTCTCAGTTGGCTATAGCGGAAACCCAAGCGGGCCAATGCCTGGGTATCACGATTCACAGACACATCCATCATATCATCCTGGAGCGCCTGGTAGCGGTCGACAAAATCAATCACGGAGGTAATTTAAACGCCATACAACGCATCAATACGACAAGCTAACAAACACCATGTTCCCAGTCCACATGCATTGATCGCCCGCCCTTTCCCTCCTCACTCAGCCAGTTCTTTACCTGACCAGCCACTCATGGCATCGTGAGTTCTCATATAAGTCTTTTCGCTGTCTAAACATCTCTTAATATCAACTTTGCCCAGCCCTTCTTATGTGATGAGCCAACCTGGTTATTATCTCCCTGAAACGCCACCAATCCCGTGAGTTAACCAGTGAGGAGGAGGAGAAGAAGAAGAAGAAGAAGAAGAAGAAGAAGCATATCCTCACAAAAGTTACTAGATCGTCACACCAGACGTCTATGAGCTCGCATAGTTCGCCAATGCCCACAGAGCCTGTCTTTGCCTCGTCCGATCTATTGCATCCCGCTACAGATTCAGATCGCCCGATCCGCGTGGTCAGCTCACGACCTCGACCCCAGTGCTGGGAGCACGGCTGCAACGGTCGCGAGTTCTCTACGTTCAGTAACCTTCTACGGCATCAACGGGAAAAGTCTGGCGTTGTCGCAAAGGCAGAATGCCCTGTCTGCGGAGCAGTTTTCACTCGGACGACGGCACGCAACATCCATGTCGCTCAGGGTAAGTGCAAAGAACCAGGGCAGGATCCCTCGGCCGAATGAATGACTGGGTCAAAATTATAATTCTTTATTTATCTCTACTTTTTGTGACACAAAACCAAAACAAATGGTCGATGATGAGGAGGCCCACGTGGTGCCTGAGGCAACGGTCGGGTGACTCAAAGTCGCGACGATCGGGCAAAACGTAGCTTCTTCAATATCCCCATTTACGAGGAAATGCCTGCTTCTATTCTATTGTGCAATTCTGAGACTTTATTATATTTGTCTCCTATACATCCATTACCCGCGTGAGCTTGTAAAATTCCCCATCGGCCGCGGCCATGGCATCTATCTTCACTTACGACCCAGACCCGCCGCGGGTCTCGTCCCCGTGGTCGACCTCGGGTTCATCCACTCCACAGGCCAAGCCAGTCAATGGACGAGGGCTTGCTGTTCGTACGCGTTCCAATGTTAAATTGGATTGCGCCGACGCGGACTTTCTCTCCGACTATGGAATTACCAAATTAGAGCCGGAGCCCCAAGAAGGTCCAACGGAGTACAAGCTTCACTTGCTCCTCCGGCCGCGACGCCCTTACCTATCCATGTCAACTGGACATGTCGTCGCGGGCTCGTACCGTTCTCGTGTGTGCCATTTACCCTCGTCAAGTTCGCCTTCGCCTTCGCCGTCCCAGGATGCAACCCCCAAGCCTATGCAGGCCAAGTCATCCCAGAGCCGCCAGCAGCGACTGCAAGGGTTGACAACCCAGCTTCTGTGGCGCCTGCAGCAGTCGTCGCCATTTCACTCGTCAACTACGGCGAATCTAGTCATCCCCGTGTTGCCAGAGGCCACTCCGAAATTAGGCGTGCCTTCGAAACCAGCCCGATTACTACCTGGTCTGGAGGAGAGCCAAGGTGCTCTCTACGAGATCGGCGTTGCTGACGATGGCACTTTTGTGGGTCTGACTCAAGATGAGCTTGACGAAAGTGTTACCAACCTGCAAGTAATGGCGGCGAGTCTCGGATGTAAGGTTGAGATTCTGCGCCGAGTTCTTGTCGGGAAATGTGAATGGGCGGAAGATTCTCCATCTGCACCGCTGGACCCAAACAAGAACAACACCGAGAGATTGTGGGTTGCAGAGGCTTTGGTCTCGCCAGACTTGGATTTCTATAACATGTCCCCGGCACGGACTCGCCAGAGCTCCCTCAACGGCTCTACGGAAGATGCTGGAACAGAATCAGCCGTAGAAGAGGACTACTCCCATACTGAGCAGATTCGCATATCAATTGCTGGCCCCAGTACTGCAGGGAAATCATCTCTGTTAGGCACTCTGACATCATCATCGCTGGACAACGGGAGAGGCAAGAGCCGACTCAGTCTTCTGAAGCATCGCCATGAGATCTCGTCAGGAATCACCAGCTCAGTCGCCCAAGAACTTATTGGGTATACTGAGGATATGCCGCCGAAAGTGGTCAATTATGCATCTGGAAATGTTGCAGCATGGGACGATATTCACGCTGCCTCTACTGGGGGTCGTCTGGCCTTTGTATCCGACCTTCCAGGCTCTATCCGCTATATGAAATCTACCTTGCGTGGCCTGGTGAGCTGGGCTCCGCACTATGTGATGCTCTGCGTTCCAGCCAACTGCGACGATCACCTCGCAGAAGCAGAAGCTGGCACAGACCATGTTGCCGAGATCGACCTTTGTCTGGCGTACCTGGACCTCTGTCTGAAACTAGAAGTCCCGGTTCTGATTGTTATCACTAAATTGGATATTGCATCACGTACTGGATTACGGGAGAATCTCACGAGAGTACTCTCTGCTCTGAAGACGGCCGAACGCAAGCCTGCAATGTTGCCTGCATCTCCTGCCGGTGACAAAGTCCTTGACCTGCAACACATCAGCGCGCTTGATAGCAAAGAAGTGCAGAAAACCATCGCGGCGGCAGATGGTAAATGGCACCAGACGGTTCCAATAATCCTGACTAGTGCCGTCGATGGCTCGGGCATCGGGAAACTCCACGCTTTCCTTCGCTACCTCCCCATTCCCGCTCAGCCACCCCAGAGAGTGCTTCGACTTCCTCAAACACTTCCACTCGCTCACAAAAAGTCAGGAAATATGTTCGATGTGGATGAAGTCTTCGCCATCCCACCCTCCAAAGTATACTCCATATCGGCCGACAAGAACAACCAAGAAAGCCGCGGGATGGTTCTGTGCGGTCTAGTCCGACACGGCTGTATATCAATCGGCGACCAAATGGTAATTGGGCCTGTCCTCGTGGACACCTCAGACAGCAATGAAACTGCCCCCCTCGGCCTCTTATCACGCAGCAGTGGGCCTGGTCCATCTAGCGAGTTCCCAGCATCCCTCAGTCTACCCGGCAAAGACTCGGCCCCATTACAAGCCAAATGGCAACGCGTTCGCGTCGTCAGCGTTCGAGATCTCCGACTCCCTGTCCGCCGTCTCAAAGAAGACCAAGTGGGAACAATCGGAATCGAGCTCCTCGCCTCCCCAGATGACGGTCGCCTCCCACGACTAAGTCGGATACGCAAGGGCATGGTCCTAAAAGAGTTCAACTCGCTCCCACCGAACGAACTCACTTTACCACTTCCGCCAACATTAACAATGCCTTTCTATACAGCTTTTACGGCGACCTTTCCAGCTGCCGAATTCTCAGCAACGAACTCGCCCCCATTACTTCTCGGGGGGAATGCAATCGTCTACATGGCCAACATCCGCACAACAGTAAGGGTAGTCAGCATGGCGCTCGCAGAGACAGATACCGAGCCTAGTCCACCGCCGTCACCATCGGAGCCTGAATTCTTCAGCTTCGATGGCGATGGGCCTTCGCCAGGCCGGGAGAAAGTTCAGAGTAATAAGCCTTGTGGCTCCGTACGCCGTCGTTCATCAGCTACAGACATTAGCAAGGTCGTCTCTGATGCTGCGAGTGTTGCCCCAGGGAACAAGGAAGCGTTCAGGGAGGATGTGAGGATTACCTTTGCGCTTGTTACTTCTGTGGAATGGGTGGAGCTTGGGTCACAGGTTTTGGTTATGCCGGGAGTGTCTATGGCGATTGCGTCGAATGGGAATGGGGTTTCAGTGGCAGGCGCGCTTGGGATTGGGACTGTGGCGATGTCGGGGTTGGAAGGGTTTGTTGGGAGGGTTTGTGATGTTCTTCCTGGGAGAGGTGAGGGTTGATGATATATGCCTTTGCATTCCGTACTTGAGATTTCTTTGTGAGTTTGTGAGTTTTGATTTGATAGGTATTGTTGAGAGCGTTGGATTTTTATAATGGAAGTGCGAATATAGAGCGCTTGCAATGGATTTTACGACGTCGATGATATCCGAGCGCTGAAGACGACTTCAAAAGGAAAGATATTGTACGTCGAGACTTTAGGTAGATAAAGCAAGAGGCTCTGTTGCTATGCCGTGACATCTTCAGCGTAATTGCCGAGAAAAGAAAACAACCCGAACTATGTGTGATACAGTCCACATCCCTTGAACTCATCCACACATTTTGAAAGCATGACCGCTCATGCAATCAAATCCGAGCGTCCATTTAACTGACCCATCGGATCAATTCATACAGTATCGATTCCACTGAACCTACATATCTCATCATCCTGGGTATTTCCATGAAGTGTATCGAACGTCGATGACGTATATCGTCATCCGAAAACGCTCGAAAAAACCAGATAAAACATGTGTCAACCGTCAATCAAGCCCGTATAAAGGGCGGGCGTAAGGGCGCAGTTTCTAACCTCCCTTACGCTGGTCGCCCGCATTGCGAGCGAAAGTGCTAGTCGATCCAATGGTAGCACTAGCATTGCGGAATTCGATCTTCTTGCGTTCCATCGCGAGCTAAAAAATGCCATTAGTAACGGCTTTTTTTTTTTATTTTTTTTATTTTTTTTGGAATTTGAACAGTCCACCAGGGAAGCTGAGAGTACTTACCACCTTGCGAACACGGTCCAAAGCCGCGGTGTCGCCTTCGACGAGTGGGCGACAGTCGTCAACACGGTAGGGCGGTGCGATGGTGACGGTCTCAGCCACAACGATGCTCTGTCCATGCCAGTGAGCAGGCATGGTGCGACTAAAGGCGTCGAAGATATCCTGGGCCTCACGAGTGACGCCCTTTCCACGGCGTGCTTCACGGTCGAGAGCCTCGCCAACGGCCTTGGCCTCGCGCTGCTTCAGGGCACGGGCATCGAGGGCCTGGATAGAGGGCAGAGCATCGGCGAAAGAGGGGGATTCGGAGGAATTGGATGGAAGGGCGAGGAGCTGGAAGTTCTGGATGCGCGAGATGGGAATGACGTGGTAATCACCGCTCTGCGCCTGTTTGGCGTCACCAGACAAGGGCGAAGGGGAAGTATTGATTGCCACGAGGTTGGTAATGGGGCATGCCGTGAAGAGCATGCCCTCGATAGTCGAGGTAGCCGGCGCTGCGGTCGTGATGCGAACACTGTCGAGCGTATTAGGGTTGATGCCTTTGAGAGCTTGGAGGGGTAAACTGGTCAACTGGGAACTGGGAACTGGGAACTAACCGAGCACCGATCGCGCCGCTCAAAGCAGCCTCCAAGGGCACCATTCCAGAGGCCATTTTGGGGCCTGTTGCGCTGCCCGATTGTGATGCTTTCGCTCCCGCGCTCTGGCGCTTGTTCTCCGCCATGCGGTGACCTTCGCAGGCGGTGTGATTCACACGTCCACGTCTCCGTGTTCGAGGCGCTGTGATGTGTCGGGTGCACAGGTCTACCTCAAGGTCATTGGAAGGCAGAGTCAATTGGCCTTTCCACCAGAAGCTCGCTTTATCCTTCGATCTGTAGGTGGTCCGAAGGGAAGGCACTCCCCGATTCCTGGCGGATCGGAACAAAGAAAATCCGGAAGAGTGACACCGATTGTGTTTATATGACCCCAGAACTAGTTGTCCGGAGCGAGGGGCGATAGTATGCAGCTGGAACTAGCGACCTCGGGCTTCTTTGGGTTTAGCGTGGATTACCTCACTACTTCGAGCCTCGCATCCACGTATTGTGCTTAATAAGCAGGATAGGAGGTTACTCCGATGTAGGTACGATAACTGTTCCCGGTTTGGCTACTACGCTGCATGATTGATGAAAACTCTTGTGTCGTTACGTTCCATTCGTGTGGCATCTAAATACATTGAACCCAATTTTTTTCCCTTCTATTCCGAGGCATTTATGCCACGTAGGTGGAGGCAGAGACGTCACCGCCACGACCAGTCCAGTTAACGTGGATGTCCTTACCCTCGGGGAAGTTCTCGTTGGCAAACTCGGGCTTGATGCGGAAGGTGTGGGCACCGAAGTAGTCACGCTGGGCCTGCAGCAGGTTGGCGGGCAGGTCCTTGGTGCGGTAGCCGTCGTAGAAGCTGAGAGCAGTCGAGAAGGCGGGCAGAGGGATACCCCACACAGCGGACTTGGAGACAACGTTCCTCCAGCCAGACTGAGCGTTGGAGATGGCCTTGGTGAAGAACTCATCGAAGAGCAGGTTCTCAAGGTCGGGGTTGTTGCGGTAGGCGTTGGTGATGTCCTTCAGGAAGACGGAGCGGATAATGCAGCCACCGCGCCACATAAGGGCGATGGAAGGCTTGTTGAGCTTCCAGCTATACTCCTTGGCGGCGTTCTGGATGAGCATGAAGCCCTGGGCATAGGAGATAATCTTGGAGGCGTACAGAGCCTGCTCGAGGTCATCGATGAAGGCAGCCTTGTCACCCTCGAACTTGGGGGTAGGGCCGGGGAGGATGGTGCTGGCACGGCCACGCTCATCCTTAAGGGCAGAGAGGCAGCGAGAGAAGACAGCCTCGCCGATCAGAGTAACGGGCATGCCGAGGTCAAGGGCGTTGATAGCGGTCCACTTGCCGGTACCCTTCTGGCCAGCCTTGTCGAGGATCTTTTCAACGAGGGGAGTGCCATCGTTGTCGTTGTAGTAGAGAACATCACGGGTGATCTCAATGAGGAAGGAGTCAAGGACACCCTTGTTCCACTTGGAGAAGACATCGCCGATCTCCTTGCAGGACATGCCGAGACCACGCTTGAGGATATCGTAGGCCTAGTATAGGATATTAGCTGGAGAGCACCTTTTTGTTTTGTGATGGCAAAGCTTACCTCGCAAATCAGCTGCATGTCACCGTACTCAATACCGTTGTGGACCATCTTGACGTAGTGGCCAGCACCTTCGTCACCGACCCAGTCACAGCAGGCCTCACCGTCGCTCTTGGCGGCGATGCTCTGGAAGATGTCCTTAATGTGGGGCCAGGCGGCCTCGTTACCACCGGGCATGAGGGAGGGGCCGTAGCGGGCACCCTCCTCACCACCGGAAACACCGCTGCCGACGAAGCTGATGCCCTTCTCGGAAAGGTAACGGGTGCGGCGGTTGGAGTCGGGGTAGTGAGAGTTACCACCGTCAATGATGATATCACCCTTCTCGAGGAAGGGGAGGAGGGACTCGATGAAGTCATCGACGGGCTTGCCGGCCATGACGAGGAGCATAACGCGACGGGGGCGCTTGAGCTTGGAGCAGAACTCCTGGATGGAGTGGGCACCGATGATGGGCTTGCCTGGGAGTATATTTTAGCGAAACGGACATAACGGATGCTGGGAGAATGGAATTGGCGAGGAACTTACCCTTGGCCTCGTTGTCGAGGAAGCGGTCAACCTTGGAGGTGGTACGGTTGAAGGCGCAGACGGTGAAACCGTGATCAGCAGCGTTCAGGATCAAGTTCTGGCCCATAACGGCCAGACCGATGAGGCCAAAATCAGCACTAGGAACAGGGTGCGCCGGTGCGCCGACATTAATGCCGGCGAGACGGGCACTATAGTCAGCGACCAATTTCTCATGTCAGGGCCGGGTAAATGCAAAATGCAAAGCTCAAAATGCAAAGGAGACGGTTTGAAGCTCCGGAGGAATTCAAGGCCGCGAGACCCTGTCGCCTGGAATCGATGCCAGCATCACTCAGAACTTGCCGAGTTGTTGCCTTTGCAGCATCAGACTGACAATGGAAGCTCGCGGTTGTCCCGGAACCCAAGACCGTTGGGGGTGATGCAGATTTGGTGGGGGAGGGGTAGTATATTTCGAGGGGAGGATAATAACTTACACAGCCTGGTCAGCCATGATTGATATGGATGTGAAGGGGTGGAAAAAAGAGAAGATGAGGGGGGGGGTATCTAGTGGAAGTTGAGAAGGAAAGGAGGAAGACTTATGGAGGGGAAGGAAGAAGATGTCACCGGCTGACGGAGCAACTCTTCCGTCATAATCCAACCTGGGTTTGACCGAGCAAGGTAAGGTGGGATGGTGGGACGCGCTACCACTGCAAAAGTGGATGTACCGTGTACCCCGAGCTCGTTGCTATGGTCGGTGTACCGCCAAGTACACGGTACAGGAGGACTGTCGTCCGGTCATCCCACTCGGCTTCTGCTTTCGGGCCCTTTTTTTGGTTGAGGGGCAGGGACAGATCAATATCCGACCCCCTTCCCCCAAATTCCGTGGTGGTCTATTGATTCCTACTAAGTCCATAGTTCCTACAGTTTCCGTCCTACATTGGCTATACATCTGGGCCATGGAGACACATGCAAGCTGGCGCGGGGCATGGAGGGGTAAACTCGTGGTGATTTCATCGGGACGGCTTCATCCGGGCTCAGCTATAGTCCCCAAAAGAGTACTAAAACAGGTCAATCTCGGGTTCGAAATCACGCAGCCCAATTTCCGGATCACCCCCATCCAGAGTATCCATCGGTGAACTGTTCTGGCGTAGATTCAACGGAGAAACTTCTTCACTTGCCGATGTCCGCCCACAACCGGCTGAAAGTGTACTAGGCCCCTTTCGGACTAGAGTGGGGGTCCCGATGCCGACTACAGGGATTAGTCATTGCATTGCATCACGCTGACTTATCACTACGGTCACGCAGGTGCACCAGCTACGCAGGGCCGATTTTCTTCGGTGGAGACGCGATAGTGATACGGTCAAAGACATCAATCATATCAGGCTCGACTCATATCACCTTCAACCTACCCCGGTAGCGCAAACTGGCCCGGCCCATACATCCTGTCCAGCGTTTCGGGACTTCAGGTTTGACGTCTGGTGGATTGACTGAGGCGTCAGTCAGGTCCTGAAGGTACGTTGTGTCTGCATCTCCGCACAGCTCAACCGTCTCCTCTATTGGACATCCCGTTCATCATGCCCTATCCACCTCCTCCAGGTCTCAAACAGACACCCTCTTCGCTTCCTCCTCGCCCACCTCCGTCTAATAACGCCGCCCAGCCTGTCGGTCATGGCAATGCACGTCAACCGAGCTACAACGCCTTCACTGCATTCGCGCCGCGTTCCGTAGCATCGAGTCAGCCGCGCGCAAGCAACGCAACGGTTTCTGCACCTCCATCCTATTCTGCCGGTTATGCGGGACCTGCAGCGCCTGCAGTGCCTGCGACCACCTACGGAAACTATCAACAACAAACCTACCAAAGTGGGCCTTCCTTCTACGGAGCCCAGTACGGTGAAAGTGCCTCCCCGGCGGTCCCCCATATTCAAAACCCATTTGGCTCAACGCCTCCTACAGCACAAGGGCGCAATGGAATAGACCCAGAAACTGAGGCCCAAATTGCTCAGTGGCAGAGTGCCTACGCCAACCAGAACGATGACGCAGCCAGAAAGGCCAGCAACACGGGGACAACCACGGGCACAGGCACCCCAATCATTGCCGGCACTCCCATCCCCCAAAGCGAAACACAGAAGACTGTCCAACGAGCCGGTGGCGGTCAAGCCTGGACCGACTCCACCCTTTTAGAATGGGACCCGGCCCATTTTCGGCTTTTCGTGGGCAATCTCGCAGGCGAAGTGACCGACGACTCTTTACTGAAGGCATTCGCGCGCTACACCTCCGTACAAAAGGCTCGTGTGATTCGGGAGAAGCGCACCCAGAAGAGCAAGGGCTTCGGGTTTGTCAGCTTTAGTGACGGCGACGATTACTTTTCAGCCGCTCGAGAAATGCAAGGCAAGTACATCGGCTCCCACCCGATTCTATTGCGCAGAGCTACCACCGAGGTCAAGCCGGTGTCAAACAACAAGAACCAAAAGAAGAATGGAGGCGGTGCTCGAGGTCAGCCTGGCGGCAAGGTCAAGCACGACGGAGTGAAGAAGTCTGGAAAGACCAAAGGAGGTCTGAAGATTCTCGGTTAATTTATCTTTACCTAGACACGAAATAAAATGTATTTCTTCCTTACCTACTAGCAAATATTTTGAATGCTTTATATGCATAAAATGTGGAGAGGCCCGATGATCGCCGTTTTAGACCCGTCGATCGGTCTGGGCCCGCTTAGTATGCTAGCCACCCAACACTATTCTTTGTCCTCCGTATAGCTTTCCAATCACCAGACCCGACGGTTCCGAAATAGCCGTTGGGTCTATGGCTCGTATTCATAGCCACTTAGGTCATGACATCAATCTGCTCGGGTTAGAAGGATCGCTCAAGATATAAGACGATGCATTATAGTCCAGGATGAATGGCCCGTGGCGCTACATGCGAACATCCTCCTTGGCACCGGACATCTCACGAATCTTGCAACGTCGGAACTTGACTGAAGTAAGCCGATCCACTGGAAATCCCCTCAATATTTGAAGGCTTTGAGAATATCTCAAGTCATTGCTCCTATTCATCCAACCATCTGTTGCTGCAAGTCCCAAGCTCTCGGGGCGAAATTCTGCTTAAATACATCACCCTTGGCAACAGGTGAACATGCACTAATTTAAAGAACCACCAGATATCTCTTCTATCCACTATGAAGCTATCTACCGTGGCTATTCCCCTTATGACCCTTTTGGCCGTGGACTTGACAGCTGGATGGAAACTCCAGGCAGGGTCACAACAGTGGTCTGGGACCGGACCTGAAACCTGCAAAGCCGTAACCATCCCCCGAGGCGCGCAGATCAGCTGGACAGGATCCAAAGGGGCTAGCACCGTCCAGTTTTTTACTACGCAGGGAAGTTGTAGTAGGGTCTACCGGACGGTGATGGGGATTGGGGATATCAATGCATCTAGCAATATTTATGGATTTGTGGTGAAGGCGTGAGGGGTAACAAAGAGCCCAAAAAGTGATAATGCAGAGAGCTAGTCGAATTCAGTCCAAAAGACTCACCAAAAAAAAACCCCCGAAAACCTCCAATAAAAAGAGGATGTGGGGATGTACTGTAAGCACCGTCTAGCGGATAAAGAAAAGAGGATGCGGCAAAAAAGGTCCAGACCTTCGTGGGGGCCGCCAAGCCGAAACAACCTCAAGAGCTCTCCAGTGCTAGCCTCCATTACTACGATCCCACTTGGATCACCCGTCACTAAGCTCATGTCCCTGTGCCGTTGACAAAGAACAACCCCTTTCCTGCATAGCGCCTTTCCATCTATCCATTTTGCATCCTTGAACGCGCGAGCATGGAGGATCGGGCGGACCCCGCGGCTCAGCCTGAACGGGTGCCTCAATCTCGATCCTCTGCGCCGCACGTAAGGCTCAGCTGCGAAGCTTGCCGCCAGCGCAAGGTGAAATGTGATAAGCTGAGCCCCTGTACGAGCTGCGTGCGGCTCGGATTTCAATGTGTGCCCGTTGAGCGGGCCCGTCTACCGCGCGGCAGGACGAGAAGGCAGCCCGAGCGGGTGGCCCACACCGATAGAGAGCTCGCCGAGCGCGTTGCAAAGCTTGAGGATCTCTTACGAAGGTACGCCCCCAATGGCCAGCCTCCCCCCGGAGGGCCTGAACCAGCTCTGCCGAGTGGTAGCACGGATGCGGGACAGTCTGAGAGCAGTTTCCAGCTCAAGATGGAAGATGTCGAGACCTGGCGGGACCGAAGCTCTCAACCGTCCTCGGCCTCGAGTTTGCCCCATCGGCCGCGCCCAGAGGCTGCCTACATCGGTAGCTCCTTTTGGGAAAGTATGATGCAGACGGTAAGCACTTTGTTTTTTAATATCGCCGCCCGATTCAACTCGTGGGCATATGAGACATTGAACTTACACGTGATAACAGACAAGCGAGCTCCGCCATGTTCTTGATAGTCGGGAAAATGAAGAGCCTGAGATCCAGAATCCCCCTGGTCTTGGTGGAATCTCGTTTATAGGCTCTGAGAGCTCAGACAGTCCTAAATCCCCTCAGTCACTTCGAGGTATCAACATCACCCCTCAGATTCGGCGAGGTCTGTGCGAGATTTTCTTACGCAATGTGGACCCGGTCTTCAAGATACTGCACCGCCCGTCAATACGAGCATTCCTCATCGATGATGAGCCGTACCTTGATTATGAGCCAGATCACCAAGCGCCATTGACTCTGGCGTATGCTATCTACTATGCAGCTGTTTGTACGATCGATGATGGGCAGTGTCAAGTGATGTTCGGCGTGGACAAGAAGACCGTCTCGACTGAACTTCAAAGGGAGACCGAGGCTGCGTTGGTGAGGTCTGATTTCGTGACCACGAATGATTTGACTATTTTGCAGGCTTATCTGTTGTCCCTAGTATGTTCGAGTTTACATCCAAATCTATACATTTTTCCTCGAAGCTAATTCGTAGCAGCTTGCGGCCCGATCTCAAGACCAAAGTCGACGCGTCTGGACCATGATGTCCATGGCACTACGAGTCGGTCAAGCATTATGTCTTCATCTGGGTGATCCGCCATTCTATGTCAGTTCATTTGACAAGCAGATGCGCCGCCGTCTCTGGCAGGCCATTGGTCTTCTCGACCTAGCAGCTTCTCTAGACAGGGCATCTGAACCGATGATGCAGTCTGCATGGTTAGACGCACATCCACCGGCCAATATCAACGACGAAGATATTTTCTTCGGCATGGAAACACCTATTCAAGAACCTCCCGAAGGAACGTTCACTGACATGACTCATTCATTGATTCTCGCTGCAGCGCAGTCTGTCGCTAGAATGCTTGCGTTCAGAGATTTCATCGAACCCGGCAAAAAAACCATGGCCCTTCGGAAACAGATCCTGAAGACCTTTCAAGACAAGGCAAGCGCACTTTTGAAAGGATGCAGACCCGATCTGTTTGCCTTTCAACTATACGCGAGACGAACAGCAGCTACCATCAACGGGTTCCTTCAATTGGGCTGTCTGCGTCCATTACAAAGAAGCACCAGCTTCATTCCTCCCCAAGTTCCCGGAGATGGTCTCCTCCGACTCGCCGCCGATAATCTCCAGAAACTACACGAGTCATACAGTGACCCTGCCACCGCACCATGGATGTGGTTTGGCTCTTTATGGGTCCCATGGCACGGCCTCGCAGTCGCCCTAGCCGAGATGTGCGTCTGTAAAGATCCAGACACAATGACCAAGTACTGGCCCGTTGTCGAGCAAGTGTTCCACCGGTCAAGCCTGGGCATTGCAGACTCCCAGCACGGCATGCTCTGGAAACCGCTAGAGAAACTCATGAACCAGGCTCGAACCCACAAGCGAGAGATGATCGGAAGCCGGTCTCCAACCGAGGCCCTGCATCACGCACCCCATATGATACCAGTGACCTCTGTCGCTCCATCAATGTCCGTGCCACTTACATCGCAACAATTGACTGAGCAACTTTCTGCGCAAGATCTGAATGCTCTGCCTGGATCGGCGAGCTATACAATGGGAATAGACTCGACTCTGGCTGCTGGCCAGTCAGGTACCTCGACTGTCTCACTGCCCCAATCTACCATTACTCTCGACATGCTGGAACCTTATCCCAATGTTTGGGATGGAATGGACTTTAGTGCCACTGGACTCCCGGCCTCGGGCGATAATATCGCGTGGCACAACTATGAGAGTTTCATCGGTGATGTATATGACAATGTGAATTATATGTTCTAAGCATGGTGGCTATTTAGTTGGGTTTTCGTCTTTCTTTTTCTTACTTTCTGGGTATTTGGTGTGGCATTCATCCATCCCTTTTTACTTGAGAGGAGTTATAATCTGGTGACTTTGGATTATGACGATAATGCAAATATCTCCAATTATTTATTTCACAACGCCACATGCATCAACATTTGAATCACATCTATTCTGGCTTTCTCCGCCAGGTGGTCTTATACACGTCTAGTCACCGCGCCTTTCGTGTATATTATATTGGGACCCACTCAATTGATCAGTCATTTATCTGCCCTGGCGGTGACGATGCACATGTGCAGCTAGGGCACCTATGCAGGAAATGATACTGATCAGGTTTTCTACATTTGCTTTTCCAACTCGTAGCAGTTTTGGTTGGAAAAAATTGATTTATACTCCTGAATATTTCATCTTAACCCTTCCAAATTGAATAATGGAGTATCTTGAATCAGATCCTGCGGCTCCAAGCATCGTAGCTCAGTCGATCTTAACGCAACTTGCACATCACCAACTTTCGGATGATGTGGCCGATCAAATTTAAAAAAAGAACGGAATGATGCTGGCGCGAAAGCATACTGGTGACGAACCTTCTGGTTCTTTGGTTGCTCTCGGGCTGCCAGAAGCCAAACCAGAGAGAGAGAAAGAGAGAGATTGTAAAATAAACAAAGATTCAGAAAGAACGTTCATCGATTTGTAGGCCATCCGCTGGGTTGAACATGATAGTTAATTGTCATAAAGAGGAGCCCAGGACCCTTCTCGTTGATTAAAGCTATGATATCTATTGGATTCGCACAACTTGTTACCCCTCTTTTGAATATTACATTGAAGTATGCCAATCTAGTACGTTTTAAACGGATCAATCGACTCAATGGCTGCTGATGCTCTTAGGAACGGGTGGTTTACTCTCTATGCTCGGTTGCCTCATTCACCATGAGGCCCAAGAGCCAAGGTAGGTCGTGTTTTCCTATTTTTGAAATATAAAAGGCTAACACGGTCTGCAAAGGGCTTTTATATAAACGGACTTATGGATTTTCTACTGCTCCTTGGACGATACCTCCAAATCTGCGACGATTACGTGAATCTTGCTTCAACAGAGATTAGTTTTATCCTAACCTACTTCTTGAATATTCTGACAGCTTTGAGTATGAGAAAGAAAAGGGCTTTGGGGAAGACCTGGACGAAGGAAAGCTCTCCTTGCCTCTAATTCATGTCCTGAATAACTGCCCGGATTCCCCGATGATCGAGTACGTGCTACAACATCGATCTCGTCATGGGGGCATGTCTACAGAAGCGAAGAAACTGCTATTAGAGAAGATGAAAGAAGTAGGGAGTCTTAAGTTACCAGAGACACCTTGAGTGCTGTTGAGGCCCAAACAAGGAAGGCACTTTTCCTATTCGAGCAGCAGTCCACTGTACCTAACTACGTGCTCCGGTACCCATTAACGCGTCTTTCGGATGTCTGAGGGGCAATGTTGATATTTAAGCAAGAATTACTTTTTCTCACGAGGAGTGTTTGCTCATGCTTCGAGCTCAAAACTTTCATAACAAATGATCCAATTTGACGATGAAAGGAAACTGTTGCAAATTTCGAGCGGACGTCCAAGGGCGCCACAAAATAGAAAAAGAACACTCATAGACCAAAGAACTATTTAAAGACCTCGTCCGTTATAGGCGCCAATATTGGGGCGTCCCATGGATGGCACTTTGTTATTCCAGAAGTCGTGTCCTCCATTATCCGCGATAGTATCCCCATGATGCAGAGCAGGGCTTCCAGAGCGAAGCCGATAGCCACTAGCCGAATCAAGACTGTCTTTACCGGTTCCGGGATGGATAAATAGCGGATCTTCTTCAACACCTGCTGTGTCAAGAGGCATCGGAACCGTTTGGAAAATATTCGCATGCCACTCAATCGAGTTGTTGCTCGGCAAAGTAGAGCCTGCGGTCCCCACCCAGATGTTATTCGACATGTTTGCATGAGGCGGAACTGCGATCTCAAATGCCTTATCAGGACAATAAATGACGTTGTTGTAGAACTCCATCTGGACGTCATCTCCATTGCTGTACATACGGCAATCATTCTGGAAGATGTTGTATCGGACAATCTGAGTTGCGCCACCGGGGGTTCCACAGCCGTCGCAATTGAGAAACATGCCTCCCGCATTGTCGTGACTATAATTGTACTCGACAGTGCAGGTTCCTTCATTTCCCCAGTCACAATCAAAGGCCTCGCTGTCAACATCCGACATGAGCGAGTCGTGAACCACATTCCGCCGCATCACTGCGTCTTTGCACCCTAGCACCCAAATGCCGGCAAAGTTGCCGCCGGTATATGGGTATTTTCCATGGCCAAGGAAGCCTGCGAGATTGTTCTCGATAATCGGGGCATCGCCATAAGATACAACAATACCGTCGCCGCCAACATAGGAGATGTCGTTTCCCCAAACGTGAGTCCCGGTAGCGCGGTTGTCCATCTGGCCAACACGGACCTTGATGCCTCCACCCCCGCAGTCATAGACTGTATTATGGTAGATTTGAACGTCGTCATAGCGACTAGTTGTAACTGTGCCATTCACAATGATGCCACCCGAGGCGACGAATGCACTGGACTGGGTAGCTTTATTCGTTTCCCCGGCCACGTTATAGACGGTTATGTCGTGGATATAGAGACCGTAGTGAGTGGTGCCGTCGGTGGAACTTGCGACAATACCTCGTCGTCCGCCAATTTCCGAAGCAGGATTGATGAGTGCAATATTAGAGATATCCCAATAGTCTTGGTTCGTCAGGCTGACGGCTTCAGCCGCACCAGAGCCATTGATAATGGGAAGAGCTCCACCTCCGTAGCTGGTCAGGATGATAGGCTTATCCTGGGTGCCACTTCCTTGCGGAGACAAGGTCCCGGTGCATGTTGTCCCGGATTTGATGTAAAGTGAATTACCAGCTTGCAGAACAGCTTCATTCACTTTCTCAATTGAGTTAAAAGGCTTCCATTTGCTGCCATCGCCTGCTCTAGCTGAGCTGCAGTCGAGATAAACATTGCTTGCGATCGAAGTTTGAATAAATGGAGCCAAAAGGAAAACGACACCGCCGTGTTGCAAAGCTCGAAGGCCAACCATGACTAAGATAAGTGTTATATAAGTTGTCGAAGCCCTTGAGAAGTCAATAATTTTGAAGTGATCGCGTTCATTAAGTATTGTTTCAGAGCCATATGTAGCTACATTGCCGATCTTAGCCAAGTTGGATATCGGGATAAGGTGGACAAAGGTCGCAGTAGTTATCGCGACGCCACTAGGCAAACTGTAATCAATCGGCGCGGTCACTGTGCCGGGTTGCAACAAAGCTAGCGTGTTCGGTAAATGTTTAGTGTCGGGCGAAGTATTCCCCCGCACCGTCACCATCGGCACGTTACATCTGAAGTCTTGGGGGCAGTTCTTCAAACTGATAAACGGAAGTTTAGAAGTAAAACATGAAATTTTCCTCTGATTGACCAATTTCCACTAAGTATTCCGGTCAAAAAACGATAACAGGGTAACATAAACTTCTCTCAAGGTTGATCCATCATGTTGTTTCGCACGACTATTCTTTGTTTGATGTTTGGCAGGGTTTCATTCAGCTATGGGCTGGCTAAAGCTGCAGCCGATTATGCTCCTTCTGAATGGGTTCATCCGGGAGTGATGATAAGCCAGTCCCAGCTCGATTTTATTCGCGAAAAAGTGGCCAACCATGAACAACCGTGGGAAGATGCCTATAACGCGCTGCTCAGTGATGAGAACATTGCAAATCCCAAGAACCCTTCTCCGCCTGCTATTATTGAATGTGGTTCCTACTCCAATCCAGACGTTGGATGTACGGCAGAACGAAACGACTCAATTGCTGCGTATGGCAATGCGCTTGCATGGGTAATCAGTGGTGACAATGAATACGCCCAGCAAGCAATCAAGATTATGGATGCATACTCCTCCACTGTGAAAGGGCATAACAACACCAATGCACCGCTTCAATCTGGCTGGGTTGGATCCGTCTGGGCTAGAACCGGAGAACTTATCCGGTATACCGATGCAGGATGGTCCCTTAATAGCATTAGTGAATTCGAATCCATGCTGCGGAATGTGTACATGCCACTGACAGTCAATGGAACCGACCACAATGTCGCAAATTGGGAGTTAGGTGCGCGAGATAAAAGGAAAATGCAGAATAGGACCATGTGAGCTGACACAAACAACCAGTCATGACCGAAGCTGCGATTTTTATGGCAGTCTTCCTCGAAGACGCAGACTCCTACAACACCGCGATGGAGTGGCACTTGAAACGCATTCCCGCAACGGTTTACATGACTAGTGATGGTGAATATCCAGTCGCTGCCCGCGGACAAAGCTCATCACCCGCTGCGATCATTGCGTGGTGGTTCAATGAGACCACATTCCAAGAAGATGGTCAGGCGCAGGAAACATGCCGTGATCTCGAGCACACTGGATATTCTTTCGCTTCAATGTCCCATGTTGCTGAGACTTCACGCATCCAGGGCAACGATCTCTATCAGACAGATCTGGGAACGAGACTGAGATACGGGCTGGAGTTCCACTCTCAATTTGTCAACGGAGAGACAGTGCCATCTTGGCTGTGTGGTGGGAAGTTGAGCCTAACATTGGGTCCCATCACTGAAGTTGGCTACAATGCTTTATCATTCCGGATGGGTATTGATATGCCCCAGACTGGAAACTTGACGGCCAGACAGCGACCGGCTAAAGATAACGGGTTGTTTGTGGCATATGAGACATTGACACACGCAGAGAATAACGCATGAGCTGCTCAAGGGCCAAACTACACCTGTCGGACAACTATGGATTTTGGAAATCCCACATTCCCTAAGTAGCTGCAAATACCATATGCGAATTCGAAACGAAGCTTTGACGTATATTCAGCTGCTTATAGCCGAATTTATTTTCCCTGGCTTCATGCGCTGGGGTCCAGCATGATCTCATCGACTTCCACTTTGTCTGGACCAAAATCCTTAAGATCTATGATCCCACCAGAGCTGGCTCGCGCTTGCAAACTGACTGGAGCTTGGTGATTGAAATCAAGTAGCACAAGGTACCTTCTTCCTGAAAGGCTGCATTCTGTGTCAATAGGTGTAAGTAAAAAGGCCATGCCTTCGAGAGTAGGATGTTTTCGCTTCCACACAAAACGCATCCACAGGAAGCGTGACTCCATCTGCAACATCAGTCCACCTGGAGTCCCTCTCAGAGGCATTCAGGCCCTCATTTTCTAAAATTCGAAACTCCGGTAATTGGACCAGGCCGCAGAATTAGTTGGACTGACATGTCGGAGTCGTGCATCTTCACCTAGCAGGTCAGTGGGGCTGAGAGCTTAGGCCCGTCCCGTCCCGGCCATTGGGGGTGTGGAAGGGCGTATATTACTGCCCTTTGGCCACCGCAGACCGTTCTATCTTTCAAGGAGAACCTTGAAATGTGTGAAAACCTGATTAGGATGGTGTAAGATCTGGGTTTAACCAAGAATTGTGATCTTAAAATCGGATTGACTACCAGGCAAAATGCGCACGAATAGCTGCATTGCAGATTGGTAGCTTGGAAATGCACTCGGTGTTCCAGTCCTAAAAGTCAAGCATACGAACGAGAATAGCGGTCTGAAGAATATTTAATTACTTGCAACCTCTCAAATTAAACCCATGTCTAGCAACCGATTTCCGAGCTCCAAAAAGTAATAGTCTGCATACACCAAGCCATGATCCCAATGTCGGTCACTATGGTTTGCGTTGAAATTTGCAGTCGATCTTCCCAGGATTGCGTCAGAATATCGCCCGCTAGCCTTGTTGCAGGCCTCAACGCGTATCTTTGAGCTTTCCTCCTCAATAACGATCTTCATTTCGTCACGGTGGTATGCGAGTGCAACAGTATCCTTCGCAATGGCCAAGGCGTAGTCCAAGTACCGCTTGGCAGACTTATGATCCCCGATTCCCAATAACTGTCCATATAGAATGACCATGCCATTTGCAGCAATTAGTCCCGCTGAAACATCTCGCAAGGGAGCCGGTCGCCCGTGGACGGTGGTCTTGGTGATGGGCGCATCGAAATCCCACAGCGGAACGTAACGCCCAAGACCATTTTTCTCGATCACCCCAGTGGCAGATTCAAGACGATGAATAAAGTATTCTGCGAGACCTTTCGCAGCATCTAGGAACTTGCCTTCCTTGGTCCAGGAGAATGTCTGAGCGTAACCTAGAATCGCCCAGGCTTGGCCGCGAGCCCAGGTCGAGCTGTCGGCGTACCCCTGCGCTGTGAAGCTATTCTTCACAGAGCCTGTTTCTGGTGAGAAGTTAACTCCATGGTAGGTCGAGAAGCATGTGGCACCATTCTGCGTAGATTCTTTGCGAAGATGGGTGTGCAAGAGGGTGGTTGCGTGGGTTGTAGCGATATCAAGAAGGCGGGAATTCCCTGTGTAAGTGCCGGCATAGAATAGGAGATCAAGATCTGAAAGTAATTTGTAAGCATAAGCCCTGCGATGGATGATGACTTTTCTTCAAGTGACGTACTACAAAGGCTGTCAATGATCACCACGAAGTCGGTTTCCATGCTTGTAATGTTGTGAAGCGCATTTGAGAATGAGTCCCAGCTGCGGATAGCGCGGACTCGATCGTCATATCTGCTGGCAAGACTGTCCGCTGCATGAAGAAGGGCTCTCAAACTTTGTTCGTTGCCGAAAAGCTCCCAGTCTCTTCGCAGAGCAGGTTGAACAATGAAACCAAGGTCGTGCGTGTCTTTGCGACCAGACATTGGGTACAAAGGCGCGGCCCATTGGTGACATAAGTCACTGAGGTGAGCGATAAGGCAACTTTGGAAAGTGATTGATTTTTCTGGAGCGTTTGAGATCTTGGAGATGCTTGATCCCGGATATTTCCTCAATCTTTCAAGGACACAGAAGAGGCTTCCGGGGAAGAATCCACATGTCCAAAACTCCGCATCTCTACATTGGTATCTTCCTTCGTTTGGGCCACTTTGAGGGACCGTTTCGGGAAATTTGGTTAGGGGACTCTGGTGTGTTGGATGGCTGATTAGTGAGATGAAATAAAGGAGTTTGTGTGACTTGCATTGTTTTCCAGGTATGCCTCAGCCGTGCCGATGACCTTCGCAATCGTGTTCTCGTTGAAGAACACGGCCAACCTTTCTCCGATGGAAGGCGCAGCGCTGGGCTTGATAGAGGGAATCATTTCGGTCACGACTTGGACTGCCAATTTGCCGTCGTCGGGGCATGAACTGATGCTAAGGACGTCCATGTGGTTAGCTGCCGGGTAAATGCAAAGAACACTTTGTTGAAAGATTGAAAAATGCTACAGCGAACTCAAAGGAATAAAGTGTGTCTCTTAAAACGCGTTGCGGGCTTCTGTTCAGTTGAGAAATCCAGGTCGCTATGGTTCTCGGGTGGATCCTTCGCCCGATGCCCGATGCCCGGGGTCTCACTTCATTCGATGGATTTTGCCCGAATATCACGCCATGCCTGGGGTTTAGATAATTATTGGCAAGTCGGATCTAAGAGAGGGTTTTCAGGTATCTATACAGCATATTCTAATATTGTGGTCTAACTTATCAGCGCATCAATGAGTCTTGGAAGCTAATAATTCGATCCATATCCATGTATTGCGGGTCCAACAAAAAGTTTGACAAGGGCGCGAACCCATCCAAATTATCTCCAAGTGGTTGAGTCGCATTATTTGAAGTGAAGATCTCATTGAACGTCAAATCACCTCCGGGCTGTGCGTGCTGGGCTTGCGGTGCGAGCGCGTGGCGCGATTGACCCGTGCTAGTTGGTACCGAGGCGTGGTCTTCATTCGTCGTTCTTCCGCTGTGCATCGATCCAGACGAAGGAGTTTGCATACTGAATACTCAAGGTTTAGTTATCGGCAAGGAAACACGATGGAAAACGTACGTATGGCTGAAAGGACTCTGGTGATCAGACCCTGTCCTCAGTCCGTTGGTGTCAAGGTAATGTGAATGCCTTGCGCCCACGGGGATGATGCTATGTCGTTGCTGTGTCCTGCGTTCTGCAAGCCATTGACTCTCGCCAGGGCTGACGGCTGGTAATTTAACACCAAGGGCATGATTCACTTCCGCAACATAATCTGAGGCCGTTACATTGAACGAAGGAGAGCCGATCATTCTTTGGAGGGTGTGTAGTTGGGAAGAAAGCCCTTGGGAAAAGTCTGTCGCATTGGAGGTTAACTTCAGGCTAGGATTCATTGAGACCCAACGCGATGACATCTGTTGAAGACTTGATAAGAGAATGTGGTAAGCATCTGGAATGTCAAGCTGATGAGTGTGTGAGTGTACTAGCAATTCATGCGTTAGTCAAATGTTAAAGCGATATTGAAGCAGACTCACTCAGCATTACACGTGCACTTAGATAGGTGCAAAGAGAAAATTGGTGGTTGACCAAGCCAACAAACGGTGTGTATTGTAAGTATTTCTGGACGATGTTTGCAGTTTCCGATGCAGCCAGCTGGCATGTCTCGGCACTCGCAGTGCTTGCAAGTCTGACTTTCTCCAAAATGCTTGCACGCGGGTATGCAATGCTCTGATGGAGAAGAATCATGGAAGTATTGTGAGTGATGTGCGCGAGAGTAAGATTTGGGTCCATGTGCACAAAGGCTGGTTCTTTGGAAATGTTCGAGTCTTTCCACCGGCGAGGGAGAAACATCTTCCAGCTAGAAGACGTTAGTCTTTTCAAGAACTAAACAATGAGAGATCCGCGGATAGCCTACTGAATGAGTTGGAGATCGAGTTCCTTGAAGCGAGTTAGCCATGCCCTAAATTCCTGTTTGCTTTGGAAATCCACAGGTCGTTGGAGAAAGAACTTGACGACACGGTTAAGAGACTCGGTTGCTTCAACGCAATAAGCAAAAGAGCCAATGGTCGAAACATCCACTGATCGATTCTCGGGCACTCGGCCATCAGGGGTCACGCGCTCTGAGGTTGGTGCAGTAGCTGTCGACTGCTTGTCTTGATCTGCAAGAGAGGTGAAGTGACTGGGAAGGAAAGATACCGATTTTCCCATCCTCCCGAGGGACGAATCCCATACGTTGAAAAATGGGGTGGTAACAGGCTCCTCCTTGACCCAGTACAAACCGTCGCTGGGTAGTCGGACCTGGACATCTTCGCTGGACAAGTTCGTATTCCAACTTCGATTTTCTGTGTCAGCAATTTGAAATCCACAAAGTCAAAGAGGTTCACACACCCTGTAGCAGTCGAGCAGAATCGGTCGAGTAGAAAAACATTCCAGAACACTCGGCGCCGTTCCTCGGCTTCCGTCCACACTCGAGCGGGTGATAACGACGACAATGGCTTGAGCGATACTTCACCTCTCTGGGTTTCTTCTGGCTCGGTGTGAAGACCTAGATATACGACTCCCCGAGCAAGTGTCCCAATAAGTGGCCAGGCCTTGTTCGCCTCGCCATCGCCGATGTGCACAAATGTCACTATAACAAGTGCTTGCAGGTTTTCTACAGATAGCCCATCCATTCCAGAGAGAATCACAAGTTCGCGGGACCGTTGCGAAGCATCGGGGTATGTTTCAAGCCAGTCTGTTGCCAATCGCTCATTAGCGACATACCGCAGGGCACAGACCATCATAGCATGAAGAACAACGACTAGCTTTGGTCTCTCATTTGGGTCCCTTAGGCGTGATCGGAAGAGCATTTCGTGAATTATTGGTATGAATGGATGGACTATGGAGAAGTAAGCATCGAGAATAGCATTGACCAGATTATCTGGAGGGATCTGGGCAGACGAGTGACACCGTTCTGGAATGCCCTGGTCTGTATGCCGTCTTTTGTTAGATTGCCGGTTGGTTAGTTCTGTCAAGACCGTGTCCCTTTGCGGTAGATCATCATGAACCTCCAATAATGAAGTAGTGCCAGGTTGTTGAGACTGATTTAGATATGGGCGATTCTGCACCCATTCCTCCATCAGGGAAGAGACTAAGCCTCGAATGGCACCTGCATCATGACCCGCATTGACCGGGCAAGAATCGATAGCGTGGGGCTGTTGATGGACTCTCACAGCCTCAAGCTCGGCTTCGAGTAATTCTATTGTATTTGCATTGGCTGACTATGCTTTCAATACATATTGTCCAAATCCTGACATACCTACTCGCTGGGTGAGTGTTTGGATAATGCCAACCTTCACTCCTGGCTTGTTGCGTGTATAGTCATAGTGACACTCCACCCCTATACCCTAATCAGTTCCATTGTTCTTCGGAACTAGTGAGTGAAGACCTGCCTAGACGGCTACAACGGCTGCAAGCAGGAACCTCCCTTGAGCAGCGCAGCTTGCGGCTTCGGCATGACTGGCAAGCGGGTGTTTCTGTCTCAGTGCCTTGCTGTATCGAAATCTCTCGGGCGTCGGAGGATTCCATGGTGATACAGATTCTGCATTGGATCGCAGGGAAAGAAAAACAAATCTTGTTAGGGGACCGAGCCCGAATAGAGAGTGGGGTTCGTTACCATAGCCCATTCTGGGGAAGTGGAGTTAAGCGATGCTACTCTGCCATCGGATGAAGATATACCCCGAGCTATCAACCCCTCACTACCATGAGATGTATGGCTTGTGGACACGTGCGTATTGATAGCATTCTGTTTTTGGTTTTCTTTCTTGTCGCTAGTACTTTCTAAGATCGGGTCTTATCTTCCCTTTCGCTACTCACTATTTTTGGTTTCACCAGCGTCAAGAAGGATATCCCAAAGAAACTATGCCGCCACTCAAAGGGTTTTCCGACAACAAATTTTATGATCGAAATGATGTTCTAATGGCGACAAATGCACTCATTCAGGCTCTCAACCCTTATTTCTCGACGGGAAATGCACGCGTTCAACTACCGATTTACTCCGGAGCACACTTTGATGAAGTAGCTGCACAGTTAGAAGGGTTCGCACGACCCATTTGGGCAGTAGCCGCAGCCGTTGCGGACTGCTCAATTAGCTCCGACTCTGGAATTGCCTCTTATGCCAAGCGTTTGGTTGAAGGAATTGTGAATGGAGTTAACCCAGAACATCCCGAATACTGGGGCACGATAGGGGATTGGGACCAGCGGATGGTCGAAGCGGAGCCAATCTCTTTCGCGCTGCTTATAGCGCCTAAGACTTTCTACGAACCCTTATCAGGAGAAAGTCGCTTACAGCTGACTAAATGGTTATCTGAGCTCAACGGCAAGGTTATGCCGATTAATAATTGGCGCTGGTTTCGAATATTTTCCAATCTCGCTCTCAGCCGAGTATGCGGAGTACCTTACGAAGAAGTCAAGGACTACATCGAAGCCGACTTTGCTATTCTTGACCAATTCGAACTAGGCGATGGCTGGTCGGCAGATGGAATCTGGAAAAAGACTTCTGTTCCCGGTCACGAGTCCTATAGTCGACAGGCGGATTATTACTCCGGCAGTTTCGCTATTCAGTTCAGTCAATTACTTTATTGCATCATTGCGAAGGATTCCGATCCCGAGCGTGTTTCTCGGTACCAACAACAGGCGAGAGAGTTCGCAAGTCAGTTCTGGCGGTTTTTCGATAAGGATGGCGCTGCTATCCCATTCGGTCGCTCGTTAACCTATCGGTTTGCCATGGGGGCATTTTATGCAACGTTTGCCTTGGCTAAATGCTATGATTCATCAAACCCCTATACCTCCCCAGGGTTTGTCAAGGGTATGCTTTTGCGACATCTCCGGTGGTGGGCAACACATTCATCAGACATGTTTGCTGTTGACGGTACGTTGACCATTGGATACTTGTACCCGAACATGTTCATGTGTGAGGATTACAATTCTCCCCAGTCTCCATACTGGGCCATGAAAATATTTGTGGTGCTGGCATTGGAGGCAGATGATGCTTTCTGGACTGCAGAAGAGATTTTACATCCCCTTGCGGTCTCGAACGAGCAATCAACTGTCTCCGGGGTCGAGTTGGTACCTGCGCCGGGCCAAATTCTCTGCAATCATCCCCAGGGTCAGCATCACTTCATGCTCAACGGGGGCCAATTCTGCGCCTGGCCTCTCAAAGCCACGCAGGCCAAGTATAGCAAGTTTGCATATTCTTCGACATTTGGATTCAGTGTGCCGACAGGGGGACAATTGACGCAGATTGCTCTAGATAATACTCTTGTCATCAGTCGAGATGGGGGAGAAGCTTGGGCGATGCGATGGGAAACTATTGACACCCCTCGGGGCAAGTCTATCACCATTCAGGGCACAGAGATGCACTGTCTGCAGAGCACCTGGAAACCTTGGAAAGCCGGCGATATACAGATAAGCACCACACTTCTTCCGCCGTGTAACAAATGGCCAGATTGGCATATAAGAATCCATCGAATTCAGCGAGCTCAGTGCTCTGGGCTCGACATTCGCGGTTCGGAGCGCTTGACTCTTGTCGAAGGTGGCTTTGCCATACAGGCAAAACAACCGCGTCGAATGTGCACGCTCAATGAAAACTTGATCAGTACCAGTGGTTATGGTGGAACCCTTGAAGCTAGCTCCGGCGCTCTCTCATTTGGTGTCGCTGGTGTCAGTGGCGTGAGAAACATTCTTAGCTCTGAGGGGTGGGTCGTGGGCAAGGTCCTGAAGCCAGATCCAAACACCAACTTGATGGAGCCCAGAACGCTAATCCCAACTATTGAACACATTATCGAGCTGGCACCAGGAAAAGAAAAGGTCATTGTCACGGGAGTGTTCGCCGTTGCCAGTGGAAAGAAAGAATTCAGCCGAGAAGATCTGTTGCGAAAATGGTCTCAACAACCTTATCTAACGGAAGAGATGTTGCAGGAGTCGTATTGAATTGAAAGCTATGGGTTATGAATTTGTAAAAACACAATCAAATTCTATCATGCATATTGAAATTTCCCGGGTTAAAACGAAACATAGTACAACTAGTCACACAATTAATAATCAGAAAACACACGGCCGGCACAAAAGTCAGCATGAATGAGAAGATATCTGTACAGAATCAAAAACTTCCGCGAATACACCCCCTTGGATAATGAAGAGCACAGCAAACGGTCCCCATACAAACTTGAGATGTGTGGGCCTATGGCACAGTAGCAATTGTTTCAGGACTTTGTGTCACAATCGAAGATAAGACAATGGTCGGAGTTGTCAATGAAATGAAAGAGCTGCCGGATGGAGCCAGAATGGACGGCGGTCACTCAGAAGTCACAGCAAGAGATGATGGGGCAACAGAAAAGCTAGGAACATCGCTGAGCGAAATTGAGTTGGAGCTGGCTCTCACGGTGTGAGAATTGGGACAGAGGCCGTGATTGAGCCTGATTTCGAAGCCTTGCATGCGTGACTGGATGTAGGCATGGTAGAAGTAAGAGCCTTGATATCTGCACTTTCGTACAAGATACAAGTCTCATCTCTTGAATAGGGTTGTGCTAGTCATGCAAAAACGATAGCTTCGCCATCGCTCAGCTAGTTGAAAGAGTAAAAATGAATTATTTACCACAGCACCGCATTAAGTGATTGGCAATCTGCTCTTCTTCCCTCTAACCATATCTCTTCAAATGATCCAAAGACATGCAACCTAACAGAAATACACATAGCCACCTTGGAATGCTCTGAGCGAATTCGCTTATCAAATCCATGCCGGAGAAAATTTCTGTCAACTCGGTGAACTTCTGGTCTTTGAGTTGTCCGCAGTACGCCATTAGATTTTTCATTTATCTCGATGATCTCCTGGTAGTGTTTTGAGATCGTTAGTTGAGCTGTTATTCACACCGTGCATATATGCGCTTGAGCGAGAGTTTATTAATCCTCGCGAAATTGCACCATCCTCCGAAGTGGCTCTTCGATACGTCTACTGTAAGAAATAAATCATGTTATTAGCTTTTGTTAAACATAGTTAGCCTTAAATATTCACTCTTTGTGAACTCAATCCATTGCGGGGGCCATAGTCTGGGGCAACCTCGGCGGGTTCCTTTGCCCGAGCGACGGAGGATTCCCCGCCCCGACGATGCCAGCGTTAGGGTTGAACTTTTTGAGAAACGTAGCTATCAATCGACCTCGTGATAGTGAAACGCTACAGCACAGCCATGGTTCCCCGGATTATTGGATATCTCAAATAGAATAAATAGTCAACGTTCGGACCTTGGTGGAGTTGGCTGGTTGGCTTCAACACTCGAACGAGGATCATTCATTTTCTTACCTGAACAGTAATCCCTCGGTATCAACATGAATTTGCGATCTTCAGAAGAGCTACAGGCTGTGAAGATGCCATTGGAGAAAACATCAAGTCATGATGAAGGCCTGCCGACCCGGCAATCTTTGATTGAGGCTCTCCAGGCTCAGAAGCCAGATCCATGGTCGCCAAACCTGAGAAAGCTTTATTGCTTTTGTGTTATTGCTTTTCTTTGCTCGACTATGAATGGTAAGCCTTTGATCATTCCACCATTATTCATTGGTACAGTTGGCTAAGATACTTCCAGGGTATGATGGATCTATATTCGGGTCGTTGCCTGCCCTCGATGCATTTCGTGCCCAGTTTGGAGTCGAGAAAAACGGATCCAAGATAGGCTACATTTCAGCTATGTACACAGTTGGCGCCATCTGCTCCTTACCATTCAGCGGACCCGCTTGCGATATCCGAGGCCGCAAATGGGGTACATTCATCGGCTGCGTGATCGTTGTCGCCAGTACTTTCGTCTCCGCACTCTCACATGGCGTCCCGCAGTTCGTTGCAGGCCGTTTCTTCCTCGGGTTCGGAGTCAACATCATTCGATCCACTAGCTCTATATGGTGTGCGGAAGTCTGTCCGCCTGCATACCGAGGAATTATCATGGCATTCTACAATTGCACGTATGCCGTTGGGTCGCTGATCGCTGCGGGTGTCACGAGAGGATCAGCCGGGTATGCTGGCAACAAGGCTTGGCAGATTCCACTGTGGTGTCAAATGATCTGTCCAGGAATTGTACTCCTGACTGTACTCTTCTTCCCCGAGTCACCGCGTTGGCTCTTCTCGCATAGCCAGGAAGAAAAAGCCTTGGAGTTCCTAGCGTACTACCACGGAGAAGGAAACCCAGATCATCCACTCGTCCAGCTCCAGCTGCAGGAATACCGCGAATTTATCTCCCTTTCTGGCTCAGACAAGCGCTGGTGGGACTTTAGTGACTTCTACAAGACCAAGGCCGGAAGATGGCGATTTATCAACGCTCTGATTACCGGTATCTGGGGCCAGTGCTCAGGTAACGCGGTCGTCACATATTACCTCCCAGCAATGTTGCTCACTACCGGTATTACCGCGTCTGAACAAGTGCTGAATGTCAACCTCGGCTACACCGTTGTCTCGACGGTCGCTTCATACATAGGTGCTAGCCAGATCGAGCGAATGGGCCGTCGACCGACCATTATCTGGACGGCTGTGGCCTGTTCGATATGTTTTGCATGTATCACGATCGGGTCTGGCATCTACGCGAATACGAAAGCGGAACCGGCTGCCTCAGCTGGTATCGCGTTCATCTTCGTCTTCGGCTTCTGCTATAATTTTGGAATGACTCCGCTGCAGGCGCTGTATCCGGTCGAGGCTCTTTCCTACGAGACTCGAGGCAAGGGAGTTGGTCTGACGTTCTCCATTGCACATGGGTTCACTCTTCTCAACCAGTTCTGTTTCCCAGTGGCTCTCAAGAATATTGGTTGGTATACCTATATTGTGTTCATTGTTTGGGATTTGTTCGAAGCGAGCGTGAGTTATTTCTTCTCAGTCGAGACTAAGAACCATACACTGGAGGAGCTCTCTGAGATCTTCGAAAGTCCCAACCCCGTCAAGGCTTCTTTGCAGAAGCCATTGCCTGCAGACTCTGAGCGTTGAAGTAATGGCTATCAATTATGGAACCAAGTGCATGTAACTATTCAAAATGTCAATGTATATGAAATCTCGCCGGGATGCAATATGTAATGGCGGGCTTCCATGCCAAGTGTAAGATTTGTGAGTCGATGGAGTTGTCAATTTCGCGGGTTGCACCGGCCTGGGCACATTTTTATGTTCCGTATTGATTTCGAGAGTAGACCGTTTTTGCAACCGGCGTAGTTGAAGGATAGAAGTTTTGGAGTCCCAAATCCCATCCTTCCTGCCTATCAGGGGCGTCGACCTCCATTTCAGCGGTGGGAGTTTTCTGACTTTCGGTATTCGTCACTGTACCTGGATCGGAAACAGAGCCTCCAGCATCGGGGTCTTCGTAGAGCCGTTGATAAGTACACTGCCGTTCGCGTTGAATACATTGAGAGCAGGGATTTTGCCCGTTGCAAGCTTTTCTAATGCTTGCACAGTTATCGCACGCTCGCTTGTGTTTCCCTCCGCGATGGATCTCGGGCATTTCCTGTCCTTTTTCTAGCCGAATCTTGCATGATTTCCAATGCCGCCGCAACACATCCCTAAAATCAGTGTCAGAGGTGTACTGCAGCTACAATAGGCAGCATGTACAAAGGGTTCATTAGGGGCCTTGTTCACCCACCCTCGGCTGAAAGGAGCGCCACAAAAGTGACAGATATGGTTTCTCTGTGCGTTATCTGCAAAGTATCAGCTAGCACTTCACTATCATTTAGAATACGCATACGGGTTAATAAATGACGATTGAGGTGATCCAGCCGGCTAAAGGTGGACGCGCACTGGTCGCACCTCCACTGGCCCGGCGGTGAAAGTTCCATATGGGCTGCTAGACCGTTTCGAGGAAAGTCAGGCGAGAGCGAAGCGAAGATGGTCCAGGATTGTAAATCTGCGACCGTGATTCGCTCCGGTGGAAATGGCGGGTCGAATTAGAATTGCGCAGATGCGAGAGAGCCGAGTTCTAGGAACCAGGGCGGGTGAATCCCGCCAGTCCTCGGCGTCGACGTCGACGTCGGCGTCGGGTGCCCCCCACTTCACGCAAAGCAACCTGAGGAAGGCTCCGAGGTGATGACGATCACGTACGAATATGGTATCCAGTCCGTAGCTGATGGTGGCGCAGATGGATTCTTTGATGAAGATGTTGTGAAGACGGAGACATGAGATTCACCGAATATCCGCAGATCAGCCGCTTACCGTCGCGATTCCCCCACATTCTTGGGAGTCGCAACAATTCCACACTTCAACGACCAGAAACTGAGAGATGTCGGGGAAACCATGAGCCTTGTGAAAGGCAGCAAAAGTGTCTGAGAAAAGGGGTGGGTGGAAGTATAAAGGGGGCAAAAGCCGCCTTTCGTCCACCCAAGGTTTTAACAGTCAAAGTTCAGACATCTCCACCTAAATATTTATTGAATTACTGAGACAATGCCTTCTCTAACATCTAATTCTAATGATGCTGCCACTAGCAATTCTAGTACCGAAGAGCCCTGGAACAACTGGCCAAACGATATAGGAGTATACTCTTGCCTGCCCTGCATGCCGGAACGTATCTAACATTGCTGTAGTTCGATCCGGAATACGAAGAACGCACCCCAGTTGAGCTTACTGTGCTCGGTGATATTCCGGCATACGCCGCCGGTACCCTATACCGCATAGGTCCAGGCAAAAGTCAGGTCGAAACCAAAGATGGACAACTCTTCCAGCTATCGCACTGGTTCGATGGATTTAGCCAAACACACCGTTTCCAGATTCTTTCATCGGAAGCCTCGACTCGTGTCCTTTACAATTCCCGGTTCGGAACCGATGCCCTGATCGAGCACGTTCGCGCGACGGGGAATATAGGCAAGTTCGGCTTTGGCCAGAAACGAGACCCCTGCAAGTCTGTTTTCAACAAGGTCCAAACCGAATATGTCCCTCCTGTTGTTCCCGATCCTCCTATTGTTCCCGACTCCATGAACATTAGTGTCACTCTTTCAGTCAATATGCCTGGTCTGGATCATGACCCGAATAGGTCGAATGAACGCTGGGCCAATGGTATCCGGACGCTGTATGCAAAGACGGATTACAGTGCATTTCAGAAGCTTGACCCGGAGACCCTGGAGCCTATTGGTCTTGCAACCCAGGAATCTTTGCATCCAGATCTAACTGGTCCACAGACAGCTTCGCATGCCCGCTCAGATCCTGTGACGGGTGATATGTACAACTTCAATCTCACCCTCGGAGCAGAGTCGACATATCGAGTATTCGGTGTTTCTGCTTCAAATGGAAAGACTACAATCCTTGCTACTTTCACGGGCATTCCTGCTTACGTGCACTCGTTGTTTATCACTGAGGATTATGTACTCCTTTGTGTGTGGAACTCACACCTCAATCCTTTGGAGCTGGCCAAGGGCTCCTTCATGGACTCCATCATGCCCACAGACCCATCCAAGCCGGCGAAATGGTATGTCGTCGATCGCAAAAATGGAAAGGGACTGGTTGCAACCTACGATAGTCCGGCCTTCTTCTGCTTCCATACCATAAATGCATGGCAGGAACCGTCGAAGGAAGACCCAACCAAGACGGATATTGTCGCCGATCTCGTGCGCTTGGACAACACCGAGTTCCTCAAGTTTCTCTACTACGAGAACCTGAAGTCATCACTCCCTAGTGCTAAGAAATTTGCCGCGAGCCGAGGTGAAGTGTTGCGCTCAACCATCACACGTTTCCGTCTGCCGACTCTGCCTTATGTACCTAGCCCAGAGACTCTGCAGGCAACTGTGGAATGGTCCTCTTGCAGACCATTTTCTCCTGAACTGCCTACAATGAATCCAGCCTTCGTCACGAAGAAGTATCGCTACGCGTACGCCACGACCTTCAGTGGCAAGGCCACCCTCACAGACGGCATCATGAAATTCGACTGTGAGACACAGGAAACGAGCCTGTGGGGCCACCATGGCCACTCGCCTGGTGAGCCGATCTTCGTTGCGAACCCGAAGGGTGAGAGTGAGGATGACGGAGTCCTTCTCAGTGTTGTGCTCGATGGCCTGCGGGGTTATAGCTACCTGCTCTGTCTTGATGCTCGTGATTTGACTGAGTTGGGCCGGGCTGAAGTCAAGGGAGTTGTTGGCTTTGGCTTCCACGGACAGCATGTTCCTGTTGTTGGCATTCCTACTGGAGACTGGTAGAGGTAAGGTCAGAATGTTAAATTCTGATTTATTCTCATTACTCTATATTTTGTTCATGGACTTTCGAGCATGTTCTTCGTCATTTGGTAGCTCATCTATAATCAAAACATTTTGGGAAAGCTCCCGTGTCGTCATCTCAAGATACATCACTCGGTAATCGCAGTGTTAATTCCTCGTTGGAAAATTCAAAGAGGTCTTTCCAGGCATCACTAATTATGTCTTCCAGGAATATGGTGGAAGTATAAGCATCAGTACGAGAAGACCTGGTCGTCGGGTTAAATACAATGCGTCTCTAGCTGAAGGACTGGAGGGTCAGCGTCCGCAAGGTCGGCGCAGCGATACTAAGGAATCATTTCAACGTATTGCTACAATCAAGATTTTGAAGGCTGAGCTTCGAAAGTTTTGTGAAGTGAACATTCTCGGCGACATTCTTGAAATAGCTAGGGTTCACCTCGCAGTCCTCGGGTGACCGCTGGGCAAACCTCAATGCCTCCAAGTTGGATGCCACTGTCAGAGGAAGATCGAGAACCGACTGGAGACCAGTATAGTCCAGTGGCTCTTCCAGTAAGTAAATACCCAGATTGAGGCATTTTACTTCATCTAGAAGGGGCATAGGGGACTCATAATCAGACTACGTAAACGCGATAGCGTAGGCTACCATGTTGTATAATCGGTCAAAATGGCGTTGAATGCTTCGTATCGGGCGTCGAGGTTAATTTCTTTGTCGTCAATCGCTCTTTTGACATATCACGATCTTTGAAATACTTCTCGGCAGGTTGGATAAGCTCGATGAAACAATACTGGGACAATCCGGAGTTTACGGACTCGAGTTGCTGGCTCTAGAGAGAGAAAGATCTGCCTCACCAGCTCGGTCGGGAGTGTTTAGATGGGCATGTTTATCGATTGTAGGTAAATTGAGCAGGTTGCGGGAGCAATTGCTCTTTAAGAAGTCACTGCCGGCAAAGTCAGCTTGTCTAGCTCTTATTTGGCTATCTTAGTCCCTGTAAGCCGCTGGGTCAAACTGCTAGGTCTGCCCAATGAATGCGATGGATCAGGGCTGAAGGAGATCTGAGCCCGAGCACTATTTAAATGAGTCATTTAAGTCATATGTCTAGCTTCTCAGATGGAAAGAGGAAAGATGTGTTCCGCTGTCAAGTCGGGGAGACCCATAGATCTGCGCCCTGCGGATGACAGTGGAAGCAACTCGGTCCCCGCCTTGAACATCCCTTTATATTACAATCGAGTAACATCTCTCACCCCCCAATACTATCACAGTCAATCTCTAGTCAGTATCCCACAATGGCCGCCGGTGGAACAGACCTATCGGTCCTCCTAGCGACTATGGAGCCAACCCTGGACCCCACAACCTACGTCTTCATCAACACAACCGAGCCACTCACCTCTCTTCCATTGGCCACTCTTCAACCCCAACTCATCGCCCAAGAGGCCGAGGGCACCACCATCGTGACCACTGAAGCATTGGCCACGTCGCATGGCTACAAAGAAGTCGTCTTCCCGTGCAAGAAGATCTCTCTCACCGTCCACTCCAGCCTCGAAGCGATTGGACTGATAGCAGCCATTACGAACCGCCTCAAAGATCACCAGATCAGCACGAACGTCGTCAGCGGGTTCTTCCACGACCACATCTACGTCCCAGTCGGACGCGCAGATGATGCGATGCGAGTTCTGGTGGGTTTAGCTACAGAGGCGAACAGGCAATAGAGTCCAATCTACCAAGATGGATCGAAAAGAGAAGGGGAAAAAAAAAATAAAAAATTCACAGGTTTCTATAACAAGCTATGAAAGAGTCGAAACTAGATTTCCAGGGCTCTAGCCCATTCATCTCCCACTACTCCAAACCTATGGTACATACATCGTTGAGGAGACATGAAACAAAACGATAGCAGAAAGAGCACGCCATAAGTAAAACCCATAAACGACAATGAGAGGGTGCAAAAATAAGGGGGTCACTTCTCTCTCTACCTTCACCCAGAGACGCCAGAAAGATAAGAATCGCCGACCCCGAATCCCGGAAGAACTCCGCTGTACTTTTTGCGTGCAGGCTGGCGCGCGCCAGCAATTACAGATGACAATGGCCGCCAATCAGGTCTCCTAAGTTGCATGTCTCAAGTCTGAGATCAGAGACAAGATAAGAGGCGAGGTTGGACAGCAGGGTATTAGTTGTACAAAGACACCGATGCTCAAAGAAAAAAAAGGATAGAACTGAACGTGTAAGGGTCACGGAGAAATCAGTAGTCGTCTTCCTTCTCGATGACCATGATCAACTCGGTCAACTCCTTCCGAAGTGCACGGTTTCGGTCCCAGACCTCCACGATCTTGGGACGTTGGCTCACGAAGCAGGCCTTCTTCCATGACAGACCGCCATGTTTAGGGGCGGTTCGTTTCGGGAGGCCGCGTGCAATGTTGCGCAGGACCAGAGCAGCCTTGTAGGCCACACCGATTGGCTCGTTTTTCTCGTTGATTGGAGTATCCATGTAGTACCATTTGCGGACGATGCGCTCCTGCAGGACAGCACGCTTGGTGCTGGGAGGAGGTGCATCGGCCGGTCGGTCTTCAGGCAGGTGGGAAGAGACATGGCCCGCGACCATGGCAGTATTGGCACTAGGTCCGGAAGCCCGGAATCGCGTGCAGTTGCTCCACTGGCAGGTATGAATTGGAGTCTCGGCAGGTTCTGTCTTGAACTCGCCCGGTGTCTCCGAGGCTTCCAGGTTCATGTGGTCTGTGAAAACGTGGCTGCGAAGGTCGTTGGGAGATGTGAAGGCGCGCAGGCACATCTTCGACGGCTTGGAGTTATCTGCCCACTTGCAGTAACAGAATGGGAAGCCATCAAAGGTATAGGCAGTTTCAAGCGGGCGGATACCCTTGATGATGAACTTAGTAGCAGTTCCCGGCCCGTTGATAACCTGGGCTTGAGCATTGGTGAAGGTATTGCTGACGTTTTTGATGAACTCCGCAGCAGGAAGTACTCCACCACCAGGGACACGTTGGTCTGCAAATCGGCTTTGATAGGCTTGCCACAGAGCAATCTGTGTGATCTCACAGTCCGCGTCCTCGACGAAGCAGCAGCGAAGCCACTGTGAGCTACGCTCCGGCTCTGAAAGCTCCATCAACTTCTCCAAAAGCTCCGGAGGCACTCGTGGAATCTCGGATGGTGCCGGGGCAATCTTCTCTTCTTGAAGAACAGTTTCATGCTTGGTGGGTCGGGCCTCGTAGGTCAGAAGTGCGATCATGCGAGGAACGAAGACAATGGGGAAGTTGATGACATCCATGAGAGTCTCGATGTTGTCATGGTTGAGCGTATATTGGTACCAAATATCCAGAGCCCCGCTCAGGATGTCCTTGTCGAGGTCCAGTAGTGTGTGGTAATACAACTGTTGTAAGGTATGTTTAGACAGGCTTTCCATGGCCCGGGTGCCATCTTCATCCTGGAGCTCGGTGGAGAAATGCGTCAAGGCCCAGAGTGCCCGCACAATGTGGGCGCGATCTGTGGAATCTAAGCAGTTGACTAAGGAGGTCCAGAGCGGATCTTGGGGATCGGTTCTCATGAACTTGGTCACTTCCTCCGCAATGTCGAGAGCATCGTTCTTGATCTCATTGAAGCGAGGCTGGTTTGGAGTGTTCATAAGGACGACCAGAAAGTCTCGGAGCAAGCCACTCGCGTAGCGCGAGACGTAGAAAGCATTCTCTTTGAGCAACACCATGTTTCTCAACACCAAAGTTGCCTCCTTGATATTCCGAATTTGGTGATTGAATTCGTAGGTTTCCAGGGTGTCAGTTGGAAGGTTTGTCGGGATCCGTCGGATTCTCTCGAGGATGTCCCGTGTTCCGTGTAGCGAGTTCAATACATTGACGCGGTCGGTCAGGTTTCTAGGGTCGTATTCGAACTCCCATCGCACGCCAGTACAAAGGTATGTGACGTCCAGCGCCTTCATCATGAGGGTTTCGGCAAGCAAGGGGAAACCCTCAAACTTGAACTTATCCCACCGCTGGTTGGAGATCTGGACGAGATGGTATAGCGCAAAATCGACTTCGTCTGGAATGCCTGACTGGAGGCCATAGTGTGCACGTTTGTAAATATGGTCCGCTGCAGAACTTGTCATTAGCAATTCGGGTTATATGAAAATTCGCAGGCGCTACTTACTGCGCGGGACTTCGAGAAACTTCAAAGGAAAGTAAGGGTCATAAAAGTCAGGCTGTTTGGCAGTCTTATTCCGGTCATAGAGATTGGCAAAAAGGGTAGGTCGGTTTCCTGGTGTCGGCACCTCTCGCGTTGACATTGGCAATTGTGCCTGGCCTTTTCCATCCCAGCTTTCGACCGCGAAGCTTGCACTTTGTGGGTTGGCCGCCGGGTTGAGGTTCATATGAGGGGACATCGAGGGAGGTGGAGGCGTGAAGCTTTGATGATGCGAGCGGCGAGAAGGGGCTGTGTCAGGGATGAATGGTTGGTTGATTTTGGGCGCCTGGCGCAAGCCCTCTGTTGTCTTGTTAGTATGGTTTACCTTGACACTCTGGAAGAGACTCTTACGTCGGAGAGATGTTCTTTGGGGTGTAGAGCCGGACATTATAGCACTCAAAGCAGAATGTCTAGGTCAAGCTGGCGATAATAGTCACAGCGATGAGATCTGCGGCGCAAAATCTCCCTTGCCAAGCAAATTTTGAACGGTCTGTTCAGAATTGACACCGGTTGGGACTTGCGTCTCTGCCTTGAGATAGCAGTTTACTGATGAGATTTCCAACGAGGGGTCAACGCCCTTGAACTGGCGTCCGCAAGTGAATCAAGCGGCGCTGGGAGTAGGTCGCGGAAGAGGGGATTCTTGTTCTCCAAAGTTGTAGACCAAAAGAGCGAGCGAAAACGTCAGTCGAACTGGTCCTTGTGTCACGTCCAGCAGCTGTGGTTGTTGGCGACAAAGGTGAAGTTGTTGGCGCGTTCGAGGCCAAAGCTAAGATGCGCAGCCACGAAGAACACGAAGTGATGGATACGTGGTCGAGTTCGGCGGGAGGCGTAGATTGGCGCAGGTAGTAGAATCTCAGGCGACTGGGTTCAGATGGTGGATAGCCTTCAATGCCTTGTTTGTGGCCCTGGAGGGCAGTTGGAGAAGCTGGACTTGCGATCAACGGAACTGATCAGCCAAAAGTCCGCGCTTCTCTCCAGGGCGCGTTTTCGGTCGATGGTTGTTCCACTGCCGAGGATCGCCGCGCTATCCCCTTTCGGGTGTGCCTCAGTACGTCCACGGAACCATATCAGCTTGGTGGTGAAGACGTTGGGCAACGCGTGAACAGCTTAGCCTCTGAGGACATGTGTATCCTTGATTTGTATATGATTCAGTATTTGACGTTTTCACTCAAAGTGCAGATGTGATATTTAATGAACATTACATTGTAAAATAAAACTAGGAGTTAACATGATCTGATTGACAGCCGGCGAGTCATTGGGAAATATCTGTATGCAATTAACTATAACACTTGGAATTTGCATATTCCCCGGTGTATACCCCTCCCCATAGGCATTTCTGCACAGGATACGGGGTTGCGCGATGTATTGCTGGTGAACTATGCAAGTCCCTTATTGATGGGGAGCAGGTGACCTCCCACCCACATCCTTTTCAGGACCCTCTGCGCATCTTATGTTCACAAATTCCAAGCTGCTGGCGGTTTCATAACTTGCTCTTCGTTTGGATGAAAACGCCCCGTCGTACCTTTGAACAAGCATTGGCGGTCCACCATGCCTCTGGTTCCCCAACCTCAGATTGCCTCCCAGGTGGCCCGGCTCCCACTGGCCAAATTCTCCCATACGGCCACCTCCATCGACCACAGCGGCCCATTGTCCTGGATCCATGTCAATGGCCATGGAGATCTTGTTTGTCTCTTGGACAAGTTCTCCGGCAGCTCATCGACACCATCAAGACTGATCCTGCGAGTCGTGAACAACCACGGAGTTCTGGTATGTTCTCCATCTTCTCATCAATTGAAATTTCACGCTCAAATCAATTACAGGAGCAACTTGACATGGAACATTTTGTTCGAATCTCTACTGCTCAAGTGCAATCAGCCTCGAAACCGCCCTTCGCCGTGGTGGTCAAGTCGCCTTGTCTCGCAGTGAAATACGCACAAAGCCAAACTCACGTAAATACATCTGTAAAGATATGGGTTACGAGATCTCCCTTCTGACGGGCATCTACAGGTCCGTCGATTCCAACTCAAATTCACCCAAGATCGGGATTACTACTCGACACTCGCCATTCTGAGCGGGATTAATTGCCCATTGACAGAAGGGAGTGCATCCACCCAAACACTGCAGAGACCACCTTCAACCAGTTCGTGGACATCAGTCCCCTCGGTCCAATTGGTGACCACCACATTGAGAAATGTGAACAACGCAATGACCCCAGACAGCAATGGGCCCGGTCCTTTTTATCCGGTCGTCGGATATGAGCCTGGAGTACACATAAGCTCAAGCCAGACGTCCGATGCCATATCCGTGCAGAAAAAGGCCAGGCATATCGCATCCGAGTCTCAGAATCTCGAACAAGAAAGAGTAAGCAGCCGACCTGCCAGCACGCCAGCCTGCCACGACGAGGGTCAACTCAACCGGATGCTTCCACCACGACGGGAACTCCCTTTCTCGAAGACGGGCAAGAGAAAATCTCGAGCGGACAGCACCAGCGAGCGAATTTCTGAGCAGTTCGTACCCCAATCCTCAACCGAGCAGGAAGCCAATGCACTTCGAATCCAACGACCGGACCCATTGAGCGAGACTAAAGCACTTTCACGTCCGGACTCATATGTCCCAGACTCGCAACCCCGGTCTCCGTCTCAGCCTTTTCCCTCAGCCCAACCAGATCAAGTACGACGATCGCCAGAGCTCCAGCCGTCCGCCGCGCCAAGCCAACGCTTGCCTCGCACAATGGTCCGAGGAAGATCTCCCGAAAATGCCGATACCCAGCTGGCCCGGACACAGGAATACATCCCCACTTACCAAGTCACCTCTACCGAGAACCAGCTCGAGCAGTACATTAATTCTCCAAGCGCAGAGCGAATTGCCTTCTTGGAAAACTGGATGTGCGAGTTACTCGATGACGACAAGTTCCTTACTCTATGTCAGGACGTTGAGGGGACGTGGAGACGCTTTGCGTTCGGGCAGAAGAGAGGGTTGGAGTGATTATTGCCAACAGTTGCTGACATGTGAACTGAGAGTACTCGAGACGATCGATATTTATACCCGCGCGAGAAAAACACGGAAGGAACACCACTCTATATTGACTAGCATGCAGACTGCTATAGCTACTATGATATGACTGTTTATTTTAGAATATGATTAGAATATGAATGACGAGCCTCGATTTGGTATTTTTGCGTTGAGAAATAAGATACAAATGACAATTATTGAATCGTACTCCAAGACATAGACACAAGCCACGCAAAGGTCAAAGACGTATTAAAACGTGAGTTTTGGCTGGAATCTACCGTCCAAAGCGAAACCCGGAAGGCGAAAAGCAAACAAGATAGGATATATAAGATTTGCAGGGTAGGAGAGGCGAGGAAAGGATTGCTTCAGTAGCAATCAGTGATTCCATCACATGAGGGAGATCTAGCGGCGCCGGTAGATCAGGCCCGAGAACACATTCAGATATCCCTCTTTAGTGAGCATGGTGAAGTCAACAACAACGCGGCCAACGCCGCCCTGAGACTGCGCCAGTTGCGGTGCGAGATTGGGCGAGGTCTCGCCCTGATCACCGGACAGACCAGGCGGTGGGGTGGATGAGGCATTCTGGCTGACAGAGCCTTCGGCGCCAACAGCGAGATCGGCAAGGTGCTGGAGAGAGCGCTGCTCGTTGGGGCCCATCACTGGAGGCTGAGAGGAGCCAGGCTTGCCTCCGACAGACTCGTGTAGCTGGCTCTCCTGAGATTTGACGCGGCGCCATTCGAGAAAGACGCGGATCTTCGCATCCCAGCCTGGGGTTCCGAAGATGTTGCCGAACTCGGTGGACTCGAGGGCGGGCTTGGCGCGGTGGTCGAGGATTTCTTCGACCTTTTCGAGGGAGATCCAGCACTCGTTTGCGTATTCGGGGAGAACAGTAGCTTCGAGGAGGGTCATTGAGGCCAGGGCTAAGCTGTGCAGGTCGAACGGGGTGGCGGGGCGGTTCTGCAAGGCGGCCTTGTGCATCTCGTTGATGACTTCTTGGGCGCAGTAGATGATCTCGTAGGGACTGTAGACAAAAACGTGGCGCTTGATGAGCAGCCGGACGGTCCAGTAGAGCTGGGCTTGGAGGCTCTCGAAGAGCGAACGAGTGGTCGTGTGTTCGGGCAGTTCGTGGACCTTGAACACGTCTTCCATCTCTCCCAGACGCTCGAGAGATGCAACCAGGTTGGCTCCGACCATCCGGCCCAGTCCGCTGTTAGTCTGGCAGACGTTGTGCTCAACAGTGGCCAGGGTGACCATCTCGGAGAGGAAGGTTGTATACGAGGCGATGCCAGTAGTAATCTGGCCGAGAACCCGCTCGTCCTCGAGACCACCAATCTCTTGTCCACCGGAGACCGTGCCATCAGCTACACTGATGGCGTACCACCGGCTCAAGATAATCAACGACACCCAGTTGCGTCGAGTGAGGTTTGCATCCGAGTCAATATCGGGGTCCGTGGCACGCTTGTTCTTCAGTTGGCCTTGACTCTTGGCCAGGTCGTAGCCCAACTTGCTGGCGGCCTGAACCAAATTATGCTTCGGGATGCCATCCTTGAGAACAAAATTGTCTGGGCCGCGAGTGTCGGCATCAATGATCATCAAGAGAAGTGTCTGTAGCCAGATTAGGTTGACTGCCGTGGAGTTGACGATCAAAGGCTGCTTGGTGTAGTACAGGAGGAGATCCTGAGCGTTGTCAAACGAGGTGACTTTTTCAAAGTTTCCCGCAACGCGCGACAAATCAGTGCGAGTGACTGTGTACAGCGCATAGCAAAAAGTTTCCTGCACCTCGCGATTACATTGGTGAAGAAGCTCCAGGGTTCGCCCCCTGGTGTGTGGGAGAATTGGCATAAGAGTGTGGACCTTCTGGTAGTAACTGGACGATGTTAGATCAAGGACTGGGAGTGGAGCAGGGGGTGTATAGAACGTACGCATCAAGAGCTCCTTCATCGAGGTTGACGGGTGTCATGTCATCTTCGCCCTCATGTCTGGGTAAATCCGTCATCTCAAGACCACTTGGCAAATCCTGCTCATTACTCGGGTTCCAGAACAGGTTGCCAGCCTTCGGCGCACCGCCGCTAGCAACCGTCGGGTTGTAGGGATCAGCCGTGGATTCCGGCGCATCGAAAGCATTCTGCGAGGCGCGGGCATTGAAGTTTGGCTGGGCAAATGACGAGCTTGGAAGACCCTCAAAGACCGAATATGTTCGTTTGCGATTGGCGGAGCCGGTATCGACAGGCGATGCGAAATCTTGATAGCCTCTGGGCAGATTGACCTCGTTCATCGACTGGTATGGTACATCGGGTTGGACGCCGATGCCAGGCTGCATCTGACTTTCGAGCGTGTGGAGACGTTCAGCAAGCTCCTTAATATAACTAGAGCCGTGTCAGCATGGAAAGTCTTGAAGAAGTCGCGTGTATCGTTCCTACCCTTTGCTAGGACCGCGCTTCATGGGCACGCGGCTGAATTGGCAGACAGCACCGAGGCGACGGCAGTTCGAGCATGTTTCGATACCAGTTTCCGCGCTTGCATCGCATCGCACCTATTTCAAAATGGACGCGCCGTTAGTTGGGGGGGGGCCCACGCGTCACGATGTTTTGGGATGTTGTCATCATACTTTTTTGCGCCGGCATTCGTCGCAGGCCCTTGAAATCTTCGATCGTTTACGCGCACTTTGTTCACCATAGCTCAGGTCATGGTTCGGATCGACGCCCACCTGCTGGCTGGGAGGGAACTGGAGCATGTGCTGGTGTTGGTGTTGATCCTCTGATGAACGGCCCATATCACCACCATTTCCTGAACCCATAACCATCGACTGGCCGTGGTGGACACCGTTGCTTGATCCATCACCAAGACCGGGACCAGAGGCTTCACGCGACAATTCGGCGGAGAGAAGTTCGTCAGTGGTAAGCTGGCGGCCGCTGTAGTACGGCATGGCGCCCTGGGCCATCTGCGCGCCGTTGGGGGAAGGGTAAGAGGGCGCCGGAGGCATATCAGACTGCTCGCGGGAGTTCATCTCGCGAAAAATTACCCAAAAACACAGGGAAAGTGATGGGTTGGATGGAAAGCGAGCTTCCGGAAGATGATGGAGAGGTGGAGGACGCGAAGTGCCCAGAGGCAAGGTTTTTCTTTACAGCCTAGAAAATTTCGCGGGGAGAGAATTTCACAGGGGCTAGCGCGGCCGCATCGAGCAACACCGACATATTGGAATCATGGCAATTGATTCAGGCTTCTACAATGATGTTTTTGTTTGACTATTTGTATAGTTCATCGGATGATCGCGCGGAGGACGGCCTTTTGTTTCTGCGCAAGCGGATTAATACTATTTCCTGCCTTGGTCGGGGCGGCGGTTTGTCCGGCGACCGTTGAACTTTCAGAGGACCGGATAATCAATCCTATTTCTCCGTCTCTTGGGATCTCTTTGAGTACACCGGAGAGTTCGATCGTGTTCAATCCGGCGCCTCCGACGCCTCGGGTGTTGAGTTTTACCTCACTGTCGCGCAGTATAACACAAAATTCCACTGCCAAAGCCAGGAAGACCATAGTCAATTTCTAGCCCATTCAACAACTAGTCTGAGTACGAGACTGGAGCGGACTAATTACTGGGCTCTTGAGGATACTTGATGCTCTGTTGGAAAGACTCTCAGGTTCTTATCATTCCTGGTTGGACATACCTGGGTGTCCTTGAACATATTCAGGCTCCCTACGCCCGTAGCTCTTTGGGTTGGCCTGAAAGTTCAGCTAGGAATTGCACCAGGACTCAATAGTAATTGTGCGAGGCCTGCTTCAGGTAAGAAACACCAGCATATATCATTGCGATTGGCCGTGTCTATTACCCGGAGTCTGGACTGCATACCAAGGCGCCAGAGAATTGCCCTAGTACGACTTCTGCGCTGACTACAGTACTCACAGATGCCCCATAGGTAGATTGTCGTTCGGGGCTCCGGAAAATTCCCGGCAGCAGAGGCTTGACGTGCTAGTCGGACTATTTATCAAGGATCTCAGGGTCCTATATTGTCAGGACATAGAGAATGATTAGATGTTATTTCGGTATGGCCGGCACCTAAGAGGCAGTAAATGTGCCCCCAGTTGACGGGATAACTCCCAATGTGCTCGAGCACGATAATTCTACATAATGGAAAGGATTCCACTTCAGTTCTAGGGAGTTAGTGTTCCGATCCGTTTTCTTGCGTATTCGAAATCACCCGGTGGACACGTTAGGACAGGATACCCAAGGCGATTGGACTCCGAGCCACCCTCGGCGCGTATCGGTCAGGTAATCGGAATTTACAACCATTCTGGTTATGATTGGCATTGGCTTCATGCGCAGATCAGGGCCCACCCGGCGCCAAACCCTCTGCAGCCCGCTCGAAGCAGGAACAGTGACGCCATCCCACTTGGTCCAGCAGCGCCATGACCTGCCGTGCAGCCTGCAGCGCAGCGTACGGCGCGTGTAGCCCGTACATAATACATAGCCCGCTCTCGTACGTTGTACCATACCGGTATTTTTAATTCTGTGCCCACAGGTTCGTAGTTCTGTCCTTTGGGACCCTCGCGCTCGGATTTTCAGCCATTTCTGTCACTTGACGCCAAGAATTATTACGATTTTGTGACTCGCCAGTGATCTTCGGCCCTATAGAGTACATCCTGCAGGGATTATGGAAACTTCTGAGAATGGTACCTGGTTTTCTCGGGGGTTAGCAGGGAAGAAGAAGAAGAAAAAAAAGAAAAAAAAAAAAGGAAAAAGGAAAAAAAGAGGATTCAAATCCTTGTCTATGTCCCCTGAAACAGCCCCTCCCAACCAAGTTAGAAGGGATTAGAGACGGCCAGGTGTCAAGGCTTGGGATGTGCGGCCCCAGATTTCGCTAGCGAGATCCATTCCGGTGGGGTTCGAGTTCGTACGATGAGCCCGTGCTCGGGGGCTCCGCTGGGTTTTTCCCAATGCTCTTGGACTTTGCCTTTGTTCCTGCGATCGCCCTGGAAATTTTGATAAATTTCTTTGCTACTTGCTCCTTGCTACTTTCTCCATGGCTACATGCTACATATTACCTGCTATTTGTTATTCAAATACTCCTAGGTACCTCCAGCATAGGATGTACAGGATCTACCCCTCCACCGAGACGTGTTGCCACGTAAGGCAGGTCTTTCCGCTTCGCACGGTCTCGTCTCCTCTGGTCTCGTCTACGTAACTTGTACCCTGGGAGTATTTGGCTGTTTAGGTATAGGCCGATCTTCAATGATCTGACGCTTAGGAGTGGTCACTGTGCGAAAGACACCAGTAAAATAAAACCCTAAGCACCGTACAAAAGGGCGGTTCCTGGTGGGACCAAGTCCCTCGACCGCCAAAAGGTGGATACACTCGTTTTCAAGGGAAATGCGGGTTGCAAACCAGGTCGCAAAGCGTAGAATTCCCAGCCGAAAGGGATACATTTCCCGGGTACTTAAGTACGATGCGAGGATCGAGGAAACGATCGGAGAACCTTGGAGAACCTTTGGACAACCTTGGAAACGAGAACAGGATGTTACAGGGTCTCAAGTGGTAACGGTTTCGTAAACTTGTACCTTGTGCCTCCGCCACGGGCGACGACAAAGACCACAAGTGCAGTGAAAATCCCCTTCCGTTAATAACCTCCTCGCCTCCTTCCTTCCTCTCTTTCCTCTGCATAGGGTGTTCGTCAACTCTCTATATCGATCGCGCTTTCTCTTGGCCGCCACTACCGGTACTTGGTGTCCTGTCTCACGACCGGCGCCAAACGGTGCGTAGGCTTGGTCCCCCATTCTTGTCCTCCTCCTATCCTCCCCGACATCGCCTTATACCCTTCGCCTCGACTGCGAATCTCTATACTCCCCCGCGAGTTGTATACTGCTGGCTCGGCGTTCTTTGAACTTCCGCATTGGGACTTTTCGCCCTAAGATACCCTTTTTTGTTCTTTCTGTTCCTCGGCCCCCCCCTCTCGACGAAGGCGCCCGAAGTACCCTCGCCTTGACGGCTCTGTTTTGTGGTCTCTTTGTGACCCTCTCCTTCAACTCTTTCTACATTCCTCCATTTTACCATTTCGCGATTCATCGCATGTGTCTCTTACAGTAACCACACGCGATGCTTATCGATGGTGAGAAGTGGGCTTGTGAAGCTTGCGTCCGGGGTCACCGGGTTAGCAGCTGTCACCACAGCGGTATGTCCATGTCTGATGTAGGAGAACCGCAACGTTCCAAATCTAACTTATGCCACAGACCGCCCTTTGACCCATATCAATAAAAAAGGCCGCCCAGTCTCTCAATGTACTCACTGCCGCGGCCTACGCAAGTCCCGAACAACCCACGTCAAATGCGAATGCGGCGACAAGAAAAAGAAATCCGACGACTGCCATGGTGACAAGCGAGATCTGAGTGAGCATAGCATGTTAGGCGCTGGTTTCCCGGTTCCCCATTCTGATATAAGTTACAGAAGACTCTCTTCACCGTTGTGGCTGCAGTCATGGTCAGCGCTGTACCTGTGCGCACAAGAAGGAACACCTTGATCCCGTTCCTGAGACCGGTCTGCCTTTGCCTCAGCCGTCGATTCCTGCTGAACATCCGCGGAAACCTCATCTTACTTCGACCAAGTCCGAGTCGATGTTGACCATTTTCCGTGACGGTCACCATAAACCCGCCCATAAGCATAATGACATGGCCCACAAGTGCGGATTGCCCTACACAATCCCACGATCACATACTATTCACCACCCCTCCGACATGCCCCGCCGCTCCGTCGACCATCTCCCCCTGACGCAGACGGCATTTGTCCAGGAACCTCTCAGCCTCATGGACCCGTGCCCCCATTCGCAGCAGACCTCGCAACAGGGTTCCCCCGACAGTACGACTGCTGCCGGTTCTGAAGATGTGAACTCGAACTCTCTCGACCAATCCATCCTGGACAAATTCGCGGCACCTCCTCTCCCGCCCTCCGCAATGGATAAGAACCCGACAGACGCTTCGAACCCGACGTCGGCCCCTGCCACCATGGACAAGTTTCCCCTGGAGCAAATCATTACCAGCGTGCCCCCGCCTCTCGATGTCTCGTCCTATACCACCTTCCCGACGACCTCGTCCAACTCGCCGATTACGTGCATGGCATTCTCAGACCAGTATCAAGAAAACTATTTCGCGTCTCCCGATTCCGATATGCCCCTTGGGTCTGCCGGCATGGGTGCACCGTCGGTCGATTGGTCGAGTTTCCCGTTGTACTCGGACGTTCCCGCGTCCACCAGCACGCAAACTCCGTCCTACGCCAGTTTCGACTACAACTCGTATCCCTCGGGCCTGCCACCCCCGTCGTCTTCCGGCGACATTTCCGAGGCTGACGAATTTGGCCCCTTGCCTGGTCTTGGACCTGCGGGTAACGACCATCACGATCTCCACAGCGTGAGCGAAGCTTCGGACATGGATCACCTCCGGGTCAGCTCCGCTTCATCATTGGTCGGTCTCCCCCAGGCGCAACTGCTGTCATCGAACGACCTCGAGTCGATCAACATCGATGACTTCCTTAAATCCGCCAACGAGTCTACGGCCGCGCTCGAGCATCAACTGCAGGCCAGCATGGGACTTGATTCCAAACCGGTCCCGGCGCAGGACATGTACTCCATGTCCCAGCCGCAGGACTCGGTACCCATCTGGCCGGCCAGCCTTTTCGACTCTGGCTCCACTCCGCCCATGGACGAAAACTACTTCCGCCAGTCGTGGGCACAATAGTCCGGGCATCAATGTTTTGCCATTCCTTGTCTTTTAATTCTCCTGGGGTCTCCGCTACCTTGCGGCACCTTACCACCACCTCTACACCGTCTTTATGACCTTGATGAGAGATGATGATAAATGCCTGATTATTTTTTTTTGCGTTTAATTAGCCAGTCTAGATCTCTTCACGCTAGCATGCAATCTAGAGGGGTTCTGTGATTTGGAGTATACACACCTGTACCTTGCCCAGGTGTACATACCACATACCTTGGGCCGTACACCGTGTTAGCCTGTTTTCCAGTATAGACCCTGTTTTACTTTACATGTATAATGTGAAAATGCATCCACTCTGTGGCCCACATCTGAATACAAACTTCTCCAGAACATCTGACCTATACCCCGACCCATACAGAACCTATCAGGAACGTTTGAAAGAATGATACCAACATAGCCGCGTAGATTCCTCGATCTCCATACGCACCTCCCCATCATAGCTGAAGCTATTACCCGATCTGCCAGCTGCACCCCATACTCAGCCAGACACGAGACACACTGGCAAGAACATCCGAGCCAAAGAAAAGAATGCGCGACGCAATTAGTGTTCACAATGTAGCGGTGAACACGCCCACTCGCCTTGTCTCAGATCGGCGCAAATCCAATTTCTCGCACTAAACCCTACCCAGGCAAGCCGATCGTGTCGCCCGCATGGATCACCACCGCTCTGCTTAATCGCTTTGTTCTCTCCGATGCATGCACGAGGCACGGCTTGTCCTGTTTTCTCGTCACCTGCTGATTCGATCTGGAAGGTATCTCATATCCCAAATTATAATTGAAATTGAAATTACATGCTGACGTATGTTACTCAGTCACTTGCCCTATACAAGTAGTGTGGTGGAAGTAGCGGTGAGCATTCATTGGGGGTATCCGAGAATAAAATCGCCAGTCTCCAGCCCCAGGTGCATTCCAGCTCAGCTCCGGCATAAGGGCCGCATACCAAGCCTTTTCCGACAAGATCGTCCACTGTACATTGACGTACATATCTCGTGTGATGATGGGGGGAGACATACCATGCTGCACGCGACGTGGGACCCTCGCGATACAAGCCTCGGGTGCAGGCCTTGGCTAATGCTTAGCTCGGCACGGTCCTTGTGTGATGTGAGTTGGGCAAGGGGGAACCCTGTTCTGGTTCGTTGGGATGGCGATGGCTGGGGTTGGGATCTGCGGTGGATCATATTTGGAGGGAAAAAGGACTGGGCTGGGCGTTCGGTAGTTTACGTAGGGCTTAGCTTAATATTGATTCGATGCTTGGTCTGAGACATGATCGTTCGTTAATTAGTTATCTATATTGGACAGCACTCGTTGACAGGTGGGGCGGAGGTGGTGGATATACAGGATAGGTACTTGCTATCTTGACTGACTGGCAAGATATCTGGTACTGCTGACGTAGTGTCTTGAAAGTTGCGATTGCGACGCCGCTGAAGCAAGGGAGATGAGGTCCAGACTTGGTACCCACTTCACCTTGAGTAGTTGTGGATTTCATTCCGATGGAACTGCATTACAGTACGTTGATACTCGGATGATTCGGCATCTCGGGAATTCAGGTGTCCAGGTGTCACGCCAAGATATGTACATGTCTGGTTTATTTGTTTGGGGTCATCGATCTTGCCCCAGAGGTTGTCCTACTAATCTACATAGCTCTGGTATTTTACCCAGATAGCTCAACCGAATCTGCTTCAATTCTCTTTGTGTCGTGGGGAGCTGTGTAGATTGATGAACTGAAGGCTGGCATTCGTGTTCCAAATCTAGACACCATTTACCTTTCGATCAGGTGCAGTAGACATGAATTGCAGCCCAGGGGTCCGGTCTTGTGAATGTGACTTGTGGCCATATTGCTCGATACCCCGCATAGGATATATCTTTGTCCTGGGTGCGGTCCGTACGGGCCATAGAATGGATCGATAGTTCATATATATTCCGACGGATACTTCAGATCGTGTACCCAACCGAAATAATTCAAGCAAGCTGTTTTCGCGACGAAAGATGCAATTGTGTTGTTACTAGTCACTCGCACCCTCACCCTCTTGTTCAATCTCAACCCTCTCGGCGGAAGAGGTGACTCGTTTGCTAGTTAGTCAAAGTTATCTGAGAGATCTCCAGCTCTATCAGTGTGTGCATAGCGGATGTCAACATGGATATAAGCGAAGACAGAGCAGGTACGTAAAAGACTTCTATTAGCATAATACAAATAAGCACATGTTTGTGAAAGCAGATCTTGTCCTATGCAGCAAGACTTTTTCCGACGCGAAAGACAAATTTAGAACATCATTCATCTCCACACAGCTGGGGCATACTATGTATTCACTCAGAAGATCCACCTTTCAAAGAAATAATAACTCTTTGGCCGATGACCACGAGCGTGTAGTTCAGCAGCTTCATCACAAACCTCATGATTCAACAGATCGAGCCTACAGAAGTAACTGCCGAGTCTCTATCGCATCGGAACGGCAATTTAATCAAATTCTTTCTACAACCGACAGATTCTTGACTTTATCCTACCTTCAATGATCCCAAGTTGATTTTTCATCAAGAGAGTGAGCAGATCCTGAAACTTCTCAATTTCACGCATGCATTTCGAGTAGGCTAATGACCAAATGCAGCTTGGGAATGTATTCGAAGTAATTGAGAAGGATACCTTAAAAAAAGAACAAAGGAGGCCGACAAAGAACTCCAGAGAGGTGCCTAGAAAAAGTTCGAGAAAGAACTGAAGAATTAAGTGTGGAGGGCGCCTTTAGATTACCTTCTTGATCGAGTTGTAGAAAATGACATTAATGACTTTTGAGTTATGTTTGGAGATTTTTAATCAAAGCTGCACGAAGCAGGATGCATTCATTCTTTTGGATGTGGCCTGTAATAACAGCTGGCATGCATACATGATCTAGGTAGTCCAACACCCGATATATGTCGTCTATATGGTATCAAAAATATAACCCGAGGCCAAGTCCACGAGCAAAGAGAAGTGAAGAAGCGCAGATCGGAGATTCATCTCGCATAATGGCGTGAGAAAAAAAAAGGGAAGCCATGCCAATGTCTAGCTATTCCTCTCCGTGATGAATTCATCGATACTTCTGCATAAAGTCGGCGTGGAACTTCACGATGCGCTCAACCCAGTCCGTACCGGGGGCCAAGAAGGTAGTACGGAAGTGAAGGGTATTCTCCTTCTGACCGAAGCCTGAGCCCGGGACGACGCAGACACCGGTCGCCTCGAGGAGGCGCAGGCAGTAGAACTCGTCGGCGGCGCGACCCTCGGCCTTGGCGGCCTCAATGGCTCCGTTGGGCAACTTGATGGTGGGGAAAAGGTACATGGAGCCTTGGGGCTCCTGGCACTCAACGCCCTCCATGCGCTGGAAGGCATCGTACAGGGCAAAGGCGCGCTTGCGCAGACCATCACGGATACCGTTGTACTCCTTCTGGTAGAGCTCGTGGCTGGGCTCGCCCTCGCGGGGAGGGTTGACCATGGTCTCGAGCAGGCACTGGGCAACGACCGGCGGGCACAGTCCGATGCTGACGAGCTTGTAGATCTGCTCCTGCACCAGGGGATCGAATCCGACGAGCTCGAAGTAGCCGCCGCGGTGGCCGCACTCACCGACCATGCCCTTGGAGGTACTGTGCATGGAAACCAGTTCCACGTCATCGTACTTTCCAGGGTGCTCCTGCTGCAGCTGGCGGAGACGCTTCTTAAAGGAGACGAATTCGCCTTCGAAGACGTTGGTCTGGTAGACTTCGTCGGCAATAACGACGAGGTGCTCCTCGGCGGCGACATCGATGACCTGCTTGATATCGTCGGCGCTGAGGGAGGCTCCGGTGGGGTTGCCGGGGTTGATCACAACGACGGCGCGGAGGTCGGTACCGGCGGCCTTGGCATCCTTGATGGACTGGTACATGGCGTTGATGTCGGTACCCCATGCCTTCTGCTCCTCCAAGTAGTATGGGACGCACTGTGCGTTCAGAAGAGCCAAGGTAGCGGTGTACAGAGGGTATTGGGGAATGGGAACCAAGACACCGGCCTTGGGGCTGTTGCAGATAACACTCAACAAAGTGTTGACACCAGAAGAGGCACCGGCAGTCAGAAAGAGGTCCTGGGGGTTGGCGGGGTATCCATCACGCTCTTCAATGAACTTGGCAACGCTGTTTCGGATGCCCGGTGCACCCTGACTGTGACTGTAAGCACCCACACTCTGCACATTGGCCAAGAGGGTCTTCGCCCGGTCGATCACATCCTGGTTATATCCGAAGGAGGTCTTGAGGGCATCGGAGTTCTCCAGCAACAACGGGTTCTCGACGAGACTGAGGACCTGGCGGAAGAAGGTAATGGGCTTCTGGTCGAGTTGCTGGGGGTTTCCGATGTTGGCAAAGATCACGCTGTCGAAAGGCAGGGCCTTGTCACCGTCGACCAGACGCTGACGGTACTCTTCAGCCTTCACCGCCAGCTCACCGCGCACGGCATACTTGGCAGCACGAATGTGAGGGTTGATGTTGTCGACATTGAGACACTTGTTGGAATTGGAACGCTTGGTTTGAGTCATGGTGGGCGCTGTTTCGACCCAAGTGATTGTTAGTTTGGAATGTTCAAATCTAGTGCAATGGCAGCCCTGTAGAGGTCACGATGGATGAGGGGTCAAATGTGGAGCCTCAGGAGCAGCAAATAATCATATGAGATCAAATCAGAAGAGGGGGCCAATCCATATATAGCGCGCACATTATCCCACGTACCTGAGACAGAGAGCCCCCCCGCAATTCGCGCGGTCGGGCGAAGTAGGAGTCCATTCGGCCGGGTCACGCATGCCCGCAACGGAGACGCCCGCATGCTGGATGCGAGCTTAAACTGCCAGGACATCTTTCAATGGAACCGTTATGCGGGGTTCGTTCCTTGCTCAGATCTTAAGATCGGATAAGGGTGGTTTACTCGGCTACGAAGAAAAAAATAAATCGGACCCTCGGGCGGTGAAACGATGTGAGTCATCATTGTTTTCTCCACCCCCGGGACGTTGACCCGAGTAAGTGAGGTGTATCGGACGAGAGATAGCTACAGAGAGGTAAGATACTCTTGATGGACAGTAGATATCGAAATAAGGGACACAGATGTAGATGAGATGACGCAGGGGCGGATCAGTCGATCATTCCCCTCGGGAAGCCCGTTTGCCGACGAGTGGACTCCGGCCTGGCCGCCCGTTGCCACTCCGGAGCCGCCCGACATGCGGGGGATAATCATTGAATGAGGTTATCGTGTTAGTTTACTCTAAACTCCACTATTCATAGTTGAACGTAGTACGTCTAGAAAATAGGTTGCATGCTAGATAGGGTCATGGTCGGTGGTATCACCGCGTCTCATACACATCAATTAACTCCGCTCACTACCACGAAGACGAACTGCCTGTCCGTACTTCTGGAGCTTGGTGATCAGGGCGTCCCCGTGCTTCACCACGTCTGAGTACTGCTTGTTCTTGTCATCCGGGCGGTTTGTCTCAATGATGCCGTTGACGCGGTCAATGGTGCATGCAATGCGGTTGCTGGAGATGAACTTGGCCAGATCCCTAGGAATTTGCGAGTTAGTCGGATACTTTTACTATCAGTAAGAAACGGGGACATACCGGTCCAGATAGTCAACAGTCACACCAAAGTCGTTGGCCATGGTGGTCAACCCAACCACCCGGTAGCTCTGAAGGAGTTGCTGGTAGGCACGGAGACGCATTTCACGGACGAACCAGGCCCGATGCTCAAACAGGTACCGGTCCTGGTTCAGGAAATGGTCCTCCACAGCGGCAAGAGCCACAAAGAACGAGCGATAGTTGCCATTATACAAGCTGGTGACCAGGTTGGCCAGTGGTGAGAAGTCCACGGGGACTTCGTTCTCAGCGTGCGCGGCGCCGGCGGCGAAGGAGGTGAGGTTAACGACAGTGGTGGCACCAGCCGGGGTGGTCTTGGACACCGTCGCGTCCTTCATCTCCTCCTCCCGAGCACCGGGGCCAGAAGACACCTCTCCACTCAGCGCAGCCAACTGATCCTCACCAGAACCAAGGATGGCCTTGATCTCCGGGGCATCCACCACCTTGTCCTTAAAGTCCACTCGCTTGAGGGACAGAGATCCAGCAAGCACAGAATAGATAACCAGTGCAGAGTAACTGCACAGCTCGTAACTTGTGAAAGTAGACAGACTGTCTAGAAGGAGAGGTGCGGCGATGCTATAGGAGCGAGTTGTGAGAAGGTGCATTCCCTTGTATGCCTTGAGGCGATTCCTCCGGTCCCAGTCTCCACCGCTGTCAACCAGTGTCTCTGCGCGCTCGATGGTCTTCTTCACAAACAAACGGTCACCAAAGAAGAGACCGATACGGATCATGGCCAGGACCAAGTCGATCTTGGTACCGAGGAATCCTGTCTTCTCAAGAAGGGCTTCGTGCGACTCGATGGCTTTGTCCTAAAGAGTGAGCTGTGTCAGCCATCAACCATACATCGTCAAGTCAGATAGCCTACCTTGTCTCCCACGCGAGCCCAGAACTCAGCGCGCTTCCCCCGTGCGGCCTGCACCTCGGTCTCACCAGCAGCTTCCTCCGCATCATCCTCTTCCTTCTGGAAAGTTTCCAGTTCCTTCTTGTTATCCTCCAACAGTGATTGGTAGAGATTCTCATCCCAGGGGAAATCGATCTGTTGCCCGGACTTCTTCGCGAGCATGTTGGAGATGATGAGAGGCTTGGAAGTCCCTGCGCCGTGAGGGTGTTGTGTCACGCCTTCACCGGAGTTGTTCAGGATGCCTTCAACCGGGTGAGCAAGATGCCGGTAAAAGGGAGCCATCTTGTTCTCGGAAATGACATCTTGAAGCTTCTTCAATGACGACTGTCGGGTCGACGAGGCGCATGCAGGGTTGGAGAGATTGAAGACATGTTGGGCGAGGATGAGGTCGGGGTACTTGATGTACTGCGGATCAGACCCCATGATTGCAAGGGTATGGGGCTGATGAATTCGGAAAGGTCGAGATGAAGGGGTTGGGGGAGAGGTGGATGTGTTGATGATGGATCCTGGAGCACCGGTGCATCACGTAGCTGGCTCCGAGCTCAGCTGGCGGAATGTTTCTCCGGCCCGGGCCAGGGCCCAGAATTGCCCTCTCGGGAATCTGTGCTGCAATGACCATTCTATTTGAGTCTCGGGGGTTATCACCCTGGTACGGTCAGTAAAATCGTAATTTGTTTCCAATAGTCCAAAAAAATATTGCTTCCAAGTAGCATGGCTGCATGTTGGCTGATGCTCGCGTGCTCTCTCTCTACGCATGATGGAACACCATGGAAGGTCACAACAATCCAGTCTAATTACGATCGGTAAAGATGCTGAGAAACAATTTGAATGACATCTGGAATTAAATGGCAGCAGTTTCACAAGGGAATCTGGAGATGGAACGACGAAGAGATCTCCCGAACATGAAACTCGTGCTCACTCCATCGAACCCAGACGCTAGTATGCCGAAAAATCTAACCAGGCACTAAGGACCTAAGGCTGAACGAACCGAGAGGCAAACCCTGTATGATCACCCTCACAGGGACCGGTTCATTCGAGAATGAACCAGAATCCGCGCCCTGGAGGGATTGAGTTGGCCAATGTCACTCCATTAGCAACGCCTCCAGACATGACCCCACCATGGCTGGCACGAGTTGCCTAGTGAGGAGAAGTGGGTTTTTTTTGCTTTTGGCCCATCGAACGTCTCGCACGTGCGAGAGCCGGCCAGCTTCACTGGTTATTCCCAGCTAGGTTTATGGTGTGTTCAGAGACACACTTCGATCAGATCCACGTCTTGGCTTGCGCATCTGCCGTCTTCCCGATATCAGATCATGGCCTCGGGGACGGCGCCCGGGCCGTCCAGGCGTCCTATTCCCCTGCACAGATAATCCCGAGGTCACTCCGTGATGGTCCCGTGGCGTTATGATATACACAGAAGATTTGATTGGCCTTGGAATGTGAACGAGGGATGCTTAGCTTGATACTGGAGGCAATGCCCCACTCTCCGCAGTACCTGACTGGTACCTGGGGACCCGCGCTTCTAGGCAACCTAAGGTTGTACACTATGCAACTTGGGTTGTATCTCGCGTGTACCGTGGACAGGTGCTATGCCAGGTTAGGAAATGCCTACACTTAGCCTGCTTCTCCCATACAAAGTTTATCCGTCCTATTTAATTTACTTCTTTCCTCTCTGTTTTCTAATTTTTCTTCTCCCGACCAGCTTCGTCTTCTCGAACTCAGTCCTCCATACTGGTGATCCGCATTAATTCGGGTGGTACAGTGTCCGGGCTCTTGCGTCTACTTTGGTAACCACAATTGCAAGCTCTCGTGCTTCCAGGTGAGATCCCTTGCTCTTATCTCCCTACCTTCATTCGCTCAACACCCATGCTGGAGGTCCCCGTCGACGCCCGCTACTACAGAAGATCCGTCACAATGACCACAAAACTTGAACCCACCTCATACGAGGAAAAGGGCCCTGCCCCACTCGAGGAGGCCTCTCTTGATGTTCCGCCGCTGGAGGACCCTTCCAAGGGTCGATGGGAGCGCAGCTGGCCTACCATTGCTTGTGGTGCTGGTCTCTTCTCAGACGGCTACCTGAATGGAGTATGTATTCTATCTTGTTGATTCTTTCGCATGCAACCGGGCCACAGCCATGTGCCACAAAATTCATGCGGTCTGCAGATCAGTCACACTAACATCCTAAATAGGTAATCGGCCAGGTGAACACCATGCTGAGCATGATTTACCCCACGGAGTATGCCAACTCCTCTGCCAGCCAAAATGTCTCTTCTATTGCTTTTGCTGGTACGGTTGTCGGTATGCTGGTTTTTGGATACACTAGTGATCACTGGTCTCGCAAGTGGTCCCTGATGATTTCGACCGTTATCCTGACTCTCTTCGCCGCTCTCTGCGCTGGTTCCTATGGCTACCACGATAGCACCTATGGCATGTTGGCTGCTCTCACGGCTTATCGTTTCTTCATCGGCGTTGGAATCGGAGGCGAGTACCCTGCTGGGTCCGTCGCATGTGCGGAGAACACTGGCGAACTCAAGGAGGGCCACCGCAACCGATGGTTCATCATGTTCACCAACTTCCAGATTGACTTCGGCTTCGTTGTTTCCGCTCTTGTGCCTACGATTCTCGTTCTGATCTTCACCGAGAATCATTTACGTGCTGCCTGGCGTGTGGCCCTAGGCCTGGGCGTCATCCCTCCTCTGAGTCTGATCTATCTGCGGGGCAAAATGAAGGAGCCCGAGGAATTTGATCGTCAACGCATGCACAAATTCCCGCTGTGGTTGATCATTAAGTGAGTTTGTTGATGATCTCTCGGTTCATGAGGCAAATGGCTAATTTCCTGCAGGTTCTACTGGAAGCGTCTGGTACGGCATTCTGCTACACAATTTCTCCTCAAAAAAGCCGAGCTAATGAAATTTAGGCTACGGTCTCCTTGATCTGGTTTATTTACGACTTTTCCTCGTACTCGTTCGGTCTCTACTCCTCCAAGTGGCTAGGAATCATCATCGGTGACGATGCGCCTCTGTGGAAGACCTTTGGCTGGACCACTCTGACCTACCTTTTCTACATCCCGGGCTCTGCTCTCGGAGCCTTTACCAGCGACTGGATTGGCCCTCGAAACACCCTCGCCATTGGTGTCCTTCTCCAGGGGATTGTCGGCTTTATCATGTCTGGATGCTACGCATATCTTGCAACTGCGAAAAACGTGGCTGCTTTTGTGGTCGTTTATGGGTAAGTTACATCGGAAGTTGATGAGCGTGTCTCATATCTAACTCGAATAGTATCTTCCTTGCGCTCGGCGAATTCGGTCCCGGCGACAACATCGGTCTGTGTGCAGCCAAGACCAGCGCCACTGCGATTCGTGGCCAGTACTATTCATACGCTGCGGCTATTGGCAAGATCGGAGCTTTCGTGGGCACCTACGTCTTTCCGATCATTATCAAGAACGCCCCAAATGCGGTTCGAGCTGGCCAGGATCCCTTCTTCGTGTCAAGTGCTCTGTGCATCTTCAGTGCATTCCTGGCCTACTTCCTACTTCCGCAGATCAACCAGGTAGGTCTCTCATCTCGAGGACGATAGACCAACAATCGAACTAACACCCTTCAGGATACAATCACCAAGGAAGATTCCAAATTCCGTGCATTCTTGGCCGAGAATGGCTACGACGTCTCGACGATGGGCAAGGAGGGCCAAGTCATCCAGGTTGCCCAAGAGTAAACTGACAGGGCCCTTTGCCTCCCATTTGATTCCCTTCGCCACAGGTCTCGGAACTTTACTCGCTTCATTAGCCCCTCTGCGCCTTATCGACTCTGCCCTACATCTAATGTATACGACTCCCCATGCGACAACCCACGGCATTTTCTAGCCAGATGACGACTGATAAGACCTTGCAACGACCCGAGAATGATGGTGACGACGCATCAAGTGAGCCTACGCGACATCTTCGAACCAAAGCCAGCCCCAGCAACATCTGTAAAAAAAAAAAAAATAAAAAAAAAAAAAAAGAGAGAGAGCATTTTCAGTGTTAATCTGCGGGTGGTCTGACTCGGTGGTGGAATGTCTGCCTTATTTGATGCTTTTGCTGCGTGTATGATACCCTGAAATGGTAGCATGGCATAATTTTTAATGGTACAAGCGTCTGTTCTCTTATCGCACCCCGCCCGTATTTGATTGCCCGATCCGGGGTCGGTAGTGGTACTCATAGACGAAAATATATCGGAAAGTTTGTCGGGCACGCGGAGAGTACTTATTGTTCCAGTCAAAAGAATCAAGAACAAATAGGAGGCAAACAATGAAATAAAGAGAAAACAAGCAATTCACATGAAAGGGTCCTAGACGTAGTCTGACGACAAGGGAACGACCCGGCCTGGGGAAACTCCGCATCAGCCGAGGTCTGTTGTCCGCGGCTCCATACGCCGGTCAATTACCGACTCTCGACCTTTTTGGCGTCTGCCACCGTCTGATTTAACTACATTTCACCTCTCTATTCACCCATCTCTCTCCCACCTCCCACTCAAGTGCTCCATCTTCGGATCCCGCACTTCACCGACTAATCAAACCTCGCGTGATCGGGAATTGAACGTCATCATGGTCGCCGACGCCCTCGTCTACCACCCGGCTCTGGCGCACTGGCTGCGCTTCGTCGCGACTACCGGTACGTCCCATCTCTCCATGTTGAAAGCAAATGCCCAAAGCCACTGGAACCCGTCTGCAAGAGTCGGACAGCCACGGATCGATGCCCAATACACCGAACCACCCCCTCCCCAGGTTCCCAGCTAAGCTAACCCGCATTTCCATCCAGTCGGTCGCGACAAGCTTCTCCGCACACTGCAGTACTTCTCCCGCTTCTACGCCTGGTACCTGTACCGCACCAACCGCCCCCAGTCCGCAATCGACCCCTACAATGCCGTCAAGAAGCAGTTCGGCACCACGCGCAAGATCATGCGTATCGGCAAGTTCCTCGAGCACTTCAAGGCCGCCTCTGTCGCCCTCGATAACAAGAGCATCGTCGACCCCGTCCTCCGCTACCTAGCCGTCGGTCGCCAGCTCGGTTATGCCGGCTACTTGACCCTCGACGCGGTCACCGTTGTCGACGCCATCGGCTTCCGCAAGCTGGAGTCCGCCAAGCGTCTGCAGGAGAGCGCCTACCGCGCCTGGGGTGCCGGTCTGCTCTGCAGTGCTCTCGCGGGTCTCTATACCCTCTTCCGCCTGCAGGAGAAGGAGAAGACCGTCGACCGCAAGGAGGGCGAGGGTGTTGTTGAGGCTAAGAAGATCGAGAAGTACGTTTAACTCCTACCCATTTACGAGAGGTACTTGAACGCTAATCTGTTTCATAGGGAGCGCGCCGCCGCTCGGATACAGCTCCTCTCGGACCTGTGCGACCTTACCGCCCCGGCTTCGGCGCTGGGTCTCGTCGCCCTCGACGACGGCCTGGTCGGTATCGCCGGTACCGTCAGCTCGCTTATCGGTATTTGGTCCCAGTGGCGCAAGACCGCCTAAGCACCTGGCATAACAAATACCCTGAATGTGAGCGGAGAACCAGCTCTATAGTTAAACCGAAGAGGCACTGGGTTTCTCTATTGGCTATTCGGCGCAAGAGCCGCATCGCTTGCCCACTTGGGCTTCGCCTTTATATCCTGATTGCATGAATGTGCAATTTCTTTTTGGTTTTGGAGATGTGTAAATGCCGCCTTTTCTTTGGGGCTATTCTCGTATATATCAAATCTCATATGTCTACCTTATTGGAACCTGAAACTCCTACGCGCACATGTGGAGAGTGTGCATGTGTGCTTTAGAACAGAGTGTATTTCATAAGAAATTAACCGCCGACTATCGAGACCCTTGATCGCCAGCAGGCCTGTTCATCATAACCCTCCCGTGGAAGTCAGTGAGAAACCTCATCAACACTGCTTTATAGCGTTCATGAATGACTCCTCAGTATCATACGCTCCCAACACCTGTAGTGTAAGCGAAAGACCCGTTTAAACAGGGCAAGTCTAAACATCGTTAGCCTGAGTACCTTGATAGAATCCAATATTACGAACCGCTCCACAGGAGCCGCAGCTCTTGCCGCCAGTAACGGGGGCACTGCACTTAGGGCAACTGGGGTGTCCGGACATAGTGATCGTTCGGTTGTAGATCTGTCGGCGGATTAGAGATCATGGGTTCCGCGGGTAGATCTGGTAGGTACTTTGACGTGAAGAGTCTGCGCAGGTAACATACCTTGGAAGAGAAGTTGGTAGTAGCGTAAAAGTACCAAGTGCATAGACGAGTGAGAAAGAGAGAAATGGTCAGCGCGAGGGAAAAAAATAAGTGACTGTTTACCCCGCCTGGAGGGGCACGCCCCGCTTTGATATTGGCGTCGGGGATCGCGCTTTGGGGTTCGCTGTGCGACGTTCTTGAGCTCTAGCCAGGTTAGATGAACCTACTTTCCTTCTTTCTTTGGCTTATTTGCGTGGTTTCGGTTCAAGTTTGATACTGAGGGTTGGCCATGGTCGTGACATTTTGCAATGAGACGTTCTACTACATATATTGATCATCTAGATACGGGAATATTGTATAATTTTATCTGAAGTATTAAAACATGCATTGCTCAGTGCGTAAGCACTAAACGCAAGAGACAAGAAGAAACTCGAAAGACGGCGCCGATCAAGCATGACTAGAATGATCAGACATACTAGATCCCTGAGATAGATCCTTAACCTCCCACATAACCTCCAATTGCTTCATAGCATCCTCATACATCCGATCCCTCTTCGGATTCCCCATGAAGAAGCATGGTCTCTTATCAAACCCATGAATCACCGCCTCGATCTCCATGCCCCCAACATGGGTCATCGCCCCCTCATCAACGAACCTCTGCAACCTGTCTCGAAATCTGTTCCCTTCCACGAGCAACTGATCCCAGCCACAAGTATAGATCGCGACCATCGGCGGAAACGCCACCAGTAAAAGAGACGAGGGGGTCAATCCCGGAGAAAGATATGGATCCCCGATATCAATCTCATCCGAACCAGGCTTCCTAGGCAGATTCTCTTCAGCCAAGTAAGAAGAATCAAAGAACTTGAGGACAGACTGGGGAGTCATAGACTTTTGAGGTGCGATGGGGTTCGTAGCATCTCTCTCATCGCGCGTTTTCGTCCAGTCGACCGGTGGGTAAAAGGCAACGATACCGGCCAGTCGCACTGTTTTCGCAACTTGTTGCTTCGCAAGCTCTTCATGTAGCCTGAGTGGAACTGTGAATGCTAGATTACCACCGGCGCTAAACCCGCTGATAGCAAATCGGTCCGGGTCGAGGTTATATCTGAAGGCATTCTCCCAGAGCCAAAGGATAGCATCGGTTCCATCTTCGATTCCGATGGGGAATGGGTACTCGGGGGCAAGTCGGTAGCCTACACTCACCACCACCGCACCTGGGTGAGCGTGTAGCACGGCTGCGAACCATCGCGAATCATCCAAGGGATGGCCGATGGAAAAGCCGCCGCCGTGGAAGTTGATGAGAACGGGTCGTTTTGCTGATAAATTATCTGCTCTTCCGTCTGTTGATTCTGCGGAAGCAGTGAAAAAGTAGAGTTGGATTTCTCCTGGTTCTTTGCTGGTTTTGCATGGGATTTTGAGGACTAATGATGGACGCGGCGGTAATGGCCATGCTATGTACCGGTCTAGCCATGACATGATGGAGTTCAGACTGCGGTATTTGCGGGCCTCTTTAACGAGGGCATCGCGTGCGTTAGATCCTGGATTTGATGCCATTGATGAACCTGGCATACTATTCGTGTGCTGTTTGAAGACATTTTGTTTTGTTATATGTATGCGAGGATGAGGGTCCCGGATGACGTATGGAAGTGGTCAGCGTGAGAGGATTCCGCAGGTATATTCCTTTGATGGAATTCCATTACGATGAGCTTGATTCATTTGAACGATAGGAAAGCTGGTCTAGAATCCTAATGTAAGGGTGAGAGGAGCATTTTCGCACCTGAATTGGAGCACGGGATAACCGACAAACTGTATCGGAGAGATGAAGGCCGAGATCTCCGAGGGCTTACACTCCACCTCATCCACTGCATTCAACATAACTTGGCATCGAAAATACTCTGCTCGATTCTAGAGGAAAATTTCGGCCCAGAACCCAGCACCAATTGCGCCACGCTAGCTAAGTCTCCGCATCAATAAGCAAGGCGGAGTAGAAATCGCGGGGTATTGCGGGTGCAGCTCGCGAAACTTCAGCCTCATGTTTCGACCTTCGCCACTGTATAGAGCTCTCCGACAACCAGTTTTCCTAAGCCGAGCCATGTCGACACTACCAAAGCCTCTACCTGTTGTGCTGTGTGGCAAAACCGCAGCCATAGGAGGGGGCGTGTCGGGGTTCCTGCAACCCGACTATGAAGGTGCGTGCTAACTCCATGACCAGACATCCGTGACTCGAAGTCGCCTTACAATGAATTAGTTGTCCATTTTATTCAATCCAATGAAGCTGCCTTGAAAGAAATTCCCGAGCTCTTGGCAGGACGTGATCCCCAGTCCTCCGACGACAACGGCGTCGGTACTCATGACTACAGCAAACCTCCACGCGCGGTTATCTTTGGTCGGGGCTTCCCCCTTGAGAACATCGAGCAGTACTACAAGGCTTGTGCTGGAAGCAATGCGGACCCTGTAGCCTGGATCGCGGGTGATCCTGCTAAAAAGCCCGACCCCAATGCACCCCCTCCAGGACCAGGTTATGCCAAGTTCGCGACGGACGGTGTTAAAGCAGTGCTTGAGAAATGGAAGGAGGAAGGGGCTACTAAGGATGGAATCATTTTGTGGTGATGCGTCTGCGCCGTGGTGCGTAGGTATTGTCCATCCTATCGAATCGGCTGGTGTGGCGACTTCGGGTGCGTTCTATTTCCAGAAGGTATACTTCTTTATGCGAATACGATCTTGGTGAGATGCTGCTTGTGAATAGCATTAAGCTACTGTCAATTTTACACGGCCCGTTGTATATTGACATAATTGCACGGACTTAGCTATGTGGGTATTGTCCAGATCTTTGCTGAGTGGTCCAATTTGAACATGACCTAACTATTATCTAATACAGGAGAAACTGTCAGAGCTTTCGGAGCTGACCGTTTCAAGGGCCCTCTTTGTACCAGAGCACACAATTCCAATTCCAGCTCTGGCCAATCATCACGGTCGTCAGAAAACAAAACATTCGGTTATAGCGTAGTTGGTCCTCGGGCATGTTGATTTGGTAGCAACATTGGTTTTCATGATTCATAGGGTTACGCTTTAGTTGACTTTGTGCGGTGCGTATATAGTAAGTAGTATAGAGTAGTGTGGGTGCTGGTGTCGGTAGTTCCACGGTTGTTGTTTGGAACTATTCTAATGGCATCTAATGACATAGGTCATGTACGGGAGTTTTACTTGGTAGCGTGAATCATAAAGGGAAACAAGGAACCAAGAAGAACCAAGGTTGAAAAATATGCCCGGGTGTAATGTGCGCAGGCCTCTGAAACCAGGCTGCACGACATCGTCTGACATGACGGCTCGCTTGTTTTCATTAAGAAAGATCTGTATTGATATATTAGTCATTGATGTGAGAGGCTCTTTCCCAGAGGACAACGATTGCAGGTGACCAAATTCGAATGCCGCCCTCGGCTATGTATTGATCATGTGGGCCGCAACAAACCATCACAAAGCGCCGATATCGCCAATTAAAAGGCTTTTCGGCAAAAGGCAGTGGACCGTTGAAAAGGGGCCAGTAGGGCAGGGGGAAAGGATCACATGGCCAGAATCAGCTGATTCATGAACCCAATTCCAGCAAGACCCAAGCTAAAAGTCAACATTGGACTAAACATCGGGTTCTCCTAGAGCAGAGGGGGCAAATGGATCCATAAATAGCAAGTCAGGGGCTGAGTTTATCTATACTAAGTACCCGAGCAGGAATTGCCGAGGCCGTCATACGGAGTACCGTCGGAGAACTTCGGTATGGAAAGCAGACAACCTGGACGTAGCACACTGCAACAATCGGCGATGAGAGTCGTAAACAGAGGCGAGTGTAGGTGAGCAAGAAATAGATCAACAGTCCACGCTAAACCCCGCATCCGAAGACCACGCGACAGCTTCCCCAGATGGCCAAGACGCCAAGGGAATCCGAACGAGGCCTAGGTGGCTCGGGGCATTTCCCAGCGAGTCACGGGATCGGTAAAAGACCCGGGACTGGTCAGAGAGATGACGTCCTGTATGTCGGATCGGGGAATTTAGGAGGCAGAGCGATCTTCAATCCCCTTTTCGCGCTACGGCCCAGGCCGTTTTGAAACAACGCGTGCTGGTTGGGCAGACCGCCATCTGATAGGTCCAGGCCTCGAGGCAGAAACCAGAATCCTATCACGGGTGAATTAGGAAGCAAAATGTCGTCGTGATTGGCGATAGATGAAGACCCGAAACACCAATGTTGATGAACGTTGACCCAGGGGCACAATCCCGGGGTGACCCCGAGGGATAGAGATAAGGGGAAATACCGAAAGGTCTTCTAGCAGGCTCTCAGAGTATGTGAGCATCCCTGCACAGTACATCGTTTCGTCTTTTGCGGAGAGACAGGGGCCGAACCCTTCTCCACCCTTACTCCATTCGGGGCTGAGGGAAATACAAGGCCTACATAGTTTCAGACTCATCACCTAGCAACTAAGCCAGTCATCCACAATGGAAAGGCGGTGATCAGCTGAATGGCATGGGCATCAGAATAGATTCTGGCTACGTAACCCGCGTGAAACAATTCGCGCAAAACGGAATGAATTCACAAAGAAGGCGGAATCTGAAAATAGAGAGAGGCCTTCTCGCCTTCCCGAGGCCGTACCCGGGTCGGGATCCGCCGCTAACCACCCGGGAAAGAGAATCTGGGGTCGTGATGGTGAAGCCGGGCTTCACAAACACATGCTAGGCCGGGCCGTGGCAAAGCGGGAAAGGTTCCAACGAAAATCGCCAGGAATTCCCGAGAGGCGGTCTGAGGTATCTGGAATCCATGAAATGCCTCAAATCTGGCCCGAAACCGATAATAGCATCGTAATAAAGACCCTACGGCATGCATGGGCCCTGAATGGAGAGTTCGGCGTTGGTCAGGTACCACCGGGAAAAAGAGGACGATCCTATTTGTGTAAAAGTCCAGACAGGGCGAGAAGGACCCAAAGAGACCCAGCGGGAATATCTTCTGCCCACCCGATCATCCTTGGAAAATTCGAATGTGAGGGATGTGATTGGCCGAGACCGCCGCGAACGATTTCACCAGTGCATCATCCTCGGCTGGTTAATCGCCGTTATTGGAGTAGATCCAGTCTGTCGTTCCGACCTTCTCAGCCGACTGTTCGTCATCGGGTATGAAAAAAAAAACCTGCCATGCACGCGGCCAGATGGAACATTCCGAATTGATTTCGGGGCTAGGGAAACCGATGGAGAGAACCGAAATAACCAAACCTGCCAAAACAGCTAAACCGAGGATCTACGATTATGTCAGCTCCCCCGCGATTTGAGGCGGAACTAAAGCAGTTTAGATCAAGTTGTACTGTAAAAAGGCCTCACTGGTGAAGTCATTGCGCGTCATTCCTGTCGTCCGTGACTAGTTTGACTTTGAGCTGTGCTTAGAATGGTGATTCACAAGACAATCACACCTTCAGGGTTTGCTAGAACCTAGGTAAAGACAAAGGTAGTTGAAGGATAAAGCTGGCGGGTTCGTCATACTAGTCTCTCTACTTTTTCACTATCGCAACTTTCAATCGACCATCATAATTCGGCTGGTCCAGAACCACAATTCAACGTCAATAATACACTATCTGTATCAACTACGTTTCTGCCCCCCTCCTTGCTCCCAACCCGGACACACGCCGCTCCGGGTACAGTTCGTGTCCACAACCGCTTCGGGTCAAGTCGGACTCCGCCCCCAGGCATTTGCAACCCACGGCAACGCTTCATCCATCACCAACCGCGTGTCCGCTTCAGCTCGGCCTTCTGCCCCGACATCACCCGTGGAACTGTGGAGAACTAGGACGAGAACCTCCTTCATACCAAATCTACCGTCACGATGTCCCCTGCTGGAAAGGATTATATACCCCCCACTCGCCCCGACTCTCCTGGTCCTTTGAAAGCAGATTTCATTCAACAGCAAGTCGCGAGACAACGCAACAATAATTATCACTCTACTTCACTCAGAAACATGGTTGCCACATCTGTGAATCGCACTGCCCTGCACCCTGGTGGTGTCCAGTACGTCTTCCTCTCCTGTTCCTCCTTGCCCACCTCGTCGTCGCTAACCATACTTTCCCCTCTAGGCCTGGCAAGGGTCACACCGAGCTCGAGGAGGAGCTCCACGAGACTGCCCACATTGACTATGATCGTGTCGCCATTGTAAGATCCCTCTTGCATCGAGACTCGACTATGGTCTCGTGTCTCTCTTGTGAAGACTCATCACTAACCATCCGCCATAGATTGCCAACCCTGCCGTCTCGGCCCTGTATGAAGATGCTCTCGTCTACGAGACGGGTACTGCTATGACCTCAAGTGGTGCCTTGAGCGCCTACTCCGGCGCGAAGACTGGTCGTTCCCCCTCAGACAAGCGTATCGTCAAGGAGGAGTCATCAGAGAACAACATCTGGTGGGGACCCGTCAACAAGCCCATGACTGCCGATGTGAGTTTCATCTTGTCTCCTATTATCTATGCGTGATTTTCGCCGTGCATTTTTGGGCTGGTCTACGTGGTCGAGTTGCCCTTGCAGATGGCCCGATGCGCAGCTCCACCCTGGGATCCCTTGCATATGCACCCGGGGTGTCAAGCTTTTTTTCGGACAGTCGGTGCAACCAACTTGGACGTATTCCTTCCTGATCTGCCTTGCTGTGCCTTCTGGGGATGCATTGGGATGCATTCTTTCTTGATTGCATCTTTTCCCCCTCGGCTCTCATGACGGCCTTTCCCCGCTGCCTCGGCTTTCATGTGTATGACGTCATCACTAACGACCCTATCAGGTGTGGCGCATTAACCGTGAGCGTGCTGTCGACTACCTGAACACCCGTAACCGCATCTACGTTATCGATGGATACGCCGGCTGGGACAAGCGTTACCGCATCAGCGTTCGCGTTGTCTGCGCCCGTGCCTACCATGCTCTCTTCATGCGCAACATGCTTATCCGCCCGACTCGTGAGGAGCTCGAGCACTTCCACCCCGACTATGTTATTTACAACGCCGGCTCTTTCCCCGCCAACCGCTTCACTGAGGGTATGACCTCTGCCACTTCCGTCGCCATCAACTTCGCCGACAAGGAGATGGTCATCCTCGGCACTGAGTACGCCGGTGAGATGAAGAAGGGTGTCTTCACTGTCCTCTTCTATGAGATGCCCATCAAGCACAACGTCCTGACCCTCCACTCCTCCGCCAACGAGGGTGAGAATGGCGATGTTACCGTCTTCTTCGGTCTGTCCGGTACCGGAAAGACCACCCTGTCCGCTGACCCCAAGCGTAAGCTCATCGGTGATGACGAGCACTGCTGGACCGACACTGGTGTCTTCAACATCGAGGGTGGCTGCTACGCCAAGTGCATTGGTCTCTCCGCCGAGAAGGAGCCCGATATTTTCAACGCCATCAAGTTCGGTTCCGTCCTCGAGAACGTCGTCTTCGATCCCATCAGCCGTGTTGTCGACTACGACGACACCACTTTGACCGAGAACACCCGTTGCGCCTACCCCATCGAGTACATTGAGAACGCAAAGATCCCCTGTGTCTCTGACAACCACCCCACCAACATCATCCTGTTGACCTGTGACGCCCGCGGTGTTCTGCCCCCGATCTCCAAGCTCACCCCCGAGCAGACCATGTTCCACTTCATCTCCGGCTACACCTCCAAGATGGCCGGTACCGAGGACGGTGTCACCGAGCCCCAGGCCACCTTCTCTTCCTGCTTCGCCCAGCCCTTCCTGGCCCTGCACCCCATGAAGTATGCCTCCATGCTCGCCGAGAAGATCAAGGAGCACAAGGCCAACGCCTGGTTGCTCAACACCGGCTGGGTCGGTGCCGGTGCCACTACCGGCGGCAAGCGCTGCCCCCTCAAGTACACTCGTGCCATCCTGGACTCCATTCACAGCGGCGAGCTCGCCAAGGCCGAGTACGAGACCTACGACGTCTTCAACCTGCCCGTCCCCAAGACCTGCCCCGGTGTTCCCGACGAGCTCCTCAACCCCAAGAAGAGCTGGACAGCCTCCACCTCCTTCGAGGACGAGGTCACCAAGCTCGGCAACCTCTTCAACGAGAACTTCAAGAAGTACGCCGACGAGGCCACCCCCGAGGTCCTCGCTGCCGCTCCCAAGACCAACTAAGGGTTCGGAAGTTTTCTTCAAAATTGGCATTCTTGTTTTGTGCTTTCACTTGAGTCATTTGCATGGCGTGTTGCGTTTGCTTTTGTTGTGACGATCTATTAAAATGGACGTCCACCCCCGCCGCTTGTATCGGGACGAGTGCGCGGGTTTTGTTACCCGGTCTCCCGATTTGGGTGTTTTTTCCTTTTCTTTTCCTTCTCTTCACTTTATGTATCTTGCCCATTATGGACATGTTGACAACTGGCTCTATCGGAGATTCCCTCTGGATATTCCTTTATGATAACCAAATGAAATCAGATATTCATGACTTATTCTATACACTATTCCCGTAGATTCGTATAAGTGCATGCATGCTATTCCCTAGGTGTATTATACATTGCCACGCGCAGATGTCGATCTACAAGTTTTTGAAACGTAGCCGACGAGTAGACTTGGGAGTCTGAAGTCCGTTCAACCGTGTAGCCCTGGGGAATTTGACAGGTTTGCAATTTGCCCCAGTGAAGCTGGCAACACCCGTTGGAGGACATGCATGTCAATATGGATCTTCCTAGTCCGCATTGGACTACCCCTCCAACCACCCCTGCTTCCTCTTGTTCTATTGCGGGTTGTTTCTTTACGGTGGAGTTCCACGGAATGATCTAGGTAACCTCTCTAATTACAGGGGGCCTGTCGACCTAAGCAATGTAAGTTGCGCCCTTGGTGTCACCCTTCCCCCTCTTAATGTTCGGCTTCAAGCAAGTTTGACATTCGCGGCCGAAACGGGATTACTTCTGGCGGATACGCTCACCTCTATCTGGCCGTCAACTGGATAGACCTCTTATCAAGAAAGCGCTTGTTCAATAATTGCACTGTGCCCAATGTGAGAGTCGAAAATCGAACCCTACAATCCCTCATGGCTCGTCAAGTTTCACGAAATAAAAGACCAACTCCTTTCCATCCTCAAAGAAGTGCCCATCATATCAATCGAGCATGTAGGAAGCACATCTATCCTCTCACTTATGGCCAAGCCCGTCCTCGACATCGATATTATAATCCCCCTCTCTGCCCTCCCATCAGCACGAACTGCTCTCACGAATACGAGATACACCGATTGCGGCGAGATGAACGTGCCGGGACGCTTCGCCTTCCGACAGCCGGGGTATGGAAGATCCGATGCGGCGCATGGGGCAGGCAAGAATGGAGAACTGCGATATAATACCTATCTCATGATCGAAGGTTGTGTGGCTTTGAGGAACCATCTTGATATACAGAGAGTTTTACTGGGTGATCCAGAACTACGCGAGGAATATGCACGTGTGAAAAATGAGCTTAAGGAGATTGAGTTTGAGAATATTGGGCAGTATGCTATTGGGAAGACGGAGATTCTTTGTAAGATTTTGAGAAAAGCTGGGTGGAGTGGGGCGGATTTGGAGCCTGTTATCAGGGCTAATAGCTGAAGGGGGCGTTTTATATACGTTTCTTCTTCCCAGAGAGAGCCACGGTGTCTATAGCCGAGTCACTGTGTGGATTAGGTCGGGTTTGGGTACATGCCGAGAAATTGTTCAATGGCGGGTTCATGGGGAATTGATGTATCCATGGGAACTCCCTTTTTGGGGACTGTAGAATATTTGGAGATAGGAGAATTCCGACCGAGCCCATATAAACCTACACTAACCCCACAAACCCCAGTTACCATGTTGATTGCCGAGACGATCTCCACCTCCCGTCACGACATCCGCTCCACTTTGCCGACGGAATACACCCGTTCCCGACTCTGCATGCCGGGATCTAGTCGGACTGCAGAGATACGAGGCCCCGACTGCCGAAGGGTCTCTCCGCGGAGGAGAATCTAGGCCGACGGTTGACGGCGGAATTGTTGGGGCGGAGTGGATTCCGTCAGCTTCTCTACTAGATGGCTCGGATATGATAAGTGGGTTGACAGGGGGTGGAGTCAGAGGACTTGTTTGAGGTGGATGATGCAGGGACCGGTGGCTTGGTTTGATGGGGTGTTGATTCGAAGCTGATATTTTGTTGAGGTGGAGATGAACATGGACATGGATATCGGAGATAGCCGTGGTGTTGTAGCGGCATAAGCATAGTACCTGATCTACTCTGTACTTCAAGGTCCAGGGCAATTTGTATGCCGTCAGTGCATCTAGACTGAGGCTAGGAACGCGTTGCCCTCGGGCTTACCAATTCAACCAGTCTGTAATCCCTCCTTTGGATTCTCTGAATCCTTGGCCTCGTGTGCAATGGAGCAACTCCCCCGTGTAGAGCCCAGTGCATCGCTACAGCGATGCTTTACCGAAAACCACCGAGCGTCAACAATGACAAAGTCCCCGGACTGCAGTCCTCCGACATCTCAGCGCCACGGGGAAGTCGCTATCACCAATAGCTCGGGTAGAGCGATGCCGCAATCCAGCCGCCAGGCCGCCATGCCGTGATGGTATCCGGTCGCAAAGTGCCGGTCTTCGGCGGTAAAGAGATAGACTGGAAGAAGAGATCGGAGGATTCCAGATGGATAGAGCTAACGCCTCAACAAAACGGGCCCGCGCATCCCCAATGACATGCCGCCATTGGCTTTCTCGGGGATGCTATTGGATAAGGCGGGTCCAGGGGCTGTTATATCGATATCGATATCGTCAGTGCTGGACCCACCGAAGTCGTGGGCCTTGACAGGCCTGGGATTGGGGGCGGATGAATATTATTGAGGGAGAGCCGTGGCCCGTGTGGCCGAGGGGGCATGGAATCGCGGTGTTACTATCAGCCGCAGGATTGCGTGTTCGGATTGAGCCCGTTCATGTAGATCCGGAGTAGAATAGATCAGCTTTAATGTGTCCGAGGGAAACCTGAGCCTGGGTAGAAGATGAGCTTCCCGAACTGTTCTCGTGGGCCCGAAAGAGGCTAGCGCGGGAAGAGTGGGGTTCCGATTTTAGCTCGTGAACTAGTCATTGATCTCCATGGAAGGAATGGCAGTGTAGAGTCGGGGATAGAATGACCCTCTCTTCCACATATGCATAGAGAATATCGACGCAGGATGAGCAGGGGAAGAGGTGGAGGAGGCGCACGAGTGAAACCGGAGTCTAACACGTCTACGTCTGGGGACAAGCTTCCCCCGCGTTTTGCAAGACCATGATCGACGTAATTGGCCCCCCTCAGTGGGGTTAGCGATTATCGCAAGTACACGATCAACGAGACTGGGGCAGGCTTCTTGTCATCTATCGTATCCACATCGGGGAGCGGCTAACTGATCGGTCGAAAGGGCCTAGGGCTGTGTCCCGGAAGTCACCCTCGGTTGTTCGCGGTAGTACTCAGTACTCTGAGAGGGGGACAATCATATAGAGCAAGCTTGGGCCCCGACCTTGGAGTCCTATCCTTGTCTTCGTACTTCATCTCCTCCTCTCCCCCGCATCTGACGTGACTTCCTTTCTACCGAGAACCATCAGTGGATCGTGAAGCGGAAGCTGAAGCTGAACGTGAACGTACCTTATACTCAAACCGTCATCGGGTTCCACGGTTTGAACGAACTCGATCAAAAGTCACTCTCCGCGAAAGTTTCAGAGTTTCAGGAGAAAACGCGTGTCATTTGAGTCCTTCGATCCTTTGAGTTCTTCGAGTCGCCGGTAATCTATTCTCTCCATCTTTCCCATCAGACACCACCTAACACCCCCGCAGACTAAAACAAACCATGACCTCAAATTCTGTCAAAGAGAGCGCCAGCAATGCTGCAGTCTCGGCCAAAGAGGCCTCCAAGGCCGCCATCGAGAATCCCCAAACCATCCTCCACAGCCCATACATGCGCCTTGCCCTCCCCTTCGTAAACGGCGGCCTAGCCGGCATGACAGCAACCGCTGTAATTCAACCCGTCGACATGGTCAAAGTCCGCCTCCAACTCGCCGGTGAAGGCGCAAAGACAGGCCCCCGCCCCACAGCCATCGGTATCACCCGCGAGATCATCTCCTCCGGCAAGGCCCTAGATCTATACACCGGTCTCTCAGCCGGCCTCCTCCGCCAAGCAGTCTACACAACCGCCCGCCTTGGCTTTTTCGACACATTCATCAAAAACCTCAACGCCCGCGCCGAAGCCGCCGACCGAAAAGTCACCTTCGCCGAACGCGCAGCCGCAGGTCTCTCCGCAGGCGGTGTCGCAGCCATGATAGGAAATCCTGCAGACCTGGCCCTCGTCCGCATGCAATCCGACGGCTTGAAAGCCCCCGAAGCTCGCGCCAACTATAGATCCGTCTTCGACGCTCTAGTTCGCATCCCGCGCGCTGAAGGCGTAGCTGCACTCTGGGCTGGAGCCTTGCCAACCGTCATTCGCGCGATGGCGCTGAATATGGGCCAGTTGACGTTCTTCGCTGAGAGCAAGACGCAGCTGAAGCAGCATACGAACCTATCCCCGCAGAGTCAGACGTTCGCGGCGAGTGCAATTGCAGGGTTCTTCGCGAGTTTCCTCTCATTGCCGTTTGATTTCATCAAGACGCGTCTGCAGAAACAGTCGAAGGATCCCAAGACAGGCCAGGTGCCGTACAAGGGTGTTCTGGACTGTGCGCGCAAGGTTGTCGCGGAGGAGGGATGGATGCGCTTCTATCGTGGCTTTGGAACGTACTATGTTCGGATCGCCCCTCATGCGTGAGTCAATCCCCACCTTTTACCCTTTTGGGCAATGGCCCTGCATTGTTGGTTCCACCTGATACTAACGTGATCTGCAGGATGGTTACGCTCATTGTTGCTGATTATTTGAACCTCATCACTAAGTAGATCGGGCTCTTGATTTGAGGGCTGGATCGGATGCGTGAACGGATGCGTGAACGAACGCGAGTTTAACCGTGGTTTTGGTTTATTTCATTTCCGGTGTCGGTGTGCTTCGACCTGCGGAGGGGGGAAAGGTATCCGAGAACAACATGACGGATGTCTCAATATGATCCGAAACTACCATTTTGACTCCGGGGGTCTCTCATCACCTCATTGTTATGATATTTTTCATCTGGATACCGCTCGCATCCTCGTTCGCTTGCGCCGGTTGAGCGCTTACTCACGGAACCCTATGCCTCATCATCTCAGCATATTCACCTCACTGGGGAACGGCGAGAGTGAGCAGTGTGGACCACTCCGTGTTTCTTTTCCCGGGAGAATCAGCGGTGCCGACCCGTGAGACATGCCGGCGTTCTCCGCGGAAAGGGGCTCGGGAGTCCGATTTCCTATTACTATTTTACTTCCTTACTTTCCTTGACAGGCGAATACCCCCACACTTGTCCTGTTCTGTCTGTTGCTAGTCTTTGTTTGCGTTTGTGTTCGTGCTTCATGATGTGGGATGTGCATTGCTTCGTACATTATAAGTCATATTTGATACTCTCTCCTCTCTATTCTGTAAGACTCGTCTAGAGAATACACCATACATTCTAGCGGGATTGCCTCGTGATTTTTGGACCTCGTTGAAACATGTGTAATTCAAACATCCCTGGATCATGTTTTGAACTAGACTAATGCCACGGTGATACTGGGCTGCAGGGTTTCCACTATCCTTTACCTATGATACTTCGACTACAGGTGATGAGGAATTTTTGTTTAGAATATTTTTATTAAATTAGGCACTCAAGTGACTTGGCTAAGAGGTTACACCTTGTGATTAAGAAAGCCATAACAAAGAGTGCTTCAAAGAGATCCGTATGCGCATCTCGCGTGATCATATTAAGTAGGGAATCGCCCGAGACGGAAAACCATTGACCGAGGTAATGGTAATGGTAATGAATCTGGAAATAGAAAATGCCAATTTAGATGGCATCACTACCAACACGCTTTTGTTCAATAGTACCAGGGGGAAGGACGTCCTCGAGGGTCTCGTCTGTGCCGCGCAGGTCCTCTTCGATAGGGACGGTGTCCTGGATCTTCATCCAGACGACGGGAGTGGCGATCAGGAGTGCACCACAAAGAAGACCCCAGTTGGAAGCGAGTTCGGACATGTAGGACAATTCGTTCTTGTCGAGACTCCACATGACGGCGGAGCCAGCGGATTGAAGGCCCTTGTAGAAGCCTGCCAGATTGGCGAGCTTGCGGCCGGAGTTGCCGAGGGCACCCATCAGCCTGTTTCAATTAGTTAGCCTGCGTTTGGCACTAAGAGTGAAAGGGAGTGAACATACCAGTAGACGAAGCCCTGCCAGACAGCGTCATACATTCCATAGAAGAAGTACAAGAACATAGGTCCCACATAGCCGGGAGTGGACCAGTCAGTCGGGGTGAAATCCTTGGCGGCGACACTCTCACGAGTGTATCCCTTCTGCCAAGCATAGCCACCACCCCAAATAGCCATGGTGAGGAGGAAGAGAACACCCAGGCCAATGCGAGCGCGGATTTTACGGCGCACGCCCTCGATATCCAAAAGTGGGCCAATCAGAGCTGCGGCAATGATCTGAGCGAACCAGTAGAGGAATCCGTTAAGGGCCTTGGTGCGGGTGTCAAAGTGAGCAGCGTTGATGCCGTTCTGCTGGTAGGTGTAGAACCAATTGGAGGCGAAGAACATGGGGAACAGGAAAAGGATCCAAGGCTCGGAGCTGATGGTCTGCCAAAGACCGATGAACTCGGTCTTCCAGCTGGGGTTCTTCATCAAAACAACCTTGGAGCCATCAGGGCGGACGACTTTGTCGGCGTCGCAAATGAAGAGGGCCAGACAGGCACCAAAGAACATGAGCACGATGAAGGCAATGTAGGTACCGTCGCTGACGTTCTTGTTGGTCTTGACGTGAATATTCTCACCAAGGGGAATCTAGATGGCTTATTAGATGCGGATGCGTAGTGAATGTGAGATGCTTACCAAACTGCCCATGCAAGCACCAATGTTGAAAATACACCAGAACCAGGCAAAGTATCGACCCTTCTGTTGCTCAACGGGATAGGACATCATGATGGTTCCCTGAGCACCCCACAGAAGTCCAGCACAGACACCAAGAAGGGCACCAGCAAAGATGTTGAAGCCAGGGACATATTTGTGAACGGAAACGAGGAGACTGATGGAGTAGATACAATAACCGATACCACCGAAGGAGAGCGCAAGGCGAACACCCAGACGGTTAACAAAGGTACCAGCGAAGAAACCCACAACTGCAAAGGTACTGTACAGAGCAGTGTTCTGTAGTCGGGATTAGCATGGAGAACGAATGCAAGCCCCGCATTCAAGAAAAAAAAAAAAAAAACCTACCATGTCATCAGCCAGACCGGGGTCTGATTTACCACCGCCACCCAAGCCACTCAGAGCATTGAACATGCCAGGGCACATGAAGCAGACGAAGGCAACCATACCGAGCTGGAACCGAGGCGAGGCATACCAGCCGAGAACGCCCAATCGCTTGTACATCCACCCAGCCGGGCGTGGGACCTCATAAGTCTGGTCCTCGGTTGGGCCAACAGTAGTTTCAGTGGCCACGCGGGCCGTCTTCAGGTCGGGGTCGGTCTCGATCTCGGTCATGGTGAATGAGCAGAGACGAGAACGTGGGGGAAGAAGAAGAAGAAGAAGAAGAAGAAAAGGGAAAGTGTCGATCTGGAGAAAAGTGTGGGGAAGGAAAGAAACAAAAACAGAAGGAGAGAAGCAGCTTTAAAGAGATGTCACACGAGGCAAGCTCTCCCTTTCTAGAAGAGAAAATAAAGAGGCGACCACGAGGCAGGGTGACATTCACTGTGCGCCAGATCAAAATTGGGATTAGCTCTTCTATTCGGCTCTCCATGCATTCTGTGGGGGGCGGTTCTACGGATTGAAGCTATGATAGTCAGGTTGCACTGCAACGCCTTTGCCTGGATTGATACACGGAGTGGTATTCCATGACTAGTGCATTTCTACGAGAGTGTTACCCTGGCCTTGCGGTTGCATGTGGCTAAGGCTAGCACGATGGGAAGATAGGCGGGCGAATTGAATTTTGTGGGGGAAGCGGAGGTAACTCGATCCAGTTAGTCTCCCACGCCACGGCTTTTCAGTTCTGACCTGCAGGGGCAGCTTAGCTAGATCTCAATCCATTACGAATTATGTAGTATAGAAGAGGGTTCTTAGGGAGTAGTCCAAGGGTGTAGAGCGGGATGTTCGAGTCATTGATCTGTCGAATCTCCCCATGTGGCTCTCCCCGAACACCTTATCGCGTGGATAACGTGGGTAACGTGGATCCTACTCCACTCCACTTACTCCGACTCGGACTCTTCCGATGACTCGTCCGTATCACCATTATTTTGCGTGGGAACGGGCTCCGACTTTACCCGCACGCCCATATCCTCATCCTCATCCTCATCCTCATCCATATCGACGTCCACGTCCATATCGTCCTCATCAACTGCATCGCTAGCCAGCGTCACTGGGCCGAGGCGGTTCCGCTGAGACTGCGATCCCTCTAACTCGTCATCCGCCTGGCGCGCCAACAACTCCTCCGCGCGGCGCACCTTGCGAAGCAGAACAGGGTCTGGCCTGAGATCATCATTGGTAAGGGGAATGGAACATACGGGGCATTTAACTGCCCGGATTCGGCGTCCGCCTCGCCCGGACGGAGGTGGAATGTGGAAGCTGCTGCGGGAGATCATATCCTGAATGGCTTCGCGCTCGAAGCTATGGGGACATTTTGTGCTCGTAACGGGGTCTCGGAATGGCTGAAGTGTGAGGGGACACTTCAGTGAAATGCGTTCCCTCTCGATAGCGATATCATCTGAGCCTGCAGGTGAGGGCTCGCGCCGTTTGCGCGTGCGGCGACTTGAAGGACTGCCCGCTGGGTCTGCGGTCGCGTTGGGGTCTTCCAGATGTGAGAACCATGTAGATGCGTTCGGTAGGGGTGGTACTTCGTCCCCAGGGAACTTCGCGTCGTGTACAATGCGGTAGAAACCAATGTAGTTGTTATTACCCGCGTACCTGCGTCACCAACCCCCAAATTAGTCCTTGAATTGCTGCAAGTTGAGAAGCATGGTACGTACCGTGCCGTTAAAGATTGGTTATTCCACTTTTCGGTTCCCTCGTCCAGCGCATTGCCTAATCTATGACTGGGCGGGTTCTGCGCATTCGCTTCCCTCGTTTCTCGCTCTGGTGTGCCCTCATAATCTCCATCTTCCTCGCCCTCACCATCCTCCTCATCGCTTGCAGCTTCCCTTTGGCGCCGCCGCTGACCACGCGTCTGTCGAACCCCGAGTGTAGCACGCTGGGCCTCAGCCGCTTCCCGATCCAGAGTCTCCATCGCATCCTTCAATCCCTGAAGCCGGGCTTCTGAATCAATGATCAAGCGCATCTTCTCTTCCATCCGCCCCGTCACATCATCGACCTTTCTTTCCATCTCCGCTAGCCGCTGATACTCCTCGTTTTCGTCATCCTGTTCAACATCCAAATCCTCGCTGGCCGCGGCACCACGTCGCTTCTCTTTCGTGCGCTCGTATCGTACCCGCGCATCACTCAACTTCTCATTCACGTCACCCGCAGAGTCGGTAAGTTTCTCGGCCGCGTGTTGCAGGTGGGTCTTGAGTTGTCGGGAAAGTTGTGAGTCCATAAGCATTGCCAAATTTCGATGACTTTCCGCCGTAAGAGGGGCCTCCGGAGGCTCATATTCTGGTAGATCGGGGATTTCGGTTGCTTGCGGGGTGGGTCGTGTAAATGTTCGATTGCGTGGCGGGATCGTGGAGGGCATGTTGGGAGCTCTGAGACAAGAGCACTTGTCGGGAAGGAAGATTTCAGGAGGATCCCTTCTCTTGCCGGAGGAAAGATGTGCGAGAGAGATGGGTTAGACTGACGAAGTGGTATGCTCGACAAAGCCGCACTCGAAATCCATAACGCGTCGCGACCGCGCTAGTCCCAATTTGGTTACAGTGAACTGATAAGCTTTATCGCATCTACAGGCGCATTTGATGCAGCTTGTCTAGAATTTTTCCACTTTTGTATTATTCTAGGGAGGAGAAGGATAATTGAATGAACAGTGAGTATACAGATGTACAGAGTGCGATGCCGGTTAGACACTGTTGGCTTAAACTTTGTAAAAGCAGAAAGCATGGTAGAAGCCTGGAGAAAGGTAAGCAGTGGAAGTGTGTATCGAGTCGCAAAATACTTACTAACGGCATCCTTCTCCTCTTCGGTCATATTTAACTCTCCGGTCGTACGGTTGCGAACACCCATACGCTCACTGAGAGGTCCTAGTTCGCGGTCGTCCTTCTCTTCCTCCCAGATATCCAGGAACGGCTTGCGGTACTGGAGTTCCAGGTTGTAGTCTTCGGTCAGGCTAGAGTCGACATTAGTAATGGGGCGCGAGGAAGGGACATGGTGATAACTCACGCTCGGAAAGCCTCCCAAGGCACGACAAATTCAGGAACCTCCTCGACCGCCTCCTGCATGAAGTATGTGTATTTCCATCCAAACGGCGGACGGAAGATACCGTCCTCGGGGGTCTTGCCAGGGAACCGAACTCGGTAGATATCGTTACCCCATTCAGTACGGTCATCTTCCTCGACCTCACCATCCTCGGGCGCTTCAGTCTCGGCAGGCTTGCCAGCCTCGCGCTCTTTGCGCTGCTTGTGCCATGCGCTGACCTTGCTGGCGATCACGTCGGAGTTCGGGCACACAGCAATGAACCGGCCGCCCTTCTTGAGACAGCCGGCAACATTGCTAAGCATCTGGCGCGCTTTCTCTTCCGTCTCAAACGCGTAGTGAATGGCGAACATGGATGTGACAACGTCGAAGCCACCACCGCCCCATCTCGAGGCCATCATGGAGCCACCAGGTCCAGCATTGGGGTCAATGCCGACTTGCTGGATGATCGGGACATCTCCAAGGAACTCTCCAAAGCAGTCCTTTGTAAAGAACTCACCATGGAATTGAGGCCGACGACCACGTTGGCGTAGCATCTGACTGTACCGATCCCGCGCCTGTTCAATAGAGACATTGGCCGGGTCAAGTCCGACATAGAGTTCCACCGCCTGGGGAGTCTGCGCCCACTTGCCTAGATCACCGCCCTTGCCGCATCCCAGATCCAAGACAAGCAATGGCCGCACTTCCGATATAGACGGGCCCACGCTGTCTTCAGCCCAGTCTTTACTATCGTTATGCTGCGCGACGAATTCCTCTGAGGGAGAGAATTTCTGAATCAGAGTACTTTTCACCCAATTGTTGAAGCTGCGCAGTCCCTTGATCTTGCTGTCTGTTTTCCGCCATTCACGACCACGCTGCGGAACGGCATTGTAGTGACTCCGAACGTAGTCCAGTCCACCGCGCTGGGTAGATTGCCGCAAAGCATCCATCTCTTGCTCGCGCTCACGCTCTTCCTGCCTGCGCAAAACATCTGCGCCCCTGCTCTGGCCCATGCGAGATCCACCGCCGGGTCGTTTGCGTTGCCGTTCTTCCGGGGTCGGCGAGCGGTGCCGGATCGGGGAGCGGGATCGTCGCGAGTCTTCGCGCGGTGTGCCATTTCTCGGGCTGCGAGATCTGTCGCGGCGTGAGAACATTGTGGAGGGTGCATCGCGCCTCCGCGGCTGATGTCGTTCTTGCATTCGCCTGCGCTTTGAGGCCGGTCCGAATCTTGGGTCTTCGTTCGATGCACGGCTTTGGTCGCCGGGGTGTCCGTTTTGTTCAATGATTGGGCCAGAGGTAGCATATGCACCATTCCTGTCTGCTTCGCCGGCTGACCGGGGGGAGAAGGCTTGTGGCCCCCCGAGCCGGATGTGGGTTCCATCGAAGCGAAAGAGATGTCCGTTGGATGGTAAAATGAGTTGAGGTTATCTGAGAAGGATTAACGTGTTATTTTATTGGAATGATGCAGAGTCAACACAGGCGAGGTCAAGATGTGTAGAAGGCGAAGATCTCAGATTCGAGTGGACGAAGGGAGCTCGGATGTGGGTCATCACCGGCTCAAGCCAATCAAGTGTGTCCCTTGTGCTCCATCTATCTGTTCGTGTTTACAGAGTCGCGCGAAGAGTAGTTTCAAAAGGGGACCAAAGGATGTCTCGCTATGGACCGTTCGCATTTGTGAAAATAACTTCCCAACGGCCAGGAGCATGATATGCTTAGGCCCATTTGCACTATCTCGTTTTGTTTCATGTCTTCCTGTCCTGGGGCACTTCCTAGATTCCCATTAAGTAGGTATCAGGGGGCAGTAACATGTTGTTATATGGCTTCATCATTAGAAAAAAAGCCAAGGTGATGTTGACCTTCTTCATCTGCTCCATCTGTCCGGCTGTAACTTACTCTTCTTCATTCTCTGATCATCAGACCGATATTCTCAACAGCAATGGTTACTTCGTACAAGTGATATCCGTATTAGCTTCATTAGTTCCGTGACATGAACGAATGGAACAGAACAGACAGATTATCCAGTCATCGAGATTTCGGATGTTAGCAGCGTTCTTTTCTACGGACGAATATCTGACACGCCTGTCTCTTGATGCCTCTTTTCTCGACCATTCGTTCCTCCCCAGTCACCATCGCCACGGAACCTTCCCTTCCCCAAAAAAGAAGACGCTTTCAAGTTATCAGCAGCTGTGGAAGCAGTCTGTACTTCCAACCTGGCCTTCTTTACTCGTGCTCGTGGACTCGTATCATATCGACAACTTGCGGTCTCTATAAGTCTCTGCTTTCCTTTTTCTTCTCAATCCATTTCCTGACCCAACATCTCTTGTTTCTGAAGAATTCGTCCCTTTCATTCTATCAGATTGGTGTCACTCCTTTTCAAATCATACCTACCACGTCTCTTTCTCACCACTCGTCTCGAGGGATCTTGATTACATATCTGCTTCACTACCCTCTTCATCACTCGTCCACCTTCTTCCAATTCCATCGACCCCACTTTCTTTTCTTCAAGTCAGCTCTTACCCACCTCAGCACTCTCTTCCTTCGCCACGCATATGCTCTGATACTTGCCTCCATTATCCCCTACACAATTTCTCCACCCAATCTTCTTTGCTCAAGAGAGAGTCACCCTTCCGCTAACAACATACAAAGCAGCTACTAGTTCTCGAGGGATTAACAATGGAGTCCAACGACAACACCAAAAAGGCGCAGAAGACCTCCCGCTCGGTGGGAACTTCTCTGGCCGGTGAAGAAACGGAGCCTTTCACCGTCCTGATTACATCTGCCGGAGCCAACGAACATACCTCGATCAATAGAGCCACCAACCCGAAAGTTGCAAAGAAAAATAAGCTGGCTGAAAGGTCCAACAATGATCTCGCAGAGGCCGAGACCGCCTCTCGTGTTGGCCTCAGCAGCCCTTCCCCTACGCCCGAGTCCGGCGAGACCGAGAACAAGCTCAAACCGAAAGTAACTCGGCACTCTTGGGGTAAATCCGAGAACATGCCACTCGGGTTTCCAAATTCGAAGGCCGAACTCACCGATGATCAAATCAAAGTCCTTGTTATGCAGGGTCCCGGCTTTCGCAAGACATACTGCAACTATTTCACTCTCAGTGGGCGTATAAAGCGACCATTCTATCGTGTCATCTTCGAAAAGCAGCCAGATGGAGAAATGGTTTTTGAAGATTGGGTGATAAGTTCGAACCTTCACCCTCGTTGGGAGAGCGTGATGCAGCGCTGGGAGCATCACAAAGAGCGCGAGTCATCTGGAAACCCGCCCAGGAAGAGACAGAGCAAACCCAGCAAGAAGAACGAAGCAGAAGGGGCTGATGTGAAAGAGGATGACAACAGTCCAAAGCAGCCATCAATGAAAGATACTTCTTCCAAAAAAGCAGGATGTCTGTCAGAACGTCTTTGTACACCTGCTTCAGAGGAGTTCTTCGAATCTTTGCCTGATGCTCCCAGTACTGATGTTGATACTGATAAAACAGCTAATATTGCCGCTCTTTCTGCTGCTGCCACTGCCACTGCCACCGTCGTCGCCACTCTCGCTGCTGAGGGTACTGAGGTACAATCGGCTAAGCCTGGCCCCTCTGGCCCCTCATACCGCAGTAGAAGTTACCCGGACCCAGAGAGGCTCTCTAATAGGGCTACACGCACCGGAGATTGGGATGGCATGTTCCTGCGCCCAGAGAGACGTCGTTCCCGCAGCCCTCGTAACAGCTCCACAGTCCAGAACACGGATGAGGCCAAGCCCTACGACCCGGCCAATCTCAGTCATTCCACGCACTGGTATCACGGTGGCGAGCTCCTGCAGTCCATCCAACAGTATGAGATGGATGACCTTGAGCTTATGAACCTGGATGATCTCTCGGCGTTCGCCAAGAGAATGGATCGCGATATCAACAAAGTGCATGCCACTCTGATGCATTCATCCGAGTCTTTCGGAAACTGGGAGGTCAAGAAGAAAGTCAATGAACTTAGAACTTCATTGCTGGCACTTCACATTTCTTGTCTCAAGTTGCAGGGACAACTGGAGGCTGATAGAATGGGAGAACAGTAACTATGTGTGTGTACGAGGGAGAGAGAGAGAGAGAGAGAGAGAGAGAGAGAACAATGCATTCAAATGTTTCCCCAATTTCCGAATTACGTGTGTTGGTCATAAGCCTCGTCTATACGTTACTTCTCTGTGCTCGTTGGGTGAGATGGGACCGGCTAAGGGATAATACCGTGGTAGTGGCGAGACTAGCGATGCTGGTTCAGTTGCATGCATCCAAAAAAGTGTATCTAGTGCACTTTATTTTGCTAATCTTCATAGATAGAGATAACGTACTTCCACACATAACATAAGTTGAATCGTACCTTGTAAGTACTTGCATTTCTTTAGGGTTGCTCGTGCTCAAAATGAATCATGTCTAAAAAGACGATTGAGGAACAGGCTCTGAGGACGACTAACTAGCTGAACATTCAATGCAACAAGGAAGTTTAAATAAGCCTCTGGATGCCCACATGCACGAACCATAAATAGTTTTGGATATTATTGAAGATCGCCAGAAACACTCTATCGCTATTTATGTGGTGTAGGTAGTTCTTAGGGCTGCAAATTTGGGGACATTTCGCGTTGATATTAAGCACTTGACACTGGATATGTATGTTCTTCCACAAAACGCCGCCATGAAAAATACTGCCCGCTATGAAACATAAAAATCATTTGAGATAATAAGTAGAAAAATGGATATCACTTAGAGTTGGTAGAGTTGTGGCGCGGAGTCTTGGGCGTCAAAACCTGCCGCATACGCCGAATCTTTGCCCACCATTCGCGATCGGCCTTCTTCTTCTTCTCTTCGTCCACTTCACCGCCGAATGTCTCCACCGGAGAGGTACTCCTTTCAGTGCGTGGCGAATCAAATGCCGTAGACCGAATATGCCGGCGGTGCTTCACCCGGAGAGCTTCTGACACGGCCTCCCAGCCACTGCGTAACTCTTCCGGCTTCTCACTGGCTCGGCCTGTTCCGCTTTGAGCGAGGCGATCAATCCAGGGACAGTATTCCATATGCTCGGTAGCCACCTCCAACGACGAGTAGACAGTGACATCCCCGTTTTCCTTCGGCTTGTACATCCAGAGACCTAGGCGACGAAAACATGCCTTGCAGCCAACTAGACCAGCAGCTGCATCGGCTACTGCGTTCCAGCCGAAGAAAGCCAGCGCGAATGCTGCTCGATTGATATGCTGTGTTGAGCGGGCAGCAGATTTTGAAATTGTCACTGCTGGTGTCGGGGTCGACGGTTGTGAAGCTTCTTCTTGGTCACCAGCAGCGTTTCCTTCCGCTGTGTTCGTATCCGACGGATTCTTGGCATCTGTTGACCAATCTTCAGGCAAAACCTTTATTAATGCTTCGATATCGAATCCTTCAGGGGCTTGTATAACGTCGTCGGCCGGTAGTTTATCGCCCAACTTCGCGATGCCAAGGTAGCGTTCCCGGAGCCCGGCGATGGCGGTGTCTGGGTTCGTTAAAGGCAGATGTTGAATGGTTGCTAAGTAATAATCAGGGCATGAACAAATTATGTGGTGGTTGGGTGACTAACCATCACAGCTCTTGTTGCGCCACGGGCAATTCTCGCCATGCGCTTCTTTCAAGAGCTTCTCGTATTCCTCCACAAGTTTCATGCCTATCAACATGCCAGTTAGCACCGAAGTCTAACACGAATCAAGTGCGTGAGTGATGTGATAACGTACGGACTTGTTTTCGTTCCTGGACCTTCTCGGCATCATATCCATCAAGCTCGTCGATCTCATCCGGTACCTTGACCACGACGGAGCCGCCGCAACCACTGACGCAGCTCACGCGCATGACATCTGTGCAGATCCATCCGCGCTTGGCCCATTGTACTTCGTTTATCGGTGATGGCTTTGTTGTCCATCGGTCGACACGGCGAAAGGTCTCAAGCCGCTCCAAGAAGCGTTCGCGGTCCCAAGGCACGAAAGTCGGGCGCTTGGAGGAAGAGGTCGATGAAACTCGTGCGGATGGAAGCGAAGTCTTCAGAATGGAACTTCGAACGGATGCAAAGTCGGATTTATCATTACTGCTTAATCGGACCTTCTTGATGGAAAGATCACCGGGGAGGTGATTGCGCGCCGCAGCGGCCGGCGCGGGCTTCGGTGTCGGCTGTTTCGCCGTATTCTCGGATGAGAGTGGTTTAGAAATCGACTCTAGTACTCGGTGGAATTTGCGCTTCTTCGATTCGACGGCGTACGACATGGCGAGACTTTGATGGGGAGGTAGCGAAGTTACGCAGATCAATAAGTCGCGAGGCCGAGAGCTGTGATTGAAAGAGCTGTTGCTGCCTCAGGCATTCACGACAAAGACCTCCATTGATGTTTTCATTGTTGAATGAGAGTCAATATAGATCCAAACTCCCCTTAACATTGGAATTATAGGACTATCAATTGACATTTCAAAATGTTATGCATCGCCGTTGTATGATATTCAATTGGCAAATCCTCCGTCGCTGATTGGTCGTATCCCGCGAGACCGTACGATCTCCCGAAATCACGACTTCACTTTTTCCCTTCTTCAACCATCACTCCTTCATCATGGCCGCCCTGGGGAAGTCTCTGCCTGTATGGCGGAGCCTTGCACCCCGCATCTCTAGAGATCTCTTTACTTGCCGACAATGCCTTCGAAACCAAGGCTACGCCGCCAAATCTGTCCGCCAATTCTCCGCGATGCCCTCTCACCAGCCGAGCAAGACTCGATCCTCCCTCTTCACCGATAAGAACCGCCAATTCTTCACCTCCAGTATGAAGCGAACAGCCGCCGCCCCTTCCTTTACGAGTGCTGTTCATGAGGGTGCTACCGAAGCCAAGTCGTCCAGCTTCCCTAAGATCAGCAACAAGTCTGTCGCGTACTGGCTCCTCGGTAGCGCTGCAAGTGTTTTTGGAATTGTCATCTTCGGCGGATTGACCCGTCTCACTGAATCAGGGTTCGTATATATGGCCTCTTAAAAGATGAGGCTCGGGAGCTGACGGAACAAACTTTGGCGCAGATTAAGTATCACCGAATGGAAGCCTGTCACTGGTTCCTTGCCGCCTATGAACGCAGAAGATTGGGAATCGGAGTTCGCCAAGTATCGCGCATCACCCGAGTTCAAACTGTTGAACCCGCATATGACCCTGTCTGAATTCAAGTCGATCTATTATATGGAGTGGATCCACCGTCTCTGGGGCCGATTTATCGGCATGTCGTTCGTTCTGCCAGCTGTTTACTTCGTCGCACGCAAGAAGGTCTCTGGGCCGATGGCGTGGCGCCTTGGTGGCATTGCTGGTTTGATTGGTTTCCAAGGCTTCATTGGTTGGTGGATGGTTAAGTCCGGTCTGAAGGATGACCTGTTTGCACCGGGTAGTCACCCTCGTGTCAGCCAGTACCGACTTACGGCTCACCTCGGAGCTGCGTTCACTTGCTATGTCGCCATGTTGTGGAATGGACTTGCTATTCTCCGCTCTCACCGTCTGATGAAGGACCCTGTGTCTGGTCTGAAGCAGCTTGACGCACTCCGAGACCCACGTCTGGCAATCTTCCGCCGCTCTGTTGCCGCTGTGGCCGCCTTGGTCTTCATTACTGTCATGTCCGGTGGCCTTGTTGCTGGCCTTGATGCTGGTCTCATCTACAACGAATTCCCCTACATGGGCAACGGACTGACGCCGCCCAAAAATGAGCTTTGGGATCCCCGCTACTCCCGCCACGAGGACCGATCCGACCTATGGTGGCGCAACATGCTCGAGAACCCTTCCCTTGTTCAGCTTGATCATCGTATTCTCGCTACTACCACTTTCACCTCCATCATGGCGTTGATGGCCTACACCCTCAAGTCGCCTACTATGAAACGTATTTTGCCGGCACCTGCTCGGAAGGGTGTTCACGGTGTCATGGGCTTTGCCTGCTTGCAGGTCACTCTTGGCATCTGCACTTTGCTCTACCTGGTCCCTATTCATTTGGCATCTGCCCATCAGGCTGGCAGTCTTTTCCTCCTCACCTGGGTTATGGTTCTGGGCAGCCGTGTCTGGCATCCGTCCCGCACTGCCAAGCTGTTGCAGATGGCCGCGAAGGCCCGAGGACAACAGGTGTCTTCCGCAGCCGCCTCTGGCATTAAGAGAGTCTAAAACTTCCCGATTGAGTGTACGAATACGTGAACCAAGACGAATTGCTTGGTTGATCCGTCTTGGTGTCCTGATACCATCTCCATTCATTATTCTGACTTGTCGATTAGAGCGACCCTGTCTGTATAAGTATTTTCGCTTAAGCTACGCAATGTAAAAAAACAAATTCGATATTGATATTCAATCTAAGTCGCTATGATAGAATTCATGGTAAATTTCTCATTCGACTCAACTCTACCGTGTTCATCCTCGGTATTTTCCCAAACGCTCATTGTTCAATCCCTTTCAAACTCCATAACACGACGGCCCACCAAAGCGGAAGCTCCCATGGGCCTAGCCGCGCATGTCAGTGGGACGCGAGGCACGGGGTGGGTTGCGGCGACACAGACCCAGGGGCTCCAGAATCGGCTCGAGTTCCTCGTTATTCTCATCCAGGTTGGACAGCCAAGTAATGGTAGAATCGCCACCCACAGTCTCGACATCCGAGAAGTCCTCCAGAGTGCGGTTGTGGTCGCGGTCGGCAGAAACAGAGCGAGAAGCAGACGGCGTATCAGGACTCTCAACACCGAATTGGCTATTGGTATATGCTGGAGGCGAGGAACTCAAACGCATCAATGCTTTGACAGCATCCTGTTTAGCAACAGTGGGTGTATGATCAGCAACCATATGAGCCGCAGGAGGCGTGCGTTCAACAGTAGCAAATTCACTTGTTGCACCACCACCAGCTTCGAGTCGACTTACCGTTTCAATAAGGCTAGTAGTAGCTTGCGCTCCAGGACCCTCTCCGATTGGGATATGCGGGCCCCGGACAGTTTCATGGGTTTTGTCCCCGCCACGAATTACCTGGCACTTGCGACAACATTGCCATCCGCATAGCTTGCATCGACTCATGCCCTCGCTATTTCGACGGTCACAGTCATCACACTTAGCAGTGTGTACTTGCAGTTCTTCAAATGGGACCATAAGTGCTTTGCGTTCTTGTTGGTGAGGGCGTAAAGGAAGAGACCTGTTGATGCTACTTGCGCGAGAGGTTGCTTTGTTAGTAGGTTTATTTGCCAGAACTTTGCTGTGCGAGGACTTCTTAGGTGGAGGCTTCGTGGTTAAAGTCCTGTTGGAAAACTGGGATGAGGAGCCACTCGGTGTAGGAGACTCCACGTCGGATTTGACACGGCGTGTGTTGCGAACTGGAGCTGATGGCTGCATGCCTCCAGTCTCGATTTCTGGAGATCAAAGAATGTGAGTCAAGTTATTTGATTAGTTTCGACCCCAAGCCTGATCTTCCGCTGAGCCTGTACTTACCGTCATGCGCACCGTCATGGCCGCTATGCGGTCTCTTCTGTGGGACCACGGATCTGAAGATAAGTCCCGGAGGTGAAGGCAGCATTCGCAAGGCCTATTAAAGAGAGAGTTAGCTGCATTTGCTTTTTTACGTCTCACTCAAGATGAATGGGGTTCTTTCAAAGCCAAGGGCTGATTTACCTAAATGAAAGTGATGGTTAGTATCGATGTCAAGACGATGTATAGAGATAAAAGCCAACCATTTCGTCGGGCCCTAAGGTGATGCTCGGCTCGATAGGGTGTAGACGAAAATGAGGATGTTGGAAGACTGGATCTTGGTTTGCCTGATGGTCGTCATGTAGAATACCACGATCATAGCGTTGGTCGCTTCCATCAGAAGATGGCGAACTCCCAAGATGAGGAGGGGTAGCAGATCGATAGTGCGGTGAGGCACCCATGATGAAAGGTGTCTTCGGGGTTGATGAAGGTTGTGAGATGTTGCAAGTAGATGAGACTGGATGGCGAGGAAAGGATAGTGGTTGCGAGAGGGTAGATGGAGGATGGGTACCCTTTTATAGATCGGCTAGATCACGACCATCCGATAATTCACACTGGGTTCTCTCAAAGTACTCTGCAATGAATGTTATCGCTATCTATTAATCTACACTTACAAGACGTCGTTGCCAGTTTTCTGGCGACTGATTTCTCACCACCGCTGACTTGAACTCACTTTTCACCAATGAGCATTCATGCATATTCAACTCTCTATTAAGCTGGCCTTGGGCGAAACATTTCATGCTATTAGCTATGAACATCTGCTGCAGGAAACTCTGCAGCAGCTTACGGTAGGTATTGTTTGAATCAAGAGCAGATGTCAAGTGAAGGGTAGTCTTCCAAGGTTGCTATTTTGACTGGTCATTTTTATCTAATGCATTTCTCATAGAAATCATTGAAGCCACATGCAAAACCAAAACAATCATCACACATCCAAAAAAATATCAACATCCTACTTGGGATAGGAGATCATCGAGCATTCGACCCCAGAAAATAATTTATATCAATTATTTGTGGGCTGCAGATTTAACGTTAGTTCAACCGGCTCGTGTAAGTTCGCGGAAAGCAACAACATACGGATTCCCTCCTCAGGAGAAGGCTCAATACCGGCAATTTCGGCAGCAGACTTGGGCTGCTCAGCGGTCTTGTCATCCTTCATCATGGGGAAAGCAAGAACCTCCTTGATGGAGTAGTTGTCGGTCAGGAACATGACCAGACGGTCAATACCCATACCCCAACCACCGGTAGGAGGGAGACCGTACTCGAGAGACTGACAGAACGTCTCGTCGATCAACTGAGCCTCGTCGTCGCCCTGGCTCTTCTGGTTGGCTTGCTCCTCGAAGCGCATGCGCTGATCGAAGGGATCGTTCAACTCGGTGTAACTGTTGCAAATCTCCTTGGTCATGACAAATGCCTCGAAACGCTCGCACAGACCGGGTTGGTCACGGTGGGCCTTGGCCAGGGGCGACATCATCTGAGGGTGGCCCATGATGAAGGTAGGGTTCTGGCAGGTGTTCTCAATGAACTCGCCGACCAGCTTGTCCAGGATACGAGCGTTGGTCAAGGGGGGGCGAGCAGTCCACGTTCATCTTCTTGAGGATCTTCTTGAGGAACTCGTTGGTCTCGTCGGTGTGGAGCTCGGTGCCCGGCGGGAACTTCTCGCCAGTGGCCTCCTCCAGAGCGGGGATCATCTCCACTCGCCTCCAGGGACCCTTCCAGTTGATAGTGTGGGCCTCGCCAGTCTGGGTGTGGAAGGTGGTTTCATAACCACCAGTCACATGCTTGACGAGGTTAGAGACGAGGTCCTCAGTCAAGTCCATCAAATCGTACATATCGGCATACGCCTGATAGAATTCACAGGTGGTGAATTCAGGGTTGTGAGTAAGATCAATGCCCTCGTTTCTGTTGTCAAATTAGTCGGAAGTCCCGTAGTTTCACAGAATACATCGTTACTAACCGCATCTGCTTTCCAATCTCGACTTGTTCATGTAAGTATATACTCGAGAACGGGGGTTAATATCGAGGCAGACTTACAGACACGCTCCATACCACCGACGATCAGCATCTTGAGGTACAGCTCCGGGGCGATACGCATATACAGCTTCATATCAAGCTCGTTGTGGTGAGTGATGAAAGGCTTGGCGGTAGCACCACCGGCAATGGCGTTCATCATAGGGGTTTCAACTTCAGTGAAATCACGCTGCTCAAAGTAATTGCGCATGTAGGTAACAATCTTGGCACGGGTGCGCAAGATGTTGCGAGAGCGGTCGTTCATGATCAGATCCAAGTAGCGTTGGCGGAAACGCTGCTCCTTGTCCTGGAAGCCATAGTGCTCGGAGGGGATTGCGTGCAGGCAGGGCGACAAGAGAACAACCTCGGTAGCGAAGATAGACAGCTCACCGTCGGGGCGGTTCTTGGGGGCTGTACGGCCGGGGAAACCGACAATTCCAATGATGTCACCACGGCGCAGGTGCTCGTGCTGCTCCGCAAAGGGGACGCTGCCAGTGGCGTTTTGAGCTTGGCACATGACCTGGACCTTGACACCCTCGGCGCGGAGATCGTAGAAGATCAGCTTGCCGCCGGAGGAACGCTTAGTGAAGATACGACCGGCGATGCGGACGGGGATGTCGGGCTTCTGCTCGCCCTTCTGGAGCCCCTCGTGCTCCTTGAGGAACTCACGCAGGTCATTGGTGACCTGGAACTTGTGGGGGTAGGGGTTGGGAGTCCTGGTCTCGCGCATCTTCTGGACCTTCTTGGTTCGGATTTCGAAGTATTGCTGTCGAGCGGACACGAAAATTAGCCTGGTAATCGTATAGGTACGCCGATTGTACTCACGTTGGGAGTGAGGTTAGCCTCATCATCCTCGGCGGAAGTCTTCTTCTCGGCCTTGGGGGGAGCAGCGGCCTCCTTCTCCTTCTTCTTGGCCTCCTTCTCGCGGAGCTTCTGGCGTCTCTTCAATTCGGACTTGGACACCTTCTCGCCGGTGACCTCGTCGAGCAAGAGGTTGGCCATGGAGACCTCGGCCTCCTTGACAGCGTTGGGATCCGACATAATGGTTGTTACAGAGGGATCGAAAGTGGATGATGGAGGGAGGAAGATGGAGGGGCGCGCGAAATTTTGGGCGGGAGTGACGGCGGGGCTGTTTGATTGGGCGGACGCAACTACCTTATGGCAGCTGTCTCTGACTCATTCGATGTTCTTGGCACTTTTTGATTATGTACACATCAAATACTGGACTTAAGGTATTCTATGCTAGAGGCACTCTTTCATTATATCTGCAATTCCACCTGTTCCATGGATAATTGGTCATACTTAGAAATTGCTCAATTTGGAAGTAGGGCTTAGGGCATGTTTGTGGGGCTCTACCCCGCCGCTGCCGTCGCATCTATATCTATACGTCCCTCGTTGGCATGCGACCACTGTTACCACGGCATTAGCCATAGATCACCCCCCAAGATCTAGTCAATCAAGAATTTAGGACTATGAGGAACCCTTGAGCTTTACCTGAGATACACAAGTACGTACTTTGAGTACGTACTTTGAGCACTAGGAGGCCGAAAGACATAGGTAAAATAAACAACGCAGTTGAAAACTAGCTTAGGTGATTTGAATACTAGAACTACATATTGAATAAGGACTACGCTTCAATTAACCGGAAGCTCAGTTAAAATTTCCATTCGTACGAGGAAAACCGTCCAGAAATTCGTGATGGGTCATAAACACTTCCTGCAGACGTTTAAATCAAAATAATGTTAATGCCTCAGGTACATCATGAGTCAAATTCATTTGAAGGCGTCGGGGCTATATAGTCAGTCAATGTCCCGGAGAGTGAGCACCTTTTTAAATTCAACTCCCAGTATCACGACATGCGTCGTTGAGTGTAGTTGAGCATGGTACACTTCATTTTCGTGTGCAAGAAGTAATGGTCAGCCGTGGAAAAGTGGCACTTCATGCCCAGGCCATGTTTGGTGTGATAGCCGGCGAAAGCCAAAGCATCATCCATGAAGCGCGGGATGTCGAATTCATCAGCGAGACCACCTTCCTGAAGCTTCGTAATGGCCTCTTTGATCCAGATAGCACAGTTCTCTCGGAGCTGCTTGTTCGGCACTCGGAGAGCGGGCTGGCCGATTCTTGCTTTGGTGCCAACAAGGAGGTAAGGGGCGTCCGGGTCAACTCGCTTCTCACGAAATCGCCAGAGACTTCCACGATTTCCATCGGTGATGTGTGTATTTCCATCTCGAATGGGACTGTTGGTTACAGTGTAAGCGTAACAGTCGTGCCGGGAGTGCTCCTTAGGAACAACGATGATCTCCCAGTGATACGCGGTATATCCGAGGTGTAGAGCGCAATGAAAACACGACCCTTATTAAGTTCACCCGGCTCAAGGTGATCTCTGGTGGGAGAGCTGCCGGACAGCCGTCTCAGGGCTCTCGTCGTGGTGAAGTAGTTGATTGACAGATGTAGACGTACCAGAGACGAGATAAAGAAAAGTGCAGCAAGAGCAGAGGATAAGGTGACGAGGCAAAAAAGCGAGAGCACGCTCAGGAGAAGGAGAAACAGAAGGGGGAAGAGGAGAGGCTAGGGCGCGCATTTAATGAAGCTTTCCAACGAGTATCCAGGTATATTGCATAGGAAAGCATATGAAGCTCGAGTTTGCTAAAATGGGAATCTCTAAAACGCTACACACTTGACCTCCTCACTTTTCAATCACTCTTCTATAGCAGGTATTTGTAAATTGGCCCCCGGCTAAGTTATGCTCAATTTTGCATACAGTATCAATATATCCTCGGAATAATAAGAGGTCGATAACGACATTTGAGAATCCCGTAGACATAGGCTTAGGAGAAAACCAAGTGAGATCAGTTGCCAGATCTCCTTGACCCTACTCGACCATCCGCAAGTTGTATCCCCATTCTCATCTCCATCTCCAATTATTCATCGTTTATCCTTCACCCTCCCTCACTATTCTTCATTCCTCTTCATCCTTCTCCATCATTCATACTCCACCCATCATCAACCTACTTCAACCCTTTCTCTTCCCTTAACACTTTCTGTCTTCCGTACAGAGCAACTTCATTGTCAAGTGATTGCATTGTTGGCGGATACACACTGTGACGCCAGCACTGAATAGTGTCAAGAAGTTATCCTAACATGCATCCCCATACCTCGTCTCTACGCCCCAAGTCAGAAGGTCTGTCGTCATACCTCTTCATTGCCTATTGTAAAGATACTGATACAGAGACAGAATCTGTGGCTTGCCCCTCTCTCAGTCCCTTGACCATGAACACTCCTACTCATCTGGCCGCTCCCGTGGCAAGTGACAGAGTCCCTACCTCGTCGAGTCTCGATGTCCTCGCGTTGGACATGAAGACCCTTGTCAAGAAGATTCAGGACTTGAGTCACTTGGGCATTGAGGACAGTAAAATCACGCTCCCCAAGATTTGTGTGGTTGGAGACCAAAGTACCGGTAAGAGTTCCCTCATTGAGGGAATTTCCGAGATCAAAGTGCCCCGAAGTGCTGGTACCTGCACCCGTTGTCCCATGGAGATTAATCTCTCGGAAAATGATCCCGGAGAATCTTGGAAGTGTACCGTTTTTTTGTCTTTCCGATACTGGTACGATGCCAATAAGAAGATCAGAGCAATGTTAAAGAAGAGCGAGCCCCTCGGGCCCTGGCTTCAAGTTGTTGATCAGGAAGACGAGCTCTTCATCACATTGACAGACAAAGGAAAGATTCAAGATGCAATTTGGTGGGCGCAGCTGGCGATCTTGAACCCCGGCGCGGACTTCCATGAGTATGTCCCAGGGAAGAATACGCTCACTGCGCAGACCTTTGAAGTCAAATTCTCCCCAAACGTCGTTCGCCTCGACATATCTGGGCCCAACTTCCCAGCTTTGTCCTTTTACGATCTCCCCGGGGTCATCAGCCAGGCCGAGCATGAAGCCGAGAATTACCTGGTGCCCCTTGTCGAGAACCTCGTCAAGCATTACATTTCTGAAGAAAACTGCATCGTCCTACTCACTTTGTCTATGACAGATGATGCTGGAAACTCTAATGCCGCACGCCTGATCGGAAGAATCCAGGGTGCAAAGGAGAGAACACTTGGGGTGTTGACGAAGCCAGACAGGTTGGCTTCTTATGAGTGCTTTGCCCAGTACAAAGACATTTTGGAGGGAAAAGTGTATGGCCTAGGCCATGGATACTTTGTGGTCCGGAACAACCCCGATCCAGACGTACTGCACGGCGTTGCTCGCAGTGAAGAGGACGCTTTCTTTGCGGATCCTTTCTGGTCTGACAAAATGGCTGATTTCCATCACCGTTTTGGGACCCGACGTCTCCAAATCGCTCTGTCAGCTACACTGATGGAGCAAATTCAGAAATCCCTGCCGTCCATCATTCGGCAAATCGACGAGAAAGGAAGACGCATTGATGCTGAGCTGAGCACTCTTCCAGACTCCCCCTCCGAGGATGTGCAGCGGATTTTAATGGAAAAGACGATTACTCTGGGTCTCAAGCTTCGATGGATATTCGAAGGGGGAACTGGCTATGGGGGTTCCGACAATACCCTTCAAAGGGATTGGTGTGACCTGGTTAGGGACTTTCAGGTGGCCTTAGAGAAGACACGCCCGACACTAATCTTAAGTACCGACACCGACCATAGCTATATGGCCGAGAAGTACGACGCCGACGCCGACATGTTTCTTTCCTCTGGCTCCCCTGCTCGTAAGAGAAAAGCGCCTGTACCTGAGCTGAAAACACCAGAAAGCAAGACCCAGAACGTCAATGGGTCAAGTGCATCAACTCAATCAAAGGATCGTGGCGGTCAGAACTACAAAACTGCGTGCTTTAGGGAGTGGAAGGCGCCATTTTTCAGATTCACACTGGATGGAATCCGGAGAATCAAGGAGGAGTCCCACCGTGCTGGGATTCCCAACCAGATTGACCCCAGTGCAATTGAAAAGCTTAACAAGGAAAGTGTGAAGAACTGGGGTGTACTCGCAAACGCTTTTGTCTTCGCTACCCATGGTATTGTTCAAAAGGTCTTGATTAACTCTCTGGACGATGTGATTGCCCAGTATCGCCAGACTGGGCTCTATCGAGAGCTGTACCAAGTTATCACGACTTTTCTTCTGCAGCTCCGCGCCGATTACCTTCAGGAGGCGGGTACTCATTATCGCATTGAGAGTGACAATCCGTTCACCATGGCCCAGGCTCAGCATAAGGAAGCCTCTCTGGAGGCACTGACGAGCCTGGCCAGAGCCCGCCAAGCCTCCCGGGCTAAGGTTTGGCTCCAGGTGCATGGTTATGCCACGGAGGATGACCAAAAGCCCGGCAAGATCCCTGGTGACCTCGGACCCGACCAGTTCTCGCAAGAGCTGGAGATGATGGCTGTAAGTGATCACTCCTTATCTTGAGAAGAACTGTTTCTAACCATCTGATATAGAGTTCCCGCGGATACTACCAGATTGCCAGCTCGCGCTTCCTGGATGTGATCTGTCAACTTGCTCACCTCAAGCTGTTCGCCAAATGTCGAGATGAACTGATCGAGGTCATCAACACCGGCCTGAACGCCAACTGTGAGCCACTCGCCCGCGCATAATGCTTATTTGCCCATTACTAACGATCAAATAGCATTCGAACGTTGCATGGAACTGATGGCAGAAGACCCCGAGCGACAGGCCCGTCGGAATGTACTGACCAAGGAAAGGGTCAAGCTCACCCAAGCTCAAGAGTGGCTCGCCGCAGTCTACCAAACTAAAGACGAGAGCTCTGACATTGGCACTTTCACTGACGAAATCATGGAAGATGTGGAGTGGAAGAATAAAGTCTAGAGGATATCTACGCTGGACAATGGGCTCTCAAGATGACCTGGAGAGTTGAGTGGACTAACGAAGACGAGAATTTGTGTTAGCATTGATGGGAAATGTGTTGAGAAGACATGATGTCATTTGATAAAAAGTAGAAAAATCACAGAATGAAATGTAGGAATACCGGAAATTTGAAACCCCACCTCGAAAGGCAACGTACTAGATCATTCTAAACAAAGTTAAGTGGAGAAAGACCGTAAATAGTGAATGTATAGTTCGTACTTTGTGTCAGGTGAGCACCCCACCGCAAGCGTCCGTCTTGGCGCCCGGAGCTTTAGACACTGGATTCGGCCACCTTTGTGTTTCCCTTCTGCCCCGTGAAACTTCAAGTTCTTTCTTACGACTCTCTCAATTCATCATGCTCCAGGTTCCAGTGCCGGGAAACCCCAACCAGGCCTCCACCAAGGCCGTGATCTTGGTGAGTGACGCAATGATCGCTCTGCTATACACAAACTGACCGGTCAACAGGTGGGAGGTCCCTCGCGAGGCACTCGATTCCGTCCATTGTCTCTTGATGTGCCCAAGGTAAGCCTGCCCTGAGGGTTTTAATACCCACGGCCCCCTTGCGACAACGTGCATCTGACCCAGAACCCCCACTCTTAGCCCCTGTTCGAAGTCGCCGGCCACCCCATCATCCACCACTGCCTCAAGGCCCTCGCCAAGGTCCCCGACGTGCGCGAAGTTCTCTTGGTCGGATACTACGATGAGAATGTTCTGCGGGATTTCATCAAGGATGCCACAAAGGAGTTCCCCCAGTTTCGCATTCAATACCTGCGGGAATACACAGCGTTGGGCACCGCAGGTGGTCTGTACCACTTCCGTGATGCGATCCTCAAGGGCAAGCCTGAGCGCTGCTTTGTGTTGAACGCAGACGTTTGCTGCTCGTTCCCCCTGGGCGAGATGCTGCGTCTGTTCGAGGAGAGGGACGCGGAGGCGGTTATTCTGGGAACTCGGGTCGACAACGACGCTGCTACCAACTTCGGATGCATTGTATCGGACTCGCACACCAAGCGCGTGCTCCACTACGTCGAGAAGCCCGAATCGCACATTTCCAACCTGATTAACTGCGGCGTGTACCTGTTCGCTACCGAGTGCATCTTCCCCGCCATTCGCAGCGCCATCAAGCGCCGTACCACCCGCCCTCGCATGCTTTCCTACCCCTCTTCCGATAACCTTGAGTCCTCCTTCGTCGCGACCGGCGATGATGAGGATTCTGAGAAGAGCGAGGTCCTCCGCCTCGAGCAGGATATTCTCTCCGACCTGGCTGACAGCAACCGATTCTTTGTCCATGAGACCAAGGACTTCTGGCGCCAGATCAAGACTGCTGGCTCGGCTGTGCCTGCCAACGCCCTTTACCTCCAGAAGGCCTTCCAGGCTGAGTCTGATGAGCTGATGGCACCCTCCGCCACCATGGTTCCCCCGGTTTACATCCACCCCACCGCTCAGGTTGATCCTACTGCCAAGCTGGGCCCTAATGTTTCCATTGGCCCCCGTGTCATCGTTGGAGCTGGTGTTCGTATCAAGGACTCAATTGTTCTCGAGGATGCAGAGATCCGCCACGATGCCTGTGTTATGCACTCTATCATCGGCTGGAGCAGCCGAGTAGGTGCCTGGGCTCGTGTGGAGGGTACCCCGATCCCCATCACCAGCCACTCCACCAGCATCATCAAGCAGGGCGTCAAGGTCCAGAGCATTACGATCCTGGGTAAGGAGTGCGGCGTCGGCGATGAGGTTCGTGTTCAGAACTGTGTCTGCCTCCCCTACAAGGAGCTCAAACGGGTATGTACTATTGTATCTATAATTAATTCCCAACTAACCCGATTACCACCTAGGACGTCGCCAACGAAGTCATCATGTAAATGCCAGCCTTGGTCTTTGGTTTCTTGCTTCAAAAAATACCACACATCCCGCCATCTTGTCAATATCGAGCGTCATAATGCTGTCTTCTATTCTTGTCTGCTATTGGATGGTCATTTGCTTCTCAGCTTTTCCTGTTCTAGAATGCAGCACACCGAGGAGTCATTAGAGAATCTAACCGTATCAACCATCGATCCAGTCCAAATCGTGAATCCTCAACGCCGCGTGTCCCAGGAACCCCAAGGCCGCGCGTAAACAGAAAACAGTAAACAAACCCATAAATGACCCATGAAAATATCCGCTTGCTAAATAGCACGACCACAACGAAAAATCAAAACAAATCATCTAACATCATATCCTTCTACCCCCCAATCAACGATACATGCCAGAATCATACCCAGTCTGATGAGTCTGCGCCGGGTACCCAGCATCCTCCGAACCAAACCTCACCCTCGACTCCCCCCGTCTACTCCTCGCCGGCGCCGAATCGTAATACTGCGCCGCCTCCCCAGCATGCCCATACTCCAACGTATGATTATACGGCCTGCCCTGCGCGCCCGACATAGGCGGCGGAACAGCATCATACGCAACGACCGAACTCGACCCATTACGATCCGCTAATTTGACATCTGCTGGATCCTCGCCAACCGCCGCCATACTGCCCATGGGGTCGTAGGCGCCAAGACGGTTTGCGCGGCGGCGGACGATGATATCGAGCCAAAGTGCGGCGATCATGGACGCGGTACCGGTTACGGTGAAGCTGAAGAGGGCTTTGTAGCTGCGGCAGATTGAGATGCCGGTTTTGTTGCCCCAGTAGGTAGCGCTGCAGGAGGTGAGGATTGTGTGGGCCATGTTGTAGCTTAAAAGGGCTAGGGCGAGGAGCCAGATGAGGAGGAGGAGGGTGTTGAGCATTATGGAGAGTTTGGTGGAGAGCCCGCAGGCGCAGTTGGCGAGGGATGTGAAGATGACATTTATGATGGAGAGGAGGGAGGCGATGAGGAGCTGGGTTGGTTGTTCTTTAGTATTTGGATATGGAGTTGGGTTGGGGTGGCCTTACGATCAGGAAGGCGAAGGGTAATTTGTATCCGTCGGCGTGGAGATGGTAAATAAACACGGCGAGGATGATGGCGGTCACGATGGAGGAAAGAAAAATGAGGAATCGGATGCCATGGAATGGCAGAGCCGGGTATGCGGAGGGCTTCACTGATTTGGAGCGCATTGTGAAGTTGCGATGTTGGATGTGGAAGGAAGATGTTGCCCCTACGATGGGTTCAATGTAATGTCAACAAGATCGGCGCTCCACCTGACACGTTGGGGGCTGCGTCACGCCTATTTTTATCTTTTCGTGGCGTTGCTAAGGACCTGGGGTCACTTTTATTTCTCATTAGCACGCTAAAACTAAAACTAAAACTAAAACTAAAACTAAGAGCTAGCCTAATTTTAATAGTTAAAATCTTCATAAACCACCTGCTTTACCTTGAGCCACTCCAATACCGTCTGCTTCAATGCACGGCCGGCGCACAGATACCACGTTTCAGACAGCAATGGGTCCAAATCTCCCGCGTGCATTCTGCGTCGCACAACCCGTGCTCCAGATAGATGAAGTGTGTTCACCTTTATTTGATGGCCGTCTGGGTCCAGACTCGTGACAAAGATAGTTGTGGATCCCGGTAAATCGGGCCACCGTTGAAACGTATCTTCCACCAAGCCTATATCAACGATTGAGATCGACCAGAACAGGCGCAGCCGGGCAACATTTAGATCGGGGAGCTGGGCAAGTAGAGGTGTGATTCCAATGCCGCCCGCAACGAATGGCACGATGGATCCATTGTGGGTCGAGATCTGAAAACTGCCACCAAATCCTTTTAGTGGGACTTCGAGGCCCGCTCGCTCGTTCGTGCGGAAGAGATGGTTGGTGACGCTTCCGTGGCGGCGGATCATCATCTCAAACTCATTGCTGGGTAGGTCGCGGCCTGGATATGAGGATACTGTGAATGTGCGGATATAGTCGTCGTTTAGGCTTGCTGGGTCATCGTCACGCATATGGCTGTAGCCCATGTCCAACTCGTCCTGGAAGGATAATGTCGCATATTGGCCGGGAGTCCAAGAGATTGGCTTGGAGCTGTTGTAGCGGAATCTGAATCGGTGAATGTTGGGTGTTATTGTTTCTTTCTTGATCAGCGTCGCAGACATATCTGTATCTTTCTCCGCCTCAGTGAGGATGTTCTTTTCCGTGGAAAGGTATCGCACGGCAGGATTGTATGGGGATGGTTCACCAGGGTTGCCTCGAAAGGCCAGTCCCCTCTCCACGAAGAATGCCGCTGTGACAGTGACGCGGACCGCAAGCTTTGATCGTGGGAGAATGGCAGCAGCATCTTGTCCCACCAATACTTCCGTGCGTCCTGTGACATAGAGAATATTTCCGGTCTCAAAATCCGGGACCACGTAGCCGGCCAGAGGCGTAGTCTGCAGGTTTCCGAGAGTCTGATACAGTCGATTCCCTGAGTATTCTGGGTAAACGAGAACTGCGTTCCCATTGTTGGACTCGACTCGAACAAATCCAGGAGGCCCGCCGCGAATGTTTGTGTCCATATCAGATGTGCCATGCCTGGAGGACACGAAGATAGTGTCTGTACGGGTCAACAACTCAATGGCTGCTGCAGGAAGCTGTGGTGAGTCAGATATTAGCGTTGGAGCTGGCCGCACAGGCACTACATGCTTTTTGTTCATGTATTTGGGGCAATTTCCAAGACTCTCTTCGATGTGGACAGCCAACTGTGCTTGTCCCAATTCTTCGTCCAGGGATCCCGCCACCATTCTACCAAAAAGCTTCCATCGTCGTCGATACTCAAGGTCAATCGCGAGTCCCGAAATCATATTTCCTGGCGATTGTCTTGAAGCACCAGCTTCATCGATAGCCTGACTGCCGAGCAGTACTTTGACTACGGGGTCGTAAGTACTGTCCACCAGGGTCTTCAGCCCGATGATGGATTCAGCAACTGGTCCAGCGAAGCCTGCTTTCCCGCCCCACAGCGAAGTCCACGGTCGTCCTTGAGAGTCAACGGTGCCCACTGCAAGCAGAGGAGCCTTTGTCAAGAAATAGCCTCCGTTGGCGCTGAGAAATGGGACTGCGGGGTTGTCCATACTAGGAACCCGCATCAATCGGTGCATCCTCTCTTCGCCATCATGCCAAGGAACAGTCCCTGTAACAATCGAAGTCATCGTGGCTTCTGTTGCTGCTCGAATGAGTGAGTATCCGTGAAGGAAATGCGTGCTAGGAGTGAGTTTATGATGGCGAGCGCCATCAGCAGTCTATTATTTCTATTATTAATCCATGTTTGATGATTCCAAATGATTCCAAATGAATTTGATAAATTTCTCATTCAGTAATATCGATGTGGAATTATTTTCAACGCCTCGAAAACATTGTGAAGTAGACCCTTATTTCATCGCAGCAATGCTGCCAGCACTTAGTCAATTTATGAGCTTTCCTTTCCCCGCATCAAGGTCAGTTTCCGTGCTCGGGCGCGGGGTTTCTACCGCACCTATGATAGCACGAATCGGATAGGTGGAAGATCCAAGAGATCTGCGATCACGGCAGAACTCCGGTTAGAGCCATCTTTGCATCGGCGAATCTCAGGTGGGGTGCCTAGCTTAGTGCTAGCTATCTTATATGAGGGGACGACCGGCAATCCCGGCGAACCCGGCGAACCTGGTGAACCTGGTGAAGGCGGCCTTCCAAAAGATAAGCCGTTCTAAGCTCTCATTATGATGCTAGGCCACAGCTCCCGTGCCGACAGCTTAAATTGACCACAGTTCAAATGGAAACAAGTTTCTCTTAATAGCTTTATCTTCACCATGTTGATAGTTTCTTCTCCACCTCCGGCAAAAACGGCAAAGCTCCGGAGAATGTTATCCACGGTAGTATCTAATCTAGCGGCCATTCCTCGGGGATTCCGATGACTGTACGATCAAATTGTGGGACAAGTATTTAAATGCAAGCATTATCTCCCGTGAGGGAGGTTTCGGAGCATCCTGGGCTATGCGGAGCTATTTGCGTTGACAGCCATTGACCTCGAACCTAGTCTAGATCTGTCGGTTGAACAATGACAATGAAGATTTCTTTCGCCATTCTAGGGCTCACTGCCGGCCATCTGGTTGGTTTTGCGTCCGCAGTGCCATTCCACAGTCGGGGAGCACAGTCAAGCAGCTCGACTTATGCCGATGACATGTTCAATACAGCGATTGAGTGGAACGATGGCTTCTGGAATGAGGACGCCGGCTACTTGGTTGCAGCAGCAAGCAATCCTGGTCGATATGACACTCGACACACTGCCTGGTATGCCACACAGCTTTTGGCTAGGAACGGACACGGGGATGTGGCAAGGGCTGTGAGGATCTTTGACAATGTCATTTCGGGGCAGTACCTCGATCCCGCGGACCAGTGGTACGGCGACTACACGCAATCCCCGTCGGCGCCGCAGCCAGGAACAACTGAATATCCCGATGAGGGCCCGTACAGTTCGGTATGGGATTACAACTGCTGAAGACTATGTGTATATACTAACTCTGTCATCTTAGTGGGATCCCAACATTCGCGACTTCGTGGGCTGTGCTTGGCTCGTTGCGCTGAACGATTATGATCACCTTCTCCCCGCTGAAACTGTCGCCAGGGTCGAAAAATCCCTGCATATTGCAGCAAAAGGTGATCTTTATCGCGTCGGTGGTGTTGACGGAGACAACTTGTATCCGTGCTACTCCAATCCTTGGATTATGCGTACGATTCTTCAAAACTGGGTCGGCACACGCGTGGGAGATAAGAATTTGACCCAGTCCGGTGAAAAATTTGCCCAGGAGTTGTACGACCTGTGGAGCATGTATCATACCCTGTCTGAGTTCAACTCCCCGACTTATAGCGGAGTGGCCATGTGGGCTTTGGCTCTGTGGAGCCAGTATGCGTCCGACGGCAGTTTGTTGCAGAAGTACGTCCCGGAAATTTTGACTGCGAGCTGGAATGAGCTCGCCCAGCTCTATAACGCAAACCTGAAGAATCTGGCTGGCCCATGGGATCGCACTTATGGTTACAACATGATGAGTTATACTTCTCTGGTGGCGCCTGTAATCTGGGGCGCTGTGGGTAAAGAATATGCGCCATTTCCAAAGCAGATATCGGGGATGTATCACCAGGACGACTTTGCCTTCTATCCCCTTTTCGCTCTGGCCATGCCCGAAATGCTCAAATACTTGTCAGCACAGTCAAAGAAGAACCTGGTTGAGTTCCCCGGAGAACACCTCCATACGGCCCAGGCTTATTCCCCGCCGTTTGATACGTATCCGCGGAACATCACAACATGGATGTCCAAGGATTTGACCATTGGTGCTGAGACCCTCGCACAGGATGTTATTGGGGGAGCTGCAAAAAGTACAAGTGCATTCAACCCTGCGGTCATCCAGTGGGCGATCGACAACAGTCAGACTGGATGCGTTACGCATTGGGTGACCGAGTCGTCAATCCATGCAGTGGCTTCTCCCAATGCACTGGATATCTCATATCCGAATGCAACGTCAACAGACGGTCCGGTATCTTTCAACTTCCTGTTTAGTGGCCTTGCTGTAAGCCACCGCGTCAATGTCACTGGGTTGGAGGGCCTTCCTGGTTTGAAGTTGAAAGTGACGACGAACGCTCTAGCCGACTATACCATTGTCTATGATACTGACCAGTCAGTGAATGACTTTATCTTTTATAACATCACCTATACTATGCCAGAGCAATTCACCGACACGCCGTTCATCTCGCTTCGGGTTGTTTGATCGGCAATTCCCCGATATAAGAAGTTACTTTATCGCATTTTGGAATAACAATTTCTTTCAAATGGGGTTTGCTCAAGTATAAATACTTAAAGCCCGACTCTTGGTACATTCGGTCATGACTCTTAGTCGGTCAAACCGCTAGTGAATTTGTAGTCTCCGAAGTTCTGGACTCATGCCACATGGAGGCAGAAAGGCAACTTTAACATCACCTTAATTGAATCTACTGCCAAGACAACGATTTTCAAATATAGTATAGCCCTAGCAACTGCTAGATTATGTAGGCCTTTTCCCGACTTTAAATAGGGGAAGCAAGTCTTCCTCCCCGCTCGGCGTTTGGAGCATTTCTTAAACCCGGCCAAACGACGCCCCCACGAACGTCGGTCGAGGCTGTCAATCGTTATGAAAATCATTTCTACCAGACTACCGACTAGTTAATGCGTGATCTCTTCCCTATCAGGGAAGGTTTACTATAAATACACCAATCTCTTTCATGCTGATACGTCTATCGGGCATATTGACTCGATATCAAGGTCATTCAGAGCTTATTTGCTTTCCAAAGAATCGCGACAGAATGACAAACCATCAAAGCACGCCGCCGCGTCTTCCTAACTTAAATGACCATCCATTGATTGGGGATGCCAACAAAATCCCCGTCAGTGCCCCGACACCCGTTGTCTCCATCAGTCCCATTGTCCTACCTGCACCCGATCGAATTGTCGATCTACATGTCCGGGTTACTGCTCCTACTTCTGGCCACGACTTGCCAATTATTCTCCTCTCTCATGGACAGGGGACATCACTTTATCTGTCCTCATTGAATGGCTATGCACCTCTCGCCAATTTCTATGCTTCTCATGGGTTCGTCGTCATTCAACCAACCCACTTAAGTTCCAAATCCCTGGGCCTTGACTGTGAGATGAGTTCAGAGGCACCGTTCTTCTGGCGCTCACGAGTGGAAGATATGAAGCTCATTCTTGACGAGCTCTACTCTATTGAGATTGCCTTCCCGCAAATCCAAGGACGCCTCGATCACACTCGTGTTGTCGCGGTGGGACACTCAATGGGTGGGCACACAGTCAGCATGCTACTCGGAGCCCGATTAATCGACCCTGAAAATGGTGATGAAATTGATCTCACTGAACATCGCGTGAAAGCCGGTGTGGTACTCGCAGCCCCTGGCGATGGTCGTGGCGGAGAGGGTTTAGGCGAGATGGTTCAAGACACATTTCTCAAATACCATAGCCATGAGGAAATGACAACGCCTGCTCTTGTGGTCATTGGGGATAGTGATGAACAACCGTATCTAACCACTCGGGGGCCCGAATACCATGCGGATGCCTATTACAGCAGCAATGGTCCAAAGTCACTCCTCACTATAACGGGCGGGAGACATGGACTGGGTGGTGTTTCTGGTTATGATGCAGCGGAGGCGGCTGATGATGAATGCCCAGAGAGACTGGCTACGGTCCAAAGATTGACTTGGGCATATCTTCGCAGCCGGCTTTATCCTGAGGATCCCGCTTGGTCTGAGGCGTGTTTTATTCTACAAAGGTTTCCTGGCTTGGCGAGGGCTGAAAGTAAGAGGGCGTGATCATGATAAGTCTGGAATGGCATGTACTTGATAGTCTTTTTTTTTTAATTGCTTGACTCAGCAAGCATTCTGTTCTGAAGCAACCTTGCCCGATATGGCATAGAGATTCCTTATAGTCCTGCTAAACTTCTTCCTGATTGTCCTTGGAATGTCTTTCCACACATGCCTAATTTTCTTTTGGGAGTACGTTGCCAAAGACGTTTTTGAACATTTTCAGACGAATAGTCTCGGTCGTCCAGTACTAACACTAGTTGCTGATAGCTCGATTGGCATGAGAGTAACCTTCCAATTGAAGGGGTCGGGCTAATTGCGTCCATCTTCTACATGTTAAGAATACCGTCGTGAATCTATGCCACGTCCGTTACGAAGTAACAACGGAAAAGTCGCGCCGGCAACCTCCATTTCCCTGCCATTCGCTACACTAGGTGGCCATTATATGTCCTGCTTTGCCAGCTTCCTAGCACCGACCCAGGGCCCTGGAGCTCTACCATGGGAAATCACGACCTGGGCAAATCACTCCAACTCTCAAGTCGCCATTCATGCGCGTTCAGGATGTACGTAGTTTCGATCCCAGAATACATCGATGGTTCAATGGAATTCAGCTACCTAGGCCTCGGAGATTATTTACAATGATGCCGGGGCAAAGCTGATTATGTCGCAAGCGGTGTTTGTGCCTGGTCACACTCAATCAGGTCCCGTTTATCGCATTCCCCGCGCCGCGTTATCGCTTTGCTGCCTCGGACTCACTCGCGTCATTTAAATTGCCATCCTCCTCTTGCCAAATACTCCTGTTCTTCCAGTCAACCCGAGTGCTACGCAAACAACGACGTTTCACAGACCGTCCAGCGGGCTCTCCCCGCCCAACCCCCCTATTCTTCTTCGCCTTCCCCTCGACCTGAACAGAACCCACCACAATGTCAACCTACGAAAGTGCGCACTCTTTCTACCCCCATTCCAAAGTGAATGAATCTTGACAAGCAGCCCATTCTAGTTGAACACAACACCGCCGACCCCTCGGCGGCTACTCAAGCCCCGCGCCGCCGCCGTCCTGACCTGTCCACGTTCTTCGCTACCCTCTCCGAGATCACCCCAGCTCCGGACCACCGCCCGCATGCAGTCCCTGTACCGGGCGATGTCAGCGCAGCCTTTTACTCACTTGCTGAGGCATTCGAAGTCATGCGTCGGGATGCAGCCGACATGCCAGAGCGCAATGGTGACCAGGACGGCGAGAATGCAGAGGATTTGTTGACTAGAATGATCCAAACCCTGCTCAATGACGCAGACATGCCACCAAGAGAAGTGGAGGGCGTGAGCGAGGACTTCTGTGACAGTATGGCCTCCATTGCCCGCTCGAAAGTTTTTTGTATGACGGTTTACTGATGTCCCAACTTTTCTCGGTGAACAGCACTCGAGCGCGTCCCCAAATCAGCTCTCAACTCTTCCCAGGTCTGCCCTATCTGCAACAACCCTTTCCTGGAGGATGAATACCCGTTAGTCGTCCAGCTACCCTGCCATCCGACCCATCTGTTCGACCTTGAATGCGTGAAGCCCTGGCTCCGTCTGCGTGGCACTTGCCCGATGGACCGTTTTGATTTCGCGAAGCAGCAGCGTGAGAAGAAAGAGGCATTGAAGAAGCTTGTGGAAGATGATGAAGAGGAGGAATGGGATGGCATGTACGGTTAAACTACCATTCCTGTATGGAAGTTGCGTGGTTCGGCGTTGATAGTGGATGACTTGAGATGACTGCATTTACGATGGCGATGAGCAAAGACGCAGCATTTATGAAGAGCTTATGAACATGATTGTTTGAACGTCTGTTTGAGAAGTGGAAGTTGCTATCGAAAAAAATAGCTAGCTTTTTAATGATCACGAACTTCAGTAGATTTGGTATATCAGACAGTTCTTTATACATTTCTTCTCATGGTATACGTTAAATCATTTGGTGGCAAAGTTCCAACCCCGAATGGAAACACAGCACCACTGCTTACTGTGACTCCTTGGGCCGAATAGCAAGTTTGCCAGCCTGGTCAATCATAGCCTCATAGCCACTCTTCTCCAAGATACCACTTTCATCCCTGGCAACCTCCTTCGGTTGAAGTTCTTCAATCAAGTCCTGATTGATTTTGTTTCCTTCTAGCAAGAACTTGAGGCACATAACGGCATGCTCTTTGATGTAAGGATTGTGGGCATCAAAGTTAGTGCAACGGAGAATGGCCTCAAGACCACCGTATCCACGGATCTGCTCTTGGACTTCAAAGGACTTCCACACCAGCGATGAAAGCACCAGAACTACCAACTTTTTGAGGTTACGCCACTCAAATTCAGACGGATCCTCGGTGATCGGTGGAGACTCTGGGCGGGAATCCACGCTGCCGGTACCGTGTTCGAGAGGATCAGGATCGCTTGGGTCGTAAGGTCTCTCGACGGCCACAGGGACGGGAGAAGAGGGCTTGGAGCTATCGTCGGGTGAAGTGCTGCGCGGCGGAGGTGGGGGTGGAGGAACAGAGCCGAAAGACATCTGGTTAAATTGGCCTTTGGGGATGTTGGCTTCCAGCTCCTTAATCAGAGTGACCAGGTCATAGACGATCTCCCACTTGACCAGCAGGTTCTTCCAGTCGTTGTTCTCGGTAAGGACGGCGAAGAATTCCAAGAACTGATAAACTCCCTCGTAGACTCTTTCCATATCCCATAGATTGAGCGGGAAGTCTTCGGGCAGGGCGCGCTCGGCGCGAATTTGGCCTTGTAGGTAGATCAAAGCACAGGTCTCCGGGATGATGTTATCACGAAAGACGGTAAAAATATATCGGACTGTGAGAATATCCACGCGGCTGAGCGGGGCCGGGATCCGCGGGACACTGGCCTGAGAAGAGCCCGTCACCGAAGCCGGGGAGTATTTGGCACGGAAAATGTGGGTCAGGATCTTGATCACTACTGCCTGGGCTGGAGAGATGATGTCCTTAGGTTGGCCAAAGTCTGTATAGGCATGCGACATCAGGCCATTCTTAAGAACAGCTTCCATGATTTGAACCATCATCTTGAAGTATAGTTCGTCATCAGGGAGATCCCAGGCCGCAATGAATATCAGCAGCTCGCGCAGAAGGTTGCGGCCAGTCTCCTGCGTTAGAAGTATGTGGCACCGTAGTGCTTGCATGTTCCTGGAGCCATTGCGCTCCCCGCCCTTGAGCCCAAAGCTGTCGACGATACCTGCTTGAACGATCATCGGCAGTGCTTCAATCTCTGCCGGTCCCAAAACAAGGGGAATATCGGTAAGTAGCCCACGCTGTTGATCGCCCGGGCGACCCCGGTAGTCATCGTCATCTTCCTCATCGTCAATGTCGCCACCATCGTCATCTCGGTCGACATCTTCACTATATTCGTCTTCGTCTCCTTCGATACTTCCATCCGCATGGCCTTCAAGACTGTGTGAGTCCTCGTCGCCCACCGTTCCTGCATCACCAGTGTCATAATCTGCATCGGCATCACCGACCTGAGACGCCTCTTGTAGGCGGCGCATCAACCCATCCTTGGCCTCTTGCAAAGTTTCAGCAGCAGAGTGAGCTGATCGGGGCATACTCGTGTCCTCCTCTGTCACAGGTGCATCCACCGCATAATCATTGACGTCGGGAAGGTCAGCCCAGCACAGGCGGGGGAAGCCGGCAGTCATGCTACGGTCAATGGTAAGAATTGTTTTCTTTTTAGTAGGCTCATGCTCGTCTTCTTCTGGGAGGGCAGGCGGAAGTTCTCGGGCACGGTCTTGAAGATCGGACCACCCATCAACCTTGGCACCCAGTATCGTTGTCAACGCACGACGAATGTATTGTATCTGCTCCGGGTCCCTGCCCATCTCCTGAATATCTGTCAAGTCCTTGCCAAGGATCTTCTCCATATGATCTTTGATGTTTGCTAGAAGCAGCATCGCAGCTTCTTCTTTGATCGTGGAAGGTTCCCGCGGGAATTTAGCGATGGTCTCCAGCAGAAGATCTTCCGCGGTCTGGTCATAAAGAGCCCGAATCGGGGGGTTAATAACACGTTCTCCGACCTTGACAATGGGCGCAACGCCCTCTGACCTCGCGGTTTGGTCCAATGGCTCTTTAGGCTTGATGATGTTTGTGTCGGCCGTCGAATGGTAACCGAACAGGTCGAGCCAAAGAACCATTTTTCGCTGCTCGTTGTGCATGATGAAGTTATGAAGGTACTGCAGGCAGGTGATGAGGAGTCGTTTATAGAGGTTGACGACTTTCTGCCAGCGCTCTTCATTCCGCGCATTCGTCTCACCATCAAATCCTCTTGCTGTGACCCGCACACACGTATCAATCAATGCGAGAATCCGCTGGTCAAAGCCCTTCTCGGCAGCCAAGTTTTGCGCCTTCTTCGTTGTTGCAAGCAGGTTCCGCGCAATCGTACACAGATCGTTGAGGCGCTCGATATCTTTCACCAGCGAGAAGTAGTTGTATGCAATAAGGTTCGAAGAAGAGTGCTCATATGTTGCTGCCGGACTCTTCCACGCAAATGACTGCGATTCGAGGACCGGGATCGCTTTGGTGAGGACATCGGTGAGGCCTTGCCATATATCGGGTGACATGCCTAGGTTGTGTCTAGCAGCGCATATGGTCAGAACAGGCACAACGTTCGATTTAGAGCTAGCATACATACCGAACTTCACTTTCCTGGTGTGTCTTATAGAGAATTTGCTTTCCAGCAGCCAGCATGTGCTCCAGACGTTTGTCATCGATCATGCCGCGGGTCTCGTAGTGGCTGATGGTCCCGGCCAGGACGACCTTGAGCATGAGCTCGGCGGGAGTGCATAATGGCTTTGTATCCGCCATTTTGCCAATGAAGGGATCGCCGAAACAAATGCTGAGCAGGAACTCACTCACGGTGGGATGAAATGAGATTTGGCGGAGGACAAAATTGCGGTTCTTGCGGTTCTATCTTCACCGCTCGCCCCACCGCCTTTTGTATACATAGATTGGACCAGGGTAGAGATATCTGGAACACCAGAGCGTTTAATCAGTGTTTAGCATGGAAATATTCTGTTTGGTTACAGATATAGGACTTAGATATCCATTCCCAGGGATAGCTCGACTAAATTATTCCCACTCATTCGAAAGTTATATTTGAGCGGCACACAATCTCTGCAACCCCCGCTCTCTGATCAACCAACATACATCGATGCGTGAGAGAATGGTGATAAACCGTGACACCAAATAAGGTGTTCACCATTTTCGTCGTACCGATAGTCCAACAGAATCTCTAAGATTGTCCCAGAATCCCAGATCGTAGATGTTTTGGATACTGGCCATGGAGGTAGGTTTCCACGGTGAATTCGGAAGATTCCTGTTAGAGTCAGGTACTCTGTGATCGGAGCCCGGATAATAAATATCATTGGAGTCCAGTTCCAAGATATAGCCAAGAATTTGATTCCTGTCAATCGGCCACGGTTGCTCTGCGAGATCCGGGTTTCGGGGCGCCCCAGGGATCTGACTCCGTTCGGCCTTAAAGGCAAATTCATCTTCCACGTCACATTTCCAACCAGACCACTTCGAGCTCTCATTTGTTGTCATTCCCGCCCAGATCAAATAGGTATGGTAGACCAAGAAAGCCGCTGCGAGTGGAGCAGTCATTAACATCAGCAGAGTAACAGTGCCGATCTTAGAATCGGCCGTAATGACAATGGCCCAGATGTTGAAATACATCGTCCAGCCTTTCATAGCTGCCTGATACTCTGGTGGGACGATTTCTTGCAGGGTTTGGCTCAACAGTGAATATCCAAGCAAGGTACCGTATGTCAGTAGGATCGTAAGTGAGAGCAGCAGCGACAGGAAGTAAACATAGTTGTTGGCCCCGACGCAGTTCATTAACCAGACACAATGATGATCGTGACGAGACACACAGGCTTGGCATATATTGCAGTGCTTACTGCGTGCTGGTTTCAGAAAGAGGCAAGAGCTGCAACGATGTCCCGGGTAGAAGATGGCACAGTCATAGGGATACCGTTTCATCTCCTCTTCATGATTCTTTGACGTGACGAAAGACTTCGTCACCACACACTTGTAAATGAGGACGTATGGCAGGATGACAGCCCCTGGGACCACGAATTTATGGGTACTTGACATTCGAGGCCATGCCGTTGGCAGAAAGAAGAACTCGCCTATGGCAAGTAAGCCCAGGAAAAAGATCTGGTTCACAGGTTAGGCAATGGCCGCGGGATAAAAGATAGATGACACTCACCAGAACCAAAGGATGATTCTCGTGCAAGACGTAACGGCCAGAGCGGTCCCAAATCCATATCAGCCGCCCACCAAGGAGATGTGCGTCTATAAACACGATTCCATTCGGAATATATACCCATAACAGCCGGTGGAAAAAAGCAATCGGGGTTTTTCTATCATCCTTATCAGTCCTGTTCCACATGACTTCATTTGCTTCGCTTTACCTAAAGACAGGAAGTCGGCCAAAAAGAGCGACGAATGTCAGAGATGAGATGCCGAGGATGACCAGGACGACAGTGCGGAGAGCTCCCATTGTTGTGATGGGGGAAGTGAGACCTCTGCTAACTTTGTGTCACTAATGACATCCGGATTCATAAAGCCAAGAGATCTGGAACACTTTCTCCAAGTTTCATTCTCCTATACCTCACACTGCCCGCCCTTGAAGTTGTTGACTCGGCCAGCGTCTCGTCGCGGCCCGTCTTTTGGTCACGTGTTATCGTCCCAATCGGGAACGCGATTTCTTGAACCTGGAAATTCAATCAAAGGATGACTTCACTGCCACTGAAACTCACTCGTACTAGCAAACACGGTCAAGGCATCTGACGTCTTCTCTGCATAGCCATTCTATCCGCGGTCCAGTGTCCGATGTGCCCTGGGACTGGTTGACACGTGATAGCGCGTCAACAAGGCGACGCCGTTGTGCCATTAAACCTGCAATACTCAGCCTGTGTTTAGCAGGCCAGCTCCATTAAAGATCCGCCATGGGTATTTTACAATCTGATGGCAACAAGATCCCTCTCTTTGCAAAAGAGGACGATGGTCCTCCAACAAAGACGCAGTTCTGGCTATCCCAGAATATCCCGCGCCGAGAGGATTACACAAAGAAGATAAAAGTGTGTGTTCCTACCTGAAGCCAGTCTTTTCTGGGAACTGGCAGGGCTGACAGGTGCACAGGCAAATGGTGGTGAGGTGGTAATATTAGACAAGGGCCCGGAAGTCGTCAGGATATTGAAGCCCGGGAGCGAGAACAACCCTCGCGAAGGGTATGGTCTTCTTTGGATTTCATGACATGTGTCCAACTAACAATTATTTTAGTCTCTCATACAAATATATTGACGATTCAATAGCGTATGGACGCGTCCCTAGGGGCAAAGCTCTCGATGCATACAAAGTCAAGCCTTCTGCGCCACGGCCAATGGGCGCAACACATATTCCCAGAAAAGGCACGAGAACGGATTTCAATTTAGCAGATGACCGAATTCTCTATGATTGGGTTCATCAGTTTGAAAAGACGCAAGATCCGCTCAGCGGCAACAGGATTTATCAAGATTTGGCCGAAAGGGTATGTACCACCGACTCGACTCTACGAACTCCGATTTATTGATCGTCGCGTCTAGTTCCCGCAACATCCATGGCAATCGTGGCGTGGGCGCTATTTGAGAAAATTGCGTGGAAAGCCTCGCCCAGGGGGTGGAGTTCCCAGGCCTGACCTGCTTCATGGGGTTGGACCAGAGTCTACAAGAAACCATATACAGCAGCTTCCCTTGACAACTGCACAGTTCAGGCCATCAGCCAATTTGACTTCACCTACCATGAGCTCAGGAGACTCCAACTCAAAGCGAAAATATCAATCGAGTCCTCTAACGCCCAACTTTCCGGCGGAGGCAGCAGCATCTTCACCAACGAAAAGAATCAAGCTCGAAAGCTCCGAGCCCCCTATATTTGCGGGACAAAGCTCATCTGGCGATCAGCTCCATTCATCCTCAAGAACTTCAAATCTAGCAACACATTCACAAGCCATTCCTCACACCCAGCATTCGCATTCTACCACCCACTCGACACAATCGTCACCACGTACACAATCAATGCACAACCCAATGCACGAGTCATTAGGTAATTCCCATGGTCAAACAGATCCAAACTTCCTCGATCTACCATTTCTATCTTCAAGCCCAGAACCAGACGACGGTGAAGAAAGTGAGGAAGAAGATCTTCCAGATGTCGACGGCTGGATTAACATGCAACTGGCGCGAGGAGGAGTAGATGAAGACACAATTATCGCGGTTTTGCGCTCTGCGACTATGGACCAAGGTCTTGCTGACAAGGTGCTGGAAAATTGGGGGGCAGGATCGGCAGTCCCCGATAGCATGCCTGGGGTATGGACTGCCGAAGACGATCGGTGTTTGGAAGCCGGAGATGCACGGGACGTTCAACGAGTGATGACCAAACATGGGGAAAAGTTACTTAATACCAGGTGGGAATATCTCCGCATGGCCAGGGAGAGGGGCCTGCTTTGAATGTACGTGAGTCAATGCATAATATTACCCTAAACAAACGGAAATTTATCTCACAAGAGATTGGTGACAATAAACACGAGTATACAAGTGAATATGCAAGATTCAGGCCTTGCGAGAATTCAGAATCGCTAAGAACGCATATGATACAGACGTCCATTAGATGCACAACAATTACAAACCCTAGGAAAATAGATCAAAGGCAAGGACTCCTATAAACTCCTTTGCTAAAAGTGATAGTCAAGAGGTTTTCCCTCAGAAAAGGTGTCATCAGGCTGCAACCTTCGCTCTGCACCATAAAAGCACGCGGGATTGCAGATGTTCAACCCTCCTTGAACACCCTGCGAAACGGTTAGCAATTTCAATTGAGCATTCAGCACATTCAATGGACTCACAGATGACTTTCGTAGAACAGGAGCATCTAAGGAAGAAATCAATATGGCTGTCGCATAGTTTTGTTTCGGAATAATAGACTGACCTTTCGGGGGCACTTTTCGTAGCAGCTCTCGATTGACACTTTTGACCGCTTGCCATTGTTCCAAATAAGGAATGCGTAAAGCCCTTCGGTCTCCTGATCGCGGATTATTGTGTCCACGCTGTCAATTTCCTTATCCCAATTCTTACCCTTAGGGACCCAGGTGCTTTCCTCTTCAGTCTCGTCTACCTTGGCCTCGGGCTCGGTCTCGGGGGTTGGATCTTGGGCGTTTGTGGACCGTTTTCGCTTCTTGGGCTCGGTGGATGGGGTCGCAGATGTGGCCTTAGATTCCCCCATGGACTTCCGCTTCCGTCCTGGCCCAGCTTTGGCTGCTGGCTTCTTGGGCCGACCACCAATGCTCTTGAAGTACTCCGTAAGGACCTCCTCAGCCCCTTCCCTGGAAGGGTAAGTCAGAAGACGCGCGACACAAAGTCGAATGCAATAAATGTCTTTGTACTCACTCCAGGTTCTCTTCTGGCTCCCAGGTATGATCCGCAAGCTCGTCATATCCTTTCCACTTCACCAAAAGTTGAAGCTTGCCCTGTTGATGATGATGAGTTAGCGAATTCAGCGGTGTACTGTAACAACAGGCGCAAGGCGGGCATACGTTTGGTAGAAAATTATGTTCTCGGATTGACTCGACAACGTAGCTATTGAACTGAGTCAGATAAATGGATCCGTTGGTAATGCGCCGAGCTCAACTTACACGCCCTCTTCGTCATCTTCATCCTCCTCGTCTTGGTTCTCTTCGACGGAGTTCTCGGGGTTGGCGCCATTCTTGAAAGGGATATCACCAATGTCTTCATCAGACATCTCATCGGAGACGGGGGCTAGTCCAGAGTCAGCTCAGGCAGTTCACGTATAGTTCGGGCGCGCAACAGATCAACAACGCGCATTTCACTCACGCGGCATATCCGGGCGATGTAGGGAGACAATATTGATCAATCGGGAGAGCAGATTGGCGGTGGAGAGGTAAGAGCCACGGGTGAAAAGTGGACAGCAGAGAGTCGCAATCACAGAGGCCGGGGCAAGTTGGGGGGGCTGCGCGTGGAAGCTGAGGAAGGCGGAAGTGCAGCGCTATACCGCTTTGGGTGGCCAGAATTTAATTTGCTGTGCTTCGACGGCTCCGATAGCTTTCACCCCCTCTACGTTCGCAGGAAAGAGACCAGGGTGCTGTTTTCTTCCTTTCTCCCTTTCTACTCTCTTTCTATCCCTTTATACCTCCTGCCTGGTGGCAGTCCACCGTCAAGATGGCGATGCGTACGAGTTCCCTTTTCCCCAGATGCCCCTCATTACCCCCCGGTGCTGTTGCTGACCATGACTCGGAATTCTACAGAGCTTGACCTTTCTCAAGGTAAATAGCATTCGATTGATCTCGGTTTACGATGCCGACACGCAGTCACTGACACCCCCGGATAGCTCAAATGTTGAAGGACGAGAACGGTCGTCCGTTTATTGTCGTTCGCGAGTACGTTCACCGATATATCCTCCTATCCGCCCCGGCACAACAATTGGACCCTCGGAGATCTGGAAAACTGGAGCTGACCTGGTGAACTTGCTTCAAATAGTCAAGGAAGAAAGAAGAGACAGCATGGAACTGAGGCTGTCAAGTCGCACATTGTTGCTGCCAAGACCGTGGCCAGCATTGTGAAGTCCTCTCTGGTACGGACCGTTCCAGTAAACCGATGAAATGGTATTTAATGGGTTTATTTAGGGTCCCCGCGGCTTGGACAAGATTCTGATCTCCCCCGACGGCGATATCACCGTTACCAACGATGGCGCAACCATTCTCGGCCAGGTTCGACCCGACCCCTATCACTTCCCTATCGACCCACCATGGAATCGGAAAAAGCTAACATGCGGGATAACTTCAGATGGAAATCACCAACAACGTCGCCAAATTGCTTGTCGAGCTCTCGAAGTCGCAGGATGAGGAAATCGGTGACGGCACAACGGGTGTGGTGGTGTTGGCTGCGGCCATGCTGGAGCAAGCTTCGGAGTTGATTGACAAGGGCATTCACCCCATCCGGATAGCCGACGGATACGACCAGGCCTGCGACATCGCTGTTGCAGAGCTTGACAAGATCAGTGACGAAATCCCCTTCTCAAAGGATGACACCTCCAACCTCCTCAAGGTTGCCAAGACCAGCTTGGGCAGCAAGATGTATGAACTAATCAGCCCGGACCAATGGCCCTGCTTCATCTAACATTCTCATAGTGTTTCCAAGTCTCACGACCAGTTCGCCAAGATTGCCGTGGATGCTGTGCTCTCGGTTGCGGACCTGGAGCGCAAGGACGTTGACTTCGAGCTGATCAAGGTTGACGGCAAGCTGGGCGGTGCCCTCGAGGACTCTCTGCTTGTGAAGGGTGTCATTATTGACAAGGACTTTTCCCACCCTCAGATGCCCGATGAGGTCGTGGATGCCAAGCTGGCTATCCTGACCTGTCCCTTCGAGCCCCCTAAGCCTAAGACCAAGCACAAGCTCGACATCACTTCGGTCGAGGAGTTCAAGAAGCTCCAGGAGTATGAGCAGACCAAGTTCGCCGAGATGGTCCAGCAGCTCAAGGATTCCGGAGCCAACCTGGTTATCTGCCAGTGGGGCTTCGATGACGAGGCCAACCACCTTCTTCTTCAAAACAAGCTGCCCGCTGTCCGTTGGGTCGGTGGTCCCGAGATTGAGCTGATTGCCATTGCCACAAACGGCCGTATTGTGCCTCGCTTCGAGGACCTGACTGCTGATAAGTTGGGTTCCGCCGGCCGTGTCCGTGAGATGACTTTCGGTACTACAAGAGAGAAGATGCTGGTCATTGAGGAGTGCGCCAACAGCCGGGCTGTCACTGCTTTCATCCGTGGTAGCAACAAGATGGTACGTTGGATCTTTTGAGTGTGTGATAGAATGTCGCTAATACAGAATGAAGATCATCGACGAGGCTAAGCGGTCACTACACGATGCTTTGTGTGTGGTTCGTAACCTCGTTCGCGACAACCGTGTTGTGTACGGTGGTGGTGCCGCCGAGATTGCCTGCTCTCTGGCCGTGGAGGATGCTGCTGTCAAGGTGCGTTGACTCTCATCTTCGGACGTGTTGGAGCTAGACTAACCCTTCTTGAATTGAATAGAGCCCCGGTATTGAGCAGTACGCCATGCGCGCCTTCGCCGATGCTCTAGATGCCATTCCCATGGCTCTGGCCCAGAACTCTGGCCTGAGCCCCATCGAGACTCTGGCTTCCATCAAGTCGCGCCAGATCAAGGAGAAGAACACCCGCCTTGGTGTCGACTGCATGAGCACCGGCAGCAACGACATGAAGGAGCACTTTGCCATTGACCCTCTGATCGGCAAGCGCCAGCAGCTCCTGCTCGCCACTCAGCTCTGCCGCATGGTTCTCAAAGTATGTCTACTCCATCGTTTGCATTGATCGCGTCGAATTAACAACAATCTAGATCAACAACGTTATCATCTCTGGTGATGACGACGCTGAATTTTAGGTTACCCGCACATAGTCCTAATGCCTTGTAGGCGTCACTGGAGTAGATCCCTTCGGTACGTCGGCTGAAAAAATGATGATTTTGTTGGACTCTTATGTACAACATGGTCCCTACATACATAGAACTCTCTGAGTTGAAATGAGAAAAGGATTTATGATTCTCATCCGAGTACTCTCCATCCAATTCATACACCGCAACCCTTATGGATGAGAGGCACCAGTGCTCTGAGCGCTTCCGTAGATCCAGGCGAAGCAGGTGACTCCCCTCCCACTCTCTTTCAGCACATGTGCACATTACAAGTCTCTTTCAGCTTTGAAACTGTACACATCTCCCAATAATTGCAAGTGCCCGTTTCAGCCTGTTCCCGCCTTTCTTCGGAAGTACGCCGAACACTGCGACTTTCAAAATAAACATCCGTACACCCAACACTCTCTTAACACGGCCCCCACGCGAGACATACGCTTGATCATTTGATGAACGGTAACGATTTCCGTGGGTCCCCGTGCACCTACCTTCACAAGGGTTATCCAAGATGCCGAGGAACATTAAACAGTAACCTCGACACACGATCTCTCTTTCATCTGCCATTCATTACCTCGGATCTCTGCTGGACCAAATGACTAAACTCCCGATGGGGTCAACGCTGCGTCGTGTTACCCAAATACGAGGGCACCTGTCTATCTACATTCGGATTCAGCCACACTTCATTATAAACATTTTGTTTGAAATATTCTCGTCATCTCACATGGAGTTGAACATCCCTGTATGATCCCCGTGGGGTTCACTCGTGAATCTATGTACGGGGTACCTGCTTTTCGTCTGTAGGAATCTGGAGATCCTGCTGCCTAGGAATAACGTCCATGAGATAATCTGTACTACCGTCTTCCGCAGCGGGTCCGGGTGAGGTAACGAAAGGCGACTTCCAATTTCGCCGTAATTGGTACACAAAGGCGGATTCGTGGATGTCTTGACACTATACCCGTACCAGCTTTAGAAGCTTGATACTTTGGCACGACATCTGTTCCGGGATGAGTCTATCGTAAGAGATGTCTAGCCTATGGGATATCGTGGAATATGGTAAATTGGTATAACTGTAAATTGTCTGTTGACCAGGACGGTCGAATCGCAATATCACTCTTAGCCAGGTGTTGAGTAATTTCGCCGATTTTCTCTAGGCTCCTTCCTCTCCAGGACCCTATCGTGCTTTTTCTTTTAGTCGAGACCTGTTGAAGAGCTCGTTTTCTTTTTCACCTGGTGCACTAGTATCAGGAATTGTATTAAACAGGGATCCAGGTTTGGTTTAGCCCGCCATGGTTTCACAGCGTGGAAGTGAGACCCTAGTTCCCCGTGACTTGTGATCCACGGATCTCGATGATCTACTGCGGCTCGACTATTGCCGAGACAGTCTTTAGCCTATATCCTTTTTTTTTCACTTTTTCTTCTTCATGTCGATTCGCTATGAACTGTGAGCAATGGGGCCTCCAAGATGCATCCGCAGGGGAAAGCAGCATACCTCTCTCGTATCTCGAGACAGAGGGCTGCATTGGGTAGTATTCATATCAGCGCCTCAGCAAATCCATTACGAGAGAGATAAACACCAAGCCATAGCAATAGTCGAGCCGCGTCAAAGCCGAAAAAGCACACCATGTGAGCAATGTCGCCATCGCAGCTGCACCTCATCCACAGATAGTAAGATGAGTGTCGGCAACAGCGGATTAATTTAAAGATGCCAGTCAGCCGTGGCAAGTCCAGTTGGAAAGGCTTGCAGAACTGCCGCAACGGGGAAGCGTCAGCATCGAAATCGACATTGCATCGTTGTGGGGGTCCCGAGCTCCGGCATCGGGCGAGATGCAAATTCGTCAATGCAGTGTGACACGTACTGGCAGGTACGGGGCTATTCTGATCTGCTGAGCTTTTCTTTTTTTCGTTGATGGGGCGAGATTGCAATGGGTGAGACTTGGCCCCAGTGGGGAGGTGGGGTTTACTGTTGATCTGGGGCATCTGCATTCAGGCAATATGGCTGCATTTTGCATTTTGAAGCAGGGTAACTACGTTCTGATTTCTTTTTACTAAAAGTGTCATGTACGAATTTACCGGTAGTCGACATTAGCCGCGCTGGACTGTATTTGCCGGGCGACACGAACTGCGTTCAGATGACCGGATGTCGTGTAAAATGCGAAGGTGAGACAGAAACAGAACGACTGTAAAAAAGGAGGATCATGTTCCGGCTGGCATCGATACGCTGGTATGTCAAGGCTCCCTTCTGTCATCAGCCTTATTCCTTATTGTGAGTTCACATGGACAGGGCCGATTGACGTGGCGGACATCGGTTTGCAAGGTTCGGAAGGTTGTTTCATGCTTGTGACGATCAAATTTGATCATAATTATGCCATCAATTTCTATGTAGACGTGCTCTCGCCAAATAGT